CACCGAGATGAAGAGCTTGCCGTACATGTACGAAGGATCGCGCCAGTACTGCCTGAACATGCGCTTCGTCAACTCGATGGTTTGGACAGCAACTGGAGCAGCGAACTCGGCGGCATTCTGGCCATCTTTTTGGTTTGACTCGTCAGCGACGGCGCGGCTGCGAGTCTGCTTGAGGCCATCGATTTCCTCAATGACAGCTTGCGCCTCTGGACTCCGGGCCCACTCCTCGTTCCAATCGACCTTTGTACCATCCTCTCGCTTGTGAGGTCTGGCGGCCGTCTCGAGGATAAACTCGGCGACATTCTTGTTGGGAGGGCAGATGGCGCCGCGGTGAGCAAAGTACTTTGTCACCTCTTGTCCGTTCTCCCCCATGGGGCCGAAGTAGAACGTGTTACCACCAGGGTTCAAGGCAAGGACCATGTCGAACTGCTCAATGAGGACACTGCTTGGCTGGTGGATGGTGCAAATAATCGCTTGGCCGGCATGGCTGAGCTTCTTCAGGAAACGAACAATGGAGTAGGCTGACTGGGAGTCAAGACCAGACGTAGGCTCATCAAGGAAGAGCAGGAGAGCTGGCTTCGCAGCCAGCTCCACACCAATGGTCAACCGCTTGCGCTGTTCGACACCCAGAGAAGCGATAATAGCATCTTCAAGGTCGTTCAACTCGAGCAAGCCGATGATCTTGTCAACATACGCAATTTTCTCCGAGCGAGGAGTGGCAGCGTCTTGGCGAAGCAGCGCGGAGAACTCGATAGCCTCGCGAACAGTCTGCGTGCGGTCGTGGAGGTCACCTTGGAGGCAGAAGCCCGTGTTGCGCTGAAAGTCTGCCCCGAGAGCCTGACCGTCGACGAGCATCTCGCCAGAAACAACACCGATGTTTTGACGCTGCGATAGCGTGTTCAGAAGCGTCGTCTTTCCCGCACCAGAGGCACCCATCAAAGCGACCATGACACCAGGCTTGGCGTATCCGTTGACCTTGTTGAGCAACTTGCGCTCTCCACCCATGTACGGCACAGACAGCTCCAGATTGCGCCATGTAAAGATCGACTTGCTCTCCGTCAGCTGCTCGAGGACCTCTTCAGAAGCGGCACTGGCACTGTCGGCGACAACAGTTGATGCAGAGCTGTTCGGGTTCTCCTCGTCAACTGGCGCGACTGCCTTTTGGGTTTGCTTCGTAGACTTGCCGGTCTTCTTGAAAAGCAGAGCGCCACCGCCGCCCTGCGCAAAGTTGATTACTTCAGTCGCAAAAACTGTAATGAGAATGTAAAGCACGGAGAAGGCGATGAGTACGCCGAAATTGCGCCACAGGTTGGAGCGGCTGTAGTTATACTGCGCCTGCAGATAATCAGCACCGGTCACGGACTGACCGTTGACGCCAGCGCCGGCAATGGCGCAGCCTTGGTATTGAGGGTCGACTCCTGGGCCTTGCGGGATTAGTTGGCTGGACGCGCACTCCATGGTCTTTCCGACAAGCTCGTTGGTCAGAACGCCCTCAAAGCTGTAGCTGAGGGGGTTTACCCAGTATAGCCAGCCGAACCAAATGTACTTGCCCAAGAGTTGAGTCTTGGGGATGACATAGCCGGTGAAAATGATCAACAGATTCAACGCAATGCCGGAAAAGCGAACAGCGGTATCGATTTCGGGCGAAAAGCTAGCAAACATGCGGTAGAGCGCCGTGACCATCATGGTGGTGGTGAAGATGAAGAGCATGTAGATGAAGAACTTGCCCGCGTCTGCGGATAGACCAGTCATCCAGTACATGATGATGCCGAAGATCATGGTCTGGAACAAGACGACGGGGAAATCCAGGAGAACACGAGCAAGGGACACAGCCGAGGGGCGGTAGAAGGCATAGTCTTCATGGCGCTTGACAATCGCGCGACCAGAGACGGCCTTCATCAGCTCGGAGAGCTGCAGCCAACCCAGGAACAGGATCGAGAAGAAGACAGTGCCACCTCGGGTGAACGCCCCCTCAGTCGTTGAGGGCTGGCCGTAGAAGAGGGAACCGACAATGAGACCATTGGAAATGATGATGAAGAGTTTGGTCCAAAGTGTGGCCGTGTCAGCGAGGAGAAGCCACCATTCGCGCTTGGTGCAAGCTACGACCTGCTTGTAAAAGGGCACGGTGTATGGCGATTTCTCGGCGACGTGCTTCGACTTGGACTCTTGCACGGCACCTTCGAACTCCTTGGTGTGCTGGAAGTTTGATTCATCGAGGCTTCGCTTGTATGATTGGAGATCTTCGAGCATTTCCTGGTAGTTGGGCGACTCGCGGAAGGCTTTTTCCAGCTCCTCGGCTGTTTTGGGTGCAGACTTCTCAAATCCAGGCCGGAAACGACGCTCATTGGGGTCAGTGACGGCGGTCAAGAAGTCGGCGGTCGTCTGACGCTCGGGGCATTCGAAGCCAAGATCGACGAAGTACTGCTTCGCTTTGCTGGCGGGGCCCGAGAAGATTTGGCGGCCGTCGTCAATGACCAACACCTTGTCCATGGTCTCGTAGATGCCCTCACCCGCCTGGTACAGGGTCACGAGCGTCGTTCGGTTGCTCACATCGGTCATGATACGCAGTGACCTGGCGTAGTCGAGGGCAGTTGACGCGTCGAGGCCTCGGGTCGAGTTGTCCCAAGCAATAACGGCGGCTTTGGACGCAAGAGTCTCGGCAATGGAAACACGCTTCCTCTCACCACCCGAGACACCGCGCGTGTACTCATCGCCGACCTGAGTGTACTTCGTGTGGCTGATACCAAACATCTTCATGAGGGCATTGGCGATGACCGGGATATCCTCCTTGACCGCCTTCTTGCTCTTGTTCATGAGGGCAAAAGTCAGAGTCCGCCACACGCTGAGGGTCGCAAAGTGAATGTCGTCTTCGTCGTTGTAGACGACCTCGCCTCTGTACAGCTTCTTCTGCTTTTGAGCATCGATGCCGCCGTAGGAAACATTGCCCTCCACGGAGGCGTATGACTCGCGATTGTTGCTGACTGTCTTCAGAAAGGTACTGCAGCCCGAGCCAGGCCGGCCGAGGACCAGCATCATCTCGCCGTCACGAACGCAGCCGGTGAAGTCGTTAATCAGAGTACGCGTCTGCATACCCTTGGGACGGAGGAAGGGAACGAAGCGGGCCAAGAGCTTGTACAGATCGGGTCCAAAGGTGCCCAGGATGGCGTCTGGCACTGTTCGCACAAAGGTGGCTTTGCTACCAGTGCCCTTGACCGTGAGGTTCTCAAACATGAGGCCGACCTTTTTCATGGAGCCAGCCTCGTCTGTTCGCTTCTCGAAGTGTCCCTCGCGCATGAAAGCGCCGAGCTCGAAGTCGCCGTCATCTTTGTCGGTGTCCTCCTCATCGCCTTCGTCCTTCTCAGAAAGGTGGTGGCCAGCTTCGACATCAGATTCACGCATTGACCTCCGCGATTGGTCAGCTCTCGATGGGACAGCGCTTACTCTGCTTCTCGTTGCTGTGAGAGGCCGACTATGCTGTGATCCGCCGGTCCTGCTCTTGTGTAGTTGCATGATGTTGTGGCGGAGAGCCTCATATTCGTGGAGAGCTTCGTCTTCTGTCACGTCTTCCACTCGACGCTCCCCCCACGTGCCTTCACCACCATCTGCTACATATCGCTCGTCTTCGGGTTGCGGCTGCTGCGTTTGCATGGACGATTCAGCCCTCCGAAGGACATCGCCATCGACACCACTCCCCCACATGGTGGGTAACTGTCAAGCTCGTTGCAGCTCTCAAAAGGTTAATGACACTTGCTCTGTTGAACGAATCTGATGTATTGACAAGGAGAGAAGTGGACAAGTTAAAAAAATGACGAAGTTCCAGGAGGAAACGCAAAGGGCTGCCAGATGTCACTGACTCACGGGGCAAAACGACAGATGAGGTGCTGACGAGCAATTGACTATTATACACTGGTGCAAAGGGAGAAATTGCACCTGAAACCCGCCTTTCTGACGACCATTAACGAGCATCATTAATAATGGCCTTGAACTCCGCCGGCGTGACGGACGACGTGGGTGGTGACTTCATCTCGGATGCCCTCAGAAATTAGCGCAAGGCACGCAATGCAAAGTGGAGGGGATTGTACGTCTGTATGCATCTCGCGGACGGTATGGAGTACCGAACGAGCTAGCCCTGCCCTCGAACAAAGCAAAGAGTCAACCGGGGACACTGTTACAGTGAGGGTTGAGTCGTTTCTTGCGTCATTCATGAAATTTTCGAAGCGAGGACCCTTTTTACGTAGTACTACGTAGCCGCAGGCCCGCAACGGCCTTACCGGCTGATTGGCTTCTTACCGCTGGATCGCCGCTACTTTAGCGCTGCATGTCAAACTTCTCCGAAAGCCACACGCCCAGGTCCATCATGTCCCCTTTTCGGGGTCTTGTAACCGAACCCCAAGTTCGCGTTGGGACCTGTTGGAAGCTCGAGGCGGCAGCCAGCAAGCGAGTGGCCCGATCACAAGCCAGCAAATTCGCTCGCTCGATCATCACAAGAGTCCAGCATTGCAGATTGAAAAGGACCGAAACCTGCAGCAGCGGTGCTATAGGAGATCAGGCAAACGCCGAAAGATCAAGGAGCATCCGCCGCATGCAGGTGGCTGACGTGGATCGCGGATCCGTTGACTTCTGAAGTTCTGGGCCCTGGCGAGCGGGGATGCAGGCGGGCAGCCGCTCTCGATTCTTATTAATCCATTCTTCGTTAGCAATCAGGATGATTCGATAATGGGTCGGACGGCGAAAGCATGGAGATCTAATCAAGCCGTCGATATCACGACCCCTGCATCGACGCCCCTTGGATTAGTCAATCGGTGGAATTCGAGACCGTCTGAGCAGCACGGACAAAAGCCGGGTACCGGGTAGTCACGTATACGTCTAAACTTGGAGTCTGGAGTCTGGACTCTGAACAGTCATTCAACACGTCTCTTTTGCCCGTCGTCTAAGAAACCTTGAATTGCCTCGGGCGCTCATGGCGACAGATCCGACTACATATGCTCACTGCAGCTCTTTCAGTTGTTGATCGTGTACGTCTTGGTTACGACGATGCCCTGGCCGTGGCGTCCGTCGCCCTCGGACGGCTGACGGCCACGATGGGCTGAAAGCCCTTGTAGCTGCTTGTGCCGGGCTTCGTGTCGATATGCCTCCCCCAAAATCTCTTCATCCGAGTTGTTCACCACCGAGTCGCTCGATCCACCTCGCCCGACCGTCGTCTGGTTGGCCCCGCTCTCGATGCCTAGTTTGACATCAAAGCTCTTGTTGTGGCTGCTGCCCTTGCTCTTGTTCATGTTCGCCGGCAAGGCCTGTCCGTCCTTGCCAATGTAGCCGCCGCCAATGGTCTGAAGCGCGACACTCGACGAGCCTTCCTGCTCGCCAGACTGTTTCTGATAGCCCGACGACGACTGCTCATTGTTCAGGCGTCGCCACACGCGCCTATACAGGGGCATGCAGACGGGAATACCGATGCAGATGAGCGTGACGGCCATTTCAACTGCCGACCAGACGATCAGACCGACGCTGTCGTACAGATAGTTGGGCGTATACAGGCCCTCCACGGTAGTCGTTCGCTTGATGCCGGCGGCAGCGGCTCTGTGCCTGGGTCAGCCTCGAATCGGACCGTGGAAAGGGCTGGGGGAAGAGGGTGCTCGCTTACACTAGACCCAGACTCAAACTCAACGCAATTGTGTACTTCTCGCGCCTCGGCATCTGAAGGTCCCAGACGACCAGCCATGGCAACAGGGAAAAGTACACATCGACGAGGACGGTAGTGACTTGCTCATCGGGTCAGCTATGGAGTCTCGCAGACAAAGCTGTGGTGATGCCTTACCGCAGAGGATGTATGATGTCGGCCTCGTGTCGATGGGGCAATGTCCCCCAGGAATTCGCTTGTCGTATACAAACGCTAAAGGGACGCAGGAGAGCCAGAAGCAGAGCAACTGGGCTAGAGAGAAGAGAGTGTCAGCCCACGACATCTCCCACTGTTCAGAAGGCCGTAGGTCTCTCCCTCGGCATGGATCACGTACCAATAGCGGCGGCCACGCACACTCCCATGGCCACGTAAATGGAGATTCTGTGCCATTGAAGCGACACAAGGCGCAACAAAAACACGCCAAGCGATGCTTTTGCGATGGACATGCCGACAATGGCAAAGCCTTGCCCGATGCATTCGTACAAAGTCGCTTTGGTCACTCGAGCCATGTCATGCTGCAGATACTCGATCTGGACGCCAAAGCCAATTTGCGCCGAGAGCTGTACGAATATGATGAATATCAGGAGAAACACCTGCATCAACAAGTTAGCCATTGCTGGCCCAGAGGCCTGTCTACTGGGGAAGCAACGTACAAAGGCGACAACGTAGATGTGATCGTCAAGGCCGTATGACGAAAGACAGACCACTCGCGTGTAAATTCGCAACAGCAAGAACAGGAAAACGAAGGCTGTGAAAGTCCACATCACAGCCATCGCCCAATGCGCTTCGCCTCCCATCCCCAACGGGGCGGGCTCTGGAGTGGCCATGTTGGTTCAAACCCAGAAAAGGTACGGAAAGGAGTCGGCCAAAGAAGAATCTCGGGGGTGTTGACAAGAGCTCGAAGACTTGGTGGGCTTGTTGTGGACGCTCGAGGAATCCAAGAAGGAGGCGCTTGCGTCAATGTCCAGAACGAGAACATCCACGACGTCGCGCGAGGGCCTGGTATGATATCCCACAAGCCACGACCGGCAAAGGGACAAGTCAAACTTCGAAAGGGACAACTAACGTTACTTCTTCGCAGAGCGGATGATCGACAAGTGGCTTTCCAGGACGCCCATGCAGTGCTCTGTCACTGCCGCGAGCCACAGGAGCCGGGCTCGCCTCGCGGCCTCCTCGACCCAGTCCATCAGGGGAGTGAATCCCGCATTTGCTTTTTTGGTTGCCTGGCACTCGGAACGGCGTACGAGGAGACATGTCACAATGGTCCCCCGGCATTTATTCCAATTGACAATATCCCACCCCCGGGGCCTGGTTTGCCTGGCTACGCTCCGTCTGATAGCAAGGTCCACCGCGGTGACGAGGTGCTCCAGTCGTAGAGTGCCCTCCAAAGACCTCTAAGAGAGCCACCAAACACCGTGTGCTGTCTGGTACTTTGGGAACCTAACCAGCACCTCGACACTCTCTTATCAGGCGAGACAAGAGACCATTTACTCCGGGAAAGACCCTAGTCTGAGAAGTTTCAGATGGGTCTCGCTTGCGCAATCTCGCATCCGACCCGCAATCTCCGCTTCGCCCTGCTCCCATTTGTGCATAAAACTGGCATGCCAGCATCATCTGTTCTCAGGTCTCATCATACAGCAAGAAGTTTTTGAGTAAGTATTATTCTTGAAGTCATTCTGGAGAAGGTAGGGCTTTCGAACAACATGATGGCATCTTCCTGCTTCCAGTTGTCAGAGGCCGCTGTATGGATCGCATCCCCAGGGTCCCGGACACACCACCTAAACACAGATGACTGGTCACTTCTCAGTCACCGCTGCTCTGCAGAAGGCGGAGTCTCCATCAAAGGAGTTGAGTACTGTATCCGTACCTGCGGCAAAGATTAGGTCAACAATCGGTCATCACGTGGTGTGCACTGTGGTCTGGGGCCAAATAAGGTCGAGGAACAAAGTTACAAAAGAACCGCTGACCGCAATTCGTGGTCCGTAGCGAGAGCCGACACCCATTGTCCGTTCTATCTTTCGACAGCGGTACGGCGCGGCGGCGGGTGGCACTTTAGTTATTTATCCTGAGCTTGTTTAGGCTTCAAGGTCATCAGCCCCCACGCCCTGGACCAGGCCCCAGAAAATATGACAGCACCCGGGGGCAGGGCCCCTGTTGCCGCGAGGCATATCACCGGTTTTACATTCTGCCAACGCTGGTTGGTTGGTGAGCCTAGAGTACATATCATACCAGGGTTCGAGCCTTCGAGGATTCTTGAGGAACATGACAAATACCCGGCCAAGAGGTTTATGGAAATGATCAGCTCTAGCAATGCTCAGTTTATCTCCACGAGACACAATCTGTGGCAACCTCCAGTCTCTTGCCACTAGTCAGCAAATAGAAGCGACGCCGACTACTTTAGTAGATTTCGCGTATCTGCTTGGAGAATATCTCGTTGCGGCTCCGGACGTCGTGTCGGTCCGCTGGATGAGCAGTGGCTCATGGTTTGGGGAAGGACAAGTCAGCCCTGAGCGTCGCATGCACGCCAAGGTGAGGTGACTGGCGAGCTGCAGAATGAGGGGTTCCAGCAGGCAGGGGGAGATATGGCTTCCTCCAAGGGAAGGTGTCCTGCATCCGACTTGCGTATGCAGGATGGTCTTGGTGGCTTCGTGCCAAAATCTCTCCAGGTTTTGTTCCCTTGAAGTGGGAGATGTGGGCAACTCTTCTTCCTCAGCCTTCACCCAGGGCACTATTCTGGTGAGATTGAATCACATCATTTGCTCACCTCGCGGCAAGCTTCCCAGCAACGTTCTTTCTTCGTTTCGGCCTCTACAATGAGCTCTGTTGCGTCCAGCGGCTTCGCTACGGCGACCCCAGAGTGCTGGTACGATGACTGGCAGCCCATTCTCAACGACACAAGATTTCAGCTGGCGAGTGCAGTAGTCTTTGCGCCTGCTGTTGCTGTCCTCCTCTGGTTTATCGTCGCCTATCAGATTTCGCCCTTGAAGAAGTACCCGGGCCCCTTTCTGGCTGGTGAGTACCATCAAGTCACGCGCACCTGACAAGGTTGGCACTGATCCAAGTGAACCAGGATTCACCAACCTCTGGCGGCTGCGTCAGGCCATCTCGGCCGACTATGCTCCTCGCATAAAGAGACTCCACGAGAAGCACGGTCCTGTTGTCCGTATCGGCCCCAACTTGCTTGACATTGACTATCCGGAGCTGTCCCGCACCGTCTACAACACAGACGGAAAATGGAAGAAGACAGACTTCTACAAGAACAGCAGCTCCATCATCAATGGCAAGATTACATATCACATGTTTAGCGAGGTCGACCAGGTCGAACATGCCCGTCTCAAGCGTCCCGTCGTCCGCCACTACTCGGTGCCGAGCGTGCGGGCCATGGAGCCTCACATGGACGCCGTGATCCAAGACTTCATCGACCATCTCCAGGCCCGCTTCGTCGACACGCGAGCTGAGTGCCCGCTCGGCGAATGGCTTGCCTACTGTGCGTTCTGTCATGTCCCGCTGAAAGGCGAGAATATCTACTGACCGCCCTAGATGCCTGGGACTTCCTCGGCGCCGTCACTTTTAGTCAGAAGTTCGGATACATGGAGGCCGGCAAGGACTTTGACGGCACCCTCAGCGTGGCTGACCAGTCCATTGACTATCTCGGCATGTGTGGGCAGATGCCGTGGCTCGACCACGTCCTCGACAAGAACCCCGTGTATCCCCTCGGCCCTCCAAACATCTCCAACGTCACACGCATCGCCGTGGAGAACATGACGGCTCGCCTCAAGGGCGAGGACAAGAACTTTGTCGGGGAGAAGCCCGACTTTTTGCAGTACTTTATTGAGTCTAAGGACACCCACCCCGACGTTGTCAACGAGGGCACCATCATTGGATACCTCTTGCTGAACTGTAAGCTGATCTCCCAGTGGCCCCCGTGGGACGTACCCTAACAACTTGCAGTGATCGCTGGAGCCGACACAACAGCCATCACCCTCAAGGCCCTCTTCTACTACTGCCTCAAGGATCAGCGGGTCTATAACAAGCTGCAGGACGAGGTGCGCGCTCGCTTCGAACCGAACAAGCCCGTGCCCATGTCCGAAGCCCGACAATGTCTCTATCTCGAGGCGGTGGTCAACGAAACGCTGCGTTTCCACCCTCCCGTGTCCATGTGTATGGAGCGCATCGTGCCTGAGGGAGGCCTCGCCCTCCCGGACGGCTCGGTCGTCCCCGCGGGCTCGTGCGTCGGCATGAACCCGTACATTGTCGGACGCAACAAGGCCATGTTCGGCCAGGACGCGGACACCTTCCGCCCGGACCGGTGGCTGCAGCATGACGGCGAGACGGACGAGCAGCACAAGGAGAGGATGCAGCGCTGGGGCACGGCGCAGCTGCAGTTTGGTGGCGGGTCGAGGATCTGCCTGGGCCGCAACATGAGCATCATGGAGGTCTACAAGGTTGTGCCGACGCTGCTCGCCACGTTTGACATTGCGCTCACGGATCCCAACGAGGTCTGGTGGACGAGCTCTCGGTGGTTCTACCGCACGAAGGGCATCCAAACCACAATCAGGCCACGGAAGTGAAGGTGCGAGGGTGGCTGCGCTGCAGATGGAGCCAAGGGCATCCGGGGTATACGAATGGCATGGGGGATGACGATACGGACAGGCAGTGCTGTGAAGCACTGTCTTCAGATCACAGTGAATCTTTGCTTACATTGCCATGCCAAGTCAAGTAGCCGCTCTGGTGCGTGTTCATGCAGTAGGGACCCCATCTAATTAACAAAGACCCCCAACCTAGAACTTCTCCACATAAGGCCTGATGTCCAACTCCTGCGTGAACGCGGAGCGATGCTGCACGTGCAGCTGCCAGTACGTCTCGGCAATCTGCATGGTGTCCCGTAGCATCAGTGATCGAGTTCTACTACGCAAGGGCTGTGAGGACTTACCGCTTCAGGACGAATCTTGCCGTCCTCGACCCCGTTGTTGACAGTGAAGTGATCGAGACGGGGAATGTCAATGACCCCGTCGACGATGGCGTGGGCGACATGCACGCCCTGGGGAGCAAACTCGCGCGCGAGGGATTGTCCCAGGCCACGGAGGGCGAACTTGCCGGCGGCAAAGGCGCCGAACTGCGCAGAGCCCTTGAGCGAGGCGGTGGCACCGGTGATGAGCAGTGTCGGGGGGTGCGGCGCGTCCGGGAAGGACGTGAGCAGGAGGGGGAGTGTCTCCTGAGAAAAGTTGACAAAGGCCTTGCTGTGGCGTGTCAGTCAGGCTCGAGGCTCGTTAGGCGATGAGGAGGCGAGGTAGGTGACGTTCACGTACATAGTTCCGTCAAAGGCGGCGTCAAAGTCCTGGGCAGTCAGCTCGAGAAAGGGCTTCTTGGCGAAGCCCCCGTTGACGTTGTAGAGGGCTGCTGCCAGCTTGCTGCCGGGGAGTTTCTGGTCAATGGTCTGGAAGGCCCGGCGAAGGGACTGGGCGTCGGCGACGTCAGTGGTGATGCCTACTGCCTGGCCGCCCTTGTGCTCAATCTCCTTGACAATGTCCTCGTAGGAGCTTGGGTTTCTCGCAAAGAGAACTACCGGATATGCCTGCGCGAAGCGAAGAGCGGTGGCGCGGCCTGGGGTTGTCAGTTTTATGTTCCGTGATGAGGGAGAGTACAGGGCAAGCCCGGTCGAAAGGGAGCGAGAGAGGTGTCACCTGTTCCGGCGCCTGTGCCTGCGATGAGGGCGTAGAATTTGGACATGTTCTGGTGAAGATAGGGTGAATGTTGTTTGATAGTCTGAATCTCAGAAGAAATAGCTGGCTTGATAGTGCTTATGTAGGTATGTACTATGAAAATGGGTGACGCAATTTAGTGAATGATGAGTTCATGTTGCTACTGGTCAAGTCTTCTCGGCTTGTTCGCTTTCCCGCATCGCCGATGCTTATTAATGCCCGACGGGTGTAGTGATGATGGCCTTCAGATATTAATCGCAGAAGTGAAAATGAAGTGTACAGAGTGAATGTCCTGAGCTTGATTTCACTTTCAGCGATTCGCGCATCGCGATGGTGTTCAACGTGGCTGAAACTGACACGACCACTGAGTTGTCCAGGAACAGGCTCAGAATTCAATTCCAGAAGCTAAAGGGTTGATCAATAGCAGAATGCGCTTGAATGACTTTTCCCTCTTCAAATAAGTCACTTTTTACAGCTTTGCGGCCGCCTCCTTGAGCTGCTCGACCTTGCCCTCCAAGTCAGCACCAGTCGCCCGCTCGAGAACCACGACAAGAGCCCGCCTCTTCTTCTCGTCGACGTCTTGCCCCACCAACTTTGCATGGTCCATCCCATCCCAGTAGCTTCCAATGACCTGTTGCAAGTCATCCTCTCCCGAGGGAAGCCCGACGCGCTGCAGCGCGTCCGAGCTCCTGCTGTCGATGAACGGATAAGCCGCCGGCCACAGCCACTGGACTCGCCTCCTGAAAATGTTTCCTCCCGTGGGACCGAGCCCCTTGACCTTGTCAATGAGGTCTTGCAGCGCTTCATCCGGTTTGTCGCTCGCCAGCACTTTGGCAAGGCGCTCGCCCTCCTTGTCGTCCTCGTCGGCAAAGTACTCCAAGACGAGATCACCGAGGTAGCTCAACTGATCGGCCGTCTTGGCCTTGTGCTGTGTCCGCGCGTCCCAGAGAGCCTTGTGGACCTTGTCCAGGCCAGCGTCTTGTATGGCCTTGGCATTGTTGAATTCATAGGGCGCATTGAATATGGTCCGGAGCGTGCGAAGACCCAGCATGTGCGAGATGGGCCGGGACAGGACCACGGCGCTGACAAGCTCCTGGAACGGGTTCAGCACGCTGGACGTGTACGTGACGGTACACTTGGCATTTTCCCGTGACGCGAGGTCGCGCGCCTCGTCAGCTGGGCGGCAGAGCTCGGTGGCATTGTCAGATAGCATGTACCGGAGCAGCTGTGACTGGGAGGGCTCTGCTGTTGGTGCGTTGCGCGCTGACTTGCGTGATCCTTGGCGTGTTTCCTTTTCAGGTGGTTGTTTACGCTTCTTGGGGGATGTCTGGTCTTTCTGAACCTCGTGCTCGAGCTCTTTTCCGGATTCCATGGTGCTGACGTCGTGCGTCTTAGACGTGGTCCTGCCATTGGCTTTGTCGCCGTTGGTGGCGGTCGCGCTCCTCTTCGTCTTCGTGGGTGACATTCTGTATGTGTAAGTACGAGAAGATGGGCACGGCATGTGTGGTCAAGGATCGACCAGTTGACCGTCATGGCAGAGAGCAGGCGTCGTGATCGTCCATTTCGTCATCGATCCTCAGCGCGTGGCTAGAGGCCATGTTTCACATGCCGCGTGTCATTGGGAGAGGAACTAGTCTCGGTTGGTGGATGTCAGCGTCTGGAGGTTTACTAACATTGTTTGGTTGAGTGATCTCGTTATGCCGGCCATTGGAACATCTTTCAAGTTCGTCTTTCGTGAAAGACGTGAGATGCCGGCCCCAGGGTAAGCATTATCCTGCCCGATACCGGGACCGGACAAGGTGCGGCTTTCGGACGGCAGATTGACGCCGACACAATCGATTTACAATCCAGCCAATTCTTTCTATCATCCATCTTCATTGTCGTGCGTGCGACGAGCCACATGCACTCACTCGCACGACCATGACGACCACCAGCGAGAGGACGCCGCTGCTGGCCCGGCTGAGCTCTGGCGACAAGGCCAGCCGCAGCAACAAGAAGCTGGCATCGTGGCTGTTCTGCGAGGAGCATCGTATCTTGTTCGCTGGGTTCTTGATCACATTTGCCTTCAGCGTCACCCAGGTTCCGTGAGTGCAGAACATTGGACGTGCGCGTCCCGCTTGTCCCCATCCGTGTGATCTGAGACCGTTTCTCTAGGATATTCTATGCCTTCCACATCATGGTGTGCGATGTCTACTATGACAGCCACCCACCGTACCAGGGCCATGGCGACCGATGCAGCATCAACCCCGTGACGGCCACCACATCATGGCAGTATAGCATCATGGGCATGAGCACGACCTTTTGCGGTAGGCGGTCTTCATGTTTACAGCGCACCACAGCAGCCATGCTGACTAGACAGGCGTCCTGAACTTGTTCATCGCCGGGTGGACGGTCAAGAAGATTGGCCCCAGGGCTGCTCTGCTGATCCAGACGTGCGTCCCCGTCATCCGCCTCGTGGTCCAGATCGCCGGTCTCACCGTTGGCAAGGAGATAGGCATGCTGATGATGCAGCTGAGCCAGAGCATCACCATTGTTGGCGGGCCGGTGGGCTACGTGCTCATCATCAACATCATCGTCGGCGAGGTGGTCGAACCCATCAGGCGCACGGCCGTCTTTGGCCAGCTGCAGGGCTGTCTGATGCTCGGCAACGGCGTCGGAGTACTGCGTAAGTGATCAGTGGTCGGTCCATCCCGGGCGTCCTTGGCTGACGAGTGCCGTACAGTCGGTGGCGTGGTGGGCGATGCCATTGAGATCCGCGCCCCGTTCTGCATCGCTTTTGTTTCATTCCTCCTCTCGTCGACCTTTGCCCGGTTCACGCTGCCTTACATCTCCGTCGAGTCCATGTCGGACGGCAAGCAGAGTGCCGACGCCGGCCTGCTCGCCCCTCTCCGGGTTCTGAAGCCCCAGGGGCTGCGTCTCCCGAGCGGCGCCAAGAGGAAGCACTACGGTGTCATATTTCTCTGTACAGGCATCTTTGTCGGCGTGGTGCGTCCTTCTCCTTGAATCCGGTCATCTCACAGTCTCCATGCTCACAAGAATGCAGATCGCCACAGACTACGCCCCCTTTCTTATCCAGATGTACGCCACAGCCATGTTCGACTTTACGCAAGCCGACAACGGCCCCCTCATGGCCGGCTTCTCGTTCATGAGGAGCTTCTTCCTCATCTTCATCTTCCCTCGTATCATCACGTTTGGACGTAACGTATGGGCCGGGCGCGGCGACAAGGGCCCTGCGCGGGATCCGAGCGAGGAAGACGAGATTCCCACGTCCCCTGGACAGATGGACGCCCCGACGGCGGCGGTCGAGCAGGCGGATGTCATTCATCCCACAGAGCCCGCCGCGCCCCGGAAGACGTGGAGCGGATATCACTTTGACCTCTTCTTCTTACGGGTCAGTCTCCTCGTGGATGGCCTGCTCACCACGCTTACCGCCTTTGCGACCGAGTGGTGGCACATCTACCTTGGTACGTCTTCTTGTCCTTGATTGCACACTCTTGTCACTGACACTCCCAAGCGGCGTTCCTCCTGCCGTTCGGCTCCGGCACGGCGCCCGCCGCCAAAGGCGTCATCACGCAAATGTGTCCCGAGTCGCAGCGCGCAGATGCGCTCAACGCGGTGACGCTCATCGAGAACATTGCGCGGATGGTGACGCAGGGCCTGTTTGGGTTCATCTTTGCGAGCCTGGCGACGATTGGCAAGGCGTACACGACGTTCTTTGTCAACGCGGCCATTGCCATCGTCGGGCTGCTGGTGCTGCTGCTGTCACACTTCCCGCCGGCGGGGACTGAGCTCATCGACGAGGCCAGCGAAGAGCACGAGGGGGGGGAGGAGGACGAGCGGGCGCCACTCGCGCGGACATGAGAAATGGCGGCTGTTGCCTGATGTGGTTGTAGAGCGCTTCGGACCTTCGGATATACTTGCGTCGGATATCGGATAGACATCGAGCATCATTTCATAGACACGTGCCCCCTCCCTCCCCCCACCTCAGCGGAAGCCTCTCCCGCCTTGCAAGGCAGACTATATTGCGCCCATCCAATGATTCCAATCCCAATCGTCCGCCACCCTCTTTTGACTGCATTATGGTGTCGATCGGTGCGTAGTCCGGGCGGCGCGGGGAGTCGTGGACGCCCAGCTCAGCCGCACTGCCTGACATTCGATAGCCAAGACCCGAACAGCGTACATGAGGCTTTACATCAAGTCAAGCCAGAAAGATAAGACCATGACCAGATCTCCAGGGAAGTACTATCGTCTTGTCAAGACTCGTATTCTCCACGCCTTTCTCGTGTCGCGACCATGGACCTCGAAAATCCCCCGCCACCGTACGAGGAGGTCGAGAGAGGGAGACCGCCCGCGTACCGCACACGCCGTGGTGACGAGGAAGTCCTGTTCACTTCTTGGAGCACTGACTTGCATTTCGAAGAGATCACCTTCTCTCCAGCGCTCAGCATAGCACCAGAGCCATACCGCGCCAGACCTCATGCCGACTTGAACGACACGCACGGTGCTCCGGGCCAACGCTGCTCACCGCCTCTCGGGCCACGAGCACCGTCCTCCAGGACGCCATGGTGGAATCGGGGCCCCGAAGGTGACGGCCAGCACACGGGAGTGTGGCATCAGCTCGCGTCCTACCCGCGATGGCTGCGCATCCACTCCAAAATCACCCGGTGGACGATCTTCATCATCATCCTCCCCGCCATTTGTATCACCAAGTTCGCCGCGATAGCCCGGGACGACCTATCCGACGAGTGCGTCTCTTCCCCCCCCCCCCCCCCCCTGTCCACGCGGGAGAAGCCGTCTGCTGATCATAGGATAGTCCGTATGACTGGAACTGCGAGAACCATTACCTTGCCCACGCCTCCGAGCCGTGGTACTCATCCCTCGGCAACCCCCCGGCCGGTTCCGGGCGGTATCACAGCCAATGCCGTGGTCTCTATGCCTGGGCGCAGCTCACCCTCGCCGTGGGCATCCTCTCGTGCCTGAGGGCCCTGTACCAGATCATCAAGAGGGGTATCTTCGACTGGTACACAGACCCCACGAAAACGTTGTTTTTTGCTCTCCTCCCCCCATCACCTCGAGGACTTTGACTGACGGACGCCCCCGTGTAGGTCAGCAGCAGAGCATGGAAACAAGCTGCGGCGCTCCACAGCCGACACCCTGGAGTTCGTTGGCGTGTTCGCTTCGGCCGTGGCGGCGGTACTCTACCTCGTCAGTGCCGTGCTCCTCGGCACGAGCAGGCTCTTCACCGGTCCGTCTACCGAGGACGAGTGGTACAGATCACTGTACACGGCCTGCCTGTCGCTCGTCTGTCTCAACTGCGTCGCCTCAGTGCACCAGGCCGTCATCCTGACATTGGTCGCCTACGTGCGCAGGAGAAGACGTTGGGCAGCGGGTACAGCACCAGATATGCCGCAGCAGCAGCAGTAGTATCAGACCTCATATATTTCATGACAATAGAGCAAAATGCCCTCTAGACGCCTGCATCTAAACTACATCAATGTGACCACTGCCCCTGAGTAATACAACGGACCGCGCACGCGCTTATCTTCAACGTGCCAATGCCTCCAAGTGATATCGCCTCTGGTCATGGGTATAATCAAAATGACAGTGTGAAAGAAGGTGGCGGCAGTCACGGCCAGACAAAAAAAGACGGAGAAGACAAAACGTCAGCCTAGACACCTCTAAACATGCGGACAATGAGGAACCACAACGCGCCGATAAACTTGAACGCGCTCAGACCAGCGACGGACCACAGCACGATCGACATATAGATGTTGGACCGCTCCAACTCCTGGTCGTCGGCGTCCTTGCCGGGCGTGATCTTGTCCAGGCCACCGGCGCTGAGGACGACGGCGGCGAGCGCAAAGTTGGTGATCATCCAGATCAGCACGACGCCCGTGCGCACACCGCGGTAGTAGTCCATTTGCTTCTCCTGCAGCTGGGCGGCCGTGGGCGGCGCCTTGACCTCCTTGTGCTTCTGGGCAAAGAGCGCAATCTCCCGCTGGTACTGCGCGTTGAGATCACCCTCGTCGGGCAGATCCGTCTTGCCCTGGCCATCCTTGGTGTTGACCGACGGCAGCTTCTCCACCTTGTCGTCGCCCTTGGTGCCCCACGAGACGTCGTGCGTGTTGCAAAAGGCGTACACGTTGAGGACGTTGGTGTACGTTGGCGTCAGCAGCATGTACTGCACCAGCGACGTGACCATGTGCCAGGGGTCGAACATGAGAAGCGACGCGATGAGCCAGATGCCAAATGTGGACATGACCGACACAATCAGCGTGTAAAAGACCTGGTTCTTGAACAGTTCGTTGATGTTGAAGCCATTTTTCTCGATATCGTCCATGATAGCAATGACAGCAATGTATATGGCGGCAAACATGAGATAGCTGGCAAATGTCAGTAGATACTCTCGTCTTCGCAAACTTTGTGGGGTCTCACATCATGAGGCCTGCCCAGAACCAGACCATGGCGGTGTACAACCTGCCCGACCCGGCTGGACGATTGCCCATGGACAGTACAAAACAAGTGATGAGCATGACACCATATAACCACGTGAAAACGACGCCGAGGACCTCGCCCGTCCTACCGAGGAGATCTTCGGTGCCCAGACTGGTCGTCAAGATCTTGAACACCAGGAAAAAGTTGCCGATGGCGAACCAAGCAAAGATCATGTTGACGGTCTGGAAAATGGTCTCGATGATAAAGGCCAGCTTGCGGAAGAAGGAGTGATCGGAGCGGAAGAAGGAGTAGAAGTGGACAATGGAGTAGATCGCCGCAAAGAACGAACCGTTCAGCCAACGACGACGCTGGAGCACCAGCTCGGTCACTGTGTCGGGCACGTCCGTCTCGCCCGTGGCCGATTTCACGTATTGCAAGATCCAGTGGCAGTTGCGCTTCGTGACAAGCTCAAAGCAGAGGATACGATCCTCGGCCAGATACATGTTGGACTCAAAGAGACCCGCCGTGCTACCGCCGTGCAGCGTCTCGCCGAGAAAGTACTTTTCCAGCGGGCCCTGGCCGTTCTTGTCGTTTTGCAACGCAACATATCGGTACGCCGAGAAGGCACCGGGGAGCACGGAAATGAAGCCAAACGCAGACTCCAACGGCTTGTCCAGAATGTTGCTCATCTTGTACTCAAAGTTCTGCGTCGCCACCAGGGGATTGAGCAGATTTTTGCCTCCTCGCCTGCGCTCGTCACATCCGCACGTTAGCCTGGGGACAGCACATTATGCTCTCAAGACTTTGACATACCCTAACATTGCTTTGATCTCACCGCAGGCGCCGCCACACATGGGCTCGAGATCAAAGGCTTTCCACAGGTGGTAGATGGAGCTCCCACCGGGACGCGTACCCGCGTCGAGCAGCACGCAGATATTGGGGTCCAGCACGCGGCCAAAGGCCTGGAAGAACCAACGGTGAGAGTTGATCTTTTTCTGGTTCTTCTCCTTCAAGCAAAACAGCATCTGCACGGGCTGTCGACGGTGGACCAGGGAGACGATATCGTTCTTGAGCACCAGGTGGGTCTGTGTCGTGTACTCGTAAATATGGGCCGTGACGTCCTTGCTGTTGACCTGCTGCTTCGCGATACCCTCCTGGTAGACGCCCATGCCGGACAGCAGCGCACGGGTTCGAGGGTTGATCTTGGCACGGCCATCGCTGACGACGCAGACCACAATCTTCTTCCACGCATCCTTGCCCCACGTCTTGCTGTTGGGACGGTTGCACATGTACTCAATGTTCTTGAACACGCCGGCCATGGTGCGCGCAAAGAGCACGTCGTCCTCGTTGTACATTGTGACGACAATGAACAGCTCCGTGTGCCGTGGCTTGCTGAAGAGGCGCTGGCGCAGGGTGAAGTTCTCGTTGTAGAAGTCGGACGGGTCGCACGTGGCGGCCGTGTAGCGCATGTGGGTGAACTCGTCTCGCTCGCCGTGCGGGTTCTGCTGCAGCAGCACGGGGGGCACGGGGCAGTCGAGCACCAGGTTGCCGCGGTAGAGGAGAACCTGCTTGACCGTCTTCCAGCGTTTCAATCCGCCGCCGGGCGCGGGCTGAGGTTGGGCCGGCTCGTCCTGGAATGCTTCGTCGGTCAGCCCAGAAGGCTGGTGCACGAGCATGGGCCGGCGATCCTCCCACTCGTAGCCCTGGCCGTCCTGCGGCGCAGGGCTTGGTTCGTAGGGTTGCTGGTAGTATCCATCGTGGAGGCCCTCGGGGTTCACGGCGTACTCTTGTGGGTGATGGCTACGCGCGTCGTATCCGGACAGGTTGTCGGTCGAGTGCTGTACACGTCAGGCTGCGGTTCTCCCGCGCGGTGCCACGGAGACTCACGGGTGCGTTGAGCGCGAGATGATCGCTCGGCGTCCCCAGGCGCGAGTCGATTGGGGTCCCCAGATGGGGCGGTGGCGGCATGGGCATATCGAGGTTCGAGTGGCTGCGACCGTAGGGGTTCTCGTCAAGCTGGTAGCCAGGCTGAATAGGGTGCTGAGGCGACGGGGAGCGATAGGGATCGCCTCGACCGCCTCGACGATCCATGGGATCGCCGTAGTAGTCGTCGTCTATCAGGAGCGTATTAGCTTTGCGGTTTGGGATTGCGAAGCCGCTTGCGGTCGCGATCAAGTGGATAGATAGCGCGGTGTTTGCAGGCTTGGAGCTTCCATGTTTCTGACAGAGCTCGACAATGAATGCGCGAGCAACGAGATGGATAATCCCGTCGGTGTACACGGGGGCACCGGTCAAGCGCCAGGCGTTTCAGCTGGTGATGGATGGAGGGGCCGGGACAAAGGCAAGCAATCGCTGCACCCCCAGAGAGATGCGAGGTCAGGCATGAACTTACCCAAGCGATTATACGACATCTTGTTCGCGCGCGCGCATGCCCTGTCCACACTCAGGGCTGTTGGCGACGTCGTCAGCGTTCGAGGGTGGGCGTTGTCGTTGACCAGTGTTTTCGCAAAGGGAGGAGACGGCCCCAGTTTCGGGGGAAGGGTTTGCTGTGCGCTCGCGTGTTGATGTTGGCACCCGTGGTCTGTGCAACTGTGTCGTTGAGGGAAACGCTCCTAGGGACTGGAGAGTTAAATGAGCTGTGGTACGTGACGATGGTGCAATGAGCATCAGAGGAAAACGGAGTGTCCAAACTGTCGAGATCTGTCGAGATGGGGAAGCGTCGTTTCAAAAACCCCAAGGCTCCATGTCCCAGGAAAATGCCATCAGGAGGCTGTACGCGGTAGTTTCAGCGCCTGTGGCTGGTTGCCAGGGGGGTCCAGTGACCAGTGCTAGTATGTCTTGGCTGTCAATATCCTTACCAGAGGTGGTGCCAATATCCAGCGGTCTATGAGCAACATCGGGCTTAAAGGCTACGCATTACTACGGAGACATCTGCACCTCTACGCTTTAATCACACATGCTACTAAACTGTAGGAGGCTAGATTTTGCTCACTGGCGTTGGCGACTTTGTCGAGTGAGCAGTAAGCACGGTAGAAGGTGGGTCTCTCGCGAGGCAGAATCACAGCGCCAGCCAAGCCGAGACCCTGTCCCCAAGACTTGGTGACGTCGGCCCAAATTACGCCGCGAGGCCTCAGTGGAGGGTATTTTAGAATAGGGGTTCAGAAGGGGGGTTATTGTAATCCCAATTGACAAGGATCGTCGCCGGCCAAGAGGCCTCTCACAGACTGACTGGACTTCACAATCGCTCAACTGGCTGCCAGTGGGCGCAGCCGCGAACACCACTGCCGGTACCAAACATAGCATCGACGCCACACGTGTGCGCCACATGCATGCTCATTCCCAGGGCAACTCAACTCAGCCTCGTTGAAGTCGCGTTCCAACGCATCTCAAGTCTGCCAAGCTGCCCTAGCCTCGAGTCTCGGACTCCCGGCTCGCTGAGGACACAATGACGAGTGGACGATGCTCTCTGTCCTGCTGTGTCGTCTGTCGCGCGAGCCTCGGCATGAGAGCTAATTGATCGCTGCTGCTGTAAAACTTGAGCGAGGGGCATCCAGATTCCAGCCTTCGATTTCGACGGCCCCTCCGCAGTCGAGCCTACCCTGCACACATCACATGTCGTGGGGCATGTATGATGTTTACCAAGAAGAAATTCCTGGCCATTGGGAGAGCATGTTCGAGTTATGGTAGAGATGCCAAGGTGGTCCGGTATGACGAAACGGAGTCCAGCGAGGGGATGACCAACCCGGTGTCAATGAAGAGCAGGATTGTTGAGCTGAATGGAGGACGGTGGCCCCTATTCTTTCTGCGGGAATAAACAGGCCCGTTTCTCGGAAAACATTGTCTTGCTTTCCGAACCGGCATTTCCTGAAAGAGCAAGAAGCGGACCCCGGAACATTGCTAGGCGATGCTAGCCACAGGTCTAACGCATGGCGTAGGGTAATTCACAAGATGGCCAAGGAGTCGGAGAGCTTGCCGGCACTTCTCCTGCTGTAGGTTCAGTGGGCTCACACTGTCTGTGAATCTCGCTGCCTATGGTACTCGGGCCACCACGATTAATTGAAGCATCTCTGCCATCGACAAAGGATGCAGACACCTTACGTTGGCTGTAGCTGTTGTGAGCCAAGGTGGATGGACGGACAGGCATCTCGCGGGGTTGCGGCACCTCCCCCCACAGTTCTCCTGCACCATCCAACTTCTCCCCCAGGGGTCCCAACGCAGAAGGCTGCCGCCCGTCGGGAAAGCAACCCCACCATCCCCTCACTTCTCCTCCACGATGCGTACCTACGTATCTCTAGCTTGAGGCTAGCTTGCGCTCCAACCATACTGGCGCCACTCGGCACGATGATGCAGCGCTGCAGGCTCGCGAGGAGGGCCCGAGGAGGGCCTTGGAAGGGGCTGATGAACAGTACAAATACGACGCCGCGTCCTCCTCGCTGACCCTGTCCTCCTCGTCTCTGTCACGCTCTCGCGACTCAACTCAACACGAGAACGACACCAGCAACATGTCCTTCCCCAAGTCCCAGCCCGACTGGAACAACCTGCAGGTGTTGCACCGCAACACGCTCCCGCCCCGCGCACACTTCTTCCACTACACCTCTGAGGAGGTGGCCCGCACCCTCGACCGCGAGAAGAGCACCTACCAGCTGCTCAGCGGCACCTGGAAGTTCCGCCACGATGCCTCACCCTTTGAGGCCCCAGAGTGGTCCGAGGCCGACCCCCTGACCTGGGCCAACGTCAAGGTGCCCAGCATGTGGCAGATGCAGGGTTACGGGCGACCACTCTACACCAATGTCAACTACCCTATCCACGTGGATCCGCCCAACGTCCCCTACGAGAACGAGACGGGCTCGTACTGGCGCGAGTTCACCGTCCCCAAGGAGTGGGATGGCCAGCAGATCCGCCTCCGCTTCGAGGGTGTCGACTCGGCCTTTCACCTCTGGGTGAACGGCCAGGAGGTCGGCTACAGCCAGGGCAGCCGGAACCCTAGCGAGTTCGACATCACATCGTACCTCAGCAAGTCGGGCGCCGGCTCGGTCAACACGATTGCCGTCCGCGTCTACGAGTTCTGCGACGGGTCCTACATTGAGCGCCAGGACCAGTGGCTGCTGTCCGGCATCTTCCGTGACGTCTATCTGATGGCGTTCCCCAAGGACGCCATTGTCGACTTCAACTCCATCCCGGAGCTTGATGACACCTTTACAAAGGCCACACTCAAGACCAACGTCAAGACGCAGGGCACCGAGGGCGACGTCGCACTCAAGCTCTACTCGCCTGACGGCTCGCTCCTCAAGCAAGACACCTTCAAGTCTTCAGCATCCAGCTCTGTCGTCGTGGACGGCAAGGACCTGAGGCTCTGGTCCGCCGAAGACCCCGTGCTCTACACGGTGACCCTGACCTTTGCCGAGAGGACCATTGCCCAGAGGATCGGTTTCCGCCGCGTCGAACGCAAGGATCCCAACTTCCTGATCAATGGAAAGCCCATCATCTTCTACGGCATGAATCGCCACGAGCACCACCATCTCTACGGCCGTGCCGTGCCCTACGAGTCCATGCGTGCCGACTTGGTGCTCATGAAGCAGCACAACATCAACGCGCTGCGATGTGCCCATCAGCCCAACGACCCGCGTCTCTACGAGGTCTGCGACGAGCTCGGTCTCTACGTGATTGCCGAGGCCGACCTCGAGACGCACGGGTTCGACCCCGTCGAGCGGTCCAACATCAAGGACCAGAACACCAAGAGCGGCTACGAGATTCAGGAGGAGTCCTACAAGACGGCCAACAAGTGGACGTCGGACAACCCCGAGTGGAAGGAGGCGTACCTCGACCGCGCCGTCGAGCTGGTGCAGCGCTTCAAGAACTACCCCAGCGTCGTCTTCTGGTCGCTCGGCAACGAGGCCTTTTACGGGAGCAACCACGCCGCCATGTACAAGTGGATCAAGGAGGCCGACCCCAGCCGCATCGTGCACTACGAGGGCGACAGGGATGCCGTCAGCGCCGACATGTACAGCTGCATGTACTGGAGCATCGAGGGCATGAAGAAGCACGTTGCGGAGAAGAACGACCGCCCGCTCATCCAGTGCGAGTACGGCCACGCCATGGGCAACGGGCCCGGCGGCCTGCTCGACTACATTGAGGCCTTCCGGACGGAGCCGCTGCTGCAGGGTGGCTTCATCTGGGAATGGTGCAACCACGGCCTGCTCAAGAAGGAGGGCAGTCTCGAGTACTACGCGTACGGCGGTGACTTTGGCGACTACCCCAACGACGGGGACTTTGTCATGGACGGCATGACGTGGTCGACCCACGAGCCCACGCCTGGCCTGGTCGAGTACAAAAAGGTCATTGAGCCCGTGACGGTCACCATTGAGGGCAACGACCTGAAGATCAGGAACCACTACGACTTTGTCGACCTCGGCCACCTTGAGGCGACCTGGCACATTGTGTCGCCCAACGCGGAGGACAGCAGCCAAGTGCACCCGCTCGCGCTGCCGATCATCACGGGCGGCGAGACGGGCACGGTCAAGGTGCCGACCCAGGTGTCCACGGAGGACGTGGCCAAGTACCTCACCATCAACTTTGTGCTGCGAAACGACACAAAGTGGGCCAAGAAGGGCCACGAGGTGGCGTGGGCCCAGGTGCCGCTGGCCAACATCCCCAAGACCAACGCCCTGATCACCGTGGACGCCAAGGGCCAGCAAGACGACCAGAGCAGCGTCCGGGAGAAGAATGGGCGCCTCCACATTAGCCTCGCGGGCGGGTCCCGCCACTGCACGTATGATCTCATCCGGGGTAACTTTGCCTGGTCCGACGAGAAGGGCGAGGTCATCACCAAGGGACCCGAGCTCAGCCTGTACCGCGCGCAGACCCAGAACGACGTGGGCGAGAGCGGCGACGGGCCGATATGGGACCGCTTCCGGCTGCCGAGCGCCAGGATGCAGGTCCGATCCGCGACATGGACCGAGAAGAACGGGGTGGTGCAGATTGTGAGCAAGGTCCGCGTGGCGCCCAAGGTGCTGGAATGGCGGTGCAACGCGACCATGACCTACACCATCACGGGCCAGGCGGTCGAGATCGCCACCGAGGGCGACTTTTCGGGCACGTGCCCGGAGCTGATCCCGCGCATCGGGCTGACCATGTCGCTGCCCAAGACGTACGACCAGGCCGAGTGGTTCGGACGCGGCGCGGGCGAGTCGTACCGCGACAAGAAGGCGGCGTCGCGGTTCGGCCACTGGAAGGCGACGGTGGACGAGCTGCACACCCCATACGAGTGGCCGCAGGAGAACGGCAACCGGACGGACACGCGCTGGGTGCGTGTGGGTGCCTCGGCGCCGGGCGGTGGCACGCCGCTCCTGGTCGAGCTGGGCGAGCCGTTTGACTTTTCGCTGCGGAAGCACAGCCTGGAGGACCTGGACAAGTGCAAGCACCCGCACGAGCTCACGCCGCTGGACGAGACGGTGCTGAACCTGGACCACGTCCAGCATGGCATTGGCACGGGCAGCTGTGGCCCTGCGCCGTGGGAGCACAACAGACTGAGGCCGGGGCCGTTCAAGTTCACCTCCCGGTTCCAGCTGGGGTAGACTAGGCTAGGATGTGATGAGAGAAATAGTGTCATGAATTCACGTTGCCCCATCGACGAGTGCAGGCCTGGGCTTCCCATGTGACCAGTACATCCATGACCGACCACTCGTCCACGGACACTGCACGTCAATCAGCGCAGTTGATTTGATCTGATTTGATTTGATTCCCTCAGCACTGCCGCGTTACGCGCGGTGGCTCATGCGCCAACTTGGCATATGCATTCCCAAAGCAGCCGAGTCGTGTCTCGCGATTGGTCCCGCTCGGGACTCTGCTCGCACCCCGTCCGAGTCAACCACCACATTCAACGTGGCGCTGACGAGTCAGGACTCAGGATCGCCCTGACATTTGCAGGGAAGCCTTGCTGACAGCTGTAGTCTATCTATGCGCTCGGGAACCGGCGTCCTTCCTCGCACAGCCACAACCTTGGAGACGAACTCGACCTGATTGATGCCCGCAGATACAGAGTAGGGCTGGCTATTCGCCTACACCCGCTCCAAGGTCTTCTCCCTCGCCCTCCAAGGCCTCCCCGCCGTGGAGATCGCCTCTACACTACCACACGCACAACGTCACGTCGCGGCGCCTTTGACGCCCAGACAGACGAGGCCACGCAGGCGCTGGCCGACTGGCTCACTGGCTTTTCTGGATCGACGGGCAGTGCGACGAGTGGTTTAGTGCGGACCGCGCCGTGTACAATTATCTGGGCCTCTCTGGCTTTGCCATGGTCGAGGATGTCGTCGAGGGCGAGGTGCCGTCTCGCGTTCTTGCTAGGGGGAATCCGACTGTGTTGGTGCTCACTTTGCTGTTGGCTGCTTGCTCGCTGTAGGGAAACTGATGTATGATGCCAATATCTTATCGACGATTATACCACCAATGACTATACAACATGCCTGCTGACCCAGCACCAAACTCCCAGAACCGTGCCATCTGTCTGTGCATGCCTACAAAGCCCATGATGCCTCATCTCTGCCTCTCAAAGCCAAAGTTCCACACCTCTACCCTCTTCCCTCGATCGGAGGATTCAAGCATCCCCACATGCTGCAGCACACTCGGGTCCAACGCCCACTTGGCCAGGCCCCTCTCGTCGCCAAAGACATCGATCACCATGTCCGCCGGGAAACGATACGGCGGCTCGCGGAGCACCCCTTGCAGGCCCTCGAGGTGTCGGAGCGGGAACACGAGTCCCTGGGCGCAGCAGCCGTACTGGGGCATCTCGCGTACCTGAGGCGGTGTCATGATCCGGTGCAGCGTGACGCGCCCGGTCAAGAAGACGAGCACAGTGGCCGCCGGCGCCCAGAGCCCAAGAATCAGAGCGGCTGCGTGGCCGAAGCTGTGAGGCACCGGGGAGCCAATGCCCAGCTTCGAGTGCCAACTAGGCCGCCGCCGGAACGCCCACGCGAGCATCACCAACGCGGCCAGTAGGCCATATGCGGTACCAATCTGTTTCAGGTACTCGGGCACCTCTTCGCTGTTCCAGCCCATCAGCATCTCGGAGTAAAACAGGCGTAGGTACAGCCAATCCTGCTTGCTCTCCTCAGAACGCTGCTCGACCTCGTCTATGCCATTCATCGCACGCTGGTACCAGTCCCTCGAGGCAATCACGTCGTCCTGCATGAGGGCAAAGTAGGGTGAGCCATGCTGTCTACATGCCTCGATCAGCACAGAATGATCCAGCTGAATTGTCTCGCCTCGGGTCCATCCTCTGCCCTTCCTGCGCACGTCGTACGGTATGACGCGATACGCCGAGTCCGGCTCATGCTTGCCGTGCGCGTCCTTGTCGTCGTGATTCTCGTAGACCATGACGTCGTCGGCCAAATGCGTCAGCCACGGCTCCCCATAGGCAGGGTGCGTCCTCGGGCTCCTGTCCGCAAGCAAGACGACAATGTGTATGTTGCCTCGCTCCTTTGCCGACAGGTTGTCGCTCAGCGTCCCGAGCGTGTGGAGCAGAGGCGTCGAGTGGGGACGGTGCACGCTGGGGATGCCCACGCAGAGCCGCTCGGTCTCGTGCGCCAGGCTGGCCTCGCTGGACACGCGCGAGGCGAGGAGGCGCTCGATAAAGACGGTCGCCTCTGACTGGCGAACAAGCGAGTGGGCGCGCCTGAACGCTCGCTTTGGGCTGAAGAAGGGCGAGGATGGGTCGTCGGCAGAGTTGAACCAGCACCACATGGCAAAGGAGAGCCATAGGATCCAGAAGGTGTTGTTGGCTCGTGAGAGACGCATCTTGAGCGCTGGTTGAGGGGGCTGACAAGTGTGATCCGGTCTGGTGATTGAGCTTGGTCCAAGACAGGAGCGGGTGATCTTGTCGCGGGCGACAAGAGTGAGTGACTGATTGCACGGTCTTGGGTTAATGATCGAGAAGGCGGCTGGACAGGAGGACCTGAACTGGACTCGACGTAAGTTCCCGTTTGCAGTTGTCGTGTGGGACGCGCAGCTGCTCGTTCCGCGCGACAATGCCCGTGTCACGACACGGCGAAGAAAGGCTGGAAGGAAGCAAGGAATCAAGGAAATCGTAAGTTGAGCGATTGAGCTAGTGGCTGCCGCATGTGAAGGAGCGATTACGCGGCAGTTGCTGCTTGTCGACGTTGGCGAAAATATTGCTGTAGATGTGGGCAAGAAAGAGAGACTGGACCTGCCAAGGAAACATTCGATTCCATCGCTAGAGGACGACGAGAAGCCAAGGACTGAAGCTGCAGGAACCGGCGCCGATTGAAAAGCTTGTCTACAGGTTCTTGTATTACAACATTAATACAACTTACGCAAGCTTGTTGGGTGCCGGCCCCCCTGGATCCGCAGAGATCGACGCGCCATTCGACGTCTTGGGTTTGAGGCTGTGGCACCATCGGGGGCCGGCGGCAGCTGAGTGGCTGGCGGACTGGGTAAAACACAGTCTGGAATCGCGGTAATATGGACGGATTGCGCGCAAGCCATTGATGCGATCCGGTGCATGTCGAACGGTCGATGGCGAGGCAGTCAATCAAGTGATCGAAAAATGATGCGTGTTTGAATCCATGTGGTCGTGTGTTCTGGCCTACCCTAGAGCGGGGCTAATTGGTGAGCACCCGGATGCGCATGGAAGATACCATACGGAGTACCTATGTAAGCGCAGAATTTTTAAACTCATATATCAGCCAATCAAACTCTTCACGCCGCCGTAGCCTCATGACCATGTCGCCGTAAGCGAGCACGTGACATGTGCATCCTCACCGCCGTACGCAAAGGCAGTCCTATAGGCGCATAGCAGCCGTGTACGTGTAAGTGACACACACGGATCTGATTGGCTGATGAACTACTTTATGGGGCGCAGCTTAATAGATCTTGTATGCGCGCCTCCACGTGTTCGTGGAGTCGGGCCTACTCTGAGGTTGGAGCTGGCATCGCGGACTCGCCAAGGAAAACCCCACGGGCAGCCAAGCTTCCCTGCTTGTCTGCTGTGATTTCTTCACGTCAGGAGCAGGGTTTCGTCCTACCATGTCTGAAGGGTTGCGACACGAAGTTTAGCAATTTGTCACAGGTCGCTCGCTGAGAACCAAAAGTCTCCAATTTCTCCTCAACTTCCCCGTGGGGTTGGAGCGTGATCACTAGTATTATTCATGCCACAAGTTCCTCAGCCAAGGCCAATCGGTAAAGTATTCCAAAATGAGAGGGCAGACTAGATGTTGCGCCATTTCGCGGGGCGCGCCATGCTGAATAACCCGGGGTAATCCTAGTCTGCTTCACCCACTGGTCCAGTGAGAGCAGAGTCTCGAGAGAGACAAGGAGAAGGGCCGACAGCGCCCACTTCTACCTATCGAAGTCCACCTACCGTCCGGGGAAACATGAATCGTGACGATGAATAATGTAGGAGCTCGACAGATGCGTGTTTCCCCAGATGCCAGGAAGATGTCGGGGCAGCCCCCCCCGGGCTACCTGTCTATATAAGACACCGCGATGGCCTCAACGACAGCTGAAGCGTGGAGCGACAGTGACAGCAAACATGCAGATGCTACCTAAACGTATCCTCGCCCTCACCGCCGCCCTTCAGGCCACGGCGGCCCTGGGCTCGCCCACAGGCAAATGCCCCTTGGCCGTCACGCTCGAGGACTACGGCACCTTCACCAGCACCATCATCTCGGAGACGCTGAGTGAGAACCCGCTGCCCAAACCTGTCGATGCGTGGCTGGGCATCGACTATGCCACCCAGCCCACAGGAAACCGTCGCTTTCGCCCCGTCACCCCGCCCGTTGCCTTTGATGGCATCAAGGCGGCCAACACGTATGGCAAGATCTGCGTCCAGCCTACCCAACTGGTCGACCTCGCGCTCCAAGACGAGGCCTGCCTGAACTTCAACGTCTACCGCACACAGGGGGTTCCCCTGGGCGAGAAGCTGCCTGTCCTCGTCTGGATCCATGGCGGCTCCTTCAACACTGGCAGCTACAAGAGCTTTGACGGCGCCGCGTTTGCCGCGGCCTCGGAGCAGCCCATTGTCGTGGTCAACTTCCACTACCGCCTCAACGCGCTCGGCTTCCTGTCCTCGGCGCTCATGGAAGAGGAGGACCTGCTGAACCCGGGCTTGATGGACCAGCACCTCTTTTTGCAATTCGTACAGAAGCACATTGGCGCCTTTGGAGGCGATCCTGACAGGGTCACCCTGGGGGGACGCTCGGCAGGGGCGCACGCCACGGGCCTCCACTACTTCCACAACTATGCCATCGGGGACGGCGACGACGATGACGAGCGCGCCTCTCCCAACAAGCCTCTGTTTGCCGGGGCGATCCACCTGTCCGGCTCCGTCACCGCGCGCGCATTGCCCAATGCGACATATCCCCTGTACGAGCAGCAGATGGACGAGTTCATGTCACGCCTCGGCTGTTCTCACGGGTCGGACGTGCCCAACCAAGAGTCTCTTGCCTGTCTGCGGGACGCCGACATTGACGACATTCGCGCGATCGGCTTCGCCCTCTTCCTCAAGCACAACGCCGCTCTGACCTGGCCTTTCCAGCCAGCCCAGGGCGGGTTCCTCATCGAAAAGTTCGGCTCCCAGTCCGGCTATGATGGCACATTCTTCCACGTGCCCACCATCACCACGACGACCACAAACGAGGGCAGGGCCTTTACGCCCGGCAACCTGGAGACGAACGAGGAATGGCTCGATTATCTGCACAACATCTCGCCCGACCTCACGGACGATGACCTTGCGCTCCTCGAGGATCTGTACCCCGATCCCGTCACCGAACCCGACTCGCCTTACGCCCACTCGCCCCTCAGCACCCAGTACGAACGCATCTCCGCCGCGTGGTCGGACTACGCCTACCTGTGCCCCAGCCAGGAAACCGCCCAAGTCGTGTCCCGCGCGGGCGTCCCCGTCTACAAGCTCCGCTTCAACACGAACCAGACGTTCCCCGCCTGGCAGGGCATCCCCCACTCGGCGGACACCATGTACACCTGGGACGACCCCGAGGTGCAGCACCCGGAGATCGGCGAGATGTACCACGCGTACCTCGCGAGCTTTGTCGCGAGCGGTGATCCCAACACGCACCGCCGGAAGGGGACGCCCAAGTGGCCCTTGTACGAACCGCAGCAGGGCGGGAACAAGATGCCCAAGCAGCTGGTCGTGCAGCCGGGCAACACCAAGGTGGAGAGGGACGACGTGAGGACGAACGCTTGTCAATTCTGGCGGGATCCCGCGCGGCAGTCCAGGCTGAATAAATGAACGCTCATCATGTCTTGTCGTTATAGGGTACACGTAGTAGAGAGTAGTACATATTCCAGAGTACAGAAACTGCCTACCTGGCCTCCAGCTCGCCTGTAGAAAACCACTCGACCCGGATCCTCGACTCCCCGACGCCTTGCTCGAGAAGGAAATGCCGAACACTGGCCGCAAAGGCATCGGGGCCGCAGATGAAATACTCGGCCGCACCATGGTCCAGGCCGAGGACACTCCGGTCCACCCTCTCCATCTCCGACCGCATACTCTCGCAGACGCTGTCCCACGCAGGACTGCGCGCGTCCCGCTGCTCCTGGTCAGCCAGGACGCTCCGCCAGAACCGCGAGTGGAAATTCTTGTGTCGCCTCCCCACCGTGCGTATGTGTTCCTCAAAGAGCGGTTTCCTCCGCGAGCTGTGGATCCACGAGATCTGCTGCTGCACATCCGGCGCCTCGAGGACAGTGTTGAGTATACTCATCAGCGGCGTCGCGCCCACGCCGGCGGACAGGAACACCAGGGGACCCATGCCACCCGCTGCGCTCGAGTCGAAGCCGAACCCGCCGGCCGGGTGGGATACGGACAGCGTGTCGCCGATGTTGTAGTCGCTGATCAGGAGATTCGACACCAGTCCGGGCTTGAGATGGGCAGCGTCAATGTCCCTCCCGTTGGCGCCGCTCGGCACGCCTCGGTCTCGCTTGACGCTGATCCGGTAGTAGTCCTCTCTGGGCGACTCGGAGAGGGAGTACTGTCTGGTCTGGAGGTATCCGATCTCGGGCACGTCGATCCGCACGCCGATGTACTGGCCCGGCGTGAAGAGGGGGAGGGGCGTCTTGTCCACAGGCCACAGGTAGAAGGAGTAGATGTCGTCGGCCTCGGCCACCTTGTCCTCGATGCGGAAGAGGCGCTGGCCCGTCCACTTGCCGAACTGACGGTAGAGCTGCTCCTCGCGCCCGATCAGCATGCGTGCGAGGAGTGAGTAGGCCTTCTCCCATGCCTCTCGCAGCTCGGTCGTGTATCGGTCCCCGAGGATCTCGCCAAAGGACCGGAGGAGGTACTTGCCGAGGAGGTCGTACTGGTCAGGCGTGATGCCCAGCGAGCAGTGTTTCTGACACACGCGCTCCAGGCGGGGGATGAGCTCGGCCGTGTGGTTCGGCGCCGCGGCAAAGGCGAGGATGATGTTGAGAAGAGCGCGGGGCTGACGACCGGTGGCCTGGTTTGCCGAGTTGAAGATGTTGTGGAGTTCGGGGTGGGCGCTTAGGAGAGAGGCGTAGAAGCTCGACGTGATGGTCTCGCCCTGCGACCGGAGCATGGGCAAGGAGCCCCTGATCAGCGTCGACTGCCTGTACGTGAGAGACATTGTGCATGTAGGATCCGTGGCCCAGGGATCATGACGAGCATGGTATATGTAGGCGAGCGCCGGGAGTGCTGACTGCGGTACCCGCACGTAGGTATTGGAAATATTCTTCTCCTCACGGGCCGGCCACGAGGATGTCGACAAGGGTGCCCTTTCCCGTGCCGCGTGGCTTGCCCTACTTGTCACGCCCCACGACCAAATCATACGATTATGCGCCAGGGACCCGACTAGACGACGACCCTAGGACGGCAGCGAAAAGGCTTTTCTGGCCGGCCCGCTTCGCTGACAGCGAAAATAGAGTTCAGGGACCACCGCTGACGTGAAAGAAAAAGTTTTCTCGAGCGGCCGGAACTCTCCGCACGACACTCAGCCGCTCGGGCGCAAATCAGGCCACTTTGACCAGGGGGACCATGCATATGCACTGGTCCCTCTCGGCGCAGATGCGCGCTCCAGAAAATAAGTCAACACCGGACACCGGTAGGTTGTCGGTGTGCTCCGTACGTAGTATTAATCAGTGATTCGACACATCACACGACGTAGCCAAGATTCTCCCGCTCATCATCCACAACCCGTCCCCACTCTAGCAGCAAGCGAAACATGTATATCTGCATGTCCTCCGCCCGCAGAGCCTTGCTGGCCCACGCCTTGCCGTTCATCGCAATCTTCTGCGCAATCTCGTCGCCCGTATGCTTCGACTGGTCGTGTCGCTCGCTGCTGCCGAGGTAGCGCAGCACCGACCAGAACCCATTTCCAAGCCGCACGTCGACGGGGATGTAGTGATGCCACTCCCGCAGGCGCTCGTCATACCACGTCTTGAAGAGCGCGGCCCGGTACACGACGCTCCGGGACTGGAGAAAGGGCAGGAATCGCCCGCTGAACCCGGCGCCGTCCACGTCGATGAGGTGACGGTAGTGCCAGTGCTCGTCAAACGCCGTGACGGGCGGCAGAGGCCAGTCTGCCTCGGGCTGGTAGTCCTCTGTCAGCGTCGCTCTGCCCCAGTGTGTAAACGTGGCGAGCTGCGCCCGGTAGTCCGCCGCGTGGCATTTCTCGATCCGCCCAGCATAGGACACGTTGACGCCGACGGACTGGTCCAACATTGGACCAAGGTCCAACATTGGACCTCGCTGAAAGCCCTCATTGACCAGGCGTGCTCTCACAAATCCGGTCCAGGTGCCGTCCCAGGCGTACCCGTCCGAAGGCGTGCCCCGCCAGAACAAGGCGTTTTGCTTGTCTTCCCACGCGAGATCCTCCGCCTCCTCGTACTCCGACTTTAGATTGAAGTTCCAGGGTGACGGGAACAGTATATCGGAGAATCCACCAACACGCGACTGGCTGAAAATGGGCAGCAGCTTCTTGGTCGTCACGGCGGTGGGCGCCAAGATGAAGCCATCCAGGTACGCAAGATCTGGCTGATAGCACAGATTGTTGGCCATCCCCGGATGCGCCATGACAGCGCCTTCGTCGGTCAGGATGGAGTGCGGCGCCGCGCATTGGATGCAAGCTGTGCTTCTATCCCACCATCTGCGGTCTCGCGCTGGAGAGCCCGCAGGGCACGTTGGCGCCACCCACTCGTAGTAGAGCGGCTTTCGAAGGTTGCTCGAGAAGTCTGGTGGGATGTCTGATGATTCGTAAAAGTCCCCGTGCACGTCTGCCCAGTCCTGCGGCCACCTCTCCCTCTTTTGTGGCCACCGGCGCGACACGACGTTCCCGTCCGTGCTCTTCTGCGCGGCCGTTTTCCGCGTAGCAGTCGCCTTCTCCAACAGGACTGCCTTGTCCTCAAACGGGACTGTCATGCGACACTCGTCACCCAAGTTGATGGCAAGGTCCATGTCCGGCAGCCACTGCGCAAAGGGGGCGATCATCCTCTCGAGAGACTCGGCCATCCAACGATGCGTGCCCGGGACGTGGGGTGACTGCTGGAGGTTGCCGTCGCGGATGCGGAGACCACCCATCTCGAGACTTGAGTAGCCGAGGATATGCCCCGTCTGCGCTCTGATCTCCGCAGGCTCGACACCCCAGAATGGAAGCAGGTCCTGATGGATCTGGTCAAAGCTGTCAATGATGGGCGAATGGTGTTTGGTGGCAAACTCGTGCCATTTGTCGAAGTTGGGCGGTGGTGCAATGCCATAACGCTTCCGGTACTCCGTCACGGCATCCTTGAGACTCTTGCTGGCGGCAGCCTTTTCCGCCCACTGATGGGCATCCATCTCGGCGACCTGGAACAGCTTGTTGATGGCCGATGGCAAAGCCATGCCGACGCCATGCGGTGGCAGTAGGAAGGCCCAGATGGCGCAGATGCCGACAATGCACAAGAAGCCCAGCCTCGTGACATGGTGTAGCACTGCCGTTGTGGAAGCCCGGACCTTCCCGTCGTTGGGCTTGGTGAGAAGGACAAACAGTGTCGTCAAGAGAGCGGCAGCTAGTGATGACCCAAGAACCAAGTTGGGTGACATGGGCGCTAGGAGCGGACCGGCCCCAAGGTTTGGTATTCTAAACCCAAACAGACCCAGGGAGGCGATGATGAACGCCAAAGTAGACGCCTCCAGGTACGCCATCAAGGCTAGCGCACAAAGGACGACCGAGACGGCAACGCTTGAATCCAGAAGTAAATCTCGGACGTCGACAGCGTTGAGTCGTAGAGTCCAGTACAAGCTCATTTCGATGAGTATTGGGGAGAACGCCACGACGGTAGAGCCCACAGCTGCCATCATAAAGAGCGTGCTAAGGAATTTGGAGGTATCGCGCCTGCCCTCAACTTCGTATCGACGCAGCCGCGAGACCTGAGCCAGGATCACAGCGTCCAGCAAGCACATGGTCATCTGGAGAAACGGCGTCAAGGGCCACACGCGCCAACCCACTGGGCACACTGCCCCTGTGCGGATATGCAAGCTCCCGAGTGCCCACATGGCGCAGAGCGCCCACGCGAACGCCACGATAGTGTAGACGACTCGTTTCGACTTTCGAGGCACAGGGCTGCGGTCGAGAGACAGGTTGGCACCCCTAAGGCGATCGGTCGCGTATGTGATGATCTGGCTGGCAGCCAGCGTCGCAAAGGGCAAGAATGCCTGCAGATGTTAGCGCATTGTCCACAATGAGGATGTTTCATGGAGCGCCCACCTCTATCCCAATCCAGCCGCATTGTGCTTTGCGCAAGGTGTACCAGAAGAGTATCGTGCGTGTGACGAGACAGACGAGCAGTGTCCGAAACAGCACATGTAGGCGCGTCCACGTATCGTAAACGCGCGCAGCCACTCTGAGAAGTCCCTTTTGCTCAACGCGCAGCGCCGGTTTCTGGGTGACTCGTGCGACCTCGAGAGGCGGTCCGTGACTGGTGCTCCATTGCGCTCGACATTGAAGAATGACACTGCAGGCGAGTAGCGTGATGACCGTGAAGAAGACAGGTCGCTCTGCCATCCGTCAGCAATGGTTTCGGGGCAGCATGCCGAGAAAGGAGGAGCGCACCGAAAGACGCGCTTATGTAGAATCGCGAAGACAACCGCCAGCTGCCCAGCGCCAAGCCCCTGGGACATGGTCAGTACGAGCATAGGGCATCGAGGCAATCGGGCGGCGGACGTACAGCAATGACAGAAGACTGAATGCTTGCCGGCTATCTGTGATACGCATTTCGACGCATTGGACGCGTCGTTCAACCGGCAGTGGGCAATGAAGGGGCTGGGTACATGTATGTGGTGAGGTGATCAAGTCAATGCTTGGTCCCAGGTGACTGACATTTGGGGGCGTGGCCGCGTCTCCGTTTGCCGCCTCATGTGCTGACATAATCATGCGAACACTCCTTCCCTAATAGTGAGACCTACTCTCGACTCGAGTTCGAAATAGTCTGAAAAAAAGACAGTGGGATTTCATTTCATGGTACTCCATCACCAACGCCTCAATGTTGACGTCCACGTCTAGTCCGTAGTCGTGGCGCATTAAACTCATCTGCTAAGCAGGCGGTCAATTCGAAATTTGCTACTGCTCACCCTATACATCTCTGCTAGACTAGCGGAAGCCAAATTGCGTCCGCGACTCCATTCACCAGGAGCTCCCCACTGTCCACCGGGCACCCCGAGGCTCAACCCAACTACAAGGTGTATTTGAAAAGAGGGCTCTTGTCGCCCATCTTCATCAGATCCCGATCGCTGTACTGCTCCCGAATCTCACTCTCGCTGAGCTTGGCCCGTTTCGCGTTGCCCCATTTGTAGCTCAGCTCGAGCAGGACCGCGACCAGCATGCCACTGGCACCAAAGGCCAACGAGAGACCAAAGCCGGTCTCGTAGGTGGGCGCCTCGCGGTCAAGGTACATGTAGCTGCCGATGATGCCACCAATGTTGCCCACGCAGATGTTGAAGGCCACGCCAATGGCACGACGCGAGGACGGGGCGAGGTTGTTGGCCGCCCATGACGAACCGGCTGGCTGCACTGGGTAAATTCCCATGCACGAGAGGACGAGGGCGAAATATCCCGGCCCGATGTGGCTCCCCGCCAGATCCCCCTGGAAGGACATGATGACCGCATAGCCAATAGTGATCAGGCCGAGAGGCATGACGACAAAGGGCATGCGCCAGTGGAAGTGGTCGGACAGACGCGCAAAGAAGATGGAGGATGCGGCACCGGCAACGTACGCAGGGGCGGTCATGAGCTGGGCGTTTGTGTTGGTGAAGCCCATTCCCTTGACAATGGACGGCAGCGTGAACTTGGTGCCGTACGAGCACGCCGAGATGCACATGAGGATGTACGCCTGCATGTACAGGCGCCAGTTGGTCACGACCATCTTGAGATCGTGCCAGTTGAACTTCTTGTCGTCGTGCTCGTCGGCAAACCGGCCACCTTGCTTGATAAAGTGCTGCAGCTCGAGGAAGCGGATCTCCTCAGGGCGGAGCCAGCGAGAGGAGAGCGTGGGCGAGTCGATGAGGAAGAAGAAGCAGCTGACGCCGAGCACAACGGTCACGATGCCCTCGAGGATAAAAATCCACCGCCAGCCCTCGTAGCCACCGACGCCGTCCATCTGGGCAATGCCGGCGGCAAGCAGACCGGAGAAGGCACCGGACAGCGCAGACGTGCAGTAAAAGTACGCGATGCGAGTCGCCAGCTGCCGGGGCATGTACCAGAAGGTGCAGAGATACACGGCACCCGGGTAGAACCCGGCCTCGAAGACACCGAGCAGCATGCGAACAGCCAAGAGACCACCAAAGTTCTGTACCACGCCGTGCAGGGTCATGATGATACCCCACATCGTGACGAGGATGCCGAGATAGACGCTCGGGCGCTTGAATCTTTTGAGGAGGATGTTGGAGGGGATCTCGAGCAGGATGTACGGGATGAAGAACAGTGACAGGACAATGTTGTACTGGATATCGTCGAGCTTGAGGTCGGTGGCTAGGCCCTCAATCTTGGCGTTTCCAATGTTGGCACGGTCAAGGTGTGAAATGAGGTACAGGATTGCCAGCATGGGCACCAGGCGGATGTCGACCTGCATGCATTGTGTCAGTCCCAGCCGGCCATGATGAGCTCGTCACGCGCGGGAATGGCTTACCTTTCGAGTGATCGACTTGCGCTGTTTCTCCGTGTGGCTGTTGTAGAAGTCTGCATCTTCGTCGCTCAGGCCGAGGACTCGGATGTTGTCAATCGTGTGGATTGCTGTGGCCTTTTCGTGGTCGGCAGCGTCCCGCTCGAGGGAGCGGTTGTCCACCTCGACGATATCTGGTTTATCGGACGCCATGGTGACCGGTGTTTGCGTGTGCGAATCACGAGATGTTGTGACGGCTACAAGGAGCTCTTATGGAAAGTGTTCGTCGAACGGGGCCTGATGGCTTGTCCTGGACTTCTGAAGAGACTTGTCCTTTCAGGCTTGAGCTGGTTGCAGGAAGCATGCGCAAAGCCACTTGTGCTATCGAGAAGACTTGGATTTGATGGAAGGATAAGACAGTGGACATCGACCTGTCTTTATGTTGTACGGCCACAGGTCTGGTGTCTGCCGAAAGGAGGCTGCCCCAACCGCAGCGTTGTTACGATTCGACGGAACAAAGCGGAGAAGCGGCACATGGCTCAATGGCGATGGCAATGCGGCATCTGCTGAGGAGTTCGATGAAGAGCCAGCACTGAAGGAGCCATGCCGGGAGGAGAAGATGACAGAACAGGACGGACGGATATTCACAGCCACGCCGCGGAGCACGAGTCAACAAGCGTGTCCTTGTGGCTTCCGGGGTAGGATCGGTCAATGGCCGGGGTCTCCATAGACTTAGCCTGCCGACGGCATGTCGCTCTGGGGATAGCGTTCGTAGGCCACCCTGGTGTATGGGGAACCTGGGGATGAGAAGAAGCGAACTAGAGCACGGGCTAGAAACGCAAAGTTTGTTGGTGTGGACGGATATCGGACGTTGTACGTAGCATGGAGATGATGCGGGGTTCCGCCGTCCACTGGAAACATGTCGGAAAAGTATCCGTCATGTCTCCATACAGCACTCGGGTGCGTCCGCCCGCCCAGAACTGTAGAACTGTTGGAGGTTTATCCGTCAGAGATCGACTGACCATGCCCATGCGGCATGCATGCTCCGGTATGCGCGCGTTGCGGCTTCGGTACAATCAGCACATTCAGACCACGCGGCCGTCCAGTTGGCCATGTCCTCATAATCGAAAGCTATCCTCGCTGATGGCAGTGTCTTGAGACGAAGCACGCCATCCTTCATCGACACATACACAGAGGTCGAAGTCAACATGCCCACCGCAGTCTACGCCCCAAGTCCAACCCGTCGAGAGGATGCCGTCCAAGACGACGCCGACAAGCCTCTGCCTCATACAAAGGCGCTACGAGTCGATGCAGATAGCGACGATGACGACTCTTCACTTACCACAATTGACAGTCTCATCCGTCGTCGGGCAAGGCTACATCCCTACGACCATGCGGTCTCGTATCCCTACTATGGCATTGACTTTGTCGACTACAACATGCAGCAACTCGATGTCTTCGCGTGGCGTGTCGCCAAACACTACGAAGCTCGACTCCCGGCCCGGCATTCGTCAGAGGAGAAGCCTACAGTGGTAGGGCTGCTGGGGCCTTCGAATCTCGAGTATCTCATCACCATGCTCGCATTGACAAAACTAGGCCACACAGTCCTACTGCTGTCGACGAGGATATCGCAGGCTGCTATTGAGTCCCTGCTGACCACCACTGGAGCTAGCGCCCTGGTAGCCGAGGCGAGGCACCAGGACATGGCAAATCTGGTGCGCCAGAGCATGCCAGGCGTACAGATCTGTGAGATTGCCGCCCGGAGTGTCTTTGAGTTCCCAATCGATGTCATAGGCGACACTCGCCTGGACGCCCATCTTGATCCCCAGGTGGAAGTGAACAACATCGCTTGGATCATCCACTCGAGCGGATCGACCGGGCTGCCCAAGCCCATCTACCAGACCCAGAAGTCATGCATGCCCAACTACGCCATGAGCATGCGCATGAAGGCGTTTATCACCCTGCCTCTGTTCCACAACCACGGCATCTGCAACTTGTTCCGCGCCGTGTATGCGCGCCGGTCGCTGCACATGTACAATGCCGACCTGCCCCTCACGCAGGACTATCTGATCAAGATCATGCGCCAGCACAAGTTCGAAATCTTCTACGGCGTACCTTATGCCCTGAAGCTACTCGCAGAGACCGAAGAGGGCATCCGTCTCCTGCAAGAGCTCAAGATCGTAATGTACGGCGGCTCCGCCTGCCCCGACGAACTGGGCAATACCTTGGTGCGCAGCGGTGTGAACCTGGTCGGCCATTACGGTGCCACCGAGGTCGGCCAGCTCATGACTTCTTTCCGGCCCCCTGGCGACACAGAATGGAACTATGTCCGCGAACACGATCGGCTGACGCCGTATCTTCGGTGGGTGCCTCGCGGTCCCAATTTGTACGAGTGCGTCGTCACAGACGGCTGGCCCGCCAAGGTCCAGTCGAACCAGCCTGATGGATCCTACGCGACCAAGGATCTTTTCGAGCCTCACCCGACCATTCCTCGAGCCTGGAAATACATTGCGCGTCTTGATGATACGCTTGTTCTGAGCAATGGTGAAAAGTTTGGTCCCGTGGGCATGGAAGGCCAAATTCGCTCACACAAGAACGTCGCTGAAGCCGTGGTTTTTGGCGCAGGCAGGCCATACCTCGGTGTCCTGGTGGTACCGGCGGCCCACCTGACTGGAAAGTCGCAGGAAGATATTTTAGACGCCATTTGGCCTGTCGTCAACACCGCGAACAAGAATGTCGATGCGTTTGCGCGCATATCCAAGAGTATGGTTCACATACTCCCCGCGGAGTGCGTTTACCCACGGACCGACAAGGGCAGCATCATTCGCCAAGCCTTCTACAAAGCTTTCCAGGATCAGATGGAACAGACATATGATGCGCAGGACGTTGGCTCGGGCGAGCTACAGGCGTTCGAGCTGCCGGAGCTTGCCGCCTACATCAGACAGCTGCTCGAGAGCACGGTCTCCTCGCAGAGCGAAGTTGAGAACGACACAGACTTCTTTCTTCTAGGCCTCGACTCCTTGCAAGCAATTCAGATGCGCAGTGATATACTCAAGACGGTGGACCTTGGCGGCCAAAAACTTGGGCAGAACGTCGTCTTTGAACACCCATCCATCGAAAAGCTTAGTCGCTTCTTGTATGGCTTGCGCAACGGCACTGATTCGACCACTGCAGACGTCGAGACCGAGATGCAAGTCATGATTGACAAGTATGGCAATTTCAGGTGTGAGGCGGCCACTTCTGTCGTTGTCACCGGTGCAACTGGCTCGCTCGGTGCACACGTGGTCGCCCAGCTCTCCGCCAACCCCGACATTCACACAATCTACTGCCTCGTGCGCTCTACTGGTAATGCGAGCCAAGCTCTCGCCCGGGTCAAGGAGTCCATGCTTCAGCGGAAGGTGTACCATGCTCTGCCCCTCTCCTCCCGTCGTAAGATCGTGGCACTCTCCTCTGATCTGTCTGATGCACAGCTGGGCTTGGCTCCCGACGTCTATGATGCCGTGGGCCGAAACCTCCGCGCGGTGATCCATTGCGCCTGGTCCGTCAACTTCAACATGCAGCTCACAAGCTTCGAGAAGGGCAACATTGCAGGCGTCAACCATCTGCTCGCCCTCTGCAAGTCCTCGCCAACCCGCGCTTCCATGAACTTCTGCTCCTCCGTCAGTACGTGTGCGCGCTCGACAGTGACCCCTATACCAGAGACCCTACCAATTCTGGAGTGGGCGCAAGGCATGGGATACGCGCAGTCCAAGTCTGTCGCGGAGCACGTCTGCGCTCGTGCAGCGGCGCAGGGCATCACGTCTCGTGTGCTTCGCGTCGGTCAGATTGCCGGCGACACTCAACACGGCGTATGGAACGCTCAAGAAGCCATCCCGATGATGATGCAGACCGCTGTCACTATTGGTGCTTTGCCAAAACTGCCAGAGACGCCGTCGTGGACCCCTGTTGACGTTGTCGCCGCCGCCATTGCTGACATATCTCTCTCCGAGTCGGGCAGCGGATTTACAAATGTGACGCACCCCAAGACATTTAGCTTTGTGGATGACCTTCTTCCGGCACTCCGCTCAGCTGGTCTTGATTTTGAGGAAGTAGAGCCAAAGGAGTGGGTGCGTCGTCTGCGTGCGTCGAACCCTGACCCCAAGGTCAACCCGCCCATCAAGCTCGTTGACTTTTTCGCTTCCAAATACGACAAGGACGAGTTTGCTCCCCCCAAGCCCTTTGCCACGGACAAGGCATGCTCCTTGTCGCCGGCGTTGGCCAACGCGCCCGAGGTGAATGCATCTTTTGTCAAGAAGTTCATTGACTACTTTATGCACAACGCTTGGCAGCGCAGTGGCCCCGTCGAGCGGAGGACGGCCTTCTTCATGGCTGGCCCTTGCGGCACGGGCAAGACGACCACAGGTACAGCGATTGCCCAGTGGCTTGGCGTGCCGTTTGCGGAGGGTGACGCGATACACACGCGCGCCGCGGTGGAGAAGATGCGATCCGACACGCCGCTGTCCGACGAGGACAGGGCCGAGTGGCTGAGACGCATCAGTGCGCGGGCCGTGGAGACCATTGACGAGCTTGGCTATGCCTCCGTGGTGGTGAGTTGCTCGGCGCTTCGCGTCGCGTATCGGGCGGAGATCCGGGATCGCCTCTCGCAACGGGGTATCGACAGCGTGTTTGTGGATCTTCAGGCAGGGCGCGAAGTGTTGATCGAGAGGCTCCAAGCCCGCAAGGGGCATTACATGAGTGCGAAGATGGTCGAAGGTCAGCTTGAAGTGTATGAGGGCGCATTGCCTGAGGAGACGGATGTCATGCCCGTTGATGCTGAGAAGGGAGAGGATGAGGTAGCAGAGGAGGTGAAGTGGCTGTTGCGCAAGGCAGGATTCGCTTGAGCTGCCTGAGCATTGATTGGTGAATCCGTGGAATCCACGTATCAGGTACCTTGATTTTAACACCCTTAGCTATCAGAACGACATCTAGAATTCTGAGAATCTGTCTGACTCTGCCCGCGCGAGCGTCCTTTACATTAGATTCATGAATTGATCTACTAGATCGTCCACAAAATAGGACTGTCTAAACTTTGTGAGGACTTTCGAGTACTTCCGGTGCGCGAGTGTCTCAATGGCTCAAGGTCAAAGTGCATCGCAGGATCTGAGCTTCATGTCATCACCTTTTCTGGTTTTCCTTGCAGGTTGAGGATCCTAGCTTGTTGAAATTCCTCTGTCTGATCGCGACAGCCTCGGGATGCCATTGACCGTCGCGTATATGATTCCAAGCTGAACGGTCAACACGTAATGCAGGGAACGGGTACTCGAGCCGCACAATACTTTCCTGGGACTTTTCATTTGAGAGTGTAGATATGCGTTTTGTTTCGGGACAATGCCCAATGGACACCATCTGCCCCGAGAGAGGACATGGATCGAATAATGGGGCAGCGACTGGTCGCCTGGATGTGCCTCCTCGGCGGCAGCCTAACCATGGGCGCCGACACCGACTTTGAAACGGGCATCAACGAGTTTACCTCCATCTTCCCGCGCAACGAGACGTATGCGCCTTCGTATCTCTCCCCATTCGTCTTTGCTTTCCAGAACCCAGCTGCCACTCGGTCAGTGAACTTCAGCATCCGCATCAATTTGATGAAGTGGAATGAGAGCGCCAGCGACTGGGATGTGATCGGTGCAACCGCCGTCGACACGGAAAAGCTGGCCAACGCGTCGGACAGCAAGCCGTTCTTTGCTCACCATGTCTACGGCGATACATTCAACACAGAGGCCTATTGGACATTCTCATGGAATGTGTACTGGCCCTACTGCATTCAAGAGGAGTATCTTCCTCTCTTATTCTCGGGGAAATTCTATATGGAATCGCGTGTATTTTACGACAAAGGAAGGGGCCCAGGACCCTCGAGATAGCCTTGCTGATGGAGACTCACAATGCTTAATGCTGCAGGGCCACGTGTGGAACCTCACAGAAGTTGTCAGCGGATACGATGTCGATCTTTCTGCCTGCGCCTTCTTTTCGAACATGACACCCACTCCACGTCTATGCGAAGCACAGGTTGATTCCGAGCTCGTAGAGAGTATCTATGCCTCGGCTACAGCCAGGGTCTGCCGTTGGGATGATTCGATGATCAAGTGCCCTGCCGACGAGAGTGATGACGAAGATACGGGGGTGAGCATTCGCGGAAGCCTGGCTATAGCATGGACGGCATGCTTGGTTGCTTTTGTCGCTGGCATCGGCCTTTTTTTCCAGTAAAAAATCATCAGTACGAGACACGAATATCAGCACTCCATCTGCTGCTCATTCACAAAGACTACTCGAGACATGTACACACAAAAATGCAGCAAGTATGGGTCTGACAGGGACTAGTTTCAAGACAATGTCAGGCCCGATTCACCACCGGGCCACCGGCGGCACGAATGGCACGCGCGTTTCTCTAAAAAAAGGAAAGTAATAAAGAAGACATACTAGACAGTACTGTCCCCAAGGATCCCAATTGTTGGCGTGTGAGACATTGCAATAGTGCCAGCAATAAAGCTGCCCCTGCAAAGTACTGCTCTTGATCAGACCCTAGAAATCCGATGTTTCTCACCTACACTAGAGGAGCTTGGATACGTGTAGGCACCAAGATACCTTAGCATGGAACGCTGTCGTACCTTAAACATTAGTCCCTAGCTTCTCTTCAGTATTCGTCACAACAACAATATACCGCAAGAGCCCGGAGTGACCATGGCGGATATCGTCTCGCGGAACGAGCAGGACAAAGATGAGTGCACTAACTTGTGCCTCGAATAATACATCCATGTAGGCAGCTGATTGTCTCCCGGAGTATCCTATCAAGTTTGATTGTTCCGTAGACATCAGTCAATGCATTTGATAAAGGTGGATAGATACTAGATACCCCCGAAAAGGAAAAAAGGCATGGAGCTCCAAAGGAACTTCCTGTCATGGACCAAGTCACCAAGGAGTGTCGTTGTAGTTGCACCGCTGATTTTAAAGTGAAATTCCACACGGACCTACTAGTATAAGTGGCTTATAGCCTAATCCCTAGTCCCTGATTAGGGCCCCGTTATAGTTCCGGGTATAGAAATTGAGACAGGTGCGAAAGACATACAACAGCTGGTATACGCTGGTCGTCACCGACCTAACTCCTAAGCAGCCCTCCAGTGCTTTGAACCATGACCACAATACTTCAACATGAAGCTCCTCGCCCTAGCAGCCATCTGCCTCAAGGCTTCGACCGCCCTGGCCGTGCCGACACTCCTTGCTCGCAACGCTCACCGTGACAGTGTAAGCCTGCTAGGAGAAATGTTTGCCGGGGAGGAAAGCGCAGGAGGGAAGCCACTGGGGAACGTGGAGGTTGTCGAGCGCGGTGATACTGTTGAGGTTGTCGAACCACCTGCTGCCGGCGGTGATGAGGATGTCGTTGAGGCTGGCGAGGCTAGCGAGAATGAAGAAGGGGCGTTCGAATACAAAGTCGAGATCGAGGCACTTTTCGGAGACTCTGTAGCACTCGAGAGTGGCGACCTCAAGCAGGGTGACGCCTACCCACGTGAGCCGTCGCCCTTGTAGCTCCCGTTCATTATCAATGATGCTGACTTCTCCCGGTTGAACGGTCTCTTTGAGGCCCAATTCAAAAATGCTGAGGCTCGCTCCCTCGCTATCACGGCCAATCCCGCCCCTACAGCCGCGCCGCTCGGGTTGGAGCACTTTGAGAACGTGATATGGACTGTCGAGCTTGCTGATGGCACTGAGGGCTCCACACTTCAGAAGATTAACTACATGCTGAACGCTGAAGTTACTTGATATGATACTGATCATTTCTTTCACTATCAAAAGCTCTCGTGCTAGCCACTTTGCTGCTGCAGGTACTCTCGATATCAGCCAGGGCCAAATTGGCCGCTGAAGCCAACACCTTCGTCATCGACCCTGCCATTGGCGAGCTGGAGTTCGAGGTGGAGGAGAACGAGTTGGCTCCGAATGAACGGTGAACGGGGCGTGTTTTCCTACATCGCGGCGGGGGGCGAGACTGGGCCAGAGGCCAATGCTGGAGACCCTGGTGACAGCGCGGGAACGGCCTTGCTCGATGATGTGACGGCGTTCTTCAGGGAGGCTGGCGGTGTAGCTTGAGCTTGGCTAGTAAGTGAGACCACCGAGCATCCAAGGATACTGCGCGCGAGGGATGATTGAGGCGAAAGCAAGTCGCCGAGTTTCGAAAACAGTCTTGCTGCGTGCGACTGGGGTGAAGATACGAGGAGCTCAAGTCGATGTAGTAATGATAAATCCCAGAAATGAGCTCGAAGGCCAAGCAGTTCTACAGGCACTCTGTACAGTAATGAATTCGTGGGCACACCAAGGAGTCGCTTAGTCGTGACACCAACGCTGTCAGCATTTCCTCGCCGTCTACATGTATTTGTACGGCAATCAGATCTTATTATAGCCCGGTCTTGATGACGAACGTCTGTTTCGATGCAGAAGCCTCACGCAACTGCATCATCAAGCGGTCACAACCCCGTACCAGATGAGCCCCATCACCGCACCCATGACAATGGCCACAGCTGGCTTTAGACCGAACCACATGCCGCCAACAACGCTCGTTGCCGTCACCACCACCCACCAAGGCTCAACTGCCAGACTTGTTCCGTTTTGATACCCTTCGTCAAGGTATCTATGAAGATGATGATGAACAACAGATCAGAAGAGAAGGAAGATGATGAATTCTCTATCTGAAGAACATGCTGATGCTATGGAAAGAAGGAAGAACGCGATGCCGCGATGATGCCGCCTTTTGAGGGCAGCTGTGGGCCGAATGTGGAGCCTGACCAATCAGGGCAGTGACTGGTCCAACAGTCACTGGGCCTGTCACACAACATCGTCGTCGCTTGTGTCATTTTTAGGCGTCGCTCCGATTACATAACTAGGCGCCACCAGTCATATGCCGCGAGTTGGTTGCATACCAATCATCTCAAGCTGTTTGCTGGCTGGCATGGTTGGTAACGTTCTCTCCGTCTCACTCGTACCCAAAAGCGTCTTATTAGACCTCATTTCCCTCGTTATCTTCAATTTTATGCCCCATGAACAATTGCTTTGACTGGAGTCAGGTCATCAATCCGTTGAACTTATCTAAATTTAATGAGAGCTGAGAAAATCAAATGTATTAATTAAGTATAAAACAGTATTAAATAACACCGATAACTTAAGGAATTTAAGTGCGTGCACTCTCGGCGCGTAGCACGTGATACTCATTTGCGCGCGCGGGCACGTAACTATCGGCCGCCGACAGCAACACGGGCCCGTAACACGTACGGAACCCTAGAACGGAGTCACCCACGACGAGCCCCGCGTTGTACGCGCGCCTATTTGGGCATCAACATAGTTGGCTGGCGATTTGTACCCTTGAAGGAACAAGGCTGACGCTTGAGCTAGCCCTCTTCAAATGGCGAGCTGTCCTTGCTGTTGCTTTTCGCAAGTGTCTCGTAGTAAAAATGGCTCAGCGACTTAGCTTTATTATTTCGGCGTACGGAGACATAAAAATCCCGAGCTCCCAACACAAGTCTTGCTCAAACCAGGGCGTGGACCACACGACTATGATGCTAATCAGGCTAGGCCACGAGTTCTATAGGGTAGGGTGGATCTGCCCTTCGGAGACTTGGACAGGTTGCCGCTATAGAGATGCTAGATGAGCACACCATCAAACCTTATAGCAACTGACGGTTGATAGAACATTTATAAGCTGGGCAATATCAACGGCCATGAAATATTGTTATTGTGGGCTTTTAAGTCAGGACTGTTCGTTGGGATCGGTGGCGGCATACCACTTAAAACGGTTCATGGCATGATCCGCCTAGGACATGTTGTGGTCAGCGAGTGTGACGCTCGGGTCAGATTAGCTATACGATAGGTAGATGTAGAGTTAGTTTTGTGAACTGAAGACACTAGGATGTCGTTGAGCGGTCGAGTCACAGTCTGATGCAGTACATAGTAGTCTGTGCGTAGACAATTGAAGTATTGATAGCTGGGGAGCTAAATTAGAGACTGACTATGGTGAAGCGTGGTAAGAGTTAGAGATACCAGGATAGCTTAGAGCCCAACTGGCGTCAGTCAAACTTGTCCCGCTTGACAATACGTGTGCACGAGAAAAGAATCGTCGTCAAAGATAAATTGCAAAAAACAAAATTCACCTCCACCAGCCAATTAGCTGATTTGACGCGAGGATTCTTTGCTTCAGCCCGGCATACTGTCGTGAGATTTTGGAGGAAGCGCCACATGGTCTCGCTGCACACAGGCGGCACCGCGGCATGGTTGGCTTACAGCAGGGCCGCGCTTAGACTCGCGCAACTTGGTCAAATGGCGCCAAATGAAGCATGTACAGGTCAAGTTGGCCGACAATAGTGTTGAGTTCTTTGCTGCAGGTTTGACAGAAGTAAGAGATGAGTGGGCCCCAGCAAGACAAAATGATGATATCCAGGGGAATCATGAAATTCAGGAAACACTGATTATCTAGTGCAACGGCTGCGTTTTACCTGAACGACCACTCCTTTGTATTGAGCATCAAGTCCATTCCAGCCATCAGAATAACACTCGGTCCACCAGATTCACAGCCATGCCACCTCAATGTCTGAAACTCTGTGGCATGTAGTGAATGAGAAGGACAGACTGAGAACTCTCAGTTGAAATCTGTAGTCAAGGTCAGTGTCAAGCACGTATGCATTGTCGTTCGCTACAGATTTGTCGAGCTGAGGGTAGTTGTTTATGCCAGATTGGCAAAATTCCTCCCCCTTCATCTGTAGGCCAGATGCAGTCTGGCGTAGAGTCTCGAGCTGCCGGACTCTCTATGTAGGGGGATTGTGATACGCACGCCCCCGGAGAATCGTGCATCTCATGGCTGCCATAGGCGATCAACAGCATACAACCCCTGGCGGCACCCAACACCGTGTGGCCCACGACTTATGTCGTATTGGCGCTGCAAATATCGAGGTTTCGATTTATGTTTTCGAAAATACAAATGAGGCCGCATATTTCTTTTCTTACCATGGTTTGTAGCCGGCCTTACCTTTTTCACGACCTTTTGTTTGATAATCCGGGTAGTATCTCAATTTTACGTACTTCCTCTCAGTCTTTTTCCACTGAGGACATACAAACAAAAAATCACTCAGTCCTTCCTTAAAATACTCATACAAGCAATCACACTAAGTACAGGCTCTGTGACAAAGCCTAGTTCCAGTCCACAATTATGGGGCCAAGTGTTGGCCAAGGTCTACCCCCCCTATCGGTCTAAATTCAGTGCTTAACACTCGCTCAAAACGTTCAGCTTCTTTCTTGACGTACCGGAGCCCCCGAGAATGACCCCTTCATGTGGCTCGCTTGCTCGAAGCCGTCGTCTGGAGATTTAGGGAACACATCGACAATATTCCACTTTGGTCTGTCCTATATTTGATCAGCAGCACCAGGGAGGGGAATTGGACGGGCAAAGAACGATCATAGCACGACGCGGGGATAGCCAGACTCAGCATTGGCGGGGCTCGCGGGGGTGGCGGGGGAAGAGAGTCTACTCGTCGCTTCTTGAGCTGATGTCCCGGAAAGATGTACATTTTCCGGGTGTCTCGAAATGCATAATGCCTCGCATAGACGAGCGGGACAGCGCGGATGCTAGGCTGGAAGTCTATACCTGTCTACGTGTACGGCTGAACAGCTTGGAATGAGTGGTGATGGCGTCAGCTAGGCTCCCCAAATGTCCAGTAATGGAATACCTCGACAGAAATATTTGATTGTCAAGGTTCCCAGCGGCATCCAAAAAACGTGGTCACGACTGCTGGCAGACTGCTAGGGTGCTGTATGTGACTCTGGTCATATCTGATTGGGCCACACTCTCTCCCACCAGTATAAAGCCTTTCTTTTGTCGGGTTGAAGATCAACTTCGATCGTCTTCTTCAGTTTCAACCCGCCATATCGCTCAAAAGACTGGCAGAGTGTTCGATCGTGGAATCACGTGGTGGTGTTCCTCCCCCGCCCCCAACTTCGCCTGTCACCATGAAAGCCCCCTCGAGGGGCTACACGGCCTAACCCCGTCGCCTTGTGTGAGCCCCAGGGGACCAGGATCACCGGGCGTATTGCGTGCGTTCACATAAGAAATACAATTCGGTCCTATCCCCAAGCTTAGGCATTCCGGGTGGCTGAGACACTGTAAGCCATTGAAATGCAGGCTCCTGTCCTCGCAAATGCGTCCATGGCGTGATTACTACTCGATTTACTCGGTGATTACTCTAAATGTTACGCTTTGCTTTATCTAAGGTACTCACCTAAATAAGCTCTATAATCTTATCTAGGTTATTACGACCTTAGTATTTAAACTATTTCTAAACTACCTCATAACTAGAAGCTACTAGTAGCTAGATAAGCTACTGAGTTTTAACCTTAAGAGACGAGATTAGGTAGTACCCGGGCGTTTCGAAAGGATCTTTATTTTTTTGAGTAATGGAGTAGTTATCTCAGGAGCCTTAAGGCTAGGCGCGGTCGGGCTAACGCGCCAAGAATTTGTTGGTATTATATAGGCTATACTAATAGATCTATAACAAGAAAAATTAAAAGAGGAAGGAGATGATCTGCGGAGGCCTGAGCCTTTGTGGTCAACTGCGCCCAATTGATCTTGCTTTGCCTCTGATGTTGGTGATAATCTATTGGCCTTGCAGATTCCGCGCACTAGCCCGCCGCCGCGCTTCATAGGCTGCCATCCCGCCTTGGCACCTTCGTATACTTGCAGAAGCCACGAAACGCCGATACCCCTCTCTGAAGGAGAGCGAAACTATTGCCTATAACACTTTCAGCATGCAAGCCAACATTTGGTTGCCTCATCCGCCCAGAACCAGGTTTTCATGTTGCTGCTCCTGTGCCGTGCCCTTGCATCATTGGGTTCGAAAATGGTCACCAACTCACTTATGTGACAGCCATTCCAGCTCTAATGCAACTCCTAACCAACTGCATTATGCAATAGGTGCGGCCTACCAACGGCTGACAACAGTCACTGGCCATGGCTACCTAGAGTAGAGTAGCTACGGGAAATTTATCGGGTGCACTTGGCACTGTGAACATGCGGCTCCCCGATCGTCGCCAGGGGCTATAAATGGAGACGGCTATCTATATATCAAAAGTTGCGTATGAATGATGCTTGTGATAGATGCAAGAAATTTGTTGGACGAATATTTCTAGATGCCCACCCCGCTATGCATGTTGTTTCAGCTCCCTTGTGCTGTGTATGCTCTGTACCTAGATAAGCACGCTTGGATCCAATTATGGCCACACTAAAGGCATCTTAGCGTACGCCACGATAATAAGCTACAGGTGAATACCGTGAGCTACCCAGAGATACCTAGGTACTACCCTATATCTCGATGTAGAACTTATGCTATTCCTATCAGTTCAGCTCCGCGCACTAAACCCTCGACATCGAAGAGTTTCTGCTTGGCGTGAGGGGTACATTCTGCGCGGAAACATAAGTTTCTGACCCTCATGGCTACTTACCTTCAGTTTCACTATGCATCTTTCACGCAATTGTCTACCCCTCCGTGCAACACTCTCATACACAATACCAAAAATCTTGGCCTCTTTCTTGATTGCCATGAGCAATCCCGCATTTGTGACTCGTACTGGCGACATGGACCTCTGGTGTCTCTCCGAGCCAAACCGTCGGAAGCTTTTCGGCGATGTGATTGATAAGCTCGAGAGCCAGTGGGAGCGTCACGACCGACACCTCGACAACTTGCACAGACTGAACCCCACAATTGCCAGGAATTTCGAGACGAAGTCCGAGAAAATATCGAATGCACCATTTCGAGTGCTAGTGCCCAGGGGGACAAGACGCCGCGCAGTTGACGGGTACGTTATAGTGAGCTGGAGCTGGCCCAACGATGGATGGACGAGAGCGACTGAGAATCCTGTGTTGCAGCCGTGGCCGTTCCCTCAGGACATGGTTAAGTCTATTTTAGACCTCCGCTATGAAGACGAAGAGAGGCTTGAGGGAGTCTGGATCGACAGTCTATGTATCAACCAACAGGACGATGCCGATAAGAGCCTCCAGATTGCCTGCATGGACGCCATCTATCAGAATGCCGCTCGCCTTGTCATTGTCATGGAAGATGTTAAGATCGACCACGTTGCCGCCGATGCTCTGAATCGCTTCAATAGCGTTGTGCAGAGTGCCGTCAATCCAGGCAGCACCTTGCGAATCGTCCACGACGAGACCCGTGGCATCACTGAAGACGTCAAAATGCACATTCTTCGACAGTTTGCGCCAACGAGTGACGATTTTGCATCTCTAAGACGTGTCCTCAAAGCCATCTTAGCATCTAGATGGTTCACACGAGCATGGTGCATCCACGAAGCCAGGATTTCTGGGCCCTTCTTATTCGCTCACCAGCCTAGGTTGAGAGTGTATGATGAGAAAGGCAGCGTGGTTCGATTTGTCCTAACGACGCTCGTGATGATCAGCTCGTTTTTCCAAGATGAAATGGGTGACGATGATCGGTCGAGATTCAATCGGAGCCTAGCGGGCAGACTTACCTCCTATCCAGCAGGGACAAGAGTCTCTAACGAGAATTCTTCCGGGAGCCTCATCTCTAACTATTTGCTTCTCGAAGAAGCTGGGTGCCTCTATCAGCGCGACAGGCTTTCCATCGCCTTGAACGTCTCAGATGCCGGGCTTATATACGATGGACCGGAGCAAGACAAGGACTGGTGTTTCTTCATGGCAGCACTGGCATCTCTTGCCATCGGTGAGCCAGGCCCCTTGAGCATGCGACAAGCCCCTGTGGCTCTGCGAGAGGGTGGCATAGACGGGTCTACAGCGTTGTCTTGGCTGCGACGGCCAACCAGCGCCTACACCGACGGTTTGGCCCAGGAATCCTTATCTCCTGCGACTCAGAGCGACAATAGACCTCAGATACACCTCAGCGCAACCAAGGAGTACATCGAGATCGACTTGATATTCGTTGGCGCACCGCAGAGATACGTGCCCTCAGCGTCTACCGTCGAATTCATACGGGCCATCGAAGGCCGACCGGAGTGGCAGACAATCTTCCAACCGGGCATCTCTCATAGCTTCATGCCAGCGGTCGCTGGGCCTGTAGAGAACCCGGTGGGTTTGATTGACAGTGCCCTCAATGCCGATACACTTTCACACCCTCAACTGGTGGTTTTAGCATTGGCGTTTTGCAGTGAGCAGGACTTTCAATGGTTCGATCGGGCAAGTGCTGCGTTTCGAAGTCTGAATCGCTCGGACGACTACACGTTCCATGACCTTGGTCTGTCTGACGAGACACTTTGGTGGCTGGCTGATGCTGTTGTTGTGCATGTACGCCTCTCATGCCGCAGCACTTCCGACGTGGCTCCCCCTTCCTCTCCAATAGCCAACGTGCTACACGTTATTAGCGTGATGGGTAGCTCATCCCACTGCTCAAAGTTCATGTCTCAGTTGCCCGCTGTACTTCCACTCACATCAGACCACGCTCCCTACAACGCGATAATGGGAATCAAACGATCCTGGCCGCCTAGCCATGTGTTAGCTGTTCCAAAACTGCTCGCTAATGAGTCCTACTGGAGTGGCCGCGTCTGGGTGCTTGAACCTCTGCGTGACACGGGCTCTGTCATGGGGGGCAGCAGCTGGAAGTTAGTCGATAAGGTGCCTTTGATTACACCCCCCGACCTGAATCTTATTCCCAGCAGCTCCCAGCAACGACAGAGCTCGCTTCATCGAGTCTACGGTGGAATATACGATGAAGACATTGGGATAATGTGGACGTGGGCTGCACTGGGCAACAGCGCACCCGAGACTGTCTCCGTGACAGCTAGTCAACATTTAAGGACTTATGCTAATGCAGGCTTGAATATCCCTAACGCCTTGCTAGCAAGGTTGTTCCCACAGAGACAATGGTAGGACCTGCGATGAAGGCAGAGAAAATATATGAACGTGGGCTGCACTAGGCAACAGCGCATCTCGGGCTGTCTCTATAAGATAATTCGAAGTACTGCGTGTCCGTATTCTCATGATAGACCTCACAGTGTATGGTTCCGTCTATCGTGTATGTTGGGAGCATCTGTACTCTCTTGCCTCGGGAGAAACGCTTTACTTGTACTAGGGTGATGCCGCGTAGAGTATCCGTGTCGATGCTCCCGTCAAGCGAAGACTTGACAGTGCTTTCAAGCCTCCATAATGGCTCACATGCAAAATATAAAAGAATTTTGACGGCACCTGTTTATTTATCCAGCGTTGTCTTCAACTCTTTTGGCGCTCTGAATAGTGTAGTATCGAGAATTGGAGGAAGTCCAGGTCTGATGGACTTGACACACAAACAGCGCGAGGCGATTCGAGGCGCGCACTGTGCTCACTTGTCCTCTGGGGTACTTTCAAATCAAGGTAGCAGCGCATTCACAGTACTGACGACTATAAATAGATACAGACTGGCTTGCATGAGGTGCAGACGGGGCAAGGGGTTGTTTCAGCGTTTGACGGGCTGCTGAATGAGGCTTTGTGCTGGACGTAATTTCGACCCGAACCTCGATAGCACTATCATCCGGCCATGTGCCCCCCTCGCCCATGCCTCATTTGATCCCAAATATCCTTCGGTAAACATTAATCGCTGTGTTCGATGATTGTCTTGGTCTCCGAGAAAGCCAATGGCATAAGACAACACCCCCAGTCCTTGACCACCCCTAGACCTTGACCACCCAATACAGCATAACACAAGCCCGTTGAAGGCGTCAAACTCAACACAATAGCATCGCGAACATATTATTAGGGTATTTTTAGCTAGTCAAGCTGCCACTCATGACATAGGGAATTAAAATCATTTGATTGAGTCAATTGGGAAAGCCCGGCCGGCTCAAGTTGCTGCGCAAGCCGCTTTTTGGTCTCGACAATCTGTTCAATCCGTACGAACCGGCTATTAGGGCTACAGGTGACTTTAGCTCTTTTTTTAGGCCGTAGATTATCAATCTGATGCTTAAGGGATTGTATCGTGGCCTCGGCCTCGGCTAGCTTGGTGTTCTGCCCGTCAATGCTACGGCCAATCTTCCGGAATAATAGCCGGCGTGTCGTACGGTCTGTTGAAGGGGAAAGGAAGGGTCGAGCTAGCCTAGAAAGCTGTCCTGAATGACGAGGTGTTTGGAAGAGCTCCTTGGGCTCCTTTTGAATTAGGTAGAAGCTGCTAGTGGCGCTATGGCTGCTGTTGCTGTTGAATCGAGAGGTTGGGCTAGTAGCCGACTCATGAGAGGCTTGTTGCGATTAATTGGCCATAGCCCTGTTGCTTTCCAGCCAGCTGTGATATTCTTGATCGTCAGGGCCCTGCTACGGGCCTTTTTGTACGCAGCGAGGAAGACTGCCTTGCCGAGAGGCGTTGTATCTGATAAGATACTGATCCTTGAGATCTCAGACCGATAGATCGTCTTCAGGGGGCCAAAGACAGCTAGGTCAAGGGGTTGTAAGATATGCGATGTATGTGGCGGTAAGACGAGTAAGTAGATGTTATTTGAATAACACATATACATAAAGTCATCAGTTGTGTGGCTCCCGTGCCTATCAATAACGAGTAGCCTAGCCTCTGGCTGAGACGGCTGTGTTCGAGGGATAAAGACCTCTTTGAGCCAATGTAGCGCAAGGCTATTAGAGGTCCAGCCCTTGGTTGATGCTAAGAAGCACCAGTCTTCTAGACCAAGCTCCTTATTGAACCATTGGGCTTGTACGCTCTCACCTTTGAAGATGACTACCGGAGGCAGCGCCCGGCCAGTCGCTGAGATACATTCGATCATTGTAGTCTAACAACGTGATCCAGGCTGCTTTTTGAAGGCTATTTGGCTGGCTGCAGAGCCAAGGACTAGCCCGTTGCTTCCTTGGCCTTCGAGGATCCCGTGTTCGTCGGTATTATATCGGTTCTCTGGTCGGATAGCTTGGATCGTTAGGAGGTCGAGAAGGTGGAAGAAGGACTGGATAGTCTTAGTAGTTGCTCCATTGATCCGGGCAGAATCCATGCCTCTTCCTCGTACGGTCTTGATTTCCGGATTACGGCGTAAAAAGCCCTCAACCCAGCGTTTTCCGAGTTGTTGTATGTCGCCTTAAGTAGCCAGGATTCGAGTGGCAAAGTCTCGTAGTTGTGTATGCGATGGCGGGAGCCCTAGGGCTTGCTGGGTTAAGACCCAATCGCGGAGGTGGGCTTCCTTAAGGGTAGAAAGGCGTTGTTGATGCTCATGAGAGGTTTGAACGTTCTCGCCGCCTTCATATCGGTATCGAAGGGTTGTGCGGGGGATCCCATAGCGTGTAGCAGCAACTCGTTGAGAGATCCCACTTCGGACCTCTTTGAGCGCGTTTTCGATATCAATTTCTGTATATGAGGGCATAATAATATCGTGTTCTTAATTTAAAGTATCTAGCTACCAAATCACGCGAGAAAACGCGGTTGGAATGTGATGTGAAGTGGAAGAGGGGTCCGTGTCTTGGGTGGTCAAGGTCTAGGGGTGGTCAAGGACTGGGGGTGTTATCTTAACGGTTGGGGTGAGCTGCCAAGATGGACCACTGTCAAGTCAGCATCCACGTGCCCGGACCCCAGTGAGGGCAATGCTGGCGGCCCGACCCTAGCACAGCCGCAGCTCAACTTGATACAGATTGTCTCAGTGGGGTATGGAGACAAGAGATGGAGCATGATCTCTCCATCGGGCCTAATGCCTTACTAGCCTAGGCGGAATCGAGACGGACACGTTACGAGACCGAAGGATATGGGCCCGGATGCCTTGACGCTAACCCATTCTGGTGCGTGGGTTCGCAGGAACTTTGCCGCTTGCGCTCACTGTAAGGCCAAACAAGGACAGGCTAGGCATCGATTTCCAATTGGTGGCGCTGGGAATTATTCCAATTCTGGTTCCAGTGCCGCCCCTCCCGGTTGCTGGGATGCCGCTTAACCAATCCCAAAAATGCCGCAACGCGCGCAAGCGTATCAATCCGCAACCATGTTCGGCAGACTTGCACCCCACCCTGTGGATACGCTAATTTGACGTGTCACATTTCAAGCCTGCCTTTCGTCAAGGAACTGTGCTCTCAACGTATCAGACAGTGGGTTATCCAGATTTGGTCAACCGACACCCCGCATCTCTGGCTAAAGATCGACCCAGACCGTCGGTTAACTTCGCGCTCCCACACTCTAAGCTAGCAATCCAACTCTTCTTTCGAGCATAGCTCAGACCGGCGAGTTTACTGCCTTGCTCAACATCATGGAAGCGCTTTCTATAGCGTCAGCTGTTGTCGCGTTCGTGGACTTTGGAGTCAAAGTTTCATCCAAGGCGTTTGAAATATACTCGTCCTCCACGGGCCAGTCAGTCCAAGTAATCGGCCTAGCTTCCTCTTCCGAATACCTCTCCTCCCTTGCCTCCTCGGCGAGGGAGACAATAAGGACATCAAGCTACTCCGGACACATGGACTCTTTGGACTCCCTTGTTGCAGAATGCAGCGATGTGGAAAAGAAGCTCAAGGACGCACTTGGAAAGCTGACGGTGACCAAGGAGAGAAAGTGGAATAGGGCTCGTCAGACCCTTGAGGTTTCCATTCGCAGCATCTGGAAGCAGGGGGAACTAGAAGCAATGAGCACGCAGCTCGAGAGAATCCGCAGTCAGGTCATGATGAATGTTTTGATGTGTGTGTGGTAAGTCCAGCCGAAGACTTGCCACTGAAAGCTTGAGACTGGAAAACCTGAAGGCTGACTGCATGAAAAGGAGCGAGGCACGCAACAACAAGAAACAAACTGAACATGTCCTCCAAACCGTCCATCACATTGAAACAGCGATGGAGGATATAGACGAGGACTTGAAAGCCATTAGAGCAGGCGGCCGGTTGCAGGACGACAAAGTACAGACGAGGATGAATACGGCAATCTGGGCGTCCACGGGTCTAGTAGAAGTTACAACGGACGAAGCTACCGCCCCTCCTCCCTATACGCCCCTGCCAACAATAGAAGCACCGAGAGACGCTGGTCTAGAGACCAGGTTGCCGTTTTCACAACGATTACTCCGCAGCCTTCAGTTCGCGGAGATGGAGAACCGCGCCAGCCAAATTAAATCGGCTTTCGAGAACACGTTCAAGTGGCTCCTTGACGGTGACAACGAGGGTAGAAAGTACGGAAAAGGAACTTCCAGGCTGAGCTTTCGGCACTGGCTGAGTACTCATGAGGAGGAGTCTCATAAGAAGGACACTAACGAGGAGGACTCCCTGGGCGAGAAAGTCTTCTGGATCACCGGCATACCTGCGTCTGGCAAGAGCACACTGATGAAGTTCATCACCACCCACCCATCTCTCAAACCCCGGCTCCAAGAGTGGGCGGGCAAAGACGAAGTCCAAGTAGCCAAGTTTTACTTTTGGAACGCAGGCTCCAAAATCCAAAAGTCGCGTGTCGGCCTCTTCCGGTCGCTACTTTACCAGCTCCTGAGCCAGAACCCGGAGCTGTCCGACATTGTTGCCCCGAGACGACAGCTCTACTTCAGCATTGCAGGTGATAAGGCCGAAGCTCCAGACTGGGAATGGCCGGAGCTCTGCCAATGCTTCTCTAGGCTTGCCTGGCAGCTGCAAAAAAAGAATATACGACTCGCGCTCTTCATAGACGGTCTGGATGAGTATGAAGGGTTCAACGACAATCTGCCCAAGACTCACCAGCTGACCAACGAGATGGTAACATTTCTCTTGCAATCCCGGAAGAAGTACGATTGGAAACTTTGCGTGTCCAGCAGGCCGGGGAACTACTTTCGGGACAAACTTAGGAGATCCCACTCCCTAGCCATGCAACAGCTCACACAACCGGACATTGACGAGTATGTTAACCAGCGCCTACTGTTCAACGTAGCAATCCAGGACGCCAGAAAGGTTGATCCAGAGGCTATCGAAACGCTAATCAGCAATCTGAAAACCAAGGCTCGAGGCGTTTTTCTCTGGGTTGTACTCGTCGTTGAACAGCTACGCATCACCGCCCAGGATAACCCCCATAGTTCCGCCATTCGCAAGGTGTTCGACAACTTGCCCCCTGACCTGAACGATCTGTATACCGCCATCCAGAATCAGATAGGGCCGAAGAAGCAGCGGCAGGCCTCCAAGCTTTACCAGCTGGTCAGAGAGTGGAAAAGGACCTGGAACGGGCAGATGGATGCCGTCTTCCTTTGGCTTGCAGACGAAGAAGACGCGGACGATCCTGATTACCTTGAGCCAACCAAAAAGTATCCCGAGGGCGCGAAGCATGAGGCGATAGCGAAGCAGACCGTGAGGGTTGTAGAAGGGTGCACTAGGGGCATTCTCCAAGTCTCAGACCCTATAACGGGAAGCGGCCCTGCGACGGTCGACTTCCTTCACAAGACGGCGTACGACTGGATTAAGTCGCCTAGCAACTGGAATGGAATAATTCAAAAAGGTCCGGATAGATATCAGCCCATGATCCCCATCCTTGCAGTTTTGGTCCGCCATGCGCGGTCGCTAGCCAGCACAAGCAAGTACTCTACCCGCAAACAGTGCATCAGCCGACTGTTCCTGCTGGCAAGCAAGGTTCAAGATCCACCAGAGGCTAGGTCCCAGATGATTGCCATCCTCGACCAGCTTGACGTTCGACAACTCCAAGGTCTTGGCATCGACAGCATCTTTTTGCAAACTGCGATATCTACCGAAAGCAAAGGTGTGAAAAGAACGGCAGTAGCAAACCACATGGCCTGGGCCGCCGCATGGGCATGTCGTCCCTACATCTGTGGGAAGGTGGAACAGAACCCTTCTATCCTCTCAGTGCCGCGGCGGCAGATTACACTGTTCTCTTTGAAGAAAGGCACGCCTTCTGATATACCGGTCCTCGAAATAGTCATTTTTGGATACCGGCTAGGTGGCGCGCGCAAGGAGCCCGGGGAGGAAAGCTGGGTGAATAGCGTACGGAGATTGAATGCATGGCAGGCGTGGCAGAGGCTGGAGACGATCAAGGAGCTTCTTCAGAAAGGGGCGAAGATCGAGAAGTATATGAAAGAAATCCTTCGTACGGCGGTCAAGGATGCGCCTCAAAACAGTGTTCAGGCGAAGTATGCCCAGCTTTTGTTTGACCTATCGGGGCGCAATAATATTTTAGGGTCTTTTGACGAGATGAGTCAAAAGTCATTTCCGAAGCATGAGGTGGACGAGGCACGCAAGGAAGGGGAATTTCCAGACTACCATATCGATTCGTAAAGGAGACCACAAGATGACGCAAAGTTGTTTGATAGAAATATCTAGGCGAATATGCCCCTGCATAGACGTGGCTAAAGAAGGTTTCTCCGGGGCATATGTACAAGAGTCAGTCTGACCCAAGTAGGGAGTCTGAAACAAAAGTACATTCGAACATTAAAATGACGACACTCATAAGCCCTATCAATGTTCTGGCCTTCACATAACACGAAACTCATAGGATATTCTACCAGACAGCTCATTTTATAAAGACACCTTGAGATTAGCGATAGATATATATTAAAAGTACTGATTTTAGACTAAGAAGTTAATAATTTCGTTACGAGTATATCGTTATTATAGCTAAAAAGAGAAAAGAAACCTAGTATATCACTTGTATAATTAATACAAGCGCTACTTCTTCCCTTCCGCTTATACTGATAGTCTCTCGTAAGTGCCGTTAGATATTAGATTAATCACTACCAACTATATTAATATATATATATATGTATGCTATGTGGGAGTTTAGGGTGGCCCTTAGAATTTTTTATTTTTTTTCTTTCTTTCGCGTTTTAGTATACGCACGTAGCTATCAATCGTTTAACCTTCTTCCCCCTTTTTGCTTAAATTCTATCACTTTTATACTTTAACCTACAGCCACAACCCAGGCTGCGGGCCTGGCGCCCCTGCAGACCTGTCGAATCATCTCAGGACCTCTACCACATCCTTCAACCGATCTCGAGAGCGTAGATGCGCTAGGTTGTTGCTATTCGTGAAGCCGTGGCGGCAGCCTTTGTGATAACCTCCACGACCGACGATGCGGTTGTCGTTGGCAATCGATGTTACATAAGGCAGCCACACCCGTCGGCATCACCTATCTTCCTATCGGGTAGGCAGAGCCTAGCGGCCCTGATCCGTTTCCTGCTGCGTTGTCGTTCCCCCTAACACAGTAGGTAGATCTAAACTTAATTTATAAACTAAGTATACTAAGATATTATTAACTTAAGTAGTACGAAGGTTATACTTCATATATGAGATAACAATTCTTATGTAGAGGATGATGTCACTATCTGAAGAGCTAACAGACTCATTATAATAAAGCATAGCTTCTTATACACTAAGTGAATATTATATAAGTAAGTAACTATAATTAAGCATTGTATAGTTAGTAATATTAAATTATTGTTTGCGAGCGCCTATATAATATAATCGACTATAGTCGCTTAGTGTCTATAGTTCTCTATTATACGTGGTATATAGTAGAGATATAATAGGAGGAAAAAAGGTAGAGAGCACGTGAAAGGCACATGCGGTCGCATATCGGGTCATAATAATATTCGACGCTTAATCACCGCCACGTATAAAAATTTACTAGCATTCAGCGATATCGGTGTCCGCGAGCGTCTAGCTATATTTCCGCCATAGCCCCAGAAAATGTAGCGACGAATTGTGGTAGGCTAATGAATGACCTTTCACTTGCTCCCCTTAATTAAAAGTGAAGTGCGGGGAAGATTCACCACTAAAATGTGGTGCGCGGTTCCTTTACACCTAACAAACCCCAGATCTTTTAGTGACTTGGCAGGATAATTTTTTTAAAAGCGACCTCCGTTGTGCATGGACATTATTAGCAACAACACCACCTACGCCTCGATCACGCGTAATACGCCCCCTTTCTTCCAAGACCAAATCAGTAAGTGGTATCGCTAGTACATGTGCTGCCTTCGAACTTGGCTTTCTTCTCAAAGTCTCAAGGACGCACGCCAGACGTCCGACAGTCGATCGCCATGGCGGGAACCGATTCCTCACTAGCTTATCACGAGCCATCTGTCATTACAATTGTCATCATCTCGGGATTCATTCTACTCCCCAATGGCTTGAACTATTGCCTTGATAAACTTGTATACTGTGGTCTGCTTGCCCAGGTGTTCCTCGGCATCGCCTGGGGCACACCTGGTGCCAAGTGGCTGTCCGAAGAGTTGGAGCACGCTATAGTGCAGCTGGGTTACCTGGGCCTGATTCTGATTGTCTTTGAAGGTTAGTACAGTCAGTTCTTGTATCTCGTTCTCGCTTCTGACTAGTGACTTGAAGGTGGCGTTTCCACATCGTTCAAGTCTCTGAAGGCAAATCTCCTTCTCTCAATCGGTGTCGCCATCACGGGCATCATCGTCCCCATCAGTCTCTCGTTTACCCTCGGCCCCATCATCGGGGCGTCTCCTCTACAGGCCTTCGCCGCCGGCGCCGCGCTCTGCGCCACCAGCTTAGGGACAACTTTCACGGTTCTTGGCACCAGCGGCCTTTCCGCGACGCGTATGGGTGTTGTGTTAACGAGCGCCGCGATGATGGATGACGTCGTCGGTCTAATTATGGTCCAGGTCGTCTCAAACCTTGGCGGTGGCAGCAAGTTTAGTGCTGTCACCGTAATCCGACCGGTTTCCGTCTCGTTAGGCTTTATGACGTTGGTGCCAGCTGTGTGTAAGTTCATTGTTGGGCCGATTACGCTGCACCTGAATGGTTTGCGAGAGAGCAGTCCAGAATCCAAGCTGGACAGGCTGCTACGGCTTCGGCAAACTGCATTTGTCATCCATTCTTGTTGGTTGTTTGGGCTCGTGGCTGGAGGGGCGTTTGCTGGAACCTCGAGCCTGCTTGCCGCATATGTCGCTGGCGCGACCATCAGTTGGTGGGACAGTGAGGTACCCCATTGCGCAAATCACGGCGATGTCAGGGATCGAGCTTCTGAGTCGAATTCCTCGTCAATTGCGACCGATCTTCAAGTCGTTCGGTCAGATTCACCTGTAGAAGCGTGCGCTGTAAATCCGTCTACGGCAAATTCCACGCCTAGAGCCAGTGAGCCGGGCATGCATAACTCGGGCTTGGAGATTTATGAGTTTTACTACGGCAAGGCAGTCGAGTACATTCTAAAGCCATTCTTTTTCGTAAGTGGTTCTTGAGTATTGCTGCATGGCCCCACTGACAAGTCCAGGCATCTATTGGCTTTTCTATACCAATCACGAAAATGTTCTCTGGACCTATCGTCTGGCGTGGGATCGTCTATACTATCATGATGGTGGTGAGCAAAGTGCTCTGCGGCATGTGGTTGCTATCCCCTATCGACCCCCTCCGAATAACGCAGCATACCATCATGAAGGCTTTCAACACAGGCAAGAAGCGCACTGAAGGAATCGCATCTGTAACGAAGTGTGTGGCAACTGGAGCGGATAAGACGACGAACGCCGATGAGGCGAGGTCTGATCGATCTCAACGACAGACGGCCAGGGATGGCCCGAATGGCAACGGGCTTCTCCGGCCTGCATTCTCTGAACAAGGCGGGAGTATTCCATCAAATACATCCTCGAAGGCTGAAATGCCCGTTTCGGTTTATCCGGCTTGCATTCTCGGTCTTGCAATGGTTGCCCGTGGGGAAATCGGCTTTTTGATCTCAGCCTTAGCCGAGAGCACTGGCATATTCAGCGGCGAGTCAGGTTCTCCTGACCAACCCTCCGAAATATTCCTGGTCGTAACTTGGGCCATCACGCTATGCACCATCATTGGGCCGGTTTGCGTTGGCCTGCTGGTGAACCGCGTGAAGCGTCTTGAGGTCCAGCGCGGAAGAAAAACAATCAGAGGTAGGGGCAACGTTTTAGGCGCCTGGGGCGTGAAATAGTCAATGATTCTGTTCCCTGGCGCGGAGCTAAAACGGCCGGGCTAGCTCGCTTATGCATGTTTCTGGTAGGCCTGGGCCGTTTGGTCCCGACTATTGGGGCCAGGGGGCCACTGCGCGCAATCACACATCTCGATCCCTCGATGAGAGGTCACCATGAAGTATGTTATACCATTCTATTTCTGGATTAGAAACTTGACCCCATCCTCTAGTTCTTCTTCGAATTCACCTTCAAGATCATTCGGATCAATCGGCCGAGTCGTCTACCTCCACTTGGATAGTATAATAAATAGGCCAAGCCGCCTCGTCCCCCTGGCCTTCATTTCCGGCAGCTCTCGATCGTGACGAGCCTATCTCTTTCCATTGCGAACCCTTACCGGGACGAGGCTGTGTTCCTTCACTGCGTAAGCGCGTTATTTTGACCTTCTAGTATCGAAACGCAAAGATTTTCTCTCCAGGAGCTTCTAACTGAACGTTTCTATCGTTTTCCCGAATCCGATCTCCACCGAGTCTAGCGTCTATCGCGCTATTGACAGGCACGGGAGCTCCTGCCGCAGCCGCAGCGTACGAGAATGGCGCCGATGTTTGTCTCTCATTGCTTTGCGCCGATGCCTCCGACAGTGCAACCTGGGCATCCCCGAAGGTATATAGTCCGACAACCATGAAGATGGAACCTTCTCTGCGAGCTCGCTCGATGAAAATTTGGGTCTCCTCTTGGCTATTGCCTCGTCGAAGTAGCGCCTCGCATTGCCTAAAGAATACTCCCTGTATTCTAGTGCGGATACGTCGATACCGCCTGTATGATACTATGATATCCGAAGCGAAAGGAACTTAGAGAGATACCCCAAAATGCCCGAAGCGACCTTGTTTCCCCCTTACCCCTTGAAGTTCTTCCTATCGGTGATGATAAATATAGGCTCTATGTTATAATTCGGGTCGTCGAAATTATCTATTGGGTTTTCGAGATTGGTAATGAAGCGACCGAGCTTTAACGCGTCGAACGAGGCAAAGTATTGGGAATCATAACTTGCGATACTATGACTGCAGTAGGGCTTGGGGCTGAGAAAGCTTTTAAAATGCCTAGGAATGGGTCGACTTCGTGGAAAGGGACTGGAGTTTGGTGGTCTGCATAAGGCCTCCGATGCGAAGCTGTATTTTAGGACGTAGCAGGGAAATGGCCTCTGGTTTCTCTCTCTTGTAGTATACCAGCGGGAGTTACTAGAGGAAATCCAATGAGGCTATAGCGAGGCCTTTAATAGCTTAGCTCCTGAGACAAACCATCTATCATCGTCGTGGCAAAGACGGGAGCTGAGAAAAGCACCTAGCGACGTGTACTCTATGCATGCCTAGCGCTTGGCGACCTATTAGCAGAGAGTGGAATAGTCATCGGTTCTATTCGACTGCTGACGCCTGACTCTTTGCTTCGTAAAACTGTATACCCGGGAGGAATTTGCTGTCCATGTTCGGCGCAAGCTTCGCAGCCATTGATACATGCAGCACGAGCTGTTCTCGGGGCGGTGGAGATTGGCCTTATTCAGTCTATTTGGCTGTTGATAAGTTTCGAACAATTCAAATGGCTTCCTTATTTCAATCTCTTCCCAGCAAAGAGGACTATTTTCTAGATCTACAATATTTCGAACGATTCTCACGACTTGACAGGACTTATATGAATATTTGCCGCCGACGCCGCGTTTAGGTTCAAGCGTTACTTCACGGAAACAATAGCAGACAGAGTGAGCTCGAAGTTGAACATTGTGAGTTGCTGTCGGTCAGAATCATCAGGAGGCGTTGCCATTGCAAGGTGCATGTGTAGCTCGCAGCTATATAGATAATAAGGACTATCTCCTCCACATCGATACCTCGAAACCTTCCTGTCTAGCAAAAAAGCTGTTGATAACCTTCCACTCCTTGTCCGTCGTTAACTTAAAGTCGTACAATGTGATGAGCGTGACCAGGACTTTGTACGTTTGGAAAAGCCCCATATTCTTGCCGACACATAGACGACTACCCGCACCGAACGAGAGATCCGCTTTGTTCATGCGCGTCAGGCGGGCCTGGAACACCTCCTCTGTCTCTCCGCTTCGCTCGTCCCAGAGCCAGCGCTCAGGTCGGAAATCATCCGCGTCCTCTCCAAAGATAGCTTTGTTTCGGTTGGTGATGTACGGGTTCATCCCCACGATGGCGCCCTCCGGCAGATAGTCCCCGCTAGGCAAGCTATAGCCTCCGCGCGGCACGTATCGCTCTAGGGTCATAGACACTCCTGGAAGAACTCGTAGGGCCTCGCGTATTACAGCGTCGACGTAAGGTAGGGCTCGGGCATCTTTATAAGGGGGAGGTGTCCTTCCACGGAACCCGGCCGTGAGGACCTCTTCGGTTAATTTCTGCCAGACGCGCGGGTGCTTTAGCGCGTAGTAGAGGGCGCTCCGGATTGTGATGGCAGTCGTGTCAGCGCCCGCAATCATATTTACCATAAGCCAGGAGATAATTTGGCCATCGTCCACGTTTTCGGGGTCCGCCTTCTTTGTCTCGATGAACTTATCTAGAAAATCAGGTGTATTTGGGTCGTGCATATCCTTATCCTTGCCGAGGCTGCGGTCGATAAGATGCTGCACGGAAATGCCTGTGATAGTGTTGAAGCCGGGTGGGCCTATTCGGTAAATAGGGTTCTTGTCAAAAACGCGGTCTAGGAAAGGCATAGTGCCCACGACGGCGAAGTAGTCCATAGCCTTGTCCGCATTATAAAGCGTACCGTCAAAGTCCTCCCCCTTGTCTAGATATCCGATAGGTTGCGAGAAGGTCACTGCGCCTACAATATCCCAAGTGTCTAGGTCTAGTCAGCTAAAGGTGCGCTTGAGGAGCACTCGAGGCATAAGGTGGCGAGAGACGTAGGAATGCTATACTCACAGAACAGGATCCATTTCCCCAGGTCAAATGCTTTAGGGCCGCTAGGCACGTCGATAAACCTGACCTCCAGCTCGTGGCATAGTTTATCAATGACCTTGTCCATATGTGGCTCGAGGGCAGTGGTGGCGGACGAAGAGTAGTGCTTAGCAATGGGCTTACGCTCCTTGGCGTGTTGCGCGGGATTCGTCTGGCTGAATAGGTTTAGCACGATTTTCCCATTAACGAGAGCGCTGCTGCCGTGGTAGAACTCAGTCTATGAACATATGTTAGCCTTCGTTAGATACCTAATGTTGGACAACGTCGGAACCCACCTTGAGCCAATCGCCCTTGGTGTTGTAGATTGTCTGGATCAATTCGGGCATATCAATGTCGATAATGTGCGGCGCAATTCGGATGATGGGGCCATGTTTTTCGTGAAGTCGCTTGAGCTCGAGATGGGAATCGCCCGTCCATACCTGGTAGAGATACCAGAGTCTGGTCCATCCTGATGTAAAGGCAGCGAATTAGCATTTAGCACATTGAACAGGCACGAACATGGCATGATTCGGCTTGGGCGGCGTGAAAAACTACTCACGAGCAAGGAATGGCCCAGGATACCTTCTCAGAGGCGACAAGAAGTACGAGACTACAGACCAGACGCAATAGGTTACGACAGGAAGCAGAAGCAATGTCGATGTCGACAGCTCCCGGGCGAGAAATAAAGTGAGTTTTTCCATTTTGTTTCCAGTGGTAGTAAGCCTAGGCGATTTCAAAAAAGCAAAGCACGGTCGGCCACAATCGACAGCGATCAGTCAGAAGACGCTTAGCTAGTGTTCATTGGTACAGCGATCATTTGTACATGTTGAAACATTTGCATGGTGACATGGAGTCGAGGACCGGAAGATACGCCACCAGAAGAAACCGTAATGAATAATGATCGTCATCCACTCCATTCCACCTTGACGTCGTCCTGGACATGGATCCCATCCGACTGTCCTGCAATCCTCCTTTCTTGGCGATGCGATCCGCGTGAAGAGAGAATGTGCTCGTCGCTATCGTTGTCGTTTGAGGTCTCAATCTCTGTGATGGTCTGGGTGCGAACGCCCAATTTCAACTCGTTGCCCGGGTGGTTCTTTTTTCCATGCGTCCTCGGCATCCCGTTCAACTCGTATAGACCGCGGCCGCTATCTTCCTTTTGCTTCTGGTACGAGCCCTCGCCGGTCGAGGCCAACGAACCGTGCCTGATGTGACGATACAATGGGCGGAGTATGGGAATGCCGATGCAGATCATGGTCACGCACATTTCGACAGCCGACCAGATAATCAAGGCGACAGTATCCTCTGCAGAGACCGCGCGCGTCAGCCGTAGCTTTGAGATATGTGCCAGCCAGCGGCTACATGTACAGCTGTACGTACCTGTATAGTTGGCTGTGAAGCCGACTGCCACTTCGTACGTTCGAATGATGCCGGCCGCTCCGGCGCTGGATGAAGTTAGGCCTTTTTCTCGGACATCGAGACAGTGCACCACTCACAAGACGCCTAGACTCATACTCGCAGCAATGATGATCTTCTCCTTCTTCTTCATGTTGAGGCCCCAGATAACGATGACGGGGAAAATGGCGAAGAAGAAATCAGCGACGATACACCAGACTATGCTCCGAATATCCTTTGTCAGCGTAAAACGCCCCACTTTGCGATGAAAGAATCAGCAGTCTCGCAGCCAAAGACATACCTCCAAGCGTCACGGCGAATGGCGTGATGGGGATCGTGCAAAGCTCTGGGGTTTTCACTCGCGGATCGTAGATGGCTTCCACAGGGATGCATTGGACCCAAAAGACAACAGCCGTGAGGGCGGAATCCCCGAGTAGGCTAAGCATGACAGCCCATATGACAATCCTCTGCCATCGCTCCACCACGAATCGGAGCAAGAAGAGCCCAAGCGAGGCTTTCGATATCGCCATGCCCAGGACCGCAAAGGTTTGTCCCACCATTTCCCACTTGATGGCCAAGGCAATGTCCTCGAGCTCCAGCGCTTGGATGGACTGGCCAAACCCAAACCGGAGTGATACTTGAAGGAATGTGGTGTATAATAGCAGGAACAGCTAAATACAGGGGCAGTCAGCAGCCGTTATGGACCACAAAAAGCGCCTCCAGGAGAATCGGGGAAACGTACACCAGCAACAACGTAAGCGACATCGTCGGCACCAAACATACGGATTATGTATTGTCTGGTGTAGACGCGCAGCGCTACAAACACGAGCGTGATGGCCGTCAACGTCCACATGATGGCAAGAGCCATTGGACCTTGTCCAGCGGGTGCCATGACTGTTTGAAATGCGGTATCACATCCAGCAGAACCGCTTGTTGACGGAATAAGACCCGGAGCTGTGGATAGTCGGGAGAGTCGTTGCAGAAGGGCAGCGTGGAGTGCGGCGGGATCGTGGTCCCATTTCTACGTAATTATCTACAAAAAAACAGACACGCACCGCGCACTCTAGCCTCCTGAAAGCTCTCCTTGCTTTTGCCGAGCGAAGCACGAGCCGCCCGCACCCCAGCCTTTCGAGCCGTGGGCTTGAGTCTGACCGCAAGCGACAGTGGGGCGGGCAAGAGAGATGACGAGAGAAGACAGAGGGCCAGTCACCGAAGCCAGTCACAATCCTTCGCTCCAAGCCCCACTGCCCTCAAATGATCTGTCGCATTCTTGGGAGCGACCGTATCAGCGCCACGCAACCCACCTTATTTGGAACCGCATACTTGCACCCTCCGACTCTCAGTCTCCAGCCCATCAGTGCCATCGCGAACAAGAGGGTGGGGGGACGACATGGCCAGTCTTGCCAAGGGCCTGCTGCTCGAGTGCTGCAAATATTCTGGCAGCACGGGTGGAGCGACGCCAAGAGAGACCTTTAATCAAACAGGCCAAAAGGGAATTCCACATGTGCTCTGACTGGCTAATTAGTGTACATACGCTACAACACCTTTGCCTTATGAAATTTGTGGGGTAGTTCCTTTGTACCATCTTACACCTGGTCCACCGCTGAAATTGAAGTGTTGCCGGGTCAAGTCGTGATATTTGTGATATTTGTGAGACAGGTGCAGCGACCACCCTTTTTTATCGTTTGCCTAAGTCTTTATCCGTTATACAATATCATGCCAATGCCTCCTCGTGTACAGCCACCCAGAAATAGGCCGGGACCAGCCAGAAGGCCGCTTCCTGAGTCCGAGGGACCGACTCAATCGAGAGCGTAATCGACGCCCTCGACAAATGAGGCCGTCCAAGAACATGCTCAGCCTAGCCAGAGCCCCAACCTACGCAGTCGACGCGGCATAACCATCGAGGCTAGCTATTGGCCAGCCTTGAACACCAGCAAGCAACGCTCAACGCAGCTCTTCAAGATAGAATAGCCTGGATGAAGCGGGGATTCGGGGCCGTTCTATCACAGCGCTCCAATCAAGCGGTCAAGTCGGCCGGCGGCAGACCAGGAACGAACGTATCGAATAGTCATTCCGTGTTAGCAACTCAATTATTCAGATGGCTAATGTTGCGTATGTACGCCAATTAGCTGCAATCAGGCACAGCGAAATTCCTTTTGGCCTGTTTGATAGCTAATGCCCTCACGCACCAATATCCTCCAGTTCGCGAGCACAGCGTCTGTTCGAGTGCAGTTGGAGCCATTGATACCGAAAAGGCGATCCAGGACATGGAGACATTTACCGAGCGTATATACATATCTATTTATCCCCGTTATAAGTTAAGTGAAAAGGGGAGAATCCAGCAATCTGGTGATATAAATTAGCATACGATCGAATATAATTAAATTGCGCTAGTGTCGTATGAAGTTTGGCTTGATTGCTGACCCCCTAGAGCCCGAAAGGACTAGAACTCATGAAAATATCTTCGCCAATAAAGATAGGTAATTCGAAGGTAATGTCGTCGGTATTATCGAGGGCTCGGTTTTTTCTAATATTAATTCCAAGACCACGAATCTCACTGTCTTACCAACGCGTATTCATAACCTCTTTAAAGGCTATATTACTCCCATATTCACTGGCTTATTTTCTCTCTAAGGTCTGTACTTGATGCAGTTGCCGCAAGGAGGGTGACTACGCTTTAAACATCCCTTTCAAGCGTCGACCTCTTGGAATCTAATAAAGCTTCGACTTCTTTACGCCATACCTCCTTATACGACCGCCTGCTAACGTGACGAAACTTAATAACACCGTGCAAGCATAGATAATAGCTACTTAGTCAGGGAAATCGTATTCGGCGGCACTGATATGTATAATCTTCTACTTTCTCCTCTATATAATGTTAGCTTATTCCACTATAGTCCTTAGGTACAAGTGCCGGAGATTAAACAGTTCCTTCGCATTCTCCGGTGGTCTATCGCTAATAGCGAACTATTAGAGATAGTATAGTCCATTTTATAGGACTATATAGATCTTCCTCATGCCAAAGCCGCTGTCTCCTAGGTAATAACGGTATTCAGGTACCACAAAGGTCCGTTGCAAGGCTTTAGTTAACAATCGGCGGTGTTCATCAAGCCCTCAGCCCCAGCCATCATATATATAAAAATACCATCGACAGTCACCGTGACGAGCACGTTTTACGTGATCTGACCCTTCCGATCCCAGAAGCGTTGCTAGTTATCCCCTCGAATGTGAGCCGGCGCATAAGCGCCGTCAAAAGCGCCCACAGCACCGTTGAATTCGTGGAGATCTTAGTCAAGCTCGACAGCCGTGGAGACGTAGCCTAACAGCAGCGGCCGGATAAAGGTCCTATGTAGCCTCCTCATAGGCCCCTTTAAACAGTGGAAGATACTCAATACTGTCCCACGGTTAATGTGAAATGCCCTCGCGGCGTTCCATGAGCCACAAGAATAATACCACTCGTTGCTCTGGTATAGTATACCGACTTCCTTCTACTTCGATATGGTCCCGCAGCCACCGAACGAGGTCGAAGGTGGCCTTTAGCAGACAGAAAAGGTCGAAAAATATCGAATCCGGACTCGCGATGAAGCTATTCGCAACATGCCGCATATCCGTGCTGTTAGAAGCCCTCGATTCCTGGATACCGTCCCTCTCAGCTACCCTGCCCGTTACATAAGGCTATTGCTGCCAACTGCAGTCAACACCACACGCCAGATAGGGGTACGTCAAGGCTACGGCACACCATAGCCTATCCTCATCGTCATCATCATCTATGGCGATGATCTCATCGAGCAGGGCTTCAGTTAGGTGGCCGGTATCATCAATAAGGGTGTCCATGGTGGAATAGGGCCACGAGGCCGTGTTAGATACCGGATTTATTCTGCAGAAAGAGCTGCAACAATAATTTACAGTGATAAGTTCGCGGTCATGCAAATTTTTGTACCATTGCATACTGCAAAAGAGCAAGTCTGCTACAAAATGCTCTCTTCGACGGTCGATCTATACTAAGAGAGGCAGGAACATGGAGCCTGGCTAGCGTGGTACGCGGCAATATCTGCCAAGGAAGAACTATAAACGATTCCCCGATTTTCATTGCAAATTAATACTAAAAAGAGGCGTGCTGCAGAATTATGCTGCAGCATACATTTTGCAGCACTCAAGCAGCAGGCTCCAATGATGGGCTTGGATTCCTTGTTCCCTCGTCTCGTAGACTTGTGCCCTTGGCGCGGGAACTACGGATACAGACGGCTGGCAATCCGGATGTCGCATTGCGTTTCTCCCTTGTCCACTACTCGTGCCGTGCCGCTTCTCTGTCATCTTTGAGCAGGTGGGGCGCGGAACGAGCACCGGTTCCCACGGATGAATGCAGGGATCAAGTGGTTCAAGCTGAAACTGGTCTGCACACGGCTGTAGCGCGGCACGAGGTAGAAAGAAAGGCAAAAAATCAGACTCACCAAAGTACGGAGTAGTTCTTCGTCCTGGATGGCTGAAACCGCACCACAGTCCTCGCCTCTTGTTATTGGCTCCGAAGGACAGGACCTTTGATGGCGTCTTTTAGAAATATCTGGGTCGTGAGAGCCAGGCAATCTTGGCAGATCTACGACACGCTCTGGACGGAGCAGAAGAAGCACGGACGTGTGATGCGCCTGGGGCCCGATGCCGTCTGCATCTACGAGCCCGGGACGTTGTGGCACATTGACGCAACCCGGTCGACGTACGCGCGTGGCCCTTGTTACTGTAGCTACATAATACTGGTAAAGATTGTGAAGCTGGATGTCGCCTGGGTTACGCACAATTATGACAGTCTTGCCGTAGGTGTCTAGGGAATCGGGTGTTGCGGGTAATAGCCGGGTGAAGATAGCACGATAAATTGAGCTTGGTGCGACCGCCTTTGCTCTAGGAGTCGTTGCGGCCTGAAAATCGAGGCATAAAGCCCGCTAGTTACTCAGTACTCAATACCTTGCTGTATTGCATCTACGTAGAATGACCACGCCGTACTATACGCTCATGCAAGTGTCGGTCACAACGCTCACGCTATAGGCAACCAATTACTATTCAACACGTTCAACATGCATTCGGTAGGGACGGAACGACCTGTATACACATATCCTTCTAATCCGACCGTTTTCCTTGACCTCTTAAGTGACTGTCTCTTGTGGCTTAGATAAAGACTTTCTGTTGCGGCTTAAATAAGGACTGTCTCTTAGGGGCAAAGGGTGCCGAATTTGAAACAATTTCGCTCCGAAAATGGAGGTCATGGTGTCCAAAACATGATTCTAGGGCGCAGAAGACAATAACTGGACGGCATCCCGTATTTTCCACTGGGTATGGTCGTATGTGACTAGTTTAGGAAGGGGAGATCACGATAAGAGGCTGATGGTCAAGTTCGAGAAAGGTCTGAGAAGAGGTCCCACTGGAAGTCGAGGATGTGTGTACTCCTGACAAAAGTTCATGTTCCCTTTGGTTTTAATTTCATACATTGATAGTTATGACATTGACTCGCTATGAAGTTACTTTCACTTCTCACAGTCAACTATATCCTCCGACTCCCAGCTCTCGCTCATCAACCTCTGTCCCAGTTCCAACAGATCCTCGTCCCGTCCCGGCGTCGAGATGAGGGTGACGCCAAAGGGCATCGTTTTTCCATTCCTGCTGATCCACGTCCCACCGATAGGCACGGACACGGCGCAGAGATCGAGCAGGTTGACAAAGTGGGTGAAGCTGCCCAGTCGCTTGTTGAGCTCAATGGGGTCTGCGAGTATCTCGGCGACCGTGGGATGCGTGGCCGTGGAGGGCACCACGAGCACGTCTATGCCGCCTCGGCCGGCGGCGGAGGACGACGAAGAGGCGGACGACGAAGAGAAGGAAGAAGAAGAAGAAGGAGGGCAGCGGAACTGCCGTGCGGTCTTGCGTTTGTACTCCGCCAGGGTAAACATGTCCTCGTATGCTCGCACGGCGTCGAAGCCTTGACTTGCGCGGAAGATGTCTCGGACGACGGGGTGCATGCCCTCCATGGAATGGGTGTCCATATACGACTTGAAGGCGACAAGCCGCTGCGCGACAATGGAGCTGCCGTACAGCATTGCGTTTGCGGAGGCCAAGGGAGAATAGTCGAAGCCGGCTCCGTGGTCAGGGTCCATGAAGCTTATGGTCGGCAGCTTGGTCGTCACCTTATGAAAAAGGGCAGCGTATGGCTCTGATAATGCGGCCGACACGGCATCCGGAGGCGGCAGGGCATAGCGCACCCTCCCATTGCTGCTCGCGTCCCACCAGGAGGGCTGGGCTGCCAAGACAGAGAGCTGTGCTTCATCTCGTGCATAGACATCGTTCTCATCATACGCGCACATGGTCCTCAACGCCATGCGCGCTGACTGGACTGTCTTGGCTATGACGGTGATACAGTCTGCCGTTTTGCACGCCGGGACCAACCCGACAGTCGAGATGGTGCCCAGGGTTGGCTTCACGCCCACCATGCCATTCAAGGCTGCCGGAACGCGCGTGCTCCCGGCCGTGTCGGTGGCCACGGCAAAGGCCACGAGGCCTGCGGCCACGCTGACAACAGAGCCAGAGGAGCTGCCACCCGAGACATAGTCACTGTCATGGACACAGCGTGGCATCCCATACGGCGACCGGGTGCCATTCAACCCGGTAGCGAACTGGTCGAGATTGGTCTTGCCAATCAGTATGGCGCCAGCGGACAGCAAGCGCTGGACGACGGGTGCCGTCTGCGCCGCCGTGTAGGCGTAGGTCGGGCATGCGAGCGTCGTGGGAAGCCCGGCAATGTCGATCGAGTCCTTGACCGAGAAGTTGACACCATACAATGGCGGCCTCGACCCAGGATCAGGATACTGTCGCTCCAGCTGTTCGGCCGCTGCCAAGGCCTTGGATTCGGGCACCAGCGTGATCCATACCGCCTTGTCCGGATGGCTGTGTATTTGCCGGTACGTGGCGCGGACAACATCTGTGGGTGTTGCGGCGTCGCAGGCGTACAGTCTCTGGATGTTCTCCACAGTCACCTCTCCAATGTCCAGATCCAATGCGGATGCGGCGGTAGTAGAGTGATGCGACTTCTTGATGGCCTGTGCAGTAAACTTGAAGTCTGGGGCTGCGCTGGGGGCGACGAGAGCGGCGGGCGCCATCTCTGCTTGGTGGTGTTTGAAGGCTCGGGGATGTCGAGAGAAGAGCATAAAAGGTTTCTTGTCTGACGGCCTTGTAAGGCCCAAGCCTAGCCTTGATCATGTATTATACCAATGGTAACGACAAGCTTCACTGTGGTTGATCCTTGTTCCATTCGGAGATAAGAGAGGGCGGACTGGCGGAGCTGTGGCGGGCGCTGGCGGCCCACCGACGCCGACACCGACGGCGGCCCGCCTCCCGCCGCCCGCCAGAGCGCCGCCCCATTTCTCCAAAAGCCTCAAACAGGATGTGAAGTCTATCCTTTGATTCCAAGTGGATGAGAACAGCGAGGTGTTTTTCTTTTCTATTTCTTCCACTTAGTGTCGAGCCATTTCTGTGTGCTATGAGCAATATTTGAACATGGCGTCGGTCCAGATATTCAAGTTCTCCATATCGTCACCGGCGGACATCTCTCCGCTGCAGAAGATCCAGGAAGCCGGATACGACCCATCCCAGATCCTGGCCGTTGTAGGGAAAACTGAAGGTAAGGCCACGTTGCTTAACAGTATTTCCTTTCATTCGTCAGTCTTGGCTCACCGGGAAATAGGCAATGGCTGCGTGAACGACTTCTCCCGGACTCTCGCCTCGGCCGTCTGGGAGCCTCTGATCCCGGCCGACGCGGTCACCGTCTTCTCCGGCGGTACAGAAGGGGTGCTGAGCCCTCACGTCACCTTATTCCTTCGGGAAACCGGCGACGCCACGACTGGCCTGTCCGCGTCCGTCGGCCACACGCGGACGCTGGCCCCTCATGAGGTCGGCACGGAAGAGCAGGCGCGCCAGGTGGCCACAACTGTCGCCCAGCTCATGCGCCAGATGGACGTGACGACGGAGCAGGTGCATCTGGTGCTCGTCAAGTGCCCGCTGCTGACGAGCGACAAGCTGCAAGCCATCCGGGCGCAGGGCATGGTGCCCATCACGTCGGACACGTATGAGAGCATGGCCCGGTCCCGGTACGCGAGCGCCATTGGCATCGCCGCCGCGCTTGGTGAGGTGCCAGAGGGCGACGTGCCGGCCATTATGCGCCAAGGGCAAGGAGAGCACCGGTGGAGCGCGAAAGCGAGCTGCAGCAGCGGTGCCGAGCTGGACGACTGTCACATCCTGGTGCTGGCATCCCCGGCCCCCACGTCCTCGTCTCCAACGCGGCAGCAGCGTCTCCATGCGGTTTCCCGCCCCATGGCAGACGCCATGGACGCAGCGTCTCTCCTGCATCTGCTCGACCAGGTCAGGAAGGACGCCGGGGAGGTCGTGCAGGTCTTTGCCAAGGCCGAAGCCGACCCGTCCGGCCGGGTGAGGGGCTTCCGTCACACTATGAACACGGACAGTGATATCCATAGCACTAGACATGCCAGGGCAGCGGTGGGTGGCCTGATTGCGGGTCTCGTGTCGGACGCGGAGATCTACGTGAGCGGCGGCGCGGAGGGACAGGGGCCATCCGGGGGAGGGAGTCTGTGCTTGGTCTATAGAGCGCCAGGGTAGTACATGGATCGACAGAACCGTATGCATGACCATGACCGGACTGCGCAGACAGATCACCATATGAACGTCCACCACTACTGCGCTCTGGAACCTTTAGGATCGTACATGTATCCTGGCCAAACATATTGGGCCCATGGGGTCGATCTGGGTCCGTGGTAGGGGTGGAGGGTGGAGGACTGCACGACATGTTCATGGGGTCATCCCACAGGGCTGCGCGTCAATCAATCAGGCCAGATCCAGGGGTTCCAGTTGACTGATTGACGCGAATTCGGTTCGGACTATGGACTGAGACCAATAAATACAGATCAAATTGGATAGACTTCGCGCGTGCATAAATAAATAAAGTACTAGATCCTAAACGGCCCTTCTAGATTGATGTGAATAGAATGAGGCTTGTGGTGATGTCTGGTTGACAGCTACGTGTGGTTATGAGGAAGGTGACGCGCCCGAGTCGCCTGGCGCCGCTGCAGGCACGTGCCTACAGATTGATTGATTGAAGGCCTCAAAATGCCTGATTTTCTGGCTCATGTTTGCGAACGAGAAACGGAGGAAGATGGTCGGTTTGACCCACAGCCCTGCTGTCCCAGGCGGGCCGCTTTCAAGACCGGCGGCCCGCCTTAGATAAGGCAGCGCGCCTTGTGGCAAGGAACGATAGTGACAGCCAGCGGGCCGCCTGTGCTGCTCTATCTTATCTGACCGTGATCATTTTCACGTATCGTGGGGTGACGTCCAGTCGACAACCCATGCGGGCGCACCTCCAGTCCCAGACTGTCGGACACTTATCGCCATAGCCAAGGGGCAACGCGCAAGCTGTATCGGGCAGTATTGAACTACATAGTCGTGTAGTAGCCTTGGCGGGTGGGCGAGAGCTGGCATCATCGACCTACTTAGTCTGTATGTATTAAAGAAAAGACATTGCCAACCAACAATCATCCATCTTCCCATGCGTTTGCTTTGCACTCACCACCTCCTTTCTACAAGCCTCTTCCATCACATCGCCATCATGCATCGCCGTACGCTGGCAAGCAGGTTCACGCTGCAACCCAGACCATCCGAATGCTTCCCTGGCAACGACTTCTCCAACGGCGACATGGATCCTGTCCCAGTCACCTGCCGGACCTGGAATTGGTACAGCGTCGGCGGCTTCTGGATCTCCGAGGGCTTCCAGATCCCCATCCTGCAGATGGCCGGCGCCCTCGTCGCCAACGGCCTGAGCCCTGGCATGGCCATGGGGGCCATTGTCCTCGGCACCTGCCTCGTCATGATCCCCTGCGCGCTGACCGGCTACGTCGGCGCCAAGACGGGGCTCAACTATCCCGTCATGAACAGGGCGTGCTGGGGACTGCAGGGGTCCAAGTTCGCCGTCGCCGTCCGCGGCGTCGTGGCCATCTTCTGGTGTGGTGTCCAATTCACCACGGGGTATGTCCAGTCCCTCTCCCTGCCGTCCCGTGGGCTCTTTCACTAACCAAAAGGGGTGATGTAGGGGCGCGTGCGTGTATCAGATGCTCCGAGCCATATGGCCGTCTTTGGATTCGCGCGTGCCAAACCGACTGCCCGAGAGCGCCAACATCACCTCGGTGAACCTTCTGTGCTTCTTTCTCTTCGTACTCATCAGTCTGCCGTTCTTCTATATGAATGTCTCGAAACTCCGCTGGGTGTTTCTCGTCAAGATGGTCATGATGCCACTGGGCGGGCTGGCCCTCTTCATCTGGAGCGTCGTCGTGGCCAAAGGATTTGGGCCCATCTTCTCGCAACCCACCAACGTGTCCAGCGGCCGGACGGTGGCCTTTACCTTTGTGAGCGCCATCTCATCGGCTATCGGGCCCCAGGCGACCTTTGCCCTCAACATGGGCGATTTCTGCCGCTACGCAAAGTCGCCCCGCGGTGCCTTTTGGTCGCAGGTCATCATGATGCCCGTGTGCATCACCTTGACCGCCTTCCTGGGCGTGACGCTTGCGTCGGCCTCCGTCGTCATCTACAACGTCGACGCACCCCTTTGGAACCCCCTGGATGTCGTGGCCCGGTTTGACAGCCGTGCGGCTGCCTTTTTCGTCAGCCTCATGTTTGCTTTTGCGACACTCTGCACCAACATTGCCGGCAATACAGTGGCGTTTGGGAACGACTTGATGGCGCTGTTGCCGACGTGGGTGGATGTGCGCCGGGGCCAATTCATTTGCGCCGTCCTGGCCATCTGCACCTTGCCTTGGAACATCTTGGCGAGCAGCGCCAACTTTCTCAATTTCCTCTACGCGTATAGCGTCTTTCTTGGACCCATGTGCGGCATCATGCTGTGTGATTATTGGATCCTACGCAAGAGGTACCTTAACATTGAGCAGCTGTACATCCGCCACGGATTCTACTGGTACAACAAGGGCTGGAATCCCCGTGCGGCGGCGGCGTTCCTCGTCGCCATTGTCCCAGGCCTGCCGGGACTGATCAAGGCCGTCAACCCTGGCGTGGACGTCCCGGAGGGGTTTCAGAACATATACACCCTGAACTGGCTGGTCGGCGTCGTGGTTGCTGGCGTTTTGTATTACGGGCTGAGTGTTTTCTTCAAGATTCCAGCGGAATCTCTGGTCAAAGGCTCCCGGGAGGACAAGGGCGAAGAGTGGTTATTGACGGGCCCAGGTGTGATTTGCGGCGTCGAGGAGGTGCAGGTAGAGAAAGGCCGAGATGAGTAGACGCTGGACCTCCTTTGATATCCTCAATACTGTCATCATATGAATTCGCTATGGACCTTTATTCTCTCTTAAGGCTGGTGGGATCGTCTCCTTTCATACTGGTCCCTAGTTTGAATCTCCCTGCTCGGATGGCTGGGACTCGTACTCCAGTGTCCGTGTTGTCGCCCCCGCGAAATCAAACGCGGGGGACATTGGGTACAATAAAGGCGGTAGTTGATATTGCCGAAGATGCGAACTGTGTAGAGGTGACTGGTTCTCCATCGCGTTGAGAACAGCGTCTTCGTAGAAGAACGATGGTGGAAGAGTGTCATCGACTCCCTCTAACAAGGCGTTCTCTTGCGTCCATTGTATTGGCTGCGCCTTGGGGCGTGCCTCGCTCATGGCGCTCGTTTGTCCAGCTTGCATATCAGTAGCTGTGGCCACTTGACACCCTGGCGATGGGGCGTCACCGCTCGCCTTTGGCGTGCCCGTCTCTACTGGTGTGGATTGACCGACAATGTCTTCCGCCGTCAGCTCATGGATGTGAGAAAGTGATAGGTCAAGTCGTTGCACAGCAAAATCCATGTACTCTGTAGCACGGCTGTTGACTCGGAGCAGCCATCGGTAGTTACTCAGAGTCTTCTTATACGTCTCGGCCTCCTTGGTGGACTGCGATGTAATGAACATCAGTGCTGTAAAGGTACCGATTGTGACGAGACAGTACCCGCTGGCTACAGAGTCAGACAAAGGTAAGCGGACGTTTCACATGCGAATAGACAATGCGGGCTCAAGATGTGACATACGCGAATACCAGAATGCTTGCAAGTGCTGACCCCCCAGCCTTGCCACAAGATCGACCGCGGATGTAACCCGTTCCTTGGGAGCGGCACGACAGATCTGTACAATGTACGGGTCGCACGGGTGGCGGAGCAGCGACCGCAGGAGGACACGGTGAAGCGTGAACTCGGCCGCGAAGTATGCCAGGTGTAGGGACGCGTTCGGAGATAGTCTTTGGCTCGCGGATGCGTCCAATTGAAGGGACGCAGGCAAGTCCCGGTGCCATTCTCGAAGTCTGACTTGGATCGGTTTGATCTGCTCCAGCACGGTCCTGATGTTTGAAGACTTGTCCGCCAAAGCCTTCCGCGAGCTAATGAAGTTCTTGTCAGATAGGCCCATGTGGTGCGGAGAGAGGTAGAAGGCTCACTAGAATTTCTGCAGTATTTGACTGACAATGTGAGTCAAAAAAATCATCGATTCGAAGGCTTTGCCCCCGGCAACAACATCCACGCTGCCCTCAATAGTGTCGTCGGCTTCTTCTCCATCCTCAATGTCCACAAAATCCTCTGCAGACAGAACATCGGGCGTCCAATCGTCGTCGATGATGTGCGAGGGTCGACCACGGCAAAGCGCCATCCTTTGCGATATTGTCAACTTCGCGCCTGGCGTTAGTATGGCAGATTTTCTTACCACTTATCCATCATATAGATGGCCCAGCCTAGGCGTCTTCTCAAGCCGCTTTCCCACGTTGGAATGGTCCAACCAGCACAGCTAGAGTCGATTCCCAGATCTTGCGCGACAGCAACCATCTGCGCGCTCAGGGCCCAAGCGCCCTCATGAGACCACCCATGTTGAAGAAGCAACAGGCCACCTTGAAGGGTGGATAATTTGGGCCTATCAATCACGCTCTGGAGAGACGTGCGAGCAATGCGCTCGAGACCGTCAATGTCCGGCTTTTTCTGAGCAGAAAGCTCCCGATCATGGTGCCACCATTTGGCGGCAAGCATGTAGACTCCGGCGAGGCACGGCGAGGAGAATTCACGATGCGTCCGTGCGTATTTTTCCATGAATGTTCTGGACACACACACAAGGGGGTTAGCCTGAGGAAAGGCGGCATGACTGCGATAGAAGAACTGACTTCTTGTCCAGTATAGGAAAGCAAGGATGGACCATTCGAAAGTAGAGGTTCACTAGACTCTTTCCGTGAGGCGATACAATCTTCTCAATGGCATCCAACTCCTGCAACTCTTGCGCGCGGACCCGCGTACGGCTGTATGGCACCAGTGCGAAATGCGTGTGGCGGGAGACGCGACGACAATGGGTCCCATTCGGGAAATGAATCTCTTGCTTGTCGTCGACAGGCCTTAGGGCCAAAAGGTCTGGATCCAGTTCGTCAGAGGGACCGATGTATCGTATGCTGTCCATCCCAAACTTTGCCGTGTCACTGGTCGCATGGCCAAAAGACGGGCCCCCAAAAACCGCCGTACCATCATCGTACAGTGCCGGCGCAATCGAGTGCTGGTACTCCTGCCCAAAGTCCTCCAAGCCATTGAATAAAGCCCCATCGAAGATTCCGCCAGGCATAGTTGGCTGGTTTTCGGTAGAGATGGCATGCGCCTGCTGTTCCTCTTGTGACTTTACAAGCCTCGTCAATAGCGACTCGATCCGATCCAGCCTTGATCCATGGTCATCAACGCCGGCTGGAGGAGAAGCTGGGAAACCAGGGGTTGGTGGGGCCTCAAGGGAGCACTGGGTGCCGCTCTTGACGCACTCGGCACAGTCACCTTCATCTTTGATCGTGAGGGAACACCTGACTTTTCGTTTGCGACCTGGCTCCTGCGTCAGCTCCAGGTACTACAATCCGAGACGGTACGGTACTGGAGTTGGGAGCACCAACATTGAAAGCAGCACTTGGTAGCTCTCTTCACCCGCTTGCGCGGCGGGCCTTCATTCATCTTGACGGCGCTTTGGTACAGTACCAGTCGTCATAGCGATCTCGAGACCAGGTAGTTTGGACTTGTTCGACGAGTCAGTTGGTTGCGTGAAATGAAACAAGATTGAGCTGCTCGTCGTGGGTGATTCCATTCTGACATGGAAGGATAAGTTGGCGAGGTCATCAATCCTGATTGCGCCGGAACAGGGGTCCTAATTAGCCTCCCAGATGTCCGGGTGACTCGGATATAAGCAGGCCCGGTCCCGGTGCATTACCCTCACAATATTCAAGTCAATTGCACGCCAACAGTGGCCTCTGAATAAATTGACCCATCGGTTTGCGTTGCACCAACTTCAGAGTCATCGTGGCGCTTCTCAACAATGACAGAGGGATGAGCGAGTCAGCTCGAGCCTAAGAGCGTAGGAAAGGCTGCATCGTGGAAGGCATTTTTAGTTTCAATCATTTCATGTGTGCTGTATCGGTGGAGTTGAGATGTCAGGCACTGGATCAACAAACGGTCAGTTGAGGAACGCGGCATGGCGAGATTTTTTTTACATGCTTGAACCGAATGCATGCAGCGTAGTGCCAAGCGATATGCAACCGCTGGCGATTGCTTGTGAATATGCCAACTCATTTCCCTCTTGAGTCTTGAGCCAGCCTCCAATCTTGTGGTTGCAGTAGGTCAAATAGGAAGCTGAAAAGATGGATCGCGATTCGCATATCTTCGGTGGTTCATGTCAGTTCCAGACCACATGCCAAAGGGGGAGTTTTGCAACGAAGCCTTCCTGTTCCGCGGCCTTTGCTCCGCACACGCGTCAAAACGAGAAGCTTGTGCCACCGACCTGCAGACATTAGCTGTCGGGTGACGTGTTGAAATATGTATGAATTCTTGCCCAACCAACAGCACCCACAGGGCCGCAGATATCTCCAACCGGGTAGCCACAGAGGAAAGATCCTTTTCCGTGAGCAACATCAGTATGCTTGCTATACTATTCTACTATTTGACAAGAGTTTATATTTGGGAATTTATCTCTGTAGACTCCGTCGCCACTTCAATCAAATATTGAAGGCATTGTGATATCCGGGTTGCTTCGGAGCTTACCCGGCCGCGAGCGCGTCAGTTATGTGTGCTCCAACCTCCTGCATGTAAATCACAACCAACCGACCCCAGATTCGCGGAGCCGCCCGTAGAGCGATTAAGGTCATTGGCTACCTTATATGTACTCTTAGGCTCACCGTTGTTAGGTGCTTGGCCTGAGCCCTGACCTACAGCCACTTAACATCAGTTGGCGGCCCGGAACAACGACCGAACGCTCCCCTTTCACTTTCCGCAGTTTGTAGCACTTCCGAGACCACTATGACGGAAATCCAGAACTTCACTCTTTCGGACCAGCAGGCGGTAGGTTTTTTCGGCAACGCCTAGTTCCAACTCGTCGATAAGGCAGAACAAGATAAGTGAATATACATACTAACCGAATGAAGATCCAGCATTCATGGCTATACAACAAGTCTGCATGTGGGCGCCTGCCCGAGGAATACGGTCTCACCATGTTGTGTGAAGCCACTATCTCTGGCATCGGGCTAGCGAACATGAGCCCTTATGTACTGGGCGCCGGAACGGAATGGGAAATGTTCCGACCTTGCTGCCCCCCGGATACAAACGAATCCCAAGACAAGGCAAACCGGTATTACACAGAGTACGACTGCGTATCGAAATATTGCGCGACAACAAATGTGACCTTGGCAGAAAGTTGGACGGAGTGTCTCGACGCAGCCTTACAGAAGGAACTTTCAAAGATTGGAATTGATGCGATCAAGGTCTACCAGTCTAAGCTTGATTTTGAAGTCATCAGTAGATGCGAATGGCTCGACTACGATCTAGTACGAGAGGGTATAGAAGCTGTGGATGATGAGAGTGGCGGGCATTATCAGTGGACAACGAGCGTCCGGCTTCTCGTGGCGTCAGTTCTGCTGACTTCTGCTTTTTGCGTTTCGGGCTGAGCATGAATTGGTGTGTATGTCGTGTCGCTCCCTTGGTAATCTGCGGTTGGTCAGTGTGCGCGCAATTTCTTTGCAGGCCGCAACTACGGCTCACAGAATACTGAGTGGCATGTGCTGTCTACGTGATTTCCTCTCTGCATACTTTCAGGAAAAAACATCAACACATATCTTGTCAGTCATCTTGGCGAACATCCGGCGTGGCTTGTGTAATGTATTATCCAGATCCCTGTGGTTTGACGCGGGGCATCCCCATTGTCAGAGTTTCCTCCCTGAGCATGCCATGTCCGTGTCTACGATGAGGCCGCCCATTCATAGCGTCAGAGGAGCCTATGTCGTACTGTCTGTCTTTCGCTGCCTGGGCGAGCTCTGCGTTGGCCGCGGCAAGACCGGCATCGTAGCCTGCTTTATACACGGGTGTTGTCTTGTTCGCACGCCCACGCCCACGCCCACGCCCACGCCTGCGACTAGCCTCTGCGGCGGGATCCAGGCTCTTCTTGCGTTTCCCATTAGCTGACTTAACAGATTCTCCTTCTCCTTTATCGCGATGCTCTGTGTCGATATTAATACCAACGTTCTCCTTAAGGCCGTAGGATAGTATAGCTTCCTATATAGAAAGCCCTTCCCTAAACACAACCGTCACGCTCTTAAGCTTACCAACCACTATTTAGTTCATAAGAAGGCACTCGCCGTGTGCGTCTAACCATATTGCCTTAAAAAGGTCACGCTCTATAGCCCCCCTATCTGTGAAAAGAAAGGAACAATCTATACGATCGCTCTTGGCCTCTAGGTTATCAGCCTTCGGCCAATGTATTGTGAATCGGCCCTTATTCGCACGGTAGTTAGATCGAGTTTTAACGCAGAGTCCTGGCATACGCTTGAGTAGCTTCTTATGTAGATAGTTAGGATCCTCGCCAAGGTCGTATAGATCTTGGTCGTCCATGAACCGCTCCATACCAAGGGAAGCATCTGTTCCTACCCACCACGCCAGCTCAGTATATTTCCGTTCCAGCAAATTTTTATAATAGAGTTACACCTAGATAGGGTTGCTTTTATTTGATAATTCGCTCGCGTTCCTCTCCTTATTTGTTTGAAAAGGGCAGAGGACTCTTTTAATTTTATTATAGAGGCATGCAGCATACTGCATATTACGTATAGGGCAGACACGTACCGCCGATAAGCTCACGGCATGACACATGGATTCAACGAAATTTCTGATAGAGCATGTGCTCTACAAAAGATCGTAAGCTGGTTTGCTGCAGTGGGATCATCGTCGAACTCTTGTGGTGGACTGCAATCTACTAACATATCAAACCAGGAATATTTGACATGGCGTCGAACATCTACATTCACTGCTCATGGAAGAGCGTGAACGCTCTTTCCAGAAGCCCCTTGGGACGATCCTCCCTAGCTGTCTTCCCGGGCTTAATTTGAGCGTGACAAAGCTGTTCGGTTTTTCCCAACTAAGTGACTGGCCCCCATGAAACCCATCCTGCGCTGGCTCTCAAGGACTCATAGATGAGTCTTCGCGATGTGAACACCGTATTCATGGGAAGTGGCGGGTCACGAATGCTCCGTCGTGGCAGGTTTCAAAACCCTTCTCGAAGCGCTAGACTTCTTACGCTCGAAAGCGCAGTGCGTCCACACTGGTATTTGTCAGCTCTCTGACTATTGAAGTCTTGACGCCAAATCCTACACAGATTCCTGCTAAGACACACCTCAATGTCCATCCGATGAATCTCCTTCATTGTCCCGGACGGCAATACCGCATCCCATGCTCTGGAAAAAAACGGGCAATCGAGTCCCGTGGTCCGCCAAAAGCTTCAGGATCACGTCATTCTCTCTAGCGAGCCTTTGACTCTTAGGCATGGGATCTTCTTGAAAGACAGACGCTCTTTGGCGCACCAAATAATTATAGTCGCTTTGCGTAGAGAGAGAACCTATATGAGAGTCATCGAAAACATTAGTGATTGCTCGTCTCTATTGGTAGGCCTGTAGGGTAGCACCCTGGATTCCGGGACCCCGGACCCACTACACGGCGTGGGTCGGCTTCGGAACCGAGCTCCGGACGGACGTAGACGAATCCCACGCCGAGAGCTGAATTAGATATGGTTAATCCTGATTCTCCGGCATGACATATTATAGAGAGGGAAGAGTAGCTCCGAGCCCATCTCATTCGCTGTTCCGGGCTATTGCCAAGTGCTTCGCGTCATCACTTCACTAGGAAAACCCGGCCCGAGCTCTCTCGGGGTCAAACAGAGTTTGAAAGTCTTGGCGATGGAGACGGCAGAGCTTCACATTTGTCGATCTGACTCTGTGTGTTTGTACCAAGACTGAAAATCTCCCCAGCGTGATGATTTCCACTACTTTGGCTCTACCCGCCGTTGCATGCTGATAAAATATACAAAGCATACAGCATCACTGACTTGTCGTCAACAAGTCCGTCCGGTTAGGGCATTGCGCTGATCTGGTATCACATGGGGGTTGCGTCGGACGGGCGTTTTGCGGATAGCGGCTGGCCGCCTGTCGGCGCCACGAAACAAAGATCTGGATTCATGTCATCAGATCTTGCTCGTAAACATCAGATGATTGGCTGTGAGGAGATTTTGAAATGCCGCGAGTCCGTCGTGCCGTGTCGGGACTTCAGTCGGACGGGACATTTTGAGGTCCATTCAGAGTCTCCACTTTTCAGACCCCAATCTCCAGTCTTCAGCCGCATCGAGTCAGCGCTTCGAGACGGCCGACGAATGGTGCTTCAGCAATCAGTCTTCAGCGTTGAATGTTCCAATCTACATATCACGTATGCGTACCAACGTGAGAAGCCATCCACTACCTGAGACAAGGACCAAATTGAACAAAGACCGAGGTCTCCTGGACTGGGAGTCCGGGATCAACTCGGAGGCACCCACTTCGTGTTTGGTCGAACGTATACCCCGTTGACACAGATTGCATTGCAAGAGTCAGAGAGCATCATAAACGGATCTACCCTGCGTTACAACCGACCGTCGGCTGTATTACCTTTAATGTTCACTCACTTGCTAAAGCTTGGCGCCTCCCAGACCGGTAACCACGGATTCGCGGTTTTGCGACCCCGTTGCAATTGGTCCTTTCGACGACAAGATACATGTACTCAACTGTACTTCTCCTCTCCCTGCATGTGCGCCGAAGTTGACACATCGGCATCAAGGGTCTTCTTCACCTCCGCAATGAAGCTTCTCTGCCAGCCAGCTTTGGCTGCCTGGGTACTTGCTGTTAATGTGAGCGCTCATACTCATGCCCATGCGCCGTCTCAGCTACACGCGCGGCTTCATGCGCGAGCTACAGGAGCCGCTGGTGACTCTGTTTGTGAGCAGTACACTGTCAAAGCAGATGATACTTGCCTCACGGTTGTTCGAAACAGCAATACGACGTTTGCCTAGCTCATTTCGTGGAATCCCGACATCAAGAAGGACTGCTCGTAGGTCCCCGCACTTCAATCCAAAGAAATATTCGCTCACCATACTAGCAATATTGCCGAGTTCAAGGACAAAAAGATCTGCATTAGTAATCCTGATGGCGATTTCTCCCTGCCCACCAACAATCGATGTATTTGTAGTCATATCAGTCATATCTTTCCACTCAGCCATGTGGCTCTCCCCACGTAGGATCAAACTCGTCGCGAGAACCGCCCCCCCCCCCCCCCCTCAGGCCTGTACCACGCGGGACCGTGTTGAAGCCCTTGTGTGGCTACGATCCGGATAGATGGTCCTGTTCGCCATATATAACCCGCGTGGCTTCCTTACTAAACCACGTGGTCTTCCGATGGTAAGTATCGGGAACGTAGTGCGTCTTTACGATCAATGTCGGTCGAACCTCCCAGTCAGCCCAGGGGAGCTTATCCCGTATCTTTTCGAGAAGCTCCTTGTAGCTTCCCCCGCCGCCCTCTTTGAAAAGGAGGAAGCTGAGTTCCACGGTTCGTAAAGTGGTTGGTAGGCTTGCAAGCACGTCGACAAGATCGTTTGTGTCAACGACAATACCTGCGATTCCGAAATGACACAACCGTGGCCACGCTTCTATCGGAAGAGTCTGTCGTGACGGGATATAGCTATCGAGCATTTGTCTTATGCCAAAGTTGCGTCTGCTTGCATTCGTGCTGAGGCTGAAGTGCTCCAGCGCTGCACAGCCCAGAGCATGGCGTAGATTATCGTGAGTCGAGGCAGTCCAGTTCTGCCCATCCTCAGCATCGCCAGCCGACAGAGACAGGTCAAGCTTCTGAATCTTGATCGGCTCATGACCGTGACCAGGTCTTTGTACTCTTGGTGAGACTTATCATCAAAGACATGGTACGTTAACCCAGTGTCGAGGTAGTCAACGTCCACGAGGAACTCAGAGACAGAGTGGGAATCATCCTGAGCTAGTACCCGCGTAATGGTACGAAATCCCCTCCACTTGTTCTTCACTTGCTCTGATTGTCAGAGAGGAGCCTCCGGAGCCGGCTCGGCATACGACGCTGTCGGCCAGCCACTAGGGAGTGGGTAGTTTAATCCACGCGGGGGCTGGCGGATCAGCGGGGTGCGGTAGAGCGGCATGAAGAGAAGGCCGTCGGCAGCTGGCGTGAGGATGATTCTCCTGAGATTACGGAAGCGGGCAAGCGCGTATTTTAAGGCCTCCTCGTCAAGCGCGGGCGTCGACTGTGGTACCTCGTCTTGCTGTTGAAGCAGCTGCCGATAGTAGTCCCATGCCAGCGAGGCAGGTAACTCTGCTTTGCTTTGACTGAAAAGATCTTCCGCGTTCGTGGAAAACCTTTTAGCTTCGTTCAGACGTCTTTTCAAGCCATGGCCCCAAAGACGATTATAATCGAGAGCGGCCCCAAACCATTCTGGGTAATTTTGGCCTTGGTGAGGCCGATCCTCGGGATCGTCAGCGTACATCTCTACTGACTCCCTATCGTCTTCGTACATTTCATCGCCATCTTCATCGGAACCCACGTCGTCTTCTTTACTGACGAATCTCGCATCATCCCAAATAAGCTCGGTCACCTTATACCGGAAATAATCGTGGTCCGCAATAGCTCTCAAGATCTCGATATTGACGGGGTGGGCGGAAAGAAATACCCAGCTGAGCTTAAGGTTAGCGAGTGCGGCTTCGCTCAGAATCTTGCAAGACAGCCGCAAGTTTTTGACGTCGCCGTTTTTAGGCAACTCGGCAGCGATAGCATCATAGCACCCAGCAGCTCCCTCGGAAGGCCAGTAAGAGCAGCCTGCGAAGCCATAATGGCTGTTAGGGGGGCAGCTGAAAAGATTGAATGAATGTGGAGGAGGAAAGATTGATGGTGCAGGTGTCGACCACTCGTGCGGTCTGACCTGAATTTCTCGGCACCACGGCGCTTCTTGAGGTAACCATCAAGATGGATATTGGTACCTACCTACGGAGTAGCGTGACTCGATATTGCATTAACAGGAGCGACGGCCCGGTATTCTACCGGTGGGTCAATTTCCGACACGTCATTCGAGCTTTCATCCCTCAGGGGTCTCACTCTCAACTCACAGCGCGTGGATCTATAATCAAACAGACTGCCATGTTCTCGATGGTCAATTGTACCTAAAGGCTCAAAGTGGCACGAGCCGCTGCACTGATACGCAGTGGAATGGAAAAGACTCATCATATTGCCGACGGGAGCAGACGTTCCCGTCCATGCGACACGTGCCGAAAACGCAAGCGTCGGTGCGTGACAGAAGCCGGCCAGCTTGCATGCCAACTTTGTCGAGCTGGTGCAGGCCATTGTACATTTACAGAGCAGGCCGTGGATCGAGGGACCCTCAAGCGTGCGGCGCCCGATCAACTTGGGGGGCTGCCAGCTAGGCAGCGCGTCCAGTACGTTGCGCAACCCATCATGGCTTGCGTATTACCCAAGCCCTTGCCGCAATGTGCTCCATGTCCAGTCATCTAAGTCTCGCTGTCCAGGAACAATGAAACGTCGACCGACAGCGATGCCCATTCGTACGATGATGCGGCTGGCGTGATCGAAGACTATGACGCCCTGCCTATGCCGTCGCTCCTCAAGACCAATCTTGGACTGCAGCAGCACCGGTACATGAGGAGCATGCGCATGCCAGATGTCAACGCTCTTGTTGCCACTACAGCGGATAGCCGAGATTCAGAGCACTCCCTGGTGACGCTGCTGCCGTCCCCACAAGATGCAGTCACCATTACAATCAACACATGCGCTTGGCTCTGGGGTGCTGAAACGCCGTCCGGCAGTGTCTTTAGGCCGGATGATGCCATCCAGCTCCTAGACCTGGCCAAGATTTCAAAGGGCAGCCCGATTCAGGTTGCAAAGATGCTACTTTTATTTGCGCTGTACATGCAGCAGCTTCCGGATGACTTTGATGAATCCTTGCTCGGGTTCGAGGACATGAGTCGGACGATCGACTTGATCGTGGAAAGATCCAAAGCCTACATCATGACGCATGAGGACGAGGCCTGCTCTACGAATGGCATAGAATCTTTGCTCGTTCTGGCCACCATCTATCTGAACAGCGGCGACATGAGGAAGACTTGGTCAACTTTTCGAAGAACGGTTGACATGGCTAGGCTTGCCGGCATCCACCAGAGTTACTCCGCCGTCAGGCGCGACGCGCAGAGCGACGAGAATGGGCTCCTGCGGCGCTTGTGGCTCTCGGCTTCTTGCGGGGACTCGTACTACAGCCTTCTCCTAGGCCAGGCACCCGCTACAGGGCCCGAGACGTTTGGCGCTGGTCACGAGGTCTGGACTGATCCTGTCGCAGAGAAGGAGGCCAACGTCCAGCGAGTTCTCTGCGCCGTCATGGCGAGACTAGCGGAAAGAAACGCACAAGGCCGTCATCATGATGAGGGTGTGACCAGAAAACTCGAAGATCGTCTTGATACGATATACAGCAGCTTGCCAAGCACTTGGTGGGATACGCCCAAGTTTGCCCCAGGGCGATGTCTCGACTCCGCGCAGGAGCCTACCCGCCTGTTGTGCCAGATATGGTATTTTACGATGCAAATGTTCATTCATCTACCCCTGGCTTTCGCGCTTCCTCAAGAGACGGCCTGCTACGACCTGAAGGCGTGCCGAAACGCAAGCAGAAACACCCTCAGCCGGCACGTCGGGGCGCAGCACGCAAAAGAGCAGCTCTCCCGTTGCAGAGGCGGCGAGCAAGCGGCCTTTATGTCGGCAGTGGTCCTTCTGATGTGCATCGTTCAACGTCGAACCCAGTCTATGCACGGACCGCCCGAGAGGACAGAAAAGCCATGGGTCATGTCGTTTGAGCTAGACAGGATTTTGATTCAACAGACTATCGCTTCTTTTGAGGCACGTGGGAAAGGTGGGCGTCGAGAGCCCATTTCGAAGCAATGTACGACTATTCTCACGACGATGCGCGAGTTTGCCTTCAGAGAGGACTTGATGGAAGCCTCCATGGAGGATGCTATTGGCAAGCACAACGTGGAGAGGCTCGAGATGGAAAAGCTCATTGACTCTGCTATCCGACCTTGTCTCCGCTGCGCAAGCCCAGCTGGACGACTACTGGATCTTACTTTCGGCACTGATACGAGAACCGAGGCACCATCAGAGTAAACGCTCTCTCTTGCTCCTGCTTCGCCCAAAGAATTGGGGCGTCATTCTGCTTCGGGCTGCCCTCCCGGCAACCTGCCTTCACGCTTCTCGCAGCAACGCCCTCCCCTTCTGAGCGATACGGTCGTTGAGGATGATGGAGCTCTCCCTTTGTCCATCGACAACTAGATACGCCATGAAAGTACCCAGCTCCTGCCCTCTCACGGCCCAATTGTCTCCCATCAACCAGACACCCAGGTCTTGCCATGGGTGGTGCGCCACGCCTCCTGGCTTGACAACGCACGTGTGCCACACATCGGCGTGCTTCTCGGCCATTGCGAGGGCTGCAGTGTCGGATTTTCCCTAGCGTGTCGTCAGCTCTTGTACGCGAGAGACCCGGACGCATCCTTGGCAGTCTACTTTGAGCTTGCGTGGGCGGTCTCCCCACCACAAGTTGAGACCTTGGTCTTGACGAACGAATTTGCCGCTGAGATGAACGTATCGGAAGGGAGCGTCCCTATTCTTGGCATCCAAGACCTTCACCATGGCCTCCATGAAAGCGACTGGGTACTCAAAGTCGAGTTTCTCGTCACCGCTGTATGAGCCAATACACCTGGGAAGCTACCCGTCAACGATACGGAGCCAAGAAAGGGGGTCGAGCAAGGATACCAAATCATCCCAGCGGCATCCGCATGCTGGTTCAGCACATGGTCGGGCCACTTCCCAAAGTCCTTGATCAGGATGTTCTCCAGCTTGGGGTGCTCAAGCGAGAGGTTTCTACGGGTCAAGGCGACGACTTTGGTGATGTGCGGATGGGCGAGGCTCTGTCGGAGGGCTTGGCTGCCAATGCCGCCCGTTGCGCCGGCGATCAGGACCTTCATGGTTCTGGCAGCTATGAATTCCTCAACTTGAGAGACAATGAATAATGCTATCTGATTTTGCCTTCTGAGCAGCTCGAGGAACCTCGTGTACTTGATGGTTGCCCTCGGCCGAGTCGGCCGAGAGGGGGCTCACGGCGCTGTCGAGGGCTGCGCTGCGCCTGAGGGCAATGAGCCTCTCGCAGTTGATTGTCGGCCGAGATATCTCAAGGACCGTGCAGAAATTAATGAATGATTCATAACATTCATAACGGACGGCAGTCGCCACGTGCAACCTCGGCATCGGAAAGGCGCGTCCGCTTGACGCACCGGACGGCGACAAGCGCGGAGGAGGCGCTTTCGTCTTCCGCTTCCGCCCCCCGCAAATTTCGCGCCCCCCCCCGCAAACAACATCAAATGACAATGCGACCTCTGTGCGTGGCTGAGGAGAAGCAGTGGAAGCAGGCTTTTAGGCCCGGCACAGCTGCCACAGACATGGGGCCGGGCCGACTTGGCAACAAGCCTGGCTTCCTGGAACAGTTTAGCAGCGAGTATCTCGACCGTCACGACTCTCGAGTAGGGCCGAAACGAACCGGGTCCACGAGTCCAACAATCCATGTCGGGCCTGTTTCTCTCCGCACGAGGCGTCAACGAACCCCTGGGATCCCCAGTGTCGCCGGACCGACGAGCAAGACCCGGTGGACTCGACTCCATGATTTCATCGGGTAGACCTGGGGTAATATAGTTTATATAGAGGACGCGGGCACGCAAAGACCAGACACCAGACCACAAGGACCAGACAACAGGCCACCTGCAGCATCAGCTCAGTCCCTCTCGTCCAGCTTCTTGACCCATCACATCGCCAACCAATATGCATCTGCCCCGAGCATGGGAGACCGTCACCGCGGCCGCCACCCTGGGCGTCGTCCTGGGCGCTGGTGCCGCTGCCACGCCTCGTGCTGCGAACCGACTCCAGTGCCGTGCGACCCTCGAGCAGTTCATCGAGACCCAGAGCGAGGTGGCCATTGACGGCGTCCTGGCCAACATTGGCCCGGATGGCGCCGAGGCCCAGGGTGCCGCCGCGGGTGCCGTCGTGGCCAGCCCATCTCTCGTCGACCCTGACTACGTCTACACCTGGACCCGCGATGCCGCCCTCACCTACAAGGCCCTCGTCGAGCGCTTCATCGCCGGCGACTCGTCCCTGCAGTCCAAGATTGACGACTACGTCTCGGCCCAGGCCATCCTCCAGGGCGTCACCAACCCATCGGGCGGCCCAGACTCGGGCGGCCTGGGTGAGCCCAAGTTCAACATCGACCTGACGGCCTTTACCGGCTCCTGGGGTCGTCCCCAGCGCGATGGGCCCCCCCTCCGCGCCACCGCCCTCATCCTCTACGCCGACTGGCTCGTCGACAATGGCGAGGCGAGCAAGGCGGCCGACACGGTCTGGCCCGTCATCGCCAAGGACCTCGACTACACCGTCCGCTACTGGAACGAGACGGGCTACGACCTCTGGGAGGAGGTCAGCGGCTCCTCCTTCTTCACCCTGTCCGCGTCCCATCGCGCCCTGGTCGAGGGCGCCGCGCTCGCCTCGACCCTGGACAAGCAGTGCCCCGGCTGCGCCGAGTGGGCTCCCGCCATCCTCTGCTTCGTGCAGGACTTTTGGGTCCCCGAGGGCGACAGTGGCTACATTGACTCCAACATCAACGTCCGCGACGGCCGCACCGGCAAGGACGCCAACTCCATCCTGTCCTCCATCCACACCTTTGACCCGGCCTCGGACTGCACCGACTCGACCTTTCAGCCCTGCTCCTCCCGCGCCCTCGCCAACCACAAGGCCGTCGTCGACTCCTTCCGCACCGAGTACACCCTCAACGCCGGCATCAGCCAGCGCGACGCCGTCGCTGTCGGTCGCTACGCAGAGGACGTCTACTACGACGGCAACCCGTGGTACCTGACCACCCTCGCCGCCGCCGAGCAGCTCTACGCCGCCCTCTACCAGTGGAACCAGACGGGCTCCATCACCGTAGATGACGTCTCCCTCCCCTTCTTCACCGACCGCGTCCCCGACGTCGCCAAGGGTACCTACGCCAGTGACTCGGCCACCTTCACCTCCATCGTCGACGCCGTGCACGCCTACGCTGACGGCTTCGTCTCCGTCGTGCAGACCTACACCCCGGCCGACGGCGCCCTGGCGGAGCAGTATGACCGCAACGACGGCACCCCCCTCTCCGCCCGCGACCTGACCTGGTCCTACGCCGCCTTCCTGACGGCCACGGAGCGTCGCGAGGGCATCGTGCCCCCCGGCTGGGGCGAGACCGGCGCCAACACGGTCCCGGACGTGTGCGAGGCCCCGGCTCCCTGCGACGCGACCATCACCTTCAACGCCCGCGTCACCACCACCCTGGGCGAGGATGTCTTTGTCGTCGGCGCGCTGACGGAGCTGGGTAACTGGGCGCCCGCTGACGCTGTGCCCCTGAGCGCGGATGGGTACACGAGCAGCGATCCCCTCTGGTCTGTCACCATCGACTTGCCGGCCGCTCGGTCGTTTGCGTACAAGTACATCAAGAAGACGTCGGGCGGCGAGGTGGTCTGGGAGAGTGACCCCAACAGGGGATTCACCACCCCTACCGAGTGCGATAGCGCCGACACCATCAACGATACTTGGCGATGAAATTGGGGATGACCTCTCGTCGAAATGACAGTGTGGCGACAGGTTGGACCGACTCAGTAGAGATAAGAAGAACAACTGAATGGGACGTCATGCACATACATACATGTTTTTTTGTGAATGAAGTTGGAAGCACCGTGAGGAGACGAGCCATGTTTGCCTGGCCAACAAACCACCGTATGAATATGCGGTCTCCTCAGCGTGCGGTTGGACAACAGTACACAGGCCCGCCTCCTCTACGACGAGACGCTGGCGTCCAAGTATTGGGAACTACAGTCCTGTGCCGGTATGTGCAATATGACATTCGGTTCTGGTGACTCTGGTCAAGCCACAGGGTAGCTAGATTCGTCTTGGTTCAACGAGCAACATCATTGAACAGTAGTGATCCAACTGTGGTCCATGTCACAGCCCTGTGCGGTAAAAACGGTCTATACATTAAGAGCAGCAATATCGTTTTGTGCTCAAGGAGGATCATGGTTTCAGTTTCATTCTTATACACTAAGTTACCGTAAGAATATTGTCCCCAAGTTCAAGTCCGGATTCCGATGGCGGATTCCCGTGACCACCCTGGTCCCTGACGATTCCCCGCCCCCGCATGCTTTTCCGCCATATTGCATTTTCCGTCTGTCCTCGATTTGATGTTCCCTTCCACCTTCTCATGAATCCGATTCATTCATTGTCCAGAGTCCAGACCTGCTTCTCCGCCTGCCAGTCACACCGCCATGCCACCGACAAGACTCTCCTCCGCGGCGGCGGCTGAGCACCCATCATCTGTGTCCCCTGGCCCTCGTCGTCGAAGCTTTGCATCCGCCTTCTCAGACCCGTCCTCGACGGATCTACAGCACGAAAGCCGACCAGCGTCGGCCAGCAAAGTCGCGCGCAAGGTATCGCGCGCTTGTGATTTCTGCAAAGCCCGCAAGGCCAAGTGCAATGGCGAGAAGCCATGCAACAAGTGCGTGGCCAAATCACGGGCTTGCCAGTATAATGCAAAGTACACACGAGGACGGCCACCCACGCCTCCTTCGAGTGCGACGCCAGCTGCCCAGCCCGATGGTCCTGCAACGGGGGCCGCTGACATGTCGCAGCAGCAGAGTGTCGCGCCGTCAGGCAGGGCGAGCCCTGAGCTTGGTATGGCGGAGATCCAGGGCCAGGTCTTTGATCCAACCTCTGGCTTGACCTTTCTGCACAGGGCGTGGAAGAGGTTGAGTGCCCAGGATGCGAGGAACCAGAGCGAGCAGACCATGAGCGATGCGGTCGTGCGTCCCTCGGTCGAGAATCAACCTGTCACCATGGCGGGCGATCGTCCGCTTCCAGAAAGTGACGATCATACTCCAATACGGCTGCGCTCACCCCCCGAGAACCGCAGGCTTCTCGACTTGTACTTTGAGTTCTGCGTCGCGACATACCGAATTCTGCATCGGCCCTCTGTGGAAAAGTGGCTGTCAGTGGTTGAGCAGAATACAGACGTCAACCAGCCAGTATGGTATGGCATTGGCCACGCGCGTGCCGCCATTGTTCTCGCCTGCCTCGCCCTGGCGACGTGCCACGACGAGAAGTCAAAGGGGTACTTCTCCGCCGACGACGAAGCCCACGCACTGCAGCGCAGCGACGAACTCTTCACCGTGTCCTCCCTGCTCGTGGACGCCGAGACAGGCTACCCCAAACTCGAGTCCGCGCAGGCGCGGCTAGTGCACGTGCTATATCTACTCACAACGTCGCGCTTCAACAAGTCCTGGTACGTCTTTGGCTCAGCCTTGCAGATCATCTCGGCGCTGGGCATGCATCGTCGCGAGAACGCAAAGAAGCGGAGACATGGTGGCCCCCGATCGGACTACATCCAGTCCCAGTGTAGGATGCGGACATTCTGGACCGCCTACGTGTTAGACAACTATCTCGGGGTCGTCTTTGGGCGGCCCAGACATTTTCACGACGAAGACATTGATCAAGATTTCCCGGACCGGGTCAACGACGAGGACATGACGGCCTCTGGACCCAGTGAGGCGCTTGAATGTCAAGAGGACTGTCATATTGACGCCCTTAGTTTCCACGCCAAGTATGATGTTCCGCGGAAGGACACTTTCTCATGCTAATAAGAAGCAGGATCGCCAGAATTATAGGAACCATCTCGCGTGAAGTCTACACTATCAAAGATACCCCTCACGCTGAGCGCGCGTCCGCCGCAAACCGACTCATCCAGAATATCCAATCCTGGTTTGAGAGCTTGCCCGTGCATCTAGGAAGCGTTCGTCCCAGCATGCTCATACCCTCCTATCGGCGACAAGCCACCGTCCTCAAGCTCGCGCACTCTCACGCCATCATGCACGCCAGCCGTCTATTCCTTCTGAGCAACAACCCCTCGGAACGATCACACAGTAACAACTGCATCGCGGCCGCAAGGACCGTTCTTGAAACGGTCAATCGCATGGCCAAAGAGGGACCCATCTTCCACGCCTTCTGGTGGACGCACTATGTCACATTCTGCGCCCTCGTCGTCGTCTACGTATGGGAGATCCAGCAGCGCAAGATGAGCAAACAACCCGCGGACACAACAAGCATCGCGGGAAAATCACGGCAGAGTCTCTTGCAGCTGGCGGACAAATGCCAGACACACCTGGCGAGAGCGACGGCGACGAATAGTCCTAGTAGGCGCTATGCTGTCATCCTCGAAGAGTTCCGCGGTGCAGCGACAGGGCAGCCCACAGCACGCCCCGACGTCACAAGTGCCAATGGCTTGGAGCAGTCGGCGCCGAGGAGCGGAGACCACATTGTCGATGATGGAATGATCATGGGTGCCGACGGGATATGGGACTACGAAGGGGGCATGGCCCCGCTGGACCCTTACCTCTTGGACGAGTGGCAGACGACAGACTGGTTGGATCTGGACAGCTCTGCGTTCTGGCCAAACCTGCAGTTCGACGAATCGATTGTGTGGCCGGTGATAGGCTGACTCAGGATACAGCGGCATTTTGATTCAAGGCAGATCGTGTTAGAATTCCACAACACAATAGGTGCATCCTGGACATTTACATTCACAAGCGAGTTTTACGTCCGTTGACATGACACAAAGAGAATCTATTTTATGGTCTAATCATACATGTAGATCAATCATACCGTGAATTTGGTCTTGTTCTCCTCCCCAGCTTCTCTGGCCACCCTCTTCACATGTTCCTCGCCGAGCTCCTCGAAAATGTCGTACCCCCACCTTGTCTGCCAGTTGAACCTCTTGTTCCTCTCCAACGCGTTCAACCTGTCAAACGCGTCCTTTGGCAGCGCCCTGATCTGGCGATTGGTCTCAATCCTCGACGCCGTCACGCTCTTGGGCAGCACGACCGTGCCGCGCTGCACACCCCACGAGTACAGCACCTGGCCAATGTCCAAGCCCAGCTCCTGCGCGAGCTCCGCGACAAGGGGGTCGTCGACGGTGCGTGGCTCGCCGGTCTGGTTGTTCCCGAGGGGCGAGTAGGCCTCGACGAGGATGCCCTTGTCTTGGCAGTGCTTGAGCAACTGGGGCTGCTGCAGGTAGGGGTGTGCTTCGATCTGGTTCACGGCCGGAACGACCTTGGTCTTGCGCAGCAGGTCGTCCAGCTTGTTCACTGTGAAGTTGGAGACGCCAATGGCCTTGACCTTGCCGCCGTCCAGCAATTTCTCCATCGCGCCGTACGTGACGGCCGGGTCAATGTCCTCCAGGGCAAAGATGCCGCTGCCCTCTTCCAGGGGGAACGACTTGTCGCCCGGGCGGAAGGCCACCGGCCAGTGCATGAGGAAGAGGTCCAGGTACTCCACGTCCAGGTCCTGGAGCGTCTTGTCCAAGCCCTTCTGCACATCTTCGGGTCTGTGGTTTGTGTTCCAGAGCTTTCCGGTGATGAAAATCTCCGAACGGGGCACGCCAGAGGCCTTGATGCCCTCGCCTACTTCCGCTTCGTTCCGGTAGATGGAGGCGCAGTCAACGTGGCGGTAGCCGGTGCGCAGGGCGGTCTCGACAGCTTTGGCAACTTGACCTGGCGGGGCTTGCCACGTTCCAAAGCCCACAGAGGGGATCTTTGCGCCGGTGTTGAGGGTGAAGTGGGTGGGGAGGCTCATTGTAGCAATTGTTTTGCGTCAGGGGTTGGGTAGCTTGGGATACTGAATATCATGGGACTCGACGAGGGTGAAAAAGAAAAAGAAAAAGATATTCGACTTTTGAAGTACTTGAACTCTTAAGAGGGGATAGCGGCGACTGAGAAGCGTGAGTAATTTGTCGTTGAAGTGGTAATTGTTGTAACATGAGGACGCGGATACTTATCCGTCGATGCGCCGCACGCAACTTGACATCGCGGATACCTCGACAGCCACGGAATGCACACGTCTTAGCATCGCTGAGTTGCCGACACGCACACCCACTCAAGTAAACTCATCAAATTCTCAAGAGCTGCCAAGACCACCGGCACGATTCGCGGATAACGCTATGCCATTGGAGGTGAATCAACAATTCAGGTAAGACTCGCCGGATCTGTGCCTAGCTTGGAGACAAATGTTCAATCCTCTATGTCTATCTCTAACCGAGTATTCTGCGCGTGACATACTGCAGGACCAGCCTCGCCATGTCGTCGCCCGTTGCGTAGTCATCTGCATACACTCACTTGCAGGCAAGCTTCTTGAGACGGTCGTAGAGAGGCGATCCGAATCCAGTGGTAGGATCCCATCCCTCGACAGCGCTCCAACCGGCATCGGCCACGTAGGGCGAGGGCAGTCCTTCGTAACTTGTGCCTGGGCAGCCAAGTGTCTTGCCTTCAGTGATACTGCGTGGAACCGTCAGCGTCAGATGCTTAGGGGGAAGAGGTGCAACTCACTCAGTGAAACCGACATTGCCAATGCTGTAGATCCATGGGTTGAGGAATCCCATGGAAGGCTTGCCCTGGTTGAAGCGCTCATTGTTCAAGAGAGCAATCATGGCAGCAAAGACCGGCGTGGCAGCACTAGTAGCATTAGCGAGATTCCGTTCCATTCTCTTCTGCAAGTGAGCATACCTTGTACCACCTGTCACCTCGACGGCCCCGTGATTCATCTCCTGATATCCCCAAGCCATAGCCGCAACGTCGGGGTAGGCGGCACCGTCTGGGTTGTACAGACCCTTCCATTGATCTCCGAGCTTCTCGAGATATGTGTTCACAGCGTCGTCCTGCCACTCGGGACGGTCGAATATCCGGGAGAACCCGCCGCTCGTCCAGTTCCATGCTGTCTCTGGCTGGTTTAGCTCCGTTCCGCCAACAGCGGTGACGTACGGGCAGATGCCGGGGAAAGTCACAGTGAAGGTCGTCGTGTTCAGACCATCGTTTGACTGGCATCCACTGCCCACGCCATGGTTGCCAGACGCGGAGATGACGCTGACGCCACGCGCGCCGAGCTGGCCAAACATGTCACATGCGGCGCGGCAGTACTCCGCGCCCAGGATCTGCTCGTGCATGCTGTACGACATGGACACAACCTGAGGAAGTTCTTCGTCTGGAAGGTCTAGAAGGAAGGACGCGAACATTAGGAAGTCTTCCAGGCCGTAACCAGGACCCATACTGCTATGTTCAGTAACTGGTGCATGCGTCAGAAATAAGAAGGGTACTTACTCGAGATCAGGAATGTAGTCGTAAAGTGCGCCACCGACAGACATGAAACGAATGTTCAGTCCAGCGGCCATACCGACCGCCTGCTGGATGTTCAGGTTCGCCTCGCCGGAGGGATAGTTGTCGCCTTGCGGGTTGGAGCCTCCGTTGACAGGGACAGTGGTGAAGTTGGCGCCATCCGCAAAGGGGGCGAAGCGACGGATGAACTCCTCGAGCTCAGAGTGCTGGGCAGTTTGCTAGTTCATATTAGCACAGATCTTGATCGATGACGGAGGGATGCTACCTACGCCGTTGAAACCAACAATGCCGAGTCGAGTCGCTGGGTTGACCTTGGCCGGCGGGTCGGGGATATTGTACAGCTCGTAAAGACATTCGGGGGTGACAGTGTCTTTGCAAACGTCCATGTCAGGATCCGGGTTGAATCCATCCGTGGGGGCGTGTGCTGCGTTCGGAGTATGAATGGGAGCCTGGCGCTTGTGCTCCGTGCCTATTCCAACGCTGGACATGGGCGCTCTCTGTGCGTGGGAAATGTGGCGGCGAACATCTTGCGGCACAGTGTCGAGGCCGCGCTTCGCTAAGCTGGATGGAGTGGTGGACACAGCTCTGGCCACATGCATTGGTACGTGGGCTTGAAGCCACTGCCCTCGATCAACGAGTTGACCTTCGCCGACTCCTTCGCTGAGCAGCCAGCGCTTGACCTCCTCGGACGCACCGGCAGGCGGCAGCAGCAAAGCCTTGACTTCGTCGCGGGAAAGGTGTCGACCGTAGCTGGCATGGTGAGGGTTGGCGATGTTGTAAATTATGCGCTCAAAGTGGTCGTGGCTTGCCGGGTGAAGCCCAATGAACATCTCCACAAGCTCGAGGGCATGGATTTCAACGACAGGAATGCCATGAGCCAAGGAGGCCACGGCGAGCGTGTTGAGCAGTGGCGCGAGTCTCATCGTTCGGGCTCTTCCTTTGACAGTGAAGGCGAGACTGTTGTTGATGAGGGACTATTTCTCCTGCTGGGCTTTACTTGCTTGATATAGCTTTTTTTTTTTTTTTTTTTTTTTTCCTTGAATTATCGCCAACGGCGACTCCCGCGCGAGGATCCCCACGTCAGACATCTTGCATCGTGGACAATACTAAGCGGGTTGATATTGTTGAGCCCGAGCCAGCCCAAGATATGAGTGAGAACAGACAATCTGCGCGTCCGTGCACCACCAGCCGAAATCGCGGAGATACGCACGGCATGGCCATGTGGCGGGCGACGATTCGGCACGGCACGACGGCCACCATTGTTCACTGCAGGTAATGGAAGACTTGTCGAATTGTGTGATACAGGGGAGTGGCAACAATGGTATCGTGGATGCTGTCAATATGCTGTTGGTTGGAGCAGGTCAGAGCCTAGCTGGCATGATGCGACGAAATCAAGGTGCGTTGGACGGTGAACCCCTCAGCAATACTAGACACGCTCGCAGAAGCAACTGCAACTCGGCCGCTCGGGCCTTCTGGTTTCTTACAGGTCTTCAGTTTATCCGCAGGTTGGCTGAGACCTTTTGCAATCAACTGGCTTGGAAAACTCTAGCTCGAGCCTGAGCCATGGCCCGTGGACGAGACGCGTTGCTTGTACCGTCGTATAGGGGCTTGCTGGCCCAGGAGAGGCGGCCCGCTGGGGGACTTTTGCATATTCGGTCTTCACACACCGTAAGGAGGAAGCGCAGAGGAAGAGGTGACTGCCACAGGTATGACTCAAAGCCTAATAAGTACAGTTGCTTACTGACGATGAACTGAAGATGAACTGGAGTTGCCTGCTAATAATTAGTGGCACCAGTGCTGCCTGGGCTCAGCCGCTCCAGGCAGCCGCTGAGCTGCATCGCCCACCATTCGTCAGATTCTGCCATTTACTGCTCACCGCCAACGGCCATCGGGGTATATAGTTGCACCCGCGCCCGTCTGCTTTCCTCTTCTTTTCTTTTCCCTCCTTAGCTCTCTTTGCCTTTGGCTTAGATCAAGTGTAGTATCTGTTCTTTTCAGTTTAATCTCTGAAAGGTCTTTAAGGAGACCAATCGTGATTATTCTTATTTTTGGTCTCTGGGCGGTTTCCTCTGTGCTTGCGCATGATTCCGCCCACAGTGTCCCTGGTATTACACTGCCTCCAGGTGACGCGACTTTTCTCATTGCTTGCCGGGCTTGCCCGGGTGGTGAAGAGGAAAACGTTGAATGTAATGGACTGCAACGCCGTTCAGCCCACGTTGGTTGCGAGTTACGTATGTGTTTCGCACATCGTTAGGTTTGATGTATGTGTGAGGGAAGCGCCACAGCCTCAGCGACACTCAATCATCACCTTTGAGATTGCCAACGTGCCCACGATCGCAAGGTCCAGCTAGAGTGACGAGTGATGTTGTTGTAATCGCCTCATGATTGAAGGTCGTCGTAAAGTAAGTCCAATCAATGCTAGACCAGTAGACCGCGTTTGACGGCCGTGAACCCCAAAACTCTGACAACTCCAATCCTCATATACAAACAAACTCAATTCTCTCACCTCACCTGAGGCTTGACCACCAACACTACCATCATCACACTCGCCGAGATGTCTTCACAAACCCTGCTCCACCCCGAGATTTTCACCTCCCTCAATGACCGTATCGAAGAGGAGACTGCCGTCCGCGAGACTCTCACCCAGATCATTCAACGCCTCGAGCGCGCCGTCGCCACAGCCCAAGCCCTCCTCTCCCGAGTTCACGGAACACCTCGCGCTCGCTGTACGTGCCTTATCCAAGCCCGCTCGCTACCTTCCACCCATCCTGCAAGATCCGCAATCACTAACAGACTTGACCCCCCTCAGACCCCGCCCTCATCGAGCAGGTCGAAGCCGTCATCGGGGAGCAAAGAGAAATAATCGGCGAACTCAGCAAGACAGCCTCCAATCATCCTTACTACAAGTACAACAGCAAATGGTCACGCACCGTGCAGTCCGCCATCACCACAGCCATCTACACAGCCTGGCTCGGTGGCTTTCCGCTGGACGACTCCCCCGCCCGTCTAGGCCGGCTCGCCACCCTCGAGGACATCGGCAAGATCTACCAGGTGCCCACGAATCTCAAAGACAAGGATGCCTTCCACATCACAATCGAAGAGTACCTCCTCGCCCTGACAGAATTTACCTCGGACCTGTCGCGTCTGGCCATCAACAGCGTGACCATGGGCGACTTTGAGCTCCCGCTCGTTATCTCGGCATTCATCAAGGACCTCTTCGCCGGCTTCCAGGTCCTCAACTTGAAGAACGATATCCTCAGGAAGCGTGCCGATGCCGTCAAGTATGACGTCAAGCGTGTCGAGGATGTGGTCTACGATCTGAGCCTGAGAGGGCTGGTGAAGAGGCCGACAGATGCGGACACCGAGATGAAGACGGGAGCGTAGGGGACAAAACGTGACTCAAGGACAACATGTCAAGGTCAGGAAATCACAACTTGATAGGAGGCACGTATCAGCAATTATGTTCTCCAGATTCAAAGGTTACTACTACTAAGCTCGCATCCTCGCGGAGTTCAAACGTGCAAGTCTCCTTTTTAAGTGTGAAAGCACCATGTAGACTCCGAAACAATGCAAGATTGACGTTGTCGCCTCCTTGTAAACCTCCCCGGTTAATCATGCCTGAATGTGCACTTGTCGCCCCTCGCGCACTTGCCCTGCTGCCAAAACGTGCACGGCTTCGTCCCAATAAGCGCCGCATTGGGCGGCTTGTGAATGGTTGATGGACCCGGCTTGTTCTTCTTTTTGTCCTTATTCCTGTTGTTCTCTCTTCCATACTCGTCCCGACTGTAGTCATCCCAGTCATTGTGGTCCAGGTTGTGGCGGTCGGAGTCCCTAGTGTCCAGCCCTCTACCATAGTCGTGTCCATCATTAGCTGGCAGAGACTGCTGTTGTCCAGGTTGGAAATCGGGATTATACCCGTAGGCGCCAGACGCGTTTGCCTGTGGTTGGCCTTGCCCGATGGCAGCGAGGATAGCCTGCATTTGGTCAGGCTGCTGAGGCGGCTGTGCCGGCGCCGGTGGCTGAGATGGCTGCCCTCCGCTCATCTGCTGCGCCAAAATCGCCATGTACGGGGCATACGCCTGCTGTTCTTGGGGCGAGGCGCGCGCGTACCATGCCATCCAAGCCTGCGCGTCAGCGCCTGAAGCCTGCGGACCTACAGGCTGTGAAGCCATCTGCGCAGCTCTGTCTGCACCAGCCCTCGCGCGCTGCTCGTCTGCCCGCCTTTGCCGGGCAGCAGCATCCTTGTTATACACAAACCACCATTCCCGGATCCTTTCCTCGTCATGCTGCAACCAATCAGGAGGCGCTGTCGCTGGGTACGGCTTTCCCGCTAAAAGCCTGACTGCAGCCTCCAAAACCGCGCCGGAAGTCTTGGTCTGGGGATCTTTATAATGGTGAACGCGGTGTATGTCAGAGGCCACAGGGTTCGGGTCGCGCCAAGCCTGGGCGCGATCAGATCTAAGCAGGGCAACGACCTGTTCGGCAATTGTCGTGCCCATGGCAAGTGGCACATTGGTGTCGGTGCCGCCCAGTTTGGGAGCAGCGACGCTGGTGACAGCCTGGGCTGTAGTTGATCCGCCCAGACGCCCGAGTATCGAGTCTAGCATGTTTGCAGGGCTAGAGGTGGTCCCCAGACGCTGCAATGCTGAATACAAAGCGCCATCAGCGCCCACTTGCTGCTCGTCCCGCCACCGGTTATGGACCTCTTCGTACTTAGGTTCTTCCGCGGGCAAGTTGCCCACCCTGTACACACCACCACCGGTGACAGCCTCCATCTTAGGTGAGCTTGGCGACGGTGGGATGTCAGCGTCGGTGGCATAGGCGGCAATCAGCACCTCGCCCTCGCGCTTAGCGATGGCTTCCTGTTCCTCGGTCCTGAACGTCACTCGGCCGCCTCGGGTCACGTAATTCTTGTCACGCGTGGATTCAGGCAGCGGCGAGTAGTCCAAGCCTAGGGGCGCCATCCATGGTTTGAAGGGCACCTCGTCGTCCGAGTCCGACTCGTCATCTTCCACATTGGCCCTCTGCTTGAGCACCATACCCTCAGACTTGTCATCAGCAGCGTCCCGGACCAGGTTTACGTGACGGCCCTCGTCCTCGGACTCTTCCTTCTCGAAAACCTTGAGCTGCACCAGCTCACTAGCGGGCTTCCACGACACCCGCAGGTTTCTGCGCGACTCTTTGCGTAGCCTCTTCATCTTCTCCTCCTCCGTTTCCAGTGGCGGCGTTCCCTTCTTCGCCTTTTCTTGTACTGGACCTGCGGCAGCTGCCTTTGCTTGCGGTGTATTGATTGAAGCCAAAAGTGATCCAATGCCAGACAAGGCGCCAGAGGAAGGCTCAGGCCCCATCGTAGGCGCTGGTGGCTTTACCACCTTCTTCTTTGCCTCCACCTTAGGCTTATCCTCGCTCGCTTCAGGCTTCAAACTTGGCTTGCTAGGTGCCGCCCTCGCCCGATCACCTATTGTAGAGGCACCCTTTGCTGCTGTCGACTTGGAGGCGGACTGCAACTGAATCTTCGGTTGGGCGAGCTTCTTCATAAGGGAGCTACCGCCCGTCGACTCGGTCGCGACTCTTTTCACCGTCCGGCCATCAGCCGTGTCATCGGTTCGCCCACGCTTGGTACTCGCTGGGTCGGTAGTAGGCTTAGCCGCCGCCGCCCTCGCTCGTCCAGCGGCCGATGTGCCCGAATAGCCTGTTGACTCGGCTTCCTTAAGGGCCTTCCTGACTTTGATAGACACTTCACGAACAAGCTCCTTCGTTTCATCGTCACCCTTGTCGCTAAAACGCTTGCGAACGGTGTCGAAATTGGTAGTCTCTGCAATCTTCTTGTTCATCGGGATGTGTGTGAACAGCTCAAACACGACTTTCGGCAACTTGCCAGTGAAATCGTTCGCCTTGATAGAGCCAATCAAGACGTTCACCAAGCTGAGAATCAGCTTTTGGTGGGTGCCTAGGTTGTCAATAATAGCGTCATCTGCATGTTCGATGGTGGCGTCGAGTGCTCGGTGCAGTGCCATTTTTCTCTCCTCTGCAGCCTTCCTCAGTGTCGCAATCTCGGCATCGGGTTTCTTGTCCGACACCGCCTGGTCAAGCTGCTGCTTAGCCTGGTTCATGTCACCCCGCAGCTTGATGAAAAGATCGCCAGCTTGCTGAATGCGATTGGCAATGGGACTGTTGGTCTTGCTGGCAGAAGGGTCGACGCGAACGATGCCGATGGCGTCCCATGCAGCTCCTTCTACAATGTCATCGGGTCTGGTAGGTGGGCGAATCGGTTTGCTTTTGTCCTCCTTGAACTCTTTCTTCGCCTTCTTGTTCTTCGACAGCTCATCTGCCTTGAGTTGCTCCTTGAATGTATCTGAAACCGTTAGTAGCTTTCGGACATGGTGCGGGTCGAGAATGCTTACGAGGATACTCGGTGTATTTGGGCCTTCGTTTCCCGGTGGCTTTCATTGAGGTCTCGAATTCGTCCAGGAGCGCCTGAGCTTCCAGGCGTCGCTCATCCAGCCCCAGCTTGTCGGGTGCTGGAGCGTACTTGCTGGCAAATCTCCCCTGGATCTCGGCCGGTAGATCATACCCAATTCCTGGCACAAGGGGCTTTTTGCTTCTCGAGGGGGTTGCCACCAACGGCGCGAGCTTATCATAGCTTTTTGGAGCCGGAAGCTTGACGGATCCGAGGCTGACGAGATTTGGCAGACCCGCAATGGGGGGGAACTTGGTTTGTGCAGCTTTTGTACGCCTACAAAATGTGTTTATAAGTTGCGCCTCCTCAGAGCTTTGCGTAGGCGGAGGCAGCGAGTCCAATTCCTCGAAGCGAGAGTGAATCTCTGTCGCGGACGGAGGGGCTTCAGGAGCTGGCGAGAACGTAGCCGACTCCACGGTCCGTTGTCTCTTGGGGGACGGCTCCTCTACGTACCCGGCCGCGGGTGTCGGTTGGTATGGAGCCTTTTGCGGCGGCTGCGGCGTCCCACTCTGTCCATACACCAAGGGCTGTGGTTGCGTAGCAGAGAATTGCGGTGCTGCCGACTGCCTCAGGTTGAATTGGTTGTTGGGTAGTGCCTGGGGGTACGGTGAGGATTGCTGCTGGTACTGCGGCTGTGGATGACTCGTTTGATAAGAGGCTGTCTGCTGACCATTGCTGAGTTGCGACGCGTATATCTCTGGTGTGTAGTTTTGCTCTCTAGGTATCGGTGGAGTGGGCGATGGTCGCAACTGCGTGGACGCGATGTTATGAGAGTAATTCGGAGCAGGTGCCTGGGAATACTGGTGCTGTTGTGCTTGGGAGTACTGCGGCCGTTGCTGTTGTTGCTGCTGTTGTTGCTGCGGTTGTTGCTGTTGGCCAAGTTGGGTTTGCGGATTAAAGTCGGCGAAGGCGTGGTGGGAGAATCCTTGCTGCGGTTGCGCCTGTCCAGCCTGATGTCCGTTGTTCTGCTGACCGTACGGATCACGCTGTACATCACTGAATGATGCGCCATTGAGCAGGCTCTGTCCATTATACTGTCGGCCGAGACCTAGTGGTTCATGACCACCAGTGTAGTTGGAGAACTGGTTCGAATCGTGATATAGGTTGGCCGGGCTGTCGATGTGGCTCACTTGCGGCTGGGCATACGTTGCACCGCCTGGCGTCTGATTCTGGGGCGCCCAGTTCTGTTGCTGGTTGAATTGGCCGTCTTGAGGGGCAAAAGCGTTGAAGTTGCTCTGCCAGGAGCTGTTATCGTCGCCATTGCCTCCTTGGCCCTGCCATGACTGCATTATGCTCTTGCACAATGCTCGATGGAAATTTCCCAGCCGTGCGCGACCAGACTACTATATGATACAACGTCAGTCTAGCTATTCCCCCTTCAACTGGCATTCTGATGCCATCCCAACAGTAATAACAGTGATGCTTGATGGAAAATGATCAATTGGGAGACTCGGACGCGCCAAACGAGCGTGAAGGGAACGAAGTGGAGCAGCCACATATGCCACTGGGATGCACGTGAGGTGCATTAACGTGAGACAATGAAAAGAAGGCGTACCACTGATAACGGCTGAAACGCGGTTATATTGCACGCGCGGATCGCTCAGTTCTGTCGCCGCGCTAGCCCGAATTGGGGAGTAGTGGCAGGGATCGTGCATCAAAATCCTATCACGCCAAGCGTGAGGATAACGAGTCTGTTGTCGTTGGAGAAGATCTATAAAGACTAATTGTTTGTCAGAAGGAAAGTTCCGCAAAAGAGTCGGGTTAATGAAGGGTATAGGGGGGTTCTGAGAGAGAAGCGCACAGCAATGCACCGTGATCTCCGACAGGCAGCATGGGAAGGGGCATTGCAAGAGCCACAGATCATTGTTCGCCTCGAGACAAAGACCATCGATCCCAAAGGCGCGTCGAGTTCAGTGTGAGCTTTGTAATGCCGGATGGCTTGGACCAGCTCGAACAGAGCGACCATTTGAAGTGCAGCGCGCACTGGTGACGGCCACTTCGAGATGGCTGTCTGGTAGGAGGGACCAGCGCCAAAGGCGCAGCAGCTGCTGTTGGGTCGCATGGGGCCAAGCATCGATCGTCACAAGTATATTCGTGACGCCGACCGAGAAAGAGTCTGCTGTCCTTGAGTACAGTCTGCCCGCTTTACTGCCCATCCATGGTAATGTCGTCGAACATGACTTGAGCCTGCCACAGCAAGGTTTACGCCAGTGATGGTGAGCTTGCACATGCCTGCTACCACACAAAGCTTCAAGCCCAAATAGGCAGAACACCAACGGACAAGCGCAAGGAGATTTCCCAGACTTGCATTAAGGTACAAGTTGAAACCCCACTGTGGCAGGGTTACGTTGAAGAACACACTCATGGGCGCGCGTCAAGCGCGAGTCCAGTAACAAAGTCCACAGCTGAAGTCCGGCGTAACAAGGGGAAACATGGTGATGCGAATGGGTTCGAGTAAGGGAACCTACCTGATTGTTCGCGACCCAAGGATTAATGTCCCTTCCTAACGCTTTAATTGTGTTGCGAAGTTGGGATTGCCGCAGGGTGACAAACACCAACAATAGAGGGCGAGGTTATCTGCTAGCCCGTTGCATGCACCACCACGTCCAGGGTGAAATGATTGCGTGAATAAGGACGAGTAAACGACGGGGAAATGGGTGGGCCGCGTGGGAAATTCAGAGTCCGTCTTCTCGTACCTTTTGTACATACGCAACACAGTTCTAAAGATTGCAGGATGCTAAGGCCGGCTTCGATGGCTGGTTATCAGGTGGTTGAAGGAGCGACGTTGAATGGGGAGGGAAAACATGGGCTCATCACCAGAACAGCTGCGCTGGCATGGCTGTAGCTCCGCCGTTGCGGCCTCAGGCGCAAGGCACCTGACCCCGGAGCTACTGACGGTCCGTCGTCATCCCACCCGAGTGGATTCCAGGTGGTCGTCGACCACCAATCACAGCAACCCATGCTGAACTGAGCTCTAGGTGGGCAGTGACATCGTGGCCCGAACATGGGGAGCTATCTTGCAGCCAGGAATTGCAGGCCAAAGTTGAGTTCTGTCCGCATTCAATTTAGACAGAGTCTCTCCTGCTGCTTTTCTGCTCCCATTCAGTACGGACAATCGTCATGGCGACCCGCGGCACTTCGCTGCGCGACCGCCAGATTGGTACGTCCACTGCTCGCTCACATGTCAGATCTAGCTGACATGGATAGCCTCTTTGAAGAAGATCCTCAACCTCAACGAGACGGTTCAGTCGAATGAGACAGAAGATGCGCAAGCTCAAGCCCTCCATGCGCCGGTAGCGCCCATTCTCGACACGGAAGGAAACCCAATCTGGAAAGTCCTGGTGTTCGATGACTTCGGTCGCGATGTCGTTAGCAGCGTGTTGCGACTGGCGGATTTGCGCATGATGGGAGTGACGATGCACAAGTTGGTATACACCCCTGGAGGATGACGACTCTGGCTTACGCTCGCAAAGGCACATTGGCACCGCGCGACATCCGATACCTGACGTTCCTGTCATCTACCTGGTCGAACCCAGCGCACAAAATCTCCAATCGATCACGACCGATCTCGAAAAGGGTCTGTACTCGCCGGCGTACATCAACTTTCTGTCCTCTCTTCCCCGTCTTCTGCTGGAGGACTTTGCGACGCAGACGGCGACAGCAGGAACGTCAGAACACATTGCCCAGCTATATGATCAATACCTCAACTTTATTGTTACGGAGCCGGACCTGTTCAGCTTGGGCATGCAAAAGGAACACACATACTGGGCACTGAACAGTGCTACCACGAGCGACGCGGAGCTAGAGAGGGTGGTGGATCGCATTGTCACTGGGCTTTTCAGTGTGGTGGTCACAATGGGTAAGCACCTCGCTAGCATTGCGATGCACGAGAGCTAATCGGACCAGGTGTCATACCCATTATTCGATGTCCCAAAGACGCTGCGGCCGAGATGGTGGCCGCGCGGCTCGATCGCAAGCTACGAGACCATATTCTAAACTCCAAGGACAACCTCTTCTCCGAAAAACGCCAGGGCGCTGGAGCCACGTCGCAATCTAGACCTGTGCTTGTGCTCCTCGATCGCAACGTGGACTTGACGACGATGCTATCTCACTCATGGACATATCAGTCCCTCGTCCACGACGTCCTCAAGATGTCGCTGAACAGGATCACGCTCGAACTCCCGAAAGACGACAGCAACCCTAGTGCAGGAACGTCAAGGAAGGTTTACGACGTGAACTCAAATGATTTCTTCTGGACGAAGCACGCGGGTGCACCCGTTGTCGAGGCTGCCGATTCGGTCGACGCGGAGTTGCTGAAATGGAGGGAAGAGTCGACAGCCATGACACAAAAGGCCGGTGCCTCCAACTTTGAAGATCTGGAAAACGAGACGAGCGCGGCGACCCAGCATCTGAAGGCGGTGATAGGCGAGCTGCCGGAGATGCAGGAACGCAAGGCGACGTTGGACATGCACATGAACATTTTGACGGCGATATTCAACGGCATCAAGACAAGGCAGGTGGACAATTTCTTCCAGCTTGAGGAAGAGGTCATGAAGCAGACCAAGGATCAGATCATGGAAGTCGTCAAGGGTGAGGACAAGGGCAACGACCCCACGGACAAGCTGCGACTGTTTATCATCTGGTTCCTCAGCACCGAGCAAGAGCTCAACCGCACCGAGTTTGAAAGTTTCACCAAGGCCCTCGAGGCTGCCGGGGCAGACGTGTCATCGCTGCCCTATATCCGACAGTGAGTATATGCAGACTACATACACGACGACGTTTGCTAACAGCTCGACAGAGTACGCGCTACGACTAAGATGACTCAACTCGCAACCGTCAACAAGACGCAGCCCCAACAACAAGGCAGCACAGACCTCTTTGGCCGATTCTCTTCAATATCAACGCGTCTCACCGACCGCCTGAAGGAGACTGGCGTCCATACTGGACTGTCATCCAACTTTGAGTCGCTCGTCAGCGGCGTGAAAAACTTCTTGCCGGTTGACAAGGACCTGACGGTGACGAAGATTGTAGAATCGATAATGGACCCCTCCCAGGCCTCATCGTCAGCCATTGCCAAGACAGAAAATTATCTGTACTACGATCCACGGTCAGCGAATGCACGTGGTGCCATGCCACCACCAAGCACGTCGCGACAGGGCAACAGCAATATGCCAGGCGGTCTCCCTGGGTCGATGGGGCAGACGGCCAGCTTCGGTCAACGTAGGCAAGGGTACAGTCAGGCGATTGTGTTCACCATTGGCGGCGGCAGCATGGAGGAATACGGCAACTTGCAGGATTGGGTCACGAGGACGGGCGGAGAAACAGCCCGTAGAAGGGTGGTGTACGGGAGCACGGAAATGATCAACGCGGCCGAGTTCATCAAAGAGGAGCTCCAGCGGCTGGGCCAGGAGGTGGCGGCGTGAAGTGAAGTAACCATAGAAGCGTAATGAGGACATGTACAAATCATCAACATACAGACCATAGGCCAATTGATCGGGGTATTTTTATATGTTTTAAAGGTGCCAATAGTGCCGTTGTAAGCAGGGTGAAGGTTGTGTTTGCTCACCACCAAAACCTAGCCACTGAGCCAGCAAGCGCGTTGGCGGGAGGCACGGCCGAAAATGACAATGTCGGTCCGCGCACAGGAGTCAGCATTGGTTTCTGTGCTTCACGGCATTCTCCCTACATCAACCGTCCAGGCCGCCATCTACGGCTGCGCATCCCTCCATCTGCAGTCATCCATCTTGATAAAATCACCACGGTTCTCACATTCCATCATCATAATCATTCGAGGTCAATTGCATCCAGATTGCCGAGGGCCTCAGCGCGCTCAGCACCATTGGGACGGCCCAACACCCTCACCACGCGTACGAACCATCTCTTCTTGTCTCCTCGAATCGACACAGCATAGCAATGAGTGCGAAATCACCGCTACGCGAGGTGGCACCGCGAAAAGCAGGCTACAAGTCATGGAAGAAGAAGTATCGCAAGATGCGCATCGGGTTCGAAGAGACGATGCAACAAGGAGACGACATCTTCAAGGAGGAAGCCAAAGCCGCCGCGACTGTGAAGAGGATAGCAGTTGAGAATGAGTAGGTGATATCCTCGCCCATCTTCCCCCGTGGCGCACACGCCTATCCAGCACCTTTGGACTAACCCCAGCCACAGCCGGTTAATGGACTTCTTACAAGACATCAACAACTCGCCGCAGATCCCGCCCGAGAAGCGAGTCGACGTGTCCATACCAACGGAGAATGGCGCCACCCCCGACACGACGACACAGCGATCAGACCCCAGCAGCCTCAAGAGACTGGACGACCTGCAGCGGGACGTGCCGCACCTGTCATTCGAGACGGCCAAGGAGACCAACCCAAGCTTGCTCGCGGAGCTCGAAAAGGACGCGGCGGAGACCTACCCGTCGCACTTCCTCACCCCCGACGACGTCGACAACTATCTTCACATGATCGACGCCTCGCTCGATCCGGAGACCCATATCCCGACGCTGGCCCCCATGGCCCATCCGAGCGAGCATCCCCCCCAGCACCCTCTCCTTCGTAACCCCAACAGCAGCACCAGCTGGCTCCGCAAGCACGCGCCCCACATCTTCCTCCAAGCTTCGGGCGGGGACGGCGCCGAAGACCATGACGACGACGGACACACCAAGAAGGCCCGCGGCGGACCCAAGGGCGAGCGCGGCAACGCGGGCAAGAGCCGCGGGAAGCGCGCGAGCAACGTGGCGCCTCGGCCGGACAAGGCAGCGCACGCGGAGGCGGGCGATGTGAGCGTGGACGACGACGGCGAGCCCCCGGCCATCAAAGGCAAGCGGAAGCGAGACGATGATGGCGGGTACAGGCCCAAGGGAGGCTCTAGTGCGCGACCGACCAAGAAGAAGCGTAAGAGCGAAGGAGCGGCTGCGGAGACGATGAGCAGCAAAAAGTCGAAGAAGGGCACGCCTGGCCCCGTGGTAGAGCCCGTGAGCTAAGTCGAGGGCGCAAAAGGCACGGTCTGGATTGTGAGAACGGTCTGGATTGTGAGAACGGTCTGGATTGTGAGAGAGAGTGGAAGCAGGCTCAAATCATTTGTACGATAGCAAACGAGCGTCGGATATTCTAAGTCGATCAAGGGGTTGCAGGATCCAGGAGTGAGGCGATCACGTTTTGGTCCACGGTAAAGGAAGGATGGAGCTGGTTGCCAGCCAGTCATTCACATTAGAGCATGAGTGTGATTTCGCACTATCAACGAAATTGATTGGGTTGTACGATTTGCTGCTTGACGGCGCTCAGGGACGGCATTGTATACTACGCGGGAGACAATTGCGCTCTATGGAACCACCAGAAGGAAATGAATCATCGCACTTGACGTTGTATCGAGCGGAAATGCATGGATATCTACTGCCGAACTTGGTCTGGAAAATCGTGCCATCATATATACATTGCCTCCTCTCTTGCTTGTCTATAATGCTATGTGCATGCTTGCTACGAACAGAACCCAGTTGCCCCGGGTCTACAGCTTCTCCCTGAGCAGGTTCTTCATCCGCCTCTCGACGGCGTTCAGGTACTCATTTGTGGTGACGTAGTCCTCGCGGCCCTTCTTGCCGCACGCCAGAGCCAGGTCCTTGGTCATGATGCCATCCTTCTGGACGGTGTCGATGCAGGCCTGCTCGAGCGACTCGGCAAAGGCGACGAGCTCGGGCGTCTCGTCGAGAACGCCGCGCTGGGAGAGACCGCGGGTCCAGGCGAAGATGGAGGCGATGGGGTTGGTGGAAGTCTCGTTGCCCTTTTGGTGCTCGCGGTAGTGGCGGGTGACGGTGCCGTGGGCGGCTTCCGACTCGAATGTCTTGCCGTCGGGGGTGATGAGGACGGAGGTCATGAGGCCGAGGGAGCCGAAGCCCTGGGCGACAATGTCGGACTGGACATCACCGTCGTAGTCTGCCATGTCAGCTTACAGCTCTTAGTACAAGAAGCGCTCACTACTCACTCTTCAAGGCCATGATGTAGCCGCCGCTGCTCTTGACCATCTGGGCGACCATGTCGTCGATCAGACGGTGCTCGTACCAGATGCCCTTGGCGTCAAAGTCCTTCTTGTACTGGGCCTCAAAGATCTCCTGGAAGATGTCCTTGAAGCGGCCGTCGTACTTTTTGAGAATGGTATTCTTGGTGCTCATGTAGAGAGGCAGGCCCTTGGCGAGGGCGAGCTTGAAGGAGGCGTGGGCGAAGCCGGCGATGGACTCGTCCGTGTTGTACTGGGTCTGGGCGACGCCGCCGCCGTTCTTGAAGTTGAAGACCTCGACCTCCTCGGGCTTGCCGCCCTCGGGTGTGAAGACCATGGAGAGCTTGCCGGGCCCGGAGATGACGGCGTCCTTGGCACGGTACTGGTCGCCAAAGGCGTGGCGGCCGATGATGATGGGCTTCTCCCAGCCGGGGACGAGGCGGGGAATCCGGGGGATGACAATGGGCTCGCGGAAGACGGTGCCGCCGAGATGGTTGCGGATGGTGCCGTTGGGCGAGAGCCACATCTTCTTGAGCTTGAACTCCTCGACGCGGGCCTCGTCGGGGGTGATGGTGGCGCACTTGATGCCGACCGAGTACTTCTTGATGGCCTCGGCGGCGTCGAGGGTGACCTGGTCGTTGGTCTGGTCGCGGTACTCGAGGCCGAGGTCGTAGTACTTGATGTCCATGTCGAGGTAGGGGAAGATGAACTTGTCCTTGATGGACTGCCAGATGATGCGGGTCATCTCGTCGCCGTCGAGCTCGACGACGGGGTTCTTGACCTTGATCTTGTTGAAGGCCATGGCGGCGGACGCGGAGAAGAAGCGAGGAGAGGAGATTGTCTGGACGGCGCCGAAGCGTAGAGGCGCGCTGGTGAGGGCGGAGGAGGAGCGGCGAAGGGAGAGACGTAGGGCGCTCATGGTGAAGGAGAGGAGGGAACCGGGTATATCGCACAGAGAGCGATCGAGCAGTCGATACACGCTCGGGACTTGTCCGAGAGGGGCGCCTTGGAGTGGTGAACGAACACCTGCTTGAGCCGAGGGTATAGCGAAGCTGCTTTGCCGACTAGACCAGCGGGTGGCGGCGGGCGGGACGTTTTTGGAGAAGAGCCTGAGACTGAGATGGAGATGGAGCCGGTTGCGCGGAGTGACGTCGGGCCACTGAAGTAGGAGCCGAAGCCGATGCAATGCGCCAACGGCAATGTCAAGTGCGAGAGCGTTGAATTATGTGCGGTTTTGGGGAGCCAACGACACAGGAGGGAGGATGCAAGCTTTTTGTTGCTCTATTTTTCCCTCTTCTGCCCGTCTGGGTGAGTAAGTCCCATGCCCCAGGCCACACACAGGCCAAATTGGGGCGCCGAGAATCGGCGGGTGGTGGTAATGCCGCGATACCAGTTAATACCGCAGTAACCGCACCGGACGCGGCCCAGTCAGTCTCAGGTAGTTAATTAATAGTCGTTGTCATGTTCTTCACGTAACTGATGGGGCCTTGCCCCTTCTAGTGGACTAATTGATCATTTCCTGCGGGACCATCTTCCCAAGGTACTGCACTGTCTCGCCCTACCCTACACGGTTCCTCCACGTCCATGAAGCTAGGGGCGCTCAACGTGATACACGTAACTCGATGCTTGCAAAATAACAGTGAACGACAGAACCCTCCATCACAAGACACGCAATGCATACTTCCGTCAATCCGGGGTTGCGGGGAAGCCCAGCTCACCTGCCCTTTGCATTAGCTGTGCTGTTCTCCCTCTCCGCACACTCGGCTGAATTGAGCCATTACTTGCGTGACGGCGACTGGTCACCCGCCCCATCACAATGTGACTCTGCAAATGCGCCGTCGCACCCATCAGTCGTAAATACTCTACGTAGCTCTCGTCATACAGAGTCCAAGGCAAAGCAAGCAGTCAGCCCATGCAGACTGGACAGGACTACACCTCGAAAATATCACCGTGGCCCTCGCCGCCTCCACGCCGCACGTCGACAATGTCTAGCCTCCAGCCTTCCCAGTGCTTCAGCGACCTCTTGATCTCCTTGATCCTCTCCAGCCTTCGACTGGCCTCTTCCTGCTGCGCCTGCCTAAACGCATCCTCGTCAATGTCCATGTCGTCGTCGTCGTCAGGGAGGAGGTCATCCGTGCCCGCCAGCGCATTCAGTCCGCTCGTGAAGAACTCGCCAATGCCACCGCCGCCGCCGTGCGATGCCTTCTTTGGCGGCGCGTGGCCTCCCGACAGGTCGACGTCCTGGAAACCGGGACTAGAGGCCTCCATCTCGCGTCGCTTGTCGATCCATTGCCCGCTGCGGAGCTCATGCAGCTCGGATTCGAGGCTGCGGATCTTGCGCTCCAGCTTCGTGCGCTCCTCGTTCTCGAGCTCATCCACGCCCTCGTCATCAAGGCCTCCACCACCACCCTCAGTAGACTTGCGACTCTTGAGCTTTGCATTCTCGCTTTCCAAGCTCTCGACCTTGGACTTGAGCTCCCCAACCTCCTTGTCCGCGGCCTCCTTCTCTTTTCGTAGACTTTGTAGCCTCCCATCTTGCTCCTTGTGCAGCGTCGTCAAAGTAGACACCTTCTTCTCGACAGCGTCCAGCTTCTTCTCCATATCCTCCTTGGCGGTCTTGACTTGGGCGAGCTCCGTCTCCAAACTGTGCAACTTTGTCTCGGCACTCGAGCGCTCACTGCCCTCCTTGACTGCTTTTTCCGCTGTACGGTCCAGGTTGCGCTTGACGTCCTGTAGCTCGCGCTGTGCTTTGCCTGCCGCCGCCTCCGCGCGCGCCAGCTTCTCCTCAAGGGCGGAAACCTGCCCCTTCTCCGTCTCGGCCCCGGACTCCTGGCGCTCGAGGCGGGCTTTGAGCTGGGAAATCTCAATCTCCATAGATTCAATGGTCGAAGATTTGCTGTCCAGTTCGGCCTGGAGGTCAGGAGACGGTGACGCGACGGACACGGACGCGCGGTGGCCATGGCCTGATTTGGACACTTGTTGCTGGAGCTGCATGTTTTGTCGTTCGAGTGATGCGATTTCGCTCTTCTGTGACCACTGTGAGCAGGGGGGCCTCAGGCACAACGCACGGCCGACCAATGACCTACCAATTTCTCGACATCATCGTCCTTTGGCGCATCGCCCTCGGCTTCCCTCAGGTCGGCGAGCTCATCCTCAGCCTTCTTCCACCTCTTCTCGCTGTCGCCGGCTTCTTTTTCCAGTCGCTTGTTCTCCTTCTCTAGCTCTTCTATGCGCGCAACGTGCTTGCGGTAGATGTCTGGTGCAGTGTCGCCGCCCTCGGCTCCGGAGGACGTCGCGCCGGCACCACCAGCGCCGGCACGGAAGGAGGTGGAGCGCATCTTGGACTGTTGCGCAAGAGACGGCATGGCAGCATCGTCTGCCTTGTCGTCCTCGCTTGCCTTGTCGTCATCGGCGGCGGCTTCTTCGGGCTGAGACTGCTTCTCCTCGGCCGCTTCCGCTGCTTGGGCGTCGGTCGATGGCTCAGGCTGCTCTGCGTCCTCGGCGGGAGGCTCCTCATCTGGCTCCTCTTTTGGTGCCTCGCCCTTCTTTTTGGATGCGCCACCCTTCTTCTTCTTCTTCATCGCCTCGACCTAGGCCTTGTCAGCGGCATCCTGGTACAGGTGGGGGATTGCGTGACGGACGCGCTTCTTGGCGGCGGCGATCTTCTCCTGGCGCGCCTTCTCCTCTGCATCGGCCATGTTGATGATTGTTTAGCGGTGTCAGGCAGATGGGGAGTGACTAGGGCTCGTCAAACGTGCAATTGTCCAAATTGGATGACTGCTGAAAGTCATCGAGCTATGCAGCTGCCGGAGCGGCTGCCGTCATAGCTCGAGACTGGCTAAGTGGCCTCTGGAGTGGATATGCGACCGATTAGGCTAGCGTGAGAACTACCCCTGGATTCGGTCTTAGGTCTTTAGGGTAGGCTGTATGCCTCGGAACCAGCAGTCTACACACGTAACCACATGTACGTCCGTTTCTAAATCTACATCACTAGGGGGGGGGGGGGGGGGGGGATTCCACAAAGGGTCATTCATCTTCTTAGCCACACTCGTTCAATCCAACAGGAGTAGCATATACGAACAATCCGTGAGCTGCCTATATTCATATAAGCCTCCAGCGGCCAGCTCTCGCAGTATCCCTCACGCCCTCTCCTCCTTGATCTGGATACCTGCACCAGATTCAGAGATGATCGTCGTCTTCTGCAGACTCCTCTTGACCGGCTGGGGGTCGTTGAAGATCTCGTCAATCTCTTCCAACGTGCGCCCCTTGGTCTCCACGCACGACCACCACATGACCGCGTTGTGCACAAAGTGGAGGATGAGGAAGATGGTGTAGGTCTTCCAGCCAATGTTCTTGAGCGACACCGAGGTGCCGTACGTGTTGATGAAACTCGACAAGCCCGTAAGGAGACCCTTGATACCCATCCCCTTGGCGCGGATCTCGTTGTTCAATATCTCCGCCGGGTAAAGGGCTTGCAGAGGCGTCCAGCAGAAGCCCCAGAAGATGCCGTAGCTGAACACCATGGCGATGAAGGCATATGCCTGTGACCGAGGGATGGTGCCCTCGTCGTAGCCCTCCGCACGGGCCGCCAGCACATTGATGGGGATGTAGACGAGGCCGGTGAGGAATGTGCCCCACAGGAACAAGGGACGACGGCCGAACTTGTCGACGAAGAAGGAGCCAAACAGACCGGCGATGAAGCTGACGATGGTGTTGATACCGTTGATCAGCAGCTGACGGCGCGAGTCTGTGATACCAATGTCGTTGACCATGACAGGCAGGTAGTACGAGATGACGGAACCGCCGATGAAGTTGGCAAAGACGGCGACGAGACACGGTAGTCACAGGCGGAGACGGTTGGGCCGGTTATCGACGAGGACCTTGTAGTTCAGGTTCCGGTTGCTGGTCTCCTCCTCGGCCTCGAGAGCCTCCTGCATTTCGATAATCTCGAGCTTGACGAGGGCCGAGTCCGGGCTGTTGTTGCCATGGTACTTGACCAAGATCTCCCTGGCGCGATGGGCTTGTCCGTTGGCCCAGAGCCAGCGGGGGCTCTCGGGAAGCAGGAACCAGACGAGGCAGAAGACGACCGAGGGGAAGAAGAGCTGGATGATGTAGGGGATCCTCCAGCACCAGTCGTTGGTAAAGTAATTGGTGCCATAGCAGCTCCAGGAAGCAACTACGCCGTCAGCATGCAATTCAAACTGCCGGGGCAAAGACGTCCAAGACTTACTGTTGGCACCAATGTTCCATCCGGGCACACTGTACGACCCACCAGCCAGGCCTCGCCACGTGGGGTAGGATAGCTCGACGATGAAGACAGCGGCAGTCGTCGCGCACATGGGGTTGCCGAACCCGACAATGAAGCGATCGATCATGCACTGGGGGAGGTGGTGGCTGCTAGCTTGCAGCACGGAGCCGAGGACGATGAATCCGGCACCCATGAACATGCCCCCTCGACGGCCCCATTTGTCCATGATGAAGCCGCAGCCGAGGCTGCCCACGATGCTGCCAGCAGTGTAGACGGAGAACACGGCACCGTTTAGGTTGCCGGTCATGCCAATCTTGAAGCGGTCTTGGAAGGGATCCATGGCATTGATGGCACTCATGACGGAGCCGTCGTAGCCATTCATGATGCCGTTCAGGACGCAAAGCGCCATCATAGCGTATAGCTTGATCAGCATGGTTGACCTGTAGTCTGGCGCATCCTTGGCGATGGCGTCTGCGAGAGCAGTGGACTCGACGTCCATTTGCTTGACGCCGTGGCGCTGGGTCAGGTCGGGCTTCTGGAGGTCATCGTCGAACCCTGCGGACATAGCCACTGTGGGCTGCTCTTGGATGTTGGCGCTTTTCTTCATGATGGTCAGTGCAGTTCTGCTTCGGTGAAATAGCGGGCACATGAAATTGCGGTCAAGAGTACAAAGCCGGTCCACCCTCGAGGTCCAGCCTGGGTCTTTATGTAGTCAGTGGTCATGATGATGGTGCAAGGAGCAATCGATTAGCCTGAACCGGCTCAAAGAATTGAGCGGGCTCGCAAGGGGCCAATATCAACAATGCAAACGGGCAATGCAATGCCGTGGCCACGGCGATTGATAGTGACCAGGTTAACTGGCAAGCCAAACCAATAGACTCATCACACCGGCTGTCCGTCGGTGACACTAAAGGCCGTGGAAGCACATGCCAAAGCAGCGCTTCTCCATGTTCCGTATTCAATAGAGGAAACGCCAACAGGCAGCGGCAATACGAAGAGCCGCAAGGGTGACCGGGAGGCAAATGCTTGTTCGCGATAGAGCTGTTGATTGATGCCGGTGGGCTGGGGTCATGGCCTGTCACAATTGCGGGGAAAGCCTGGGGTCGACACCAGACGATGCCGGCTATCAATGTCCCGGTTGATCACGTTTCACCAATTGAGGGAGTGGTAGGCGTACCATGGAGCGGTCCTCGCTGTGAAAAGAAACGGCCTAAATCCAGAGTGGCCCTCACGTCGGTTGATTCGTGCTTATCGCCGCTGGGCTCGCTTGCCATTCATGACTTCTCACCGGCCCAAAAGCTGCATATCACTGGAGATCGGCCGGGGATTACCGGTTCTTGTGTCCTGCCTGGACTCTGCCCCTCAAGTATGTGTCGTGGATGCCAGGTACTTGCTGGTGCCACCTGTGTGGTTAAAGGCCACACATTTAGTATCAAGCCCATGGCGGGCGCAACTGACACAGACATTTCCATATGCTGACCTTATCGAGGACTAGACGGGGCTCAACGCTCGGGAATATTTCGCGCAAAGCCGTTGTCGTCTCGGAGTGCGACAAGGGGACGCGTTCCGCAGGCTACGGCGCGAGAGAGCCTCGAGGCAACCCATGAGAGCCAGCCGTGACGAGGCTTGAACAGATGAACTGTACAAGTACGCACTGCAGAGCTGGCAAGCCGCAATATGCAAGTTTAAGTTCTTGCCGGGCCCCTTTTCTTCGATAGAGAGACGAGTTTCTTGGACCTGCATTCCTCGTTCATGAGCCAACGTGCTGCAATGGAGGGCGGGCATACAAGACTGAGCAGATTTATTCTATTTTCTCGCCGGATTGCAGCTCTAGCGTGACCTGGAGGACTTGTGAGCACATGAGCATGAACTTGGAGAAGGCTCACTCACCGGACCATCATTCACCAAGGCGACCTCCATCATTGCCTGGAACACTCCGTCTTTGACCCGGTCGGACTCGTATTCCTTCCTCACAGCGCCGACAAAGTGGTCGTATAACCGCTTCGCGTCTTCCGGATTGGCGGCCCCATGAAAATCAGGCTTGGTACCCTTCTTTGTGCGCGCGAGGAGTGTGAATTGTGACACTACCATGCGTCAGTTGATGCTGCAGTATGCTTGACCACGGGAAGTCATACCGCACAGGATCTCGCCTCCTATGTCTTTGACGGATTGCTTCCACTACATCTTGTCAGAACCAAGAGCAGGACTTCGCAAAAATGCAGAACGAACCGTGGCGCCATTCTCGTCGTCCCATAACCTCATTTTTGTAACTTTGGCCGCAATGGCGTTCATCTCCTTCTCGGTGTCATTGGGGCCCACCGCGGCAAATACCAGGATCCCTTTGCCGATGGACGACACCACCTCCTTGTCGACGGTGACAGATGCTGAGAGGACCCGCTGAATTATGGCTGCAACATTAAGAGAGATGTAAGTTGGGCGCTCATCCAGGGGCAATTGCTTCTCGTGGCGTAGGGATCATACCCTTCATAATGACTGACGATGGCGGCCTGATTTTGCGCCAAATGTACGAAAACGAGTGTCACTCAAAGTAACGGAAATGAGGCCAGGAAAGTCTATGGCATGAGACCTCGCACTGACGAACCGTGAGGAGAGCGTAAAGAGCGAGCAATTAAGACGGCGCCGACTCTTGACAGCCGACAGTCGACACTTTCTTGCGGCGCCAAGAGGACACGCGTGGGGTCATGTGAGCGGATGTCAGGGAGGAGCTCTTCAATGCGCTTAACGCGAACATGCTGAGTCATGTACCGAACAATAGGCCACGACAACAACAACCTGTTACACAAGCAACAATATTATCGCCCAACCTCAGGCAATACTCAGAAAAGTCTGAATCCAGTGTCTCAACTTCTCAGATTCTTTCAGAATTGGCTCAGCCTCGCCATCGAAAGTGTCGTGAGCACCGTAGTCCCTGTAGCCTAACAAACCCCCGGTAGCCGCTACTTCCCGCCATGGACCAATGATGCCGCTAGCTCAACCTTACGCATCCGAACGCCATCTCAACGTCCAACGTCCACGTCAGGCTTAGGACGCTCCGAGACCGCGGCGATCGCAACAGACGACGACAGACTCAAGCAGATCATTTCCAATTGATTTGCGCGACTAGAAAACACCCTGTACTCCAGGATCAGGAGCATACCCCGAGGCGAAAGGGTGCACATCCTTCACAACGACCCCACGAAAGCAAACGACACTTGAACACAACCCCCGAACCAGAGGTAGCGCGCCTCCACAGACCACAATGGCGGCGCGAAAACTACAGCAGGAAGTCGACAAGTGCTTCAAGAAGGTGGCGGAAGGCATCGCCGAATTTGAGTCCATCTACGACAAGCTCGAGCAGTCCAACAACCAAGCGCAGAAGGAAAAGCAAGAGGACAACTTGAAACGGGAGATCAAAAAGCTACAGCGCTTGCGCGACCAGATCAAAACATGGGCGGCAAGCAATGACATCAAGGACAAAGCTCCGTTAATGGAGCAAAGACGGCTGATAGAAACGGTATGATTGACAATGGCGACAACCTGGCGGCAGAGCCGGGGCGGCGAAGAGTCGGCGGGACTAACCGAGAGCAGCAAATGGAGAAGTTCAAGGCAGTGGAGAAGGCCATGAAGACCAAGGCGTATTCGAAAGAAGGGTTATCAGCAGCCGCGAAGCTCGATCCGAAAGAGCAAGCCAAACTGGACGCGGGCGAGTTCCTCAGCAATACGGTCGATGAGCTGGAGCAGCAGATCGAGGCCCTCGAGGTGGAGAGCGAGCAATTATCGGCGACGATGAAAAAGGGCAAATCACAGCGCGACAAGGCCGAGCGTATTGCGCGGATTGACCAGATCATCGAGAAACATAAATGGCATCAAGGCAAGCTGGAACTCATCAGGCGGTCGCTGGAGAATGGCGGCGTCGACACGGATCAGGTCATGGATCTGGAAGAGTCCATCAAATACTACGTTGCGGAGGGCATGAACGATGACTTTCACGACGACGAGGAGCTGTACGACGAGCTTGATCTCGAGGAGGAGGAGGGGGCATTCGGCATGGCCGGCGACGACAAGAACTCATCACAGGACGGTGAATCTGTGGTGAACGAGGAAGCGACGCCCGAACCCGAACCTGCGAAACCGAAGAAGCCAGTGAAAGAAAAGGAAGAGCTACCAGCAGCGGCAACGGCTGTGGGAGGGCCGGCAGCGGCGATACGAAAGTCTTCCGCTGCGACAAGGTCTCCGCTACCGGCTCTGGCGACATTACATACTCCGTTATCGACAATCAGCAATGGAAGCGCGAGTGGGCCGGCGATGAAGCCTGCGCAGGCGCCAGCGAGGCCGGCCGAGGGACTCAAATATGCGTCAGCAGCAGCGGCGGCAGCAGCAAGCGAGAAGAGCAATGTCGGCATCGCACCATTACCGCCACCGCCGGGCGCACAAGTTCCCTCATCGTTGCCCGATGGGCAGTCACGCGCGAGCGCCACAAATTCACCAGCGAGTGCGTCGATACAGCCCGCGCAGTATGACTCGAAGCAATCCACGCCAGCGATGATGTACGCTGAGCCAGAAATCCCCATTACAATATCGACTAGGGGCAAGAAAAGCAAGGCAAAGGCCGCGGCGGTAGCTGCGGCGGCGGCCGAGGCCTCGGTGGCGGCGGCGAAGGGTTTGTGGCATTTTGCACATTGAAGAACCCGGAGGCTAACAAGCACAGCGCAACCTACGAATGGCCATACCAACGGCATCAAGCCTATAGAGGAGGAGCCGGAGGAGGAGTCCATCTACCACCTGCCGTCCTCGCTGCAGGATCTCGTGGACGCGTACGAGGCCGCCAAGGACAGCCGACCTCACCCAGCGTCCCGCGCAGCGTACGAGATGATGAAGGCCGCATGGGGTACCGAGGAGGAAGACCACCGTCCAACTGCTGCCGATGCCGAGCCGCCATCAACATATCAGCGCAACGACAGGGTGGCCAAGGCGGCCGCGGCGGCCAGATTTCCCACGCAGCCACTTGCCCTGTTCGGCGACCCGCGACTATACTCTCGCATCGACCCGGACACGCTCTTCTACGTGTTCTACTACCAACAGGGAACTCCGTATCAGCTGCTGGCCGCGCAGTGGCTCAAGCACCACGCGTGGCGATTCCACAAGCAGTACCAGACCTGGTTTCAGCGTCATGAGGAGCCTAAGAGCATCACGGAGGACTACGAACAGGGGACGTATCGCTTTTTCGACTACGAGAGCACGTGGTACGTATCCGCTGGTGTTGTTGCTGTTGCTGCCAGGTGATGGTCCAAGCTAACAGGAGAGCAGGATGAACCGTCGTAAGGCCGACTTCAAGTTCATCTACAAGTTCCTCGAGGATGACTAGGTCAAGGCGCACGCGTGCTTCAGTTAAGGTATACTTTTCGGGACAGGAAAGTGGGATGGATGGATGGATGGATGGATGGATGCAGGCAGGCGTACGGGGGTGACGGCAGCTACCCTCACTTCATTGCTTTCTCCCACGGCACAAGGGACGGCTGGGCTGGGACTCTTTGTTGTATTACTTCGGTATCGCAGGTCATGCGCACTCGGTAATCAGGATTTGTGTTGTGCTTGCGTGCATTGAGCTCCGATTGTCGGCAAGTTGGATGCTTGCCGAGACGCTAAGCCCATGTGATTGAGATAACGAACGAGGCGGAAGGGGGTCACTTGTCGGATGGCTGATTGCCTTTTTGACGTATTGTGACCGGGGGTCTGCGCATTCCATCTGGTGAAGGCTGTCTTGCTGGAGAGGAGGAAGTGGCTGGTAGCCGTGATTGAGGAACACATGGGAAACGGTTCTGGTGCACACCCACAATGTGTCTCACGCTGTTTGCCGCGACACGGTTACCACTGTTACAGTACGCAGCGACAGGAACCATGGCACGGGGACGGACGGGTGTGCTGTGTTTGGATGAACCGAAACTGGCTCCTCCATATCCATAGGGAGCATCAAGTAGTTTGTGCCTTTACGTTGGTGGACTTTCGCATCGCACCAGCGTTAACGAAGCGATGAGTGACGTAGGGTAGGTTAGTAGGTAGTCTAATGTGTGTTGGTGTTGCCCAACGCTGGTCTGGCTCCAAGAAGGCATCAAAGCTCAGCTTGATTGATTCAGTGGTTGTTGATATTACCGCGTATGAGATGGAAGTATTAGCTGCTCCGGCTCGGTCCCGTCCGTCCGGCAAACAAACGAGTGAACTGCCACGATATTATACGTATTGTTGCACTGCCTCCTCTGGATAGGGCTATTAGCCGCGACTAGGGACACCGTCACCGTGACCAAGCACGATTGAGTTTTGTTGCGATTTGAATACCCATGTCGGCCTCGAAGCACCGAGCGACACAGTGCGGATACTTCTCGCGGCTCGCCAGCAGCAGGCACCGACTTTCTCTGCCCAGGCAGACGCCAATGTCACCAATGCAAAGTTTACTTGCACGAGGCGAGAAACTGGTTGTTAACAATGTGCACCCGTCCACTCATCTGGTGGTCAGGGCGCAGGCACGTCCCCTGACCCATCTGCCCAGTATTAGTCCCAACTTGATGTGCTGCGGGACTGAAGGAGATCTGGAGGATGAAGGGCCAGCAAAAGATAGCCCTCAGCTCGCTACTATCACGGGGGGGCAGTGCGTGCAGCGTTTCCGCGCCCCCGATTTGAAGCTCGGTCGACTGCATGCTCAAGGTACCTCTACCTGTAGATGGGCGGAGGGGGTGCGGGGCGAGCGACCACACAGATGCTTCGCTGGCGGGCGGCTGAGATTCCCATTTGTTGACAATGGCGACTGGCGAGTAGGTCGGACACATGCAACAAGCGACTGCGCATGCGCAGCGCGTTCCTTTCCCATTTCCTCCCCCATCCCCATTCGCATCGTTCATCCGTGCATACACGCCAGTCTCCGATCTTGCCAGCCGGCCAGGTTCAGCGGCCCCAGCCCCCTGTTCATGGCTCCAGTGGACTGAACCTCCGTCGAAGCCCTTTCTGCTGGTTGGACAAGTGGCATGGAAGTTGCCGTTTGTCGTGCGTCGCTGTGACGAGAGCCTCCCTACGTACCTGCTGCACCGACTGCCGGGTGTCTCGTTTTACAATTTACTGGCGAGTAGACATTGGATCGGGGCTTTTCTTTGCTATCTTGAGTCTTGGCTGGGCTCCTATGCAGTTATACCTCCCCGTGCTCAGTGTCACGAAGAACGGTTCGTCTACAAAACTCACAGGCGATTCGACTCTGACAGGTCGCGCAGTGCTGGACAAACTGCTTCATATCAACACGTCGACCCTGTCGCACTCGCACGCCTACATCTGTCTTGGGGGGCTAGAGCCACACCACAGCTGTATTCCAATGTGGCATGCATGGAAACCAGCTTCCCCGGACTGCAATCTGCTATTGCCCCCTAGCCAGACTGAACACCCAATTGCTTTAGCCGCAGCTCGCTGTCAACATGTACCTCCGACCAGACCCCACCCCTCCCGGCCAGGTCCATGGACCATATGAAGTCGATGCACGCCCGGGTCCCTTGCCGCTTCAGGACACTCACTCGAAGCTCTTCACCGCCAGACAGTAGCTTATAGTAGCCGCCGGGAAGATAACGCAAATCAGATCACGAGGCCTCTCTTCTGCGCCCTCTCTATGCCATATGGCTGTATCAGCACCGCCTCGCCGCGCCCTTTCCCCTGGCTCTTCCTGCAGCTGGCCTGGCTGGTTCCGCCATGATTACATGTAGGCCCAACCCACAAGCACACATAATAGTGTTGGAGAACCCTGACTCCCCGAGCTCTCCACTCCTTCTGTGACACGATCCCATCTGCACACCTGACATTGGTCCGTCGACACCCTCGTCCTAGGATGACATACATGTAGTACAGGTATAGGCCCAGCCATGATCTGCGCTATCCGCACGAGTCTCGCAGAAAGCTGCCGGCAACTGGGTACATGCCTTCGCCTTCTTTTGCTGTTTCGTCTTCCCGTGGGACGACCAAACGTCCAAAGTGGTCGGTCACCTCATCCCTGTTGCTCGCCTTGAGTCTCCTATCCCGGTATGTATCTACGTAGTAGTAGGTCTCTGGATGTGCCCACAGCCTCACTGATCAGACCCGTAGCAGGGCAAGATTAAAATGCAAGATGGCATGGGCTTGGCACCTGAGCTCCCGTAGGGCTGGGCACTCGACGTCCGATCCCTTATTTGCTGTAAATTTATATCTTCTACCTATCGACTCGACACCCTCCCCCTTCCACCTCCCTTCTTCTTCTCTTTACTTATTTATCCTTTTTCTCAGGTGTGTTACATATTACATCGCGCTCATACTAGTTTTCATGTTTCCTTCCCACGTATTGCCCCCCACGGTCCTGGCAATCTTTCCAAGACGGATCTTCTTCTTCGGCATTTACTGCGTTGAGCCTGCCTGAGCGCGACTCCCTCTCGCCTATCCGAAGAACAAAACAAAACACACGACGCAAAGCCTGTGTTTAAAGATGAACAGCAACGGCAACTGGGCCCAGGCTCTTTCTGTCCATGTGGGAGACGAGCATGGATCAGACTACGTGGAAGACAAAATGTCCTTCGACGAGCTGGAAGAATTTATCTTTGGCTTGCCGGATCTGGACACCCCATGTCTTCCACAGCAGCAGAAGCAGCAAACAGCTTCCCTACCATCCTGCCAACGTCTACAGAGCGTACCTCTCGAGCGCTATGACAGCTCAGGGGGCCACTCGTTCCAGTCAACAAACACCTGCGACTCATACCATACCGCACCCATGAGCATGGGCTCCTGGGACGCCCCGTTCAGTCCGTACGGCTCCTTTGACCCAAGCATGAACATGCTCAGCCCAGCCGCCGCCTATGGACCGAGCTGGGCCTTTGACTCGCGCCTCACAACACCCTTTTCGCTTCCCACCTCGCCAGGCATGGACTACACCATCTCTCCTGCGTCTTCCTTCGATCCTTCGCCCATCCTGCCACCGGCCGCACCGACCTCATTTCCAAGTCTGCCCATTCCCGAGCTGGACCTCGCCGCTCAGCGTCCGTGCGCCGCTGCAGCTGCGCCTGCTCCATCTCCTACATCTCCCTCACGCCCACGGTATGCTCATCACCACCATCCCTCGTGGCCATCCGCAACAGACATGACTGATCACAAGCACAGGGCATGCTCCAGTTCCACCAACATCCCCTGCCCCCACTGCCCTCGGGAGACCCCAAAGGCGTTCAAGCGCCGCGCCGATCTGAGTCGGCACATTGACCACATGCACTCCATCCCCACGCAGAACTTCCCGTGCGACTACTCCCGATGCTCACGACGCCACGACCCCTTCCACCGCCGTGATCACTACAGGGACCATCTACGCGAGTTCCACAGGGAGGACATTGAGAAGCGGGGCGTGGAAGAGGGCGAGGCGTGGTATCAACGGAGGAACGTTGTCAAGGCCTGGTGGAGGTGCAGCCGCTGTCTGTGCCGGGTGAGCGTTGGGCGATCCGGGTTCGAGTGCCATGAGTGTGGAGGCGTCGCGGGGAGGAAGAGGCAGGATCTGCGAACATGACTGGACTTCGTCCTTCGAGTCTCTTGGTGGGCGGTGTACAGATTCAGACATCACGCATCGTGGTGGCGGTGGTCACACACCAAAAGGGGGGGGGGGGGGGGGGGCAGCACGGGCATGGAAGACTGGCGACATGCATAGTACAGGACCAGTAGATGATTTGTCGGTGTTTGGATATCCACCAGGAGCGTGCGTTATCTAGTTGCGTTTCTTCTTCCGTGTATCTTTAGGCAGCTGCGTACTTGGGTCTTCTTCCGCGTTGTACAGTGCAGCTTTCTTGAATCCATCTCATCATCGCGATGCCTGGTGATCCTTCTCGTCTTCGATGCACCACGACTCGCCCATCTCTTAGCTCGATTAGGCTTCCACTGAATAAACCAATGAAATTAGAGTGCGCCAGTCCGACGATCAAGAGCCAACCGGCCAACGCAGAATTAGTTCTTGACCTGGCGGTCCTGGCGACCTGGCCCCCATGTCAGCCCGCATATGGAGTGGAGAATTCAAGATGCACAGAAGCCTTCTAGAAAGGCTGGGGGTGGCGGAGTGACAGGGATCCCGCCATCGAGGCTGAGCAGTCTGCCCTGCCCCCAGTGATTAGACTCCGTACGTCACGCAGGCTCGCTTCGTTCCCCCCTTGGTTTGGCCCTATAGGTGCCATTCTTCCGTCCTCGAGGTGCCGGGCTTGTCTCCAATGCGACCGCGACATCAGGGCACGCGCTTTAATTCCGCCCTAGACGGGCCTGCGATATTCGCATCGCCCTAGGCTGAAGCGCACCTGACACCCTACGTCACCACGTTGTGGCGGCAGTCGCCGGACAGACGTTGTGCTTCTTTCGCTCAGAAGTCAGGCCTCGATCAGCCTCGTCGGCTGCACCATCTTTCCCACGAATCCTCGATCGGGTCGTTATCATCGGCGCCTGGAGGCAGTCCCCGAATCGTTTTGTCTCTCGGTGTCTGCCCAGCCGTCCAGCGCCTTTCCCCTGCCTCGTTTCACTGGTCTACCAAACGGCTGACTGATGATATGACTCGGCCCCTCCATGGACGAGAGCCTGCCCACACATCGAGCGGGCGCTTTGGGCAACCTGGGGCGTTCTTGTTTCTTGAAGAACACTGGCTGACGAGTGGTGCTCTGATTGGCTCTCGGGGGAGGAGGAGGAGGTTCGAGCTCGACACTTGCCGATGTCGCCGCATCTGTCGGGCAAGCCGAAGCTATGCTGGCTGTCTGTGATGCTGTTGTCGAACCCGTCGTCGTCGTCAATGCCGGAAGTGCCAGGTGGTGTGGATCTTGACCAGTGGGCGACCTCATGAGCCCCCTTCCTGTGCATGCCAGCGCCTCCTCCTGTGCCTGGTGCTTTACTCGAAACATGTCGACATCATCCAGAAGATAATTCTGCCAAATCCTTTCTTCTTCATCGGCAGACACCGGCGCCTCGACGCATGGCAAAGGCATGTTCCTCGGAGGGGTCGTGCCTAGGGGATCAGCCATGGGCATCCCCCCGGCGCTCTTCTCGGGCTCAGATTTGAAGCCCTTAGACCCCAAGAGCGCTTCTGCTCTAGGGGCAAGTGGAGAATTGACCGACTTGTCTTGGAATTCTTTGGTAAGCCTCGACACGGAGGGCGAGGCTTGCTCCGCCTGCCTCATACCAGGAGACGTTGGTCCGCGTCGGTCGTCTCTTATGCACGTGGAGTTTTGTGGCTCCCGCTTATCCTTGTCAAAGAGTCCAAGCGATGATCCCCAGTGCTGGTCTTCGTTGGAGCTCCCGAAACCACCTGCCCTGGAGGCACCGGCATCGGCGATTATACTGCTCGCAACGTCGGTGCCTGCTTCCGACGAGCAAGGTTGTATGAGCCTCGTCTTTTCTTTGCGAGGTTGCGGGTGAACGAGCTTCGGTACCGAAGTGATGTTGTAGTGAAAAGTGCCGCCGTCACCGGCCTCGAGGTCCCTAGAAAAGTATTGTGTAGGTGTCGAATTGCGGGCTTGTGAACGGCTAGTACTGTCTGTCGGCGCAAGAGTGCCTAGGCTGTTCAGCGCAACTTCTGAGAGCGGGCTGCTATGGCGTGGCTCCAAATCGTCCTCACGGACTGAGCATAGCCCATCTTGCTGGCTGTCCACACTTCTGACTGTATTGCCTTTGCGACTCCATCGGAGGCTTTTGTCGCCGATGTGCAACCTGATCGACTTGCGATCATGGTCGTGTTCGCTTTCCTCGTGGCTCCTTCCAAGCAAACCACGGTGGTATCTGGTACTGGCTGCTTTTGTTGTCCTCTTCAGATCCTGGTGTTGCATGTGCATCTGATCTCGTTGTATGGCTGCGGGCTCGTAATCGAGTACCAACGGCCTCTGCAGCTCCAGTCCACTCCAGTCTTGTTGGCATAGTAACTTTTGACGCTTCGTTGTCAAATCGTGTCGATCGGGGTGCGAGGGTGCGCGTTGTTCTCGTTCCGTTTGACGAGAGCCAAGCGGCTGTTGTGGCCCAAACTTCGGGTCATTCGCTAGTCTCTCAGATGATTCACTCGATAATTGCACCAGCTTCCTTCGGTTGAATACCCTCGGCCCTCCTGAGTCTCGCGAGCGATCTGAGGTCTGTCTCGACGGTGGTAACGCTTGCGGGATATAGCTTGGTATGAACGGGGCCTCAGAGGTGCTATCGCGACGAAATCTCGTGTCCTGTTGTTGACAGGCGCGTGATTTGGCAAAGTATTCCATCTGACGGGCCGTATCAGGATCGAAGCCTCGGCGGCGAGAGTGGCGGTTGGGTGTGCTCTCAGTCCAGTTCATGGAGAAATCAAAATGACCCTCGATCAAGCAATGAACTGACTGATGCTACAATGAGCGACTGGGGAGAATGGTGGATGCCTTTTATTCTGGCCTTGATGTCATCCCGACTGAGGGCAGGAGCCAAGGAGCAGGTGACGAGAATAGAAAGAACCTGTTACCTGCCATAGCCCAGACAGCCCGGTTTCAGCATTGTCGTACCACTCGGTTTCAGCACCCTGGCAGTACTATCAGGTAAGTAGATACTTGGAACATCACTTAAGACTCAGTACAGATAGCTTGTCTGAGATTTCATTGACTTGGCGACGACTTGTCAAGGGCTGTCTAATAACTCGCCGAATCCTGACGCATATAGTACTCAACACAGTTCGCCTCCCTGGTACATGCAATGCTCTTCCCCTCAACGCCAGCAAATAACCGCTCTGATCATACATCCGCAGATCTCCCGCTCGAAAACGTGCCTTTGGCCTTTCAGCCTGGACAGGAGTCTACGAGGAAAAGAACTTCTTCAAAGCCGCCTTTTGCTTGGCGGCCTGTTCCTTTGCGCGCGCCCTGACGCTCTCCAGCTCCGCAACAATAGCCCCATCGCCGGGACACAGCTTGCTGGCCTCGTCCAGATCCTTGAGCGCCGCCTCGCGATCCTTGATCCGCACCTCCGCGTAGCCCCTTCGGAAGAGCGCCTTGCCCTTGTCCTTGTCGGCCAGGCCCTCGACGGCAAGTGCGCGTGTGGCGTGAGTGATCGCATCGTCCCATTGCTCGAGCTTGGTCGCCATGAGCGCCGAATTATTGTTCAGCCCGAACCGCAAGGTGTCGAGGGCCTTCTTGGTGTCGGCGGGCTCCTTGTCGAGATCAGGGTCCTCGTTGAGGTAGCGCAGGCCCTTTTGGTACTTGTCCAGCGCGACCTGCGGCTTGCCCGCCTTGAACGCCTTGGTGCCGTAGTCCTTGCACGCCGTCGCGATCGCGAGGACACTCTTGGCGTCAATGTCGCCCTCACCCTCCCAGTCCTGGGGGAAGTCGGCATATTTGTCGCCAAACTCATCCGGCTCCTGCACATCGGCGGAGACCGCCTCGTCACCACCGAGTGCACCACAGTCTTCAATCTTGACATCCTTGACGGGCGCATCGCCCGGCGCGGTCTGCGTGTACTCAATCTGACGGACGACATTCTTCCCGGAGAGGACCTTGCCGAAGACGACGTGCTTGCCGTCCAAGTGCGGTGTCAAGGCCGTTGTGATGAAGAACTGACTTCCGTTGGTGTTGGGCCCAGCATTTGCCATGCTCAGCAGGAATGGCTCGTCATGGTTCCGCACAAACTTCTCGTCCTCAAACTTCTCACCATAGATGGACTCGCCACCCGTGCCGTTGCCAGCTGTAAAGTCACCACCCTGGATCATGAACTCCTTGATGACACGGTGGAAGATGGCACCCTTGTAGTGGAGGGGCTTGCCAGCATTGCCTACACCCTTCTCGCCGGTGCAAAGTGCGCGGAAGTTCTCGGCTGTCTTGGGGACCTCGTTGGCAAAGAGCTCCATGTTGATGCGGCCGATGGGACGGCCGCCGATGGAGATGTCAAAGAAGACGCGTGGGTTGGCCATGATGGGTGGCTGTGAGCGCGGGGGGTTTTGGGTTCAATGGAGGGTGTGTGAGGTGTGTGACGGCTCACTGATGTCGAGGAAAGGTATGTCGAGTGGGAGAGTAGAGGTGACGAGGTTTCAAAGGAGAAGTCGTAACGAGGTCAGACTAAACTCAGGCTGAGCGGATGGTGGGGGCAAAGAAACAAATCGAGGGGCAGCGAAGCGCAGCTTGATGCCAGGCAATCCTCCAAGCCTCTAGTTACGTGCATGCTACACTGGATGTACAGTACTACCTTACATTGGCTGCGGGGTACCGCCAGCTCCGCGCTACGATCAATTCACCGCGAAAGGACTATTAATGGTCGTTGCCTGACCAAATATGAAATATGATTTAGGGTCTGTTTACAAACACAACCAAACATACAAGTCTTTTCAGATCAAATCAGTGTCCACGAGCAAAGGGTTACACAAATGGGGGGTTCGTTTCGTTCACATCGTGTCTTCAGTATCCCTCAATGCATACAAGTACGTATGGAGGGGCAGAACGCTGTAGTGGAACGTTCTAGAGAGCTTCCATCACAATTGTTGCAGACACGCACACAACCTCAAAGTGCAATAAATCATCACGCTCTGTTCGCTATATAGTGCCCCTCCTCCCCTAAACAAAAAATGGCCCTGTGGGCACGCTGATACGTCCACAGACAAAAGCAATGGTATTTTTCCTTCTCCAAATCGACCCTCTCCCAGGAACACATTGCCCCCAAGGAGACAAGGTAGGTGAAACGTTGTGTAGAAATATCGCTCATAAAGTCGTCTCGAGATTTTTTCGCCAGCCAGAATGCATATTGTGCCACGGAACGCCCAAGGTCACCTCTTGTCCTTGTCCTTGTCCTTGTCTTTATCTTTGTCTTTGTCTTTGTCTTTGTCCTTCTCCTTCGCGTCGGGGCTCTCCGCTCGCCCACCGATCCTCATGATACCGCCCAGAATCGTCCGCCCAATCTTGCCATTTTTCGCCCTGGCAGTACCGCTGCCGTGGCGCAGGCTGTTTCCCTTGCCGCTGGAATCGTGTGCTCCGCGGCCCCGTTTCACGTCCTTGCTCTTGCGCTTCCCTATCCTGGGCTGCGCGTCATCGGGTGCCTCGCTACCTGACGAGCCGGGCGGATACAGCAGATCAGCTGCCGAGTGCTCGTTGCCCCACGCGGAGTACGAGTAGCTCTGCGATTCGATCAGGGAGGCTTGCTCGAGCAAATCGGCGAGCTCGTCGGCGGCAAACGTGGTCGTCGTCGACGGGTCCACCTGGGTCAGAGCCTCGTGGCGCGCGAGGCAGGCGTCGGCCCGCTGCTGCAGAGCCGTGCACAATTCGCTGAAGATGAGCAGGTCGCCTTCAATCGGCAGCTTCGCCCCGTCCGTCGGCTTTAGGTCGACCCATAGCTTGACAAGGCTCGCGTAGTTGCGTGACTGGTCAATGAGGAAAGGCATGCTGGGGAAACCCTCGCGCGCCGTCGGGCTGAGTCGGCTCAGGATCGTGATCGGCGTGCTGTAACTTGCATGCAACGTGCGCGTTGACCTGTCGGCGGGCAGATCGCACACCCGGTCGATGTAAACCCTAAACACATTGCGCTGAGCGCTGAGGAAGCGGTTCATAGGCTCCATCCATTCCTCGCGCTTGCCGAATGTTGACAGGTTGGCCAGTTTCTGCAGTGCCTTGGCAATGAGTGTAAACGTCCTCTGCGCCCGCGGCCTGGGGTGGTCGCGCAACAAGCCGAATAGTTTCGGCGATAAGATGGCAGGGCAGATGAAGCGTAGGAAGAGGAAGCCGGAAACGGCAGTATAGGCGACCGGCCGCATGAAATCCCCGTAGCGGTCCTCGGCCACCGCACGAACGTACTTGAGGATACTCCTTAGTTCGGGGTTGAGCTTCCCGGCTGACGCAGCAATGCAGTGCCATACGCTGGTGGTCAGGTCAATGAGCTTGTTCCAATGAGGCTCCAGTTCACCATTCTCTTTCGAGATCTTGCTCGGGTCCACCTCGCAATCAGGATCCAGCTCGTTGATCTCAAAGATCTTGTCTCGCAACGTCTCCACGAGAAACTCCTTGCCCAGTCGCCGCATGTGCAGCTCCAGTGCTTGGGTGAGCAATGTATTCCCGCGAAATAGCAGGTTGGCCTCGCCAGCCAGGGACTTGCTCATGTCTCGCACCATGAGCTCGCGATCCGGTGCCGAATCGGCAGACTCGTTGGATTTCAGACGGTTGTTGAAGCGATACTTTTTCAGTGTCGACTGATTGCCGATGCCGTCAATCTCATCTTCGACCAGTGCCATGAGCCACTCGCTCGCTATACCAGAGACCTGAAAGATATTCAGAAACAACTCGGCCAGCCGACGCAGTTGCCCCGGAAGAGCCGTCGAGATCAGCGTCGTGATCCCCGAATTGAGGTTATGCAGCATGTCCGCAAGGGCCTGGTACTCTCTGGCTAGCAGCACAATGTGCTCCTCGTGGACAACCTTGATGAGCATGGTCCCGATCGGTTCGTCGTTCTCATCTAATATCGGCAGCCAATCCTCGTGCTCGCGGATGCCGGCTGTTGTGGCAACCAGAGGGAGCTCAACTGTGCCGACAATGGTCTCGACCTGGCCGGCTGCCTTCTGGTGGGCTGAGATAGGGGACGGCCCTGGCGTTGAAGGCCCATCCTCCACCCGTTTCAACACCACTGACAACCGAGGCATGGAGGAGGGCAGATCGGTGAACTCGCAGTCCTCTCTCCAGAATGGCTTCTTAGTCGCCATCTTTGTTGTCGTTCTTGCCCTGACCTCACCATCTAGAATCACCTCTGCCAGGTAGTTTCCTGTGGGGTCTGATGCTTCTGCTTTAATAGCCTTCTCCATGGTCGCAGCATTGGCCGGTGAAGATGGCGGTTTCATTTTGGCTTCGGTGACTCTGACCAGGATCGTCTTCTCGACACGAAACACCTCGCCCTTGTAAACCTTCTCCACATCGTCGATAGCCTGTACTTGAGTGCTTTCCGGGTTGTCTACTTTATACACGTCCGGCACCGCGAAAGCTCTCAGGAGAGCGAAAAGAACTTCAAAGTGTATTCGCGAATCCAACGCCACGTACACGGGTCGGTAGAGACTGAACGTACGCGCAGTGGAGGCGTACATGGGGAAAATGGCGATGCAGTACTCCTCGTCTAGGACCGTCCGATCTAATTGCTGTATCGCGTTCCGTGAGAGCTGGGCCATATCCAGCACGGCTATGATCGTGCCGTCGTTCTCGGCAATGAGCTTGAACTCGCCATTGTCCTGCAGGATGACAGACACCCTTCGCCAGGAAGCCACTGCGCGTTGTGATCCTCTCGCGGATGGACGGTGCAATATGTCCCTTGCGTTTTGCGCTGGGCCCTTATCCCAGACAAGTAGATTACCCACCTTGATCGCGTTGCTGTGTTTTGCGTTTTCCGACGACAGAGCCCTCCTGACGAGCTCTGGCCTCACAGGGCTAACGGGGCTTGCTGTCCTCTGGCTTGTCAGCTTTAACGCGATGGGCCGCAACTGCTGCCACGTCAACAAGGCGGCCAACCAGAAGTCAAAATCCTCCGGTATTAAAGGGTGAATCAGCACCTCGATGATGGGATTTGACGACACCAATTCCAAGCAGTGTTTGTTCGCATCGGGATAATCCACAGGCAGCACTCGGCATCCTCGCAGATCCGCCACCAGAGGGATATGAAAGGGCCCGCTCTGCCCCGAGTCGAACATGAGGCAGCTCCTCTCCTCATCAATGTATGCCACACCCGAATGCCAGGGCCCTCCCATCTCGCCTTGGTACTCAACGTCGCCCTTCATTTTACCGCACAGCATCTTCATCAGCGCAAGGACCTTGCAAGGGCTGTCGGTAGGTACGGTGAACGGCAGGCAATCGACCGAAGGGGGATGGGAGACGCGCGGGGAGGTCGGTCGTGAGGACTGCCGTTTGATCAATCGCCGGCTGGAGCCCTTCTTCTCGCTTTTGGTAATCGTTGTTGTGATGCTCGGACTCGCGCTCGTGGGGCTCGGCTCATAACCGCGGCCAGCCATGATTGTTGGAAATCCAGTTGACTCGAGACCGCCGGCTGGTTGTCGCTGGTCGTCGCCCGAACTCACGCTGCCCACCCGGTGCCTGGTCTCTGCTACCGCACCTGGCGGGGCAGCCCTCTGGCCCGTGAGCATGGCGGTGTCCATTGTTCGAGTGCGCGGCCGTACGCCTCCTCCACTCGTCAAACGGTTCGGTAAGGGTGGGCTCCCGCCCTCGGTCTCGTCGTAGTCTTCTCCGAATGAATCGTTGAACACCATGCCTCTCCGTCTATTGTCGCCCGGTATTGAACGAGGCGATGTCTCCTGCGAAGTGACCCCTCGCAGCACGTATGTACTCTCCTCAGACGTCCCAAGGAGTGCGTCCTTATCGGGTGTCACGGCGCGAACGGCGACGTCCTTCCCATTGGGAGAATCGGTCGCCGGCAAGGCCATCGAGGCGCGAAGAGAAGTCCCACTCGCACGCTCCATAGCATTACGCCCGGAGTCGAGGGCAGACGAGTTGCTGGTGGCCGCAGTGGCAGCGGCGCTTCCGGTCCGAGGCGGTGGAGGAGGTTGGATGTCTTCGCCCATGGTGGATGTGGTTGTGGTTCGGCTATACTGCCATGGCTCGCGGATGCGGTTGGGTTAGGCTCCTCATGGGCACAGAGGCAGCAGGTATCCGCTCGTCTCGTACGTTCGTGTGATAGGGACACAGAGGAAGAGCACGGACAGGGTACTGCTGAGCCGGGAAAAGCGAAGCGAAAGACGGTAGCAGGATGTTAGGCAAAGTAAGGTACGGTAAGGTATGTGAGGTTAAAGAGCAGACGGCTGGCGGGGGCGTCCGTCGTGAGTTGTCGCCGGTCTGATTCGTCGCGGGCGGGGAACAGAGAGTGTCCGCTGTCTAGTCCGCCTGGGTCCTTGCACCCCTGCCTATATTGGTAGGTAGTACGGATAGCCCGCACGGATACTGGATCTGGTGTAAGATATCGCTCCAACCCTGTTGCTTAATTGGATCAGAAAAAGTTATCGTTCCGGGGCTCGATATCTACGGCAATTCATCAATCAACTGCATGTGGCCCGGCCTCGTGGGCGCACTGACGCACGGCACTTTACGATGTTGGTGATTGCATTTGACACGTTCCAACTTGCACGGAGTGTACGTACATGTACCTACATCCAACAGCCGAAAACGTCGACTCGCAGTTCGCCACAAATCGTGACCGGGGTTGTTCAATGAAGGAAAAGCTACATGTACTTTCGACTGGGGTTTATGAATCGCGAGATCAGTCTTCATTGCGCTAGAAGAGAGAGCCTTTGCTTAAGCCCTTTGAGACTTTGACTATTTATCAGCCATCAGGAACAGAGACCTCCTGCAGCCAGCCGCTAATTGAGTCGTCGCCAGTGCATGTCCAGAGGTACTACCCATTGAAGGTACATGTAGGATAAGGTATGGAAATACCTGCTTGCTCATGTTGATTATACTCAAAAGCGTCCCCGAACACTCGCGCGGCGATTTCCTAGTGCTCGCCGCTGTGTATCCGTACTATTATGAGTCACAATCACCATGATTTCCTGCCAAGTGGTGCGGCACGATGCAGAATTGTGAATCAGGCTTGACGCTGACGCAATCAATGTGCGCGGGCGCGCGCTGCTAGAGCTATCAGCCACAGCCGCTCTTCCACGGATGCCGGATTTGACACTATTATAGGGGATCGTCCTGCCCACTGCCCGTCAACAGTGACCTCATTTCCGCGATACCCAATGCAACCATGATAGATCACATTATGGGCTTCTGGAAGAGGAAAGAGTCCCGTGCTACGCCGTGATACAGCTGGGCACTAGGTACTGACTGATCCTGTGTTCGCACACCTGAACAGCCACAGCCTGGCGAATTACCTACCTAAAGGCTGCCCACAACAGTGAGAATTTAATTTCACAATCGGCATTAATTAAAGTACACCAAGTGAATGATAATCTCCAGGTCTCGGCAGTTGTGTTGCAACAGGAAGTCAGGGCTTAGGAACGCACTGCAAATCTTTCCGAGGCCTCGTCTCCAGATGTTCCGATCTGAGACACGAGTGGGATTTCGGGTTATTCCAAGCAAACCTCAGGCCACCCTCTGCTGAAGATGATTTATAACTTAGTACCCCGGCGGCTGATCGTGGCCGTTGAGCCCGATAACTTGGCACAAACGGTGGGCGGTACAACAATCACCAGTCCAAGTTGGTATTTTCTTGGGAGCTACCCTACATCCCGCCCTCGAACGTAGAAGCGAGCGAGTACCATGCCTTGCAATGTGTTAATCAGCTATGTAGCGAGATTTCGAGCTTTTCTAATATTTCCAGTTTATATTGTTAAGTGTGTGACGAAGTTCGCAGAACCCGAGCCTCATTGCGTCCCTGCGGCGCGAAGCGATTCGTGTCTTACATCCCAAGGCAAATATCCTGAATGCAAAACCCCATTAAGGTAAGAGCGGACAGTGTCCACAACAAGGAGATTAGATGATGTAATTCGCAACTTCTCCCTCATCGGGTTTGGGCACAAATCTCAAGATGCTCTCGCGCCAGGAATATTGAATGGGCAACACGACCAAGACACAACAGCACGCGCTAGTTGTTGACCAGTGGTACCCGTCGGCCATTTGATCATGTGCGACAATGTGAAGACGCCCGTGATAACCATTGAATAGAATATGGATACGCAGAACCGAGGATTACTACCTCCATGGAAAGGACACCAACTTCGAGATACCCGAGGAAAGCTCCAGCAACCATGATAGAACTGAGAACGAAAGAAAGCCTTGGAAACAGTTTGCTCCAACACCCTGGAATAACACCTCGCTTACAAGAACGAAAAAATTCACCTCGACCCTGGTCCATCTATCGGGCTCGTGGGGATGCTCGTCACTTTGCTGAAGTCCGTGCTGGTCGTTCGCCGCAATGCCTGACTCATCGTCTCGACATTCAACTGGCCAGTATGACCTGGCGGCACAAGACCTAGACTGCCAGGAGTACCCACAGGCTTCCGAGCCGGACTCATCTCGATACCACGTATGCTGCCAGGGTTGCTGGTCGGCGGGCTGGTGCCGGGGCCCTGGCTTGATACGGGCGACCGAATAGGCGACGGCGAACGGTTGAAGGCCGAAGTGGGCAGAGAGGTCAACCCTGCACCGTGAATGCTCTCGCGAGATCCAACGCCGCTCAGTGATGGAGCGTGCTCAGCTTGCACAACATCGGCGAATGAGATGAACGACAAACGGCGCACGTCAGCCGAGTCAAGAGAGCCGTAATTGGAGACGCTGTCGGGCGACTGAGCCGAGGACTGGCGATCGACGAACGAGGTCAACTCTCGCGCCCACTCCGTAGCCGTCTGATCGTGAGGTGTAGAGGCAGGTGGCGGAGAGGCGGCACCTGTGACAGCCACAGATGCAGGCTGGTGTGAGGTATGCGTGACGATCTCAACCGCGTCAGGATCAAGCTTGCGGTTGGTGATGGCCTCCGAGGCATCATCTAAAACTGCCGGGATGTGGTTCTCGGTCTGAATATGCGTGGGTATAGCAGGCGAATTGGCTTGGGGGATCGTAGGGTCTTGGACGTCGCGTTCGAAAATCTGGGATCGCGCTGGAGAAGCGACCTGTGAGGACTCCGAGGTTTGTCTCGTTGGCGACAGAGGGGGCTCGGGTTGCGAAGCAGGCGTGGGAGATGTCATGGTCTTGGACGCACTAGGTGTTTTCGAGGCCGCGCTCTCTCCTTGGTCGGTCTTCTTTGTCCCTAGACCAAAAAACCTGCGTTTCTTGGTCTTGTTGTCGCCCTTGCTGTCTGAGCTTGCCTCTGTAGGACGGGGCGTGGAATCCCCTGTCGTACGGCCGTCCGCCATTTCGAGGTTCCTGCTCAGCTATGGGGGAGAATAGGCGTCAGCGTTGGTCCTGGGACTTTATATAATATCGATAGACCGGTGAAACCTTGGAAAGCCACAAGGTAGAAGCTGCCCTTCTGCGAAGCTTGCCCAAGAAGGGAGCACAAGATCAATGCATTTAGAGCACATACCTCAAGGGTTGATGGAATAGCTCGACACGACCAACAGAAGAGGAAGTCACGGAGCTAGCCGCAGTGGATTTCGTTGGCTCACCCGCCGGCTTGATTGGAGCTCCAGTCGGAGAACGTGACGTAGCGTGGGTTGTGGAGGGTCTGGACTCTGGACGCGCTTCGAGAGGTGCACCCGGGGCCTGTGGTGCCTTGCGTCTCGGATTCAAAGCCAAGTGTCTTAGGATGTTGAACTGAAGAAATTCTCGCTCCTAAAGGGCTAAGTTCAAGGGCGAATGAAATGTGCAGCTGCAGCGTCGACAGCGATAGTTTGGGGAATTGAGATGAGGAGGGAGGGATGGAGTGAACAATGCGCGGCCAGGGATGGGAAGGAGGAGATGAGGATCTCCTACATCTTTTTCACTGTTCACATGATGCAGCTGACTTGTTGGTGGTGCATAAACCTCATGCAAAAGCCGGCATATCCACCGTGACAGCCTCCCCTCGGCCACGATCATAGAGCAAGGTACAGATTTGGCCACAGGCAGTCGTTATCGACCAATTTGGAAGCCATTAGACAGGTAACCTCCCCGTGACGACTCGCGACTGGACTGGAAGCCCCTCGATTTTCAGGCGCGCCCACATCATGCGCTGCAGCTAGAATCACGCGCATCCGCAACCGCCGAAGCACGGTGATATCATTGCACCCGTATTCCAATATCTTAAGACTGACGAAGATGATCTCTTTGCGATATATTTCTCAGAATATCCGAAGCTTGCCGGCTCACATTGACCGTGCTTCATTCAACATTCTCGGCATCTGCGCGCTTTGGTTTCGCTGTTCTGTAGTACTGGACATTTGGAACAATACCACCGGGCGTTTGCCGAGAGCTCTCAAACAAACACATTTATCATGAAGCTTTCGTCGTCTATCACCTTGACCTCGAGCTACGTCACTGGTCCCTGGAAACTAAATGCCAAGTGCTGTTCTGCTAGACTCTAGAGACGGAGCTGCAGCTTGAGCGCGGGTCACATCACGTGATCAGGTGACTGGCATCCTAATCTTAGGTAATCGATTTTTTCCCTCAGAATCTTTTGAACCTCATGCTGCTACCCAGCTCTCGAGCGGCACACGACCCGATTTGCATTATCTTCCACTTCATTCTGCCCTAGCGACCGTATCATGTTTAATTGAGCTACGCTCTCCTTACAATTACTTCGCCATGATGGATATGCGCGCGCTCGCTCGTCCAGCCGCTGAGCTGCTCCTCAAAAGAACACCCGTCTCCATCCCCTTAATAACGACCCGCTCTCACAAGACCACCGCCCGGACGAAACGATCCCTCAAAATCGCCCCTCACGACTCCTTTCTTCCATCACGGGATGGCAACGCGTCACAAGGCGATCAAATTATCTACAATCCCCCTAGCTCCGAGGCCTCACCTTTCCACACGCCATTCATCTTCCTCCCACCTGAAGACCCGCGTCGACAGGCCATCACACGCATGCGCGCCATGAAGGGTAGCGCACAAGGACTTGTCGGTCTCGGCGGACAGACCACGGAGAAACTGCCTCCGTTGATGAACAAGAACGAGGGCAAGAAGGCGCGGTATCACCTCACACCCGCACACATGGAGGAGATGAGGAAATTGCGAGCAGAGGACCCGTTGACATGGACCGTCACGGCCTTGGCAAGAAAGTTTGACTGCTCCACGATCATTGTGCGAACCGTCGCGCCCCCGCCAAAGGGTCACCTGGAGTGGCTCAAGGCCAAGGAGGAGAGACGCATCGCGAGGTACGGTCCCGCAAAGCTCAAGGCCAAGGCCGAGCGGAAAATGCGGACGGAGATGATGTATCGGGGCGAGATATAAGGAGTTGGATGAGAAGCGTGCTGTACCATCAGCTTTTTTGGGCGAAAATGTTGTATGAAGGCGTGTTGTATCATCAGACGGCGAACGGCATACAAGGCTCTGGGAGTTACCCTGTATATCATGGATGCATTCTGTTTTTCTTTACCACATTACATAACATGTATATTTGATTCATGCTCTCATTTATCGTTCTTGCCAGGTACGACGCGCCAGCACCAGCCGCACCAACTTCGCAAGTCGCCCCTGATCTCGCGGCTCAGGGGCTTCCCATTCAGGCCTCGTTCATCCTCCCATTCAGGGACACAGGCCCCGACCCTGACCATCTTCACGAGTGTCTTTTTAACAACACCGCCGATGCCCTCCACCTCATGTCGCTCATATCCGCATCTCACTTGAGGACTCGGCGTTCTTCGCTCCTCTTGTTGCAATGTCTCCAAGGGGCTAGGTAAGTGCGTTGGTTCAGGGGTTGTGGGCGGAGAAGGTTCAGCCCATACCGGCGACACGGGGTAGTCTTTGGCGTCCGCTGCATCGCAGTCGACTTGGGTCTCGTGCTCTTTGGCCGCTAGGCAATCCTCTTCGCGACCACAGATGACACCGCGATCACCATCTCCGATCCCTGTACCGAGTCCGCCGAGCACTTCGCCATAATGGCTTCTCCAACGCCAGATGCTATGCCGGTTAGCCGTCTTCCCAGTATGCTTGGTTGGCGTCGTGCGTACCGCTGGTATTCGCCGTCCGCTGTCCTGATGCTCCTCCCGCAAGGCTGGCAGAGCCAAACCCCCTCGCTATCGCACTTGCAAAGCGCTCTTTGTATATACTCTGATGACAATGGAAGGCGAGGATCCAATGGTGGCTTCGCTAGAGTCGCAAGTGGTGCTTTTGTGCAAGCTGTACACAGCCTTCTGTGTCTCTCTTTCAGGGTGACTGGCGCTGGCGGCTTGATCGCACAATTCCTGCAAATCACCGTATCGCACCTCCTGCATTGGCCGACGAGATCTCGGGCGCAATGACCCGATTTGCCATTGTAGGATCGCCCGTCCTCCATATAGAACCAGTTGCCTGCGCGAGCGCGGTAGCGCAGTGTTTCCGACGCATCGATGGGAGCGGATTCGTGAACACAGCGCAATGTCGAGGAAATAAGCACACAGCGTGACTGAAGGAGAGAAGCATGGACGTAGAACGAGGCGCGAGCGAGCGAGTCGAGTGTATTCAGGTCAATGTTTGATACAATAGCATGCACGATCCTTCGAAATCAGCACTTGAACCATGCGAAGTCATAGTCAATGTGTACTTACGGGTAACATTGAAAGGCTTCTGTTACAATGTTGCGAGTTCGTGGCTGCTCGTCGGTGGATTTGGCATCGCTCCGCATAGTGACGTCGTCAAGCTTCGTACAAAGCCGCTGCTCGACCAGCGAGGGCTGATCGTGTTCTGCGTCCCCAGCATTCAGCTCAAAAAAACGAGCCATCGCGATGGATTTACGGCGAGAACAAGAGCGCTACGCGATGGTGAGATAAGCAACGCGACGACCGCGATAAGCACGCGTTGCTGCTGGGAGACGTTGACGATCGCGCTCGTTTGGGATCGCAGTAGCAACGCCGAGGTCGGACTGGGGGTTTTAAGTACTGATTGATAAGATCGTTTGCGAGCAATTAAAAGCAAGATCTAATCTCAAAAGATGGAGACACTGGAGACGACGCGTCTGACCGACACATGATCGTATGATCGGGTCCATGCAGCGAGCCAGTCAATGATGTTTCAAGGTGTCATGGCGACAGACTGACTGAAGGCGGGCTGTGGGGAAGCTGCCTTTATTAGCTGAGGAGATGGAGCTCCAGTCGCAAGTGTGTGGTCACCCGCGCATCAGAGCTTTGGGCATCGCGTCCACACGGGAAGTCGTATTAGGCGACATTTCAAGGCGGCAGCACGTTCAGCTCGATTTTATCAAATGTTTCGAACTTAACAGAAAATCAGTCTTACACTAGAATACGAGCGTCAAAATCACTTAAGGTCAAGTCTGTTCTTGATGGTTTCCTTACGTGGGCTGTCCCGTGTGGCCTTACATACCCTACTCCCCGGTTGTATCTTCAAGTTCAAAACATCTTACTTTATAGAGTTAAAGTCACTTCGAAAAAAAACCCTGCTGAAATGTCATTCAAACATCATAATTAAGGTAGCGACTGGATCCAGGCGCTTTATGTGACAGACAGGCGGCCGGCCCTGAAGATGGTGGAAATGGGCATCTCTCAGAAAATTCTACTCACTAACATACATCACCGAACTTCTTCTAAGCGTACTCTTCCACTTCGTGCTCGGTCGAGTTGTTCGTATATTTGTACAAGACGATGGCCCCTTCAAAGCTTTCCAGTCCCAAATCGTCAGAGCACTTCCCTCACAGTGGGCGTTGTCCTGGGCGGCCGGAACGAAGAGGGTGACAACAACACTGCGCTATGTGACAAGGTTCATTCATCACATAAGCATAACATTCTGACTCGAGATGCCCTTATTGGCACCTAGCAATTTTGAGAATCTCAAGAGGCTACTCACGACTTGCCAGCACAGCCAGCGCAACGCGAAAGCCCCGAGACCCCGAGAGCCCCACGCCGTCACGCAGCGGCAGTCATGGCATCAGGGGAACGAAGCCGATGCCTCCGCACAACGACCAACTCGCGTAACCGCACACGCCGAGATTGCCGACTTTGCTCATGTTACCCCATGCGGGGGGATCGGTCCTACTTGGTTTAGCCCTTTCTTTTGATGCCCCGAGCTGAAGAGCTGGAAGCGTGTAAGTTGATTCGTCGAGCTGCAAGACATGCATGCGCTCCTCAGCACCGCGCCATCGTGCGCACCCAGCTTCACTTTAAGTTTGTCGGTTTATTATTGATTGTCTGGCTCGGTAAAGAAACAATAGCAGCAAAAAGAAGTTGCCGTCGTCACTGGTCGACCATTTGACTTGGGTTTGAATGAGCTTCTTAATAGTACCGAAGATGCCCGGCTCGTCTGACACGCCCGTGCCCAGACGACCATTCTATCTATTGTCTATGTCTATCAAAATCTATTCCGTGTACGCAAATCTCAGAAACGCCGTTCTCTATGCACGCCGTAGTTTTCGCTAGGCCATCATCATGCTTACTCGGTCTTCTTGGTGACCCACTTCATGGCGCCACGACCGTACTTGCTCTCATCATAGTCGACGCAGTGAAGGGTCGTGAAGCACGACCAAAGCTGACCGAGGAATGAGCGGTCATCGCGGTGGTAGAGGTCGCCCAAAATGGGCTTGATGGCCTCGGTGGCCTCCTCAGCGTAGTAGAAGGGAATGCGACTGTGCGGATGTTAGTGGCGCACTGAGGACAGTACAGCAGCTAGACTTACGGGAAAAGGTGGTGAACCACGTGGAACTCGATGATACCGTGGAAAAGGTGCTTGCCGACCCAGCCAAACTCGCGATCAACCGTGGCACTGGCACCCTTGACAAAGGTCCAGTTCTCGGCGTCAAAGTGGGGGACATCGACATGGGTGTGGTGCAGATAGGTGATGGCCACCAGCCAGTGGTGCACCCAGACATATGGCTGCAAGTACGCCAGGAGTACGGTGCTGGTGCCGACATATGTCGAGAGGTAGTAGAGTGCGGAAGCGGTGGTCATGAGACCAATGTCGGAGAGCAGAATGAAGGGAGCCTCGCTGCGACGGAAGACAACCGAAGAGGGGTCAAAGTGGCTCTTGCTGACGCCATTGCCCTGCGTCGAGTTCTTGCCAGCGGAGATGTTGAAGATGAGATAGCCCATCCAGCCAAAGACCTGGTGGAAGACAAGAGTGGCGAACTGGTAGATGGGGGTGTCCTCCAGGTACTCAAGGCTGGAGTGAGTAGCCTCCTTCTTCTGCTTGTGTTCCGCCTTTGTGCGGGGCACAAAGACCATGTCCTTCTCCATGTGGCCAGTGTACATGTGGTGGCGGTGGTGGGAGAACTTCCACGAGAAATAGGGCACCATCAGGGCCGAGTGGCAGAAGAAGCCAGCAACATCGTTCAGCAGCTTGTTCTGCGAGAACGAACCGTGTCCACCTTCGTGACCCAGAATCCAGAGACCAGTGCAGACCAGACCCTGTACGAATCCATAGATGATCCAGGCGGCGGTGCGCAGGGTGAAGTCAGGGATGGCGGGGATATAAGTGATGGCTGCCCAGCCGAGGGCAGAAATCATGACCACATCTCGAAGCAGGTAGGAGAGCGAGATGAGCGCCGATGACTCAAAGCACTTCTTGGGAATGGCCTTGCGAAGAGTGTTGATGTCGGGGTAGACGCGGTCGGCGGTCAGGCTGCCGTATGTTAGCACATGGACTGTTGCGAACAAGACCTGCCAGAGCCAGTGTTACCTCTTGGTAGGCGCCTCAGTCTGTGTGCGGGCGGTGACTGTGGTAATCATGGTGGGCAATAGCTCTGCGGAGTGATGAGAGGAAGGGAAAACGAAGAGGAAGAAGAAAAACGTCCCGAGAAAAGGCGACGATATCAATGACTCTCAACAAAACTCGTGCGTGCCGAACTGCTATTGGACAGACGGGCAGAAAGGGGTTGATTGACAGGGACCCTCATTGCTCCAGGCTTGTTGAATTTTCGGCCCCCGGTTGGACCCTGAGGGCATTATTGGATCTGAGACCCTGGATTGTCTAGGAAGTGGATATCATGGAGCAGAACGGGGTCGAGGGTCGAGACTTTGCGAGTTCGTGCTGGGCGGTGAACGGCCGAGTGGATTCAGGTTGACTCGCCAAGCAGTGGGCTGCACTAGAAGAAACCAGGCAAGTGAAGATTTCAAGGCACAGCCATGGGCATTGTGCAGATGAATCATGGACTACGTAGGTATTCTAGGCCAGGAATCCAAGATAGAGAAATGCAATCTCACCACTCCTGGTGCTTAGCGTCACCTCGTGCGCGAATCACAGTCTCAGATATGGTAAGGTAAGGTAGGTAAGATGGCGCCAACACACGTGGCTCCATCTAGCAGAAACTCGGTACAGCAATAAATCGCTCAATGACATGTCCTTATCGGGCGGGCGCCTAGACTTGTTTGAGATGGCAGATGAGGGCCCACTCAGCAGCGCCCGGATGGCATCCAGGCCGGGCTGTGTTACTCTTCCCTTTCACATGCCCAGTTCCTCGAGGATTTTCGCATTATGCTCGCCGACCTTCGGAACGGGTCCAACCCTTGCATCCGCGGCGGTTGCCACTCCCGCCGGCAGAAGTGCTGGTACCCGTCCGGCAGGGGTATCAACCTCTGTCCAACGCCCACGGGCCTTCAATTGCGGATGGTCCCATAGGCTCTTCATATCGTTCACTTTGGCGTTCGCCACGGTCGCCTCGTCGAGCCTGACAAGCACCTCTTCGGCGGTCATCATGGAAAATCGGTCTACAATGATCGCCTTGAGCTCCGCTCGGTTGTGCGATCGTAGGCTGTTGTTCTTGAAACGCTCATCCGCTGCGAGATTGGCATCACCCAACACAATCTCACATAACTTTGCCCACTCCCTTTCGTTCTGGATGCCGAGCATCACAGATCCTCCGCCACCTGTTTCAAAGGGCCCGTACGGATACACTGTCGCGTGCTCCGCACCCGCCCTCTTGGGCGCTTCCTGTCCTTCATACGCATAGTACATGGGGAAACTCATCCACTCAGCCATACTCTCGAGCATACTGATGTCGATTCTGGAGCCCTTGCCGGTCTTAGCTCGCTTCAGCAGCGCGGCGAGGATGTTCTGGAAAGCTGCAGTGCCTGCGGCAATGTCTGCCACGGAAATGCCTACTTTGGCGGGTGTGGTGGGCGTGCCCGTGATAGAGAGGAGACCAGCTTCGCTCTGCACAAGCAAGTCGTATGCCTTTTTGTGGGTGTAAGGACCGTGGCTTCCATACCCCGAGATGTCACACACGATGATCTTGTCATTTTCCTCCTTCAATCTGTCCCATCCTAGGCCTAGCCTGTCTGAGGCGCCAGGCGCCAGGTTCTGGACCAGGACATCGGCTGTTGCTAACAAGGCTTTCAGAACCTTGAAATCTTTGGGATCCTTGACATTCAGCGCCAACGACTCTTTGGATCGGTTTGTCCAGACAAAGTGCGATGACTGCCCTACGACACGGGTATCATATGCTCGTGCAAAATCCCCCTCGCCAGGACGCTCAACCTTAATAACCCGTGCGCCGAGCTCGGCGAGTTGGCGTGTGCAGAAGGGGGCGGCAATGGCTTGCTCAAGCGCGACAACGGTTATGCCATCCAAGGGGAGCTCAGAAGTTGAGGTGCTTGACATGCGAATGTGTTTGAGGGTGCCATTCTGGATTGTTGCCTGGGTTGATAATCGGTAGGAGGTGATTGATGACCTCGTCATAAGCTGGATGTTGTGAGCGATACACGGCACTGATCGCAGTACCCTGACCGCCGAGCCTCGTAGCGAAGATACCATAGCAAAACCGGTGATGCTCAAAGAAATACAGCCTTCAAGTCTTCAGGCCAGCCAATTTTAAAACGAGTTGCGAAGAGAGCCGTCATGGGCGGTAGCAGTCTGCGTTGAAATCGAGTCGGCTATATGGTAGGTTTCCCCCACACATCTGGGGCATTGGAAGTGGAAGTGATGCGGGGCTGGTTACTGAGACAAACAATGTGCCGCGTAGCCGGCTTGGAGTTTTATTGACAACGCGTCGTAAAGGGGTGCCTTATCTTCGCCGGATGCGCACAGCTCGACTGGGAATTCGTAGCCATGCTGTGTGGGCCGTTGTGTTCATCATGGGAGGCCATATTGACGGGCAATTGAACTAGACTACTTCTGCACCGGCCGCGATCACAGACTGGATTTGTCCCGAGCTATGTCTGCCTTCAATGAGATGGTTAGGAACATTCTGTCCCTTGGCGCTGTACAAGAGAAGCAGAATTTCTAGATCAGCGACGCTCGGATACTAGACTCGCCATGCCTTGATAGACTCAATTGAAACAAATATAGGTTAGTAGAGCAAGTAGCCCAAGGCGCGACAATACGATAGTATGAGAAGGACGTGGGCAGTGAGGATGTAACACAAGAGGTGAGTCGTGGATGGGACACAATTACATCATGAGAGAGTTGGAAACATTATATATTACTGCAATGTTCCTCCTCCTCGTGAGTCCGCGGACTCATAAATCAAAACTCCCACGAGGCCTCAGGAACCGACGATAGCGCAACAGCATTGTCGTCGGCATAACTAGGCGCTCGGTCCAAACACGCCGTCCCAGCGATGGCGTAGAAGCACTGTCGCTGTCGGATATCCTTCCGTCTGACAGCGAATAAAAACTCTGTGGGGGGTATCATGTGTGTCGTAAAATCATTGATGTGCCACTGATGGACGAGCAAACACCTTATTGATAGCGCAGAAGCATTGTCAAAAGGTCTGTTTGACTCGTCCAGGCGACAGTGAGCTTTTCCATATCCAAAAGTAGACGCCGGCCGTGCACTCCAAGTGCTGTTGTAGAAAGATTAAAAGTAGCATCCGTAAAGAAAGAAAAAAGGTCGGAACAAAGCGCTGTTACTTTGAGAGCCCAAAGCCGCGCTGCTGGTTCTCTCTGCGTGCCGCGCCATCCTCCAGTTCGCTATCGATTTCGGCGTCGTGGAGTTTGGTGCTTGGCTCGTTGCCAAAGATCCTGAGGAGAATCATCATGGCAAAAGAGCTGGCAATGCTCATGACCAGAATGCCAATCATTGTGAAGTTGCTGCGCCGGTACTGATAAGGGCCAGGAGCAGCGTCCTCCGGCCAGCCTGTGTAGAGAGCGTAGGTGCTCGTCACACTACCCAGATTGCCGAGGCCAGATACCAGGGCTGAGGCCGTCGCAACGCCGACCTCACCGTGGCGACGCTGGAAGATCTCGTTCGTCCAGGCCATGCAATTCGGGACGGTGGGGCCAAGACCAAATCCGACCATCAACAAACCACCGTAACGGGCCCAGCCGTTGTTTGTAGCAAAGGCGACAATCAGTAGACCAGTGATCTGCACGCAAACGGCACCGGAGAAAATGAAGGCGCGATAACGATGGAAGCGATCCGAGATGGGCATGAAGATGAGAATGGCGATGAGGTCCATGATCCAGATCGGCGCGAAGAGTAGGCTGATTTCGATGCCACTGGCAGTGGGCTGGATCGAGCGAATGATGACCGAGCCATAGAGCTGTGTGCCAATGCCGACACCGACGACGCCGAAATACATCAGCGTCAGAGGCCAGAGACGCCAGTCGAGGAGCGTGCGACCGAGATCCTTGATACCCCACGGACGGGCGTGATAGACACGCTTGAGGTCTTGGTAGTGGACGACAGCATCCTGGCCAGTCAAGGCTTCGGGCGAGGGCGGAAGAAACTTCCACAGCCCTTTGCGCTCACGGACCTGGCCCGGCGGAAGGGGACGATCGGGCAGCCACCAGAGTAGAATGAAGCTCAAGACGATCGCCACGAGACCGTAAATGAGAAACATCCAGCGGAAGCCGACGAGACCACCCAGGCCATCCATGAGCTGGAAGCCAGCAGAAACGAGGCCAACCACGGCCGCAGAGACCTGAGCGGCAGTGAAGTACATGCCGATCCTCTTCCCAGTGCGTGACGGCGGATAGAAGAGGGTGAGGTAGTATGACATACCCGGCCACATGCCGGCAATGACCACGCCGAGCAGGAACCGCAGAAGCTTGAGACTCCATGCATCCTGGACTGCGGCAAAGCAAGCACCCACAACGCCCGTCGCAAAAACAATTCTCGCCATCCAGACTCGGGGGCTCAGTTTGCTCATGACCAAGTTGGAGGGAAAGTCGAAGATGACGTATGCCACGTAGAACAAGGCCAGCGCAAGCGAGGTATCGCGAGGCGTGAGGTTGAGCACCGTCATGAGATCATGCCCCGCATCCTGGTTCATTGTCTGCGCAATGCCAATGTTGGAGCGAATGGCCGAGCAGAGAAAGTATAGGACCCAGAAGGCGGGGATGATGCGCAGGTCCAGCTTGCGGTAGACGCGCTCGACTGTTGCAACATCATAGTCGTCGACGGCCTGTTGAGCACGTTCCGCATCTAGGGGGTACGCGGTGACATTGTCCGCTGCCGAGTCCACACCTGCTGGCTTGTCTGGTGCGTAGGCCATACTGAGCTTGGAAGCAATGGAAGCGCGTGCGACAAGCTTTTCTGGCCTAGTGAATTGGCGTGAATCGGAGCGAATTGGTATGGAGGCAGAGAACAAAGGACAAAGGGAGAGACCTGTCGAGATAAGAGCAAAGGCAGCAGCGAATGGATAAAAGAAGTTGAAGAGGAAAAGATAATCAGAGGCAGACATGGAGACAGTTAAATATTTTACGTGGGGGAGCGCTTTCGGGATGAGGTAAAATGCCCAGTACGGAGGACATTGGTGGGTTGTTGGGGAGCTTCAGCCGAAGTCCACGAGCGAGCCGAGCGCGGCCAGTCACGGATGAATTAGGCATGGTGCCATGAGCTTGCGATTGAGTTGTCGCGATTAAGTTCCCTATTGGATGATGTTTCTTAATTGACAGCTAATTGCTTCAGTCGCGATGCCCGCGTTCTATCACTGGTACGGACAAGGACTTAGTACTTGTACTCAGTAGGGCATCTTACCAAATCCGTTTGCGATCACAACTTGTGAGACTCCGTGAATCCCTTCTCAGAATGACACCTGCAAAACTTGAATACTCCATCCTTCACATATTGTCCATTGATTTGTTCCTTACATGGAAGTTGGAACGTGAGTTGCGACAGCATGGAGGTGTTCATGGGACTATTATTGAGGGCCCAGGCCCCATATCCTTGGACGATTTATACCCTAAAAGCTACCTTATGCAGGAACTCATAAATCTCCCTTTGGACGCAAAGAATGAAAACTGCACAACGCATAACAGATGCGCGTATGCGGTTACTGATCTTGTGATTTCGAGAGTGCAATGAGCGCTTGCTAAATGACATACAATCACACCAACCTCATCTCAATCTGCTACAGCGTCTTGGAGGTATCGGATGTCTCAGACACAGTCGCGTTCAACATAACGGCCTGCATATCGTGACAGACCACGTGAGTCCGGGCCTGGTTTATAACCGACGTCGTCGATGCTGCCTTGCGTATGGGAGCACATGCGCACTTTCATGGTGGCTACACGTACCATGCACACGGCGGCTTCGTGGGCGATGAGTCACGAAGGCAAGAGTCTGCTCGCCGCAAGACGCGCCTTGTTCTCACGCTCGAGTCACCGGGCATAAAGCAGCTTGGTGCCTAGAGCACTCAAAAAGTTGGCTAATGTGTTTATAAACAGGGGCAGTCGGGAATTCATCAATGAATTTATCACTGTTACAACTTGAGACTCTGATAAACGCCCACCCGATACCCATTCACGTGACCCCGACTGACTAAGCATCGAGTTCATCTGGTTGGCGCCGGCATCACCCATCCTCCATCCCGACCCTCCAGACCGTGATTTTCCAGGCTATCACCTGCGCGCGTGTTTGCGGGATCCGTCATCTTCGGAGCAGTTGCTCGAAAGCGCACCTCACTGTTCAAAGGCTTTACAAACCTTCGCTTCGCCCAGATTTTGTACCACCTCGTGCGACTCGGCACCTTCAGCTGCCCCGGTCTTTCTGCGCCAGCAAACCATCTTCACGTCTAGCTTCGAATCCGAACTTCTCATCTGTGGCGCCTGGGCCGCACTCGCCCACTATGAGTGTCGCCTACGAGCCGCGCGCCTTTCTCAACGATTCGGCATACAGCGATCTCGACGGCGGACGCGACGATCAGCATTTCACTGACAATGACATGGATCACTTGAGTCACTACACAACCGAGCCTGGCATGCTCTCGGAGGAGCGCGACGTCATGGGCGATGAGGTCGACTTGATGAACGACCACATACAAGTGCGAGATGAGCATTTGGCGATGGGCGACGAACAGATGCCTGTAACGGAGGAGCATATCATCATCGAGGAGAGACATTCGCCAACGATAGTCGAGTTGCCCGCAGATTTCTCGTCGCCGTTGCAAACGACCGCGCCCGCGCCAGACGACACTGTCGACACCGCGGAGCCGACACCAGAGGCTGAGGAGGACTCAAGTGTCGAGCCACGCGGGCGGCGTGTGTCCAACAGGATCAAGCCCGCGCGCGATGTGCGCAAGGGCGAGGATGGCAAATACCACTGCCCGAGAAAGGACTGTGAGGATGATGTTCGAGCGTTCAGCCGCAAGTGCGAGTGGAAGTAAGCAACTCCTTGTTTTGGTCTCTTGGAGCGCTGCTAATCATGACAGCAAACACATGGACAAACACGAACGGCCGTACCGATGCAAGGCTGCGGGCTGCGAAGCCTTGCCTGGCTTCACGTATTCGGGTGGTCTACTGCGTCACGAGCGCGAGGTGCACGGCAAACATGGCGGACCGCGACAGACGTTCAACTGCCCTCACCTGAACTGCAAAAGGCATACTGGCAAGGGCTTCTCGCGACAGGAAAACCTCAACGAGCATCTGCGACGCGTGCATACCGACGGTACGGGACAGGCGACGCCGCCAGCCGAGATACCTACCCCTCCCGCAGCCGATGTTGACAACGAGAGCGAGAAATCCGGATCGAAACGAAAAAGACGGTCGAGTGATATTAGCGCCGGCGACGAGATGGCTGGGCTTCGTCACGAGAACAAGCGGCTGTGCGACCGCGTCGCGGAACTGGAGGCCAAGATGGAGCAGCGAGACCGCGACCTCGAGGACAAGGATCGTGAGCTCGAGCAGCGCAACTCGGACAGCTTGTCGCTCATGGCGCAGATTGCTGAGCTGCAGCAGGCTCTGCGTAGTGGCATGAGCCACCCCAGTCTCAGTGCACCGACGGCGCAAATGTTATAGGACGCGTCGCCCGCACTGACCGCGACCGCGCTGTCTTCTATTTCCACTTTTGCGATCTCGTGAAGGCTGAGATCGTGGACAAGTAGTCCGCCTTCCTTCTTTTTTCCTTTACGAATCTCCTTATTGCCAACATCGCCTCTCTTCATACGACGACGGACACATCACGCCCTTTATAGATTTATCAGCTCGGCGTTTTATTGTTATTTTTCTTCAGCTTTTCTAAGTTCCGGCAGAAGAGCATATACCTCAACTCTACAATGGCGTTTCGGGATAGGGCAGGACCCTGAGTGTACTGGTGTTTCCATGGATTACGACCTGGGTGCCGTGGTTTTTATTTGCGGGACAACGGACAGACAGGGTGTATGATGAACAAACGATATTTGTATTACTATAGAACGGACGGAAAGGGGAAAACGCCCATGATAATCTCAATTTGCTGGCGGCTCGAGTCGCCGCCTACGCTCCCAACATTGTCTTCTCGCACAGGGCAGGAGATTTGAATCGATGATTTGAGATTGTGTGTAGTAGTCAACACAGCCAGGCGCGCACGCTTTTTTGCTTTAACACCATGTCATGCCTACAGATATGCACCGTCCCATGAACCCAGAAAACCACCGCGCGTGCTTCGCTTCCGATGCTCACCACCAGCATCATGCAAAGAGTATGTTGCAGACTCAGACAACCTGCACATAACTCGCCGGCACGCTGGCCGTCACACCGGCCTTTTCCACTTCGACCCATCCGTCTCCGGGGTCTTCCTTGATGAGGACAAACTTCTCGCCCTCTACCATGCTGTGCTCCCCGTCGCCGGTGGCCGTGTACTCGTACAAAGCCTCGACATAGCGTAGCTTTTTGGCGCCGCGCCTTGGCGCCACGGCCGGTCCTTGTTTCTTCTTGGCCGGACCAACTGACGAGGCCGTCGTGGATGTGGAGTATGTGCTCCCTGGTCGGGCCGGCGTCGTTGTGATGGATGGCGTAGGCGGTAGTGCAGCTGTAAAATCGGCGTACGAGGCCGGAACCAACCCTTCTTTGCCGTTGCACCGGACTTTGACCCAGCCGGAGCCATCTGCGGAGGTAGTTAGCCGACACGGTCAACAACAGGGGGTTTAGTCACAAGGGGGAGGAGGGGGGGGAGAAACGTACCGTCTTCCTCCACCATGGTCACCGGGCTGCCTTCACTGACACTGAGCTCGCCATCCCCGCTGGCATCGAACCCATACAGCATCTTGCCCTTCTTCTCGCTGGAGCCGCTCCCGTTGAGACCGCCTCCGTCGGTGACATAGGCGGCCGGGGGAGGCGCAACAATGCGATTCCTCTTGGCGCCTCCGCTGGTCGCGCTGCTTACGCTCGGTCGTGGCTGCTCGGGGGGAGTCTCCTCTGGGGGACTTAGTTGTCCGTGGTGGGAGGCGGCCCGTGAGCTGAGCGAGTTCATTGTGTTGGACCGACTGAGCTCTGGCCCCTCGCTGACGTTGGTTGTCGACCCGGTGCTGGCGCTCGGTTTGAGCATCGTGTTGGCCGCGCTCTGCCGTTGCGCCTTGAGTTTCTTCCTCTCGTCCTTGCTCTGCTCGCCCGGACAGTCGGCGGGCACTTTCATCTCGCATTTCGAGTGGCACGTGTACCCGCAGTCGCGGCAGTCGAACCCCTTGGCGCTGAGGCCCCAGATGCGTTCCCCGCAGAGGTCGCAGTTGGTGGGGATCTTGAAGGTCTGTGATTTGAAGTTGTGATTCTTTGCGCCGAGCGTGACGTCGCCCACGGCGCTGGTGATGGTGAACGTCTCTACCTCGGCCGTCAGTCGATCGCGGTCTACGGCGTGCAGCGTCTCTTGGAGAGCAAATAAGGAGCGCACGACCTCGACCTCGTCCTTCTTCTCCGTCCCCTCGCGGACGCGCTGTTTCAACCGTTTGACCTCCTCCACGTTTCGGCGTTTCTTATCCACGTCGCGCTTTAACTCGCCCAGTTGCGATTTTGATTTCGAAAGCAGATTGCGCAGGTAGACGGTGGCCATCTCGTCCACAACCATGGTCGGCTCGTCGTGCCACACGGGGCTGGGCTCGAATGTCTTGTCGGCGGGCTCGCTGAAGCCACCAATGTTGTGGCGCATGTACATCATGGAGTCGAGGTGCGGAGCGTTGCGCTTGATCTCCCCGCCGAGACGTTCCATCATATCATGGCTTGACCTCATCATCGCGCTCTCCAGGGCTGTGGCCACGCCCCAAATCCCGTTGAGTTTCATGACACGGAACTCGTTGAGATCCTGCAAGCTGTCCATGACCTCGGGCACATATTCGTGGTAGTATCTCTCCTTGAGTCGGTTGGTAACGTTGATGGCGATCAAGTACGAGTTCTTGGCATTGTTCATTTCGAGAACCTGCTGCTGGTAGGCATTCTGCGCCTTGGCCTTGTCAAAGTGCGACTCGGACTTCTTACGGCGAGTCTCGACCTCCTGGCACACGGCGTCGTACTTGGCCTTGGTCTTGCGGAGCTCGGCGTAGGAGTGATCGCGCTCCTTCTCCAACTTGTCGGCGTACTCGGCGTGTCGTTTCCGCAGCTCGTCGAAGCGCGTGGCGTAGTACTTGAGGGGCTCGGCCACTTGCGACAGGAGATTGTTCCCAAACTTGTCGTGCTCAGCCGCCCGTGACTCGAGCGTGTTCAGTTGTGTGGACCACGTCGTCAGACTCGCGCTTTCCAGCGAGCCGGGGGTCATGGCTGGTGTGTCGCCGACGCTGAGCTGGCTCGTCTTCTTGTTTTTGCGGTCAAAGTACTTCTTAGCCAGCGCGGACAGTTTCCCGCTGTACTCCTTCTCTATGGCGGAGCGCTCGCGGTAGAACTGCTGAATGTCCTCGAGCCAGGCGATGCCGTGGCCAGCCCACGCATTGGCGGGCTTGAAGCCGTCCTTGAGTTCGGCGCCAAAGGTGGGCGCGACATCGATGTCGGCCATGGTCGTTACGACTGCGGCATGCAAAGCTGACTGGCGTCTTTCGTACGCGGCGGTGCCGGTAGAGTCGGTAGGAGTCTGGGGAGTTCGAGTCTCGACTGACACGTGTGCAGAGCGGCAGAGGGATCTGAGGGATGAGCGTGGTGGGACTTTTGTTTTGGGCTGGGTAACGTTGGGTTGGGGTTGGAGATAAGTGTGGAGGGGAAGCTGGAGGAAGACGCGGCCTCCAGAGCCGCCTCCCGAACAGGCGGATCTCAACTGTAGGCTGGCACCGGGGTGCTGTGGCCCGAAACACTGCCTCTTTGATTATTTGCGGAGGATTCCTGGGTTTGAACATCAATGGTCTTGATGGTGAAATCTCATCTCGTATGATGGCTGTATTGAGCATTGCTCTGGCATCCAAGTCAAGAGCCGCAGCTGAACCACCAGCGAGCAACTTGATGTATCAATTCAATAACATCTTACACAATCACATCTAAGACAGCATCTTGACTGGATCGACAAGCGCGCGAGTTCAAGGTACACACGTACGTACATAAACTACGGCAACTTTATCATGGTCAGTGTCTCAATTGTCAGATGCCCCACGTTCGACGCCGCGCCAGCGGCCCAGCGGCCCTCCAATGTCCAGTCCGGGACTCGAGGGGGTTCAGGCTCAGGCTCAGGTTCCGGGATCGGACACGGCCGCTAAAGTGACGCGCCAGACCTTATTTCATAGACCTTCATCACCACCTCACACCTCATAGCTCGCCCAACACACTCAAAGTGCGCATCCGCATTGGCAGCCGCCATGGCGACACTCCAGACAGCCATCAAGGGCGATCCTTCTGCGACCGCTGTCATCGTTCCCTCCCGTCCGCACGCCTTGACGGTCACCTACTCGTCCCTCGCCAGCCAAGTGTCCCGGTTCCAGCAACAGCTCGCCTCTTTAGGCATCACGACGGCATCACCCGTGTCAATTGCCCTGCCCAACTCGTGGGAGTTTATCGTCGCGTTCCTGGCCGCCAGCTGGCAACGTGGTATCGCCGCACCGCTCAATCCAGCCTACAAGCAGGACGAGTTCGAATTCTACATTGAAGATGTGCAGTCCGACCTTGTGCTTGTGCCGCAGGGCGCGTGGAACGCCAAGGCAGCCAGCGTGCGGGCGGCGCAGAAATTCGGTTCCGCCGTCGCCGAATGCTACTGGGATGGCAAGCGAGGGGAAGTCGTCCTCGACGTGAAGCACAAGGGGAAGCTCCAGGGGAAAAGGGAAAAGGTCCTGAGAGCACAGCCGGATGATGTCGCGCTCATCCTCCACACTAGCGGCACCACGTCGCGCCCCAAGGTTGTGCCCTTGACGCATAGGAACCTGACCAGGACAATGGGCAACATCAGAGACACGTACCAGCTCACGCCCAGGGACCGGACCATGCTAGTCATGCCTCTGTTTCACGTCCATGGTCTTCTTGCTGCGTTGCTCGCGCCTTTGCACACCGGCGGCTCCATGGTTGTGCCGGCCAAGTTCTCGGCCACCGACTTCTGGAGGGACTTTACCACACACAAGGCCAACTGGTACACGGCGGTGCCCACCATCCACCAGATCCTGCTTCGCAACCCGCCGCCGGAGCCCAGGCCCCAGATCCGTTTCATTCGCTCCTGCTCCAGCCCGTTGTCGCCCACAGTGTTCCACCAGCTCGAGAAGACGTACAATGCACCCGTGCTGGAGGCATATGCCATGACTGAAGCAGCCCACCAGATGACGTCCAACCCGCTCCCTCCTGCCAAGCGCAAGCCCGGTTCTGTAGGCATTGGTCAGGGCGTCGAGGTGAAGATCCTGGATGGACAAGGTGCGGAGCTCGCGCAAGGCAAGGAGGGCGAGATCTGCGTGAGGGGAGAGAACGTTACAAATGGCTATCTGAACAATCCCAGCGCGAACGCGTCCTCATACACGACGGAAGGATTCTTCCGGACGGGTGATCAGGGCAAGCTGGACGAAGACGGCTACGTCATCATCACCGGCCGCATCAAGGAGCTCATCAACAAGGGAGGCGAGAAGATCTCCCCAATTGAGCTGGACAACGTACTCACACGCCACGCCCAGGTCGCGGAGGCCGTCTCCTTTGCCATCCCAGACGAGGTGTACGGCCAGGACATTGGCGTGGCCGTGGTGCTCAAGTCTGGCGAGCAGCTGGATGCCGCGACACTCAAGGGATGGGTGGCCGAAAAGGTGGCCAAGTTCAAGGTCCCGAAGAACGTGTATTTTACAGAGATCATGCCCAAGACGGCCACGGGCAAGATCCAGAGGAGGATTGTCGCCGAGACGATGATGAAGGCCTCCAAGGCGAAGCTATAGACCTCGCAAGCGCTGGGATGCCACATGATAGAACATATGTACAGACCAAATAGACCATCTCGTCCTCCCTTTGTGCAGCGGGTTCTCGTTACTATGGAGTGAGAGACCCGGCCTCTGTAGACCGTAACCCTGATTGGCCCCCTCCCCACGTCGTATTGCTCTATTGTTGCGTCATGAACACAAAAACACCTATTGTAACACTGACGGCTCGATGCGCTGCGGTTTCACATCAAACGCCTCCACCCAGCAGCTCACCCCGTCCACCGTATCCCATCTCACCGGCTCCACGGGGCCGATGGTGTCCTTCTCCGGCCCCGACGTGCTCGACTCATTCGTCAACTCGACGCCTGCGGCGCGGGCTTGACGGAGACACTCCTCATTCGCGTCCTGGAGCGCGGCAAAGACGGAGAGGACGCTGGTAGTCAGGGACTCGTTGGGTGACGTGCACATGAGGATGTAGACTTTTTCGGAGTCTGGTCGGCGGCCCATGGTGCGCGCGCACGGGCTTGTGCAAGCTAGCAACGTGGCTTGCTTGTCCCGCAGATGGTGTCTAGGATTCGTCCAAGGGGAAAAAGTGTTGAACTATTATGCGAAAGGGGCGAGTCGAGCGAGGTCTTTACCTCGCGACATTCTCCTCGCGCACTCCCGCCATCGGGGTTGCGCATCAACTTATAGCAGCGACAAGGGGCTCGTACGTCATCCTTGTCTTGCCTTGCCTCACAGAAATATCCGACAGTTACGCACGTCACCCCGTCAGGTTGTGCATCTGCATGGCTGGCTTGTTGTGGCTTGCAAGGCGACTTGAGCCGCGGAGGTTCTAGTCCACAGTTTACGTTGATTCGGTCGCATTCGCGCCTAGCTCGGGGGTCGTCCGCAGTAGCAAATGCTCCGGCCAGCCAAGCTACACCACTACACTGAACCAACATCTCCTCATAAGCCTGGACTGTTTGGATATGGCTTTGTTTTGTTTTTGTTTTTTGTTTTTTTTTCGACTATCTACATTTTATCTCCGCGTCATCGCACAGGTATCTCTGTCTCGCCATCTTTCCGTGATTCCTCAGGCGCATCGGCAGCCGCCTCGGGCTTCTTGCCCGGGTGCATCGATCCCTTGCCCTTCTTCTTCTTCTCCTTTTTGGGCGCCGCCACGGGAGGCGGGTAGGCCTTAAGCGTGATCTCCTGCCATTCTTTGGAAGCTTGGTAGTCCGCCTGGATGGACGTCATGATCTCAATGAGGCCGTTGGTGACAACGGGCTTGATGAGCTGAGGTGTCAACTGCTTCATGTTAGCTCAGATGCCCATGCTACACCGGATGGGGTGTCGCCTACAATATCCTTGGCGTAGTCATCCTGGATATCCTTAATGTTGGTGTACGTCAACGGCTCTAGCCCATCTCTCGACCGGTCGATCACCACCTGCCTCTTGCCGCCCCGCAGCTCGGCTGCCGGCAGGATGACATACTCAATCAGTGCCAGCACGCCGTTGCCCTCGACCTCCTTGGGGGCCGCCACCGCCTTCTTGACCTTCTTGGTGATGGTCTCGGGCGAGTCGAGCAGATCAATCTTGCTGTTCTCGTCGCTGGAGCTCATCTTGCTGCCCTGCAACCCGGGGACCATGGGGTTGATCAGGTGCGCGCGCTGCTTGTAACCGAGCTTGGGCAGCCACTCGGTCGCGGCGACAAACAGCTTCCTCTGGTCCATGCCTCCAAACTGCGCGTCCACGTCGAGGTACTGCTCGTCCAACACCTGCAGCGCCGGGTACAGCAGCCCCGACAGCGGCGCATTGTCACTCTGCTTGACAATCTCAGCACCGGCCCTCTTGGCGTCGTTCTCGCTGATCAGCGAGCTGATCTTGTACAGGTCCATGACGTACTCCGCGCTCTTCTGGTAGCTCGACCCTAGCACGAACCTGAGCTTGTCCACCGACACGCCCATGGCCTTAAGCAGGGCTGTGATGCAGAACCGGTAGAATTGCGCGCGCGATTCGACTAGCTCAATGGGGGCTTTGAGGTTGTCGAGGAAACCGTGAATATCGGCGAGGAGGACCGTGACCTCGCACCCAGCGGCGAGGAGTTGGGCAATCTTGATGGCTGGGACCATGTATCCAGCATGTGGCCGACCCGTTGTCGCAGTGCCTAGTATCCCGTCAGCCTCTAACCTCATTCCCCTGTACAGTACTGCAAAGAGACACACCCCAGTAGATTTTGGGATTGCCGCCCTCCGTGAGGATCTTCTCGATGATTTCGGGGTTGAGAAGCTCGGCGAGGTTCTCGCGGATCAGGGCGAGGCGCGCCTCAGCGGTAAGAGTAGCCATGGCGAATAAAGGACCGACTCTAGTTCCAGAGCACGACTACTACGTGTGAAATGAAGGAGGGTGGGGGAGGGTTTCAAATGAACGTCTCGTGCCTTTGCAATGCCAAAGTCAGTCAGGGACAGGTTTGAGTCAACAATTTGACCCCACCATCACATCTCACCATGACCCCGCCGATAGCGGCTATTAGCACTGTCGCAAAAAAGCCACCACGAGCACTAACATGCTCTGATCGATGGAGGATGGCTTCGAGTTCGGGGCCTCCGAGGCGCGGTTTGATGTTGGCATTTGCCTGAGAGAAGAAGCCTGGGTGTCGGAGCGTAGGTAGATAAGTACGAGAACTCACTAAGGTACTTGATTTTCATTCATTCGTGTTTCACTGTCCTCTCATTGTTACTTCTATGTAGCCTTCGTGACCTCACTACCATCGAAACCCCAAAGGACAAGGATTCTCAAATATTTCTTTGCTACCATGTATCTAGGGTTCATAAGCGAGGAGGCTGTAGACCCGCGAGCGGTAGACAAAAGTCAATAGCAGAGTATCAGCCTCAAAAATCTCATACATTGCTCAAATATCGCAGGCAAAATGTGCCTGATGCTCATCATCTCAATATGCGAGTGCATGTGCACATATGTCTTCGCCCGTATATGCGATCATTTTGTTCCAAAAATGCTTGAGCCGATCGATTGTCGTGCCCATTTCCTGGCCCATCCCATGGTCTCTAACAGCACGTAATTCATTCTTGATGGGACGGTGCTTTCCAAGCCCGCCATGCGTTAACTTTGCACGCCATATCCGCCAAGCAACAATTCCATGTCCAGCCAGCTCTGTGGCGCCATGCTATTCGAGGGTATTTGAGTCACCGGGCCCTGACTGGTATCCGTTGCTCCAAAAGTAGACGATGGGAACAGGCCCAGGAAACCTCCGTCCATGTTCGTGTCCTCGTATGGTGGCATCTGCCCAAATTGTGCCTGCTCCGGCATCATGTTGGTGATCCCACCTCCAATGTTTCCATACGCGTACTGCGGTTGAGGAATGCCGCCCATATGCTGTTGGTACTGAGCTTGTGGCTGCTGAGGCTGGTGCTGCGGCTGCTGCTGCAGTGGAACGATTGGCTCTCCAATGAGGTCTGTCGGACCTCCGCTCAAGAGCGATACCGGCGTTGAAGACGAGAGCCTTGCCGTGAACGCCTGCACGACCTTGGCAAACCGCTTCATGGCGCCAGCTTTTGGAGTGCGGTCCATGACCGCCTGTATTCGGTCGATGATCGCCCGGAGCGAGAGGCAAATGTGCTGCTCGGCCACTTGGGCATCGGTGTGCGGGCTGCCTACTGGCGTCGAGTCATCGACACTGCGCAGCAGGCGAAGGATGATGATCATAGACGCGTGGTACGCGTAGTACACATCCAGGCCAGACAGTCCGCTGAGAATATCAAAGGCATCGAGTAGAATGACAATGTAGACGAGTTGGCATGCACTCCGTACTGCTCGATCTGAGTACTTTGAGAGCCCGTTTGCCTGCGCATTTGGGACCAATTTCCCCTTCCGGAGAAGCGTGATATCCCGCAACAACAAAGCTCGAGTCGCCGCAAGAACAACAAAATGGAATTGGATATGGAGTAAGAGGACGGCCCGCAGATGAGGCTTGGTCTTCACCTGCAGCGAGGTCGCCAGTTGCTCAATGTCCACGGAGTCTGCCGAATCTGGATAATCCAGAGTATTCGACTTGATCCAAGGCAGTCGGAAGTCGCTGAGCTGGCTGACCTTGGACATCCACTCATCCAAGGATCCGAGTACCTGGTCAACACTCGATGAGGGGACATACGGGGTCGCAAGCTCTGCCTTGCGCCTATTGGCGTCGACTAACCTGGTCTTTGCGAGGATCGCCTGGAGTTTGAGGGAGAGGGATACTAGCCTGGCGTCCGTGCCTCCACCGCCCTCCAAGAAGCCCTCGCGTGGCGGCACAATCTCTACATCGAGCTCCTGCAGACCACCCGGGCGACCGAGACTGGAAGCAAGGAATTGCTCGAACGTGTAGAGTGTACAAAAGACCCATTTTCGTATTTCTCTCTCCAAGGGTCGAAAAGAGGAGTTCATGTCAGATCGGTGCAGGCCCAGCGCAAAGGCTATTCGGGTTGCTGCGCCGACCAGGTTCCAAGCAGCATTCCTCTCATTGTAGTTGTGCAAGAACAGTGATAGAAGTAGCAAAACGCGCACGTTTGTCAACGTGCATCGAAAAATGAATTGCGGCAACAACGCTCGGGCAACCGTGACGGAGCGCCGGCGAAGAGTCGTATGATCAATGTCAGGAATACCCGGATCCGATATTGAGCCAAAAACGATCATCATATGAAGACAACCAATCCATCCCCAGTCAGGGAGGGGCCCGCGATGTGTCTTGCCTGTGGCTGTTCGCGCGTCGCGCCGAGCTTGAATCACAAATACCTCAAACTCGTCTTGGAATGTAGCTCGATGGAAGAGAGGAAAGTCATCGTGCACGACCCTAAAGTACGATGCAATGAGAGCCTCGAGCTTATCATCCGGTGGGAATTGCTTGAGGATCTCCTCCATTTCGGTGGGCGGCAGACGAGTAAAATCCCTTGCAATTGCTGTGATGGAGCCCGGTGACGGTCCATCCAAAGGCAGATTGTCAACAGAAATCCGGGGACTGCCTTTGTCCACGGACCCGCCACCATTTTGGTCATCGTCGTCGGTATTCCTGTTGACACCCGGAATCATGTTTGCGGGCTGACGAGGGTAGCTGGATTCGGGGCGCCCTGTTTGCGTACCCTCGACGGACATGGCTGGGACTTGTGACTGTTGATTTGGCACCTCGTTTACGAGCATCCGTATGCGGCTCAAGAAGTTCAGAGTACCAGACGGCCCAACGTAGTGCTCGTTTCCGCCGAGATCATGCATCAAGAAGATGTTTGGCTCTTCGCTGCTCGATCTGTTGAGGGGATTGGGTGTCTCGCTTGTGGCAGAAGCTACCGAGGGTGCTCCCGAGGCAACAGAATATGTCCCAGGGGTGCCACCACCAGCGTTGGAATACATCGAGCCTGCTCCAGGCTGCCTGACTAGCTCCTCGATTTTGATCGTCGGTCGCGCTGCGTCAGCAATGTCAGGCATCTTGATACCTAGCTTCTGCCCTAGCTGATGAAGCTCCGCCGCCGTGCTAGTGCTGTCGTTGGGAAAGGCTCCTTTGACGATGGCTTCCAGGCAACGGTACCTGTCGCTGAGCTCATCGACACTGCCGTAGAATCGCTTCCGCCTAGGCGCGGTGAAAGTGCAAGGGACTGCATGCTCCTGGCAGCTCAAGCAGCCGTTGCCGTCGGGCGCAGGGACGCATTTACACCTCCTCTAGAACTGCGTTAGCCACGCGACACAAACCCCAGCGCATGGCGTGAAGTCAAACCTTGCGACAACGATCGCAACTCTGAGCGTTCCTCTTCCTCTGATCATCTGGGATGCGGCGCATGCGGCGCTTGGCTGCAGCCGGGGACTCCTCGTCAGTCATCACAGCGTCGAGGAGGGACTGCGTTTTCAGAACGGATGCAAAGAGCTGGCAGGCCCAATCTGGACCGCCAGCGCAGGGTGCAGGAGTGCGAGTCGCTGGAGCTGCGAATCAGCGACCTGAGCCGGGTCCCAGCCTGCGTCTCGAGACCCTAAGCTACAATGTGTGGTCACTCGCAGGCGACAGTCTGGGGTAATACTGTGGAGATGGGGAAGATGGCGGGACGGTGCACCCGATGACGCCCAGGACGAGGGTACTTATGGGGTTTCATAATTGAAGTCATGATGAAGACGGTGTCTCCTCTTTACTTTGCTATCTTGCTAGCTCGAACTCTAATGAGACATATCATGTGACCGAGTGACGTTCATCCCTCAGAGGGTCCACACGAGCTGAAACCACTCACTCTGCATCTCAGCTGCGAAGCAGCCTCACTAATTTTTTATAGAAGCAATGATGCATGTTTTCAGACTTAACAGTCCTATTTCCAGGGTAATTCGAAGTCTCCAGGACGTAAAGCTCCTCGATGCTGTTAGAGGGGAACTCTGAAATCAGTTGGCCTAAGTCTTTCGTAGAAATATTCCGGAAACTGCTAACATTCCTTTAATTAGCGTTGCAATATCTTCGAGCATTGTGCATGTGATGTAGGTCAGGCACCGTTAGTGCCTTCCAGAAGAAACAAGTTCTGCATGCATTGTAAACCCCGCTAAAGATGAGTGGACTTTTCCGGTGGCTCGATGTTCATCGCAGACTGATGAGCCCAAAATCGGTCCAAGGTGTAGGGTACCCTACATGCACAGTAGTTGTTAAGTTAGTTCTGAACCCGACAGGCCGCAGCAGTCATCTGAACACCGACCCTCGTCCCCTGATGTTGTACGTGCAATTAGCACGATGGCGTCTCGCATATTCGCTCGCGGTCTTGTCACTGCTTCGCGTTCTACCACCGCGCTTCAGTGTCGTTTGATGAGCACCGCGACCTCGTCCGCCAAGTATGATTTTCTAGTCATCGCTCCAGACAAGGCGGGAGCCAGGCAGAGAAGGCTGGAATGCCGTCCGTAGGTGGCCTCTTCGTCTAAACGAACTAGAATTAATCGCCTGTCCCAGGGCTCATTTCGATGGCCTCGCTTCAAGGGTTCAAACTGGCCAGATTGCTGTTGCCGGTCTGCAGTCCCCTCCCAGCTCCGCTATCCAACTGACAGCATAGGCGCGATTCTCCACGATATTCCAAAGAGTGACGACGTTTCTGACCTTGACTTTCAAGGAAGCGTCTTCATCGTTCGGAACCAGACCAGAGAAGAGATCTGGGAGATGTTGCGAAGCGATCATTACGCCAAGAACGACGTTTGGGACCTAGAGAAGGTGAGCATAGGCTATTCAAGGTGGACTCATGCTCATCCTATTGCGATAGACTCAGATCATCCCCTTCAAGAAAGGCGTCGGAGGTTATGCCGAGCCGTGAAAGCCAGTTGAGAGCAAACTGCCACGTAGTATTATCATTCTTCCCCGCCATCAAGGGCTTCCACCTTCATGTCGGACACAGTAAACATACACTGATAATAAGATAAACACCAGAGTTCGGAAACATGTGGATCTGAAACGAGTCGCGCCGCTTTCAAAATAATCAAAAATCTAAAGTATCACAGATCGCTGAAAGCTCCGCCTTAGGCTTCAGCTTTCGTAGTCTGGGCTTCTTTCTCACTGTTCTCTTCCGCTGTTACCCTTAGCTCATAGGTGAGTTCGAAGCACTCTGCAAGAAGCTCACTGACACTGCCTTGTCCCTCGGGAATGTCGTTGTTAACAACAAATTTCCCATCTTGGCGCATATTGTCGAGTGAATTCAGCTGCTGATGTCAGGGCACTGGAATTTCTTTGGTGACTTGTGTATTTACCTTCATGCTGTATGGGTACAGCTCTCGCACCGAGGACACGCCGCCTGTGTCCTTGACTTGACGGAGACACCGCTTCAATGTCTGCAACTGGTTGTAAACGGGAAGTAGGGCTTCTGATACTGGCTCCGAAGATATCATGAGCTGGTAGATGTATGCGTAGCTTCGTCTAATCAGATAGAGCAGAGTACGTTGTGTCCAAAGATCAGCAGGACGTCCCTTGTCGTCGTAGAAATTGCCACCTTGCCGGCTTTCGTCCAGTTTATCTAGTTGTCGCTGGAAATCGTAGAGATCCGTCTCACGGAGGGACCAGGCCTGCGTCAGCGACAATTTCTCCAGCTCGTTCCGGATGCCGGTGAGAGTTGAGTATATGGGCTTCCATTGTTCGGCAACCTGACCCTTTCTTTCCAGAACCATATCCGACCACTTCACACACCGCTCGTACAAGTCGAGCACCTCGTCAGCGCCGCTGGCTGCGGTGCCATCGGGACTGCAGAAATTCCCATTGGTGCGCATTTCACCAACTTGTAGGAGTTGGGCTCGTAGCTTCTCCATTTCAGACGTGGAGAACTGTGCATGTCAGCGGGCCACATATGACCTCTCGTAACTGAACTGCTTACATGTGTTTTTGTGTTGGCTAATGAGATAGATCGCAGAATGGAAATAAGCTTCTCATACTTATCTAAAAGACATTCGCTGAAACGCCCAAGTCGTTTCGAAAGGTGATCCGTCATCTCCTGGCATCTTGCGACACGATTTTTCACCAGCTCCAGCAGATAATGCGAATGTTGCGGATCGGATGCTCCACTCTCTTCTGCTTTTCGAATGCTCGTTGACAGTCGGGATAGCGTAGTGTTGATGCTATCCAGGTCTTTGGCCGAGTACAACTCGACCTCGGTCAGATGGTCAAGTAAACGCTTGATAGTCGATGTCAGAGCATAAGCGGCAGGGGCTTCGTTGTTGCGCCCAATAGTCAGGTAGAAGAGCGATAGCAATTGAAAACAGCTTTCCAAGACTTTGTCCACTGCGGTCTGTTAGCCCAGTACTTAATCAAGCCATGGACCCGCGCACCTCGATTCTCCTCCTTGTTGCCAGATTCCGCTCGTGCTGTGTTCAGATCCTTGACTTGCTGTATCGTGTCGTCATAGAGAGGGATGACATCTTGACTACGGATATATGTTGTGCGATCGCGTTTGAGAAGGAGGAGGCTGTCGCGAATGACGGTCAAACGATCGAGGATGACTTGCTCTCGGGCATCTTGAGGCAGCGGGACAGCCGGTGTATCCATTCTTCGGTAGATGATTGCAGAAATATCTCTGCGGACTTTGATTCTGAGAAGCTCGATGGTGTAGAGAGTTCTTTTATGAGCTGTAATCCGTCCTGTGGTTTTACCAATGGCGAAGGTCGCTCGCTCTTCCAGCGCTTCCGAACGCCGGCCTGGCTGATGCAGTATACGCTGACAAGTCGCTACCTTCCACAATCGTGGTGTGTTGGACAAGGTTTTCACTGGATCTTTTTCGGGTCCAAGGATCGAGGTTTCGTCGATCGCATGAATTGTCTCCTTGTTGCTCAACGACAAGGAAAGATCGGGTATGCGGGATACGTCAATGTCGCGACCGGGAGCAGATGCTGATTACCTCTGATTTCATGGTGGGGCTGTTCGACTGACCGGAGGTGGGGTTCCTGCATTCAGTTGTCGACGGCAGGTACGTACCGACCATGAGGACAGCAACGGGGTTTCGTCTTGACGTTGGCGGCTTTGATTGGACAAAGCTGACAGCCAATCATATGATTGCATCTGGCCGGCACCGGAAAATCTTGCCTGCTCTACCACTTTAGGTCTCGAAGCCCTGCAGCGTCACAAATTCGCGGACCAGGAATTTTGTGGTCAGTCTACTCGTGTGGTGTGTACTTCGCATTCAACCTCCGACTATCGCCAAATCACCATCCTCAACGTCACAGACCACGAGACATCAAATTCACAATGTCTACCTCTCCCGAGCTCGCTTCGTCCTACGCGGCGCTTATCCTCGCCGACGATGGCATTGAGGTTACTGTGAGTCTCCCTATCGACTCAGAATCCGTCGTGCCCCGCCGCGCGCATCGCCAAAGAATATTGCCGAAGTTGATCACCGTTGGTGGACTAAGCTGACCGCAATCTCTCACAGGCCGACAAGCTCCAGACACTGATCAAGGCTGCCAACATCGAGGATATTGAGCCCATCTGGACCTCCATCTTCGCCAAGGTACGACATGCCGAAATTTCGACATACGATGCAACGATTACTGACACGAGGGACACAGGCTCTCGAGGGCAAGGATATCAAGGAGCTCCTGACCAACGTCGGCTCCGGGGGCGCTGCTGCTGGCCCCTCTGCCGGCGGTGCTGCCGCTGGTGGCGCTGCTGAGGCCGAGCCCGCCGTTGAGGAGAAGAAGGAGGAGGAGAAGGACGAGTCGGACGACGACATGGGCTTCGGTCTCTTCGACTAAACAGTTTCACCAAATAAACGAAACCCTTCTCGACGACCATTTTCCCACCCGCGACGGCTTTTGTCCTCCCGCAAAAACATCGTTTTCCTTTGTATTCCACGGCATGGCTTTGAAGGTGCCCGCACGCGCGGTGTTTTGACTTTTAATCGATCAAGACAGCATGGGAAGAGGGCGGTGTTCACAACTGCGATTTACCACTGTGCAATGACGCGACGAGGGCCTTCACAACGGAGTTTACCCGGGGATGGGGTCAAATTCAAGGACTTTGAAAAGTTACGACTGGTTGTCATGTGTTTCTACTGAATTATGACGGTGATGCGTGACTCGATGGTTCTTATTTGATATTTCGCTATCTGTCCCAGTACCCCAACACCAGGCTGTGCGTACCCTCTTACCTCTGAGATAGCCTACTTCACAATGAGTACGGATGAAGGCACGCAGCCTGCCTCCTTCAACGTCTTGGACATATCGACGTCTCCCTCGAAAGTCTTCTTGGGAAATGTAGTAGAGAAGCTCGTGACAGTAGTCCCTGTCTCGGTCTTGAGCTGCTCTGCTAACTCGAACAGCGTTGTTTCGGCGGGAAGTGTCTTCATGATGTTTCCAGATGCAGTCTGCAGCCTCAGTCTGGCTTGATCGTGATCAACTTTGGCCTTGGGAGCAGCCGGGGCCGTGCTGGGCTTTGAGTCGGCCACTGGGGCCGCCTTGCCTTCCCGCGCTGCCTTGGCCTCGTCGGCCTTCCGCTTCCTCTCTGCCTTGTCAGCTTCGATCTTGGCCTTGATTCTCTTCTTGGCCTCGAGATCGTCAATCTTCTCTTGACGCTTGCGCGCAGCCTCTTTCATCTGCTCTTTGCGCTGAAGCTCCTCCTTGGCTTCTTGAGTTTCCTTGGTCGACTTTTGGCGTATTTGCTTGGACTGCTCAGTTCACGCTCTCTGCAAGTAGCTGATGACTTACCTCGTTGCGCCTTGCCTCTTCCTTGTCTTGAATAGCGCTGGCGGCCTTCTTGGACTTGACCTTTTCTCGAAGTTCTGCTAGTCTTGCTGCCTTCTCCTCTTCTGTCAATGGGGCGATCTCCTCGGTGGATTCCGAAAAGTCAGTGTGCTCGCTATGGTAATTAGCACCTTGACCGCCTGTATTCATGGCGGACACTCACGTCTTGGATGCGTGAAACTCGGCAGCTTGCATGGAACGGAACTTCTTGCCGCACTCATTGCAGACCATTGACTTGGCTTCTGTACCGGCCTCCAGCTCGGCGATCTTAGCCTTGGTGGCTTCTTCATCATCTTCATCGTCCTGACCCCCAGTATCCTCCTGGATCTGCTCAAGAGTCTTGTCCTGGTTGTTTTCCAGCCATTCAAGAGCTCCTTGGACTATTCACGATGAGCAATGCACCTGAGTTGGGAAAGGTAAGACCTTACGACCGCCAGATTTCTTGACAGCCAACGTAGCCCGGGCTTCTTCAAAGCCCATATCCAACAACTGCTCCAAGTCGGTTGCCATGATTAATTGTTAAGAGATGCTTAGTGGTTGACGTCAGGGCGGTGTTGGCTGATGTTGAAGTGGAGTTTGGGTTCGGAGTTTGTGAAGGCTGGTAAAGATTATTTGTCCTCGTACCCAGTGATGGAGGGGCAGGAAAACGTATTGTCAGGACATCATCCACGTCTCTGCATCGAGTAATCAAAGACAGCAGAAGCGGGCATGTTAATTGAATGGCGCCTCATTCGACGGGCGATTCTGGTTGTCAACATCATCATGAATAATTGGAATTCAGTAACATCGCAGTGCTAAGTCTGACGCAGTAACGGTTTCATACTAGCCTTAATGCCACTGCTCGTCACTACTCAGAACGCACCGGCTAGATTCACGTATAATACTTCCCTGTTCGACAAGCGTTCTACGTCGAGATCTTGAATAACGCTTATGGAATCAGATTGCCCACAATGGCACACAAGATTGACCATCGCCCCCCCCCCCCAGCTCAAGGCTAGTAAGGTAAGGTGTTGTTAACGACGTTGCTCAGCATTACAGGGTAGGCTGGGGATCCTTTTGAGAACAGAATCACCCGGATCACGAATGACCAAAGCAAACAAAATTGATAGAACTAGAAGATTCCCCCGATCCAGGGACAGTCTACTACATATGCGTGCCATTGCAAGGTGAGAAGATCATTCGTGCTGCAAGTAATGATATTTGTGCAGGTGCCCAGAATCCCGGGATTTCTTCGGAGGATTCCAACGCACGCTACCTCGAATCTACCTGGTACGCTTCTCGACTGTCAGGTAGTTGTGGCCACAGCTGGGCCAGCTGGCTGGCACTGACGTCGTAAACAGACCCTCCAAAATCACATCACCGTCCCGAGATCATCGCAACCCACGCCTACGAAGTTCACCAACTGTACACTCACCTTGCGAAAACCTTAACGACACACTTTTACACCTCACGGAAAACCACAGCGACGACAATTTCCATTTTCTCAACCACCCAGGACCCGTACCCCTCCCTAGAGTAAACCCCTTGCCCGAGTGCATCGCCCATAGAACACCATGTCGGTCGATATCGAGCCTAGCGAGCTGAGCTTCCAGCGTATGTAGTACAATACGCCTCGCTGCATCTACTAATAGCTGCCAGGGCCGTTCACCTTTGAGGTTTCGCAGACCTTGAGCCTACGCAACCCCAATGCGACCCCCGTCGCCTTCAAGGTTCGTCTTGCTTACCCCTCGATGCGCGCGGAACATGCCGACTCACTGTTACCATAGGTCAAGACGACCGCCCCCAAGCAGTACGCGCCGTTCCCTTTGCTTGAGCGATAACAGCCATCGCTGACTATTGAAAGATACTGTGTCCGCCCAAATGCTGGTCGTATCGAGCCCGGGCAATCGTTTGATGTTACTGGTACGTGACCTGAGTGTGTCAGTCTGCTTGCTTTGTACTAAGCTTCCGCAGTTCTACTCCAGGCTATGAAGCAGGAGCCTCCAGCAGACGCCAAATGCCGTGACAAATTCCTTGTTCAGTCTGCGCCGATCACTGGAGACAAGGAATTCGCTAGCATCGCCTCAGTTGTAGGTCAGCCCTTGCCAAGACTCATTTCAGCACCTAACGGACGCAGTTTGATACCACGGAAAAGTCCTCGATTACCGAGCGGAAGATTCGCGTCAACTGGCTAGCCGCGGCCGATAACACCGCAGCAGCTCCATCGATTGCAGTAACACCGAGTAAACAGACCAATGGCGCGGTGAGTGCAGCCTTGTACTTTGAGCCGATAAGTTTCTAACCAGACAGGACAACGTCGACACCCCGGAAGCCTCGAGAACCTACGCCTCACCTAGTGCTGGAGTTGAAACTCCCTCAGCCGCACCCCCGCCATACACCGATACCCCCAAGTCCCAGCCCGAGGAAATTAAGGAGCAGGCACAAGCTGCCGCCGCCACTGCCGCCGCTTCTGTGCAGGCCACAGCGCAGTCTACGGTCGAGACAGTCAAAGAGGCCACGCGTACTGATAGCGTCGTCCGTCAACGTGTGGCTAAGGGTGCCGAGGAGGCGAAGAAGGCTACAGGGCAGTTGGCCCAAGCCGTCCCGCAGCAGGTCCATGGGGTCTCGGTGCCCATTGTGGCAATGTTGTGTTTCTTGTCTTTTCTGGTTGCCTACTTCTTCTTCTGAGGTGAAGTGAAAAGGGGTCCCGAAACCGATCGTGTGAGCGGCGTGTAGATACGATTTGCCAGGAGGGTACATGCACAAGAGATGACTCCTATTGAGATTGGACGCATGTAGCCATGTAGGGGTGTGATGAGCCGATAGCGAGAGGATGACTTTTCTGAACTTAGCGCTTGAAGATAATGTGTAGCTTGTGCGTCCATACTAACGCCTGTGCTTGGCAGCCTACGGGTTCATATGCGTCAATGAATCTTCAACCAAGGCAATAAACATCTCATTTATTATACGTATTCTTCTTCTGCTTTTGCTCGAGTGCCGCCACCATCAAGGATGGCTCTAGTTTTGCACTTCGCTCTCTGTCCACCCGCTACCGCCGCCTACAACACGACCTCCGCTTTCCCTCTTCACGCGGCACCTCATGCCAACGTTCTTGTCGAAAATGAACCTTACTATGGCCATGACCCAACTCTCATGGCGAGGCAGGTCGTCGTAGAAATCTGCCGCAATGCGATTCACCTCGTGCAACCTGGTCCACGGAACAGCAGGAAAGTCGTGGTGCTCGTTGTGCAGACCGACATTGTACGTCAACCAGTTTAGAGGGCCATAGTAAGAAAACGTCTCGGGCACCGGAACACGATTGTTCGGATCACGCGCCTTCGGGGTAATAGTCTCGTACACGTAGTGCTCGGCAATGAAATGCCCCGCCAAGGGATGGAGGCTTCCGGCCAGAAACGAGCTCAGTAGCAGGTACAAGAGACTTTTGACACCAAAGAAGCGCAGAAGAACAACGTCGAAGGCGAGCTGTACAACGATGTTGAGCAAGTGGATCTTTGTAAGAGGAACGCGGTAGACGGTCATTGGGCGGATGGCGTAGAAGAAGATCTGGAATGTGCAGAAGAAGGCCTTGCCCAGGATGGAGTCGAGTACCCATGCTTCGAAGGCGGTCGGAAGATCAGTGTCCATGCCATCGACGCCGAGGGACTTGTGATGAGTGAGGTGATATGGCTGTCTGTCGTTAGTCCGTTTCTATGACTTGACTCCATCGCACGTACCCTGAAGGAGGCACTGTAAGGGATGCCAATGGGCAGATTCGCGCCCATGGCAAGCAGCCTATTGGCCAAAGGATTCTTGAAGGCGAGGTTGTGAGAGATCTCGTGGATTGCGAGGAATAGATTTTGGTTCGCCGTCGCTCCGATAACGTATGCAATGCCCCAGAATTTGAGAGAGAAGAATGGTGTCGAATGAAGGTATATCGCAAGAAGGACCTGTAGTGTGACGACGCCGAGAACAACCCATTTGGTCAAAGGCTCTGGTCCGCAAAGCTTTGTGATCTGCGAGTATTAACGGTTATGCCGAGAGCGAGAGACCACTTGAGATTGACGTACTTCTGGATGGGCTTTGATGATAGCCAGCCGTCTGGTGCGATGCGGTTCCTCCGTGTAAGTCCAGAAGAAGTCATTCGCATCGGCGACAGCCTTGTCGGCGAGTGTCTCCTTCTTCGAAGACAACGACGCTGCAGACGCCGACTTGCGCTGCTTGGGCGTCTTGGTGACGGTAGACGAGGACGACCAGGATGGCATCTTGGACGATAATGAAGACGACGACGAGACGATCGATGCCTAGGTTGAAACGAAAGAAAAGCCAGCCGTCGTTGCTGAACGAGGCCAGTTTGTACCCGTGGGAATGGAGCTCACCTGATGTCGGTGTGGATAGCGATTGTGGCGCGACTGTTTTTCATGGAGATCCAGGGGTTTAGCGGAACCGCATGTCAAAAAGGGTCAACATGTGGCCGCTGCCTTGCAGAGAGCCTGTCGCGGCTTTAATGTGTCATGCACCGTCGAGAGTGGTGACCGGACGGCTAATAGTGGCTCCTCGAACCCGTTCGCACCAATCGTATCTACCTGGTATGTGTTCATCGTTCGAGAATGGAATCGCCCGAGGCGCCTTTTTCTCGCTGTGGCGACTTGAGCTTAGCATCTTTGCATGCAGAGTCAGACTAATTCTCTTCATTCGCGAACAGACAAGCTGACATCGTGTCAGCTGCCACGTGCTTGGCTGTGTGACTCTTACTAGTGATTTCCTTTGCGACAATTGACAGATCTTTTCCCTAGTATACAAATTCAATCGTGACTAAGGCCTACCTATAGCTGTTATGGTATCATTCTTTCTAGTACGGGTGACTGTCTACCTTATGCTATAGACGGTTATAGCACGTGATCAGATTAATCTAGGAGTCGGATCATGGCGGATGAAACCTCCCACATCCCACGGTCGAGGTCAAATAGGGCGGATTCCCCGAGTAGCAGCAAACGCAGCACTCATCCTACTGAGGCGATCTTCCTAGAAAAACTCCGATTATCTTGCTACAATGGCACCCCTCTCCAGCGTTGGCACGGGTGCTGTGGCCCTGATTCATATTTACATTACGATTCTCGAGATGGCACTCTGGACGAAACCACGAGGTCGTAAGGCTTTCGGACTGAGCGCTGAATTCGCAGAAAAGACGAAAACCCTTGGCGCCAACCAGGGATTATACAACGGCTTTCTTGCAGCAGGTCTAACCTGGAGCATCGTTCACCCAATCCCTGAATTCTCGAAGCAGCTCCAACACTTCTTCCTCGGCTGCGTCCTTGTCGCTGGGATATTTGGCGCGGCTACAGCGAGCAGGAAGATCTTGTTCGTCCAGGCCATACCTGCCCTGGTGGTTTTGGGCTTCATACAACTCGACGTTTAAGTCCATCGGCTGTTTTAGGACATGAAGTACATATCGACTGTGGCCTTTCTGGCTTCGATATCAACTTCAACTTCCAAGTCCGTCCCTCAGGAGTGCCTAGCATTAGTGAAAACACGGCCAGCTGGGAGGCGTTATGGTGATCATGACGCAATGCTGAGAGGCGACCGGGGCCTCAAAAACAGGAGAGCAGTAAATGCGTGTTACGGTGTTAATGACCGCGAATACAAGAACTATTATAGTCTATAAATGAGTATATTCCGTACGGTTGGTTTTCGTGCGGAGGTTGTGGAGAACCGCCAAAGTTTGCTCGGAAACACGGTGAAGAAATCAGGAATTATCGGGCGTCAATCAGGACCACGTCCACCCAGAATGGAGTTGGACAACTCCCACGCATGCACGCACACACGCATGCACTTTGACCCCTGAGCCATAGCGCGATAGAACAGGGGAAAAACCCGGAAGAAACCCTAACGCTCTATTTGATTTCTTGTGCTCGGTTGCATATCGACGCAAATCGATGCACGTTGAGTTGGACCCTGAATCTCTAAAGTCGGAGTAACCGCCTCAATCACAAGCCAATTTCTCGACGCCGCACGTGCAGATAAGCCCTGTCGATAAACAAACCGACGCTCCCTTGGGCAACACCGCCTTCCTCTTTTATTCTGATTGTCTTCATCCTAAACACCCCCACCCTCTTCGAAGCAAACAAAGCCAAGCACGATCGCAAGGTGACGCTCCGGCGACGTGTTCCTCTGGTTATTCGCGAACGGTCGTCGATCCCGCGCATCGTCCATGAGCATCCCTAGCTCATAGCCCGGTCACGCGATCTCGCGTGCGTGCACGCAACCGAAGCCTGCATAATTACTAGCAGCTCAAACGAATACGCCATCGCGCTCTTCTGCGAGCTCATTGTCAAGTCGATCGATTCCCTCCACACACAAGCTTGCTGCAGTGGTTTGCTAGCTACCTACCCGAGTCTGTCGTCCCGATGTGGTGGTTCTTCAGCGTCATTCTGGGCACCGCCTTTCTCTTCAGCATCGTCTTATCGATACCAGTGGCTTTTGATGTGGGCGGACGTGACAGCGGCTTGGCGTACAGCCTGTCGCTGTTTCTATACTACCTTTTCTACTCGATAGTCAAGTTCCTGACTCCCGAAGGCTCCCGTATCCGGTGGACAGTGTCGACAGTTCTACGCTTGTCGCAATGGATCATCATACCTGCGCTGCTGATCTGGTCGCTGGGACAGTTTGCAGTCGATGCGGGCAGCACGAACTGGGTTGAGAGGACCCTGGGAGGTCTTCTCCAGTCCAAAAGTACTAGTTGGACTGAGTGGGTGTTCGGAAAGGATGGCGTGGTCGAGACACTCATGCTCGGCAGCTGGGAGAACACTTTACGATATTCAGGACCCGTGTTCCAGCTCCTTGAAGGGTTCTGCACGCTCTTGGTCATTCAATCACTTGGGCAGCTCACCAGGTGGCTCGTGAATAGTGGACGCAGCGACTCGTGGCTTGTGGGTGAACCTCTGGATGTTCTCTATTCCTCCATCGCTAACCTGACAGATCATCTTACTGGCCTTCTCGGGCTCCGTCATTGCGAGCTCCGTCTACTTCCTCTGGCGGGTGGCGCAATTTCCCGAAATCAACAACTTCGATGCCATCCTCATTGGAGTAGCCATGACGACCGCCATCTTCCTATGCGTATATGGCATCGGCAGTGGTCGAGGCAGCCCCGTCGAGTCGTCACTTCTATTTGCTTACGTCGTGCTCTGCGTCTACCAGATTTTTACAGATTATCTGCCCTCTGATGGCGCACAGCATGGGGAGGATCAAGCGGCAACACAGCCTGATATTCCACCATTGCCACCTATCATCATGGCTTCTTACTCAACGCTGCTGCACATTCTGGGCTCGCTACCGCAGGCCATACACTCATCACTGGCCCTGCTACTGGCGGCATTCCAGACAATCACACCGTCGGTGATGATTTCATTAACATATCGTCTGCTTGTATTCTACTGCGCTACTCGCATCATCCCGTCCGTCAAGGATCTGGGAGCCAAGGTTTACATGCACGACGCTGATTGGGACGACTCGGAGACCGCCACCAAGGTTCTTAGCCTCCTCAGCTGGCTCTCGCCTTCCATCATGATTGCTGTATACACCAGTCTTCTGCTGCAGCACTTCTCGACCAGCGACAGCGAGGACGGTTGGTCATTACGAGAGGGTGACGTCGGCGGCAGCACTTGGAGATGGGTCAATGTTGGACTGACAATGAGTCTGTACGGTGTTGAGCTGCTTTTAGGATCGGACGAGAACGATCATTGGAAGGTCGACTAAACTACCAAGCTTGATCATGAAGGAAATGGCTCAAAGGGAAAGATCTATCACTGTACAGGAGAGCATCAAGGTAGAGTGGGGAGTAGGATGCAGCGGTAGAATGAAGATACCAAGCACAGAAGGTACTGCACATTGGCGTTGGGGCGCTGGATTTGTCAGTTGGTCGAATATGCGCTTGGGCTCGCAAGGAGCATGGGCATCTCCGTCTAGCAAGCTTCCGTTTTATTTTCTTGGTCACGATATGGTCAGGCGGTTTTCCCTTTGGCCACAAGCCATACATAGCATCATATTCAGAAAGATGGTCAGTGAAGCAGGCGAGAATACTAGCTTGGTAAATACCCACGGAACACAGCACCAATTTTACGGAACCCATTTTGCTTTGAGATGTAGTGATGTGTCTCGAGAACAGACTCGCTCATACATGCCATCGATGCGAAATGCGAAGCTCCCGAGCAACCCCACTCGCATTCCAGCATCCAATGCATCACTTCACCTCACGTTAGCCTCAACATCATCCCTCCGCGCATCCTCACGTGCCCCCCCCTGCGCCAACGCAATATCACAAATATGACGCTGCTCAAGGACAAGACTGCTGCTTACGCCACAAGGGGCCTCCCTCCGGCACCCAGTATCTCCATGAAGACTATACCCATGGCGGGCTTGTTGGTTGACGCATATGGTCTAGAAGAGCTGAAGCCTGAAGTCCCGGTGACTTGTCTGTGGTTACTCCATCCTCGCACGCGGGATCGCGCGCGGATGAGCGATATTGCGTGTCGAGCTGTGCAGAGCTACAACGAAAGCTCGTCTGCTTCCGTACAGGGTCTCATCGCACTGGCCTTTGACATGCCCAACCACGGCACGAGACTCGTCTCCGAACTGGGCAACAAGGCATGGAAAGACGGAAATTCAAAGCATGCAATAGACATGATGGGTATGGTAAGGGGCGGAAAAGGAGACATGAGCGCACTCATGGACGTCGTGGGTGGATATATGACCCGTGACATTGGGGGACATGTGGTTCTCGGCTGGAGCTTGGGGGGCCATGCTGCTTGGGAGGCTTGGATTGGGGAGCCAAGGGTCAAAGCTGGCGTCGTCGTGGTTGGCTGCCCTGACTTTATGGGTACGTTTTCCCTGGTGCATGCATGTTCATGGGTCGTACGACTAACAAGAAGCCAGGGCTCATGGGGGATCGGGCGAAAAGGTCTGACTTGGATTATGGCGAGGACTTTTTTGGAAGTCAGTACTTCCCAAGGGACCTTATACTAGTCTGCGAAGCACATGATCCGAAAGGGATACTGTTCGGTACGGCGACACTCCCGTCGTTACCTCTGTCTCCGGAAGAAAAGACTCGACTCAGACAGATTCTGCAGTCGAGAGGCTGCCTGCAAGGGAAGAAGCTTCTTCTCTGCTCAGGAGCTGACGATCGCTTGGTGCCGCACAGGAACAGCAAACGGATGGTCCAGATACTCAAAGAACTTGAGGTTGACGTCGACGACAGGGTGTATGAGGGCGTCGGTCACGCCTTCAGTGCGGATATGGTACAAGATGCAGTTGCATTTTTGGTACAGGCAGTCGCAGATGGAGCACAGGAAAACTCACGTCTATAGATGTTATTTGAAGACACTGCCTACCACGGCCTCGAGGCTTCTGTAGCAAGCATTTCATCTTTGCCATGACCGATAGTCACGAGACCGCTAGCTTCCCTCCCTTGAAATCCTTCAACGAAGATTCCTTGCCACACCTTGAACGGATTTCTGTCGCTCCTTTTGCCTGTCAGTTTGCTACCTCGGCCATGCGGATCGGCCTCCCAATCGCTCATCGCAGTAGCTACACCCTGCCACGCTGCTCTGTTGTTTCCGTCCCGCATGTCTTGAGGGTCAATTCCAATAAAGTCAACCTGTCCCAAGGGGTAGCCGATCGCTCGACAATGACCGTCCAATAACCTGGGGCGCTTGAAATCGTGACTGATTATGGTGATCCGGGAAGGCCAGGCGGTGAATGAGGAGTAGAACAACGTCAAGCTAAACAGAATGTTATGGTAGGAGTCCAGTGCGCGCTCTTCGAGTCGGATGTTCCAAGTCGGGACTGATTGGCCCCAGAACGAATGAGTTTGGGCAACGTTCAGATAGGTGCGAGCTTCTGAAAGATCAGTCTCTTTGCGTGTGGGACCCCTATCCTACCGTGAGCCAGACATTCGCGACAGACGTAGACGAGACCGCGTGATAGTGATTGAAAAGGGGATATCGTAGCCACCTACCCTGAGAACATCAACACCGAATTATTCATGTCCTCGGCAACGCATTGTATGCCTGTGCGGATATGCTCAACGAACGTCGGCTCTTCGCCTGATTGGAATGGCGCGATAAGCCATGATTTCTCATCGTAGGGGGGCACGGGGCTGCCGACATACAGCCCATGGCAACAAACGATGATGAGTTGTGTAGGAGGCATCGTTGAAGTGCTTGGAAAAGCTAATTTTTTAAATTCCAATGTATTCCATGTATCAGATCGACCAATCAGGGAGTCTCTCGCCCGTGTTACCGTTGCTTCAGTCGTATCATGTCGTCTATTTAGAAATACACTATGATGATGGTTGAGCCAACTCACGCTAGGCAATGCATCCTAGCCTACAAGCCAAGCATACACCCAGGTGGTATATTACAGCCTTTCTCACTCCAATGGCTTTCTAGTATTGCCGATCTTGAAAAACCTGGCTCGATTGTATGGCCGCGGCCCTTGCTCCAAAAGATTCACAGGCCGCCCCCAGAAATCCTCTTCAATCGGTTCCTCCTCGCCTGCGCCGTCGCCTGCCGAAAGCCGGGGATCTGCGCCACTTTTCGCCAACCTTGCATCCTTCTTGGCCTGCTTCTCGGCGATCGCATGGTCCCTGTATGCCTGGCGCCGTGCCGCTCGCTCGGCAATGCGCTTTGCGCGGTCGACACGAGGCTTGTCCTCAAAGTTCGAGACATGGTATGTCAAGGGTCGACCGTAGACCTCGAAATGGGTCAGTGCTACAACGCGCTGGGCAGCTGGGTGGGCAATTATCTTCTCGGCAATGGAGTCCAAGGCCTTGCGGTGATGGTTCTCGCGTGAGCGGAATAGGGTCAGGTCGTCTTTCAGTTGACGAATGAACGCAGCATCCGGCGTCGGTGTCTTCGATTCCCATTCTAGGTCTTCCTCGGCACTGCGGATAAAGTCCTCGTACGCTTCTTGTTGTCGGAGGTGAAAGTCCTCGCTTTCGCGCAGACGCTTGATCTCTTCGATGTCTTCCTTGGGTGGCGCTTTGCCATCCGTAGCAGCTTGCAGAGACGGGTCGAGCCGAGTGACATCGTTGACTTGCGCTGATGTTGCTGTGTCATTAGACTCAGGACCTGTAGCCTGTGGGCGAGGCCCATTCCCCTCCAGAGCTTTAAGTTCGCGTGAAGTCTGCCAAGCGGTCCTGGCACGCCGGAACTGCTCGTATTCTCCTTTCGTGAGGGGCTGCTCTCGCCAGCGCTTACTGAGATTCCACAACTCTCTTCGGCTCGGCCAGGCAATGCCGGCCTCGGATGCTCTAGAGATTCCCTCAAGTTTATATAGATCACGAACCAGATATAGGCTGCCAGTGAGGACGATGTGACCATCGCCTGCTTTGTCCGCGGCCCATTGCATGGCACTGCCAACGTCGGGCTCCCCATCATACAGCTGTTCTTCCGCTCCTGCCAACACCTTGGCCAGTAAATCTCGCCCCAGCGGTGCCGGCATACTGGGAGGCTGGTTGGGTCCTTGTTGAAACTCGACGAAGGCGACGTTGTCATGAGGTTCGACCAGCATATCCAGCATCTCTGGTATTGGCTTCGAGCCGCTTGTCGAGAACCCAATTACCCAGGTGATCGGTCGCCCGTCTTGCCGTAATTTCTCTTTGGTGAAGTCGGCCAGGGCCTTGATACCCAGTGCGTTGTGCGCCGCGTCTACCAAGACTGGTTGGTTGTATCGATTCTTGGTCAAATCAGAAATGCCGACCCATTCCAGTCGACCAGGAAGCTGAGGGACCATCTCCAGCATTCTGTTGATGTCGATGTCCAGATGCGGAAAAAGATGGCGGAAGCCTACCATGGCGCACAGCAAATTGTGCTTCTGGTAAGGCTGCAGTTGCCATCTATCCTGATCTAGCTTTTGCAAGAAACTCGACTCCTCTTGTGTCACCCACATGGGTGCTCCCACGCCCTCGGCATGCTCCTTTAGCACCGCGAGCACAGCTGGCTCATTCGTACCATCCACGACGCAAGGCACCGCTGGTCGCATGATTCCAGCTTTTACCTTGGCAATCTCTTCAATAGTGTTGCCAAGATAGTCTTGATGATCCAAGCCAATCTTGGAGATGATAGTCAGAGACTTGCGCCGCATGGCGTTTGTGGCATCGGTCGCCCCACCCATTCCAACCTCGACAATTCCGTAGGGGACGCCATGGCTGTTGAAGAGGTTGAATGCGGTTGCAGTCTCCAACTCAAAGGGCGAAAGAGATCCGGCGTCTTGACTTGAGCTGAGCCGCCAGCCTATCGACACAGCTCGATAGTCTTTCTCGACTCTTCGAGCTGCGTTTTCATAGTCCTCTGGCCGGACGTAACGGCCGTTGATCACGACGGAGTGACGCTTGTCGGGGAAAGCTGGTGATGTGTACTGCCCATGGCCAACCCCAGCAACTGTGAAAAGCGCGGAGAGATAGCCACAGATCGACCCCTTGCCGTTAGTTCCTCCCACGTGAACGCCTTTCCACGTCTGGGTCGGTTTGATGACACGAGCTATTCGTTCAAGACCAAGTCTGATATCTCGGGTGGCGTAAAGCGCCTCCTCCTTCGGTTTGATGAGGGCTCGGGCGGTGCTCAGGGCGGTTGCTACATGGTGAGGTTTAGTCATGGCGAGGCATGCTCCTAGTCGCGGATGACGTTGATGAATCAAGGCCAAGTCGGTAGCGCTGACGTGCACGCGTCCGACATTGGGTTCTTATGGCCAGGTAATGGCGGCAAAGGCGCTGGGTCGAGTTGATGATATCTAGACTCGCTTTTTCGCCAATGAAATAATAACATGACATGAGAAAGTGCCTTGTCGAAACTTGAGAACCCAGCCACAGATAGAGTGGCTGACGGGGTGGATTTCAGCCACTGTCCGATGCTTGCTTGGCACGTTGCGTGCGGCGTCAACTCTTGCTGATGCTTCAAGATAGAGAAGTACCTTGATCAACGATAGGATGGTGTCCTTCTTTGCGTTAGAGATGGTCCACAAGCGCAAACGCGAACCTTTAAGACTATAACACTGTTTAAGCCTATCTTTACATTTTCTTTTGCTCTCTTTATTCTAGAAGCCTTCGTTGGGATCTATGGCCGTCCCCAGCCAGAAAGCCACATTAGTCTAGCACTAGCTGATCTGAGCAGCTCACGACCAGGATGAACGAGTGCAGCCTGGCCCCAGGCATTCTCACCCTGCCATCTCCATTTTTTAGATTCGCGTCGCGATACGCCGTACGGATAGTGCACCTCGAAGCGCATCGCATCAACCGTCATCCCGCGCTCCACGATTTGTTATCGCGTGATCGCGCATCAGGAATTCAAGTCGCATCGCTGTCGCGCATCGAGGTTTTACAACGTGTCGCGAACCGATCTTTTCGCAATTGGTCCCGCGACGTCACCAGCCTGGCGACAAATACTGTGTCAACGCGACTGAACGCGCCGTCGACCACACCTACGCACTGCAACTTGCATTGATCTGGACCACACTCGTTTCGTTGCTCGCTGCTCCGCTTCAGACGTGATCAGCATGGGTCTACCGTGAGTCCTCAAAGTATACGTCTGCGCGATTTGTACTAATGCCGTTGATCAGATTCTTTGTTGCCCCCGTCGAATCTGACTTGCCGCCGAGAACCTCATTGCGCAAATCCACAGCCAGAACCAGAGGAGTCTCACGGGGCGAGATTCGCAGTGAGCTCCGCAGGAGAATCAATAGGCGCACTGGACCTGTCGAAGTGAACGCAGCAGGATTGACCCGTTTTCTCTCCGACAACCTGGACGATGATCGGGTCCACGGAGCAGGCAGGCGGTCCAACCGATATGAACCTATCCGTGAAATACGTCGTGGTCCTCGAGCGAGCCGCGATCAAGCTTTGCTACGCGAGCTCGCCGAGTATATACAGAACAAGTTCGAAGTCTCATGGGAACAGTTGACGCCAGAAGACATACGTCAACGAGGTGTGTTGAAGCTTGAGTTGACTAGGCTATTTGGGCGCAATTGGGCTTCGCGAGACTTTTGCCAATCTCAGCAAGACCTCGAACAGCGGACGTGGATGCTTCTACATGGCCAAGCCGACGGGGGCCCACGATTAGAGACCCGTGATCACGGCGGATCCTTTGCAGGTCCCTACTACTTGGACCTGCCTCCTCCTCCTATCTGGGCGATTCGAGGTACCATACCCCGTGGCATTGGGCGTCCATCAAGGGGCGAAGATTACAATGGCCTCGGTGACCGGACGCGGAGCCCCAGTCCTGGACATTGGGACACACTTCTCACGACACTGACCCCTGATCCACAGCCCCCGAGCGCGAGCACCTCATTCGTATCCAACTCGGCAACGCAGAGCGCCGTGGCTGCGTCGTCGTCAAACACATCACAATCTGAACACCATGGGGCTATACAAGACGGGCCCTGTGAATCGGATGCGGAAGATGAGCCGTCCCGGCCACGGTCGAACCAAGAAGAGACAACAAGAACGGCAGGCTCTTGGGAACAGATGGATGCTGTGATTGGCGAATGGACAGGCCTACAGTCTCGCCCCTCGGGCGGAAGATATCCTCAACTGTTCTCGCAACTGTCTGACTACTTGGACAACCACCCAACGCGAGGCACCCGAGCTGAGGTGGTGTCGGCCTTTACCGAATTTATGGATATGCACATGTTGCTAAGCCGGTTACCAGGGGCTTCGCAAGTACCACCGGATAACGTTGTGTCGATATTCGTGCAGTTTTGGAACTCGAGGAATGGAGCTGGACAAGCCACTTGAGATGTGAGTTTTTAAGTGCAAGAAATACATGTAGCGTCGTTCGCGTTGAGGTTAAATGAGTAAAGATCGAGCGCTGAAGATTAGGCGTTGGGAATTTCGACCAGAACTGAGGATGACTGGACGTTTGCCAGGCAAGTTGCACAACCACGCAACGCAGTACCAGCACACCATGCATTAAAAGAGATTACCTTTTGCTCGAGGCGGTGTACGACGTACCAGCAGCATGGTCACCTCCCAGAGGAAAATGGGTGGCTTCCCGCGGCCTTGTTACACTGTGATCATCGGCTTGGGTTGCTCCTATAAATTGAATGATGCTGTAACTAGCCGCCTTACACGCCACACCTCGCAGCTCCCTTCTGGTAACTGGCGCTATGCTCGGGTCAGAAACAAACGGTCACACTCACACATCCATTTCTCATTAGGCATCCCTTCGAACGCACTTGACAGGCCAGTGATCGCCTTGCATTCGAGACAAAATGCGCGTCCCGACTAGACTATCAGGCAAAACGTGCCTGACGTTAGCGCCATCGAGACGATCGTATAGTGGGGGTTAACAGTGAGAGGCGCGCCGGGGCAAGGCGCTTGGCGGCTGCGCCATCGCAGCCCATCGCAGGTGCATGTATGCATGTCTGTCTGGCTGTCTTTGTCAACATCAACATTGGCAAGCCACTAAGATTAGTTAGGCTAGTATGACATTCATAACTTCTGCCAGCTTCGTCACGGAATAATTATCAAGTTTGCACGCCTTCCTTGGTTATCGTTCGCCGGGATCTATCCCACATAGCAGTGCCGCACCGCCAAGTTAGTCGAATGTGACGGACGACTCGAGCTGTTCTCGGCCACAGCTTACGGCAGCCTCGTCCCCACGAACACGAATGCGATCCTAGCCTCATCGAACGAGGCACCTACCTCTGAGCAACCTTGGGAATGCCACGACCCTCCAGCCCCCTTCGACGACACAAAGCCGCGTCGTCTGCCGTTGCGATCGCGCCCTCAGCCCGACGATTACGATCCATCCTGACGCCTTCCTTGTTGCGAAGATAGAAATCCTCCAGCGAAGGTAGCGCGAGCGCTGAGGTGCCAGAGAAGGATATGCCGTCAGATTCGAGGCAGTATCACCAACAAGGTGGAGGAAGAGTAGTCGCAACGAGGGATGGGGCCAGTGGAATGGTTCCCGGAACACCTTCACGCAAAGAAAAGGGGAGGGAAAGTTTGGCAGTGCAAGATCCCGGACTGAAGGACTACGTACGTTCAATGCTTCCCCCATGAGGATACACCGCCGTCTGAAGGTAGAGCTGACGTTGGACAGCGATTGGGAGAGTGTCTGGGCAAAGGCGCCTTTGGCTCCGTCTACAAGGCGTTCAATTGGGGCACTGGAGAGGCTGTTGCTGTGAAGCAAATCAAACTCACGGACCTACCTAAGAGCGAGTTGCGCATGATTGAAAGCGAGATCGATCTTCTCAAGAACCTTCTGGTGGGTACTCTTGAGTCCTTGGTGAATATCTACAGCTAACCAATTAGCATGACAACATTGTCAAGTACATTGGGTTCGTCAAAACGGCCGAGTGCCTGAACATTATCCTTGAGTACTGCGAGAACGGATCACTTCACTCAATATGCAAATCATACGGCAAATTCCCGGAGAACCTTGTGGGCGTCTATATGACACAGGTACTCAAGGGGCTGCAGTACCTGCACGATCAGGGTGTCATCCACCGCGATATAAAGGGTGCCAACATCCTCACGACCAAGGATGGCACTGTGAAGCTGGCGGACTTTGGTGTTTCGACTAGTACGCTTGCGAGTGGTCAAGACAAGGAAGCACAGGTGGTGGGCACACCATACTGGATGGCGCCTGAGATTATACAGCTCTCTGGGGCAAGTTCAGCTTCCGATATCTGGAGTGTAGGCTGTACCGTCATCGAGCTGCTCCAAGGCCGCCCCCCTTATCACAACCTCGCTGCTATGCCTGCACTGTTCGCGATTGTCAACGACGACCATCCGCCGCTACCAGAGGGAATATCCGCTGTGAGTAAATTTCATCATCTGATACGATCCTCTCTAATTTCAACAGGCCGCTCGTGACTTTCTCATGCAATGCTTTCAAAAAGACCCTAATCTCCGCGTATCAGCACGAAAACTCCTCAAACACGCCTGGATTGTGGGATGTCGGCGGGCCGATGTGCCAGTCTCCAAAGCGCCCGATGGATTCACGCAAGCCGTGGAAGAGGTGAAGCAGTGGAACAAGGCCCTGGAATCATCGGAATCAAACTTGCGTGCAAGTTCAGGCTCCGAGCACGCTGGTGTTGCGCGCTACGCGGGAGGAACTCCAGCAAAAGGACACTTGTCGCTGGCCAAGCCCAAGTTTGGCGCTGAAGCTTTCATGACTCCTGAGATCGCCGGCGACGACAATTGGGATAACGATTTTGCAACGGCAATCTCCCCCAGTGCCTTGCAACTGCCGCAACTCAAGGGGCAGGACAATTTTGGCGGGCTGCTGTCAAGTGACAAGCTCAAGTCATTCGCTTGTTTCAACGACAGCCGACATGATACTACGAGCTACGACGATGATTTGGAGGGCGAACTCATGACGATCAAAGGGCCAGGTCACGTACAGGACTTCGACTCGCTGGACCGGACTATCAGGCCCACGCCACGCCGAACGGAGAGAACTTCGTCTACTTCACCGAAGAAGCACTCACGCTCGAAATCGAGAGTTGGCAAACCAGTCATGAGCGCTGTTTCTTCCCCCCATCAACATAAGTCACCACCCAAATCACACCACAATAAATTCGAACTGCCTTCCAGACCAGATCTGTTCTACAGAGAGCAGAGCGTCGAAGACTATTCGGACCTCTTTGTGGGCGATGACAGTGTATTCGATCGTCAGCCAAATCAGGCTGCCAAGAAGAGCAGTCGCCAGACCGACGCACCTAGGTTGTTCCACCCATCAGATCTCACAAGCTTGCCAAGATCTATGCAGGTGCCCGACAGTGGAAGTCTCAGGAAGAAGGCAACATCGCGACCGTCCGTTCTGCCTGACCGACCCATGCGCCGGGCCCGCTCTTCGATAGAAATACAAAAGTTTGCTGAAGACGACGATGAAGACTTCTCAGATGTTTTTGGCCCGGCTAGTAACCAGCTAGAGAAGGAAGAGAGCGAACGTGGGTCGGAAGACAACGGCTTCATGCTCATGTCGAAAATATCGAGCAACTCGTGGCTTGGCGACGACGACGACGAGGACGACCCTTTCGCCTCAATGGATCCAGGTTGGGACGAAATGGACCTTGACGCCAACATTGCGCGAGACAGACAAGCGAGGCTGGCCGAAAAGGTGGAAGCGCTCGTGCGTGAATTGAAGATCACCGAGGGTGAGGATAGACTGTCAGAACTGTCTGAAGACTTGGTGAGTCAGAGCCAAACAGTAACATGGCTTTCGCTGACTTTGCACAGTTAATGTTGTTGTGGGAGAATGTTGAGGTCAAGAATCTAATTCTCAGCGCTCATGGCCTGCTGCCCATTCTGGAGATCCTTGAACCTTGCACGGTCAAGAGCAGGCAGTATATGATTCTGCAGTTGCTCAAGGTGGTCAACGCCATCATTCTTGATGATGTGGAAATCCAGGAGAACCTCTGTTTCGTCGGTGGCATCCCCATCATCACAAAGTTCGCGGCTCGGCAGTACTCGAACGAGATCCGCATCGAGGCGGCGGCCTTTGTTCGCCAGATGTACCAGACATCCACACTGACTTTGCAAATGTTTGTGTCCGCGGGAGGCTTGAATGTTTTGGTCGAGTTCCTCGATGAAGACTATGACGGCGCGCGAGACCTTGTGTTGATCGGAGTCAACGGCATCTGGAGCGTGTTCGAGCTACAAGGACCTACGCCCAAGAACGACTTCTGCAGGATCTTTTCGCGGAGCAAGATTCTATATCCTCTCGCACTGGTGCTGCATCGTGTGCTCGACGAAGAGGGCGAGGATGAGCTTGACGAGCTCATCGAAGGCCGCATTGTCAATATCTTCTACCTTTTCAGCCAGGCTGAAAACTATGTCAAAGAAGTAGTGGCTGATCGGCAGGTCCTGAAAAGTGTCCTCAAAGACCTACGACGAATGACACCCATGCATCAGATAACGATGCTCAAGTTCATCAAGAACCTATCAATGCTGTCGGCGACCCTGCAAGCGCTGCATTCGGCCGATGCGATTGAGTTCCTCATTGATCTGTTGAGCTACAGCATGAAGAGAGACCAACTACATTTCCGTGAGATCTCAAACCAGGTGTTGAACACAATGTTCAATCTATGCCGCCTGAACAAGGAGCGTCAGGAGGATGCTGCGGTGGGCGGCATCATTCCACTTCTAATGCGTATCTTGAAGACGGACCGGCCACCCAAAGAGTTCGCCCTGCCCATCTTGTGCGACATGGCACACTCCGGGTCCAAAGGCCGCCGGTACTTGTGGCAGAACAATGGCTTGGCGTTTTACGTGTCGTTGTTGACGGACCAGTACTGGCAAGTTACGGCATTAGACGCCATCTTGATATGGCTGCAGGAGGAAACCGCCAATGTCGAGACGCGACTGCTCGATGGCGACTTGACAAAGGCCATTGTCAGCTGCTTCAACACTAACAAGCTCAACGCATTTGATTCGAACCTGCTCGAGCCTCTTCTCAAACTCTTGCGACTGAGCCCCTCGATTGCTGGGTCACTGGCGCGGCCAGAAATGTTTGCAGGCATCGCCCAACGGCTGGGCCACAAGAAAGCTGTCATTAGACTCAATCTGCTTCGACTTGTGCGAACCATCATGGACGCGAGCGAGCCAACAATAGGCAGTGGTGACGGCACTAGGACGCTGAACACTGCGCAGATCCGGTCGCTCATGGAGTCCATCCAGACACTGGCGGAATCTGACTCTGCTGTCCTTGTTCGCAATCTGGCGTCGGAACTGGTACGGTCACACATTGGCGGGGGCAACTCAGCCATGTTGATGATGATCCACGAGAACGCACCACCGCCTCCGACCTCGGGGTCGTCGCGTCGCTCTGCTACTAGGAGGAACACGAGCTACACGCCCCCTGGGTTCCACGCATCCACCTCCGTTCCGCAAACACCGACGCACAGAAGCAGGGCAAGCTTCAGCAACAACGCCTATGTTGAAGTTGGGGCAAGCCCACGAAGGTCAGCGGCGCTGGAAAGGGAGAGCTCCATGTATCGCCCAAGGAGCCGGGATGGTGCCACTGGCATTCCGAGGCGGGTGAATGGTGTTGTTGACGCGAGCGCCAGCAAAGGCAGTCGTCTGCCTCGGACGTCCACGCCGGTCATAGCAAGTTCGAGCAGGCTCCCCGGGCTAGAGGCACTGCGGGAAGCGCCCGTGGTGGTACGAAGTGACAGCGGAGGAAGCAACAAGGAGAATGGTGGTGGTGGCCGGCTCGGCACACCAAGGCACACCCCGTCTAACTCGCGTGAGAGGATAGGAGAGACAGCTCCGCGAGAAGGAGGGCCTCCTCCGGAGAGAAAGAGGCGCACCAGGGCGCCAGGGGAGATTCGATGGACATAGCGAGGAATAGCAAGTAGGAAGTATGCCATGGGAAGGACCCAGTATCATCTACCTACCATACGCGCGCGCTTAACGCACCACCGCCAAGTTTCCAAACGCCATCTTCTCTCACCTCACGGATTCTTTATATTCCCTCCAATTCCAATACCAACGTTAACACTCCCATAAGCCTCGCTCAGCAATCATTCAGCATCCCTCCGCTCAAACTTTCCTATATTTTTCGGCGATTATAAGCCCGGACTTGTGACGCCGATTCACTTATCACCAGCGAGCCACGTCCACACGATGGCTAACGGTAAGTTCAATCTGCAGTATTTCCTGGACTACACCCTATCATCAGAAGACGACGAGGAAGCCATCATCATCTTCCAATCTGCATTCCAGTCGCTTTCTGAGGCAACAGCCGACGAACAAGTTCGGGAGCACCTGGGAGGCGTTTCTTAGCGTCGCAAGAAACATTCCTTATCGAGACCACGAGGAACAAGACTTGATCATAGAGGTCATTCGCGTGCTGGTCGCTACACCGCCATTGGGGTGATCTTCCTGGGCTGGCGCAGGTCATGAGAACCAATTGGTCAGGTTCGTGCATGACTCTATTCAGTACGCATGGCAACAAACTTCCAATTTCAAGGAGCAGACTCAACGTTCGAGACTGTGGAAGGGCAGGAACTAGATGATGAGTATTCTTATAGTTGAGTGGCTGAACTTGACTTCATTCAAAGCCCGACTCTCGGAACAGGTCTGGTTGAGTGGGAGAGCTTCGTTATCTGGCAGATGAGGCAAGCTCTTGAGGACACTCCACGGAAGTGCCTCATGGAAAGACGAGATTTCACTGAAGGTGACAAGAGGTCGTGTGGGCCTGATAACTTGCATACTGGACATGGGGCGTTGAATCTCGAACGTTGGGGGTTTTAGAATCGGAGGTTTGAGGAACTTCGGCCTATCGTCACTGGGAGGAAGCAGTTGCAACTGTTGACCAAGCAATACAATGCATGGCAGCAGCGGCGACAGCGTTCGCACAGGCAGGTCTCAGTTGTAACATCTCTACTTCCAAGGTAGTTAACTGTACGTTGCCTTCCGCAATCGCTAGTATCGAGCAATTCTTGCGTTAGACAGTTATTTGATACCACCGCTTTTCATAGACCTCATGCTGCTTTTGACGGAGCGGACGGAACCGCTTTTACTTATAATATAATACCAAAACGAAAGAAGAAAAAAGCCTGGTTACTCCGGATAAAGACCCACATCCTCCGAGGCCTGGATCTGGGGTCTGTGCCGGGGTTACATAACAGCACAGTATGTCCATTTCGCGTCAGTCACTATTATACACTGGCATGAGCAGGGCCCTTTCACCCGTTTCACCTTGCTCACCCTCTGCTTAGGTTAAAGCGGCCACACCTCAGGCCCGCAAGATATGGATTTGCGCAACAAGGATCTTCGGGCGAGACTATTGAGGTAGTCTTATGCCTAAGGTACATGTAAGATATACACGTGCAGGCAGCCGCAATACGCATTAGGCAACCTCTTTGGGCCCATCTCAACCATAGCCTAATACTCAAACTATACTTTACCTTTGATACTTTTCTACCTTGATTTCAAGCATCTCAATCTCTTACTTTTTTTTTAAAAAATTCCTAGTAAAGACCATGGCGTCGCCGTTCAACAAGCTTCCCTCCGAGCTCCTCGAGGAAATCAGCTGGTGCCTTGCCCCATCGATATCATCTATGAACAGCTTCGCGCAAGCCTGCCGCTGGGCCTACTCCGCTGCGAACAGGGTGATGTATCGCCTGGATGGCGCGCAAGGAAGTAGGGCTCTGCATTGGGCTGCCAGGAAGGGCCAATTATCCACAGCCTCGCTCTCTCTCGATAACGGCAGTGATATCAACGCTGAGGAAGCCGATGCGATGTGTCGCTCGCCTTTGGCTCTCGCTGCCGAGTTCAACCAGGTGGCGTTGCTCAATCTGCTTATTCGCCGAGGCGCGGATGTAAACAAGTTCTGCGCGGGTTCATTGCCTGGAGGCGAATCCCTTCTTCGTCTTACGCCTCTTGCCATGGCCGCACGAAATGGGCACCCTGAATGCGTACGGACGATCATTGCTGCAGGAGGCCATGAGGCCGTTATGGACTCGGCACATTTCGACACAACATTGGACGTTTCCCGGGACGGGATGCCACCTGGCACTGGCGACTATATTGCTGTACTGGCCATTTTCTTGGACTACTGGATAGCCAGAGGAGGATCGAGCGACGGCAGCTGCTGCGAGGCACTTCTCTGGGCCATTCGCAACAACCGAATTGATTGCGCCAAGCTTGTTCTTGATCGTGTTGTTTCTCCACGAGAGGCAAGCACTATCCAAAAAACGGGCAAGTCGCTCCTCGAGGCTGCCAGTGCCGGGCATCTAGACCTCGTCAGGATGTTGGTGGAGGACTACAAGCTTCCTCCTGATTATACACCTCACCCAGAGCTGGAGACGCCGCTCTTCTGGGCTGTAATGGACGACAGACAGCCTGTGGTGGAGTACCTCTTACAAGCTGGCGCCGATCCCTCCAAAGGTGCCGGCTCGCAAACGCCCTTCCGGCTCGTCGTCGAGAGAGGGGACATGGTCACGCTGAAAAAGTTCCTGTCGTACTCCGAGAGTGGAGAGGCTCGTCGTCGCCTGGCCACTTCTGCGTTTGTTCTTGCCGTGTCACAGGGTCTGCGCGGAGCCTCCCAGCTACTGCTCAGCTACGGTGCCGACGTGGAGACGGTTGATAGTGATGGCGTAACCGCGCTATTCTACGCGAGCGCTTTTGACGATGCGACTTTGTTTGATGTACTCATGGCCAGAGGCGCAAATGTGAATCCACCCGGCCCAGTGAAGCCCCTCCACGTGACTTCTGCGCGCGCTACCATGACGCAGAGGGCACAGAAGCTGATCGAAGCCGGGGCAGACGTGGACGCCAGGGACGCGGACGGCTTGACGCCTCTCATGTACGCGTGCAAGGCGGGCCAGTTGGGGGACGCAAGAGTGGTCGAGATGCTACTCGATGCCGGTGCTGAACCTCGCGCCACGGACTGTTGGTCTGACTGTGCAGTCTCATACGCTATGGCGACAAGGCGGGCAGATTTTGTGCGAATGGTTCTCGCCAAGGGTGGGCATGTCAATCTGGGCGTGGATGGAAGGGAAGAGCCCTACCTTGCAAGTGCAGTTCGGTCCGGTTTCTTCCAATCATTTGAAACTGTCAAACTCCTTGTCGAGGAGTGTGGCGCCGACATCACGGTCAAGGATGCTGGGGGAGAGTCGATCTTGAGGCGAGCCATACATGAGGAGCACATTCGGATTGTGGAATTCCTGCTTGACGCTGGTCATGAGATTGTGGAGGGAGACTTGGATGTTGCGCGCGAACGAGGATGTACGCAGATCTTAGGCTTGTTGCAGAGAAAAACAACAGCTCACCTGGACTAGCAGTGTTGGTACTCTCTTGCAACCCTCGCCATACAGGCAGAGTTGCGTCAATGCTCAGGACACATTGTAAAGACGCTCGTCTTGTCACTCAAGGGGCATGCAATCTAGATCCCCCGTCTACTGAGAGCTCTACCAGTCATCGCCTTGTAGGAATCCATGGTGTCGCCCCAGGCCAAGGGTCTAGAGATATTGTCTTATGCTGCTGCGGCTGGACGCTTGTCGGCCTTGAGAAATCGAAATCAAAGTGGACAACCCCACGATCCTCGCTCCGTCACAGTACCTCTCATCGGAGCAGTCGGTCCTGAGAGAGGCGGCTATTTCAGTGAAGGGTTGGGGCAAGGACGCGGTCCTTGATCCTCCAAGCGGACCAGTCTCTAAGTCTAGATATGTAGCCGCCACATTCGTCCACGATGGTGGTGCCGAGAAGTGTTCGTTGGTCTACTGTCTTCTCCGTCGCGATAGTTGCCTAGTTGCCTGGTGGTCCATTTGGTCATTCGCACGAGGATATTGGTTCATCTGCCAAGTCTCAATTTCTTTTATGATTCGGCTCGCCAAGTGAAGTACGTTAGTAGCCTGGTATGGAGTCTTAATGTCGTGATCCCTTTCGCACTCGTTCGATCCTACATCTGCAAGCCGAAATGGTCAGAGAACCTCCGGCATTTGGAGCAGCAGACAAGATGGTGCTAGTCTCTAGATCCCTATACATGCAACGCAGCGGTCTGCGTGAGTGACTGTCCACCCGTTTTGCCGAAGCGTATAAATGCCTACCTTGTGAGATTCACCGTATCAATCACGACATCGCCGTGACACCGGACCGGGCTCCACGTCAGGGTCCACTGAAGCTGTCGGTGATGCCTCTCGGACGCCGATCCAGGGAGAAGAAACCATGTCATTGGACGAGAAGTAGAGAGTGTGGAAATAGCGACATACAAAGAGTCCCCAGCGCAGACTGCGCAAGGTGACTTTCATCACACCATCGCCTTACGAGGTGGTACAGGAGGCCCTTGTTCAATGTCCTCGTCGCTGGACTCATCGCGTTTCTCGTTCACCCGATCGGGTGTTTGGAATGCGCTAAACAGTAGGAAACATGCTCCTGTCTGTGGATTTCCCCTTTGGCTAACAGTCACAAGGCATTGGTGTATGCGTCTAGTAAGAGTCCTACCTCGCCAATGGTGCCAATTCGTTGACCTTTGGGGATCATGGCCTTTGGCTGTGCCATCTTCGCGCTGCTGACGAACAAATTTGGCGTCAAGAACGTCCTCATCGTCGGAACTCTGGGCTGCGCGCCTTATTCGGCAGACCTACATATCAACAACCATTACGAAGTCGAATGGTTTGTCCTGCTCGGAGCGGCCACTTGTGGTCTCGGCGCGTCTGCTCTGTGGGGATCTGAGGGTGCCATCGCACTGGGCTATGGGGCCGTGAAAGATCGTGGCAAGTTCAGTAAGTGAACCATCTCTGGAAAGTTCCCGAGTCCAATGCTCACCACGCCAAGCTGCTATCTGGCTCGGTCTGCGAGAGCTTGGCCAGTTTGTCGGGGCCTCGATGCAGCTCGCTCTTCAACGCCAACGATGACAAGCGGGGCAAGGTTTCATACACGATATATCTCATATCTCGTTCTCATTTCCTTGCAGTGTCTCGGCCTACCTCTGGCCTTCCTCATCTCGCCCCCTTCCAAGGTGATCCGACCCGACCGGTCCAAGGTCGAGGGTCCCACCAAGAAGAAGGCCACCCTGGGAGAAGTGACGAAGATGTGGAAGCTGCTCAAGAGGAAAGCACATGCACCTCCTGGTCCCTGTTCTGATAGGCTTCAACCGGAACTCGACGTACCTGGGCATCTACCAGACGAGGTACTTCTCAGCTCTAGCTCGTACCTTGGCATCCCTGACTCCAGGCATCGCAGCCTCCGTGGCAGAAATCTTCTGGGGCTGCTTCTTCGATCTCAAAATCTGGAGCCGGCCTCAGCTCGCCAAGATCACCTGGGGATTCTTCTCGGTCATCATGATGTCCGTCTTCGCGTGGCAGGTGGGCAACGAACATGAGTACGCCAACACGACCCCGTCGGTCACTATCGACTGGGATCCGCCCGGCTTTGGACGCGGCTTCGCCTGCATGGTGATCATGCGCTTCATGAACGAGTCGTACCACATGTTGGTCTACTGAATCATCGGCACCTTCTTCGACGACCTCGAGACCCTGACCCTGACTGCGGGGATTGTCTGCTCCTTTAATTCCGTCGGCTCCTGTCTGGCCTTTGGCATCGGTGCCGCCAAGGTCATGCCCATGGTGAACCTCGCCATCGTGTTCGCCATGTTTGGCATCACAGTGCCGGCGACGACATTTGCGGTGCTGCTCGAACCAGGACGTCCAGAGCACAACGTTCTGGGCGAGACGTCTGCTTTTGAGTCGTCAACTCAGGAAGGAGGTAGGGAAGAAGACGCAAAGCTGACGGAAGCTAAAGATCGCGAGGTGTAATTAGTAACTTATGTATCAATTACCAGGTAGCGAGGTTGGCGTGGGGAACGGCTTTGCCCTCTCGGTTTTATTCACCCTACGTGATTCATCCTCCCTCTGACTGCCGCACGTCTTCCGCTTGTCTTGTGCGAAAAAGGTCGCGTGCGCAATTGTGTAAAGATATTCGCGTAGCCCTCCTGCTGTCGAAATCACAGCACTACGATTCAAACGTTTCCCAACGATTACGGAATATGGACAACCACGATGCCCGTATTGCGTTGGGCCCTGTGAGAGCTACAGGGTGGTTGAGCAAGAGGTCAGCTGTACGAAAAAGTGCGCCGAAGGACATGATGACACGCGCCGATTTGTGGTGCTTTCCTTCGTCAGCAAATCCTGTATCCTGCCCGCCACGTCTCACAGAACATTGAGAACAGCGAGGGAGGAGCATTTGACCCGCAACTTGAGGCGACTGCGATAATAGGCCAAAAGGGTCCCGGTGTAAACACTGCGAGTGGGTTGGGTTGGCGGCAGTCGCTGCACCTGGGCCTCACCAACGATCTCCGACCAGGCTACCGTCCATCCCCCACAACCATCTCCACGTGTCTCATCTTCATCACCTTCACACGATTGTCAATAGTGTTTGTCAACAGCGCAGCGCATACAGCCGCAATGGCCAGCTTCGGAAAAGCCACCGAAGGCGTCACGCTTTATCTGCTGTTTCTCATCGCCACCGCGACAGTGGGCACACTTCAATACGGCTATCACTTGGTGCGTATCGTCCAGGTCCTGACCCTGCGACACCGTGACCGCATGCTAATCCTACACAGGCCGAGCTGAATGCTCCCGAAGATGTCATGACTTGCAGAAGGAAATCCATCTTTGGGGATCCTAATAAGCCCAACGACCCTGCCAACTGCATACCCATGTCAAAGGCGGTTTTTGGTGTCGTCACCTCCATCTTCACCCTCGGAGGCTTGATCGGGGCACTCTACTCAGGGCCTCTGTCTTCGCGTCGAGGTCGACGGCCAACATTGATATTGACGGCTGGAGTCTACGCGATTGGCTCGACCATCGAAGCGCTGGCGCCGGCTGTCTGGGTCCTCTGCATTGGACGGGTCATTTCTGGGATTGGAGCAGGCGCCGCGACCGTTGTCGTCCCCCTATACATTAGCGAAGTCGCACCTCCAGCGCAACGTGGCTTCTTCGGCGTCATGACGCAAGTGTCTATCAACATCGGCATCCTCGTCGCTCAGAGTCTGGGGTACTTTCTGAGCTCGGACGGATGGTGGAGGATCATCCTCGGCGTGGGTGGAGCGCTGGGCCTTTCGCAAGGTCTTGGCTGCTTTTTTATGCCAGAGACGCCGGCCTGGCTCGCTTTGAATGGAAAAGGAGCGCGAGCTCATGTGGTGCTCAAGAAGATCCGCGGTAAGGATGTGGACCTCAGCTCGGAGACCCGGGAATGGAATGTCGACAATAGTGATCCGGACGAGCAGGACCGGCTCCTTGCGACGACAGACAACGACAGCCGGGCTTCGGCCCTCTTAAGCTCGCCTGCGCATATTGGATTCCTCGATGTGGCCAAGGATCGTCGTTCTCGGCCCGCCATTATCGCGGTGGTCGGCGTTATGGCAGCCCAGCAGTTTTGTGGCATCAACTCGATCATTATGTATTCGGTATCCCTACTCACAGGCCTGCTACCGATCCACGCGGCACTCCTCACGATCATCATATCGGCAGCGAATCTGGTGACCACTGTGGCGTGCTCGCCCCTACCAGATCGCATTGGCCGCAAGTCTTGTCTACTGATATCAACTATCGGACAGGGCAGCAGTTCGCTTGTCCTGGCTGTCTCCATCATCTATCGCGTCAAGTGGCTTTCGGCTGTATCTGTGTTGTTCTTTGTGGCGTTCTTTGCTGTTGGACTCGGCCCAGTCCCCTTCATTTTGGCAGCCGAACTCGTGGACACAGAGGCGGTTGGTGCTACACAGAGCTGGTGCTTGGCTTCCAACTGGATCGCGACATTCGTGGTCACACTCCTCTTCCCAATCGTCAACACCCAGCTCAAGAATGCGACCCATGGGGATGGCCACGTGTACTTTATCTTCGCGGGACTAGCAGCTCTGTCTGCAGTATTCATTTTCTGGAGGGTGCCAGAGACCAAAGGCAAGCGCAGTGCGAATGAGGTTTGGGGCCGGGAACATCGTACCGCGTGAGATACCAGGACATTAGGTTGCCAAGCTACCCAAATATACGTTTGCTCTGCACAGTCTGCTCGAGCTGCAAGACTCCCGCCTTGACGCCATCCACGACAAAGATCCTCCTTGCCCTTTCTTTACCATACACCTCAGTTGCCGTGTCGCGTATCACACGTTCCAGGCCAGCCATGCCACCGCAGCCCATGACTACACATCGTACATCGCCCGTTTGCAAGAGCTTTTTGCTCGCACTTTTGAGCCGCGCAGTGACTTCCTCTTGAGGAACGTGGTGGAAGTCGGACGCGTTGAGGCCTGTCGAGAAGACACCTGCGAAGAGTTGGTTGTCACTGGCAGCATCTTGACCGAGGAAAGACTTGACGCCATGTGTCAGATGCTCCTCCCAGAACTTTCCCGTAGTCACGATGCCCCATTTCTGGTCGCTATGAGGCCGCAGAAGCAGTTGTGCGGTGGACACGCTGGCCTCAAAGATGCCAGTGATCGCATGTGTCGGTAACAGACCAGCTAGTGAATCCACCAGAGTATGCACGCTGTAGCACGCCACAAGAATCGCGTCGTAGCTGGAGGCGTCTATAGTCCCATTGCTGAGCTTGTTGCGCATGTCTCCTATCACCGATGCTTCACTGGCTTGAATGTCTTGGTCGTTGTTGATGCTCTTGGGAGCCGATGACGGAGCGGTGTACTGGTCAATGTCTACCACCTAAACATGTAATCAGCATGACTTTTCCAGCACACAACATCGACTTGGCATACTTTGTCCAAGCCGGCGGACTTGATGGCTGAGACCATGCCATCCGTCATGGACTCTGTAGAATTTGGATTCAGGACAAGAATTTTCGTCATGATGGTAGAGCCGAATTCTTCGCCCCTTTAGAATAGTTCAGATCTCTGAAAATACAGATACAACAAGATTCTTTGACCAATATCGCTGCTCATCATCGTGACCACACTCCGTGTCTTTACGCGGGGTCTCACGTGATGCAGCTTCCCGCTGAGGCAGTGCCTCTGACGACAAGGCGACCCCACCATTTGGCTGGACCTCCAGCCATCCCCAAGCGTCATCCGGCCACGCACCACCACCTGCGGCAAAGGACCTTGACCCGATCGCGAGCAACTATCGAGGCGTTCCAGTTGAACTAGGACTCACACGCTGTGATCGGCCTATAGCCTTGATATTCGCAGCAATGGCGACCTCACCCATTGGTACGTTGACATTGTCACACTCAAGCTCCTGGAGCTGCATGAGCTGACAACACCCAGTCCTCGACGGCGGTACCGGTTTCCTCAAGGTCGGATACGCGGGCCAAAACTTCCCCGAGCACCAATTCCCCTCCATCGTCGGTCGACCTATCCTACGAAGCGAAGAGAAGACGGACAGCAATGTAGTCATCAAGGACATTATGTGCGGTGACGAGGCGGCCGCGGCGCGCACCATGCTCCAAATCACCTACCCCATGGAGAACGGTATAGTGAAGCGATGGGACGATATGCAGCACCTCTGGGATTTCACCTTCCAGGAGAAACTCAAGGTCGATACGCAGGGGCAGAAGATCCTGCTGACAGAGCCGCCCATGAACCCGCTGAAGAACAGGGAGCAGATGTGCGAGGTCATGTTTGACCGCTATGGCTTCGGCGGTGTGTACGTAGCGATCCAGGCTGTCCTTGCTCTGTATGCACAGGGCCTAAGCTCCGGTGTCGTCGTCGACTCAGGCGATGGCGTCACGCATATTGTTCCCGTCTACGAATCCGTCGTTCTCAACCATCTCACGAAGCGTCTCGACGTGGCTGGCCGCGATGTCACCCGCAACCTGATCAAGCTGCTCCTCCGCCGCGGCTATGCCCTGAACCGCACCGCCGATTTCGAGACTGTTCGACAAATCAAGGAGAAGCTGTGCTACGTCTCCTACGACCTGGAGCTGGACAAGCACCTCAGCGAGGACACCACCGTCTTGGTGGAGAACTACACGCTCCCTGACGGCCGTGTCATTCGCGTGGGAAGCGAACGTTTCGAGGCACCCGAGTGCCTGTTCCAGCCCCACCTGGTAGACAGCGAGTCACCGGGCCTGGGCGAGTTCCTCTTCAACACGATCCAGTCCGCCGATGTCGACATTCGATCGTCTCTTTTCAATGCCATTGTCCTGTCCGGCGGAAGCAGCATGTACCCCGGTCTGCCATCACGACTCGAGAAGGAGCTGAAGCAGCTTTGGCTCACAAGGGCGCTACAAGGTAACCCTGAGCGGTTGTCCAAGTTCAAGGTCAGGATCGAGGATCCCCCGCGGAGAAGGCACATGGTGTTCCTGGGAGGTGCCGTGCTGGCCAACATCATGGCGAATAATGAAAGCATGTGGGTGACCAAGGCTGAGTGGGACGAGCAAGGTCCGCGTGTGCTGGAGAAGCTGGGGCCACGATAGAGAGTTGATTGTTAGAGCGAGGGAGAGCGACTGGAGTCTATAGCTATCCTTGCCCACGTATTTCACCAAGGAAAAGAAACAATACATCTTCAAGCACAGAAAAGAGCACTACTATCTCACGTTCAGTCAATGTACCTAACTTGTACCGTAGTGCCCGAACCCATGTCCGTCCAAGTCCCTTGAGGGGTGGAGAACCCCAGCCGCCGCGTTGGCGCCTGCCTCGCCATTCAGGAACGCGCAACTGGTGTAATTGGCGGCCTGCGGTTCCTGTTTCGAAAACGCCATTTACTATTAGCCTTGCGCGCTCTCTCATCATTTTCATTTCCGCACGCTCCAACGTCGCGACCTACGGCCAGACTTACTCGCGTCCTCATCTTTGTGGATTCGCACCAGCCTCATTCCCTAGTAGCATCAACCACGGGTATGTGCGGTTTTGTGACCCCACATTCAACACTGGGGCTAATCAACGACTGCAGACGCGACAGCTTGACGCGGTCAAAGCGCGCGATTCAGGCGGATCGTCGGACAGCGACCCGACGAGAAGCTGAGAACAAGTGGAAGAATCCCACAGCTGGGGGCATGAACGCATCCTCTTTGGTGGGATCACTTGTTGATGTGGCCCGTGGGCGTGCATTGATTGCCGCGGGAGCTCATTGTGGCTTGGGAGATCCACCGATCCCCGTGTGTCCATGAGTCGTTCATCATCCGGATGAGCGTGATCAATCCACCATCGGGCGCGTCAGCTCCAGGGTCCGCGAACGGTGGCGGTCAGTTGTTAATATCGGGCCGGAGTCAGCCATTGAGGCGAAATGCTCCAGCGGCGGCACTGGACGGTAAGTCGCTGCGTTGTTATGTCCGTCCGTTTGTCTCATTTCTTTTGCCCGAACCCATCTCCAATTCCCCGACGCTCGGAAGAGGGTCAACCATATTCCTGATATCTAGGGTCACCACTTGACCTCATCACTATCGTGACTCGCTTCACTCTTGTCGTCTGCTCTCCGATCCCGCATGAGAGATCATGAGCCTTCGCTTCCGCCCTAGTGGCCCATTCTATCCTTTTTCATCATCGTCGACCCCCAGTGCTCACCATCGTGTCCCAGATCCCCTCGACAGGGCCTCGCAACGATATGAGCCCAAGACTCGGGTGACTGAGCGCTACCGCATCGTTGGCTTCATCAGCAGCGGCACGTATGGTCGGGTCTACAAGGCTACAGCCCGGAGTCATCCCGCGCAGGAGCAGGGTAGCAAAGATGCCGAGGTCCACCGGCCGCATGGCCTGCAGGTCGCTATCAAGAAGTTCAAGCCCGACAAGGAGGGTGAGCAGATCAGCTATACGGGCATCTCACAATCCGCTATCCGTGAGATGAGTATATGCGCGGAGCTCCGGCATGAAAACGTCATCAGGCTGGTTGAAACGCTGCTGGAGGACAAGTGCATCTTCATGGTCTTTGAGTACGCCGAGCATGATCTGCTGCAAATCATTCATCATCACACGACGCAGCCACCAGGGCCTCGACGACCGATACCTGCGACTGTCGTCAAAAGTCTTCTTTTCCAGCTGCTCAACGGGTGTCATTACCTTCATACGTCTTGGGTGTTGCACCGCGACTTGAAGCCAGCCAACATCATGGTCACATCAGAGGGCCGTGTCAAGATTGGCGATGTAGGGCTGGCACGCCGTTTTGACAAGCCGCTTGCATCGCTTTTCGGCGGCGACAAGGTCGTTGTGACAATTTGGTACCGTGCACCGGAGCTCATTCTGGGATCGTACCATTACACGCCTGCGATAGATCTGTGGGCCATTGGATGTATCTTTGCCGAGCTGTTATCACTTCGACCCATTTTCAAAGGCGAGGAAGCAAAGATGGATAGCAAGAAGACGGTTCCGTTCCAGCGAAACCAGATGCAGAAGATTGTCGAGGTCATGGGCATGCCTACAAAGGAGAGGTGGCCCCTCATCACTTCGATGCCCGACTACGCACACCTGAGCTCCGTGAGGCCGCCAGTGGATCATCACCACCATCACAACCACCACTCCTCGGCCAGAGCGTATCCCAACACATCGTCACTGGAGAAATGGTATTACAATACCATCAACCACGGCTCAGCGTCCACATCCTCGTCAATGCCAAGCAACGCTGGCAGCCCTCCTTCTCCACTCTCGTCACTGGGTGCGGAAGGCTACAAGCTACTGGCCGGCCTCCTTGAGTATGATCCTGTCAAGCGCCTCACTGCCGAGCAGGCGTTGCAACATTCCTTCTTCTCCACAGGCGACAAGGTACTTGCAAGTGCCTTTGAGGGTCTCAAGGTCGAGTATCCCCACCGGCGCGTGAGCCAAGACGACAACGACATCAGGACCAGCAGTCTTCCCGGAACAAAGCGAAGCGCGCTGGGCGACGATCTGTTGCGGCCACCCAAGCGGATAAAGGGGTAGAGACATCTTTATCCGGAACAGAGCATCACATTCTCGAGGGCAGTCAACCCCATAGCACCGAATTCATTCCAAGCTCGGACTATAGAGCCAAGGCCGACGCGTATGCCGAGACCGACATCACCAAAAGGCTTTGTTCTTGTTGTGCCAGTCCTGGGTCCAGGGCGATGAGTTACTCGAAATCGATGATACAGATCAATAGCGAGCGCCATCTTCAACGCAACCATATACCGCCCGTAAGGAACTCCGGCGGCATGGGTTGATTTACTTCACCGCGGCGCGTCTGGATACATCACCCAAAAATGTCTCGCCAGGCCCACCATGCGAAGGGCTACAGCTCCTTCATGTATCATCGAACACAATCGGACACACACGGAGATTGGATCCCTCTGCAAATCATTGAGCGAGCGGCAGGAGCGCGTTATTCTGCGGGGCGACTACAGACGGCTTTGAGACTGTCGCAGCGACCGAGAAACTCTTGTACATATTGCATAGAAGATGTATACTACTTTTCATCAGCGAGCAGATTGCCATACCTCTGCTGCCACGCCTGAGTGTGCCGCCGGATGAGTGAGTGGGTTACGTTTTAGCCACCACACAGGCAAGCAGGCCTCGGGTCTGGAGTAGTGTTGACGCTAAGAGTCCAATTATAATTAAGATGATATAAAGAGCAAGGCAAAGCAACGTAAAACGAGATATACATGTCAAAATGCACCGTCCGTAGCCAGAATGCACACAATCCCGTGCCTGTCCGTGGAAGTCTGCGCCGCCCAAGGTAGGGCGTGTCGCAGCCTCCAGCTCCACGTCCATGTCCTTGCACTTTGACCACGCTATACCTTGGAAATGAGCTCGCTCGCTGGTGCCAGTCCATGTGCACAGGGTTCCACTCCAGGAGTCTCCGTACCGCAACGCGTGGCAGGCGTTGCTGCGCATCGAGGGGAGGGCAGGCGATTCCGCAATCGGGGGTATCTTGTTCGTTCAGTCGTTCGGTCTACCGCTACATGCTCTACTTCTTAACCGGGGCGGGCGGCGCCTTGACGTTGGCGGAGAGCCACTGCAGGCCGTCGAGAAGACCCTCGCCGGTGGTGGCGCAGCTGGGCACGACGAACCAGATCTTGTCCTTGAGTTTGGAAAGCTGCAGCGCGTCGGTGACTTCTTGGGGTTTCATGGCTACTCGAGTGTCAGCATGGTGTGTGCGTGTCCATCTGGCGGAGAAACACAAGGGGTGGGTGAAACACGCACCGTCAGGCAAATCCTGTTTGTTGGCAAAGACGAGCAGCAGGCTGTCCTTCATCTCCCTATCGTTGATGATGCGGTGCAGCTCCTGCCTCGCCTCATCCATGCGCGCGCGGTCACACGAGTCGATGACAAAGATCAAACCCTGTGTGCCGCTGAAGTAGTGCCTCCAGAGGGGACGGATCTTGTCCTGACCGCCGACGTCCCAGACGTTGAACTTGACGTTCTTGTAGGTCACAGTCTCGACATTGAAGCCGACGGTGGGGATCGTGGTCACGTCCTGGCCGAGCTTGAGCTTGTAGAGGATTGTTGTCTTGCCGGCGGCGTCGAGGCCGAGCATGAGGAGGCGCATTTCCTTGGACCCGAAGATCTTGCCCATCATCTTGGAGAGTTGGCCGCCCATGGTGACGGGTGGCTTGGAAGGCCGGCTCGGGCGGTGGTCGGTCTGCGACTTGGGTAGGAGGCGGCGGTGGTGGAGGAGAGGAGGATGGGTGTATTGCGAGGATAAGCCTTAGGGCTGCACAGGCGAGTAAGGAGCGTCAATGTCTGGCTAGGATACGACGTTAGCTCAGCCGTTTCAAGAACCACATCCCAATAGCCTTATCTGGGGTTCAGGGACAGACGTGTGGGGGAGGGAGTCTTGGTGCTGGTGGTCCAACGGCGGCACGAGGCGGCGTTGACGCGATGGGCGCGTCAATTGGGTCAAGATGCGCATGCATACCTTTTCAGGACTCTGGAATCAGTCAATCTGTCGTTTTGATGCAAGCCCAAGAGAGCGGCGAAGGGTCAGTCGGCTGGTGAACGGATAGATAAACACAACAACGCAACACAGTGACGGGGGCAAATCAGGGATGGGCAAGCATGATTAAAGATGGATGTTGGGCCAGGCCTAATTTCCAGGGGGGGAGGGTCACATTCGCGCTAGCATTGGGCAGCTTGGTCTAGGGTAATCTGGTCAGAGCGGAAGTCGTGCGATTCATGCAGTTCACTGCCGGGGCGGAGCCACAGGCAGAATCGGATAAGGAGAATTAGGAGAAGAGGATTCTCTTCGTACATGCATTGACTATTGGTCACATGGACCAAGCCGCGCACTGGCGGTCATCGTCACATTGCAGATTATGATCACATTGAGAGTCGTGGGGAACGAGGGTCACAGAGGTATGGAGGTGACTGGTCATATTGTGCGCGCGTGCTTTGCTCAAAGTATAAGGTATTAGAATCCTCAAAAGCTTGCTGGGGGCCGCAGCAATTAGCAGCCTAGCTGTTGAATTGTACAAGAAACGCTGTCAACTTTTTCATTCCCCTTTCCTGGCGCATTTGGAGCAGGTATCCGAGGCCGTGATCGACGGGCCAGTCGCTTGCCCACGCTGGCTACTTCCAATGTCACGCTCTGTACTCCAAAACGAACCGGCGCTCTACTTGCTGGAGTGTCGACGAGTCGTTCTCGCCCTCGAATTGCAACTTGACGTTCCCTTCTCCATCCATGCTATGGACCTCGGCTTTATAGAACGTGGTCGTGTGAGGGTATAGGGCCAGGACGGTCGTCTTCGGCTCCCAGTCAGGAAGCGACTTGGCCTGGTCTTCGGGGGTGATGGGGATCATGCTACTGGCGCTCGTCTTGTACTCTTTGGCCTTGCTCTGATCTTCCGGCTCAATGTCCAGCACCTTGTAACGGCGGCTCTTGCCCTCGCCGACGACTTGGGCAACCTCGCCCAAGATCCAGTCCGGGGTACCCTCCCCCGAGATGAACTTGGGCTTGAACGCCACAGAATCCCCCTTTGCGAAGACGACCTTGGAGCGAGCGATGCCAGCACTGCCCGACATTGGCGTCGACACACCGCCAGCGCCGGCTGGCTCAACGCTACCCGACTTGGGCCCTATACTGTCTCGTTCCTTGTCACGCTCCCGGTCCCGGTCACGATCTCGGTCGCGCGTGCTCGCGCGCTCGCCTGCTTTGCCTCGAGAGGGTCCTGGCGCCACGGGGCTGGGTACCGGCGACTCGCCCGGCCCGTCGAACTCGTACAGCGAAGCAGCCGCTGTTGAGTCCCGTGTGGAGGCTCGCTTGTTTGGGCCCGCCTCGTCCTTCTTATTGGCATCCACGAGACCCTTGAGAATGTTGAGTGACTCAATGAGGCCATTGACCTGTGCCAGGTTCTGGTCGCTTTGCTTGACGCCGGACCGACAGAGTTGGTCCATTTCCTTAAGCATGTGACCCGGGACCTTGTCCGCCTCCATGGCGCCAGCTTGCTTGTCCATGTCCACCAGTCTGCTCAGGCCATCCGACTCGGTGTTGACATTCTTGACGAAACCGCCGAGCTGCTTCTTGATGCCGTCCCAGATGTGCGCCTCCTCGCCGCGGTCGCCGTTACCGTTGCCGCCGCCATTGCGGCCAAGCCCCCGGGTCTTCCGTTCCCTGGAACCCATTCCGAGGTCTGCGCGATCTTCTCGTAGGTTGGACACCTCTCGGTCGGATAGGTTTCGTCGGCGTCGCTTGTTCGGGGTGAGGCCTCTTCGACAGTCTTTCTCGAAAGTGGGTGTGCCCGCGTGGCTACTCAGTGCGCTGGCACTGTCTGTTGCATCGCCGGTGCGTTCGTCTTCGGTTCTGTCAGCCATGGGTGGTCGCACGTCGGGCTCGCAACAACCCGCGCGCATGCGCGCGCGAGTTGGGGGGTTTGAGATGAGGCCAGATGCAAAATGGCACGAATTCCAAGCAGCAGCAGACGAGAGAGAATACAACGACAAAGACAGATACACAAACAGACGGATCCCGGTCCAGATATTGAGAAAAGACAAACAGCAACGAGCCGCTGGAGAAATTGTCATTCGTCAAAACTTACCGGGCTGTGGTGGAGATGCCGTTCGCGATGCAGGCAGGGTCCGCGGAGGGCAGATTGCAGCACGTCGTCGGTCGGCGGCGCAACTAATTAGCAGGCAAGCAAGCCAGCCAGCGGTGGGGAAGGATTGACGGCGCGACAGGCGTGCGGGCAGAAGGGAAGACCGGGCGTGAAGAGAGACTCGTGCAGGTGCCTCAACCCATAGTACAGGTTCTGCAGCTCATACAGGTGTAACTTGAGCAAGTGTGAGTAGTGGGTGGTGCATGTAGGGACGAGATCTTGTCAAGATACAGTTCTGGCGATGATGATGATGGTGGGCGCGCGTCAACAAACCCCGAGCGGAGCGCGTGACCCGATCCAAGGGAAGATGGGAAGGAGGGACCGACGGGACTGTGGGGGGAAACAGCCTACCCGGTGCCACCACCTCGGGGGGCTCATGTCTTTGATCATCAAGTCCATGTCGCTGACGCTTCAGCCATCAAGCCTGATACATACCTACGTGTACTTGAGACCAGGATGACTGGTTTAATGGCCACGAAGCGTGTCGGTGTTAACGACGGGGAGAGTCCGCATGTAGTGATACATGCGGCGGTGAATGTCGAGGAAACGCCTATCCTCCTGGGCATCGACGCTGATCTTGGCCCACCCCAGGGGCGGCAACATTTGAGTGATCCAACTCTGTGTGCAGAAAGCGGACCACTCAGCCCTGCACTCTACGCTTGTAATATCTTTCCACCGTCTGAGGCTCCGATCATTAATCGTCGATCGACAGCCACCATTTTCACCTGTCATTCCGGGGAAGCAAATTGTCAGGGCCGCGTGCCGTTTGCCTAGCAAGGACTAGCCTACCACAGTGGCTGATGCCGATCTCTCGTACTGGCCCAGGGGCTGAAGGCCTTGGCGGCGCTCAGCTGACGTAGTTGAAAAGGACAAAATGACCCGAGTGGCGCGCGTTTCCTTCGGCTCCATCAGTGATCAAGCGGCGTGAACAAAAGACAATACCTACCACACTGGCTATTTCCGTTGCGGCGCATCTAATCCTTTTAACCCGTCCGGGTTGGATGGCGGGATTCTTCAATTGGGTTGTACTTAACCAATGCTCTACTTGCTGTTGCACTGATAGCGACTCGTGTCAAGTATGATGACTTGCCAGGGACTGCACTGAACTGTCATAGAATTAACGCTGGAAAGGTTGTGTGGAGCATGGCATGCGTCAATCCATGGTGACTCGGCTCCAAATGATCTTCGACGATCAATGTCTGAAGACTGCCCTCTGCCGTCTGGGAGCAGGGTTTTTACTCAAGTCCCTTGTCGACCCAAGCTGGGTATCGGGGAGTGGTCAAAGTACGTACAAGTAGTACAAATAATACGTGTAGACCAGTAGGTCAGTGGCGCCAGATCATACGCCACTAGCGGTCTTGGATCATTTGGATGTGTCAACCGCGTGCGCGTAAAGTACACAGTGGTCCAGCGCCGGCTTTGGCCGCATACTGCAAAAGTTGCTGAACTTTCATGAGGCAACAATGGCCAGCATGTGGTTGACTCAGTCCAAGCGGCATCTCCAGTGAGATCTTGTGTGGTAATATATAGGGACCAGGGTGACGATGCAATGGACAATATCAGGCTGTCGAGAGGACTTGAAGCTTCTAATGACAGACTACTTAATTACAGTACGTACAAGCTATACATGGCTTACTTACCAGGGACCAGGGACCAGGTCCGGGCAACAGTGCCGTTCGTGTGGCCGACAGGAAAACCCCTGAACCGCACGCAAGTAGTAATTAGGACGGTAGACCCGTCCCGTGCTGATCTCTGTAGTCTCGACTCGCCTTGTACAGTTGCCAGTCCTATAACGACCACACGTCGTCTCGTGGCAAACAACGTCCTCTGGATCGGCGACAGTCCGGTTGGGCGAATGACTCGTGGGATGCAACATAGCAGTTCAGAGTTGGCTTAAGTAGGCTCTTCCCCCCACATGGAGCCTCGCCGAGCTCGCATGCTGTACAATGCATAAAGAATAAGGGACGCACCCGATCTCCTGGATCTGTTCCCCCAATGCTCCTCCCTGTCGCCTTGGCTGCTCGAGATAGTACACACGCGCACTTGTCAACATGGCAACCTCCCAGGTGGAGGGCTTCACACTGCTTGGCCTGTCCATCGCCATTGTCTTCATTCGAATCCTCATACGGCTGAGACAGGTCGGCCTCCGGAACCTCACCGCCGATGACTACTTAATGCTGGGGGCGCTGGTCCCTTACATTGCCGAGACGGCGCTGGCGCACGATGTTGTTGCCAGGTACAACGGTCTGACCAACAGTGGCTTGACCGATGCCCAGCGGGCAGCCCTGTCTCCGGACAGTGAAGAATATGCTTGGAGGTATGATCTCCTCTGCCGTGGTTGTAAACGAGCGGCCGTGCTGACAGACGTACAGAGTTGGTGGATCCAAGGTCCAAGTGGCAGGCTGGTGTGTCTACGTGTCAGTCATATGGTTCGTTAAGGCCTCTCTCTGTGCCTTCTATTCCAGGTTGACGGTAAAGACAAACAAGAGCGCGGGTGGAAATCCACTGCTGACATATTTTCTAGGAATCCGTCAACGGATATCGCAACCGGATCATCTCTGGATATGTCCTCATCGGCGCCTCGTATCTCGCTTTGATCTTGTCTCTCTTACTCAGCTGCCAACCCTTCCACCACTTCTGGCAGATCAACCCGAATCCCGGCAGTGCGCAGCATCATCATAACCTTTCGGTGGGCACGCGGACTAACACTGCCCAGATTTATGCCAACCCGCCATCTCGAAGGTATACGTCCTCCTCACCGTCATCCTGAACGTTTTGACGGACGTCTATCTCATCCTCATCCCCATCCCCATGCTGTGGAGCGCTCGTCTGCCCACAATCAAGAAGCTGAGTCTCTGCGTCGTCTTCTCTGGCGCAATCTTCGTCATGACCGCTGGCATTCTCCGTGGCGTCCTCATCCTGAAGGTACGTGCCTGCTCTGATCAAACGTCACACCGACCCACGTCGTATCTGACTATCTAACTTGTGTGTGCGCAGGACCCCATCAACGGCCCAAAGCAAGGCTCGTCATGGGCCGTCCGAGAATCCTTCGTTGCGGTCGCCACCTCCAATCTCCCCATGATCTGGGGCTGGCTCCAGACCAGACTCAAGCCCTTCCTCGGCTCCCTCCTCTCCTCGCAGTCGGGCAAGCGCCGCGAAGGTCCCAGCGCGGGCAGCATCATGCTCGCCAACACCAACGACAACACCGGCCGCGGCGGGTGCACGACGCTGGTGAGCGTCAACCGGGATGCCGATGGGAGCACGCACGCACTGCGCACGGACGGTCAGGGGATGGACTATGACGGCGGGCATGCTTCTGGCGGGGGCATCAAGAAGGAGGTTGCCATCTCCGTGTCGTCGACGCTGGCACAGAGTACACCCTCGGACAGCGGGAAAGGCGTATCGCGGGAATACAACCCGAACTTTTGAAATGCGATAATAAAAGCAGCAGCACCGGGAGGAGACGCATGGATGCTTGGGGCTTTCGAACTCGATGGCGTTTTCACTCTCTTATTTGCTTTGCAAAGGGGCCATGTGGTCTGCTGTTGAGCTCACAACTAGTTCCCGATACCCATTCAAAGTGTATGCCTTACGAGTCAAGTCTTCCTTTGCTCTTCGTACACACACATTACTCTGCCGAGTTGTCAAGAAAGTATGGTAGATGTTCTTGTATTGCTCATTTTGACAATTGTTCCCCCTTGCACCATCTATCAAGCACCTTTCAAGAAAACACTCTGGCATGGGCCCAAATAGCTGTGCCTCAACCCCCCAAAGTCCACCATGATCTTCTCCAGCAGCAACTCCGCGTAGTATGGTCTATAAAGCACCACATGCTGCCCATCCTTTCCAGAAGGCAGGCTGAAGCTGACTTCGCGTGTCCAGACGAGGTCCTGCACGGCAACAGGCCAGCCATCGGGCAGCTCACCCCTCTCGGGGCATGTAAGTAGTTGCACGGCCTCCTGGACCTCATCGTCGAGGCCAATGTCGAAGCGCAAGGGGTCGTCAGGTCGCACTTCGAGACACATTGTAAAGAGAAGCGTAATGGTCACCTTGGTAGGTGCCGAGAAGGCGTAGATGGGAAATTGCATAAACTCCACCTTGCCGGACGTCCCAGGTGAAATGGTCACTGCTCCTGAGCCAGTGCGGCCGAGCAGAGGGTACAACTCGTAGCCGGTGGGTGGTTCGTGGGCGGCCGGCTCGATCACGACCACACCATCCGCCTCTACAAAGCCAGTTGTTCCCGGGGGGGCCCGACGGTTGTCAATGGGCAGATGGACGTTCTCGTAGTATCCGGATGGGGACTGCACATGGATCACAACGGTTCCCGTAAAGTCCTCTGGTACTTTCTCCCACTCAACGGCGACGGTGATGCGGGCGTCGCTCTCGTCATCGGGGGTCGACGTCCCGCTTGTGGCGCTCAGGGTGATCCAGGGCTGATCAGCGGCCACCTCCCATTCAACGCTGACTGCGCCTCTCGAGAAGATCTCAAAGAATCGCTCAGCTGGGCCGTACGGACTCATCAAGGGAAACGTTAGGCCCGGAATCAGATCACCCTTGGAGGGATGCGTGTAGTCCGATTCCTCGTTCGTCAAGCCAGGTCGAACACCACCATGGCCCTCCACGAAGACACCAATCTGCCCAAAGACGCGGTTGGTGTTCTGCCTCTTCTGGACGTAGCTCATCCCCGTGATCATGTCTCGTGAGGGGGCGTGCCATGTCTCGGTGCTGTAGCCGTAGTGAGGTTGTGACATGATGTGGTTCCACTTGTCTCCTGTCCAGGGGTTGTTGTGGAATTGTTCCTGGAGGTCGAAATCCTCATCTAAAAGTTCGAGGGCTCTCTTTGCCAAGACATTGGTCGTGTTGCGTCGTTGGAGCCCGTAGAGTTGGTTCTGTGCTTGTGCCGTTCTCAGCGCGGTGAAGATACGCGAGGCCTTGATCGGATGCAGCACAAGTTGGAAGAAGGCGGCCTTTTGGTGATCTGGAACCTGCTCAAAGAGTGATTGGACGTCCTTCTCCAGAGCAAGCCACTTTTCTAAAATGGACTCGGCTTCTCTATAGTTGACGATGGAGAACACATCAGGCTCAATGTGCTCATGGCGCCTTAGGGCAATCAGTCTGTCGTGGCGGTACAGCAATTTGGTGATGGCATCTGCATGGTATTTTCCAAACTCTCGCATGGTATATGTTGAGAAAAAGGACTCGACGTTTTTCCGTTGTACACTGTTGATGTCCCAAGCCAGAGCCAACGCAAAGGAACTGGGCATCTCCATGGGTTTGATGTCGCCGACATTGAACACCCATGCCTGCTGGATACCATTGCGATACGCGGCTGTGAGCTGCTGCTGCACCTTGCCGAGAGGACTCGAGTTGATCCACTTGTAGCTTCGGGGGCGGCCAACGTACTCGAGGTGGTAGTACAACTGGAAATCAGGTTAGCAACAAGATTCCGCACATACTCCCCATCAGCGGGATCACTGACCCCAATGCCCCCTTTCCGCTTGCTTTCTTCGGCCGTGGGGAATCTCCTGACATTTCCAAAGTTGTCATCCGTAAACATCAGCGTGATGTCCTCCGGCACCTGGAGACCCCTCTCGTACTGCAGCTGTGTCTCCTTGTAGAGTGCGAAGACCTGCGGGACGCCATCTCCCCTGCCATATACCGACTTAAATATGTCTCTCTGCGTGTCCAGGACCTCCTGCAGCGTTCGTTGCGGGTCTTTGGCAATAATACGCTTGTCGCCATTGCCTCGCATGCCCATCGTCACGATGGACTCGTAGGGCCGCGCTCGCTGCGCACCGACCTCAAAGTACTCTTTCACAGCGTCTTCGTTCTCTTCCCAAGACCAGACGCCCTTGTTGGCAGTGCGCCATTCCGTCATCCCCCGCTGCATCGGCTCGTGGTGAGACGTCGACATGACAATGCCATATGTGTCGGCGAGCTCTTGATTCCGCGGATCGTCCTCAAAAAAGGAACTCCCCGGCCACGGGAACCCAGACCACATGGCTGGCCAGAGAAAATTGGCTTTCATTCGAAGAAGCAGCTCGAATACCCGAACATAGAACTCTGAAGTGTACTTTGGGCCAATTTTCTCGTGAACCCAGTCCGTCAAACAGGGTGTTTCGTCGTTGATGAAGATACCCCGATACTTCACACTCGGCTCACCTTGGATTAAGGGGCCCGGGAGGGCGTAGATGTGCCTCACCGTCTTGATCGGTACGTCAGCCCACCAATACCACGGCGACACGCCCATCTGCTCGGTCAGGGTGTACACGCCGAATATGGCGCCTCTTTTGTCACTTCCGGCTACCACGTAGACCTTTTTGACCGAAGGCCACGGGCTGTCTTGCACGTGGCAGCGGAACGTCTCCCATTTGCCCTCCAGCCTGGTGATCTCGCGGGCGTGCTCACTCATGTCGTCGAAGTAGCGACATTTCTGCACGCTCCCAACGACAATGACAGCGTCTCCCTGTGGAATCTTGTTCTGGTCTTGGATGACGCTTGATGCGCGACCGGTGACCTTTTCAAGGTCAGAGGCGAAATTGCTCGCCGCCAAGCGGACCCCTTCAAATTCGTCCGGATGAAGGAGGATGGGAAGACCGCCAAGGTCAAGAGCCCCATGCTCTTGGTCCAAGCTGACGATTGACTCTTCAAACATCTTATCCTTGGTCTTCTTTGGTGCTGTCGGGACGTCTTTGGAGCGCGCGGGCAAAATAAATGGCCTGCGAAGAGATGTATCAGGAAGAGAAGGGAAGCAGCAATGCAGTGCAGAGAGCTCCGACTACGCGAGTAGCGCACGTCTCGTAAATGAGGTCTCCCATGAAATACATCAGCGTCGAGAAATATGGGGGCGCGCGGAGAAGAACGCGGAGAAACGACGCTAATTGCTCTGCGAAGAAGGTAACTGTCGGCGCGCTGCTCCTCTGCTCGCTCCACGGGGCAACGAGAGCCGAAGGAATGATCTTTAAACGTCTATTAGTTGCACGGTATCTCCACTATAGGGAAGCGGCCACTCCGCCTGGAATGCTGATCCTGGTATCCCGAGGGCAGTACTGTTACCGATAACCCGGCTCGACCACACAGAGACCCTGCGCTCTTGTTACAGCTTCTGCTTGTCTTCTCCGATCTCGCAGAATGCCTTGAACGTCACGAACTCGTCCTCCTTGCCGCCCTGTGCCTCGAGCACCACCTCGGCTGTGGCGCCCACAAAGTACACGAAGCCTTCCTCCATAGGCTCGCTCTTTGGCCCAACCGATATCTTTCCTTTGTCATTCGTGCAGATGATGATACTGGGCCCAGACAAGGGCTCAAAGGTCGCCCTGCTGCCCTCACCTCCGCACAAAGAGGTCCTGACGACAGCAAACTCCTCAATGGGCGGATCGTACAGTTGAATTTGGGAGCTGGCGCTGTACGCAGCGCGGTTGAGGGTGGCATAGGGGTAGTCCGTAGCCTTCATCTTTTGCTCCTCGATCGGCGCAAAGTTGTACGTCAGCATGTCGATGAGGGTGTCAGTATCCTTGAACTTGGGTGTCAGGCCGGCGCGCACGACATTGTCCGACGCCGCCATGCATTCGATGATGTCGCCGGACAGGTAGGCATGAATGTCATCCGCCACGAGGAACATTGCCTCGCCCGGCTGCAGCGTGACGTAGTTGAGGAAGAAGAGCACGAAGATGCCAATGTCGTTCTCAAAGGATTTGTGTAGACGCATGACCAGGTCGGAAAGCACTTCGCCCGAGGCTGAAGGGAGTCCACCCTTTGCAAAGTCTTTGCCCTCGTTCGTGGCGAGCTCCGTCAGGTTGGGCATTTCCTTTGCCACATCGTCCGCGGACGAGGTCATGAGACCCGCAAACGCCTTTTGCAGAGCCTTCTTCTGCGTGTCTTTGTTCGCACCGTCGTCCCTGGCGACCTTGATGAATTCCGTTGCCGCCTCATCGCCGACCATGCGCTTCAAGGGCGCGATGCTTTCCAGAAAGTGTGCAATCTCGGGGAGGGGCCTGAAGCCACAAAGGCCCTCAAAAGGTGTGATGGCAATTGTCATTTCCGGTTTGTGGTTGTCGTCGGGGTAGTTCTTAGAATCTTGCGCGTGCAGCTGCTCGGCAAGCTTCTTGTTCGGGTGCGCCTGGATGGACAAGGCCTTGTTGATCGAGAGCACCTTGAAGAGGAACGGCAAACGGTCGCCATATTTCTCGGTGATGTGTGTAGACAGGAGAGCTTTGTTGTGCTCAAAAAGCTCGTTCAGAGTGCGGCCAGTGTCGACGTGCTTGGATGGGTTCTTGGGGTGGCTACCCATCCAGAGCTGGAGAGTTAGCGGGAACGTGAATGGCGTGTCACAGCTGGCACACCTCAGCATACGGCTTCTCGGACTCGATCTTGAGGTCATCGGAAGGTGTCGCAGCGGCAAAGCGCGCAGCTGCCGAGTCGTTGCCGACCTTGCCCCATTCGTAGGAGTTGACACCACATTGAAGGCGCAAAAGGGGCACGGGGAGAACCATAATGTCAGCCGACGGAGAGCGAAGCCGTCAACTATTGCGAGGGACGTGTGGTGGTCTGACGCTGCTGAGATGAGGTGATGAGTGAGTGTTGTTATTGGGAGAGTGAAGATTATGCCGGCCAGAAAAATGGCTGTCAACTGGGCTTTGTGCCGGCTCCCATAGCGTCATAGCCTGCCATGGCAAGATTATACCGAGCACGGAGGGCTGCTACGTAGACTACCTAGATCTTGTAATTATGACGGTACTACAGTTTCCGCCTCAACGACGCAGAGCGTAGTACGTACGTAAATTAGAATGTCCGTTCGCTGAGCAGTCATGGAAAACCCCGCCAGGCCATCGGTAATCACCCCGCGGTGGGACATCTCTTGTCGCCAAAGCAACTAGGATTGGACGGGAGCGTTTGTTAACAAATTGCCGGCGACAATAGGCGTGAAGGTGTTAGTCTTCGTGAAGCTGAGGCGTTTCAGGAAACAGTAAATCCAAGTCCCTCACTCCTCACTTGGCCCGACAGCGCCTCGCGCGTAGAATGGACCGCAGTAGTAGCCAGGCTGCTGCTGTGTTAATGTTCACCCCAAATTGCATAACGCGAAGGTACATGTAGTCTTCTCAGACGGTGCCGGATACGGCGGTAGGTGATGCGGACACTTTCTTTACCTCTTAAGATGAAGGGTCCCTCGGGGGCGTGATGGCTCCCACGATCCAATCCTCGAGGGAACAGCTCCAACCCTTCACGCCATTATCTTTTTCCTGCCACGCTGTGGCCACCACCAAAGCAGCGGTAGCAATAAGGCCTCTCATCATCAGTCGCTCAGCCACCCAACTTTCCATCAGAATTCCACCGCGTGCGGCCATGAGACGCTCTCGTAAGTGAAACGTCCCACGACCCAACCAGCCACTCCAAGCTTGACAGACAGTTCTGTGTCCCAGTTCCCTTTTCACCGTCCGCATACATTTTCACCTCCCGGCATGCCAAAAATAAACAAAACCACGAAAATCCTGCCACTGTCGGTCAAGAGATCCGAAGGCTCGTTGAGTGGTCTACTCTAATGCAGATGCAAGGAACGAGACACCCGCCATTAGTCCAGAACCCCCCCCCCCCAACTACACGCGCGATGCAAGTAAAAGCAGATAACGACAAAATACGAAACAAAGACGAAGACTCGAAGAAAAGAGAAGTGGAGTCTCGGGTCTTGTACGACACGCCGCGCGGCAGCCTTCGCCGGGTCCTGCAGCCACAATGGTAAGTGACCAAGGAATTTCCTGTACATATTTGTTCCAAACGACGACGACAGATCCCCAACTCAAGAAGCGGGCCTTGCTTGACCTCCAGCAACAGCCCCTTGCAGGATTGTTGGTGCGTGTCAGTGTGCTGTGGCATGTTGATCAATGCGCAGCCATCACGCACGCTGAGTTGCCTTGCTCATCTCATGCAGACCACGAATAGCATCGTATGTAGAGTAGCTCTCGGTATTGGTGCTATTTTCAGGGGTGTTCGAGCGCTTGTGCCACGCACACGGTTCGATCCCATTCATGTCAGTCGCGCATGTCTGCTCCGTTGGGGAACATGAGGATGGCGATGAGCTGTCGAAGCCGGCTGATCCGTAGCCTGAGGTAGACCCCATGCCGGTATACGTACTTGGTGGCGAGGGCTTGCTGTACGCAGTCCCATCGTTGTGACGGGTGTAGTTGGGTGGAGAGCCATCGGGGGGAGATTGGTCGCCTCGCGCGCCATCGGGAAGCCCTCGGGCAACGCTAAGGAACCATGGGCTTTCGGAAACAGCAGCATGTTGAGCTTGAGGTTCTGCGACCGACATGGCAGGACCATGGACATGGTAGCCGAAACCCCCCTGATTCAAGCTTGGCATTGCCTTCATGTTTGGCAAATGGGCCTGTTCATACACTGCCAAATATCGTGGCTCTGGGGGCGCGTGGGAACAAGCAGCAGTACTGTACATGTTTTGGGTCGGGTAGCCGTGCGGTTGCTGCTCGGGGACTGGTTCGAAGTTTTGGGGACCCCAGTCGAGGTAGCCTCGGGGACCATAGGTGTGCGCGCCGCTGTCTCTGTACTGCATTGGGTCGACCTGTCCCGAACCCCAGAGGGCTGCGCCGTCATGGTATGCGGTTGCTGAGAGAAGATGCGGCTGTGTACTAGGCAGGCTCGGGAAGCTTCCACTGCTTTGAGCTCGAGACCTGTGCTGGTTATAGCCGTACGCAGGATCGTTGTCCTTGAGCAAAGTAGTTTCTAGAGCGTGCGGCTGTGGCCCTGTCAGTGTCACCGTACGGCTTGTTATGACCACGGACTTACTCTGAGGAATTGGCAGACCGTGACGCCCGCGTTGCGGCAGTTGACGCATGCCTCCCCTTGGCCATTGTCACCGCTACAGCGTATCTTCCGTTTCCGACAACGACCACACTGCCGGCTGGTCAGCTCATAAACAGATACCAAAGCGAGGTAAAGAATGACCTTACGGCCACTGGAATCCTCTTCCGAGCGCCATTGTCCTCGGAGCCCGTCGACATGCTTCCGTTTCTCGAGATGAGATAAGACGATGAGCGCCCACTGCCTCCACTTCTACGATGGTCTGCGTACGTTGAGGGAAGGGTACTTCGCAGCGGGTCGAACCGACGGCTGTTTGAGAAGGGATGGCAGGCATGTACGACCATGGTATGGCAAAAATGAATCGTCCTGGTGTCTTCAAACCACCACACTCTGGCGAGTTCCAAGTGGGATTTGACTCGAACGAAGAGGAAGACAAAGTTATTCGAGGGACGTAAGTGCTTCCTGGGGTGAAATTTGAAAATGAAAGAGACAGAGACCCAAGTCTTGTCGTTGAGGGTGTACTTGTTTGTTATATCTGCCTCTATACCACACACCCAAGAGAATCTTTTCCTGGCGTATATCTTCCCACTGCTACTGCCAATGCATGCTTGCTTGTTGTTTGTTCCGTATCCCGTGAAGCCATTGTCCAGTAATTTGCAACAACACGCCGAAAAGGGGGATCCACAGAGGCAATCGCCCACTGTGTTGAAGCATAGATAGGGACCTTTGTGTTGCTCTGCCTATCTAGTACCCACATGATGCTCTTCAATTTGCGTCGACAGTAACACAACCGAATGCAGAAACACAAGCTGGGGTCAACCCCCAGTCGCCAACGTAATGCAGGCCATCCATCGGTCGTAGCAGCAGCACTAGCAGCACTAGCAGCAGAGTAACTTGGTCATGTCAGCACGTCTACTCCCAGGAGGCCACAGCCTTGCCAGATGTCGACACAGAGATGGGGGGCTCGACGTGGACGGATTCTCACGAGTCGGCGTCGTGCATGTATGGTGACCCTTGACAGCATGTAGCATGCGAGGCACGTTCGGATGCGGAAACAGTGAGCGTACACCCGACCTCTAGGCTGACAAAAGGGCTGCGTCTCGTCATTTTGATCGTTTCTCACTTCAGCCCGCAGAACTAGGGAGCGGATGCGTTTGATGTCGTCTGTCAGCGAGTCTACGGGCATAGAAAGGTTTGGACAGGTCGGTTCGCTCCGAGTCCGACGAATTTTGACTCCCACACATATTGTTTAGCACGTCGAGGTGGAACATTGCTGCCGACACACCATGCATGTCATCATCGACGACAATCAGTGCACTTCCCAGCGTAGACCAGGATGAGAAACACGATTCACCTGTGGCGACATGAACGTGACGCAAGTGTCTAACCAAATGTATTGTGTTACCGTTCTTTTGACAGCGATCATAGGCCCATGTTCAAGAAGGCCTGAGAATCCTGCATTGTTCTGCAGCTTCGCCAGAGTGTTGTTCACCGACCACCAACACGGGACTCGAAAGCGCAGGGATAATGATTGACCGCCATTCGTTGGCATACACTTTCCGGACTGATCCAGATCGACCAGATGTGATTTATCGAAGGGTCTGCCTGCGGGTTGTTGCGCTGCTAGTGGCGGGAGGGGCCTTGCCCCGTGTGTCGTGTTTGCCTGTGTGGCTGGCCACAAACAATGACAGGTCCGTTCTGGCCTGGTAAAACGAACACAGACTGATCAATAGGAAGACGTGCCACTTCTTCCCGGGCAGATGGGCTGCTTTCACAGCACATCAAGTTTGTACCGAGCCACGCTTGCTCTTGTAGTATCTCTGCATGCACACGTGCATGAGGCTGCATGTGTTGAGAGCAAGGTTGATGCTTCTCGGTACTCCGAAACACCTCTTAGCGAAATATTGGAAATTTGTTGTCTCTCGTCGCGCGAGGCTTGTGACCCTGGCTCGAGCCTTGCCCTACAGGTGCGTCTGCACACCCTGAATCAGCTGGGGTGCGTGGTGTGCGTGCCATCGATGCCACCCTGCCTTGACGCAAAGCAAGGCTTTGTTAGTCAGTCTCCAAGCCACTTCGACAGAGACTTCCCCCGTGTTCGAAATCGGTTGGGCACGTCGTCCTAATCACAGTCTCGCAGGCACTGCCTTGCGCCATGGTGGTTGCACAGCACGAAATGCATCTGCTTCCCCGAGCCGCCGGTATGATGATTGGCTGAGGATTGTGCTATGGGCAAGCCAGTGGCTCTCGAGATGCATATCAAAGTCAACCAATTACGGCCGTTTGGGGGTCGGCAGTTCCATCTGTGGCCTTGACCTTCGCACCCGGAGTATTCCCAGTCCTCCTTAACGTGGCCCAGCGCAACTGTCCGCCCGCTGTCGTTGTAGCGAAGAGGTGGAACCATGTACAACAGACGTTTAGCCAGTGCGGTACAGCTGTGCCTATCAAATTGTTCAGACTTGGGGCAGATTCTTCAAGGTACAATACTCTGACGTGCCGTCGCACCGCACCGCGCCTCGTGGCCCACCCGTCGCCATGTGCCTGGCCGCCGGGGAAGCATGTTGCTGATGAGAGCGGAGATCCCATGGGGAGCACTGCGAGATCCAGATCCACGCTCAGTATACTCTTCGAGCATCTGCGCGTTCAGGGTTATGGCGCTGTCTCTTGAGTGAACGTGACTTTCGACTCGTGAAGAGGTAGAGACGTCATGTTTGGGCTACAGTCTACGCTTCTCGTGTGAAGCGCGATTCGGGTCCAAGATATGCCAATCATTTCCGAGCACTTCAAAGCCGGACCGGGTAGCTCATCGATAAGGATCAAGAGGCCATGGGATTGCCCCAGGTCTCATTGTGCACCAGACGGGCGTCAAATCTGTCAAGGAGCTTACTGCAGTGATACCTATCCGTTTCAACCCCAGCTAGAAGAAGAGGGCAGATCTTGAAACCGCCTGGCTGTGTTCATGTTGTACAACCGCCAGAGTATTGAAAGTCAACACATGTGGGGCCACACACCAGTACGCGCCCGCTTCAACAGCCACCGTGAGCTTGACAAAGAGGCTGTACATGAGACTAGCGTCCACGATTCATCGAGACTGCAGATGAACCGGTTCGACTATTGGACTTGGTCGAGCATGTATCTCTTTGCGCTTGAAAATCCCCTGCACCGTAAAGGGACACCATGTAGGGCATGTCGTCGGACAAACGCAAGGCACCTGCTGAGCTTCGGCTGTGAGGTATCATCAAGCGCGGTGAAGGGAACGAGCTACATTAGCCGAGGCTCCCGTGTATTTGCAAAGGTAATCTGTTTCGTATGGATACATGTAGACTTTGCGTGCCTCGGTGTTGCGTAACAGCCGTCAATGACGACCGTCAAGCCTGCAGCAGCGGCACTCGAGGTTCGGTAGACCACCACATTTCGCTCAAGCGAAGACACGGCCCGCCAGAGTATGCCGCGAAGTTGCGCCCGCGGGCGAGTCATGCTCTCCTGGATGACTGCCTGAGGATACATGCAGCTGCAGCCATAGGCGCAGTGCACTTTTAGCATGTCGCAAATGCCGTCCGTGTTGAGCTTCCACGAGTATCTTAGCACGACTCAGCTGAGGCGCACATGCCAGTCCGCTTGTGCTCCAACTGCGGTGCTAGCAGTCCGTGCCCCAGGCTTGCTTATACGGAACAGACTGTCGCGGTGGCTTGTCAGTGCTCTAACTCTGAGTTGTACAGACACATGTGCAAGACTCACTGGTTTCCGCCCATGATGGATCATGGCCTGTGAGTGTCCAGGATTGTGACGGCATTCTCGAAGCCAATCTTCAATCCAAACCCGGCGATTGCGGCGGGATAGACATGGTGAACATGAGTGCAAGTCGCCCGCGCCTGATAGTGCACGTGTGGTGACCGAGATCTGCTGATCGAATGGTATTCCCTGATCGTCGAGACAAGGTAAGGTACCTCATCGAATGCCAAGACGGAGTTGGGTTCCTGAGCTACCACGTGACCTTTGTGGTCCTGGAGCGGGATTCGGGTTCCTGATTTCGTCACCGCGAGACTCCAGCGCCAAAAGTTGCGCCATCTTGTCAACATCAACATCACCATGTCTGTGCTTCTCGAGACGAGTGCCGGCGACATTGTCATTGATCTGCTCGTAGATCACGCACCCAAACTCTGCGAGAAGTAACACTACCCCCCGCCCCCGGCTTTGTCGCGTGTGATGTGATACTAACAGGGTAGTTTTCTCAAACTCTGCAAAACCAAGTACTACAACTTTTCGCCCGTTCATTCGGTCCAGAAGAACTTCTCCTTCCAGACTGGCGATCCGCTCGGTCCTCTCTCGAAAGAATCTGATGGCGGCTCTTCAATATGGGGCAACCTGGGGAGCGCGAAACGCACCTTTCCCGCCTTCTTCCACCCAAAGCTGAAGCACATCGAACGAGGGACAGTCAGCATGGCTACGGTGCCTCTCGTATCTGACCCTGAGACGAGGCTGGCCGGTTCACAATTCATCATCACGCTAGGTGAGGAGACGGACTATCTGGATGGCAAGGCTGCCATTTTCGGCAAGGTAGTTGAGGGCTTCGATGCGCTGGAGAAGATCAACGAGGCTGTCATCGACGACAAGGGCTATCCATTGATCGACATTCGGATAAAACACACAATCATCCTGGATGACCCGTACCCTGATCCGGAAGGACTCCGAGCGCCGAGCGCCAGTCCACCGCCTACCGAAGAGCAACTCAAAACTGTACGAATCGCAGATGAAGCCGCGCTTCACGAGGACGACGGAGTCGACGAAGAAGAGCTGGAGAGGCGGCGCGGGGAGCGAGAGGCCAAGGCACAAGCCCTGACCTTGGAATTAATGGGTGACCTGCCATTCGCCGAGGTCAAGCCACCGGAAAACGTGCTTTTCGTGTGCAAGCTCAATCCGGTAACGGCAGATGAGGACCTGGAGCTGATTTTTGGCCGCTTCGGCAAGATCCTGAGTTGCGAAGTCATCCGCGACGCCAAGACTGGTGACAGTCTGCAATATGCATTCATTGAGTATGAGGAGAAGGAGTCTTGCGAAGCAGCATACTCGAAGATGGAGGGCGTGCTGATTGATGACCGGCGCATACACGTCGACTTTTCCCAGAGTGTCAGCAAACTCAGCGACTCCTGGCGCAGCGACGCAAACGACAAGCGCCGCAAGCATGCGCGTGGCGGTTGGGGTGGTGTCAGGGACCTGGAGAAAAGGCGCCAATACCGAGCGGAGGATGACCGCAGACAAGGGAAGGACTACGACATGGTACATGCTGAGGATGAGATTAGGGGCCGTCAGGAAAAGCCCAGCCGTGACAAGTCAGGCCGGGACCGCAATGGTGACGGGCGAGACTACCGGCGTCAGGAGCGGAGCCGCAGTCCACGGCCTAGCTATGGCAGCCGGGATCGCGACAGGCGTCGTGACGACAGGCGCAGGCACAGAAGTCGAGATCGCGATGATCGACGTGATAGATACAGGAGATGATGAAAGGCGGGAGCCAGAAAATTCCAATGATACCCCTTTGCATGGCCGACTTTGCTCAACTGAACTTTCCAAGTCTCCCAGGCTCTCGGATTCTAGGCATAAACGCCGCTGACACGAAACAAATGCAATCTAGTCTTAGCGCTCGAATAACTGTGGCTGATCATTGTGCTATCGCAACACATAAAGTTCGCCGCCACGATCGACCCTTGTCTTCCCCAGAATCAGTAGCAGGGCCCATTGCATTTCTTGGCAATGCTTGTCGCTGTGCCAAGACCGGCGATCCCCCCCGAGGACTCCCTCCAAGCAAGTCTGGGCGAGATCAGCGTTATACCACCAGCCGCAATTGTTTTGCTGCATTAGACGTGACATGCGGAATGTCACCATGAGGCGCTTAGGGTTTGCCTACGTACGCAACCTATCGGGGATGTTGGAGTTGTGGTCACAGTTCATGGAGGGTTGGAGGGTGAGAGCTGACCATTGGTCAATTGAAGTAGGTGTTTGCTTGCGCTGCGCAAGGCTAAAAGAGCAAGAGTGTATACGTAATTGACGTCGCAGCCATTAAATGGGAGGTGCGCGCTTTTGAATGTCATCAAGATAACATCATGGCCATTGGCCAAAGAAATAGTATTAAGCAACCCAATAGCTTGGCTGATGAGTATGGCTGGAGAAAAGGAAAAGTATTGCCGAAGCCATCGCTTGTGTGAGACATCGCTTGTGTGATGAACGCCCATGACTCAGCTTCACTGGCTGGCCGAAACCCCAGGGAAAAAATACTCCTAGCGCAATGAAATGTACCAAGATGGTTTGTAAAGTAAAAAAACCAGTCAAATGTGACACAGTTGAAGGTGAAAAAGGTACCAAGGTCACTCCGAGGTGCGCCTCCGCCGTCCAGAGCGTAACTCTTTCTCTGTTTCCATGAGTCTTGATTGGACCCAAAGACGCATGGACTGGTTGTTGCGGACGGATTCGCAGTTGAGCAGCTCGGTCAAGGCCCGCTTGATGCCCTCGTCGACGTCAAACAGACGTCGCTCTTCGACAGAGATCTCCTCCATGGTCTCCTCGTCTGGGATGGTATCTAGTGTTTCCAAGTTATCGTCCCAGCCGCTACACCGAGCGTGCGCTTTTGAGTGATGTCGGCGCTCGCCAGATCGGGAGTGCCGACGTGACGACGATGGCCAACTTGCAGAGCGTGTCGGTGACGTTGCTGGCGAGGTGGTGTATGAAGAGTTGCTGAATGTGGTGGAGAGCGAACCAGAGCGGATCATATCAATATGGTCACTGAGCTCGTCGCGGATGCCTTTCAAGTCCATGTATTCTTGCATGGCTTGTGTGTAGTTGTGACCAACCATTGTGGTGGTAACAGGATGGTTTGCGTTTGGTAAGTCCCAGCAAGTATGTACCGGTGCTAATGTAGGCGCGCGTAATAATAACGAGACCATTGGACTGGGTGAGATGTGAGGTTCGACAGGCGATGGAGCCGTAAGAGGGCTAGTAACGCAGTCGGCGCTTGGATTGTTCTTCCGGCGCGTATCGCGGACAGCAACGGGATGTTTGTCTGCGTATTTGGTTATGCCAGCGTGACAATGGCAAGGTTGGAGGGTTCAGCCAGTTAGTTGATTGTCGACCTGTATGGCTCACACTCGTAGGTGTGAAGTACGTGTTGGTTCGGATCGATGTCGAGAGGCCCAAGTCACTGATGCAGCAGATGGGCGGATCAGACGTTGATAACCGAGTCCTCCACAATCCCGAGGCCGACGATGCCCAAAACAATCCAGGTTCCACCCGATTGTGGTGTTGTGTGCTCCACAGAACGGCTGTTCGCAGGTGGAGTTACTCCTGATCAGTTGCAGCTCGTTGCAGCTCAGAGCGAACCTGCAAGAAGTGCCAGTTTGCGTGCTTGTTTTAGGTCCCACGAAGCGATGAAGGATCCCACCTTATAAAGGAACGTGAGGTTACCTTTAGGTAAAGGTAAGGTAAGCGGCAGATGCCGTGGAGACCGGTTGAGCGTATGGGCAGTTGCTAAAGAAGTCGATTGAGTTTGACCTTTTTCGCCTCCGGTAGCCTGGAACTTTGGATAAGGGCCAAATCCAGTCGCTGCACACCCCCTCCGGACACAACGGTTGGACGGTCAGTGGCAGAATGCTGCTGCACAGCGAGTGAGGGGACTGGATGCGCGGGCGTATCTGGCTGGGCCGGAGTCTCGATTCAAGTGGGCGGGCGGGCAGACGCTGCAATTCGACGGTGCCCGGTGGTATTCGATTCTCGACTGGGGAACCCTACCCCAAGGTGCTGCGTTGCGTGGCCGCCACGGAAGCCACAATTGGAGGAGATGCGTTGTCTTGGCCTGAGCTGGTCGCTGCAGGACTTTGGTTCAGTTTGTTGCTATCGGTATGCGCCGGCAGTTCGTACCTAAGGTGGTAGACTTTGGTTGACCGGTTCTTGGACGGATGGAGCTCAGTGTATGCGTGTTGTATGCAGCACTGTCCAGGTGACAGATTTGTTCATGCAGATGGGAAAGATATGATCCTCAGCTGGCAGTCGAGATGCAGCGAGGCAGGCAATGTCGCTCTTTTGAAGAAACTTGCTTGGGTAGATAAGGCGTGAGCTCCAACAGCAGCTCAACCCGTACGCAATCAAGGCATTTAATGATGGGACAAGGGTACGCCATTTCGGGGCCAGGACCCCTGACAACATGGCTTGACGGGTGCAAATCAGAGCCTCCAGAGGAATCCAACCATCAGGGGTCCGTCAGGCGGCGCCAGACTATCACCCGCGCACGGTTGATGGCGAAATTCGTGGCCCATTTCCTTGATCACTCTCATCGATCGATTAAGGAAGGAACCAGAACTTCACAACCAGTTTCCCCTTTCCGCCCGTCTCCTCAAAGGGGAAAGGGGGTCAGTAGGAGCTTTTTGTGCAACAACTGGCGTCATCCCATTAGTCAATCATTGTGGCTTGTCATTCCCACTTCCACTGCACACGTTGATCACAGAACGCCTCTTTTCCGCACCACCATCGTGGCTGATTGTTGACGCGTGGTCTCAAGCGGTCAGCCCAGCCCGAAACAACGCGACCGAAAATCATTGTCACACTGCATGTCGATCGTTCACGTTGAGCAAGATAATAACCACTTGATCGTAGATTGTGGCCTTTTACGTGACAAGAAGCCGTCGGTAATTCGTTAAGCGAGACGGACGTGTAGTTCCAATATCACTAAACTGCGTATCTCACAGCCCCATCCACAAAGGGAAGACTTCGAGACTGCATTCGTCCTGTCCGGCTCAGGCTCGCACTCAACGTCAGCATCATTGCATGAAAAAAGTATGGATGAGGATAAAAATTACGGAACTTACATCATCGTCGCAAAATCAGGGTCCATCGACCTCCCTCATCTGCGTTTTGACTAGCAAGCTTCCAATGACCAAATCCAGTCGCGTGGAATAGAATCAAACCCACCACCACTTGCGGACGTGGTCCTCCGGTTCAGACATGATGATGATGATCGCATCGCCGACAATCAAGGTCGACGCCCCCTTCGCTGCCGATCATTACTCGGTACGTCCTTACTCGTCAGCCACACTTTAGAAAGCAGTCTTCCCATTTCTCCAGGATCGTGCGGCGTTGCGGCGAGATGGTCCGCGGTGAGCAACTTCATCAACAACCCAGCACGTTGTTCGATCCACGTGCCAAATTGAAGGCGCACCTTTCATGCCATGAAGGCGCATAATCATCGCCTGCCACGTTGCAGAAGATCTCGTGATATTATTGTGGTCTTGTGTAACGATCAGTTGGATCACCCGGCAGCCATCGGTGGTGCAGCCAGTCGCGGGTACACAATTAGCTACCCTATGTCACGATGTCGTTCGTTGCCTTTCTGTGTTCATCAAGCAGACTTTAGCTGTAGGAACGATGTGATTGTTTTCCTCTCGGTATAGCCGATTTATTTATGCGTCTATAATGCTCAGGTATCCTCGTGCATGATATGATGCCTGGTATTATGATGTGATTTCGCACTCAACGCAATCATCCAAGCCGGCACTGCATTGTGGCCTGGCCACTTGACAACAGTAATTACGCATGAGCGACGCATAGCACGAATTAATTAACAGCCCATCATGTCTATTTTGATATCTTGCATATTCTAATGGCCACCTGGTCATTGTAGAACGGCCCCTTCTGCTGACCGCGAGCGGGTACTTCAACTTCCAGATCGTCCACCGCCAGACCATTACTCTGGCAGACCGAAAGGAAGGCGCCGAATGTATCGGCATTGCGTTCAGTCGCTGCAACATACACTTCAGCGTGGGGATGCATTTGCAACAGATCGTCCACGGTCCCCACCAGAGCTGGAATGACACTCCGGTCATAGGTCACGTCAGCACCGAGCACGACGTCGACAGACCGACCACCATTCCAAGCCGCCTCCTCCGTGCCCAAGAGTGCGTGGCCCCATTTGAGATCCATCGCTGTGACAGCATCGGCACCTTCCAGGCCGTTCAGGAAGAGATTCTCCGGAAGATTGTTGATGACATCGTCTGAGCCATCCGACGCGACTACATGCGTGGCCTGAAGAAAACTTGCGCAGACAATCGACAGATAGCCTGTGCCGGCACCGAGTTCCAGTACACGCTTTCCCATGACGATCTCAGGGCGCTGGGAGAGGAAGTGACTCATGTGTAGGGCCGCCTCCCATGTCCGCAGACCTGTTGTTCCCGCTGCCGAGATGAGAGACCGGTTTTCTAGCAGTGTGACACGAGGGCAAGGCTGCCTCGCCAGTGCCGACAAATGATACGTGACATAGCACTTCTGCTGCACAGCTTCTGCTTCTGCTGGAAGGGGGGATGCTAGGAGCACGGACAAGGCACTCATGAGATTCTCAGATACTTCCTACCTTCAGGTCAGACAGACCGGAGCCACCCGACGGAAACAAGGCCGCGCTGCTCACATGTTGGTCCCAGTCCTCAATGCTGTCCTCAATCTTGGATACAATTGACTTGAGTGTCTTGACCTGGTACCTGATCGGAGGTCCACAACGCAGGGCCTCATCTGCAAAGAGGTTGTCATAGATGGCCTCCTGGACTGTAGATTGTCGCAGATGAATCCGTTCCGGAAAGTCAAGGGTTTTCTCCAACTGCAGATATTGACGGCAGAATCGATCAACTTGATCAGACGCGTCGTTATCCATGATGCATGAGTTGACGCTGGTGATTGCTTCACGGTGCATCATGGTTGCGGGATGCCGAGGATCTGCCGGGCACGAAGGTCCTGTTGTCATCAGTCACGTGAGTAATTTCTAAAAGCCAGCCGCTGCCCCACATCCACCACTCGCACACGCGCAATTTCTTAGGGTTGGACCCAATTAAGTAAGCGACACGGGGCATGCTCGGAATTTTCGCCCTTGCGCATCCAAGCCCCCATCACGCAAATCGACTCACGCCCATCACCACCACCCAACGGTCTCTCGACGAACTTCGACAAATTCCCCCCATCGAGACCTCGACAACCGACACCATGGCGGACAACGACTCCCCCGTTACCCTGCGCACGCGCAAGTTCATCCGCAACCCTCTCCTGGGTCGCAAGCAGATGGTTGTGTGAGTAGCCCGTGACCTCCCCACACCGCTTGCCTCGACCGACGACGACGACGACGACGACACGAGGGACAATTGCATGCTGCTGGTGTATTTTGGAGGATACCGTGCATACGATTGCTTGTCGTCGACTCTCGAGGCAGCGGATGGGAAATGAGATGCGACGGATGGTACAGGGACACGGCTGACGACAGACAGTGACATCCTGCACCCCAACCGCGCCAACATCTCCAAGGAAGAGCTCCGCGAGAAGCTCGGTGGTCTTTACAAGGCCCAGAAGGACCAGATCTCCGTTTTCGGTCTCCGCACCCAGTTCGGTGGTGGCAAGACCACTGGCTTCGCCCTCGTCTACGATTCGCCTGAGGCCATGAAGAAGTTCGAGCCCCAGTACCGTCTCGTCCGGGTTGGTCTCGCGACCAAGGCCGAGCGTGCCTCCCGACAGCAGCGTGCGTACAATCTTGATGATGACGGATGGCGTGGTCACGGTCCAGTACTGACAGTATCGCAGGCAAGCAGAGGAAGAACAGGCAGAAGACCCTCCGCGGTACCGCGAAGGTCAAGGGTGCCAAGGCGAAGAAGGACAAATAAACGCATCGCCCCCTCTATATCCGGGGTCGGATCTGAAACGGGGAGGAACAAGCATTGGGGCTTTCCTCAGGTGGTGCGGATATGGCTGGCGTTTGTACCGGTCAGCTGCTGGCGTGGCCTCTCGTCACTGGGGACGTGTCGGTCGTGCTGGCGAAAAATATGACTCTTGTTGTCTGTTGAGCCCGCCTGCAATTTTCTTCCGTATCGGGCGGGACTCTGGATTCGGCGCCGCGGGAGGAAAGACGGATGGTCTCTACGACCCCTTCTACACTAGCATGAATCAATGGTGTTTCGGGTTTCAGACCAGGACGACGTCACGATTTGCGAACGGCTGAATGTATCATGGTGAATTTCAATTGTATCACGTTGCTGCTGAATGGATGCAACGCCCGCTACCGCGCCTCGCTGGACGTGATTGATGTGAGCCACACATTTGGACCACCTGCCTCCGATATCTGAGCCGCGTAATACCCCGTTTATCATTGCGCCCTTTGCGCCTGGTATGAAATGCTCATAGCTTTCTCCCATACATCCTAGGTGATGTGCGTGCCACGTTTGTGGGTTTGCGCCTTGTATATCGTGTACGCATCTTGTCATCAAAGCAGGCCAAGCACGAATATTAGAGCTGCGCCGCTCACGGTGGCCATGACCACACTCATGCTGAGCTCCCTTCTCGCCTCGGCCTTCAATATGGGCGTGTACCACCCGCACTTTTCATCCCCATCTCGCCTGGTCCGGCATTTGTAGAAAGTCGTTTGATAGAAGCCCTTGCTGCGCAACACCTCGTCCTGATTCGGCGCTGGTGTCGCAATGGGCGTGTAAGCAGGGGGTTTGACACTTTCCGGGTTGTTGAGCTGTTGCTGGACGTGGGTGGTTTGTTGAGGCGCAGACTGCATTGCCTCGGCGCTGAGAACGAATAGTGATAGTATGGTGGTGATTTTCATCGTGAAGAGGCGTCGTCGAGCGCGTGCTCTCTGAATCCTCTCAATCGTTGCAGACGCTCGAAATCGCAAGATGCAAGGGATGACAGCATCTTATAGCTTGGGAAGATCACATTGCAGTTCAGTATTTGGAGTTTTCGAACAAGGCCATTGTATGCTCCTCAGGTAAGGTTTGTGTAGAGGGCTAAAGCTAAAGAAAAAAGAACGAAGCCTTTTGCTTGCCCTGCCCACCTACGAACACATGTACCTTGTAAGCGGGCTGTGAGTCTGACAGTAATCTCGTGACGCGGTCCATTCAACCCTTTCAGCTCACTCACTCACTCCCTGGTTTTCAGGACACATAGAATCCCTCTTTGTGCGCCGGCCCCCATCGTTGTGTCTCTTGGTGCTATCCCATCGGTCTTGGCGGCTTGCAAAGCACGCGCGCAAGTCACAATCCCCCCCCGCAATTCACCGCTCTCTCTCACGCGGGGCCTGTCCTAGAAGAGCAAGTCGACCAGGGCCACGGTCATTTTGGGTCAACGCCGAGATGTGGCGCATGTGCTCAAATTAAGCAGCTTGGTGATTCGCGCATAACGAGACTCTCAAGGTGGTTTGATTTGTGGTAGCAATTGTGTTTATTGATTGGCATGCCAGGTGATGATCGCTCGAGACAGCCGTCAGGCAACCGCGACAACGACCATCCCATACATCCTGAACTTTTGTTCCTGATCAAGATCGCGGGCGCAATGAGCCCGTTTGCTGTTACATAAATAAATACCACAAAGCCAGGTTCAATCATGGGTATCACACGTCCTTCATTGTTTAGAATTTCTTGCTCATCCTTCTGCGCCCTTGTCCTGCAGGCGCCGCGCTTGATGGCCAGGGTAATGATCTGTTCTTTGCTCGTCTGCCACCGGCCGGTGAAGAGGAAGCAGCAGAGGAATCCCTGTTTGGCCTTCGGGACTCTCTCTCCATCTTATTCTTCTGAACCCAGCCGGAGCCACGGGGCAGTGACGAACCCTCCTCATCCTCTTCATCCTGATACGTTTTGTCTATGCGGTCATCGGGGTAATGCTCGACCGGTCGTGGCAAGACTGGACTAGAGATGAGCTCAATGACCTGACTGCCTTCCGAAACCCGAAATGGAGACGAGCGACGGCGGCCCGTAACCTTCTCCTGCTTGCTGTTCGCGATGCCGCGGTCGGCGGACACATCCACCGCCGGTAATGGCTGTATCGCATTGGGGATGAGACTTCTGATTGAAGTGTTCCGATCGGGCGACAGCTCCGATTCGTCTCCTTCGTCCAAGCGTTTCATTGCCTCCTCATAGCCGGACTTGGAGCCTTTTCTCTTGGAGAGGGCAGACATCTGCAATGATTTGAGTGGGCTCTGTGAGCTCTTGGCACTCTTTGCCGTGTGCCATAAATCGTTCAGCGAAGAGAGTGGCGAGCTGCTTCCATGGGGTCGCATGTTGGCCTCTTCACTATCAAATGCGCCTGCCCCGTCGTCCGGTGAGCCGATATCGTGATGAATCACTGTATCATCACCATCGCCAGCATCGTTCATAATTTCATCCTCTGGGTTGGGCTGTCGTCCGCTACGGAGGCTGCCGGCCGATGATGGGAAGGGTGGGAGCTGCGGGTATTCCACCAGGGGGCTTTGGCGCTCGTCTGGCTCTTGACCTGGGCTAGCTAGGGTGACGTCGACTGACGGATTGGAATTCTCTGCCAGCACCGACACTTCAGATCCGGGACAGAGGGCCTGCTCTTGCTGTGGTTGGAGACGTTCACCTCCGGGCATCTGTGCCGACTTACTGGCCATGGGAGGCGGCTGAGAATCCTCCACTATAGCTCGAGGGCCCCGAGGCCTCTGTCTCCGTGCTCCGTCACTGCCTGATTGAGCCTGGGAATCGTCAGTCCTGCTACTGACAGCCGTGTTATCCAAGGCACTGGTGTCCAGGGGTTCGAACCGAGGAAAAGTCTGACCAGACGGGATAGATGAAACGGTAGGAATGTCCTCTTCCCCATTGGCAGGGTCTTTGTGGACGCTATCGGAAATTTGGGCCGGTTCTGCCTCGGTAGTTGGCTCTACCGTTGCATGTTGGTCGTCGGCTTCCGGGCCAAGGCTGTTGGCTGCGGTCCTTGACGATGGGGCGCTCTGCACAACGCGTGGCTCGACCATGTCTGACCAGTTCACCCATCTGTGACCCTCGTGCTCTAGATTATCTTCCATGTCGTCATCAGAGTTGTCTGGGGCTTCGAATTTATCGTAAATCCTTTTGCCGGTGGTCTGGTCGTACTCGCGGTCATCCTCGGGGCGATCACGCTTCGCCAAGATGACGTGGATGGTGCTATCCTCTACAGAGATGACCAACGCAGTAACCAGAGCCATCGTGGGTTGCCAAGATGTAGCCTTGGACATTTGTAGTTCCTTCCAACATATCACCATACCCGACGTGACCATGTCCAAGGTCAATGCCGCAAGTGTGGTAACATCAGGCGGGAGCGACGGCAAATCGTCGTAGTCTGTGAATTGGCTTTCACCAGCGGGTGTCTTCTTTGGCGCATCGTCATAGTCGAGCACAACATTGTCTTCGACCATCATTTCGTCGTTGGCATGGCCATTCTGTTTCGACTTCTTCTTTGACTTTTTTGACTTCTTGGGCGTATGAGATTCCTCGTAGCCTTTGTAGTTGTAAGATTCGTCGTCGTAGCCATCTTCATACGCGTCGTCTTGGTAGTACTCCTGGGACTGGCGTTTTCGCTTGCGCATCGCCCCGTACTGCTGCTGAGGATCCCATCGTTGTACGAATGGGAACGGCGGCTCACTTAGCTGCATGCCTTCATGGCAGCATTCGACGGCACGGTAGGTAATTTTGGCGCGCCAATCCTCATTGCCATCTTCCTCTCCGTCGTCATCGACAGCAGGAGTTCCATACTGTTGCTGCGTCGTCTCTTCCTGTCGATGGTTTTTAAGTGGTCGAACATCCTTCATCAGCTTTTCCTTGATCTTCTCTTCGTCTGCTTTGTTCTTTGGATTCTTGAGTCCCAGGGCTCCGAAAAGTAAGCGTCGACCAGCGTCCTTGTCCATCTTTACACGACGCCGGTTGGAATCGGCCGATGCCGTTGTCTCCGAAACTGCTGCTTGGTTGATAACACCAACGGAATCCTCAGCGTCTGCATCTGCATCTACTTCCATGTCTACCGAGCATGGCTCAGTTGGCATGTCCTGAGAGATATCGGCCAATTCCATGGGGTCCTGACGTCCGTGGGGTTCATCGACCTCTGTCATAGTCGCCTGGTCCGGCCGCACACTCTGATCCATGGCATTGGTGTCTTCTTGTTGCGACACAGCGCTCAGCAAGGCCTTCTTACGAGCAACAAGCTCATCAACCTCCGAAATTGGCGCTGGGGCTCGACCGGCCTTTGCATGCTGCTTTGCCAACTTGCGTCGCGCATTGCGCTTCTGCGTTTTAGTCATCCCCTGGCCCCGTGGAACCGTCGCCTGCGTGGGCTGCCCTGTCTCTGTCTGTGCAACATCCGGAGGCACAGTTGTCGCCTTGGCAGAGGGCTTCCTAGTCGAGAGCTCGTCGGGCGAAGAGTCAGAATCGGAGCTTGCCTCATCGGAGTCTTCACTATCATCGCTGGAGCTGTACTCGTCATCCGAATCCGAACTCTCGCTGCTGGAGACAACCTCAATCCTTGGTTTCTTCTGGCGTTCGGGTACTGCCGAAATGGGATCGCGTCCGACGTCTTTGCTCATAAAACTAGAAGAAGTATTGGATTTGACTTTCTTCTTCATGGAGCTCGACTGACTGTCCGATCCAGCCTCAGAGTCTGAACTGCTGCCGCTGGCTGAGCTCTCTTCTGCAGGCAGTCCGCCATCCGTGGACGTACTTGCTCTAGGCGACGTGACTGCATTCGATTCATCCGAGTCGCTATCAGAGCTTTCGTCGTCGCTAAAGTCGTTCTCCTCTTCGTCATAACCTCGCAGACTCGCCTCGTCGCTCGAGCTACTGTCGCTGTCGCTGCTGCTGGACGTCTCGGCTGATCTCGAAGAGGCGTTTACCGCATCACCATCATCGATACCGTTGGGCTGGGGGCTGCCCGAGCCTAGCGGTTCGTCGGCCTCAACAACTTGTATCAGTGGGCGTGACTGGACTTTGGGAGTTTCCGGCAGTAGCGATGGCCCGGGGGACGACTTGGTGTTGGCAAATCGCTCGGCCAGAAAGCTTTGAAGGACCTTGTCAAAGGACATGGTTGGATCATTCTCGGCGGCGAGATCTCGATAAGTGTTGTGTATGTCGGTTTGATGGGTTTGCAGCGCATCTCGGATAGCAGACGCTGGCGTCGAGGGGAACGCCATTTGCAAAGCATTGACAGCGGCAGGAGTGATCTCCTGCAACAGTGGTTGGCTGCTCGGAGCCTCTGGTGCGTGTGGACTGAGTCGAGGCAGTTCGGGCTGCGGGTTCTGCTTGTCCTCGCTGTCAAAGAAATGATCCCCAACGATATCGTTATCTGCCTGGAGCAGGCGGATCTCCTCCTCAAGATCATCATCTTCGTCCATGTTATAGTCGTCAGCGTCGACCTCGGCGTCGTTTTCGGTGGCATAGTCTTGATCGGGCTCGTCGTCTTCCTCCACGTCAGCATTGTGTGCATTGGAGCGGAAATGGTCGCGCTTTTCGGATGCTCTCGGCGTGTCTTCAAGAAGCATGTGCTCTAGGACCTCATCTTCTACTGAGCTGTCATCCTCCTCCTCCGCGTCGTACACGATGCGCGCTCTTTTTCGTGGTGGTAGTTCGAGCTGCGGTCGGCCAGGCGGAGCTCTTCGACGACCAAAGGGGATACCATCTACTAAATGGATGCCGTCGCTCGAGATTTGATGTCGCCCGCTAGCGCGGCGCTGTTTTATGTCCTCAGTGGAGAGCGAACGGATGAGGACTTGGTCGTCCTGCTTGAAGACCTTGCGCAAAGGTTGGAAGTGCAAACACTCGAAACTGTTGCCCGAGCCATCTGAGAGTTCCACAGCATAGTCCTCGAGTCCCCACTGACCGCTTTCTAGAACCACGACATCGTTGATTTGTGCGAGTAACGCGGCGATCGTCAGGTCGTCGGATGCAGTGCACGGCCAAACAAGCTTGACCTCGGGCACGCCATGTCGCCGGATTGCGAGTCGTAGACGGATGTCCATAGTATTGTGATTGTGGCTACCGCATCGCTAGTCGCCCATCGATGGGTGATGAACTTGACACTTCGAAGTCAAAGCAATGGTGGAATGAAGCGAGAAATCCGGCCGAGGTGTGAATGATGGTGACGATTTTCTCAACGGAACCGCGTTTCAAACGCGCGACGATAGTGGGACCACTGCTGAACATGGGTTTGCTCCTGTAACCACACCCAGTGTCGATGGGCCAACACAGCAGGTAAATAGGACGTGATTACCTTATCTAAAATGATGCTGAGACTGAGATTTAAACTTGCTCTGCATACTACAGTTCATTTTGGGTTTGTGGCAGGGCAAAAACAAGCTGTCCTTTCTGACTCAAACGCACGAGCAAACCAGGCCAGCCTACAAGGTACTCTTGCAACACTTTAAAGTCTGAAATGTTCTGCTGTCGCGAACGTATTCACGAGATTTATTGTTGTGTAGGCCATGGTGAACGCATCTATGTGTGGGAAAATGGCAGAATATCCTCAAGTCCGACCACTCCGACTCAGATGAGCTTCTAAGATCCGAATGAACTACTATATCCCACCTTGACTTAGCATATGCCCCATCTTCTCGATCTGTTCGCTGTTAGTAGACGATCTTCATGACTGGGTCGACCAGACTCACCTTGGCCTTCATGTAACCCTCAATCTCCTGGCTCCTAATGCCCCCGCGCCCTTTCCATGAAAGTGGCACCATTGGCACTCGCTCTTTGACAACCACTTCCCTGTTGGGACCCTCAACCGCACGGATCTTCTCGGGATTGTTGGTCAAGAGGCGTATCTCATCCAAACCCAAGTCCTGAAGAATCGCCGTGGCCAATCCGTAGCTTCGGGCATCGGCTGGGTGGCGCAGTAATAGATTCGCCTCGACTGTATCTGAGCCCAAGTCTTGTAGGTTGTATGCCTTGAGCTTCTCGCCGAGACCGATTCCACGGCCCTCCTGTCGTAGATAGACAATGACACCGCCAGCTGAATTGCCCGGTAGGCTCATGAGCCGGGCGGCCTCGTCTAGCTGTTCCCCACAATCGCACCTCGCGGACCAAGCTGTCTCGCCAGTATAACATTCCGAATGTATGCGCACCAGCGGGGTATCTTTTGATGCTGGCTGACCTTCCTTTTGCGGATCCTCAGAACTTGTCGTTCGTCCTGGATATAGCTTGCCCGTATACGCTCCGCGCATCATCCGATCCCATTCTGTCTCGTTCGGCCTCGGCGCATCCAGAGTCTTGCTGCGGATAGCATCACCAAAGACGATCGCCAGATGTTCCTTGCTGTCCACGCTGTTCTTGTATACGTGGAGGAAGAACTCGCCGTTGTTGACAGTCGGAATTCGAGCGCGGACTTCGCATTCGACCGTTGGCAGCGACTCGACCAATTTGGGCTTTTTTGAGCCGCATCCCCCCGAGGGCGTACTGCTGTCTACAGGAACGCCTCGCGGACCGAGTGCGCTCGGTGTCTGTGTCCCAGGCGTCGCTGGCGGGGTGAAGGCAGGTGAAAGCAGGGACGGCGGGGGAAGTTGTCCCTCTTGGCTGAGTTGGCCGGCGCGTGTCGCAGGCGCATCGATCGAAAAGTCGTCCACATGCTGACGCACATCGCCGCCGGCTGCTGCGGCTTTTGGCGAGTAGAAAGGTGGCAGCTTCTCGTCGCCAGCGGACATGGTCGCGAATTGGCCACTCAACGTCGCCAACCAGAGGAATGACAATGCGAGTGAATGCTAGGGAGGATGGGAGAAGAAAGGCCGAAGGGGTGTTCTAAGAATTTGAAGTGACAATGATGCTCAGCAACATTGGAGCAAACCTAAAGATACCGAGGAACCTAGTCGACGGCAATCGAATTAGTCATTGTTCAATCATCCGCGCTGCGCGCTTGGTCATTCAGTGGGTTGCGAAGCCGCTGAAGCGGGGGATTCGGGGGGTTATCGAGCATAGCCGATCTCGGGCACCTTCAACCTTCATGTGGTGCGCTTTCCGCCGCCGGAATTCAGGGTCGGCAAGAACGCTAGAGTACTCGAGGGGAAGTGGGGATTTGACCACGTGCAGGCAAGCCGCACCGCTGCAGCCCGCCTTCCCTCCCGTACAGCTCAGTCAGGGGCACATCATTACCGCCATCAAACATGGCTTCGCCTCACCAACTTGTGTGCCCTGTTCGCACGGCTGGCTGCATACGTTTCTCGCGACTGTATCGGACCGCTTTTCATACCGACGCCGGAGATATTGCACAATGCATTTTCAGAGGGGGAAATGTACATGTATCGAGACGCGCGGTGACGCCGAGTTCTCATCAATTCATGAATTGTAGTCCAAGTCTAATTCTATATTCTATCAAGCGGTAACCTTCGCGCCGGTGCCGTAGGCAATGTCGACAACCTTGAGGCCCGAGTCGGAGTTGATGCCCAGCACCGAGCTGCCGCAGTTGGGCTGGTTGCTCACAGCGAGGTCGAGCTTGCACTCGACATCGTCGCCGTACTTGCACTGGGAATCTTGGATGTTGATGAGCTTGTGGTTCTTGCCAACCCAAGTATTAGCGCCGCAGGAGGTGACAAAGTTGATGCTGTTGGCGGCGGAAAAATCCAGCTTTCCATCGTCCATGAGATCGGCGCACTCCTCGTTGTCGACGAACTCGTATTCCATCTCGACGCCGCCGCCCATCTGAGGGTCTTCGGTTGCAGATTTGCCAGAGACGAGGTAGTTCCAGGCGTCGTATGAGATGTCATGAGCACCGCCGGACTGATCGATCTTGAGCAAGTGGCGCGAACGGCCGTCCTTGGTGACCTTGACGCAGATCTTGTCACAGTCTGGCGAGCTGGGCCAGTATGCGACGTTGTTGGTGTCGATCTTGCAGCCCAGGACACCAATGGAGGATGAGTACTTGTCGTGAGGGGTGATGCTCGCAGACTGGCTGCGGCGGGCAGGGATGGCGCCAACCGTGGCAGCAGCCGAGGCGGCGATGAGCGTGGTGAAGAAGTTGAACATTCTGGCGGTTGTGAAAGAAAGATTGGTGTGTTCTTGTTGTGGTGCTTCTGAGTTGCTCTGTATGGCACTAGAGAGAGGGTATGTGTGCAGTTGTTTCTGTGACAAGAAAGATCACTTATAAAATATCTCAGGAACCAGCCGAGGGAGAGGCAAGAATTGGCAAGAGATTGCAAAGAAGGGATATGCTGTTGATGCAAGAGAAGAAAGAAACGACTCCTTTCTACCATCAGGACGACCGACCTTTTATACACATGGAAGACCCAATTCCCCAGCTCGGCAACCCGCAAACTCTTCAAACATCCCCCTGCGCCGGTCCTCACTTGGGCAAACCTCTATGGGTCCTGCGCTTTCTCCATTTGTCTTAGGAATCAACACCAGGTACATAGACAATGTCGTCGTGGAGAGGGTCGACACGTTTACCAATGCCACGAGCCGCTGTGTGGGTCCCAGAGAAAAGTGTTCACGCACACAGCCAACGGTCGAAGCACGGAGATCAAGGAGAGAAGTCTTCCTTTTCCGAGAAAATGGCGCATTATGGACAAGAAGAGTTTAGATCCAGGCACCATCACTAGCACCTGTTGGAGGTGGTGTGCCCGGGCCCTTCGTCGGTATACTCCCGAATAAGGTCGCATGGATCGATCGCCAGGTACCGTGCTCTGGCACGTGCGGGCTTCTTGTCTATGCGTGCCTGATGGAGGGGCAGCGAAGGAAAGGCTGACGATCCCGTCGCGTGGCTGCGCGGGAGGCTCACGCCAAGGGGATTACTGCGGGTGGAAAGCCTGGTGATATATGCACGAAGCCGTGCTTCTTAGACCGATACTCTTCCATGGGCGGTCTCACCCACCTACTTTCTGATGTGGACATGGCTTCAACAGTGTACTGTTCTTCGCCGTGTCTCCTCCAGTTGGACGACTCGATGGTGAAGGGGGCACCGCGCGATCCTGTGCCATCCGACTCAAGGGACTGAGTGACAAAGGACAGGCAACGATTCAGGACAAGCGATTGTACGGCTGCACTCACGGTGGAGGGCATTAGACTTTCTACTTGAGCGCACCAGTAGACGCCACCCAGGGGCACATTGCCTTTTCGGTTCTCCTCTGGAATGCTGGCGTCTGGCTTTTCCCCGTTACTTGCCCAAATGCGACTAGACCAGCCCGACTAACATTCCAGCCGGAACCGTGGATGCTACCTGTTGCCGAAGCATTTTAGCGGTTGTAATGACCCGGTTGGCGTGCAAAATTGGTACTTTTCAGAGCCTGACTCCAAATATATTGTACGGCTATTGCGCAACCTAGCCACCTTGCTCGCGAGTACCATCAATGAATCCGCGCTGTCGGAACATGATTCCAGAATTGGAGCCGTCGACCTCAACCATCGGGGGCATGCAAGAAGTACGGGCGCTCGGGGTTTCCTAGAGCCAATGAACAGGGCGGAGGGCGTCACCCTCACTTGGCCGGAGTTGCAAAAAGCGTGAGGTGTCTCCCGGAAGTACAGACTGTATGTGTGCTTGCACCGCATCGTGCGGGGAGACATTTGTCGTGCTACAATGCCACGTTGCGCTTCTGAAACTCATGCAACTGCGCAAGGGCTTGTTCCTTGTGGTCCGTCATGGTCAAGGCGAAGATGAACCCCCATCGTGGCGCCAAACCGCCTGCCAGCTTGGTTGCATCAAGTCCCAACTCTCTGTCCTGCCCGCACATGATGGCCCCGGTTCCTCTGCTCGAGTCTATCACTTGTTGGGCACGCGGCCTTCTCACCGCATCAAAGGCCTTGAATGCGGCCGCCACGTCTGATGCACTACGCACTTTGCTGAACAAGGCGCCTAGTATCATGGCGTCCTCGAGAGCCTGGCCGGCGCCAGCACCCTGCCATGGGGTCGTGGCATGAGCTGCGTCGCCAACAATGCAGACATGGTGATTGGCGTAGGTGGGCGTCGATTTGTGCTCCCACTGCGACCAAGCTACGGGCTCTGCATCGTCAAGAAGTAGCTGTTTCACCCCCTGGGCCACGGGGATGTCGGGCCAGTTCTTGAACTTGGCGTCGAGAACATCCTTTGTCAAAGGCCGTTTTCGGTCTGTGGGATGGTCGTGCTCAACGGCTGACACGACGACTTGCACGAGCGAGCGGTCTTCCAGGACATCGTGCATGATGAAGGCGCCGTCGCCCGCCCACCCATATTGTCGATCCAGCTCAAAGAGATCCTCACCCAGGGTTGCTTTCGCTTTGTCTAAGGAGACCAGCGCCCTCGCATCCCAAAAACCCCCGGGCGTTGCTGCGTGCTTGAACGCCTCTTCCCCAAGCACATGTGACCGCACTGAGCTGGAAATGCCGTCTGCGCCAATGACAGCGTCGAAGGTGAGCACTGTGCCGTCGGCGAATGACACTGCTACACTGCCGTCGTCTTGAGGGGTGATTACATCAAGCCTCTTGTGCGGGTGTAAGACATGTTGAGGCAAGGGCGCCAGAAGCTCGCGCAACAGAGAAGCACGGTGGAAGATGATGCCTGGATCCATGCCTGCTCCTGCGAGGTCAAAGACCAGCGTTCCCGCTTGCTCACCCGAGCCCTGGAAATTTTCAGCTCAAGACCTCACTATTCGTTTCGAACCGACCTACGACCATGATCCTCGATGAGTTCATCGGCACGCCGCCTGCTTTTCTCATCGAGTCCTCGGCCGATGGGGTGATCTCTCTCAACGCCAGTTGAGCGTTGGCAGATAGGCCTATGGCCGCTCCCCTCTCGGAGAACTCTGGTGCTGACTCGAAAACGTGCACATCGAGATGAGGCGATTGAATGAGAGCATTCGCAACGCCTGCACCGGCGAGGCCGCCACCGATGATGCCAACTCTTAGACGACGAGTGTCGCTTGCCATGTTGAGCTACTGTCGATGAAACTACAGTCCTTGTATGGTGTTGCTGGTAAGAACAGTACGTGGACAGCCAAGGATTCGTAGCATCCAGCGGGGCCCTCTGTTTAGAACATGCTGCTAGGATGCACTTCCTCCGGTTGGTGACGCAAGGAGAGTCCAGGATCTGCAGCAACTAGAGCAATGCGCCTTCGAGGCGCCTCCAGCGAGGCAACGTTGCGGAAAATTACGTGACCAAGCGGCCGCATCGTACGTGGTACTTGCGCATGATTTCCTCAATGACTATGGTATCTCTATACGCTCAAAACATAAAAGCGATACTCCGACCACTCGCGCCACATACAAAATCTCAATACACATGATACACTCCCCTCATTTACGTCCATCAAACAGGAGAGCCGCGAAAGTCCCTCGTATGGTGCGAGGGAGGTGGCGGCGCGAGGAACTCCTCATTGACATCGGGCACGCTGGGACCTCGCGTCCTCCAGCTCGAGTCAGTGGTGTACGAGTCAAAGTTCCTTGGATCCTGTTCAAGGCGGTTGCTTCCGCGTGAAAGATTGGAGATCAACGACGGATGCGCCGAAAGCGCTGAGACGGCCGACACGGCATCGTCCATGATGGGCTCACGGCTGTTGCGTGAGCTGTCCTCAACGTGGGCACGGCCTTGCAAGCCGATATCACTGTCGTCACTGTGGCTATCCAAATCATGGAGGCTGTGCTTCATGTCCGCTGTGCGCTCGTAATGTGCGCCGCTGTTGGTAGTGTGCAGAGACTTGCGCGAAGACGATGAACTGAAGATGGTGCGAGACTTGCCAACAACGTTGTTGACGGACGACGCCTTGAAGATGAATGACAGACTGGGCAAACAAGCGGCGACAATGGCGACGCCAGACTCGACGAGGCCCCAGTAGAGATAGAGGGTGATGGTCAGGATCTCGTCCTGCGTGGGGTCGAATCCCACGTTGACGGCCTGGGCTGTGAAGTACAGGCGGCAGAATGAGGCACCCAGGGTACTATGCAAGCGTCAGTATCACATGGCGCAGCAGGACACGAAGAGCCATGAGGTATTGACACGTACCCTGCTCCCAGCAAGAAGATGGCACTCGTCGCCAGCTTTTTGGCTCTCGGAAGTTGGAGCTTCCAGATCAGGGGAACCGGAATGAGGATGATGATGGCGTCGGTAATGAAGTCGGAGATGCAGAAAGCGTAGATCATCAGCATGGTGTCGACACACTTCTCGACCATGGCCATAGTCGGGCCCCAGATGACTCCAAAGTCTGTGCCGCACTCAAAAATGGTGCCGAAGCAGAAGGCGATGGACCACAAGACCATGAGCACCATCAAGGCCCTGAGGAACCATGAGATTGCTCCTTTGCGATCCACCGCGAAGATGCGATGGTAGAAGAACAGAAAGGAAAGCTTGCTGCACCCCAAGGCGAGGGGTAGCATGATCGTGAAGCCGTATTCAGTCTTTATTACTGCGCGTTAGTGATCTTGCGCCTTACGAAAGTAGCAGCGGGGGGAACTGCTTACCCGCGCCATCAGCGAGGTCTGGTCTGTTGCCAGCGTCAAGGGGTTCGCCGTGAAGCCCTGTGGGAATTCCAGTCTGTACGCGACGGCTCCCTTTCGCACGCCGTGGATCACCAACACACTCATGGCGATAGTCAACGCCGTGGCCGGCACGAGTAGCCAGTCGTCCATCCTGAATGTGCTCCCCTGCCACCTCCTTATGCCGAATCGAAGAGCGACGCATACTGGGGTGAGGACGATGAAAGCTATGCTCGCTGCGAGCAGGTGTTCTGGCTTCTGATAGTACGCTTGGGGAGCGAGGGCCACCAACTCGGGCGGCGTAGGCCCGCCTCCTGGCTGCTGCGGCTGGCTCATGGTCGGAAGATGGACGAATGTGAGGGTTCGACGATGACCATAATCTTTGAATTCGACGCGTGATCCAAATGCCCCCCAACCAATGAGAGGGCTTCTCGGTCAACGAGAGTGAAAGTACAATGCTTTGCAATGCTAGACTCGACCAAAGGAAAGGGGTAGCGTGTCGTTTCACGAAAGTATGAGAATAGAACAGCGGCACAGCTCGACTAGTTGCAGAAAATGGCAGGTCGCAATTACAAAAGGCAGGCACACATACATGTACGGCAAGGGACGTACGTATACGCGCAGAATGTCGACGCTCGCTGGATAGAAGCCGCCTCCGCCTGCGTGCTCGCTTGACGTGAGGGTGGCGGGTGGACGGCAGAAGAACCCAGCAGAGGAGTGTCCGAGCGGCTAAGGATTCCAGGTACCTGAGGATCGTCACAGGAGGGCTCAGGTTGAGGATCTGACGGAGAAGGCGCGCCTGGCTGACCACTTGTGGCTCCGAGTCTGGTCATGCACTGCAACGTGCAACATTCCCGGCCGAAGTTCCTATTCAGGAATGTCTCGAGGCTGGTTAGCCCGTCTTCGAGGAGCTCAAGAGGGTGTGGTGCAGTAGTACGCGAATCTACCACTGATCATCCCGCGACAAAATGGCATTTCAAGAACAACGACCGCCCTGCTGGGCATGAAATACGACGGCAATGACGTCGTAGTGAAGGATGGAGACACCTTCGCGCAGATCAACAATGCACCTGCATACTGCAGTCTGCACCCCACTCTCAAGTCGCTCAGCGTCGACGCTTGAAGTTGTTGACTATCAAATGTTCCGACGCTCAACGGACGGAGTATGATTGACAGATCGACTCACGGACAGGCCGACTGGGGACGATCTTTGGTCGGTCAAGGCCGCCTAGATTGTCATCAAACGCTCAGCTCGCCCGCCTCAATCACCTAAATGGCTGGAATCAACGTTTATTGCCGTGATCAGTCCTGAGTTAGAGCCTTGTCTGGAGTTGAACGTGTGATCTGCGCAAGAGCACCCATCCAGGGTTGGGTACCATCCTTCGCTCACGTTCACGTCCGCATGCCAATTACGACGGCGGATGCAATTGGTAAGATACCCAACATTGCAGCTGAGGACGCTCAAAATAAGTATTCACTACGGCATTATCGTGATACCTATCTCTCTAGAAGAGACGCCCCTCTTCCTTGACACCTTCAGGCGACGGACGCACAGAGTTCTTGAACAGGCGTGCTTCTCCCTTGGCGCCCTGAGCCGAAGGTCTGTCTCGCCTAAAGAGACGGGCCTCCTCATGGACGCCCTCTGCCGAGGGCCGAACGTCGTTCTTGAACAGACGAGCTTCTTCTTGCACACCCGCAGAGTGGGGTCTCTCAGCATCACGCCTGAACAGACGTGCCTCTTCTTGGACACCTTGAGCTGAAGGTCGGCCTGCTAACATTGTGTGTTAGTATCAAGTGTGTGGGAACGCAAATGAAGTAACAAAACGTACCATTCGGGACAGGGCTGGCAAAGGCAGAGCCCAGCAGGGCCGTGAAGGCGGCAATCTTGATGAGCTGCATGGTACCTTGTGAATTGGCAATAGTAAGACAACTGTCGTAATGTGGATTAGAGGCTTGTGTGATCTCTGATGAAGAAGAACTCTCACGTCTTGGGCACTCACAGTCCGTTCATGTTTCTTATATGCTGTTTACCCAGTCTGTCATGAGACAGAGCTCCTCCAGGCTGGTAGCAAGACCACGCCACGCGCGGGGTCGTTGATATCACACCTCGCTCGCTTGCCTTTTGGAAGCGGTTCTGTTGCCTCATCATTCCATCAGATGCTCATCGACTACCGAGGGAGACCCTGCATGCATGAGCAAGCTGACGATGGTGTTGTCGATCACGGGCGGGGCGACCCCCGGTGGCACCCGCAGAAGGGTGGTATGATGTTGTGCTCTTATCTACGACCGTAGACTATACTCCGGTGTTGAGCTGGGTCGTTCTCTGGTTCAGCAGATACTGTGCTCTAGTCAAAACTCTCCATCCTCCACTCTCGCCCTATCTTTGACGAGAAGCATTGCACACTGACACGGCATTTTGTGAACATGAATCACTACGAGGATCCCTCAAGAAGCGCGAGCCTCAGCGACGATGAAGAGTCTCAACGCCTCATAGAGAAGCACGATCAACCGGTGAAGCTTCACAGCCGCGGGTCTTCAATCGTGACCTGCAAAAGAGTCTACATGGTCCTACTTCATGGCATAGTTTTGATCTTGGTCGTGACGCTCTGCATGGGCATCGATTCTAAGGGGCCAAACCCACGACCGACAAAAGGCGCATCATGGTGTAATCTTGCCGGTCTGTATCGACTTCGCAGAGCCTGAAGCTGATGGATATAAAACAGCACCAGTCCGAGAGCACATTGAGCATGAACTCAATGCTGGACACGCAACGGATCACCACAAATACAGCCAATACTCAGGTTGGCCGTCACCAAAGCAAGACGAGGCGTGGGATGACTTGATGAGACGTAAGACTCTGCTTCCCTAGGATTATGATTTTAATGCAACTGCGCTGAAATCACCCAGCTGTCTACTTCAATGCTACCCGGGACGAGTTAGAAAAGGCCGGCGAGTCATTCGAGAACATTGCTGAGCTCGAAGGCGGAGGCTACCCAGCAAGTCTGGGAGTGTACCACGAACTTCACTGCCTGGTACGTTTAAAAAAGCACCAGGGCACTGGGATGGTTGCCTGCTAACAATGACAGCGTCAACTCCGCTTCTGGTTGTGGAAAGATCGATACTACGGTGATCTCACAGAGGCGCAAGACGACTACTTCCATGGTCACCTGGGTGAGATCAAGACCAACGTGAACATCTTTCAGAGCTGTGCTGACAGATTCAGATCATTGCATCGAGACATTGCGTTTGACTATCATGTGCAACGGCAACCCGGCCGTGTACTCTTTCTACTGGGACGACCCAGCGGCTGACCACCCTGCCACGCAGTCCAACTCGGAGAATGTGTGCGCCAAGTGGGAGTCAATCGAAAACTGGGGTTACGAGAGGAGGATTTCGACGGACCCTGACATTGTCCGACCTTCCATGGACGAGATGATGCAGTAGTTTGATACTGGAGAGGTCCTAATGTACTGTATCATAGTAACACAAATGCCCGAGATGTCCATCACCTAGTGCGCAAGATTGGCAGGTCTAGCGGAGGCACAAGTCGCGGACAAAGAGACAGAATGGACAAGGTGTTGCGGCAGAGTTTCTTTATGTCGTGGAGATCTTTTTTTCACTTTGTTTGGCGGATGATCTGAGGCCTCTTCTCAATGTTGATCCACATATCCTCAAAGTAGCTGACGCCCCCCTTGACCAGATACCTGGCAGGGTTCTTCTCGTTCTTGACCCTCGGCTTGAACGATCGGAGGAAGACTAGCGGGCCCTTGAAAAGCTCCATCATGGCGATATCCTTGCCGAGGCAGGACCGCGCACCGTAGCCGAAGCCCATGTTGTACTTCTGGAACTCCTTCGCCTTCTCCTCGTCCAGCCACCGCGCGGGACGGAACTCCTCCGCGTCGGGCCCGTAGATCTGCGGGTCCCGGTGAACGAGCCACGGGTTGCACGTCACCTCGGTGCCCTCGGGGACAAACTGGCCAAAGAGCTCGAGACCGCCCTTGGGGGCGAGGCGGGGGAAGATGTTGGGCGCCGACGGGTTCAGTCGCATGCTCTCGCGGACGCAGGCGACGTAGTACGGGCAGTGGGCGAGCACCTCGTCATACTGCGGCATCTCCGACAGCTTGCCCTCTTTGGTGACCTGGTCAATCTCGGCCATGAGCTTCTCGTACACGTCGGGGTTGGAGAAGAGATGCAGCATCAGCGCCTGGAACGATGTGCCGGTCGTGTCTGCGCCGGCGAGGAGGACGAGGAGGATCTCGGCCTTGAGGTAGTTGATGTCGAGAGGCTCGCCCTTGTCGTCGCGCGCATCTATGAATGCCTGCAGGAGGTCGACACGGCCGTCCGTCGTGCCGGCCTCAATGTCCTTGAAGCGCTGCGCGATGAGTCGGTCACGGAAGCGCATCAGCGTGCCGATGCCAGAGTCCTGCTCGGGGCTGGCGACCAGGTACTTGCCCATGAACGTGCTCTTGACCCAGTTGGTGAAAGGGTACAGTCGCGCCATGATGCCAAAGGGCACCAGACCATCGTGGAAACCCTGGATCAGGCCCTCGACGTCCTTGCCCTGCTCGATGAAGCCAAAGGGCGCGCCAAAGCCGACGGACGAGATGACATCGTACGCCATGTAGACTGCCCAGGGCGCAAAGTCAAAGTCCTCGCGCGACTCGGCAAACTTGCGGCCGAGAGTCTCGAGCCAGCGCTGAATCTGCTCGTCGACAAGAGGCTCCATGCGCTTGATGTTGGTGAAGCTGTACGGCGCCGCGACGAGCTTGCGGAACTTGGCGTGCAGACTCGCCTCCTGCATGTTGAACAGCGACTCATCCTTGCCGAAGCTACCGGTGATGTAGTGCTGGGACTTGCTGGCCTGGCGGCTGTAGATCAAGGGGAGCTTGGTGGCATCGTTGACTAGGAGCATGGTCGGGGTGATGCGGATGACGGGGCCTTTTCCTCGCTGTCAGTTGCTGCTCTCTTCATGGTCGTTTCCATGGTGGTACTACTCACCATGCTCCGCGTGAAGCTTCTGGTACGTGGCGCACTCATCTTCCTGGACATTGTGCCATGCGATCCAGAGCCGCGTGACACTGGCCCAGAACGAGCCCGGGAACTTTGCCAACGGATGGAAGAACCTGTAGTAGACAACCTGGTAGAGGATGGTGCAGGCCACGTAGCCGATGCAGGCTAGGGCCAAGTTCTGGACACTAAGGATTGCCATGTTGTCTCGGCTGACTCAACTGAGTCACACAGCAGTCACACAGCTGGTCGAGTGAGAGAACAGCACAAGTTTCGCCGGTGAACAAAAGTGAGTGCAACAAGATGTTGTGTGGTCCCTTTAGGTTCTGACGCAGCATGCACGTGCTCTCTCTCATAAGGAAAGCCAGCCAGTCCCTTGGCCCAACCCCCGGGGCAAAGTCTTTGCGTGGAAGTCTCCATAACTGCTATCGCCGACACGCAATGGCCAGGGTACTGCTGCTGGAGGCAAGGTTGGTGGTATTCCTGGTAGAGGCGAGGAGCCTCCGCATCCGGTGCATACTGTTCAAGATCCTGTTGGTGCAGAGCCAACCAGCGGCGGAGCCTCTCACGACATGGACAGAACTACTTGTGCTCCACTTCTGGTTGCTTGTCGCGTTTCCCCTCTTGGCCTGGCGGATACGGCCGCCCCTTGGAAGAATCAATGCGAGCAACAAGCCGTGCTTTTTTGCATGATGGCGTCGCGCACGTCAAGGCGTCGCTCGCAGGTTCATCATTCTGGATCTTGTCATTTCTCTTTCCATCGGCCTCGGGTCGGATCACGCCCCAGCGGCCTCCTCTCGCTTACCCGTAACCGGGGAGGTCCAGCTGCTCCTCTCCGGAAGGTGTTCGACCAACGAACGGCCTGAAGATGGTTGCCATTGTGACCTGTCACTTATCAACACCGCGTGCGGAGCCTGATATGCATCCCCGTGCCCCCCGTGCCCCCCGTAGCCCCGGCACGGCTGGACTGGGCACCGCAAACGAGCGACCGTTGGGATCCGCCACGTCTTTATTAGGTACCCATAAATTACTCAACTTTGAAGAGAAAAGATGTCGCAGATGCTCCGATGCCAATCACGGACTGGCAGAAGATGCTCCCGCGCCTTGAAGATTTCAGTCTCCACCGCGGTATGTTGCAGATTCTGCATCTTCTCGTCACGTACGGAGTATGGATGGGTCCTCAAAGTCCCTCATTCGACGCGAGCGTTTCTCAGCGGGGCGCGGGATGTTATAGCCGCGCAAGTGATTTGTGGATGCATACGCACTACGTACAGATACTGATCTCATTCGCTTCACTTTGGCGTTCTCTGAGATCTATCTGGACAGACTGACGAACGCACGCACCGGGCCGTGCTCGACACTAGCTGCACGTGCTCTCGCCGAACTCCCTGTCCTCGAACAATCGCAAACATGTGAGGCTGAACGGCCCCTAATGATAAACTTCAGTGCTATCGAGAGGATCGTCGCGGTGCCCGTCGCTCCGTGCCGTTCGCTAGTTCGCAAACTACACAGGGGGGGGGGGGGGGGGTCAAGCCATTTCAAGGCTAATGCCGCTAAAACTAAGAGACGCCCGCAGTTTAGTCTGGTTCCAGAATGCCCTCCGGCCTCAATCTCGAGTCGTAATATTCTGAACTACGTGCCAAAGATAGAGTCTTGGCACAATCACCCATAGTCTAACTAAGGGTGCTTTCGACGCGCGCTGTTTGGAAGAGAGACATGCACCATCTTGATGGCGGCTGTTGGCGCTAGGATCTACGCCATAGTTGGCCACGACTCGAGAATGCGACCATGCGTGTTCTCATAGCATTGATCGGCGTGTCTATTGACCCTTTAGGAAACCAGTTCGAGGGGGCCAGTGTCGCAGTAGCGTGGGGCCCAGGCACGAGCCCACGACTTGAAGATTCGGAACGGGCAAATCATCACGCACTACTCGCAAGCGTGTCTTCACATTGATAGCCAGATACACGCCGTGGCGTAAGACCTTGGCACGGTACGTAGTGGGAAACAAACACTATCCGTCTGGACGTGAGGGCTTATGATAGGGACCATATTGGTGTTTCTGACATGTACTTCTCGAGACCCGGACATTTAAATCCTCCACGTTCCACCTCGGATGAGTACCGGAGTACGATGAGAGAAGAAGGAAATTGAATCGAGCCACCATCGACTTAGCCGCATCAAGAAAAGTGACAGGTCGATACCTGTTGGCCCTCTCTCGTCCAACCATTACATATCATGTGTCAGCTCATTAAGGCCATCCACAGCCAGCATCAAGGCCAAGCTAGGTGAGAGGCCTCGGCCGCAGCTGAGAGCCTGGACAGCCAAGACGGGGTGCCACATTTCGTGCCGCGTCGTGCTTGTCAGGTTGTCATTTCGACGGGCTCCAGTCTTCGGACCCGAAAAGGACTGATCGACAGCCTGTACTCTGTATGGATACTGTAGACGGCTGGTGGGACCTGTCGAACCGGTAGCTGGGTTCCTGGGGGACGTCGGCCGTCCGCAGGCTTGACAGCGCAAAAGGCAAAATGCCTGCCGACGTAGCGTTCAGGGGACAAGGCTGCAAATTCAATCATCATAAAGATGTGACACGTCTCTTGGCCACCCGGAGACGACGTGTGCTCCTTTTTGACCCAAACCACTCGTTCTTAAGCTTTCGTCGGTGTTGTTGTCGTTGTCGTTGTCGTTGTCGTTGTTGCTACCAGACTGTCATCAGTGCAGTTGCTCGCCTGCCCTCGTCGATTCCACCAGCGCGCCGGACACAATGGCGGAAACCCAGGGCCCTCTCTTGAACTCGGTGGCGATTGCGTTTGGCGTCATCACTTTCATCGCCATCAGTCTGCGGTTGTGGTCGAGATTCTTCATCGTGCAATCAGTTGGATCCGACGACTGGCTGATATGCGTTGCTGCTGTACGTGCATATCGCACAAAACTCTGCTGGTCGGTCCATCATCTAACAAGCTCGCAGTTACTGTCCTGGGCTTTCATAGGCTGTACCCTCGCTGCCGTCCAACATGGCATGGGCCAGCACTACGAGGCATTTGACAAGCTCGGTACCGAGAACAAGATTGCCTACTTCCAGATTGTGTGGCTGTCGTCCATCTTCTACAACGCTTGCCTCGGCTTCATCAAGATCTCCGTTCTTGCCTTGTACAAGCGTCTTGGGGATGCACGACTGACCAAGCTGTCCATGATCATGATTGGCGTCATCTGTTGCCAGGCTGGTGGGAATGTCCTGGCCTGCATCTTCCAGTGCGCGCCTGTCCAGGCAGCGTACGACGTGACCATCCTGCCAGAAGACAAAAAGTGCATCAACATCAACGCCTTCTACCTCGCGAATGCGGCCGTCAACATCCTCACGGATGTGATGACATATACCTTGCCGATTCCCTTGATCATCAAGATCCAGCTACCTCGACGTCAAAAGATTGGGCTCGGGGTGATCCTCAGCCTTGGACTCTTGTGAGTGTCCTGCTATTCGTTGATTCATCCAGGGTGAAGCTTACATTGTCACAGTGCCTGCGTCTCTTCCATTGTGCGCATCACCTACGTTCCTCCGATGCTGACATCCTCGGACGCGACCTGGGTCATTTCGGGGGCCATGTACTGGTCCGTCATTGAGACCAACATCGGCATCCTGGCGTCCTCGATCCCGTCCTTCAAGACTATCGCCACGCGGTACGCGCCCAAGCTGCTCGGGAGCTCGCACAAGTCCGGCAGCAAGCGATCCGGCTTCAAGATGATGAACATGGGCTCGAGCGGCAAGCCTGGCTATGCAGGGGGGACCATCAACGAACACGGCGTTGCAAAATCTCGCATGGAGACGACCGTGGGACGAGGGTTTTCGGGCGAGAACAGCGAGGAGGACTTGGTAGACTACACGGGGCACATCAAGGTCACTACCGAAATCACCCACACGGGGGACGACCTCGGTAGGCGGGAGTAAGAGAGACTTATTTGGAATGGCGTTAGTGTCTGCTTGATAGAAGTATCGGAATCTGTTGTAATTTTTGATCATTGCGTGCTTTGGAGCGAAGGGTTTCCTTCAATCGAGGCTGATACTCCTCACTCGTGCTGCTATCAAGAATGGTCGATGAGATGTAGTAATCGTAACGCGAGTCAGGGAGTACAGCGTGACTAGTTTAGAGCAGTTCTCGATTAAGTTCAATGGGGGAACTCTTGTCCTGTCGAATGCGTGGGGAGGAGTCTTGAGGACTGAAGCACAGGCCCCACCCAAGTGAAGGCATCTCCATATCGATAAGGAAAAATTTCCCAGTCTCAGCAAACAAGCATCTTCACCTCCCGCTCACGATACAATTAATCGCCATCTCGAGAACAGACCCCCAAGCGCAGCCATGGCGCCAATCGATACCCCAGAGGCTGTGAAGCCCAAGAAGGAGAAGAAGGACAAGTCGGCCAAGAAGCGCGCTCGGGAGGAAGAGGCTGCCACCGAGGAACGCAAACACAAGAAATCCAAGAGCGTCGCTGCCACCAGCCCCGAACCCGAACAAGCAGCCGATCCGACTGAGCACCAAGTCAAAGACCAGAAGAAACAAAAGAAGAAGAAGAAGGACAAGACTGCCGTCGTGGAAGATGCACCCATTGCCGAGACCCCTGTAGTGGAGGACGAGGCGGCGCAAAGGAAGCGAGAGAAGAAGGAGAAGAGGCGCAAGCAGAAGCTCGAGGAGGCCAATGGCAGTTCCAATGCCGCACCGCCCGCTACCGAAAACGACGCTCATCAGCCAGAAGACGGAGTCCAAATTGAGAAGAAGGACAAGAAGAAAAAGAAGGACAAGAAGCACGCCGCGCCCATGGTCGAGCAGCCGCAGCAGCAGCAGCAGCAGCAGCAAGAAGCTGCCGACCCCGACGCCATGCAAGTCGACAGCGACTCCAAGCCAGCCTCCAAGCCCAACAAGATCCACCAACCGTCCGACATTCCCTCGCATCCGCAGTTCCCCTTCTACCAGCAGACCGTCTCCCTCTACGAACCCATCTTCCCCAATGGCTGGGCCAAGCCGATCACAGGCTGCGAGTCGCAGCACCTCCGGCACCTGCGCAACCGGTACGTGCCCTCGCTCCGCGGGGTCCTGCTCGACTACGAGAACATCACTTTGGGCGAGGTGCCCGGACGCAGAGGGGCGGCGCGCGACGACGAGTCGCCCACGCTGCTCACCTCCAAGGCCGAGTTTGGCGGCGCCTTTGGCTGGATGACGGCCGACGTTAAGCTCTTTGTGCCCAGCCGCGGTGCCTGGATGGAGGGCAGCGTCAACCTGCAGACCGAGGGCCACATTGGCGTCGTGTGCTTTGGCAAGTTCAACGCGTCCATTGAGGCGCGCCGTCTGCCCCCGTCGTGGAAATGGGTCTCGGACGACGACGACAACAACGGCGTCTCGGACGAGACGGCGTCCGTCGTCACCGGCGCGGTCCCCGACGAGCACGGCGTCGTCCGCCAGATCCACAGCACGGGCTACTGGGTCGACGAGGCGGGCGACAAGGTCGCGGGCAAGACGCGCTTCCGCATACGCAACTTTGACGTCGGCATCAGCGGCGACTCGACCTACCTCAGTCTGCAGGGCACCATGCTCGACCGCGACAGCGAGAAGAAGCTCGTCGCGGCCGAGGCCAAGGACGCCAAGGAGCGCAGGGCGCGGCGCGGCGGCAAGCAACTCAAGCGGACGGTGCCGGACTTTAGCATGACCAAGTTTGACTACGTCGAGGAGGAGGGCCAGGACCAGCAGCAGGCGCACGACGTGCAACAGGCGCTGGAGTTACCAGAGGGGGCCGATGGGGGCGACTTGGCCACCGAGACGGAATGAGGATTAGGGGAGGGGGAGGATTGTGGAAGCCACGGCGTTGCGGTGTTTAGATTTTGGATTGATTGACTTGAGATTACTAACTCAGTTCTCCCATGAACGCCTATGAGCAAAAGGCAAGACAAGAAACTCCTCCCAATGCGAGACAAATTGGTGAATTATATGAAAGATGCGTTTGGGTGTAGTACAATGCACCTCAAGCAGCTGCTGCGACCGCCTTGACCATGGGCTCCCATGGTCTCGCCATGTTCCACAGGTATATTTCCCCGTTGGCGTGGTCGTCCGCCAGCCCCTTTACAAAGATGTGTCGAAACAGAGGCTCCTTTGTGAACAGGGGCAACACGGGCGCCACACTTCTGCGCGCCCAGTCGAAGCTCAGGGCCTCGCCCCATGGTGGTTGTGTGCAAAAGGCGTCGACCTTGGCCTTGTGAGCTGCGGCATCTCGGCCGGGGCACTCGTTCATGATGAGCTGGAAGCGGAGGCCCTGGATGTCAATGGCGACCCGCTGGGCCGACGACGTCCCCGACAGCGTCCACGTGTAGTCCACCTTGTCGCCCATGCTCTCCCAGTCGAACCACACCTGGGTCCCCTTCTCGGAAAAGTCCTCGAGGGTGAGACGGCCCTCGTGGTCGAAGCTGAGGGCACAGTGCTGGCGTGCCACGCCGGGCAGGGTTGGGAGGATGATGTCGCAGCTGCGAGGGTCCGTGCCGAGGGTGAAGCGCCCCGGCCGCTTGGGTGTCTGGTCAAAGGTGATTTGCAGTGCCTTCTGCGGGCGGCTGAGGATGAGGTTGGGCAGACGACTGTCTAGGTAGGGGGCGGATGTTGTGGCGACTGCTTTGAAGAAGTTTTCGGGCATGTTGACAGCCTTGTCCGCGTTGGTGCCGCGCGCCGTTGGGACCAGCCAGGCGATGACAGATTCGTGGCTCGTCATGATGCCTTGTGTGTACGTGTGTGTCTATTAAGTATTGTGCCGTGTCGTAGAGACTAGTGTTCTCAAAAAGAATGGCCGAGTAAAGGTAACTCTCACGGATGTGTGTGTATAAAGACAAAAAGTTGGGTACAGAAGGAAAGAGAAAAGAAGCACGCTGGTTATGACTTTAGAGTGATGGTGCTCGAAGATGAATTATATGCTCAGCGGAGGAGGTGAAGGTGTGAAATGGGAGGCCAGCGACAGCGCACACACGAGACTCCTTTTGGCTTTCATCGTATCCAAACAATGAGATCACAACAGCCAAAGCAATACGCGTCAGGAACACCTGTTTCATGTCGCTCAAATGTAGCTCGGTTGTGGCCAGCGTGAGTTGGCAGAACCGCACGCTGCTGTCCTCAGAATGAGCGCGTCTCAGCCAATGGATCTGGTCGCGACGGCCAATGCGCGTAGCAACATAGACCGCGATCTCAACGACGTGCAGGCAGACGCAGAGCAGTCTGAAGAACTGTTCAACGAGGGGTCATTGATTCTCGGAGGTGAATCGTGCTGAACCTCATGGGTTCGTACGCTGGCCGTTCGCTTGAAATGCAGCGCGGCTACACTCAGCTGGGACGCGTCGGGCCACCTTCTTTCCTAGGAACAACGAGATGCCATTATAGTTGTCAGAGCTATCTCATTAGAGAGCCGATAATTGAGAGCGGGTGGTACATTGCAGTCTTCGTGGCAGCACTTGGAAGTGAAGCTGGCCACGATGCCAAGCTCATGCCCAATCCTCGACGCCTGTGCGGTTCATTGCCCACTCCTGCCTGATGACTAAGGCACCCACACCCCCCCAGTCCGCGAACCTCGCAAACGTTCAATCAATTCGAACCCCAACACGACAACGGTCAATTGCCACACAGCACAATGGGTTCCTCGACTGCGACAAACCTCCCTCGTACGTTGCATGGCCCTCGCGTCCGCAGGCGCACTTTTTGCTGACCCTCTTGCAGCCGCCACGCGCGAGGAGATGCGCGAGGCCCGTCTGCCTCTCGCCTACCGCGACAGCTGCGCCAACCTCCTGATTCCCCTCAACAAGTGCCGCCGCGAGACGTGGTACGCCCCGTGGAAGTGCAGCGTGCGTTCTCCCCTTGCCTCCGGCCGGTCCCGTCGTAGTGGACTGACAGCAGCAGGATGAGCGCCACAGCTACGAGAAGTGCCAGTACGACGAGTTCAAGAAGCGAGTGGCCAAGATGGACGAGCTACGAGAGGCCAAGGGCGGCGAGAGGAGCAATTGAGACAGAGAGAGAGAGAGAGAGAGAGAGAGAGAGAGAGAGAGAGAGAGAGAGAGAGAGAGAGAGAGAGAGAGAGGTGTAGGACCTGTATATGTACTGGGATAGACGCACTCGGTCGGTCAATTGAGCGTGTTGCTGCGAGTGCAGTGGAAGGGCCTGTTCGCCATGTGCAACGTGCTGTGAGCGATGGGTTAGGAAGCGAGCGACGAGCGACTGATTACGCAGGACCGAGGACCGGACCAGTCGTTGTTCTAGCCGACGCCGTGGGCAGGACGCATATCGACATTCGACGGACATCATCAAAACGGCCACAACCCACCATTGCCTGGAGGGGCTTTTCGCGGGACTACGCCGGACATTGACATGCTCGGAACGGCACTATTTTCTACTCAAGCAAACGGTTGGACTATTCGAGAACGCTTATATACAGATCCATGTCGACATGCAAATTCTAGAAAATGGAGTTGTCCGCGCAGGTAAAGGACCCGTCAATGTCACCGTCCCCGTTAAAGATCTCCAGCAGGCCCTTAATGGCCGTCCAAAGACCGGCGCCGTTCATAAAGAGGGCCTGGCAGATGATCAAGGCGTTGACAACGGAGAGGGCGATCTTAGTCGGGGTGCTTAAGTAGCGACCCTTGTTGAGAAAGAACCAAAAGACGGCCGAGATGCCAAAGGTGAACCAGGCGATAAAGGTGGCGGACGAGATGGACAGGATGGAGTCAAAGATGGGGACGGCGTTGGCGATGACAAAGGCGACGATCCAGAAGGCGGTGGCGGAGCCGACCCAGACGCTCCACGACTTGGCCGAGTTGTCGGTCATCTGGTGAGTGCTCTTGAGGGCGCGCATGCCGACGACGTACAGGAACTTGACGGCGGTGTGGCCAAAGACGAGACCGGTGCCGAACAGCGCAGGCAGGACGATGCCGTAGGCGATCTTGGCGGGGATCTGCGGCGCGGATCCGAGGGCCGGCGAGGCGACGTACTGGCCGGAGAGGCAGTAGATGGCAACGGCAACCAGGAGGTACAGAGGGATGGAGAAGGCCTGGAGAGCGGCGAGGCCCCAGACAAAGTCGCGGGAGGGGTCCTTCATCTCCGCCATGTACGAGACGAAGCCACTGGTCAGGAAGTGTCAGCGCATTGCACACCAACTTGCGGTCCTCACGCGGAAGAGGAGCAGTACTCACATGTTACCGGCATAGGCATAGCAGATCTGCAGACAGGAGCTGAGGCCCTCCCTGAAAGTCGGGTTGCCCACCACCTTGACCTCCTTCTCCCAACCCTCGGGGGGCACGCCTTTGGGATCGGCAACGCCGAGAGAGATGATGACGATCATGATGGCGGCAAAGATGCTGATGGTGGAGGGGATGCCAATGTGGGCGACGAACTTGAACTGGCGCGGGAGGCAGAGGAGCCAGCAGACGATGGCGGAGATACCGATCCAGCCGACGGTGCAGATGGCGTGGTCGGAGATGCTGTTGAAGGCGACGGAGAGGGTGACGGTGGCGCTGGCGCAGGAGAGGCAGAGCTTGATCATCATGCCGATGGCGACGACGATCTCGAGGGGCGTGCCGCCGACGACCTTGGCCATGTCGACGACGTTGACGACGTGGGGGTACCGGCGGTAGAACTGCAGCAGCTCGTAGGCGGTGTAGGTGGAGAGCAGGCCGAGGCCGACAATGGTGATGACGCCGGGGACGATGCCGAGGACCTGCAGCTGGGCGGGCAGGGAGAGGATGCCCATGCCGACCTGGTTGGTGATGAGGACGAGGGCGGTGCTGCCGCGGCCCATGTTGCGATAGTTCTTGCCGCCCTCGGAGAAGGCGTTGGCATCGCCATGGGCGGGCGCGACGCCCGCCACGGAAATGTCCTCCGTCGAGGCGCGCTCGGGCAGCTGAGGCTTCTCGGACTTTTTCTCGCGGCCAAACATGGTGGTTGCGCGGTCTTCTTCTCTCTTGCGTGCCTTTCTTCTCTGTTCCCAAGGGAGCCACGCGTGAGATGGGAGGGAGCAGAGGTACTATTTGTATCCAAAGATGGAAGATGGAACACCAAAGGAACACCAAAGGAAGCAAGCCGGCAGGGGGAGGCACACAAAGGGTCCTGGGGATAGAGGATTTTGCGTGTGGATTATGGGGTGGGCGATGTGGGAATCTGTTAATAACAGTTTTTGCGTCGGTGGATGATGAAGAGGGAGAGGGAGAGGGAGGGAAGGAAAAAGAAACACCCAGGGACATGGAATGCAATCACATTGGGTGCCGTATCGTCTGCTATTTAGACCACTACCCTAGTGCGTTGCGCAACGTCAGAAATACTCTTCTTGCTACGTATGGACGACGACTCGAGCACGATGATCGCTGAGGCGTTGTGAATCTGACGATGGACGTCGGGACTTGGAAGCAAGCCTTTCCTTGGCTGGCGTCACTGTGTGGAGGGTCCTGCGATCTGCCGCCCGCAAGGAGCCCTGCCCTGGCCCTTGGGTTCACACACGGGGCAGGGCAGGCAGGGTCTTGCTGCGAGTCTGAGGCTTCGAGCACCCAGACTGCGATTACGATTACTGGGACTTGCTTGCCGGATGATTATTTGCAATGATCATGTTGCTCCTGTGGTTCCCGCTGGCAAGGGGCAATGAATGGCCACCAGCCGCAGCAGCGACGCCTTGGACGGTGCTCGGGGTCCAAGTCGAGCTCCGCATTCGGACTAAGCTTATCTGCTCTCGGTGATCAAGGCCAGAGGTCGACAGGTCGACCCCCCGATCCCGTATGCAGGTAGATGTCAGTGGCCCAGGGCGGGGCGGGTGATAAGAACCTGGGCGGGTGATGACCATGGCTTGCGGCTGAGGGCTGATCTTTGGTGATGACTTCATCGTGACACAGAGGTTCTTCTCTACGATAGCTCGCCCGTCCACCTCGTGATATCTCTGATACTTTTGGAAAGCCAAGGCATCCTGCGATATTGCGTCAATCCAGTGTGTCTCACTGACGGCTGCCGCCATTGGCACGGCCACACGACCCCAGACACCATTCCGCCCGAGTCAGTCTGTCAGACGGGCAGGCATACAAAGAGAGATGGATGCATGGATGTGTGTATCATCTTCATAAAGCATCAGGCAAAATTCATTAACTCATAACCCCATTCCGACTTCTATCAGTCGTCTTGGCCCTCATTGGCCGCATTGGTATGCCCCTTTCGACATCATCGTCTGCCGACGACAACCGGGACGGTTCTCCCCAACCGTAGTCTTGCGACGTGTTGTTGACACTGCCGTCGGAGAGAATCAGCTCCTGCGAGGCAGAGCGGTCATCACCCGACGCACTGGGGTTTCTGTACGTCACATCATTCCCCGACACCTCAATCGTCGTTTCGGCCAGGATCTGCCCGTCTGGCGACAGGGGCGTCTCGTCAATCCCACGCATCGGGCCGCTTCCACCTGCACGCGACGGCGGGTGCTCTCGACCGTACGCGTCTCTGTAGCCAGTGCCGTTGCCGTCGCTGTTGCTGTGGGAGGAGATTTGCACAAAGTGGCGAGGCCGCAGGGCGGCACTGGGCCGTCGACCACTCGCCGGATGACCGCCCGGACCACTGCGTCGTCCCGAGACCACCTGCGCCGAGCCGAAGCCGCCGTCCTTGGAGGTCGAGGGCAGGTTGGCCACGTACTTGAGCGCCGACTCGGCAATCTTGTCGAGGACGGACTTGAAGTCGTCGAGGAAGATGGCGTCCGAGGCACACTTGAAGACGAGGGCGAGCCGCCAGTACGGGTTGATACCGCTCTGGGCCGACAAGAGCGCGGTGGCGACGACGTCGGTGATGAGGAAGGCAATGGAGAGCAGCATGCACAGCAGCATGATGCCAAAGCGGGGGCTGGTCCGGACCAAGCCGACGATGGAGTACTCGTAGTTCTGCCGGATGACCAGCACCAGCTTGACGGTCGTAAAGATCCACCACGGGTCCCGGGCGAGGGGCTCAAAGTAGCGCGTCCAGTCGAACCAGCCCTGGCCCAGGTGGTTGAAGTAGGCAAAGTTGGCGTAGACCTCGAGGACCCAGTACGGCTGGACAGCGACGAGGGTGAAGATGAAGAAGCGTCCGCCCCAGCGCGGCAGGAAGGGCTTGATCTTGATCCACGCGACCACGTTGTGGACGTTGTAGGAGACATACAAGGCGACGGCTGTGCTGCTGAGGGTCCTGCGGTGGTCAGAACGAGATTGGCCCTTCTTTTTGTTGTATACAACAACTTACCATCCGTAGGCTGGGTCTCGGGCGAAGATGAAGAACCCGTGCCCCAGGGCCAGCACCAGCTCGAGGAGGATGAGCTTGTGCAGCAGGACGTTCCGCCGGTAGTTGCAGAGCACCGTCAGGAGAATAAAGACCAGCGCGCCGACGTTGAACCCTTGACCCCACGCCTCGACAATGATCTGCTCACGCGTGTGGATGGTGGTGGGCGCCCCGTCCCCCGAGGGCTGCGGTAGCGTCGGCGCCATCAGGTCCATGTCGCCCGCGTGCGCGCGGTCACCCCTTTCTTTCCCTATGAGAGAGCTCTGTACTGCGCAACGCAGGCGAGTTGCTGTCGAGATGGTCTGGGGAGCGACAGCGGGTGCTCTGAGACATGGCAGGCATGCGCTTCCGAGTGGAATCTGGGGTCAATGGCAAGTTGAGGGAGGGACGGAGACAAGGGGAGCGCGCGGTAGGTGCATCGGGCCATATTTGACCATCGTTGAAGGATTGGACTGGCTGGGCTCGTGCTTCCCTGGTCAAGAGTCAGACGGACGGACGGACCCCAGGTTCTGCTCCTCGGGGGATGGATGGATGGCGGGTGTGGGTGGAGTCCTCGCGTGGAAGAATGCATGATGCTCGCAGCTGTGCGTCTTGGCCACTGGAGAGTTGGGCGAAGAAGATGCAGCAGAATCTAGACTAGTTAGGGATGTCGGTGGCAGCCACCAGGCGGTCCAGGGGCATGTGCGCGGTAGGTAGCCTTGCCATTGAGCATGAGCTGAGCCTAGTCAATCCTGATTGCCATACCGCGTTTGCACGCTGTCGCCGCTACAAGGTCCATGCCACAGAAGTCGTGACAAAGAGCCCGTGTGTCGTCATCTGATCCTTTGCAGTCTGTGGGGCGTTTCCGGGGCGAAGGTGGACGGATTGCCAGGCGGCACAGGCTGCCGGATTGCACTGTCCGCAGCGCGTCGCATCCGGCTGATTGGCCCCGATGCTGCTGCCTTGACCGCCCGCGACCATGTCGGGCACACGGGGCTGGAAGGCTGAAGTGAAGCTGAGGCCAGATGGAGCGATCGGACTCGATGCTGATCAGTTTCGAGCAGCCAAATTGGGACCTCTGTACGAGTAGATGGGTGTTGGTTGGCTCGTGGCGCCTCGAGGTTGGTCACACGATCAGCCAAGCCTCAGGTCGTCGGAAACGTACTTCTGCACTTTGGGCGGACGAGAATAGTGAGATTCCAACGGGTCCGGGTATCCGTTTTGTCTGTAGGGTAGGCTGTGCCTAGCATAAGTGTTGACTTGATCAACGCTGGGCTACATACGCTTACGGACTATTATTTGGCTACATATTTACACTCATCAATACTCGATGACAGAACATACCGGGCCAGACATCAGATCCTCGAGTCGCACCGCTGAGTTAACTGATGTCACTGTAGACCACATCTCCTACCATGGCTGGTAGCAGCCTGTCCGAGGAGATGTGACAGCAGCTCAAAGGGCCACGTATCACGGTTTGATTTCTGCGTGCAAGTTCATCTTCGAATTGTATTGAGTTACGAAAAACCCTAGGAGCTCAATCCGCCCTTTTTACCGGCCTCCTTGGCCTTCTCGCTGCCTGGCTCGAACGAGCCGGACGAAGCCTTGCCGCCCTGGGACGCAATGTCCTTCTGCGAAAAGCGTTAGCACGATGAACTCGTTCTTCTTGGCGTGAGAAGACGCACCTGCTTGTCGGCATCCATGCTGGCAAAACCACCAGCGTGGCTGGCCTGGCCCCCCTTGGAGGCAATGTCCTGGACCTCCTCCTTGGAGCGGTTGGCAAAGTTACCGGGGTTGCTGTCGGCCATTGTGCGTGCTTGGTTCGTACTTGGTTGGTAGTTGCGGGGTTATTGAATTTTTAGGTACTTTTTGGTAGGATTGTCAGGGGAAGAAGGCAAATGTACGTTCACGGACGTCTCGGTGCCTTCTTATAGACGTTGAACTGGCATCGCGATCGTGCACGTCATCTGGGCAAACAAACGATGCTGAGATGACGAGACAGCTGTGTCATCACCAACGATCCCCGCATGACGAAACCTGGAGGAAAAGAAAGGAAAACCCTTGACAAGGCAAAGAATTAAATGCGAGCCTGGGATGAGGTCGATTTGCTGGTGTTGTGCGTGTTGGCGCTGAGCTTGGACAAAGTCGTGACGTCGTGCGCAGCTCGATTAATGGTCTCGAGGGGTTGAAACGGGGCAGGGGCATGATGATGACGAATTTCTGGTATGGTTCCTGCAATGCAATTGTTCCCGAATCATATAATAGACAGTGATCTATAGGTGGATAAAGAAAAGTCCATGATTGTCAACGTTGTGCGGTGGTATCAGATCATGGGTCCGTATCGTCTCTCTGGGGCCAACATCATTCAGCGGTGAATTCAAAGAACGATTCAGCCCTTGGCACGAGGAACTGGCGTCAAGATAAAGGTAAGTCGCAACTGGAGTGGCATGTCTGGGTTTCTGATCAATAGTGAAAGGCGAGCTTCAGGACGTCTGGTGCAATGGAATGCATGTACATTAGTGTCATGAGAACAAGGCCACTCACTGTGTGCCACCGGACACGGCTCGAAGACGGTTATCACACTGGATCCTACTGGATCATGCTCCAGAGTCCAGAGTCCAGGAGTCTCGGAGAGAATCTGGGCCAACTACGGGGCTCTGGGATGGCCAAGCCGGAGGGGTCCGATCGGAGGTCCGGCAAGGTCGCCACGCGTCCCGTTCGGCACTTGAAGACGCTCCCCGCTCGCTTCCTTGGCTGATACTACACTCTGCAAGCACACAAGTATAAGATCCCAAGCTATCCGAGGGTCTAGTACGGATACTGCGATCTCTGCCCCAACACCACCCGGCCATCTACACAATCACACCCCGCTGACCATGTCCTCGAAAGAAGCCCCCGCGTCGGCAGGCGCCAAGCTCCGCCAGATGCTCCAAGAGAAGGACATGATCGTGGCACCCGGCGTCTACGACGGCTTCAGCGCCCGCATCGCGCTCGAGGTCGGCTTCGACTGTCTCTACATGACGGGCGCCGGCACGGTGGCGTCCAAGCTGGGCCAGCCGGACCTCGGCCTCGCCACGCTCAACGACATGCGCGAGCACGCCGAGATGCTGGCCAACCTGGACCCGTCGGTGCCGCTCATTGCGGACGCGGACACGGGCTACGGGGGCCCCAACATGGTGGCGCGCACCGTGGCCCAGTACCATCGCGCGGGCGTGGCCGCCCTGCACATTGAGGACCAGATCCAGACCAAGCGGTGCGGCCACCTGGGCGGCAAGGCCGTCGTCGACGTGGACACGTTTGCGCAGAGGATCGGGGCGGCCTACCAGGCCCGCAGCCGGCTGGGGTCGGACATTGTCATCATCGCGCGGACGGATGCCCTCCAGACGCATGGCTTCGACGAGGCCATGCTTCGTCTGCAGGCGGCTGTCCAGGCAGGTGCCGACGTGGCGTTTCTCGAGGGTGTCACGACGGCGGAGGAGGCGCGCGAGGCGTGTCGGCTTTTGGCGCCCGTGCCGGTGCTGCTCAACATGGTCGAGCACGGGGCGACGCCGTCGTGGACGCCTGCCGAGGCCAAGACGCTGGGCTTCAGGATCATCATCTTCCCGTTTGCGTCGATTGGGCCGGCGTACAAGGCGATGAAGGATGGGCTTTTGAAGCTCAAGGAGGAGGGCAGGACGGGGGTGGACAGCGAGTTCACGCCCAAGAAGCTTTTTACGGTGGTCGGGCTGGAGCAGGCCATCAAGGTGGATGCTGAGGCGGGAGGGTGTCTGTACGACAAGGTGTAGCGAGCGGGGTGAGATGGCAAGTAAATGATTGATTGCAAGTCTCTTCACGCTGGATTCACGTTGCTCAATGCAGTTTCTACGCAGTGCCTTCTGGTGTTAGTCTGGTACTACTGGGCCCCCAGTACGGAGGCCTCTGCTCTGGCCAGGAGACATGGTTGATGATGGACTTCTTCCATGTAGGAAGAGAGCAGCCCATGGATGATACATAGGCCCCTGGTAAAATAGATGGCGGATTATTATTAGTATACCAGAGTGCCGCTTCCCCGCGCGAATGCATGTCAGCAGCTCAGCTTATGCTTCGTTCGGCCTTTTCACACCAAACCAGTCTCATCCCAGGCTCCAGACAGTGAGACCCCCCGTCCTCCTCACACGTGCAATCACAATCATCAGCAATTCTTCAGAGGAGCTGTATATCATCATCCGCACTTCATCTTCTCTGCTTCAAAGCCTCACCGCCATGTCCCAACCACAACCCATGGATGGCACCGCCACCTTTAACCAGATGGCGGCCGACTACGACGCCCTGATCGGTGGCGCGACACGCGCCCTCTGCCAGCACGTCCTCACGCTGATGAACGCCATCAAGCCCATTGACACGTCCTCCGTCGTCCTGGACAATGCGTGTGGCACATGCGTCGTCACGGCCGAGATCCTCTCCGAGACACCCGACGTCCGCCTCCACGCAGTCGACGTGGCGCCCAACATGGTGCAGCTGGCCAAGGCCAAGTTTGGCGACCGCGACAATGTGCGCCTGGCCGTCATGCCGGGCGAGCAGCTCGACTTTCCAGACGACACGTTCACGCACTCGGTGACCAACCTGGGCATCCTCTTCTTCGAGGCCCCCGACAAGGGGGCGCGCGAAATCTACCGCACGCTCCAGCCGGGAGGCGTCGCGGCCGTCACGTCCTGGGCGCGCCTGGGCAACTTTGAGGACGCCATCAACCCTGCGCAGCGGGCGGCGCGCCCCAACGAGCCGGTGCTGCACAAGCTGCCCATTAAGCCCGAGTGGTTCGATGCGGAGCACGCGGGCAGGGTGATGCGCGAGGCTGGGTTCCAGGACGTGCGGGTGTCCACGAAGCAGGTCCGGTACGGCGCCGCGACGAGGGAGTCGCTGGTCAGTGTCATTGTGCGCTCGGGTCGGCAGACGTTCCTCAAGGACTACACGGAGGAGGAGTTGAAAGTGTACGAGGCGGCGCTGGACCAGGCCATGGAGACAAAGGGCGCGCGCTACACGATGCCTGACGGCAATCAGGGCTGGGGGGTGACAATGGACGGCATTGTCGTTGTGTGCTGCAAGTAGTTGGTTAGCTCTGCATTACCACCTAGACTAGTAGATCAGCCAACGTCCAAGCCTCTGTCCGTGCGCCGCTCAGCCTTGCCAGTGACAGGGTGATCGTCCGTGCATTCCAGCGTCATTGGACCCTGCGTTGCCTGCGCCGTCATGATCGGCGTGGTGGGCAGCGCGTGGCGAGTCTGTGGTGCTGCACACTCCTTGTGGACGCGGAGAGCGTCAGGAGGACGGCGAATGTCGTAATTATATAAGATGTTTCAAGTCCATCGTTGGATCCGGGGTCTTTTGATGCTTTTGTCTGCCATCTATCCCACACTGCAGTCTGCACCCCGACCGAACAGCTGCTCCACCACCACACAGCTACGCTACAACGTACAAACACCAAACACACCCCTCCTACTACAACAGTACAACATGTGCTTTGGCGGCGGCGGCGAGGAGCAGTGGTGGGGCTACATTGACGACGGCAAAGGCTGGACGGCGCGCCCAAAGTCCCAGTACATGTCGACGCCCGCCTACAACAGCGACCTGCGCCGGCACGAAAAGGCCGAGCGGCGGGCGGCCCTGCAGCAGGGCTACCACATGCCCAAGGAGAGCAAGTACACAAGGCGGTGGTAGACTACGAGTAGGAGGGTAATGATTGATGAGGTACGGCACGGGCCTGGGCTCCCGGAGTACATGTATGCATAGCATTTGCTTGTGCTTGGAGCGACCATGAATAGAGCTGGATCTCTGGACACGATCACATGGACACTCTCATGCACACAAGACTGGTGAGACAAATGTTCACTGCAAGAGCCAGCCCTCCGCCTGGGGACGGAGCTGGGGCTGCTGGGCGGGTCGCTCCAGGGTCCGGAGTCTGGAGTCCGGATGTGCGGCCGACAAAGCGGATCCGACCCGGATCTCGCACCGGCTGCGTCGCTGCGATGCCCGCCTTGACCTACGCAGATCCCTCTAGGCACGTTACGTGCAGGTGCTGAATGTGGGCTCGGGCCGAATCCCCCCTCGTGTGCTGAGCCTGGAAACGATGAAACGATCTCATCATGCGGTGGGTGCATCGTGATTAGCTTCCTGTCCCAGCCTAGGGCATCATCAGTCCCCATGTTGTATTCTACTGCGGACTGCAGTGCTCGCTTCCACACACTCGGCAGAATTGTCCGACGCCATGCATCGGTCGCTCATCCTCAGCTTCCATGTCCAGGCAAGCTTCGGTAGCACGCAGAGCCGATTGGCAACCCCGTCCATCCATCGCGCGCGCCGTTGACGCGGCCAAGACGTGTCGTGCATATGCTGGTCGCTGGGGACTCGCGATGGCCAGTGCCCGAGGACCAGGTGTTGACTACAAGATGGCATACAAGGGGAGCACGTCTCCCTGATCGTGCTTCCTTGTACGAAACAGCCTCCCGAGTCCAAACCCGCCACCATGATCATCCCCGTCCTCGCCGCCCTGGCCACCCAGGCCGTCGCCTCTCCCGCCGGGGCCACTACCCTCCACGCGCGCCAGTCCGCAGCCAAGGCCTACGCCTCCAACGAGAACCTCTCGCTGCGTCTCAGCGAGGTCGACCCCCCCATCCGGGGCGCCGGCAACCCCGCGGGCGCGACGTGGGACCTGACCATCAACGACACCCCTTCTGGCCACAAGCAGACCGTCACCGGCTTTGGAGGCACCGTCACCGACGCCACGGTCACCGTCATCAACTCGCTGCCCGACGACCAGCGCGCCAAGCTGCTGCAGGAGCTCGTCACCTCGGACGGCGCCCACTTTGGCTTCCTGCGACACACCATTGCCGCCTCGGACCTCAGCGGCCCCCCCGCGTACACGTACGACGACAATGGCAACAATGCCGACCCCAACATGGATGGCTTTAACCTCGGGGACCGCGGCGTCGCCATGGCCGAGCTGCTGGCCGAGCTCAAGGGCCTCAACTCGGACGCCTACATCCTCGGCAGCGCCTGGTCGGCCCCTGGCTGGATGAAGCAGAACAGGCAACTGACCGGCCAGCTCGAGGGCAACAACCTCGACGGCCAGTACTACGAGGCGTACGGCCAGTACTTTGCCGAGTACCTCAACGCATACGCCGCGCACGGCGCCCACGTCGATGCCATCACCATCCAGAACGAGCCGCTCAACAGCCAGGGCGGCGGCCACGTCACCATGTACCAGGGCGCCGACGAGGCCGCCTCGGTCACGCAGGACCACGTCGGTCCCGCCCTCGCCGCCGCCGGCCTGGGCGACGTCCAGATCTGGGCCTACGACCACAACACGGACCGGCCCGACTATCCCCAGACCGTCCTCGAGGGCGCGGGCGACTACGTCCAGGCGGCCGCGTGGCACTGCTACGCCAACCCGCTCGACTGGACCGTCCTGAGCGACTTTCACGACCGCTTCCCCAACAAGGCCAACCACATGACCGAATGCTGGACCGCGCCCTCGACGCCCTGGCACCAGTCGTCCAGCAACATTGTCGGCCCCCTGCAGAACTGGGCCGAGACGGCCGGCATGTGGACGCTCGGCACCTGGACGGACCAGGGCGACGGCACCTTTGGGCCCTACATCCCCGGCGGCTGCGCCACCTGCCGCGGCCTCTTTGTCGTCGACAGGGACCAGGGCACGTACGAGCTCACCGTCGACTACTACATGCTGGCGCAGTACAGCCGCTTCATCCCGCGGGGCGCCGTGGTGCTGGATGGCACGGGCAGCTACACGTACGACGACGGCACGGGGGTCCAGTCGGTGGCTACGGTGAACCCGGACGGCACGAGGACGGTCGTGGCGGAGAACAGGCTCGCGGACACTGTCTGGCTGCGCGTCGAGACGGACAGCGGCGAGACGTGGAGTGGGAGCGTGCCCGCGAACACGGTGGTGACCTGGGTGCTGCCATGACGACTGTATATATATTTATACCATTTACAATAGGACCAAAAAAAAAAATCTAAGCCAACGTGTACCCCCCGTCGACAATCATGTCCGCGCCCGTGGTGTAGGTGGACGCATCACTCGCCAGGTACAGGTACAAGCCCTTGATCTCCTTGGTGTGGCCCTGGCGGCCGAGGACGGCCATGCGGTAGGCCTCGTGGATGCAGAGGTCGCTGGCGCCCATCTTGGTGTCGAAGAAGCCCGGGCTGACCATGTTGACGCGGGCAAAGTCGCGCCACTCGCGGGCGAGACACTTGCCAAACTGCGTGACAAAGGCCTTTGTGCCGTTGTACACGGGCTGGTCGACGGGCACGTTGACCACGTGCGCGCTCATGGACGACGTGATGATGAGGTTGCCCCGGCCCTGGCGACGAAACACCTCGCCCGCGTACTTGGCGCAGTGCACCACGCCGTCCACGTTGACCGCCATCTGGAACTTGTACTCGTCCAGCGTCTGCTCCAGGATCGGCTTGGAGATGGCCGTCCCCGCGTTGGCCACAAAGACGTCGAGCTGCCCAAAGTCGTCCACCACCGCCGCGACGGTCCGCTGCACCGCCTCTGGGTCCGTCACGTTGACCTTGTACGCCTTGGCCTTGACGCTGTGCGCGCGCGCCAGCTCCTCCGCCCGCTGGACGGCCACGTCGTTGCTGAAGGGTCAGCGTCTTTCTGTCTGGAAGGAGCAGGTTCCAACTCACGAGTTGTACCACAGCGCGACGTGGCCGCCCGCCTCGGCAATGCCCTCGGCCACCGCGAGCCCGATGCCGTCCGCCGCCCCGTTGACGACCGTCACCTTGCCGCTCATCTTGAACTGCTCCGTGACATTGGAGGGCGTCTCGGGGAAGGGCTTGGGGAAGCCGGGGCGCGCGACGGCGCATTCCTCAATGGACATGGACATGATGGGTGGTCTTAACGGTAGGCAAGAGATCTGTGAGTTGGAAGGAGGATGATGCAGGACCAAGTCAAGCAGACCCTCGCAAATATATTCTTCGCGCCGGAGGAGGGGCATGCCTAGATTCCCCACGTCCAATTCGGGCGCCTCTGCTCCGACATGGAGTCGGCGAGGGCAGGGCGTCAACGGCTCTCCACAGCGGGCGGGGAGGGGGGCCTCGCGAACTCGCGAACTCGCGGATGACGCTCGCTCCTCGCTTACGTTCCAGAGCCCTTGATCAGGCCAGGTCGTACTCGTAGAGCACGCTCTCGTGCTGGTCCGGCAGCCAGAATACCCTGAGCCCATCCTCCACCAGCGCCACGTCGAACGGATTCATCGTGACCCGCGTGCCCCTCGCACTCTCCATCGTCACCGGCATCTCCCACACGACATCCATGCTCTCCACGCTCACCAGCGCCAGGCCACCAAGGACGTACCGCTCTCTGCCGCCCAGCGTCTTCACCCCAGAGCACAGCATCAACCCGTCTTCCGTCGTCTTCTCGCCCTCTACCCGCCCCAGGAACTTGCAGTCTTGATAGTCCACAAAGAGCGACTTGTTCTCCACCACCACCACGTCCGCCGCCCCCTTCTCCTCACACCGATCCCCAATCCCAAACGCATACCCCTTGCGCGCGCCCCAATTCATACCCAGCACCCTCTCCCTCTCCGCATCCACCACCACCGCCCCCATGTGATCCCCCGTAAAGTGCACCAGCCCTTCCACCGCGAGGCTCTCGAGTTCCGCAGCGTACACAAACCCAGTGCTCCCGGGCCGTCGCTGCCCAAGCACGCCCACGATGCGCGTCCCGTCATAGTCAATCCCCCCATTGTGATACTCCCACGCGCCCGCCGCCGAGATGGACGCGTCCGCCAGCATCGCCCCGTCGTCGCTCAAGTCAAACACCTGCAGATGCCCAAACCCAGCGCCCGGCGTGCGATCCGTCCCATTCCGCCATTCCCCGGCGGCGTACTTGTCAGTCGGCGTGACGTACTCGGCCGACGACACCACCAGCCGTGACGGCCCAAGGAGGACCATGCCCTCTGGCTCAAAGGTGTCGCCCTGCAGCGTCACGTTGCGGATGCTCCTGAGCGACGCGCTCGGTGGCAGGGCGAGCAGGCGTCGGATAATCGCAGGTCCATCACGTAGGGAGTGCGGTGGCGGTAGCGGGGAGGGCGCGAGAGGCGTGTTGTCGTCGCCGCGACGATATGTAGTGTTGACCTTGTCGGGCAGTGACGGACAGGACCGGGAGGAGGCGAGAGGCTGCTGTGGCGAGGCTAGCGAGAGCGATGTGTTGAGGAGCAGGAGAGCACAAAGACGAGAAACATGGCGCACGTAATGATCAAGCATATCAATTGAAATGGTCGTCTTGAGGTCATCCTTGGGACTGGGTGGCAGCTTGAGATGAGAGAGCAGAATCCAATCCATGCGAGCGGAAACCCACGCATAGAGTGAGTGCTGCTGCACTTGGGAGAGGTACAGCCAACAATTCACGTGCCCCCGCCGGCTCCAGGTTGGCTGCCTGCCTGCCTGCCACTGCTCAAACACAAGTCACTCGGCACAAGACACTCGAGTTTTGGGCCAACTGTATATTGCACCCATGTTTCTACCTATCGCTATCCTCCTCGTCAAGGAATCGTCCCTGGGTGAGTGGCCCATCCCATGCCATTCCTGTACAAGGAACCACCCCCCTGAACCAAATCAAGTCATGCCTCCGTTCGTCGGTGCAATTAATGTAAGAAAGATTTCGTCAAGGACAGTCTGAAGTGAAGCTGATGGGACGAGGAAAAACAAATCTCAAAAAACGGTCGTCTGTCGAAGCGAAGATGAATGAACCCTGTCACAATCCAATCCGCCAGTTCCGAGCAATCAGTCGTAGTCACAGGAATCGTGTGAGTGTTGGCATAAAGTCGTAAAAAAAAAAGTGAGGAAGGAAAAGGAAAGAACAGGGCGGGCTGTTACACAAGGGGAGTCATGCGGCGCTTCTCCGCGCTCGTCAGCACCAGCCGAGGGGCCCTGCGCTGGTCTCCGTTCGCCTCCTGGGCCTTTTGCGATGCTCGCAGAGCACCGTTCTTGAAGACGTTGGCGAACGAGCCGGTATCGCTGCTGGCCGTCGACAGGTCGCTGTCACTGGCATGGCGACGTGCGCGCTGGCGCGATCCGGGCCTATCGGATCCAATGGCTCCCCAGCTTCCACCCGCCACCTTGCGTGCCACCGAGCAGTCCTCCTCACCGGCGAGACTGCCAGAGCCGCTACGCCCAGACTCAGAATCATTGTCGGTGATGGGTGTCGTCGATTCTTCCGCGGTCTCGGACACCGGGCTCATGCTACCGGCCGAGCTGCCCGTGCCCTTGCGTCGCTCAAGTCCAGCGCGGACGAGGTTGTGAACGGCCGATCGTCGGGTGCGAGTCGCAAAGTTCTTGCTGCCTTCGTGCTTGGCTGTGGGCTTGAGCTTGAGCTCGTCCATGGGGGGCGGGCCACGAGGCTGACGAATCGGGTGCTCGCCGGCGCGGCTCTGACCCGGTCCATAGCCGCCAGGGGTCATGGGGAAAGCAGCCGTCTTCGGCCCAGCAGAGGGCAGGACGCCATCCGCGCCAGCTGAGGCAGCCAGCGCGGCGTTGACAGGCGCCAGCGACGAAGCCTTCTTGTGGCCACGGCGGAAGGCGTTTGCGGACGGTGGCGGCAAGGGTTGAGTCTCGCCAGGGGAATCGAATCGCTTGGGAGGCGAGTTGCTGCGGAAGGTTTGCTGCTGCGGCTGGTTCTCGGGAGGAGGAGAGACCTGTACGCGGGGCGTCTGCACCTGCGAACCGTACTGCTGGGCGTGCTGTTGCTGATAGACGCTGAAACCGCCAGGGGTCATGGGCTGCTCGTTGTAGGGCGAGCCTCCTTGCTGCGCAGAGGTGTCGACAAAATACTGTCCCGTCATGGGGTTGTAGTAAAACTGCTGCTGCTGTTGCTGGGATTGGCGCTGCGGCTGCTGGGTCATGGCAGCCTGAGCTCCAAGTTGCTGCTGCAAATTGCGCAACTGCTGCTGCTGCTCGTAGATGGCCATCTGCTGCTGAGCGAGCTGCGAGTTGTTCAGGTTCATGTGCTGGAACTGTTGGGCGGCGGCCTGCACGTTACGTAGCTGCTGCTGCAACCGCTGCTGCTGCTGAGCGAGGTACATGTTGGTGGCCACCAGTTGTGCATAGAGATTGGGATCCATGCCCTCTTGGACTTGCTCCTCTACCGTGAGCTCGGGAGGGGCGAGCACCTGCTCAGCCGCATACTGCTGGCCCATCATGTACTGCACATTGTTGTTCTGCTGGCGCTGCTGGTTTTGCTGACCGTACTGCGGGAAGGCCGTCTTGGGCGCGTTGTAGATGTTGTCCTGGCCAAGCCCGTGGACATTGGCAGCCAAGTTGCTCCTGGCATACTGCTGCGTGGGAACGGAGCCGCCGGTCGGTGACATGGGACCAAAGGACGAGGCCGTCGCCGACTTAGGCGCGGTCCGCAGGCGGTCGAGAAGGTGAGAACGGCTGGTGCGCGGCGTGGGAACCACGTTTTCCTTGTCGTCAGCCTTACTGGTGCCCAAGGCATCGAAAGACAGGGGCTTGATGTTCTGGCCACCACGTCGCGAAGCAAGTCCGCCCGTGTTGCCGAACCCGTTCTGGGAGGGATAGTTGTTGGAAGTCATTTGAGCGGGACCACCTGGGTTCATAGCTCAGATAGAAATGTACTTTTGTTGATTAAAAGGCTCGTTGCGTGCACGACGGTCGATGAGAGGTGCAGCGGTTCGACAGCCAGAAAAAGAGGTTGTCCGTGACTGTGAGCGTTTGCGTTCTTTGCGTGCAATTAAGACGAGTGGGGTGTAGTAGTATGATGCAGAATTGAAGATGAATATCGAGTCCGAGTCCGAGGGAGCGACGCGTGCGATGGCAAGTAACTTGGCGATGGAGACAGAAAGAACCAAGTGAGCAAGAGCCGATGGTGACGCTTCCGGCGAGGTTTGATCGGGTGGGTCGGGAATTAAGGTCTGGAGGACGTACGTTCCGAGTGCTGGTCGAAGCAAGGAACGGAACAGTCGAACAATCGAATAAAATACAGTCGAATTAGGGAGTCCGGGGCTTACTGTCAGCCGATGATGATGATAGGTTTGTATTTTGGTCGATGGATGCCCTCGAGCGTATCCTTCCTTGTCGGCCGTCTGTGCGTGCACGCGAGGGCTGATGGTCTTTTCGTGTTTCAATTCTCGAGCTTTTCCGTTGGCGCGTGCGTGTGCGTTGCAGATGCGAACTAATCAACCGACAGGAATACAAAGGAAGGAAGCCACGGGAGGGAAGCTGATTGAAAGAGGGAGAGGAGGGAAGGGAAGGGCGATTTGGCGAGGTGGAGGAGGAAGAGGTGTGGAGGGAGTTGGGAAAGAGAAGAAGACAGGCGACTGGAGACTCGAGATGGCAGGCACGGTCGGATGGACGGCGGCGAAAATGGCAGGCGACAAGCCCCCGCCAGGAGTTGGGCGTCTCCTGCAGCTCCAGCCTTCAGGACTACCGCTACTCCGCTAGTCTGTTACTCCGTGCGGCCAGGGCTTCTGGCAGCTCTCATAGGGGACCAGGGTCCTTTCATCCAATCAGCGTCGATCTATCTGTACACTCTGTTCAACAATGCAGCCAATGAGAGCGCCAAAGGCTGATAGGCATTTTGCGGGCCACGGCTTTTCAGCACCAAGTGTTTTCATCTGCTGTCTGCCGGGTCGTGAGTCAAATGTCTGGTGATTCACATTGACCGCCCACTTGATTCCTGCCTTCTGTGCAATGAGCACCAGGTACTCAATTAGTGTCTGTGGATCAGTAGATAACACGGCATGCACTCTCAGGCAGGAATGCAGCCCCCGGAAGGGGTCTTCGGCGAGCCACTGGAGCCGCTGCTGCTGCAGTGAAAGGTGTGCTGGCATGCAGGATGCACAGATATGTCTGGCCAATCACCGCGCTGCCCACCAACATCAGGGGCAAAGAGCGCTGCCGCGAGCCTGCGAAGCATCGTCACGGGGATCATCGTCGGGGGCGAATCCAGTCTTTGATAAGCACTCTGTGAAGTCATCTATTTGTACGTGGACTGCGATCAGAGACGGATGCGGCAACGGCGATGGCAGGGGAGCCACTTGGATCTACCTTGAACGACAGAGCCGAACAAAGAGTCTGCAGCGGAGTGTTTTGCCTGCCTGCCCTGCCGAGCCAAAGTCTCGACTGGAGCTCGGAGCCTGGAATCGAAGAGCACCATTAATAGCTGACAGACTGCGCGCTAGCGCCCTTTTGGTGACGGTTTGCTTTCTCCAGTCCGTCTTCTCGCGTGTTGGGTGAGGCCACGAGGCTAGCCAGCGTCTAGCGTCTTTGTATCGCGGCGAATCAGCGATCAGTACTCGTTTGTCCTGAGGAACGCCTGGGTCGTCCATGCATGCCATCGGGTATGATTGGACATTGACATCTTGAGCGAACTGAATTGTCTTGACCGCCAGATGGTTCCTCAGTTCTTCCCGGAGCATAAGTGCTTCCGTGACTGGAATCTTCGCGTGAACTTGTTGAAACTTGTTGAAGCTGTGTGTCAGGGTGGACCGAGTCGACCGTGTTTCAGAATAAGGGCTACTTTGCAATCTGCACATTCTCAGGCGCGTTGCAGGTCCCCTGCATCTCTGACATCCGCCCCTGACCCCCCTTCAATCTCTTCCTCCTTCGGCCTCTCCAGCGACGAACCCACCGCAGGTTGAAATATTCGCACCGCGATTTGGCTCAGCAGAGCTGATGCCGAGAAGCATACGCCCCTGGAATTTAGTTCAGGAGTGTTATGGCTCTTACGTACGTATACAGATTAGCAAGGCATACTTCATTGGTATTAGTCTGGTATTTCTGAAGCCCAGCTCCATGCGACCCGGCCCAGCATCATCCTTCAGTCGGCTGGTGGTCAGCGTTCCCCAATATCAAACCCATAATACCGCAGATGATATGCACGCCACGCCACTTCATTTCCCGTCTCGTGTCCCGACGCGCTTAATCAACGAATGTTGACGTGACGCGTCTGCGCTTGGCGGCTATCGTGATATCTTGCGATCTTGACCGCCATGGATGTCTTTGAGTCTTGCCTGTTTGTTTAGACCCGGGCCTCGTCCATGCACAGCTGCTCCAACAGGCTCGCACATGGCGGCTGCTCGACCTGCGACAGTTTAGAACGACTGTATCCTGCATCATGCGGGGCGCCGGTAGCTTAGCCTTATGCGGGGTGTGCGGCGCCAGCGCTTAACGAGGCCATGCGGTTTGATCGCCCGGCTTCGTCGATGTGATGTGTTATCGAAAGGCTTGGAAGCTCGTGAGCTGTTCACGCTATTCACTATTTATTCCGTTCCGTGCCAGTGCGACCTGATCGGTTTTCTTGATAGCACGTGAGGATTTGCTGGGGTCATTGTGAGCGGTCACCTTTCCCACGGGTGTGGTTTCACGGAGTAACTTCTCAGCATATGGCAACATGGCCGTGTGCACAATTGCAGTCGGCAACTATTATACCCTCCGTACAGAGCTTCAGCCACCCGAGAAGCAAGATGCCCCAAAGGACCCGAAGATGCATTATAGTTTGCGACTTTGCGTGCGCAATGCTGTGGCAGGAGATGTATACAGGGTAGGCTTCATGCTCCAAGTTGGTCCCTCGATGCGCATCCAACTCGAAATCTGTTGTCCTTGACAAAGACAATGGATTATTGGAAAATCCAATGTTCTTTGAAGTGTATTAAAGAGTTGCTGACAATTTCACAATGGTCGGGGTGCATCTAAACACACCGCACAGCATCCAGGTGTGTAAGTGTACATCCTTGGCAGAGCACGTACTCGAAAGCTGTGTCAGTTCACATATCAGCAGCCAGTTCTCAGTGTCTTACGAAAAGGTATTCTGTTCCAAATCTCCAATCTCTAGAAGCAGTCATGTAATCTACGTTTGAACTTCCCAAGGTTCAGCCAGAAGATAGTGGACCCTACTGCCCAGATGCAGTATGTGCGTGATTATAGGCGTGACACTCTTTCGAGAATAACTGGCCATATCAAGAAGCTCACTGGTATTGATAAGAAGCTTCCAAGCCACCTAAAAAAAACATAGGTGAAAATTGTGCGCCGACTGAGAACCGAAGACTTGTTCCCATCCCAACTCCTGTCCTCCATGTCTCGCCGATCTCATTTCGAATCGATCTAGGCTTCGTGTAGGTCGTCCACGGCTGACCATGAGTTTGTCCACCAGCTTAACTAAGGTATCAGTATACAGCACAAGATGCGATCCAAGATTACTGTGGCTCTTGCAGGAGTACATAATTCTCTATATGTGAGATCTAGTCTTACGTACTGAGTCTGCCTAGGGGTCTTCGCTCTGACGTGTCGTGGTGTCCTTGTTAGTGTAAGTTGTCATAAACTTCAGTGAGCATGAAAGAGCGTTGACCGTCAAGGACAGGGTGCAAACCGGATGCCAGTATGGCTCTCTTGTGTTGTCGCCAAGGAGTGCAGGCACAGGCTTCCTTTCCTACCACTCCCAGTGCTTGCGTACCCTCTGGTTCTTGGCTGCCTCTCCTCTACAACTATCCGTGACTTCGTTTGGAAATGACAAGAACTAGACTTATTTCCATCGGACAATAGAAAGCAAGTGTCTCCAACCTTCCTGCGTACTGTCGTTCTCATACCCACGTTTCATATCCGTATATGTTCGCACAACATCCTCTGCTTCCCTGGTGGGTGAATCTGGCATGTGTCCATACTGCCTTGAAATATATAGTCACAAGCAGTAAACTCCAAACGGGCAAGGCAAGCAAACGCCACCGTTGGCAAGTGTTCCATGGTGGCCAGTAAAGGCCCCTCGCTCAGTTCCACGAAACCAGCACGCCAGTTCTTCATGTCTAGTTTTCCTCAGCCTTGCACAAGGACCCCTATCACGATCACCCAACAGCACAGCTGCTACATGTACCAGTACAAAGCCTCCAGTCCTGCCACCAGACCTCATGCATAAATACTGACATGTAGATACCCTCCAGGCCCATAAGTCTGGCTGAACACGTCACGCAGCTTCTTGGAGCCCCGCTCCGTGGTGCACCTCGTGAGAACCAGCTATAACCTGCATGTGTGGTGAGGACCGTCAGCAGCCTAGCGGGGAGGGTAAACGCCATCCATCGCAAGACCGGCAGATGCACGTCACTCGGAACAGACTGCACCAAGTCTGGCCTTTTACATTGGGGGTCCGTGGGTTGTACGTGCATCTATGGTGACACAGTATCACGGCTAATAAGAGGGTTCACAAAAGAAACAAACAAAGTAAGAATATGCAGATATACATCGAAGAACTATGTAGCTGTCAATCGTTCGCCAGCTGGCAAGTCAACGTCGACAGCGTTTAATAAAATCGATCATGGTCTTGGAAAAATTGTCGTGAATCGTCATAAGGCCCTCGCGGGCAAACCGTCTTCTCCCACCTCGCCTTTCTCCCGCTCCCCGCCTAGCGCATCTCCTCGGGCATCACATTGGGACCGTAGAAGCCGCCGTCACCGTGGGCCCTGCCGGCCGCGGCGCAGGCCATGCATGGTCCTCCGCCGTACACACGCGTGTGCCGTGTCCAGCCGACGCCCTGACCGTCGAGGATGCCCACAATCTCGCCGCGCAGCTCAATGTCGCGCGTTCGTGCCGGGCTAGGCTCGTCGGTGTCCAGGCGCGCTGTCATGCCGGTGGGAGGCGCCGGGGGCAGGAGCGGGCTGGAGGGTGGATAGGAGCTTGGGGAGAAGTAGGTGTCCGACTCTGACGCAGACGACTGCCGGGTGATGGGGACACCGATGGGGATGGTCCTTGAGTAGGACAGCCTTTTTGGCTGGGCCGACGCTGCGGTGGCGTCGGGGGAACATGCCGGGCCCGAGGCAGACAGCGAGATGTAGTCTGGATTGGGTTGGTGGATGAGGCTGTCCCGACTGGGACTGTGAGGCCGGTTCTCGAACGCGAAGACTGTGGAGCTCAGCTCCGGGGGCGTCAAGGGCGGAGCGGGAGGCGGCCGAGCGATGAGTTGTCGGAGCATGCCGTCTCCGGCGCCTGGTCCTCCGGTGTTGCGCCGCGGAGTGCCGGGGACGGGCGGCAGCTGGTCATCAGACTCTTTTTCGTTCATGGTCCCGGACAGCGGAGCATGAAGCTGCTGGTGAGGGCAGGTGTGCTGCAAGTGCCTGGGAGCAGCAGCCGCAGCAGCAGCAACGAGGGAGGGCGCCTGGGGTCTGGACGGCGTCCTGCTCTTCCTCTTTCTCTGGAATCGGCGGATGCAGAGTCGCAGGACGACGACGGCGACGAAGATGGAGAGACCACCGGGGGCGGCAGACCAAAAGGGGGTGGTGGGTGGCTGGTCTCTCAAGTAGTCGGCGCCGAGGCGGTTGGTAGTCGCGACGGGTGGCATGGTGTCAGCGTCGAGCGAGCGAGAGAGCGAGCAGCAACTGTGGGACTCGGTGAAACGGTGGGATCAAATGGATGCTCGTTCCCTCTAGCCGGGCCAGGGAGGGCTCAGCCGCGATAATTACGACGGTCTGTCTGGTTGGTACCGGTACTTGTCGGTGATGCGGCCCTTGACCTGTCTTTGATGTCCACCTCAGCTTGGGGATCCTTTCCGCAAGGAGAAGGCGAGGCTGGGCTAACTGATGATGCTCAATAACGGGAGGGCTGACTGTTTTTTTATTCGAGAGGCGCGCTCGGGTGAAGTGAGGAATGATTAGGTGAGGACAGGGACCTGGGTGTGGGAGTCCGGCAATGATTTGATGCGATGGAAGTCGAAGGAGCCGTGGTTTAATGAGCTCAAGTACGTCGTCGCACATGGCCTGCTCAAATAGGGACTGGCTAGAGCAACGAGAAAACTATCCTCTCCTGGCGACACCATCACGGGTTCGAATTTGCATGCACCATGATGGGCCGTTTCGTTGATGGTAGCTGAGGATGCATTGATCGATGGCGCCGCGAAATTGATGAGTCGCCCCTCGCATGACCGGATTCAGCTACGGGCTTTTGCACGGGGGCAGGTTTTCAGCTCAGGCCTCGCGGCCGCGACGTCAGTGGGCACGCCCGTTCCGTGCGGCCTGGCGTGGCGTGTGGCGCTGCCATTGATTCGGATGCGCGCTAGCGGCGGCCCAGTCTTGCTCCAGCTGGTGTTTAATCTTGATTGTACGTAGGGAGTGAGTACTATTATTGGTATTATTATTATTATTATTATTATTACATGAGAGCGAATTAGTAGAATCCAGTCTCTGGCATGCAGCGTCGCAGCCTGTCTTGCGAAACGCGGCTGCCAGCCTCCAGGCTCCAGTGCAGGACTGGGCCTTGTGTCGCTAATTACAGAGCTGAGAGCGCCGTCCAGCAGACCCCTGCCGCTGGCACATGGCCACGAGCCTAAAACGTCAACTAGTTTGGGCAGCGTGAAAGGCCATTGGGCGCGCGCAAGAGTCATGGTGCTAGTGAAGCAACTATCGACGCTGGCAGAGATGGCGCCAGCGGATCGACAGAAAGAACGGCGATGGAAGCCTGGAAGATTTCGACGCCAGTCCAGTCGCAGGCTCAGATGGGACCAGAGGCTACATGCGTGTAAGTACGTAGAGCTGGCCAGGTACTCCGTACAGTGGTACACACCAGCGCGGGAGCAGGCAGCTTCACCTCACTCACCTATTGTCGCCATCCGTCTACCAGTCACCTACAGTTCTTGTGAACACTGCAGTGGAAAAAACGAGACCAAGAATTCGCCAATACCCCACAGACAAAACCTCGATGCACCATGCAGGCAATGGTGGGCCAACTACGGATGCGGACTCGCGATGCGCCTATGCGTGTCTTCGATGACCTCTCATTGTCCACTGTAAGCTATCAGGTGCATCCTGTCACGACAGCGCGGCCTGCGTCTACCACTGCAGCGCTCAGCTTGCCAGCATGTGCGCAATTACACCAACGACGACCAACGCCACCGCGACACTTGTTGAATCCTCCTCGACAAAACTCTAGGTCGATGGTGCCCGCCTCGCATATACTAAGATCTTGGCCAGAGTGCAGCATGCTGCAGCCTGCAGGTTGTTCCTCGACCTGTCGCAGCCTTCACTAGGAGTTCTTAGACTAGGGAAAAGCGGGTTGTCAGCTGGCTTCTCACCACCTTCTTCCACTTCCAGGCACCGCCATTGCTGGCAATTTTTCAAGTCTGCGGTCCATGGCTTCCTGCAACTCCCGAACCGTGAACAGCTTTCCGATTTTTTTTTCTTGTTTGTTTTTGCGTCCCTCGGACACGGACTCGCTTCTACGTAGCACCTCACCAAGTTAGACTCTTGCCACCTGACGACGGCGACAACGACGACAACGACGACGACTGCGGTGCTCGTGTGACGGATCCGACTCGTCGAAAAGCCCTTTCCCCCTCGGCTATTTCCTATCACAGAACGTCTGACCCACAGCTGAGCCTCTACCGATGACGCGACAAGATGGCCATGCTGCGCCCAGCCTCATTCTGCACAGAGAGAGACACGGAGTGCAAGCACAGGAGTCGCAGCATCATCCTGTAGCACGCGTCGAAAAGCGCCGCAATCTGCCGGCAAGCTCGTGTCGACGAGGCTGGGAATTGAATCCCACCGTGTAGAGGAGGCCGTATCTCAGCCCTACAAGTATGCAGGCACCTAACCCCTGTCTGGAACATGCCAGCGGGCGCACCCTTGACCCTGCAGGCCTCCCGCCTGCAGTCCCCTCACCCGCTGGCCACAGCACCTCACCTACGGAGTACGTAAATCTACTACGTATTGGCTCTCACCATCTTCACAATGGACAGCGGGCGCCGCGGGACATGTTCAAGTCCGTAAGCGGCATATATGGCCAGGGCTCATGGATCTGGGTCCGATCGCGGGCAGGCTTACGACCTATGGCCATGGGTGTCAAGGCGGGACGGTCACAGGGCTGACCTATCCACATCTTGACTTCACCTGACTCTCCTTCCATGCATGGATGACAGGAGCTATTAGTCTTGTCAGACGCCATTCTGCATCATGAAGCCCGACGGGGCTGGCAATCGTGGGGCTGGCTGTGCTGACAGCACGAGGTCGGGCTCAGATATGGAACGCTCGGATCTTGTAGCGATTCGGGTCCAGTCATCCTCAAAGGATCATGCAGAAGACGTAACTTGGTCCATTTCAGCCCTGTTTGTAGTGGTACATGGCCTCGACTAGCCTGCTTGGCTCCAGTCGCTCCTCCACTTAGTTCAGCCACCCCTTGGGACCGCCCCATGTCCCCTTGACCATGTTGTTGTAGTACACCCACGGGAAAAAGTCTTTTTTGAGGTGGTAGAAGGACCGCCTAGGCTCCGCCTGGTCAATGCCAAAGACGTCGCCAAACGTCTCCTTGGGCACACCGCCATACTTGAACTCGGCCAGCAGCACCTTGCCGTACTCCGTCAGCAGCGGGCAGGACGTGTACCCGTCGTACCCGTTCTCCACAGGCTTGCCGTCCATGGTGTTCAGGATGTTGTTGACGATGACGGGCGCCTGCGCCGTCACGGCCGCCGCCGTCTTCGAGGTCGGCAGCGACGAGGCGTCGCCCGACGACCAAATGTTTGCGTACTTTTTGTGCTGCGCCGAGTTGTCGTGGACGTCCACATAGCCCGCCTCGTTGGCAATCGGGCTGTCCTTGACAAAGGCGTGGGGGCCCATCTTGGGCACGACGTGCAGGAGGTCAAACGGCCTCTCCACCTTGTCCTGCCCGTCCGGTCGCGCAAACACGGCCTTGTCGCCGTTGATCGAGACGAGGTCGTGGAAGAAAAGGCCCTCGACGCCGCGCTCCTTGCGCAGCTGCTCCAGCTTGGCCGCGTACTTGGGCACGGCGAACATGCCGCCCAGCCCGGACGCAAAGGTAATGTCCACGTCGGACGGGCCGTCGGTCTTGTACAGGCCTGCCTGGCGCCAGTGGTCTAGCGCGAGCCACATGACCTTTTGCGGCGCGCCCGCGCACTTGATCGCGCCGGCTGGCTGCGTGAAGATGGCGCGGCCCTTGCTCGTCTTGGAAATGTCCCTCCACAGCTTGTCGACGGACTCGTAGCCGTAGATGGACGAGACAGGCGTCGCCGCGTCGGCCAGGGCCTCTGGCAGCCCACTCACGCTGCCAAAGTCCACCTTGACACCGGGCGCCACGAGCAGATGCTCATACTGGAGGGACTGGCCGCTGCCCAGACGGACGGCATTGTCCTCCGGCTTGAAGCTCCCCACCGACGTGTTGTAAAACTTGAACTTGGGGTCGACCAGGTCCGTCATCCGCCGCCGGAGCTCTTCCTTGGTCTTGAGCCCGCCCCCGACGAGCGTCCAGCCGGGCTGGTAGTGATGCCACTCGGCGGGGTCGACGACGGCAATGTCCTGGTCCTTGAAGCGGCCCGTGCCTAGCAGCTGGTGGGCGATGCTGAGACCTGCCGTGCCAGCACCGACGACGACCACCTTGTGCGCGGACGACGACGACGCTGGCGCGACGGTGGCAAAGGAGCGACGCGCAGCCACGCTGGCGAGACGTGTGGGAAACATGCTGCAGTGGACAGTGAAACAAGAACTGCTGTTAAAGAGTGAGGGCGGGACAGTGGAAAAACAACAGTGAACATAAGGTGAGTGTGGTGAGACGTCGCCGTGGCCCTTTTGCCGGGCGGATTGCGTGATTTCTAGCAATATTTCAAAGCCGGCCGGCACCCGTCCCGGCGGGAACCCAGTTTTTACCCGTTACAGTTTGCGTTGACGGGAGAACGACATCATGGACTGAACAAACATCGTTTCATTAATCAATCCAAGAAATAGTTTGTATCGATGCGCTTGTCAACAATCATGCCACTAAAGACAAAGAACCCTCTATGCCCTCACGTCCATGGCGTCACCACCATCCATGGGCACGCCATCCAGCGCGGGTAGCCCATCCAGGTCGGGCACCTCCCGCTGCTCCTCCATCATCTCAATGAGACTGTCAAGGTTGAGATCCAGGTTCTCCCCGTCCATGGGATCGAGGCACGTCTTGAGCAGTCGTCTGTACCGCTCAATCTTGTCGCCCGTGCCGACCATGCTGAGTGCGTCGACGTACTCCGACTCGACCTGCCGCCTCTCCCCCAGTAGTTGTGACAGCTGCTGCGCCAGCAACAGCTTCTCCTCGCTCGTCTCCTTTTGTGTCGACGCGTCGCCGTTGACCTTGCTTAGCTCCGCGTCGACGGTGTCGCGTATGCGGAGCTGGTTGTGGTAGGTGATCAGTTCCAGCGCCTGGTGCTTAGCCAGGTTGGCGTCGCTCATAATCTTGTTGGCTGCGTCGTCCGCCTCCAGCTGGCTCTCCAGCTCGGCAATCTGCTGCCGCGTGGTTGAAAGCTCGGCCTGAGAGTTGTGCAGGATACGCTTTGCTTCCACTTCGGCGACATCTTTCTGCTGAAACTCCTCCTCGTAGCTCTTAGCCAGGTCCTGGAATTTCTCGAGTATCAGCGGCGAGATATGTGACTGGACGGTGTTGGCCGCTGCCGACGAAAAGGCGACGACCGGTCTCTTCGCCTTCTCGGCAAAGGCATCCCTAAACGACGCGTGTCGATGCGAGTCCGGCGCGAATGGTGAGGATGACCGTTGCGGGCCCCTGTCTCGCTTGCTGGCGTTGAGCTCCTTGATGAGATCTTCTGCTCTCACGCCCTCATTGTTGGGCATGTCGGTTGATGCATTGCGTCCTAGCAGTGCTCTTATGCACTTTCGGGCATTTCGCTGCGCGGCCAGGTGGAGCGCCGTATTGCCCTCTTGATTCTGTGCGTCGAGGAAATGCTGGAAGTCGCCCGGATCCATGACCTCGCCAAGCTTATTGAGGATGTTATCAAGGTAGTATCTCGAACACGAGTGGCTGTACATGCGCCCATTCTTCATGATCGCGGCATGGTGTATCACCGTACACCCCTCATTATCTTTCGCATCGACCGTCTCGAATAGTTCCTGCAGCACTTGGGGAAACGTCTGCTTCTCAAAGCAGTTTGTAAAGTTGAGTGAGCGCATAAAGGGAGTCTCCCCCCGGATATTCCTCGCCGACACATTGGCGTTGAACCGTTTGAGCTGTTTGATCACATCCACGTCGCCCATGGCAGACGCCCAATGCAGCGCGGTATGGTTCTCCTCGTCGATCGGCCAATCGGGCTGAAAGTTCGGGGGCGGATCCGGCTTGACGGCTGGATGCTCATTGTGCGCCAGCAGAAAGTAATCTAGCAACTCATCGCCATAGAGCGAATGCTGCTGTTCCGTCATGTCTTGAATCTGCTCCTCTCTCTTGCGCTTGCGATGCCCAGTCGAGATATGCGGCATGTCGAACCGGTCGTCTTCGGCCATGTACGACGCCGAGGCTGTGGTCAGGTTGTCTGGTGTATCGTCCCCCATGAACGTGTCAGCGCCATTGTCATAGTCCTCCACAATAGGGCCCGCATTGTCTGTCGCAGCTAGGACTTGTGTGTTTTTCGGGTGAGAACTTGACGCCTTGCTGTTCCATCGGGGCACGGGCGGTTTGGCCTTTGGCACCTTCGGTTTGCTGGCGTGTCGCGGCGCAGGTGGCGGGCTCTCATTGCCGGGTCGGTACTCGAATATGGGACGGAGCTGGTCGTAGACGCTATGTCGCTGCGCGAGGGATTCGGCGGACTCGAGTGGGATCCATGTGCCTTGATATTTGCCGTAGCCGCCCTGGATTTTCTCGTGCACATCCTTCTGGACGTCGCGCTCAAGGATGCGGGTACGTGCGGGTTTGTCAAAGCCGGCTGCCTTGAGAACGTGCGTCGCATTGATCCAATCGTCATGGCGCCGGCGCATGACATGTTCCTTGAGGTCCAGGCCGAATTGAAACTCGTAAACGGGAATCTGCTGAGTTAGACGGGCAAGCTGCAGGAGTGAGGACGACGACGTACACCACTATACGTGGCACTGTAAATGCCTGGGCCCCCAGTCTTGACCATGATGGCGATTTGCTGGGGCAGCAATTGATTGATCGGATAACGTGTGAATATTGCGCAGTGCTGGCAGCTCGGTATCTGGCACGTTCGTGACGCGAAACTCAGTGGGCGACGCGCATCACGCGAAGCACTTTAAGTGTTGAGCCTCCGGAGCGTGGGTGGGTGGGCGGTGGCTGATGCAGTGGCTGGTGCGCCCTCCTCCAGGTACGACTCGTCCGCCACACGTGATGGCGCCTCCTGACTCGACTCGACCCCCGTACTGACGGAACGCCAACGCGTCTGGCGGGAGAGCGTCCTCAGGTGAAAGTCAATAAAAAAGGACGAGCTGCCAATCAACAGCAACGAACAGTGCGTCTACTGACTCAATTCCGTCCCGACGACCTACGCAAACACCATAACACTGCGCCCCGACTTTTACACGCTCGCCCCTTGCGTTGTACCTTACCACGAGCACACCATTGTCGAGTCGGTGGCCTGTGCTGCGATTCATTGTCCCTCGAGGGCCTCAAGAAGGCGTCGTGGGACGTTGAGGCGGGCTACTACATCCTCCTTCTGCCCCCCTTTTCCAAAGCACATGATACGACGATATGGGTGACTCTCATCTTCAAGCAGCCGTCGTGCTGGACAATGGCTCGGGCACCATTCGCGCAGGTTTCGCGGGAGGTGAGATGCCCGACACCTACTTCCCTGCGTTCGTAGGGCGGCCGAAGCATTTGCGCGTGCTCGCCGGTGCGCTGGAAGGCGACGTGTTCATTGGGAAGCATGCAGAGAACGAAATGAGGGGCCTTCTCAAGATCAAGTACCCGCTGGCCCATGGTATTGTGACGGATTGGGACGATATGGAGCGGATCTGGGAATACGTCTATAGCGACGCACTCAAGACCATGAGTGAAGATGTGAGCAGCAGCGGCCTCGCCCGGGAAAAGGGACATGTACTGACTGGCGCAGCACCCTGTACTGTTGACCGAGCCCCCTCTGAACCCCCGAAGCAATCGCGACACGGCCGCCCAGATCCTCTTTGAGACCTTCAACGTACCGACCCTCCACACAGCCATGCAGGCCATCCTATCACTATACGCCAGTGGACGGACGACGGGCATCGTGCTCGACTCGGGCGACGGCGTGTCGCACGCGGTGCCCGTCTACGAAGGCTTTTCCGTCCAGAACAGCATCCGCCGTGTCGACGTGGCGGGGCGAGACGTGACCGAATATCTGCAGATGCTGCTGCGCAAGAGCGGCCACGTCTTCCACACGAGTGCCGAGAAGGAGATTGTGCGTCTCATCAAGGAGCAGCTGTCCTACGTGGCGCACGATCCTCGCAAGGAGGAGCGCGAGTGGTTCGGCCCCAAACACAGCGAGAGCAAGATGGGCGAGTACAAATTACCAGATGGCAACAAGCTCAAGGTCGGGGCGGAGCGCTTCCGCGCACCGGAGATCCTCTTCGACCCGGAGATCATCGGCCTCGAGTACCCAGGCCTTCACCAGATCGTGGTGGACTCGATTAGCCGCGCGGATCTGGACCTGCGCAAGTCGCTGTACAGCAACATTGTGCTGTCGGGCGGCAGCACGATGATCAAGGGATTCCCGGACCGACTGCTCTCCGAGGTCCAGAAGCTGGCGCCCAAGGACATGCGGCTCAAGATCTTCGCGCCGCCCGAGCGAAAGTTTACCACATGGATCGGCGGGAGTATCCTGGCGCAGCTGAGCACGTTCAAGAAGGTATGTTTGTGGTCGCAATGTCCCCCTCCTTTTCTTCTCGACACTAATGTATCCAGATGTGGGTGACAATTGACGACTGGCACGAGGACCCCGACTGCATCCATGCGAAATTTATATAAGATCTGTTGTTATTTGTAATATGCACACTGAGGGAGCAGGGGCGTATCGCAGCATCCATTGTCAGTAGAGTCAAGATACCCAAGTTGTAACCATAAAGGGACGAAGCGATTCAGTGTGTTGTCATCTTGACATGTGTCATTATTCATTCATACAAACAAAAGCCCAGTCCTTCCTTCGCCTTTCTTGTGGGGGGGTATAATGAAAGTTCACCAGAGAAACACCGGAAAATCAATGCCCTTTTTTTCCAGGATCCCGTTCGCTCTGAGGTACCCAAGTGTGAACGCCAAATCAATCGCTCATGCCATAGCCCTTCTCTTCCTGTTTTTTTGTGTCGTTTTTTTTGCAAACAGAGCAAAAGCTATTGCTTGCCAGTCACCTTGGCCCAGAGCTTGGCCCTGCTGCCGGCGCTGCTGACGGAGCTGGCGTCGGAGACTTGGCTAGAGGCGTCGCTGCCCTTTCGCCTGTAGACGTTGCCAGCACCGCCGATGCCGCAGTGGCCCATGAAGTTCTCCTCGCGCGCCGTGCGGCGGCGGAGCTCGTCGTCGAGGGTGGCCGAGGCACTGGGGCGCTCAGACGCCTTGTGGACGTTGCCAGCGCCGCCCACGCCGGAGAAGAAGCGACGTGGAGAGGACGACGCGGGTGCTGGTGAGGTGGTGATGGTGGTGCTGGTGGGCTGGGGGGACGCGCGAAAGGTGTTGCCAGCGCCGCCGCGGCCCGAGCGAATGTAGGAAGTTGTGCTCGGGGCGGGTTCGGTGAGGATGTAGGAAGGCATTGTGACGGTGGTTAGGCACGGACAGATGTGCTGTGTTGTTGAGGTGTTGCGGTGGTTGTAGAGCTGGTGCGTGGCTTCTGGTGGACAGCTTCAGGAGAGTGAGATGAGGAGCAAGATGTGAGAACACAACGAGCACCGAGGCAGGGCAACGAGAAGCTTGGATTATATAGCATCAGGCACGATGATGCGATGAAGCTTGATAGCTAGTGCAATTACGGGTAGGCCCGAGTCAACAGGTCAGCCGACACTCAAAAAAAAAAAAAAAGCTCTTCTGTCCATTACATCGTGAGATCCTCGCTCGGGGCGTGTGCTGGATCGTCTGCACAAGGGATCGAGCCTTCCCCGCAAGTGCAAATCAAGGTATCCATTCAAGACAGACACTGTGAGCATGGTGCACACAAGCGCTAGCAGAAACAGTGAGGCCTGGTCAAGCGAGACTGTGTAGAAACGTCACAAGACCTCATCCCCCTGGAAAAGGGGAGTTTGAAAACGTAAATTTTATCCCATGGAAACATGGCTCCGCATTTGGAGCAGAGGGTCGGTCTAGCGGTTAACTGCAAAGCGTGAGGACGCTGAGGAGTCGGCAAATTTTGCCCGGCCAACCAGCGGTTTTCTGGGGGTAATGGGAATTGGGCCCAGATGGGGCCGGAATTGCATCATGGCCGGCATGGATGGTGCGCGTGACGGTCAGGCGCTTCACTTCAGGCGCCAGGGGCCGATGACGAGTGTTGCGGTCTGCACTTCTTCAGCTCGAGATGGAGCTTGGTCGGACGTGACTGCGTTGGCGACTCGCATGCCAGGTGACCGCGTGGCCTGGCTGAGTGTGCCTTCTCACGCGCACGGATCCGGTCAACAAAATTGCAATGCCGATGCGAGGCGCTTCGCGAAGCTGCACGCAGCACAGTTATTGGTGGGCCCGCAGCGCAAAAAATTCTTGAGTCTCGGGCGGCTCCGATTTGAAGTCTGGGGAAGTGGGTCTCTCAGGTCCGGATTGTCAGGGAGGCCAGCACGCCCTGTCCACGCCAGTCCTCCCAAAGTACGCTTCTTGACAATGTGTATTGAGGAGGCCCGTCAACAACAGACCAGAGAAGATAGCTTGACATGGCTCAAGAAGTGTTGACGTGGAGTTGTTGGCGAGTGTCATCGTCATCTTCAGGACCAGAGCATGGCTTCATATTTGAACATCTCAGATGGTCGCAGGCACGGAAACGTAAGGGTCACTCAAAGACATCCGAACCCGTCCCCCCCCCCCGGATCTACCTGTCAGATCCGATCTCGCATATAGCGCGCAGAGATAGGCGGGAAAGTGTATCGACGACTGGTGGCCATGGCCTCCTGGGTGAGAATAGACCTCGTTGCGGGCGCTGCCATGCGACAAGGCCAGGGGCTGCCAGGGCCCATTAGGTAATAACACGAAGGAACAGCGAGTCGTACGTAGACGCCACAAGCAGATGAGATCTCGGAAAGGCTACTGTGAATGCTTTTATCCGTGTGAGTAGCTAGTAGCTATGGAAGTAGCCGACAGCTTGTGCACCCGTTGCTCGTTGGTCAGATTTAGGTCTTGATCTGCGAAGCTTCCTGAGGCTGGATTCCAAGCGAATGAAAGCATTGTCATGACGAGAGCCGGATTATGGAGGGCGGCGTTCTCATCCGAGAATTTCTGTACGGTGTCTCGAGACTAAGACGTACTAGACACTCAAGAGTCCCAACACAGCACAGCGTTAGCCAGCGAGATTTCACCAGTCGGGTACTGTGGGAATCTCACAAGAAAAGTCATTCCGAAGGGAATATGAAAAAACGATCATCGCTTTGTAACGATGGTCTTGAAGCCTGTGCTGATGAGATCGGAGCGTGAGCGCTTCTGGTCAGTTGAGCCGTGCTGAACCAGGTATTCTGCTAACATTGCCCACACAAGATATATGACGTGCCTGAGATGGGGAGAATACTACCCCAAAATGATAAATAGTAATCTCTGCATATGCGTAGGCTCCTATATAGATGCAGCCATCCCCCCTATCATTGATGTGCTTACATATGCAGTAAGCCTGCGTAGGGTAAGCATTCGACGATGGCAGCACTGTTATTACAACTGCACATGCCAGAAACCTCTGGAACCCCACCACTTCACTGCCATAATAAGAGTCATTCATGTCCCCGCTTCACCTTGGTATTCACTCACAAACCACATCGAATTGCGACAGCTACCACTAACATGTCCGACAAAGTCCACACTATCAACTCTGTCGGCGAGCTCGACGCCCTGCTCGCCAGTCACACCTACGTCGCCGTCGACTTCACCGCGACCTGGTGCGGACCCTGCAAGACCATCAGCCCCGTCTTTGCCAACCTGGCCAAGACGCACGCCGTCGACGCGCACTTTGCTCTCGCCAAGGTCGATGTCGACGCTGTCCAGGAGGCGGCGCAGCGGTACCGCATCAGCGCCATGCCGACGTTCATGTTCTTCAAGGAGGGGAAGCAGGTGGCTGTGAATGGACAGGCCATGATCAGGGGTGCGGACCCCAGGGCTCTGGGCGCGGCAGTGGAGAAAGTGAGCGCCCTGGCCGCGAAGAGGGCCGGGGAAGCTTGATGAAGAATCATGTCAAAGGGAGGAAAAAAAAAACACCACCATTTCGACGTTATTACGCCGCCCTGGGCCGCCGAGGGCTCTCTAGCTGATACCCTATTCCATTCCCATAGACCGTTTCACCCACCCCAACGCCGGCGCAGAGACCAATAAACCAAAAAACGAAAACAAAACCAAAACCAACTACTTGAGCATCAAATACTTTTCCTTAGGCGTCTCCGAAACACATCCACCCGAACAAGCTCACGGTGCTACCCAGAACCAGGAATGTCAGGATTCCTGCGCCAGCGCGGTCAGCGGTGGTGATCTTTGTGGTGGTGGACTCGTCACCACCAGCTGTTGGGTCGCCCTCGCTGGAGCCGCCGGTCGATTTCGACACCGTGCCATGGGTCTCCGTGATGAGCAGTGATGAGACCGCGCCAAGGGCGTTCATCTGCGGCCCAACGCCCATGATGCCATCAAACTGACCCGCCGCCCAACTGAAGCCGCACTGACGCCCATTGTCACCACCGGTGCAGACCTTGATGGATGCCTCTGCCGACGTCTTGAGCACAGGCAGGACCTTGTCGCGCAGAAAGGGGGCCACCGACGTCGAGGTGGCGTACCACCGGTGCAGATAGCCCTTGAAGGATTTCATGTCCGTGGTGCACGTCTTGGAGGTCTCGCACTGGGGCTCGTAGGCAATGCCGTTGGGGAAGAACGTAGCGAATCCGTGGTCGACCAGCTTGTTCACCCGCCCCTCCCACTTTGACGAGCCGTTTGTGTAATTGTACATGTACGCGGCGCCCAGGGTGAAGACGGCATTGTTGTAAGAGTACTCTTCCTCGTTGATCTTGGTGCAATTGTCCTCGACGTGCGCGCCATCGTACAGTGCGTCGTTGTTCTTGCCCATATACCCGACGCCCTCGACCCAGTCCCAGACCTTCTCCGCCCAGTCGGCATACGTGTCGTTGTGAGTATAGCGAGCGAGCCGGGCGGCAATGTTGAAGAAGCAGCCATTGGCGATGGAGTTCTTGTAGTTGTAGCCCACGTTGGAGAAGGGGACCTGCCAGCGCAGACCACCGCCGCAGGTATCCGTCTGCCAGCGCTCGGGACTCGCCATGTCGTTGAAGACACCCTGCGCCAGGGCGACCCATTGCGGCTTGTCGGCTGGCGGGTTGGTGAAGTTGTTCTCGGCCGCGGTTAAGGCCGTCATACCCCAGAAACCTTGATCGTCATTTCCCATGGACAGCGTGTAGTTGGGGTCCATAAAGTTCTTCTGCGGCCCGGACTGGAACTGGATGCCTTCCATGATCAAGTCGTTGTAAGCGTCGTCGCCGGTGAGGAACCAATAGTCGAGAAGCGTCCCCCACATCGCACCCGCCTCCCACCAGTAGTACGGACCTAGCCCCGAAGCAGGCGGTCCGGGCAGGATGCCCGGCGTCTGTCCCGTTTCGTTGCCATGATAGTATTGAAGGAGGTCCCAGGCGACGGAGGCCGCCGTCTTCTTGATGTCGTCGTCGCTCGCGATGGAGAATTGCTGGGCGGTAACAGCTGTCGCCAGAGCTAGAACTGATGATAGCTTCATGGCTGCGCTATGCGCCCGGATGATGGGTTGGCGAGATGCCTGGTTGGAGTATCGGGGGAGCCAATGTCCGACTGTGGTGTAGAAGCGAGTGATTTCTGGACGTGACACCAAGTGAAGACAGCACGCGCAATTGCTAAAATTCAATTGTTGCAAAAGGCAAAGATGCAGCAAGTGCGAGGTCAACACGAGACGGCGAACAGGAATGCTAAGCCGGTTCGACAGCCCTCGCACACAACGGGCCTGGACTAGTACATAGTAAGTAAGGTACGTATCGCCTTTGCGAGCGCATGCATCATGCCCCGGATAGTCGGCCGGCGCATTACGAGGGCGCCCTCGGGAATGCTGTGGTGCTGGTTTGGCTAGAGGCGCCACGGAACTCAGATGCCGAATGGTGCGTCACGCAAAGTTCGAATCAAGGGAGGCCGCCCCGCTTGGGGAAGCGATCGACCTGTCCATGCCACCGAACAGACTGCGCGCGGTCTTTGGGGCTTTCAATACTCAGAGTGCGATTCTTTTCTGGAGGAGAGAAACGTCTACGTCGAAAGCCACGCATGCTGCTTCGTGGAGAGGGAAACTAGACTAGGACCTGGTTGACGTCTGCTGCCAAGACCGGCTGTTGGCTGCCGATCGACAAGACGCCCGCGCTTGGCGAAACCCAGGCGTCCGGTTGGGCAGCGTGCAAGCAGCAAACTCCTGGGAATGATGGCATGCATTGAGCTCGACGACACGAGCGAGGCGCGCACATTTCGAGCTGCACTGCCTCTTGGCTAGAAATGAACGGATGCTGTCAACACCGCCCCGTACGGTGCGGGTAAAGTGTGGAGAGAAGCTTGGGATCGCCCACAAGACTCCCATTAAGAGCATCTGCTGTCGCAAGCATTGCGCGTATACGAAGTGAAGGGCCGCTTCGTTAGTCACGGTGGTTCCAGCCGCAGCACGAGAGCTTCTTGTCCAGATGCAGCGGGTGAACAATGTTCCGTGAAAGATGGGGGCACCTTCCGCCGCTCCAATCAGACACGGTCGCGAAATCAGGGGCCCAATGATCAAGGTGTCCTTTCAGTTTCAGGACAGCGCCCCGAGGCATTGCGGCCAAAGATCAATAGCCAGACGCTTTCCTGACTGGCTGAATCCTTTTCGACGTCCGACGCAACGCACGTCTTCCAGCAACAGTTCCATTGCCTCAGCGCGACGGGTGATGCGGTAAGGACAAGTCACAGCAGACACCGGGGGTTCCAAGTTGGAGTGCTGCCTCCAAAACCACCCCACCATCAAAAATGGACGGTTACAACGAGAAGCGTCTCGACGACGATGCGTTTGGCGCCAAGGGGAGCATCGTCAGCGCCTTTGACGCCTTCCGTAAGCGACTGCCCGGGCCAGCTTGAGGAGGGAAACCTGCTGACCACCAGCAGCCAAGAGCAAACCTCAGTATGTCACTCGCACATCCGACGGCGGGAAATGGACCGTCGCCATGATGGTCTTCTCCATCCTCTTCGTCTGGGCCGAGGCCTCGCGGTGGTGGAACGGCTATGAAAGCCACAACTTTGCGGTCGAAAAGGGCATTAGCCACCAGATGCAGGTCAACCTCGACATTGTCGTCAAGATGCAGTGCGCCGACCTTCATGTCAACGTGCAGGACGCGGCGGGCGATCTTATCCTCGCGGCCAACAAGCTGCAGAAAGACCGGACGAGGTGGGCCGAGTGGGTAGACGGCGAGGGCGTGCACAAGCTCGGCCGTGATGCGCACGGCAGGGTCAACACTGGCGCTGGGTGGAAGAACCTGGTGCACGACGACGGTTTTGGCGAGGAGCACGTTCACGACATTGTGCGCCTGGGCAAGAAGAAGGCCAAGTGGGCCAAGACGCCCCGTGTCAAGGGACGCGCGGACAGCTGCCGACTGTACGGCTCCCTGGACTTGAACAAGGTGCAGGGCGATTTCCACATCACGGCTCGTGGGCACGGCTATATGGACATGGGCGAACAGACGCATCTCGACCATAACAGCTTCAACTTCAGCCACATCATCTCGGAACTGAGCTACGGTCCATTCTACCCGTCCCTGGTGAACCCGCTCGACAGGACGGTCAACACGGCCGAGACCAACTTCCACAAGTTCCAGTACATGCTGAGTCTGGTGCCGACAGAGTACACGCACGGCAGCCACAAGATTACGACGAACCAGTACGCCGTAACGGAGCAGAGCAAGGCCGTCAGGGACCGTAGTGTGCCCGGCATCTTCTTCAAATACGACATTGAGCCCATCACGCTGGCCGTCAGGGAACACCGTGACAGCTTCTTGCGGTTCTTGATCAGAATCATCAACGTGGTCAGCGGTGTCCTGGTGGCTGGTCACTGGGGCTTCACCCTGAGCGACTGGGTGAAGGACGTCATTGGGAGGAAAAGACGCAGCGGGGGCGGTACCGGGTTCATTGGCACAAAGGATGGCTACGACGAGTAGCTTACTGCATTTCGAGAGCATTTGGAGGCGTAGGCGTTAATTATCCAAAATAATTTCAGTATACACATCCATTCGCTGTAACGCCAAACCCATGTCCACCCACCCACTCCTGTCCCTATGAAATGCGAGAACATCAAAGAAGCAAACGCTACTCGTCGTCTGCCGGGAGATCCGGCTTCTGCCCGTACACCACGAGCACATGCCAGTAGGCCTTGATCGTCGGATCCCGCATGTCCTTCCTCACTGCTGGCAAATAGGCAAGCACCTCCTCTTGGGTCCAGCCGTGCCCTCTCGTGAGCAGGGCCATGCTCAAGCCTTCCAGTGAGCGGTCAATGTTGAAATGCGTCCAGTTCCCAATGTTCTTGAGATACTTGCTGCTGGGCCAGTCTTTATTGGTCGGCCACTTGAAGCTCTTTTCCACGACGTTGATGAAGCCCCGGTCGCGCAGCCGCTGCCTGTGGTCCTTCGCATCGGCCAAGGACCGGCCGAATTTCCGGGAAGCCTGCAGGAGTAGTTGGGACCATTCATACAGAGTGTGCTCGGGGGTCAGTGACCCGTCGTCGCAGCCCAGGGGGAACACACTGTCGACCATCTCAACCCAGCCATTCGGGTTCAGGTGGCTCTTCTGGTTAGCCATGGCGCGGCCCGCACATGTCGAATCTACTCACTCCCAGCAATTCCTCGTGTAGGCAGTCCAGTCAGCGAAGGAGGCGTTCATCATGCGGCTGAAGATGTAGTCGAATGGCTCCGTCCACGTCCATTCTTGTTCCAAGTCGTCGATTTCGAAACGACAATTCGGAGGCACACTGGTGGTTAACGGGCGGAACAGCTATACTTGGGAACCCGGAGCTTACTAGGGAGGTTGGATGGGGGCAATGTCAACACCGTAGACTTCGGCGTTGGGGTATTCTTCGGCTGGCTTGGTGAGATACAGGGACAACAGTGGTTTGGACTTTTATCACACTTACCAAAATCTATTGCCCATATGCCGGTGCCGGTCCCTGCGTCAAGCACTCGCTTGGCCGTTGGCGCGCCCAGCGCAAAGCACAGGCGGTTGTAGAATGTCTGTAAGAAATGCTCGTGTTGAACGTCTGCGTCAATCAGTCGGTCAGAAATGTGCGGCGGCTGACTCGGAAACGTGGTGGACTCACCCAAGCGTTCACTCTCACCCTACAAGGGTTTAGTCAGATAGCAGTCGGGGGGTTAAGGCTGGCTACAAACACACCTCATCGCTGGGCAAGATGTATCCTGTTGTGCGTGTAAGTGGTTGTCTGAGACCACGAGGAGTGCCTTACTGCCTCGGTTGTACGCATGGTACAAACGTCCATTTTCCTCCTCCATCTCAAAAATACTGGAGCGCAGTGATGATGTCGAATTCGAATCATCGCTCTGTTCTATCCGTCAGTGGTCATGGACGCCACCTCAGGATACGGATGACACTCACCACCCCCAGAGCCGAGTCCGTATCTGAGCTGCCCAATGATGCCGCGACCTATGGGAATCAGCGACACGTACACAGGATGAGCTAATTGTGGTCGCACCGGCGGGCGTCCCCCTTCACCGGTGTCGATATCATCTTCCGGGGCCAGATCTCCCGAAGGCGCAAGAGGGGAGTGAGAAGGCGACTGCTCTAACCTGCTGACAGGCGTTTTCTCGCGACCCGCCATAGTGATCGGGAGGACATTGATGGACAGGCTGTCATAGGAAGTGCAACATTCACGCACGAGGTGCGTGTCGCCAGCAAGGATCTCGCACGTGTGGCCGAGGACCTGAGTGCTATCGACTGGAGGTTATCAGCTCCAGTCAGCCAGCCGCTGGCGCCGACTCGAGCTGCTCGATCTCCCCGCCCGGACCAGGTCGGCCCGTGCGTTCCCAACGGTAAGAGATTCGAGAATTGGACTCGACAGACGTGTCACTTGTTTGCTTTCATGTGATTGGCGAGTACCTGAGTATTGCCTTGCAGGAAACCAGGATAGTTGGTTACACAGGCCAACAGGTCGGACCATATCAATGTGCGAGCCCAACCAACACTCCATCCAGAACGGGTCACTGAACTCACGCCATCCCCGTCCGTTCGCCTGCTCTCATCTGCATTCGACATGCGCGGCGCCTGGATCACGTTGGCTTGCCTTCTAGGCGCCTATGTCGCCTTCTCGCGCTTTCGAGCCTGGCGGCGTCTAGCGCACATTCCCGGCCCCAAGATCGCCGGGTTCACTGATTTGTGGCTGATCTACAAGACATGGCGGGGTTCCTTGTTTGAGGACCTTGGTGAAGTCTGCAAGCGACACGGTAATTATTACACCTTCTCCTTCCCTCTCCCTGGTCGTTTCCCCCCACAATGCTGAGTTTGGAAAGGACCCCTGGCACGCATCGCGCCCAACCATGTCGTATGCGGCGATCCTCGCGAGGTGCGACGCCTCTGGGCCGTCCGCTCGCAGTTCGACCGTGCTCCATGGTACAAGGGCTTCCGCCTCGACCCGCCCAACGACTGCACGCTGTCCATGTGTGATGCCGACATACACACGGCTCTGCGCGCAAAGCTCGCCCCTGGCTACGGCGGTAAGGATATCGTCGGTCTGCACGAGCATATCGATGAGGGGATTGCACGCTTTGTCAAGCTTCTCGAGGACAAGTACCTCTCTACCCCAGACCAAGTGGTCAGCGTCGACTTTTCACGCAAGGTGCAGTACATGACCCTGGACATTATCTCCAAAATCGCCTTTGGTGAGGCGTTTGGATTCATGGACAATGATGCCGACTTTTTCCGCTACATCAAGACAACGGAGGACACCATACCGATGATGCAGATGTTCGCCCTCGTCCCATGGCTCGTGGATATCCTACAGGGACCCTTGGGCAAGAGCATGATGCCCACCGAGCGTGATGCTTTTGGCCTCGGTCCCATCATGGCGACTGCCAAGAGGGTCGTTGCCGAGCGTTTCGGCGAGAAGAAGGTGGACAAGCCCGACATGCTGGGGTCGTTTGTGAGGCATGGTCTGGACCAGAGGGAGGCGGAAGCCGAGTCCCTAGTCCAGATCATTGCGGGATCAGACACGACGGCCACGGCGCTGCGCACCATCATGACCCATGTCATGACCAACCTGGACGTCTATCGACGTCTGCAAGCCGAGATCGACCAAGGCATTGCGGAGGGCCGCATCTCGACGCCCATCACGGACGCCGAGGCCCGCAAGCTGCCGTATCTGCAGGGCTGCATCAAGGAGGGTTTCCGGATCTGGCCCCCCATCACTGGTGTGATGCCTCGCATTTCGGACGAGGACGCGACGGTCTGCGGCGTGCATATCCCTGCCGGCACCAACGTCGCGTGGTCTGCCCATGCTGCTCTGCGGGACAGGGAGGTATTCGGCGCTGACGCAGACTTTTACCGGCCTGATCGATGGGTGCGCGCCACGGAGGAGGAGTATCGCTTGATGGACAACTCCGTGGACCTTTGCTTTGGTTCGGGACGCTGGGGTTGCCTCGGGCGTCCCGTCGCTACGATTGAGCTCAACAAGATGGTGCCCGAGCTGCTGAGACGTTTTGACTTTGCTGCACTGAACACGGAGCGGCCTATTGTGAACAAGTTCCATGGCGTTCTCATCCAGCAAGATTTGGTCGTGCAGATCACGAAACGAGCTTGATGTGGGTTTGGAATACAAGCAGCGATGATTTGTTAGTGCACCTAGGCCTTGCGACAAGAAGCAAATAGCTCAAAGAATGATTTTTTACTTTCTTTCATGAAGACCTGGAGTGCCGGACAGCACCATGTGAATCTAAGATCAAGCCAACATCTGATTTCTAAAGAATCCTAACTTACATAGGTACATACTAAAGTTGTATGATCATGTGAACCCGATCAGTGGGCGCTGGACCCATCATGAATTCTCCTTAGCTCCGCCCTTCCCGCTGGACAGTCAGGCTACTGTGGACAGAGGCGTCGATATGGGCCCCATGACGACATCCCGACCGAGGACATGACTCTCACCAAGAACCTGCCACCAGAATTACGGAGGACCTACAATAGACTCCGGTTAGAATCGAATTGGAACGCGGGAGACGGAGTCTGCCGCGACTTTAGTCCCCTTTCATTAAGTAGCCTGTCGACGACGTTATGTAGAATTCATTGCTGATGAAAGCGCTATCACCTGCCCTAATGCCGTGACCAGTGATGCAACAGTCGGCTGCCTTACAGCCTGGTCACAAGGTGCTGTGCCGGTGCCCCAACGATTGGATGGAGATGGACATGTGCAAACTCGCATCAGCCACAAGTTGAGCTAGCTGCATATCACCTACGTGTGCGGACGTACGAAGGACGTGGATCTCGACCTACCGAAGAATACTTCCTGCAGGGTAGCTCTTACTGGGCTGCGTAACTGCATTTCTTGGGTAGTGGTGCCAAGTTTTGAGTATGACGACGCCTGACTGACGAAAGAGAGACTGGGCAGAAAGACACACAGATCAGATCATCCTTTCGCTCTCAGTCCATACCCAGCAGTATTCCGAACAAAGCGCACAATCCACGAGGCACCTCGAAAGGCGACCAGAGTCAGTCGACTTGACACTCGCTGCGACCCCCCTTCGCGGCTGACGGCATCGCACAAGGAAGGCCCCTCCATCTTCCCCTCCTCTGTCCACCCCAGCCTCCAGTCATCTTACTGCACATCATCCCTACCTTACGTATTGCGCATTTTTTGCATCATTCTGTTCACAGCGGTATCTTGAAGCGCTTGACATACCGCACAGGAGCGAACACCAGCAACTGTCCACTCGTGTCTACAACGACTTGCGATTTGTCCATTTTCATCCGCACCCAAGTTAGATTAGCGACACGGAGACTGGAGCTATGGGCGACGTCTACCGGGAGAGCCGGTACCGCGAGTACGATGATCGCTTATCTGACGACGAGCCATACAAATCCACGACAGTGCGTCGCTACAAGATCAAACCCAGTCGTGACGATCGTTATGAGCATCCAGATGTCGACGACGGACGCTCACGCTACTCGAGAGACACTCGTGGATGGGACGACAATCATGAATACGAACGAGAGCGTGAACGTCGCCCCGAGCGGCCCAGATCCGCGTTCGAGCCACACGTCGGAATGGCCTCCCAGTACGACGATCGCAGGAGTACCGTGCTCTATGACCGCGATGTGCTGGAGCGGGACTATGAGGCACAGAAAGAGGCTGATCGAGGCAAGATCACAGTGTACGAGGGCAAGGGAAGCGATTTTGACGACAGGCGAACAACCTTCACGCGACGCGACGATGGTGTGAGGGTCGAGCGACGAGTCGAGGACCGGTATGACGACCATGGATATGAGATCGACCATTACCGCAAGGAAACAGAGTACTACACCCGTCCATCACCACCGTCGTCGCCCGTCATTATCCGTGCCCCGCCGCGGGAGCCGCAGAAGATCTATGTCGAAGAGGCTCCTGCACCACCTCCTGTTGTCATCCCACGCCAGTCGAACCCTGGTGTCATGGTGGTTAGGGAGAAGGAGCGCGACCGAGAATTGGCGCGACGAGAGAGGCCCGAAGAAGACTATTACTATCGCCATACACGATACGAAGTCGGGCCACATGATCGGGACCGTGACCGTGATTGGGGCATGGCGAAATACGATCGTCATCGCCGTGACCATGATTACTCCGGTAGCGATGATGATTACTACGTACATCGGCGACGGGTGGTCCGGCGCGAACGCAGCGAAAGTCCGGAGAACCACAAGCGCACGCTGGCAGCCGGTGCCTTGGCTGGTGCTGGCATCACTGCGTTGATGAACAGCCGTCGCGATGAGTATGGCGACGTGCCCGACCACCGCGGGCGCAAGGTCATTGCGGGAAGCGCTCTGGGAGCACTGGGGACCGAAGCATTGCGTCGGGCTCACAGTGCGTACGAGGACCGCCACCGTGATCGCGACGATTCTCCAGATGACCACTCTCGGCTCAAAAAGGGCCTCGGCATAGCCGCCGTGGCCCTGGCCGCGGCTGGTGCTGCCAAGTACTATCAGTCTAACAAGGTGGACAAAGAGGAGGCTTCTCGAGGACGCAGTCGTGGCCGTCGTCGTTCAGCGGGCGGCCGGATGTATTCTCGGTCCCGCTCGAGCAGTTCCAGGAGCCGGGGTCGTAGTCTGTCCACAGCCGCGAAAGCTGCCCTCGGCACTGCGGCGACCGCTGGAATCGTCAAACACTTCCGTGACAAGTCGAAGAGCAGGTCGCGCAGCCGCAGCAAGTCCAAGATCCGACGCGCGGCCGAGATTGGTGGCGCTGCGGCAGCGGCTGGCGTGGCCACAAAGATGTGGAAGAACCACAAGGACAAGAAAGAGAGATCGCGCTCATCATCGCGGGCGTACAGCGACGACGACCGCGACTACGTGCGCGGACGGGGGCGGTCTGTTGACAGTCGTCTCAGCCGCAGCCGCAGCAGATCACAGGCTAGCAGATCCATTCGCCGTTCCGACACTGGGACTGATCCCCAACTAGGGCTTGTAGAATACGGAAACGACCCCCTTGGACCCGAGCGAGGCTACGAGAGCGAAGCAGAGGAGAGAAGGCGGAGGAGGCGGAGGCGTCGCCGCCGGTCCGTATCATCGGATGGGTCATCGGACAGACACAGAAGCAAGAGCCGACTGAGAGACATGGCATCAGCTGGAGCCGCTGCTTTCGGCATCAAAGAGTACAAGGACCGCAAGGACGCCGAGAAGAGAGAGCAAAGGGATAGACGATCTCGTGAGAGAAGGGAACGTGACTTGAATGAAAGAGATCGCTCGAGATCTGCCCCACCATCGAGGGATCACTCAAGGAGACGTGAGTAACTCTATGCAGTGTTCAAAACCATTACTGATGGGGTCAGGCCGAGCTCGTGACGACCCGGATGGCTTTTTTGACGACCGTCCTGTTCGGGGAGGGTCACCGCCCGTCACGTCAGGGGGAGCATACTACCCGCCCTACCCACAGACTCCTGGCGCGGCGGGTGGACCAGCGGGATATCCACCGTATCCAGCGGCAGAGCCGTCAACCTACATCCCCCAAGACTATACCGGCTATCCGCCCCCTCCCGCTCCGGGACCGCCCCCAGCAGGAGGCCCTCATCCTGCGGCGGGATTCATGCCGCCAGGTCCGCCAGCCCCGGGGCCACCACCCGGTCCTCCTGGGAGTAACTACCCCCCAGACCATGTGAGTGATGAGATCCAACGCTCACGAGACACTGCGGAGGGTGCGTGGCGGTCAGCCAGCTGAAAGCAGTGCTAACTTCTCGGCAGATGGTGTAAATGAACGTCGAGGGCGAGAGCGATCCAAGTCTGTGTCATTCATCCCGCTATCACCGCGAAGCTCCATGACGATGGAGAGACACAAGAAGGAGCATGAAGAGCACGAGCAAACTGCCGCCAAGGATGCCCTTCCCCTGGTCATTGATAATGCGGAGGACGAAAGCGACTCTTCAAAGTCAATAGAAGAACTACCCGATCGCTTCCACAGGGATGGGCAGCCCATCTCGACGCGGAGCCAGACCATCCCCCAGGCGCCACTGACGACACGGAGCGGCGAATTCGAGCGAAGACCGCAGCGGCCGGGGGACTGGGACGTTCGAGGGTCGTGGCAGGTTGGTGGCACTGACCCTGTGGTGGTGGAGCGGATGGTGCGGAGTTTCACGGATGCGTTGGATGGAAAGCGAGGCTGGATGGGCGTCTTGGGCGATGTCCTGGAGAGTGGGTTGCTGCCTGGGCCCGAGGGGGCTTTGGCATCGCTTTCGGGAGACGGAGGAGGACGCGATAATCGCGGACGACACAGGAAGAGATGATTAACGAATTGTAACGAGTCACGTTCTTGGGTTGTTGGGGGGGACTATTTACATAGGGAGTAGTATAATGTGTTTACGAATTACGAGATTTGACATTTGAGTAGGCGAACTGTGACTCGGATATTTTGCCGAGGTGTTATTAGTGCTGATGCTGAACCTTGTCAATGAATTGATTGTACGGATTCTCCACGAAACGAGTCAAAATGTAATAAGCTTTGTAGTAGTGAACCACACATAATTAGTCTAAGATGGATGGAATGCGGAGAGATAATACAACACGACTGGGTATCCTGACATATTCCCACTGAAAAACCTCTGTCCTACACTTCACCTTGCCTCGCTACTCTTGCGTCTGCCTCTCACTTCTTGAGCAGGTACTCCTTGTTGCCGATAGCCTTGTCCCACATGGTCTCGAGAATACCCCGGACGGGCCTCCTCTGGCCGGCGCCCGTGTTCATGTCGGCCTTGAGCTTATCGTAGACGGACGGCAGACCCTCGGCCTTGTACTTCTTGCGCATCTCGTCGTAAATGGTCTTGTCGTAGATGGTCCAGAACTCGTCCTCGGTGTAGTAGGTGCGAGCGTACAGCAGCTTGGCACCGAGGAGCTCGGCGCTGCGCAGCTCGAGCTTGCGGTTGAGCTCGTAGAAGGCGGCAGGATCCGAGGGTCCGCGACCGTAGACGCCGACAGCAAAGAGACGCTCGTCGGCGACCTCGGCGACGCGTGGGTGGAAGCGCGAGGTGAGACCTATCTCACGGGGCCGCATGCAAGGCGCGAGGAAGATCTGCAGCTCGGGAAGGGTGTCATTGACAAAGGCAATGAACTCGTTGACGTTCTTGGCGGGGATGCCAAAGTCCTGGACGACGTACTCGGCGGCGAGGCCGGACTTGTGGAGGGCGTGGTAGCAGGTGCGGCTGTCGAGGAAGGGGTCGGCGAGACGGCGGGTGAGGGCGTTCTGGGGGACGTGGAAGTGCGCAAAGGCGAGCTTGCCGCCCCAGAAGGCACCGTGGTCGTAGCGGAACATGTAGTCGGTGGTGGTCATGTAGATGGACTGGGGGGTCTCGTTGGTGGGCTTGTGCTTGTCGAGGAGATCCTCGATGGTATCGCTGAACCAGTGGACCTGCATCTTCTTGAGGGCCTGGTGGCCCTTGGGAACGTCGTCGACGAAGCGGCCGTACATGACGACGACGCGTCCCTTGCGGAAGTAGACGCCGTCGATGAAGTGGATGTCGGGGTTGGCGCAGGCCTCCTCGAACATGAGGTGGGCCTTGGCGACCTCGTCGACCTCGCGGATCTCGACGTGGACGTACTTTGTGGCGGGGATGAGCTCGATGGTGCAGAGGGTGACAATGCCAAAGGTGCCGAGGCTGCCGGCGGCGTGCTCGCGGAGGTCGGCATTGTGCTCGCGGTTGGCAATCTCGAGGCTGCCGTCGCCGAGGACGATTTCGATTTCGGGGACGGTGTTGCTGAAGAGGCCGTAGCGGTACATGCTGCTCTCGCCGGAGAAGCCGGAGAAGCCGCCGCCGACGGTGATGCCCTTGAACTCCATGACGATCTTGGGGATGACGCCCTCCTTGAGGCAGTGGGCGGCGAGCAGGTCCATGGGCACCTTGGGCTCGGCCTTGACGGTCATGGTCTCCTTGTCGACGGGGAAGATGCGGCCCATGTCACTGGTGTCGACAATCTCATCGCGCTTGAAGCTCAGCGGGCGCGTCGAGCTGGTAGAGCCATGGTAGACGCGGAACTGCTTCTTGTTGTCGTGAAAGTACTTGACCTGCTCTTGGATGCGCTTGACGGCGGCGTCGTGCTCCTCGAGGAGGCGTGCAGCGTGGTCCTGGGCCATTGCGACGGCGTGGCTGTGGTTACGAGGAATTGGAACAAATGACAGTGTCGACGACGGGTGGGCGAGAGTCCTAGGAGGATGGTAAGGGAGGGAGGGAAGGGCTGGCGCTGAGCTCGCGATGCGATGATCTCGCTTGGGAAACCGAAAAAGCGACAGGGGGGCACGTAAGCTTGCTGGAGCTCAACCGCGCCGCCAAGCGCTTGTGCACGGCAATTGATGCATAACTTTCACAAGGCGCAGCTTCGAGCCGTTGGGACGTCGTAATACGAGGGTCGAGCCGCCAAGGAGGAGTCGATTCTATCTCGGATCATGCTCGCATTGGCCAAACTACGTACGTAGTTGGTAATTACCGAGTACTCGTACGTACAAGCACAAGAGGTGAGACGGGAGTCAACATGAAGTGTGCGACGGCGTGAAGCATTGTGGACTTGTGCACTGTCGATCACCGACCGAGCTGGCTGTTTGGCGGAAGCCGGTCACGTGGTGCTCCAGCCTTGGGCCCTTGGGTTGGGAGCATCTGTGAAGATGAAGTGAACATTGCCTCCCACATTCCACATCAATTCCATTCACCGCGTCTGACAAGTTTGTTTTAGTTTCTACGTATAAATGGGCTTGCTATCCCGCGCTGGCCATTGAACCATGTCTACCCGGTGCAGAGTCCAGACACCCCGATGCTCCCAACGTCGAAAGCTTGTGCATAGCTCATTAGTACGGGACTACGGATGCAGCGGCAGCTGTTGCGTCATGTACGTCTTGCGAATGGCGCAGTAGCTGACGCAAAAACATCAAAGCGTAGACGCTCGGATCCCACTCGAAGCTTCTTAGGGTGTTTTCGAATCGTCTTGACCAATTCACCAGCTCTAGAATCCATGCCATCCATAATAACATCACAAGGCTGAAGAAGAAGCCTGAATCTACTATGTGCGGCCCGCGTCCGCCTGGGCCCTGCGCTGCCTGCAGGCGGCACCCACACCGTGGACAAGATACAACAATCGCGCTTTCAGTGAACGGGGGGGACGGGGAATGTATTCGGTCTACTACTACGGATAGGCACTCTCCTTCGGTAGAACTGCCTCTATCGACACGACGTAGCTCTAAGAGCTACAACGAACTGACTGCGCGTCTAGCTAAGAGGCGGGGGCGCGCGGACGTCCGTGCGCACGTGCGCACGTGGCTATGTAACATCTAATTGCCATGCCACTGCTAAGCGGTCGAGCTATGACATTAAGTCCCCTTGCGAGCCGTAGTAACAGGTCCCGGTTTCTGGGGAGAATGGCGGTGAAAGTTCTGGACGGCCTTGGGGGCGCTTGCTAGGCAATCAGCGGGTACCTCAGCCGGTTTATCATGTCGCGTCCATCGAACAGATACCTCAGGCGTGGGCCTTCTCTGCCCCTTCGTTCCCAACGGGAATCGATCACCTCTTCGACTCCGAACTCCTCCCCTCCATCCACCTCTACGTATACGGCTGGTGGCGGAGGATGCCTCTGTCCTGGCAGTGGGTCATCTGCAGCAGGACTCAACAGGTTCGTATGGAAGACCGGGTGTATCCTCATGGCGGCGGGCAGACGAGTCTATAGGAGTGCGGGGAGATTGCTGCTAGCATACAGAACGGTCCGTGGAACTTGGGGTCGATTGCACCCGCCGGCCTCGCGAAACAAGGCTAAGGTGAGGGCATCCTGAGTTCACATGAGATGAGTCTCAGATATGAAGACGAGTGCGCACCCTTTGCCTTTCCTACCGACTGTCACGGCCAAGGATACCAAAGCGTGGACTCAACATCAGACTTGGCATAAGGGAGCATCATACCTGTCTGAAGATCCACATTGCTGTCTACTTATTCCACTCCAGCTGCGGGGAGCCTTTCCTCATGTAACTTATCTGTATGGATTTCAGTTCCTAAATACCTGACCCAGATCCTTGTGGTGCGGCGACTACTATGGGGACAGGCATTTGCGCCTAGTCTTGCAATCAAGCAGGTCATTCACAATTAGCAGAGTGGGCAACAGAGAATATATATGTCAGCCGGGGAGCCGGCAATACGTACTCGTGCTCCCTTTAGTGGCTCCATGATCAGTTCAAAAGCAATATGTGAGATTCTGCCGAGTTGTTTGAATCACTCTTACATACCCTTTGAGTGACACATGTACTCGTCTGGTCGTCATAGATTCTTTGTGGTCTAACTACGAGTACGCATGCACCACTCGTGGACAGGTTGAAGGCCGAAATCCGTGCTAAATTGATAAGTCGGAAAAGTAGCCCTGATCCATGTTCGATTCTGGGCCCTACTTATTCTTACTTCGCAGCGCACCTTCCCTTGTCAGCAGTCCTAGGATTCCATTCCCTGCTCACTTAAGACTCGGCGTGCGGGGCAAAGCCGGTCGGTTGACTGTGGAGGATCAATAAAGAAGCTTTTAGGAAGGAGTGTATCAGTAGCATACCAGGTTGCCTAGTGCTTCATTGGACCGTCGCGGGGTCCCATGTTAAGTTCTATCTACACGTATGTCGGCAAACAGGACCTAGGCGACGTACTGAGAGGGGCTGCTTGAATGATTATGAACAAGAGTGAATACATGTATAAAAGAGCGTGCCGTCCCAACTCTCCTGAAGGCTCTGTTCTCGCTTGAAGTACAACAAGACTTCAACAGACTCAAGACAATTCACACCATCCACCCAACACACTTCCATCATCCGCAGTCAAGATGCGCTGTACGTTTGACCTCGACGTTCCATGAGCCCCCGGACCTCTACTGATACGCATTCTCATAGTCTCCGTGCTTGCTACCGTCTTCGGCCTCTTCGCCACCGTCATCGCCGCCCCGACGAGTCCCGCTGATGCTCTCGCCGAGCTGGACACTAGGCAGTCATGTGGTGGTATCTGCGGCATCGGACGCCCTCCCTGCGGCGGCGGCTGCGTCTGCAAGTACACCAGCAACCTCGGTGTTTCCGGTTCTTGCGGTAGGCGCTAAACAAGAACAAGTGCTATGGTTAGACATGAACCTGGCTAGGTCAATAGAGAGCTACTACTGGGCATCTTGAGTTTGTACCGATTTCTAGGACCAAGACAAATACTATCAACTCGCCCGTGCTGCTATGTCACTTTCAATGGTCTACTTTTTGAAGGTCTTGAGTTTTGCGGGGTAAAGTTTAAGCTTATCTAAATTAGCGGCCCGGTCGGTCCCTCCTGAAAAACCCGACCCACGTATTACGTTACGTCTCGGCCGAGAAAGGTATTTAAAGTTGAAAGACGTTTGCAGTAAACTCGTGTTCCTTCCTCGATATACTTTACTAGTCTTCCAATCTCGAGTACCGTCGAAGAACCGCTAGTGTATGTTGCCAGATTCTTTCTACAGCTTGTTCTCGTAGGACAAGCAACACGCTCGTATTGAGCGTACATTCGCTCCTATAATCAACAAGGAATAGACCGTTACTTGGTTCTGAAAACGAATTTATGCCTGCCTTGCCTGTCCACGGCACCCCCCGGCCACCATAGTACGCACTGGTGCTCTGGAATAAGTGCCGCTGGCCGGATTCCTCGTTACTAAACGAAAAGAGGTAGATTAAGGGCTCAAGGAAGACCCGGGCGAACCAAGCTTTGAGAGAATCCGGCTCAAAGCCCCTCCTAACATTTCCCGTATCGACCGATCCAGGACAAGAGTGGATAAAGGTGATACTAGGGCTGTCCGCCGCTAGCCTCTCTAAAGCCGCTGTGTTCATAGTTGCCGATAGGACCTGTGATTGCATAGCGCCGAAGCTCCCTGGCTTCTTTAGATCCAGATCATCCAAGTCGATGCTCGGTCTCTCTAGCAAACCACCACCAAGCACACTAATCACTCTCGCTGCTTTGGCCTGGCGTAGTAACGGAAGAAGCTGGAGAATGAACATCATGCGCGAATAGTACCGCAGGCTTAGCGTAACTTCGACGCCCTCGGCGGTCTCATCGCGTGGCACAAAGGGCACGTAGCCGGCAGTGAGAAACAATAAGTCCACATGCTTCTCCTTGGACTTGATAATATCGCAGACTCTTTTGACGTCTCCGAGAATTGATGCCTCGCCTTCTGTCCAGATGACTTCCGCCTTGAGGCTGATAGAGTGTAGTTCCTGGATGAAATTCTGCGCGCGCTCCTTGGAGCTCTTGCGCCCGATGAGATAGATGCGGACTCTCGTGCCTGTCGCAACCAGGGCACTGGCCGTCAGCTGGCCAATGCCGGATGTGGCACCGACAAATACAGCGATGCGAGGTGCTGTCGATTTGGAGTCATTGATGAGGGCGTTGGAAGCTTTTATAGCCTTGTAAGGTACCATCTCGGAGAATGCGACAAACTGCTGCCGTTGAAGTGCTTGTATCACAAGGACATGAAAAAAAGTAACAAGAAACGAGCCATTTATATGCTTTTCTTCCTACTTTACAGGTCCGGTCATTGCATTGGGGCACATTTGTATGTCCGAAGTCCGCCCCCGGAAACCAATACTCCGCAACGTTGCAAAGTGTACTAGACGATAGGCACAAGCCCCCCCCCTCCCCTTTTCATGATCCAATCACGAATAGCTCGGACGTGCGCGGACTGAGCCTCACTGAGCGCCAGCTGCTAAGCGCTAGATCCCAAATGTGCTCTGTCCGCGCATATTAGAGAACCTATTAATACATAGAAAGCTACGCTTCATCATAGTTAGTCTCCACCTAGCTTTTCAGATATCAAGATAATTGTCAAGGCCTAGATCACTTCTGTTGTACTCGACTGTGACCCGAATAAATGCTCGACGACTAGCACTTTAGTGTTTCTAATATAACTAACATAATTGTCAGAAACTGGATTCAATGAAGAGAGTGAGAAGGTGCACAATGTCGAGAGGGCGCAGCTAGATCGCTGCGAGTACGGGGTCCTTGGTGACTATATTAATCTCTTGATTTTCCTAGAAGCATTCCTCGCCTACGAAGGTTCTTCCCTCGGTGCGCCCCCTGTGCACGTGACCTAATCGGGGTTTCCCGAGCTATACCTAGCTATAGGGCTAGTGGCTTTAGCCACCCTTAATGCCTGCAATAACCTAGGTATATAATATATATCTAATAGAACGCTCCTCTCTATATATGCCGTCCTCGGCATCTACGTATACGTAGCTTATTCGTAGCGAATTGTTACGGTTCCACCAGTTGCTGGCGGCTGGGTACAAGACCCAGCCCGGTTCACCTAGGCACGTGACGCGTGCCCGCAAGGACGCATAGACCTCGCATAGTCTTCACAGGAAAAGGGGATAGTAAATTCCCTCTTCTTTCTCTTCTTCTACCTTATCGTTAGATAGACTTAATCTAAGCTACTAAGTTATTCTAATAAGGCTTAGCCTATAATATATCTAACGATCTATCTAAAGACGTAACGTATTCGTATAGCACGAGCTATAATATCCGACGAATAAATATTCGATTTCCCCCCGTAAGTAAATACATAGGTAGCTAAGTGTTATGGGCTAAGCCCTGTTGGAATAACTTGGTAGCTTAGATTAAGTCTATCTAACGATAAGGTAGGAAAAGAGAAAGAGGAGGGAATTTACGGTCCCCCTTTCCTATAAAGACCCTACGAGGTCTGTGTGTCCTCGTGGGCACGCGTTACGTGCCTGGGTGAACTAGGCCGGGTCTTATACCCAGCCGCTAGCAACTGGTAAAACCGTAATATTACCCCCCCACTATCTCTAGGCTAGCCTACGGTGGCCCGTCGGGATAGCTACGGGGTGCCTTACCGCTAGGAGTATATCCTGGGTTTTCGTATATAATAATTCATACTCCGGGTAGATCCGCGGTTTCTCGTAATACTCCGCGCGGTATAGCTATATCCTATATATATACCTATTAGCCTCGCGAAATAAGGCTAAGGTAAAGGTAATATAAGCTAACCTTAGATAAATCTAAGGGCGGCTATAATAATATCAGCCGTGGCCTCAGTGTGTTTTGCAAAATTCTCTATTTGGACGGCGAGTTGCCGAACACAAAGCTGTGCTTCGCCGGCCGCTGAAAGTGTTCGACTGTCTGAAAGTCACTGTGCCAATGGCACCCGTATTGACGGGCTACGACCCACTCATAAAGACCTGGCAGTACCTATAGCGCTCGTCCAAAACCGGCTACTGTGGCAGCGCCAGCGCGGCTTCTTTTCGATCATCAACGTAGATTCATGTACCTACAGATCCGGATCCCGTCTTCACAAACAGACAGAGTGCACGAATAGGAAGCTGCATTCGCTCACAGCTGTAACGGCCCCACTGTAACATCTACTTCGCTTTGCTGTGTTCTTGCCGGCGCCTGTCCAGACAACCCAGGGGCTGTACTCATCTCTAGTTGCCCTCCGCGTTGATCTAACTCACTCACTTTCCCAGCTTCCTTAGGCTGCCATCAGCTTGTCGCGTAGCTCACAGGTCACGGCAGCCAACAGTGTGTAGCCTGTACAAGGATTCCCAGCGCGTGATCAAAGCACCGCCCCCCTTAGATTAGAGTTGACGTTCAGTGTGCATGCAGGCTGCATTCGCCTTTAAACCCCCCGTGCAGAAGCACCGATGCAATCCGTAGGCGCTGTAAGGGCATATCTCCAGCCTTGTATGTTTGATTTGGCTCGAAGCCGAGAGCCACGCACATGGCGTTCGTAATTGTGTGGACGCCGCAGTCCGAACTGTTCGTCTGACGGGGTGTCTTGATTTTCACCGCCTTCCACTCGTTCTTGTCGAACTTTTCCTCCAAGACGTCCTTGATCCACGCAGTGATGAGGCTGATATACTTCTCGTTGGCGCAATCTGTCAGTGAATCCATGTGTGACATGGTTCTCTTCTGAGGGCGAACCACAATGAGAGTCCAATGCTTGTTTTCGCATACGGGCATGATTATGCTGTCAATGTCAAGGAAATTCGCCTTTCGGACGCATTTGCGACCTAGTGCTCGCTGTGTATTGCGGACACCTCTATCTCGAATATGCTGGAAGAAAAAGGAATTTTGAACAAGAATCTTGCGGGTTTCTGTCTGGACATCGGTGATGCCAGACGCCAAGTTAATAGCGTGATCCAGCCATAGAAGAAGGCCGTTGACAATCTCGTCATTGAGCCATTTCGTCCGAGGCACGACTGTGGCAAAGTCGTGATGTCGCAGTCCTGTTTTGTCTGCAGTGACGGCCAGAGTCTTGTCGACAGGAGCACTCATGGTGTTGCGTGTACGCTTGATCCATGCATCAGGCAATGGCGATATGAGCTGGGTCTTCGGTGCGTGGAGCTTGCCCGTGGACGCTGGACGGTGCTCATCCGCCCTTCGGGCCTCTTGCTTTCCAGCACTAAGATACGCATAGAACGAGGTAACCCAGTCGACACTAGCTGAAAATGCGGCCTTAATGTACTTCATAGTGGGAATCACTTCAGAGTCTTCGTTTCGCCCCCAACATCGTAAATTCACCATCATTCGCTTTAGCTCGATCTGCTGTTCGTCTCTCCAGGTCCAGAAACCTCGCTTCGTCCCCGGACACAAGCTCCTCCGCAGAGTTAGATGATAATGGGCGCTTCCTTGTCGGTCGCTGCCGCCACTTGAACGGCCAGCCTTTGCTTTTGCACTATTCGACCGCTTGCTTCCTGCAGACCGTGTCGCGGACTTTGAGAGCCCTTTAGACGTGCGTTCCGTTTGTGTCGCGTGAGATAAGTCAGATCTTCTGGATTTGGTTTCGCTCGGTGACGAGCTCAGGCTGGTCGACTGGTCGACAGGTGTGGACACGGTCGGTGTGCTGGCCGAAGAGCTCATCGACTGTGTTGCTATGTCTTCTGAGTCGGCTCGAGACGACGAGTCGACCCCCGATGTTTCTGTTTCGATGCTCTCCATCGGCACTCTCCCGTCGTGCATCGAGCCGGTCCCTTGGGGTTTTGTGTCTTGCCTGGCGGTGTCTGCGCCTGCGTCTGCGGCAGAAACAGACGAAGTGCGTCGCCTAGAATGTCCGTCGACTGAGAATGCTCCTGAGTAGAGCCTCAAATTGCCTTATCCGGAACACTGGACAGGTGGCCGTTTGCGAGCCAAATATTATTGGAAGCGATTCGAAGAGAGAGTGAGAGATGAATCATAGGCCGGTAAGTGACGAGAAGAAGGGTATGTTATATGACGATGAGTGTAACGGCTACGCCAAAGTCTTTGCGCCAAGCGCAAAAGATCAGGCATTAATCGAATGAGTTATACATACATCGAGGTGTACGTAATAAGGATTTTGAGCTGTTCTGGACTTTTGACATAGTTGTCGCTATCGTCCGCCGTACACGCGTTTCAGTCCTGCGCGACCGCCGAGACGGAACCGATCTTACATAGGACCGCATTTGCTATAACGACTCCCGTGTGGAGGCCAGGTACATAATGCTCTGAGTCGTGTGCGGGTGATCTTCACCAAGAATATGCCGGCGAAGGTCTAGGGCAGTGTTATGAAGTACTTCAGCCTCCTCATATCGGCCCTGCTCATGGTACCGGATTGGGCTTATAGAAATCGCGTAAGGTTTTCCTGCTCTGGTTGATGGGCAATTCGAGAGGTTGCGTAGGTGCACCCGCACGGGTGCATGTAAGGCTTACGTAACGGTGCACCCGGGCGGGTGCAAATAAGTGTCACGTGATGCGCCTCCTGCAGCGCGTGTAAGCTATGAAGGCCTCGCCTCCGCGTAAATCGGCTACGCTGCGAGGCTAGATGGCTACTTAGTCCTATAATAATATCACCTGCCTTACAGTCTTTTACTTATATATATACTCGACTATATTCTTCAGGTACCTCTATATAATGCCTGTTGCTCTTCGCTATCTCTCTTAGCTGCCTCCTAGACATCCTTTATGCCTCGTTTACGTGAAAACCGCCTAATAGCTATCTCTTCTACCATCTAAGCTTCAACCTGCGCTTTAACCCGGGCTTCCTCTACTATAGTCTAATCTAGATATACTATCTATTCCTCCTTAGTCTAGTCCCGGATAGGTCTCTTCTCTATATATCGTTTGCCTATTTACTTATAATCTAAACACTAGTTATAGTCCTTCTTGCTATATCGCTGAGGTAGTCCTATTGCCTTTCTATATTACTAGTTCGTCTTTAAATCACCTCGAGGCAGCGTCTTATACCAAGCCTCTCGCGCTATAATATATCGTTAATATATAGCATAAGGGTGATAGTACGGTACCTCCGGCTCCGGCTCTGGCCTCGGCGCTAGTGATAAAGATAGTAAAACGATACTCGGTGAGAGTGGCTGTAGCTCCGCAGCTGGGAGCGAATCTGGCGGCACTACTAGCTGTATAGTTAAACCTATTGCCGGCGCCGGCGCCGGCGATATAAGTGGATTGTGATCTAGTGCTACCGCTAGTACTGAGGGTAGTTCTAGCGCTGGTGTTAAAACTGATATCAGTTCCGGCGGGCGAGCTGAAGCTGAAGCTGAAGCCTCTTGAGATAGCGCTGCGGTTAATAATAGTATAAGATCCGTATATCGTAACGCATACGCCTTTAAGCTTCTTATATAGCCTTGCTGATTATATCTTGTGTATATTGGCTTTACTTTAGTCCTTTTTATTGCCTATAATGCTTGCTTAATAGCCTTAAATGCGCAGGGTTCACGCTAAGTGCTTGTTTTTGGTAGTATTAAGCTAGCTATAACCCGGTCGAATAGCCGGCGTGGCTCTATCAGTAACTAAGGAGACCCCTCGCGATAAAGGTGCTAATACGTATAGAAGTGCCGTAATCGAAGAGGTATCTACTATTAACGAAGAGTTTAGAGCGTATGAGCGTATAGAAGACCGTTCGATAACTCAAATACTCCTATATAACTAGGGAGAATGATATTAAGGGATCGTTTCCGCTACTCTTCGACTCTACGTAACGCTTCGTGAGATACCTATCCACGTATATTGGCGTATAGCGGCCTAGTTAGCTTAAGAGGCGTGCGTATCTTCTGTTTGGCCTGATTCGCGTGTAGCTCGGCGATCTAATTTAGTAACGCACGCTTGATAGACCTCTAGGCCTTAAAGAGGTCTAATTAACTAGTCTTTAGATATTGCTTGATAAGCTGGTGGATACCCTCACTCCGGGAGGTGATAATATTGCCGAAGTAAGGGTATTTATTAACCTAAGCTTTTATAAGCCTCTCTTTATAAAGATTAAGCTAGGTCTCTATAATATAACCAACCTCTCTAAGATAGACTAGGACGTAGCGTTATTTGAGCTTATTAAGGTTATCTTCAAACATATCCTTAGTGCTTGAAGCTATAATCTAATACTAATGCTAATAGAACTCTTGCCACTTCTTAAGGCCTTGAGCTTAAGGCTGATCCTTATCGCTACGGGTAAAGCTTAGGAGGCAGTGACGAGTAATAGCCTTATTTGCATGCTAGAGGCATAAAAGAGATACCGCTTGTGGGAAGTATTGCGATACTGTATTCATATAGGCAAGGCAACGATCTATAAGTATAATAGATAGAAGTCTCGCGCTATAGCTCTCGTATATTTGCCGTAACCGATTAAGTGCCCAAGTATAGTCGACTTTATCCTCGCCACTAAGGAAGGCGAAGGCGATACAGAAAGATCGCTAATAAGCGTTAACCCTAACTATATCGAGAAGGGGTATCTTATACTTATTTGTCTTATATGTGCAGTCTAATATAAGCAAGTCCGGATAGGCTTTAAGGTATTCTAGGGACTTAGGATAGGCGAATAAGACAGAGGTAACTCGGCCATCCTCGTCTAGCCGCATTCGGTTCCAAAAGCCCTCATTTTCGAGCTCGTTCGTAAGAGCATGTATATTACTTTGGCCTTTTGAGAGGTCTCGCTTGCCTTGTGCAATACAATTGTAGATGTCTTGCTGAGAACTGGCGAATAAGTCGGGGAAACGTGGGTGTTGTTATGGGCGGCACTCAAGAGATCCCAAACACAAACCGCGGGGTAGTAAGTGACGATTGGTAGAAACTCACAGGGGTTCGGCAGCATTATGTGCAGGTAGTGCTTGGCCTGAGCGGGGAACAGAGACCAAGAAGCGCAATGAATTAGGCAGTACCACTCTTCTTTAGGTTCAGTTCGGCTGCAAGTGCAAAGCACAGCGGCGCGATTCAAAACTTGAAGGGCTTATTACGGAGAATAATGAAATCATTGGTGGAGACGGCCTTAAAGTACGTCGGAACACTCAAATCGCGGGTTTGGATAGCGATGTCCCATGTGTCAATAATTTGACGATGTTCCAGCCTGCACGGCGGCAGCCCCGCTGCCTACACACAATTGAGACAAACATATTGTTACATCTCATCTAGAGCAACTAGCCGCATATACGATGAACCGGTGAACAGTCATCCCTCGATGACGATTTAAGAGTCTGCGGAGAAAAATAGAGTGCGATCCCTCTGCCCGCATAATGGATTTCAGGTCGCGAGAAAGGGTGGCTCGGCTCGTGCGCAGGACGAGGTGCGGTTGGTGCCTCTAGCAGACTTTGACGATAGGTCGATGACCGCAGCTTCAACGCCGGTCGCTAACCGACGGCGCCCTGGTCATATTGCCCTGCCTGTGTCTCTTGCATCTGCAGTGACCTGAGCATTTGTGCTTGATTGCGCCCAATCAATCTTGTTTCCCGAGCGATGTTGGTGATAATCTGTTTGCCTTGCAGATTCTGCGCGCTACATGTACATGTAGCCCGCCGCCACGCGCTTCATAGGCTGCCATCCCCGCCTTGGTACGTTCGCGAGCTTACAGCACCAAACACTACTCTGACAGAAGCAACAACACCTACCTTCACCATGCAAGCCATCAATAGGCCCCGCTGCTCAAAAAGAGCCGAATATGCTTTTCGGTCCGGTTATTGCGTTGGGGCACATTGTCCGAAGTCCGCCCCCTGAAAGCTGCTCCGCAACGACGCAGGATACTGGGAGCGAGGAGTGCTCTTACTCTGAATCAAGAATCCATTCTGACATGTCTTATGTAGAAGCTGAGTGTATTTCCTTAGGGAAAAAGGCATATACGACTTGTGCAGGGCCAGACTTTATGCCTCGAGCCGCAGCATGTACTCCCATCTAGCCTCTCACAACGGAGACCACTGTTGAACAAGTTCCTCGGAGGTTCCATACGGGCTTCTATAAGGGACAAAGCTCACTTGCGATCCATAGTTTAAACGCCACGGCGGCGCATCGCCGCCTTGAAGATCTTTGCAAAGTCCGCTACATGCTCCCGATTCAGCATCTTTGCGTGGATTCCCGGACAGTCGTGGAAGCGGACCTCGCTTTCGCAGAGCTCGGTCCAACGACCCAGCTTATTCACTCGCCAATCCTGTCTGTTCTTGGCAGCATACGTAGGTGGTTCTGCAACGAATACATCAAGATGCTTGATTTTGCCCATTGGTTCGTAGCGCTCGACGTTGACACGGAAGTTCTCAGCAATGTCGCTGATCAGACCAAGCCTCTCGTGGTCCATTGCTAGAGCAGTAACGCGGTCTTTGTCGCCAATGTCCAAAATATATGACAGAGCGGCTCGTCGATCTAGCGTGTGCATAGAGGGGGTGATCTCCACCATCGTAAGCTCGTCAATGAGCTCGAGGAAAAATGCAATATGGAGAAGCACATCGATCCAGTTGAGACTCTGGACGTATTCGGCGATGTGGGGAGGGTAGTCAATGCTGGCAAGAAACTTGACGTCCTGTCCTTGTGCTTCGAGCACCTTGCCGACTTCGTACGCAAGAGTTGAGCCAAGCGAGTAGCCTGCGATGGCGTACGGGCCCACAGGCTGTGTGAGGCGGATGTGTTCGGCATACGTGTGAGCAGTTTCCTGAATCGAGTCGAACAGTCGCTCGTTGGGGTTGTAGCCGCGCGTGCGAATAGCATACACAGGGCGGGTGCTGAAATGAGCTGCAAGGGCGATGAAAACCAAAATGTCTCCAGAGCCAGGGTGAATGCAGAACAAAGGTGTGCCGGAGCCATGAGGCTGTAGAGGAACGATTGGGTTGTAGGCTGGAGCTTGAGAGAGGATGGTATCGATTGCAGAAGAGATCGCGCCGACAGTTGGCCTGTTTTCCTTAGCCGATGTAAGCTGGTAACAAGGGCGTCCAGCGACTTACTCTGTTAGTAGGACGGACATGGGAATGTCAATTTGAGCTTCGACTGCTTTCTGGATCCTCGTCTTGAGCTGGATCAGGTTGAATGAATCAACACCGAGGTCGAAGATGGACGAATTCAGATTCACCTGCTCAGGCCTCATCTCGAGAAGCTCCGCAACAGTTAGCTGCACGGTCTTTTCCGTAGCAGTCTCGGCAGGACGCCACCGAGCTTGGCGGTATCGCTCAAGAGCGAGTAGATCGCTGCGCTCAAATTCGCCGTAATCACCGTTTTCGAGCGCTGTGCGCACCTTGGTCCGCGAGATCTTGCCGAGTGATGACTTTTCAAGAAGGGACTGCGGCAGAGGGATGAGATGAGCGGGTTTCTTGCTAGTGACGAGGGCGACAGCCTTTGCAATTGAAGTGGCAGTCTCGAAACGGGCATGGTGGTCATGGGGAGCATAGGCAGGCGCATACACGACGGCTATGTCCTCAGTCGGAGAGCCTGTCTTCCTCGTGGGGAAGGCAACGGTGTACGTCGGGACTCTACCAGGGATTCCCTCCTCCTCGATAGCAGTCTCGATTTGAGCACAACTCCATTTGGCACCGTTGACAATGATGGTATCCTTGGTGCGACCGGTGAGATTCAGGTTGCCGGCTTCATCGAGGTAGGCCAGGTCGCCCGTAATGAACCAGCCATCGGGCGTAAAGGAATCCACGGTAGCTTTGGGGTCGTTGTAGTACCGGTCGAACACGACTGGTCCAGAGATCTGGAGCTCACCCACCTCGCCAAGGTCAGCGTGCTTCCCGGGATGGGAAAGACGCGTAACGCGCATGGCGATTCCAGGCATGCAGGTACCTAGATTGGCAAATTCCAATGAGCGACTGAGATCAGAAGATGGGCAAGCACGTGAGTAGATGGATCCGGCACAGGTCTCTGTCATACCAAAACCTGGGCGAATAACATCACCAACGGCGCCAAACTGTCGGAGCTGCCGAGTTAGCTCATCGCAGGTGGCAACGACGTTGGACTCGCCTCCAGAAATGAGGGCCTTGAGAGGGCGCAGATCGGCAGTGAGGGCGACAGCAGAGCCCGTCAAACTGTCGCGAAGCTTGGTCAGGAAGAAGTTGGGCGCAAAAGTGTACGTGATCTTGTGGCGGTCCAGTAGATGAATGAACTGGAGTGGCTGCGTCAGCAGCTCTGATGCAGGAACGTGGATTTGGTCGCAGCCCAGAAGCACTGCATGGCCAACATGTTAGCGCTCTCGGCAGATCATTATTATGGAGGGTCATGCAGAGTTAAGCTTACTGGCGTGCAGGTGAATCTCCGTTAAGCTGGCGACGTGGTCCATCCCGACCCAGTTCAAGAAGACACTGCCGGCAGCAGTGCTGTGATGAGCATGCTTCCCTTCCACAGCTGCCAAGACCTGACCATGGCGCAGAGTGACAGCTTTGGCATTGCCAGTACTGCCCGATGTGAGCATCAAGGCGGCAATGTCCATGGGCCCCTTTTCGGGACCAGATAAAACTGTAGGGCAGCCGGCATCACGATCCGCACTATTTTGGAGGGATTCCACCTCATGGACAGTCAGTTCCTCCATGCCAAGAAACTCATGCGTTAAACGTTTGCTCGTGAGCACGATAGGGCGGTCGAGCAACGTGTGAAGATGGCAAAGGTGCTTCCTTCGTTGTGTAGTATCATTGACAAAGGGCGTGGAAATGGCTGGAGTATGTCCTGCAAACGTAGCAGCCCAAAACCAGATGATGTTCTCGCGCTGTGAGTCGAAGTGCAACAGAAGAATAGCGGACGACGCTATGGCAGGATGATGAAGGAGAAGCGATGCATTTTCAATGGTATCAGCGAGTAGTTGAGAGTACGAGACCCATGCGGACTGAAGTTCCCCATTGACGAGATCGTAAAACGTCAAGCCACCGCTGGAGACAGCTGCCCGTGTCAGGAGCTGGGACAGGTTGCTCAGCGAATTGATGGCGGGCTCAAGCTCGCGAGCAGTTTTGAAAGCATCCGCGTTGGTACGTGGGGGACACGGAAGGTCGAGTATGTCTGCAGCGCCGCCTTCTAAAAACTGCGCCATTGTGACTTTGGTGACGTTTGCGACAGGAAGAAGTAAAGGCAGAGGCTTCAAAAAGGCTCGGGATGAAGGATCCAAGTATTACAGTTGTCCCCGTAGCGGCTTTTTGTCAGTCAACGGCCTCTTGCAAGCTGTTCTAGCAAGCAAGGCCTGCTGCGTCAAGATTGCCATTGATTGGACTACGCCGGGATATGGAATGGCCCAGAATTGAAAGCTATCCGAGCGGGCGTCTCGTCCGTTCTGATTAAGCTAGCCTCGGACCGGGGGTCCGGGGCATTGCGGAGCACTCGCGGAGGATCGCGGACCTTCCGTTCAAATATCCACCGTGGCTTGCTTCTCATACCGCCAACGACAAGGGTTGTAGGGACCGTCCCGTAATTTAATCTACACTAGGAAATATTTCCTCAATGGCCAGCCCCGCAAGGCTCACAATCATACCTGCATCAGACTTATGAGGAGCCACAAAAGAGAACAGAATATAAAATCAAACAAATTCCCAGAGAATTGACTTTTCCGGCTGAGACCCAAATATGATATCATGATTCTTCAAACACCGAAACCTTTTACACTTTGCACACTGCTGTTGATATACGTAGCTTGCGAATTGTCTCAGGGATGGACCAGCATAGTGTCGTCGTCATCAGAGATGCGCACCCACTTGCCGTCAACATTGACATGGGACATCATGTTGATGTCGTCAGTGACGGCAATGCCTCCCTTTTGTAGGCTTCGATGCCCACTGGAGGAAATGTATGTGTTGACTTCGCTCTTTGAATAGGGTCCGCCCACGCCAGAGCTATTGCCGCCGCTCCGGACGTATGCGGACGTTCCAGCGCGGGTCACCGCACCAGGAGCGAAGCGCCGTAGGAGTGGGCGATAGATTGGGAGAGACGCGCAGAGAATGGCAACCACAACCTCGACAACACACAGCATACCCCCGGGAATCATGTCCCCTGAAGCGATGCAACGTTAGCTAAAGTGTTCTGGTTGGGAGGAGTGAGCTCACGGCTCTACTTACAGCTGGGGTTGGATGTCCCGCCGACTTTGCGGGCGAACGGGAGGCGAATGATGGCCACAATACAGGCACTGTGGTCAACGGTGTTAGCCAGGATGGGGAGAGGGGGGAGGAACACAAGTGCTGATGCGTGTGATCCCGCGCACCTTGCGACCAATTCTGGGGTTGACTCACCCTCCACCCAGCGCAAAGTTCAGGCCGAGGAAAATCTTCTTGCGTCGAGAAAGATTGAGGTTCTTCACCAACGGCAGAGGCGCCAAGAGGATGAGAATATCGAGAATAAAGTTATACGCGACATTGAACAGGCTGAAGTTGCTAAAGTCGATGCAATGTCCGCCTTGTATCGTTGGATTCCAAAGCTTCTCAAGGGGTTGGCATTGAAGCACCGTAACGAGAACGATGACGATAGCACCCAGAAAATTAATGACGCCAAGGACCCAAATGTAAATTCGGAAGCCTTGTTGGGGGAAGATGGCGTAGTAGAGGGCGAGGATGCTTCCCTTGACGAATGCGGTAGCGATTCCGTAGAGAATGACGTTGAGGATATTGAGCTGTACCAATCTTGTCAGTATCTTACTCAACGTGGCGCTGTAGTTAGCACTTACAATTGCCAGCATGCGCATGTCATAAGGGTCTTTGATCAGGATCATCATCCTGCCAGCGCCATATCGCGTCGAGAAAGCGAAAACAGTGGTAAAGGCGACGTAGAATAGCTGAAAGTGACTGATATTAGTTGAGGCTACAAGAAGAGCGGCTCGTTAGAACGCACCAAGCTGAGAATGGTCAGCCAGTCGCTGAGAACCAGCTTCGGCGAGTGCTGGAAGCGTGACCACACCCGTAATGCGACCGCCAGAGTCGCAAAGAAAGTTGAGATAGTGCAGCAAGCAATTAAATCGGGTACCAGTGAGTCTTTGATGTGAGCTTCCATCCACTCAATCTCTTCAGGCGTTGGCATGGCCATGATGGGCAATTGCCTCCGTGTGACAGAATCACGTTCGAAGCCTGTGAAATGTTGCGAACAGAGCCAGGGTCGGTGGAGAGAATAGTCTTCGGTGGACTACCTCGACGCGATGGTATGACTCCGCGATATCATTCACGACCTCGTGTCACGAAAGAGTGTTGAAGGAGGCGAAGATGGTTTGAAAAAATTATGCGTCCTGACTTTTGAGATCGACGTAGGTGGCACACGCATCGTCAGGAACCAAAAAAGCCTCGCCAGGGGTTTGTGAGGCTCAGGATCCTTCAGGACATGGATGCAATCCGAGCCTAAACCGGTCGCTGTAGATTGTTGGTGTTCCAGAGCGGCGCGGCATGCCGTCCTGCAGAGTCGCATGCAACTGAACTCGCTTCCGAGGGGGCGCCTTTGACCCGAAAGAGCACCACAAGACTCCTGCCTAGAATGGGATTCCGACGGCTCGTCAACAAGCGTCAAGAGGAGCGACCGATGAGGGAGTATGTAGCGAGCATGTTGAGGGAGCTGCAAGAAAGCCAGCGTTCCTTATGCAGTGGTCATTACCAAAATGGTGCTACATCATCCGAGGCTGTATGTACAAGAGTCCGTCTGCATGTGGCCATCGTCCACACCCTCAGAACGGGAGCCCAGCGATCCGCGGAGCCAAGAGACATGGACACCCCTCGAGCACCGTACGCAGGGTTAAACTTATTAAATAGTTGTTTTGAGGGCAGCGCAGCTTGTTCTGTCGACGAGTCGTCAATGGCTCCGTTGCGATCAAGATCTATGTATCCGTAGCTCCGTAGATCAGTGGAGGTCTTGCCTAGCATGCGGGTGAAGGATGTATTTACGATCCTACTGGATGTAACTCGACGCCTGGACAACTAACAAGGTTATATCAAAGTCAGCGCGCGATGTTACTTCCGTAGCGCGACTGATACCCCTGACAGCTTGACAGTGGAGACCCTGGCGGCCGTCGAACGTAAGCCTTATCACGCTTCACAAATTGGTTTCCTGCGGCAGAGCGGGCCGCGCGTACGGCCCTGCAGATGCCTCGGTCTCCACTAGGTCCCCGGAACAAATCCGAGGAACTCAGCGGCTCGAAGCGGGCCATCCTTCCAGGAGGCGGAAGACCCACCCCTGTAAATGTAAATGGAGGGAAACCGGTTTGCACCTGCTCCGGCTAAGTAGACGACAATGGTTTTTGAATAGCCTCTGGATTTAATTTCCTGGTCAGTCGGCAGTTCTCACTTTTGAGACAACATGGAAACGGTAGGCTTGACCTTATTCTGCCGACATCTTTGGTGCCCCTTACAAAGTTTGCAGATGGCTGGCTGTTGGCCGGGTAAAAGCGGGTGGGGCACTCTCAAACAACTACATAGGGCAGGTGCGAGTTGGTCCGCTGCGAGGGTGCCCCACCCACCTGGACGCCGGCCGGTCTTGACCAACACTCCAACAGCCACATTTACGACTGGACCGTGGAAGTAATCTCCTGCACGGATCAAACTCCATGTGCAGGTGATGCACGTCAATCACAAGAGGCCGGTTTCAGGGTCGCGCACGCCACAGCTTGGCCGTCCGCACCGCGCACACAATGATGGCAGGCGGAGCATGGTGTCCAGACTCAGGTTTCGCTGAACTTACAACTCTAGCTACTACTCATCCCTTCCCAGTATTCCGACATTCACGTCCCTTGGGTCAGATAGGAGGTGACCGAGGCAGCTCCAGTCTGGTCATCATGGCGTCCCTCCAGACCCTCGCGCTCGTGGCCATCGCCATTATTAGCACGTACCTTCTCTACTTGCGATTCACCACAGGTTCTTCTACCCTGCCTCTACCGCCTGGCCCAAAACCACTACCGATCCTGGGCAACATCGCCGACTTCCCTCCCGCAGGCGTGCCCGAATTTGAGCATTGGTTCAAACACAAAGATATTTATGGCGGTATCTCTTCGGTTACTGTCATGGGCATGACGCTGGTCATCATCCACGACAAGAAGATGGCGCACGATCTGCTCGAACAGCACGCCTCGAAGACTTCAGGGCGGCCTAAGATGGTCATGGCGAACAAGCTATGCGGTTATGAGTCTATTGTGCTCTGCCAGGATTATAATCAAACCTTCAAGCGCTGTCGGAAGCTCCTCCACCGCGAGTTAGGAACAAAGGTTTCTGCGGCCCAGTTCCTAGACATCCAGGAGAGGGAAGTCAAGAGACAGCTCGTGCGCGCACTCGATAAGCCCGACAGATGGCTTGACCACTTCAAGACGTGAGTCTCCCTATGTATTCAGCCTTGACTATTGACTGAGAGTCTATCAGCACTGCTGGCGCGACGGTGCTCAAGATGGCCTACGGCTACACGGTTGAGCCTCATAAGCCGGATTTCCTCGTCACCCTCATCGATAAGATGATGAATGAATTCTCGCTTGCTGCTTCGCCTATGTCTTGGGCGGTGGATATCCTCCCTATATTACAACACCTTCCGGAAGGATTTCCAGGCGCAGGTTTCAAGCAAACTGCCCGTAAGTGGCGCCGCAGCATCGAAGCCACCGCTTATATCCCCTATCACTTTGTCCAACGCCAAATTCAAATTAATGCACAAACGAAAAACCCGTCATATGTCTCAAAGCTTATTCAGCAATGCAAATCGGAGACACGGACCGATGGCGAGCAACTCGGCCGTGACGACTCTGAGGCTATCGCCTGGACGGCTGCTAGCTTATACGGCGCGGCCGCCGACACCACCGTTATTACCTTGACCATCTTTACCTTAGCAATGCTACAGAACCCAGAAGTCCAGCAACATGCTCAAGCGGAAATCGATCGTGTCATTGGTGACCGGTTGCCGACCTTTGAGGACCGCGACAATCTCCCCTATATTGCCGCTCTGGTTAAGGAATCGTTACGCTGGTGGCCTATCTCACCAATGGGCTTCCCTCATACTGTTACCGAAGCTTTTGAATACCACGGCTATCACATTCCCAAGGATGCCATGCTTCTGCCCGCAGTAAAATGGTTCCTCCACGATCCCTCGGTATACGCTGATCCTGACAAATTCGATCCCGCGCGTTTCCTCAGCCCACGAAACGAGCCCGACCCGGTTGATACGTTCGGGTACGGCCGCAGAATCTGCCCGGGCCGTTTCTTCGCCGATCAGAGCCTCTTCCTGAACATTGTCAACTCACTCGCCTGCTTCAACATCCGCCCATCGGCGGACAGCCCAGTAGATGTCAAGCCTAAGCCAGGCATTTTGAGCTATCCGACAGCGTTCGACTTCAAGATCGAGGTGAGGAGTGAGAAGCATAGGGATTTAATCTTGGCTGCTGGGAAAGAGGTGCCGTTTGAGCCTAGTGATGCAGGCCATCTCGAAAGTGTGGACAACTTCGAGGCGAAGTGACGGGGATGCTGCGACGAGCGTTTCTGGCTCTTCTTATTGATCATGCCTGAGAATCCATCATGCACGCCCTTTGCAATCGATTGACTTAGTCGAGCAGACGCGAGTAATAGTAGATTCTCTGCGGACGTTCGCCCCGTTTCACACTTCAGATGTGAGTTGTTTCGCGGACTTGACCTACACTGGGGTGCGCGTAAGCTCCAACTGGCATTGCAATTGTTCGCCCTTTCACATACACGGCCTGGGCACAAGTCGTTGCTTCCGTATCTAAGGAAATAACCATGGCTGTTATCAAGACACCGATGAGAACGTCTTGAGGGGACCATTGGTGCGCACTCAACGCAACAAGGCCTGCAAATCAACAATAACAATAGTTGTATAGAATCTGATCTTCTTTGAACCCAAACACCTGACCTCTCGTTTCAAGAATTTCCTCTTTTAGCATAACGTGCAATGTGTTGTCTTCGCCAACAACCACGCACAGGACCGTGGATCAACATCACCTTTGCCTCACACGCGGCATCACCACAACAGCCCACAGTCACAACCTCAACATTAACATCAAGCAAAGAAGTTTGGCGATTTGTCGCAACTGGTTCTGGCTGTTCACTTGACTCGCAAGCGCCCCCATATATTTACAGATTCAGCCAGGGCGTCTTACATCTGAGAGACAGATTCCAACCTGCTCAGCTGCATCGCAGGTTTTTATGTAAGAAGAACGACTCCCAAGAGTCAACTAGCCGGGTCTCCAAGGAGCCGCCAATGGTGCCCTCTTCAAAAACTTCAGAAATCCGACAAACATGGGCAGGGTCCAGCTGCCTGGCCCCTGATAGAGTAGTCTGCTGGCCCAAACCACTACACCACGGAGAGTCATCAATCATTAGATAGAGTCACCAATTGTTCTGCAATCTTGATACACAAGGCCTCTTCCTAACCTTCTTCCCTCACAAACGACCCCTCACCCCTCCCTCAAAATAGCAGATGCAGGCGACACAGTCGCAACGGCGTTGGCGTCGGATCCTCCCCATTGGTGCCTAAAATTGCAGGGACGGAGAACTGCGATGAATGGAAGAATGTCATCTTGACGTTCGCGGGGCTGGAGAACCCGAAAAAACCAAGGATTGATTTGTGAACGCTGTTTTTGGAGGTCTTGATGGCCTCATTGTTAGCCTGAGGGGTTACCTTGCTTAGTCAGGCCACACATTCAGCCCTAAACTGAGGCAGAACGAGCGAGAGAACCTCCGCGAGCGCAGCACACCACGGCCTCTACCACATCATGAGTTCCGCGTCCCGGAGTGGCAGCAACAGGAGCCCGGGCTCCTCAGGGGGTGGCATCAGCTCTCGCGCAGGTCAAGAACAAGCCGAGGGCAGCGAGGGGGGCTCAGGCAAGCCGAGTCGCGACGTCAGCACCCGGCATAGTTGGCGAACTGGCTCGCCAATCGTGCCAGAGCCGCGCAGTCCTTCATCTGCGAAGAGTGGCAGTACGCGAAAGACGACTCGATTTCCTCTAGCTCCGCCGACCCCAACAGGATACCCTGGGTCAGCAGATCGCCATCCTTCCTCCCTCTCCGGCACCAACGAGAGCGAAGATGGGCGTGATGACATTCAGACCAAGCTTCTCGTCGCCGCCAAATCGCGCAAGCCATCTGATGTGCTGGCGTACCTTGAAAAAGGGGCCAACCCACTGGCGCCCGCTCTCCAGTTGCGCCGCACGTTTCTCCATCGTCTTTGCCTGAACCCTTGGCTGTACCCAAACCTTCTGGTCAAGATTTTTGCGAGCATCGGCGGCGCATGTGCGCAGACGCTGTTGTCGCAACAGGACAAGCGAGGCGAGACCCCTTTGTACATGGCTCTGGGGACGGACTTTGTAGACGGCGCCGCCGCCATCATTAAGACCCTCATTGACAACGGCGCTGACCCCATGGCCCTCTTGCCCTCTGAGCAGCTCCCTCTACATCGCGCAGCTTGGAAAGGATCTGTTGCCGTCACTCAAGTGATCCTGGATCATATGGACCTTGCTGCCATTGATACAAAAGACGATTTGGAATGCACACCCTTAGACACAGCTTGCTGGAAAGGCCACCATGAGATCGCTGAGATCTTGATCAAAGCAGGCGCCAACATACATACACGTGATAACGATGACTGGACTCCGCTGCGATCGGCTGCGCAGCATGGTCAACTTCGAGTGTGCGAGATCCTCATTGAAAACGGCGCAGACATACATGCCCGAGACAACAAAGGCATGACTTCCTTGCGGGTGGCGGCTGAGCACGGCAAGACGGATATTATTGCTCTACTTTATGGACTTGGAGCCGACCTGGCCAGCCATGACGAGCTCGGATTCACAGGCCTCCACGCGGCGAGTCGTGATGGCGAGCTCGAAGCTGTCAGACAGCTTCTCGTTTTCGGCGCATACGTCAACTGCAGAACACTCAAAGGCTACACACCTCTCGATCTCGCGTGTTGGAACGGCGAAGATGTAGTCGTCAAAACCCTTATTGAGGCAGGCGCCGCTGTCAATGTCTGCGACTGGAGGGCTATGACGCCTCTAATGACAGCCTGCGAGGCCAATAAGCTCAGCATAGTAAATTTGCTTCTCGAGCATGGTGCGGATGTCCACCGACAGGACACGGCTGGACAGGCGGCAATTGATCGGCTGACCGACCTTCCCGACAACGGCATCCTGCAAGTGCTCGTGGACAAGGGTGCATATAGCGATGTGGCATCCTCGTTCCGGGGGGCCACACCACTCATGGCGGCTGTTCGTTTTGGCATACTGAACGCAGTGGCGAGTCTCTTGAAGCGAGGGGCCGATACCAACAAGCGAGACAAGGGGGGCTTTCATTGCTTAATGCACGCATGCCAGATAGGTCGACCCCAAGTTGTCGAGGTTTTGCTCAACCACAAGGAAAAGCCGGTTGATGTCGACCAACGGGACAATAGCGGGAACAGCTCGCTTATATATGCCACCTCGTACGGCCACGAAGCCGTCATTGAGATGCTGGTCAAGGTGGGCAAAGCGGACGTCAATATTAGCAACGTCAACAACACCACAGCGCTTCTTTCTGCTGCTACCTTCGGATTGGCCTCTATAGCTCGCTTTCTTCTGAGCGCGGGAGCTGATCTCACTATTCGAGACAAGTCTGGGCGAAATGCGTTACATCGAGCGGCCATGGGAGAGTCCGTGGAGAATTCCTTCTCCACAGAGCAGCTAGATCCGATGCAGCATTTGAGGGCATGGAATGAGGTCGTCGTGGATTTACTGGACAAAGGAGCCGACCCTCTTGTCCAAGATGACTTGGGTCATACTGCTCTCCATCTTGTTGCGTTTTCAAATGACTTGGAGAGGACCAACTCTATCTTGGACAAGGTACCGTCGGACAAGCTCACTATCCGCAACAAGGAGAAGTTCACCCCGCTGGGGACGGCGTGCGTTCGCCAGAATCGGTTCCCGGCCGAGGCTATACTGGCCCGTGTAGACGTGGCAGACTTTGGCGACAACCACGAGGAAACCGAGAAAAACGCCCTGTGGTGGGCTGCGAATGGAGGAGAGACGCACGAGATTGTTCGGCTGTTGTTCAAGAAGAGCGCAACGCTCACCGTCCCCATGCTGAGCGAGACAATGATGGGCTGGACTGCGATGGACTGGGCAGCGTACAGGGGCATGCCGAACGTGCTTTGGGGACTCCTGTGTACGACTGAACAAGGAGACAATTCGGACAAGATGAGAATGTCGGCCATGAAGCTGGCTAAGGAGAGGAGAAAACAGGAGGAAAAGCTTAAGGCTGCCGCTTTGCCTCGGAAATTAACGACAATCGACGTGGTCGGCCAGCCTTTGCATATGAAAACAAAGGACAAGGACTCGTCCGCCAAATATCGCGGAGGCAAGTACGGAGCGCCCGCTGTCAAAGAGGTTAAAGAGATCAAAGAACTTAAGCTGGACGAGGCCGAAATCTCATCGCGTCCCGCGACGCCCGTGACAGGCCACGTATCGCCCGTGGATAACGTGCCCAAGGATAACTGGCCCGCGGAACACGCCGGTCTTGAGGCGAGCAAAAGACCCGTCGAAGGCGACACTGTCAAACGGCCAAACGAGAAAAAGTACTTGGCCAAGAAGGAGGAGGAAGCGGCCGATGCTGGTGACCAGCAAGGGATTTCCGACGTCTACGGACTCATCATAGACATGCTGCGCGACCCGCCAGTTACTCAGACATCGGGCCCCAAAGAACCGTTTGTGGCTCCATCGTTTGAACAAAAGTCCTCGGGGATCCTTGATGAGTACGAGGCAGCAGTGGTTGACTTTTATGCCACAGGCGGACGATCAGGGTTTCTGAGGCGCTACCGCTCCATCAAAGAGACTATCTACACCTCCAGTCCTCTTGAAATCATGCGCAAGGCTAGGGAGACCATGCATCAAGTCGGCTCAGGCATACGGCATGCCGACTCCATTGGTGGTCTGGACCAGCACAAGCTATATTCCTTCGACGAACTGCGCTTTACGTGGATACACTTGCCCGCCAACAATCTCAAATGGATGCAAGATCTCATCTTGAAACTGTATGTCGAAGACGAAACCTACAGCGAGACCCAGTACCGCGACATGAGCGCCTTTCTGAGGAAGAGCTGGCTCCAGACACCAGACCGCACGTCCAAGACTCGCTTCATGAAGCCACGGTGCGTCCAGGATGGAGACAGCTACCCGCTCGCTCTCTACGTACCCTATCTCACGTTTTCGCAAGAAGCTACAGACCGCCGCCGGCTATCAGCATCTGATGACTACATCAAGAATCTGGAGAAGTACACCAAGCTGCTCGAGGAGTATAGTGATAGCATTATCCATGGCTCACGCACGCTGGACGAGTTCTATTATCACTTTGCCTCTGACGAGCGGTTCCAGAAGGATATGCAGCTCCGCAACCTAGATCAAGTCGTTACCAAGGCTATCGACGGCTCTCCCATGGGTATGGCAGACGCCATGCACCTGTTTACCGCTGTCAGAGTTGACCAGCTGTGGCTGTGGATGCTTGACGACTACACCTTGGTGACTTCGTCGACTCATCGCATGGATGGGATGCCGGACCCCATCTTCAGCGGAGTGCTGGATCTTCTCGGCCAGGGCGACAGTCGTTCCCGAGTGTCCCAACCGACCACAGCTCTAGAGATGAGCCAAACCATTGTGGACTTTTGTGTTGGGCAGTTCAACCGGGGCAGTCCGTCCACGAGATCCCACGGATCCCTCAGGCAGATATTCTTTGATTCCATCAACAAGACCGCCATTGAAGAATCGGAGCTGTACCGCAAACTGCTCTCGAAAATGGAGAGCGCCAGACTCCGAAGCCAGAAGAGGCAAAATGCCATTGGGAGGGCTGCTGGCCTGTTTCGAGAAATTAAGGATATTCGAGATGAGCTCAACATCCTCAAGGCCGTTGTCGAGGCCCAGGAGATTGTGCAGAACCAGCTGCAAAAGATACAGCCACGGGATATCCAATCCGCAAAGTCCATCCTCAAGGACATCTACGAGATGGACGAGCTCGCGAAACGGATACAGAGCTCGATCAACACGACCCTGACGTTGGAGCAGAACGAGATTGCCATTTCACAGGCCCAGCAGAGCGTCCGCCAAGGGAGGACGCTCATGGTGTTCACTGTTGTCACCATCCTGTTCCTGCCCATGTCGTTTCTCACGTCCTTCTTCGCCATTGACGTGGCCGCCTTTGTGACGACGCCAAAATGGACGTTTGCTGTCATTTTCGCGGTCTCTGTTGGTATCACGATGCCGTTGGCCTGCTACGCCTTTTATTCGGACGATATCGTGGGCTTCTTCCATGACTTGACCTCGAAACCCTCGTCGGCGTCGGATCAGCAAAGTACGGGGACAAGAACCGAATCCGTGCATGCTGAGATACTCTCGCTGCGCCATGACGGCCCCGAGAAACGGATGACCCCAAACATGTTTCAAGACGAGAGGAAGGAGAGCATCAGGGCCAGGATGAAAGAGATGGCAACCGTGGGGCCGACCAGCAACAATGCCTCAACTAGGTGGAAGTTGACCAGGCGCAATGGCAGTCGCGGTATGACCGACGAGGAGGCACAGAAGTGAATGGAGCGAGGCGATGGATAATCCCATGGGTTCAAGCGTAGTACGATTCGGCCCATGGACAAACAACAACATCAACCCATAACACAACACAACGTCAGCGCTATCCTCTATATGTAGTCTATCATAATTCATCCCGTACAGGTGGCTGGTCCGGCCGGCCACTGTCCTTGTGCAGGTCAATGCCCTTCTTAGCGCGCCACTTCTCCCAGAGATCCCAGAACTCGCCCTGCATCTTCTTGTCCATCTGGTCCGGCAGCACCACCTCGTACGTGACATACAGGTTGCCAAACTCGTGCTTGTGGTAGACACTGTCGCCATCCTCGTGCCACTTGGGCATGCCCTCGCCGACGACGGTCTCCACCTGCCCAGGCTGCACGACCTTGCCCTTGGGGCGACCCAAGCGGACGACGTGCGCGTCCAAGTGTGTAATGTTCCTCGTCCAGTCGCCCATCCAGGCCTCGCGCAAAGACAGCACCTCGGTCCAGTAGAGATCGTCGCCCTTTCTCCGGAAGAAGACGCCGTCGAGACGGTGCGGGTTGTCCCCCATCGACGGCCTCTTCTCCGTCAGGTGGACCACCAGGTTGCCCGTGTGCCAGTCGGGGCTCTCGTCAGCCTCCTCCTCGAAGATCACCGCCTCGCCGTTGGCGATACCTCGCTCAATCTTGAGGTCCACCGGTGTTTGCTTCCTGACGACCCGGCTGCCGTGGCAGTGGGGGCACTTGTTCTTGGGCTTCTCCCCTCGGCCGTCGCAGACGTCGCAGGGCCGTTGCATCTGCTGGAACATGCCCGGCGCGAACTGCTTCTTGACGATTACCACGCCCTGGCCGTTGCAGGCGCTGCACCTGTCGACCTTGCGGTCGGCGCTGCCTGTCCCGTCGCAGTGGTCGCAGATGTGCTGCTTGTTCCACTCGAACTGTGTCTCGACGCCATTGTAGAAATCAGCCAGCGTGATCTCGAGTTTGAATTCGGTGTCCCGCCCGCGCGGCTTCCCGGGCGGCCCACGCCTCTGCCCGCCACCGCCAAAGAAGTCGCTGAAGAGGTCGAAGGGGTTGTGCTGCCGAGGGCCACCACCCTGGCGATGCGACTCGACGCCGTCGTGGCCGTAGCGGTCGTAGATGGTGCGCAGGTTCTCGTCGCTGAGGACCTCGTAGGCGTTGGAGACCTCGACAAACTTCTCGTGCGCCGTGTCGTCGTTGGGGTTCTTGTCCGGGTGGAACTTTTTGGAGAGCTTGCGGTAGGCGGACTTGAGCTCGCGGTCGCCCACGTTGCGGTCGACGCCGAGGACCTTGTAGTAGTCCTGGGCGCAGTACGCTAGCTGGACCAATGCCAGCAGCAGGAATGCAAGTGCACCATGGGCTAGCATGGTGCTGTTTCGCAAAGACGTCAAAAGGAGTGTGTGGGGGGAGAACAGAGTGGAAAGTCTACAACAAACGTGGGCAAGACCTCGAAGTTCCAGCGTGGCATGATAGATAAGTGACTATCGGCAGGTAGACCCTTGCAGGTCAATTATCGATAAGACTGGGATGGGTGGGTGGAGCTCCGTCCCCAAACCTGCAGCGGACCTCGACTTTCTGCCACACTCCAACCTGGGAGTAAAGTATGCCCTGCCTCTTCTTGCGGCAGAACATTCATCGTCATGTCGAAACGGTACGCTCTTCTGCCCATGGACGATGAGGAGGTGGGTCCTCAGAAAGTAGGAAAGGAGCGCAAGCACAGGTCACGACGCGATCGCGACGACAAGCATCGATCCCGCAGACGCAGCCGCTCGCGGTCCCCTAGAAAATCGAGCTCTTCCAAGAGCTACCGCCGACGTGAGGATGGTGACGACCGATGGGCCGACGAAGAGCCTCCGACGGATGAGGAGGAGGACGAGCCGCAAGGAGGGCCCGACTTTGAGGAGTCAGCCAGCAAGCGCGTCAAGCTGAGCCACACACCAAAGGAAGAGGAGGATCTGTCAGACGGCGCGACGGAGGAGAAGAGAGACCAAGAAGAGCGCGATGCGTTCGCAAAGCGACTCAAGGAGAAGGACGACTCGAGATCCAAGAAAGACAATGGCCGTCACAAGCAGGAGACCGCGGCGCGCAGCGTCAACATGTCCGATCTGCGCGACCGGTCACGCAGAGAGTACTTGGGCAAGCGTGAGGCGGAACAGCTGGCGCTGCTACGGAGACAGGTCGCCGACGAGACGGAGGAGCTGCGCAGCGGCGTGAAGCTCACCGAGCGCGAGAAGGCAGATTTTGCCAAGAACCGAGAGAGCCTACGGTTGGCCGAGGAGCGACTCCGAATAGACGATTACCGTGACGGATACGCATTGCCAGAGGACTACATCACCGAAAAGGGCAAGCTGGATCGACGGAAGAAGGAAGAAGCCCTGTACAAGCGATATGTCGACCGTGACGAGTATGGCAAGGAGAAATTTGTCACAGAACATGAGGAATGGGAGAGGGAGCAGGCGGCCAAGGCGAAAGCGCAGGTTCAGCGCTCGGAGCGGGATATGGACGGTTATGAGTTGGTAATGGATCCGGACCAGCACATCAAATGGTCCCTCGACTCGAAGCTAGCCGGCGAAGGCAAGCAGCTCAGCAAGGAGCAGCTCTACCTGGCGGCACAGATAGAAGCGGCCGAAAAAAAGGCCCTGTCGATCCAGGACACGAGAAAGACTCTGCCCATCTACCAATACCGTGACGAGTTCATCGCGGCTCTGGAGCAGTACCAGGTGCTGGTCATTGTCGGCGAGACGGGCAGCGGCAAGACAACACAGCTGCCGCAGTACTTGCACGAGGCTGGGTACACCAAGAACGGCATGAAGGTTGGCTGCACACAACCTCGTCGAGTGGCAGCGATGAGTGTCGCGGCCCGTGTTGCCGAGGAGATGGGCGTCAAAGTGGGCAACGAAGTTGGCTACTCGATCCGTTTCGAGGATAATACCAGCGACAAGACGATTCTGAAGTATATGACAGATGGTATGCTGCTCCGCGAGTTCATGACGGAACCCGATCTTGCGGGCTACTCGGCGCTGATGATCGACGAGGCGCACGAGCGGACCGTGCATACCGACATCTTGCTGGCCTTGATCAAAGATTTGTCGCGGGAAAGGCCGGACCTAAAGCTGCTGATATCCTCGGCCACCATGAACGCCGAGAAATTCGCTTCATATTTCGACGACGCGCCCATCTTCAATATTCCTGGACGAAGGTACCCCGTCGATATCTACTACACTCCGGCGCCTGAAGCCAACTACCTCGCGGCTGCCATCACAACGACATTCCAGATCCACACAACGCAGGACAAGGGCGACATCCTGATCTTCTTGACTGGACAGGATGAGATCGAGGCGGCGGAGCTTCAAATCTCGGAAACAGCCAAGAAACTCGGTAGTCGCATCAAGGAACTCGTCATCTGCCCCATTTACGCCAACCTGCCGTCTGAACTGCAATCCAAAATCTTCGAGCCCACGCCCGAGGGCGCTCGGAAGGTCGTGTTGGCGACCAACATCGCCGAGACCTCGCTCACCATTGATGGCATCGTCTACGTTATCGATCCCGGATATGTCAAAGAGAACGTCTACAGCCCGCAGACAGGCATGTCCAACCTCGTCGTGGTTCCGTGCTCACGGGCGGCGGCAAATCAGCGAAGTGGCCGTGCCGGTCGTGTCGGCCCCGGCAAATGCTTCAGGCTCTACACAAAATTCGCGTACATGAACGAGATGGACGAGTCAACGACGCCTGAGATCCAGCGGACCAACCTAAATGGCGTCGTCTTGCAGCTCAAGTCGCTTGGTATCAATGACCTCCTAGACTTTGACTTTATGGACCCGCCACCGAGTGAGGCGCTCATAGGCGCGCTGAACCAGCTTTTCAACCTGCAGGGTCTCAATCACAAGGGTCAGCTCACCAAAATCGGTCGCCAGATGGCTGAGTTCCCTACCGATCCCATGCTGGCCAAGGCCGTCATCGCGGCCGATAAGGAGGGCTGCGTAGACGAGGTGCTGTCCATTGTATCGATGCTCGGCGAGGCATCTGCCTTGTTCTTTCGACCAAAGGACAAGAAGATCCACGCCGACAGTGCGCGCAACCGGTTCACAGTCAAGGATGGCGGTGACCACTTGACTCTTCTCAATGTGTTCAATCAGTGGGTGGACAGCGACTACTCCCCCGTGTGGGCGCGCGAGAACTTCCTGCAGCAACGTTCGCTCACTAGGGCGCGTGATGTACGCGACCAGCTGGCCAAGCTCTGCGAGCGAGTCGAGGTGACCCCCTCGACATGCGGCGCCAGCAACTTGCCCCCAATCAAGCGTGCCATCACAGCTGGATTCTTCCCCAACGCAGCGCGCCTGCAAAAGTCGGGTGACAGTTACCGCACTGTCAAGACCAAGACCACTGTCTGGATCCACCCCAGCAGCGTCCTCATGTCCGTCGATCCGCCAGAGAAGATGGTCATTTACTTTGAGCTCGTCCAGACGACCAAGGAGTACATGCGAAGCGTCATGCCGATCGAACCCAAGTGGCTGTCGGAGTTGGCGCCGCATTTCCACAAGAAGCAGGACGTGGAGGCCATGGAGGAGAAGAAGATGCCGAAGCAGCGGTCGTAAGGCCTTGATTGTGTGTGAATATATACTATTGGTCTCGGATCCACTTGTACAGGACGTCGGTCCGCATGGTGTACTTGATACCCTCTCTCACCTCGGCGCCTTCGTGCAGGAGGCCTTCGTGCTGGAAGATGAGCACGCGACCAGCTTTGGGGTGTACGTCCACGCGGCGTTTCTTGTCTTTGGCAAGGAAAGACGTAGCGCCGCCCAGGACACCCTCCGGCGAGTCCGCGCGAGACTCACAGAGGTAGAGCTGCAGCGTGTAATGCGTCTGGTACTCGGTGTCGTCGGCGTCGTAGTAGTACGGCCCGTCGCAGTGTGGCTTGAAGTACTGGCCACGGCCGTAGCGCAGGAAGCTCATGCGCTCGTTGGGTCGCTCGAACCTCCACTCGCCTTGCCTCACCTTGCCGTATTGCTGGGGCACCGTGGCGAACAGCGCCTCGAGTCCGTCAACCAACATGCATCTTGCCCAGATTTTGTTGGTGACGGTCTGATCACACCATATGATGCGGTCGCTCTCACGGTACCCTGGGCGCGACGCAATCTGCGTTCCGGGCGTCAGGCCGATGAGGGCTGGTTGCCATGGCTTGTCGGCTTGGACGCTGGACTCGGCCAATTTCAGCAATCCGTCACATTCAGATGGAGTGAGGACGCCGTCAATCGTGCACGCGAGCCGACCGTTGTATTCTGGGATAGCGGTGGAGCGCCAGTCGATGTGATTAACGGTGAGAGGTGCTGCTGGTGGGGCTGGAAGGAATTCTTGTTTGTCGGCCATGGTGTACATGAGGAGAATATGGCGAACGATATCAATCTATAATGAAGCGGAAAAAGACTGGTCTTGATGGCAGGACTCGTTGTTGTCTAGGAGCACCAGCATGCAAGGACACTGATCGGTGCCTGGTCAGACGTGACGCCGGGAATCGTCACGGTGAGCTTGGATTGCGCTTGTTAGGCAGCCATTTCAATGTCTATCCCGTCGCCTGCGCACTTTATGCTCTGGCGTCTCATTGTGACTTGCTAGCTTTCTATAACGACAGATATACATTTAGCACCTCTTGCACCCCGTCCTAGGTCACGACTGACGACCATCATACCCCCAGCCACGTTTGTTCAAGTGACAAAGCAAAAGCCACGGCCCCTGGTTATGGGCATGGCACCGCACGGTCGCCCAGGCAACGTCGTCCGACGTCGGAGGGGTTGGTCGAGCTGAACAGCTCTGGGCCTCTGGACGCTAGGCGGTAACCTCTTTCACAAGGCAAGACATCATATCTCGTACGGACTTGATACATTTTGTTGCTGTGCTCGTGGATGAGATGCGGGGGCATGGTGTGAATGCATCAGCCAGGCGGCAGGAAGACGGGGTCGACCCTTGTCATGTTGTGCGTGGACAGAGTCACTTTGTTCTGGATATAGGCTGACCGAACGGGGGAATCTTTCCAGTCTTTGCGTCCATCAAGAAATGCAGACACCATGCTGCAATCAAGACTCGATTTGCATCCAAGATTCAGCCGCATCCACGTGATCCGAATCTGCCTCAACGCTGTGAGGCTGACCAGGATAGAATGGGAAGCTGCGACGAAGGCTGCCTTGCACTTTCTTGCCGCTCCCTCTTCTATCTCCAGAGCGTGCAGACGTCTACCATGTCCTCTGTACCTTTGTGCTGCCAGCCCTGCGTCCACGAGCCTCACATTCTCGAGTACCAAGTCCTGACCATCACGAGACTCACTCTTCGTTACCCTAGGCGCAGGCGAGCCAGCCAGCTGATGGAATCCGGCCGCCCAAATGGGTGATCACGATATCAACGAAGACCACGCTCAGGCCAGCGATGCGCCACCTCGCGCGGGGGATGGCCCGCGGACAGCACAGGCCAAAGGCGCCGTCTCTCGCTGGACACGCAGGGTACACAAAATCTATATCATATGCTTTCATCGGGGGTTCGCCGCCTTCCTTGTTCTCCCCCTCGTCCTGGCCCTTGTGTTCGTCGCGCAAAAGAACCACTTTGGTGCGGACCAGTGCAAAGCTCGCGAGAGTGGATGTGGGTTTGTCGGAAACGAGGATGCTTACGGGCTGGGGATCCGTCTGGGCGTCTACCTCCAGTGGCTCAGTGTCTTCTTGGTGGTCTACCTCTTGCCCTCGGAGGAGCGCTCCCTCATGACGAGCCTGATCACGTTCAGCTCTGCGCTGATGATGGCCATACTCGTCTTGACGTTTGGCGGTACGTGCACATACACTGTAGAGATCATCGTCCTGCTGTGGACGGCCTTCATGACCCAGGCGCTGGCGTCCATCACGCATACCGCGCAGGAGATTGACGATGCCGGTATCAGAGAGGTGCCCGTTATTTCAGGTCTGAAGCGAGCGACAACCTTTCAACTCAACCTTGACAGTCCGCAAGGCATGCACGGGTTTCAGTCAGGGTCCACGCTGGTCGAAATGTGCATACTTGGCTACGCTGCTTGGTTCTGGGTATGCCTGCTCAGAGGTGCCGAGATGGTCTTCGCCGCGACCCCATGCGGGACGTCGCTCTTCTTCTTCGCCCGGATCCAAGACCGCAAAGGCATCGTGGTGATTAGCGCGCTGATGACGGCGGTATCGCTTGCGACTCTCCTGTTCCGTCTGGCTGCTTGGATATTCCGAACGTCGGTGAAGCGGTGGTTCTCGAAAAGAACGTACGACATGCTCGGCGCAGTCCTCGTTAGCATTGTCTATCTGCCAATCACCCTCATCGCCGGGATCACTTATCTCGTACCTGACACTTGGATGCTCAAGATGTTCCCTGGTTCTGGTGGGAGAGAGCAGCTCATGGTTTTTCTCTGTGCCTTTGTCGCCTTTATCGTGTCTGTCGCCGGCATCGAATTACTGCTGGTCTGGAACGGCATCTCAGATGTGTATGGGGTCGGCTCAACGGGGCAGCTGATCCCGCTGACTATGGGCTTGGTGAGCCTGATGCCGATACTGTGGAAACTGTTGAGACGATACATGGCTGGCGAGCCTTTAGTGCCAGAGCCGGCGAGCAATGGCAGTGGCTTGCTGATCCGGGGTACCGCCTTGCCTCACCAAGGATCTCCCGTGGAGATGGCTGCTCGGCAGAGTGATCGAGAGGCGTTGCAGCTGCCATAGGGGCCACTAGCGTCGTTGTTCACTTTTCGCAATGGTCGGGCATTAGAATGGAGTGAATGATTGCTCCCGGTTGCTCGGAACATGGGATCTAATGTACAAGTTCAATTAAACATGATCTATATCTGTAGGCATGGAAAGAATGTACACCTCTACTGGGCGTGGGAGCCATCCGAGTTGAGCCCGATAGTGACCGCGGCAACCTGCTGGCAGATGAAGTCATTGGGACCGTTGCCTCCGGCGCGGCAGTATGTGGGCACGTTGCCCTCACCCCAGACACCGACGCTGTTCGCGGAATGTTAGTGTAATGTCGTCGAGGCCGTGCCAGCTGTACTTACGCAGGACCCAACTCGTGGTAAAGAGTCAGACCGAACTCGGCGTCGTCCGAGCCAGACTTCAGGGCGAAGCGGTATTTGCTGTCGCCGCAGGTGAAGATCTCGCCGGAAAAGTCAGGGTTGGAAGCCGAGCAGGCCAGGTCCGTGGCATCGTCGCCGGAGAGCTTGAAGGAGACGGAGCTGAAAGTAGGTGCCTCTCCGCTTGCACTCTGCTCCTTGCGGACGGCGAAGTCGGCAATGTCCACGTTCTCGTAGTTGGAAGGAGTAGGAGCGGCCTTGGGCGCGGCAGCCGCGAGAGTGAGGAAGGGGAGGAGGTTGATGAGCTGCATTGTGATGGCGGCGTTGGTTGTTGGTTTTGGTGGTTTCGGCGGTTTTGGCGGTGGTCAGTTGGTTGTCTTGATGTTGCGAAAAAAGGCTTGGTTGATTGCTGCTTCAAGTCAGGTCATACAGAGGTAGGCTGACCTTTTATACCCAATTCAAGACCACATCTGCCACTGGAGACCCTTTGACGTACGCACACTTGGTACGTGTCGACAACACATCCATGCCGTACATAGCCTCATTGCTGCCGATCCGGCCGGGCCGCGCTCAAAGTTCCGAGTCCCTCGAAGAATCAAGGACGACGATGTTGAGGCGATCATTCCCATCCTGTCTCGTGTTTGCTGGTTATGATGACAGTCAAGACCTGCGCTGGGGCTGGGGATCGTCCACAGAGTTCCGTTATTTACGTCAAAGGGACAAATGCCGGGGCGAGCTGTGTCCACATCTCGGCAGTGATGGCAATGCGCGTCGGGGTGAGGATGGCTTGGCGTGCGCCAAGTAGACAAGTCTCGTATTCGGTGGGTACTGACTGTGCTACTGCCCAGGCCTGACGACGATATCAATGCCGGGCCTCCTCGAGTCCCCATGCTGATTGATTATGCATGGAGTGGGGGAATGGGTATGGTCCAGCCTGACATGAGCGCAACTTGAAGCCAACAAGTCAGCCGTCAATGTCCGGTCCGAGGCTGAGCACATGATAGACGCGGATCGTAACGACATGCTCAAGCTATAGAATCATGTTCAAATGAAGATAGACATGAATAATGGACTGTGCGCTGGGTGTCTTGTGACAGAGAGTTCTCCGTGGCTGTTCGCACCGGAAAGGGGGGGCCATGGAAGGAACCCTTTTGGTCATGTTGTCTCATCCGTCTGGCACTGCCAGCAAGCTTTTGGTTTTGTAATAAAGGGGTTGCAAACAAATGAATGAAGCTCAGGACCATCTTCTGTCAAGAACAATTGACTTACCCTAGAACAGACAGAATCACGTCGCATCAGTCCGTGATTGGATGGTCGCACAGTGTCGCCCCCACTTCCCCTGCGCTCGCGCGTCCTGCCCACCCTGCAGCCACATGGCGCGTAATTATGCGGGCAGGCGGTAAATTACATGGCATCCTCCCCCATCCAGAGAAGGTAATATCAGAGACAAATTATATAATAATACCGGCCGACCGATGGTGTCGACAGTTGCAGAGCACTATGCAACGCCAACCACTCACCCTGAACCTGGACAGTCTCCCCTCGCCGCGACCGACCACGCGCGAAGGCGACATTTCCGCGACCATCAGCGCCCTTCCTCAACCCGCCGCCAAGGACAAGGATCGCAAGTCGTCCTTCTCCCGAAAAGCAACGTCCTTTACCAATGCTGCCCGCCGGCGCGGCAGCTCCAACACCACCGACGCCTCCTCCGCCTCCGCGCCCTTTATCACCGACGCCACAGCGCCTCCAGCGCTCCCCGACTACGCGCTCCCCAACGCAGCCAAGCTCACGCCACGCGCCGAGATTGAGGACCCCTTTCGAAGCGCGGCCTCACCGCCAGACCCCGTCAAGATGCTCTCCAGGACAGCGACAGGTGCCAGCATGCCCCCTCCCCCGACCCCCATCGGTGGCGGCGGCGGGTTCTGGCAGGGGAGTGAAGGGACCAGCGCCGGGTACAAGCACATGCAAGACACGATTCGAAAACGAATGGCGACAATGGACTACCTGCGGAAAGCGCACGCCGGGCGGTGCTACTGGTTCAACGCATATCTCATGGACAAGTCGGATCTGCACCGTGCGTTTGACCAGCGCAAGCTGGCGAGGCGAGCGACGAATTACCTGCTGCTAGGCCTCTCGCTGCCGGTGCTGGCCGACCTGTACTCGAGCAGCCCTGTCGAGTTCCTGAGGGCGTTTACGGGGCTGCTTAACGAATTCGAATCCTTTCAGCAGCTGCGAAATGATTCCTCTGCGTCCGCCATCTCGCGCGCCAGGCTGCCCACTATGTTTCGTCGGCCAGGCGGGAAATCGCGACGCTCGACATCGGCGGCAGAGGAGGATTCGTCATCGTACCCCTTGAGCTCGGGCAGCCTCCCCTCTGCGCCCGCGCCGAGCGTCATGAACTTTGCGGCGTCCGAATCCGACCTGCTGCCCGGCGAGGAGTACACGTATCTGCTGACGCCGTCGCTCCCCTTTGAGCCTGATTACTTTGAGACGTTTGCCACGCTGTGCGATGCGCTGAGCGACGTGTACAACAGAATACTCATGCTGGTGCCCACCACGAGCGGGTGTACGCCGGTCGTCATGGAGCAGTTTGCAAAGGCGGACACGCGGGTGCGGAAGATTCTAGTGGCGGGCGTTGTGAAGGAGTTTGAGGAGAGTAGCCGGGCCAATATCAAGGCCGAGGTTGCGAGTGTTGGCAAAGTGGTCCTGGGAGGCTTGATGTAACGAAGCCATGCAGGTAGGGAATCTTTTGACGGGCTGAGGCGTTTAGGCATCATCATGAGGCGTTCTCTTCTTGGTATGATACATTTCTAAATGGTATCTGGATATTGGTACATGGGATGGGGTATGCATATAACGGATGAATACACAGCAGCTCACTTCTTTTGCTGCTTCTTCTGCTTGGTCTCTTCTTCAAGAGTCAGCATCTCAATGTCGCGTTGCAGCATCCACTCGCGGCTCGCCGCCATGACCTTGTCTAGACCCTCTCCGCCCTCCAGCACGTCTCTTAGGTTGTTCGTGTCAAAGCCAGCGCGGTGGTCCGTGCATCGGTCCTGGTTGTAGTTGTACGTCCGGATCTTCTCGCCTCGGTGGATCTGCTTGACGGTGAGGACGCTGTCTCTGAGCTGCGCGGCTTCCGCCTCGCGCTGCTCCCGGCGCTTGTCCGCAATACGTGAGCGCAGAATCTTCCAAGCCTCCTGTCTGTTCCGTCCCTGCGAGCGGTGGTCTTGCATCGACACTGATTCACCAGTGGGTATATGGGTGATCCGAATGGCGGATTCTGTCTTGTTGACGTGCTGCCCGCCTGCTCCCCTGGCGCGCATGGTCTCGACCTTGACCTCGGACGGGTCAACGTAAAACTCGCTCTCCGGGTCGTCGGGGTCGATGCTGCTACCCGCCCCCGTTTCCGGGAACAGTGGCAGTACCCATAGCGCGGCGACAGACGTGTGCACCCGTCCTTTTGCTTCGGTCGAGGGAACGCGCTGGACGCGGTGCATGCCAGCTTCGGTGCGGAACTGCCCGTACGCCCCTGGATCAAGAATCTCCAGCACCGCTTCTTGTAGTGGCAGCTCTCCCTCGGCCGACTTGGTATCCCCCGCAGAGTCGGCCGACTCGTACTTCAGCACGTTGGTGCGCATACCGCGGCGCTGACAGAAAGACTGGTACATGTTGAACAGGGTGTCCGTAAAGTACCGCGACTCTGTTCCGCCAGGACCGGGTCGGAACTCAATCATGCACGGTAATTCGTCGAACTGATCCTTGGGGGCCAGGCTCCTGCCCAATTCCTTCTCCAGCATGACCAGCTTCTCCTCCTCCGTGGCCAGTTCATCGCGCGCTATGCTTGCGAGCTCAGCGTCAGAGTCCGGGTCGGCGAGAAGGGAGGTGAGGTCGTCAATGGACGATCTTGAGTTGTTGTAGGCGGCGAGGGCGCCTGCCACGGAGGATATTTCGCCGGCGCGTTTTGCAGCAGCCTGGGAGAAGGACTTTTCAAGAGTGCTCTGGAGGTTTGCGTATTCGGCGGACAGGTTCTGAGCCCGGGTGAGCAGGGCAGGGGCCAACTTGCTATCGCCTTTTGATTGTCAGTGGCTTGTTGGTAGGCGCGCGCAGTGGTCAGAGAAACTTTACCAGCAGCTGTGGTGGCCTGGCGGACGAATTGTCTGGCCAGAGGCGGGCGCAAAGCGCGTAGACATGTTCTGCATATCCATTGCGCAGGTGGCGGCATGGCGCAGATCAATTGTGAGGTCGACCAAGTCGTGATTTGGCCAAGGATTTGACTATTAGAGGTTCCGTCATGGTGTGTGATCAAGGACGAACCGCAAGTTGAAGTGCGTCGCTGGGTCCAACTCCGCGCATAGGCTGGCCTACCCTACATCACAAAAGCTGGTCACTGGTACGTTGGGAAGGAACAATACCTACCTTAGCTCAACTTCAATTGACGTGTCTGAATTCCGCGACAACTGATGGCACTCCGAATGGCTTCGGCTTGCAATTTCACTTTATTGCTTGTTGGTAGAGAGACATCGTCGACCACAGCGCCGTCTTCTGTCGCTATAGAATTTATCCTTATCACTCACAATTTGTCCTTAGTCGCAGTCCCGTCTATCAGCAGAACCTCCACACAATGGACCCTCTTGGCAAAAATTGTACAAAACACCAGCAATGAAGACGGAGATTTCTGGGAGCACCCTTCCGCACATGACCCCGACTATGACCCGCCCGCGGCTTGCAATCGCGTCACGCCATGTCTGAGCACGTATAATATCGAGCGAACAGCTCGGTGGTACATCCAATACATGGGGTTCCGGAACTTTGACTACCGTGTGGCGGAATACAACGACTAGGACTTCGGCGATCTTCCGGGCCCCTTTCTGCTCACATGTGGACCTCTGCGCATCCTGTTCGCCGAGCGTCACGGGCCATTGTGCCCAGGGTCCGTGCTGTTTGGACTGTCACCCGTTGACCTCGAGATCTACTACAGCAGACTGTCCTCTGAGGGCGTAGTACGGTTCCAGGTACACATGACGATCAGCGAGGTCATGGGTATGCGCATGTTCAGCGTCTTCGACCCCGACGGCAACCTCCTAGCATTCTTCAACGTCTTGGCGACCCATCACCACACAGGCATACACTGCTGACGTTTAGGAGATGAGAGCTGCAAGATGTTGGAGTAGGTTTGCACAGACGAGACTTTGGAGTCGATTCGCTTCCCAGGGTGCTGATAGCGACAGACCTCTCAGACTCCAGTAAATACCCGGAGAAAGGGACAAAACGCTGGATAAGTTAGTGAATTTTCGATGAGGGGTAGAGGTATGGTCAGCTGAGCAGGGCGCGTTTCTTACGTATCAATTTACGTTATGCCCAGACAATTCGCAGCAAGTGAAGCCATCACTGTACTCCAAATACCCCACAAGCCCTCCTCGGCAGTGACCAACACTAGTAGATAAGCACCGTGATCCTTCCGCGGGGTAAGTTGTTGATCAACAAGAGGGGAAAGGAACTTTTGTGTGCGAAGTGCTTGTGTGGAGACATGCGCTTAAAGCATGGGTATTATCAGGCGTGTTCCTGCGTCCAGCGAGGATGGATATACTCGGGGATGCCGTATTCTGTTGGAGACGGTTCCCCTCCTCCTTCTCTGAAGCCGTGATCGTGTGGCGTACTTCGTATCACATGCTTTGCGTGGCTGTCCAACTCCCAATCCAACAATCATGCTTCCACTCCTGACGCTTCTGCCTGCGGCGGCTGCTGCACCGACCAATTGCTCCGGCAGCGAGCCTCGCCTTGGCGCTGTGGCCTCTGAGATCGATCTCTGTTCTCAGATTGGCACCAACATCCTGGAAGAGGGCGGCAATGCTGTCGACGCCCTCGTTGCGACGACTTTTTGCGTTGGGACGATGGGCATGTACCATTCCGGCGTTGGTGGTGGTGGTTTCCTCACCCTGCGCACTCCCAATGGCTACTATGAGACTGTGGATTTTAGGGAGACTGCTCCCGCTGCGTCCACAGAAGACATGTACAAGGACAACGAGCCGGCCAGTCGCATGGGTGGTTTGGCGAGCGGTGTGCCAGGCGAGCTTCGAGGGCTGGAATACATTCACACCAAATACGGCGCTCTGCCGTGGGAAGACATGCTTCAGCCGTCCATTGACCTGGCGAGAGAAGGGTTCGAGGTGAACGAGGATCTTGTTGCGTATTTCGGAAAGACGTCCAATCACGAATTCCTGATCGAGGATCCTGCGTGGGCGCTTGACTTTGCGCCCCGTGGCAAGCTCGTAGAGCTGGGCGAGACCATCACCAGGAAGCGATATGCCAACACTTTGAAGGACATTGCCAAATATGGAGCTGATGTGTTCTACAACGGCCCCATTGCCAACGCCACAGTCCGGGCATTGCAGGCGGCTGGCGGCATCATGACTTTGGAGGACTTGGCCAACTACACCATTGCAGTGCGAGAACCAGTGTCGATCACGTACCGAGGGCACAAGCTCACCACGATTACCGCACCGTCATCTGGCGCGGTGGCTCTGAGCGCGTTGAACATCCTCGATGGGTACGAAGACTTTGGCCTCCTGGAGAACAAGAACATTTCGACTCAACGCCTCAACGAGGCCTTGCGATTCGCATACGGGCAGCGTGCTGAGCTTGGTGACCCGTCGTTCGTCGATGGGCTGCCCGAGTTCATCGAGGACATGCTGTCTGCCGAGACAGCAGAGGAGATCCGCGGCAAGATCTCCGACACGGAGACGTTTGGCATCGAATATTACAACCCCGCTGGTCTGGAGTCCATCGAGACGCCTGGCACGTCGCACATTGTGGCGGCCGACGCGGCGGGTTTCGCCGTGTCCCTCACCACGACGATCAACCTGCTTTTCGGTTCGCGGCTCGTCGTCCCCGAGACGGGTGTGATTATGAACAATGAGATGAACGACTTTAGTATCCCCGACACCCGGAACGCCTTTGGCTACCTGCCCTCGCCCTCCAACTTTGTCCGACCCGGCAAGCGTCCGCTGTCCAGTATCACCCCTGTCATTGTGGAGGCGCCTGGGGGCGACCTTTACTACGTCATTGGTGCCGCTGGTGGCAGTCGCATCATCACCTCTACCGTCCAGAACATCATCAACGTGATTGACTATGGCTTGAACGTCGAGGATGCCTTGGCCAAGCCGCGACTGCACGATCAACTGTCCCCGCCCGAGACGAGCTTCGAGTACCCGTACGACAACTCGACCGTTGCCTTCCTTAGGGAGCTTGGACACAATGTCACATGGGTCGCACCGGGGCAGAGCGCTGCGCAAGGCCTGGTCAGGCTGGGCAATGGAATCTTTGAGGCGGCGGGCGAGCCCAGGCAGAAAAACTCGGCCGGTATTGCGGTGTAGAGAGTCGTAAATGTGAGAAGCTAAAAGGTCATTTGAAGAAGATGCTTGATGAGGTGACCTTCTACACGTACTCCAAATTAAGGATTAAGTGCATGCTCGAGCAGCCTAATGTCAGGGACCCGCTTTTACTCCGCGCTTCGGCGGGGTCCTTTTTGGCGCAACGTCAACGTGCGGCCGTGCCCTGCGTCACTGGACTAGAAGTCCCGTCCCCTGAGTATATGCTGCGCTCTCTTCCTGCACATCAGGAACCAACACATGTAATAGCGTCTTTTCGTTGATTGTTGTGAAAGTTGTTTTTTCTCGCAGTTCCTGAGCGCACTTTGATCGCACCCCCGCGCGCGCACCGAGAACATGACGACACATCCTCTCGAAGGCCAGGTACAAGGCAACCCTGAGCCAGAGCTCCTCGACGGCCGCATGTGGGTTGATGGCTGCTTTGACTTCTTCCACCACGGTAGGGTCCCCGATTGGTCTACAAGTAGAGGATACTGACCCCAGACAGGACACGCAGGTGCGATATTCCAAGCTAGGCAACAATGCAGCGAGCTCTACGCTGGAGTGCATTCGGATGAAGCGATCCTCGCGAACAAGGGTCCCACAGTGATGAACCTCGACGAGCGGTACCGCCCCCGAGAGGGATACCCTCAGCAACAGAGACGCTGACAAGATTAGTGTTGCTGCCACCGACGCCTGCCGCTGGGTGACCAAGTCCATCCCATACGCGCCCTACGTCACCTCCCTCCCCTTCATCTCCCACTACGGCTGCCGCTACGTCGTGCACGGCGATGATATCACGTCCGACTCGGACGGGAACGACTGCTATCGCTTTGTGAAGGAAGCCGGCCGTTTCAAGGTCGTCAAGCGCAGTCCAGGTATCTCCACAACTGATCTCGTGGGGCGGATGCTGTTGTGTACAAAAAGCCACTTCATAAAAAACATGGAAGAAGCTTTCGCAGGGACAGAGGGCGACGGCTCGCCGGAGGAGCGGATGGAACTGGGGGACAGCATGCACAGCAGGATAAAATGCTACGCATCCGACGAGACGGCATTGGCACCAGGGGTGGCCGTGTGGTTCTGGCGCTCGATTGAGCAGGCCACGTTGGAGGGCAGTGGGCCGGGCAAGTTCAGCCAGGTCAAGGGGATACAAGGGAAACCTGTTCAGCCGGGGCAGAGGATTGTATACGTTGACGGCGGATTCGATCTCTTCTCCAGCGGGCACATTGAGTTCCTGCGTCAGGTCGCTCTCAAAGAGGAGGAGCTTTCCAAGGGAGGGCCGCCATCGTACATCGTGGTGGGTATTCACGAGGACAGTGTCATCAACGAGTGGAAGGGGGTTAACTACCCCATCATGAACGTTTTTGAGAGAGGGCTCTGTGTCTTGCAGTGCAAGGTAAGAGAATCATCATATCCGGTGCTCTTGCACGTGGCTAATCTCGACTCGGCAGTACATCCACGCCGTCGTGTTTGGCGCCCCTGCCAGCCCTTCACGAGCCTACCTCGAGAGCCTGCCCTCTGGGACTCCTGTCGCCGTCTACCACGGTCCGACTGCCTACATGCCGCTGACCTACGATCCCTACAAGGCGCCCAAGGAAATGGGCATCTACGAGGAAATTGGCTCTCACGCTTTCCAGCACGTGAACGCAGGCGAGATCGTGGAGCGAATCATGAAGAACAAAGAGATGTACGAGGCACGACAGCGGAAGAAGGGTGTCAAGGCTGGGTTGGAGGCCCAGGTTAGGGAGAGAGAGGCTCTGGAAGAGGAGCAGAGGAAGAAGGAGGCTGAGCGATTGGCAGCGGCCAATTGATTGTGAACGAGGCCATGGAATACGTACACTTACGATTACGAATAGATATTGCGATTCTGTCTGTCCAAAATCTAGAGATAAGGTAAGGTAGTTGAGGCGGGAGTCGGGAAGCCTCGGCTAACCGCGGTCTAAAATTTGGAGGGGTGAGACTTTTTCGAATTCTTTTCCTGCATGTCGTTTTCTTATCAATCAGACTGATCATCCCTGCTGGAAAGTGAAGATTCTGCACGTAGTACGTACCGCTGCGAGATCAGCCACAAAAGACGACGCCGGCTGACCTGAACGTGGCTACGCTGATTGTGCCTTGCAAAAGCCATGTCCCCCGGTTTCACGCCGACGTGAGTCGTGAGTCGTGACGACGATAACGGGCAACGCCGCCCCCACCAAAGTCGTCTTGACTCACCGAGCGACTATGTACTTGGAACGAAATTCAGCGATTGAATAGCCACAATGAGATACTCGATGACACGGAGTCGGCCGACGCCCATGGTACATATGATCCTTATCACACGATGCAATTGTAGGACAAAAAGAACCTCCTGAGCAAGTGGTGGCCATTGTATGTTGACGAGTCACCTGGATGCTTCGGCGATCCGAGGTGTGGAGCCAGCCAACGTGTTAGCGGCGGCTCAGTAGTCATAATTCTTGTTGTTCCAGTCGACAATTGCTCTTTCTCACATACATCTATTCGAGATTCCTCCTTCTTTCCTCGATCCAAGCTAACCAACCTCCAACAACACACCACAACCGGCGCAATGGCTCCCTCTGCCGTTCAAGATGTCGACCTGACCGCCTCGGCCGTCCAGAGGAAGACATCCATCTCAACAGCCCCTGATGATTCTCCAAAGGCTCTCGACGCCTCACAACTCATTACCACCCTGACCAGCAATCCTCGCGGCGTGCCCACTGAGCAGGAAGCGAATGCAGGCCTCGAGACTGTTTGCACAGACCACATGATCACGGCCACCTGGACTCTCGGCAAGGGCTGGGCGGCCCCGGAGCTGAAGCCCTATGGACCATTGAGCCTACTGCCGACGGCGAGCTGTCTGCACTACGCGACCGAGTGCTTCGAGGGTCTCAAGGTGTACCGAGGCTACGATGGCAAGCTGAGGATTTTCCGCCCTGACCGCAACGCCCAGAGGTTCAGGATGAGTGCGGCGCGCATCTCGCTGCCCGTGTTCGAGCCTGAGGAGGTTGTCAAGCTCATGATTGCGCTTTTGTCAGTCGATGGTCCCAAGTGGCTGCCCAAGGACAAGCCTGGATCCTACCTCTACATCCGTCCCACGCTCATCGGCACCGATGGCCAGCTTGGCGTGCAAGCGCCCAAGGCCGCCATGATGTACATTATGGTCACCTTTATGCCCCGCCTCGACACACCCGAGGGTGGTCTCCGTCTTCACACCTCGCCAGAGGATATGGTCCGCGCCTGGGTTGGTGGATTCGGCTACGCCAAGGTGGGCGCCAACTACGGCCCCAGTCTCATGGCCACACACGATGCGCGCCAGAGGGGCTTTCACCAGATCTTGTGGCTCTACGGCCCCAATGGCGAGTGCACAGAGGCAGGCGCCAGTAACTTCTTTGTCGTGTGGAAGAGGAAGGACGGAAAGAAGGAACTCATCACGGCACCACTCGACGACAAGTTGATCCTGGATGGCGTGACGCGACGAAGCTGCCTGGAAATCGTGAGGGAGAAGCTGGCTGGCGAGCTCGAGGTGACGGAGAGGAAGTACTCCATCGATGAGGTGCTGGAGGCTGACGCCGAGGGCCGCATTCTGGAGGCCTTTGCTGCTGGCACGGCCTACTTTGTCTGCGCCATCTCGCAGATCCACCACCGGGGACAAGACGTCAACGTTCCCATGGGACCCGAAGGAGCACCGGGCGAGATCACCAACAAGGTCAAGACGTGGCTGGGTGATATCATGTACGGGCGGACACAGCATGAATGGGGCGTTGTGATCCCCGAAAAGGAGTAGCATGATTTGTGTGTGTTATAGATCCTTTCAGCAGAAGGAGAACAAGGAGAAGCTAGACAAAAATATTTCAGTCCATTTCCATCAAACTCTTTTGAAATGTTTGTTGCAGAAGAGCTTGGCATCTGTTCTTGCACTCCGTCTCCAGGTCGTCGATCTTCTGGCAGCCCGACTCGACTATGGCTTTCGCCTCCTTCTCGTAAGCGACTTTTTCTTCGGGAGACAAGGATTCGCCAAGACACGCTTGACACGATCTCTCGCTCCCGTCACTGCCCAGCTCGTGCCAAATATTTTCTTCGGCCTCGAGGCACTGATCCCACTCTCCAACGAGCTTGCGCACATCCTTCTCCGCCTGGTGGACTTCATGCGCGAGGCTTGACAGGTGTGCCAGAACAATGTCGGAGGGAAAATTCTGTGATTCACACAGAGTGAACTTGAATGGGACGGCAATGTTGCCCGTATACAGTGTTTCGTTGTCCTCGAGCGCTCTGGTCGAGTCCTCCGTGAGGTCAGCAACCTGCTCGTCAAAGGTCTTTCGATGTTGGGCCAGACGCGCAAAGGCAGCGGCGTGGAGGGCGGAACCATCTCGTGTGAACGCATCTGAGAGGTCAGAACGGATCCCGTCACGTGCCATGCTAAACTTACTCATAAGCGCTGCGATCTGATCAGCGTCCTTGTCCGCTGTCTTGTCGGAGACGTCTTCCTTGGTCGATGATGTGCACGAGTCCCACAGCAAATGTATACGGAACTGCTGCTCCACTGTCAAGGGTAGAGTAGTGACGTCGCACGCGGAATCAGACGCTGGTGATTTCTCGGAAGGACCTATGCTACGAAGACGAGCGCGGAAGCCAACGCCGTTCTCAAGTGGTAGACGACTCGGGCTTGACGATCGCTGTCGCTTGGCATGCTTGCGCTTGGGCGGCATGATGGTAATTTTCGTGAGCACAGCTCGTATCTGTTGCAGCGTTGCAGACGTGGTGGGAATATGAAATAAGAAGCGGCCAGAGATTGTCGGCGGTAGCCTGTGTCTGTCCAAGGCCTTTCCGGAAGGCAAGTGTAGGTATGGCGCTCCTTCCCTCAAGTCGACTTCATGCGGCAGGAACAGACCACCCTCTCAATCTCACTGCTGCGATGGCAGTTGCGAACGGAATGAGTAGCAGCCTTGATGAGCTCACTCGCTTGACTCATTGAGTCTCATTTCCATCTCAATCTTTCGTACGATATCGTCAAAGAGTATCATGGCGCCGTCTCCCGAGTCCCCGCACGCCATGCCCCTCGATATCGGATGGAGCACCTCCATCCACCCGTCGGCGCCGCCCCAGTCCTCGTCCATAACCTTGATCTGCCTCTTGGTGACGGGATGATGGAACATGGCCGAGTTCATCGCAGGCGCGACGAGGATCTTCTTGCGACGCCCGTCAATGAGACCCGTGGCATCCCAGGCGCGGGCGACAGACAGCAGCAGGTTGTCGCACATGCCGTTGACAAGTTTCGCCATGGTGTTGGCGCTCAGAGGCGCGATGACCATGAGATCGGCCCAGCGCCTCAACTCGATATGCAAGATCGGTGCCCCTCGGGTCCAGGAAGGTGACCACTCCGCTGCATCCTTGTAGACCCCATCGACGTTAGGATATCGTGCAATCTCGGCCAGGGAAGGCTGCTCCGCCGCCTGGCCATCGAGGAAGCTGGCGGCCGAGTTGGTGAGCACAAGGCGGATGGAGAGATTGGGTTGCGAGCCCAGCGCTTTGATGATGGGGGCGATTTTGATGGTTGCGACGGAGCCAGATGCGGCGAGCAGAAGATGTTTCTTGCCATCCGATCGGCACAGGGCAACTTCGTGAGCTGGCGATTGTGCCTCCATAAGGTCGTGAGCTGCCATATCTATCTAAATTTCACACTTTGCTCAACATATGGTTCTAAAAAAGCAAAGAAACATGGCTAGCAGGCTCAGCTCATGAATTGTTATTTAAAACTGGCCCGTCATCGGCCGTGATTACCAAGCTTGCGATTGGTCAGCGCTCCATAGTGGGTCTCAGCTCGTTAATCATGGCTCGGAATTGCATCACCAAACTTTCCCTCTCGTCAACCCATCAACACCACAGTCATGTTTGCCCGAACAGCCACAGCAGTACGTCCCAGTCTCTATGTCGCGCACTAATACTGACAGCGCCAGGGTCTCCGAACCGCCTTTAGGGCCGCCCCCAGGGCCGGTTTCTCCGCGCCTCGACTGGCCGTCCCGAGACAGAGCCTTCAGATCCGCTTCCTGTCTGCCGAGACACGCACAGCCATCGACAAGGCTGTTGCCTCGGCGCCCGTGGTCCTCTTCATGAAGGGTACCCCTGAGACTCCCGCGTGCGGCTTCTCGCGCGCCGTCATCCAGATCCTTGGCCTCCAGGGCGTCGATCCCACGCGCTTCGCCGCCTTCAACGTCCTCGAGGATGCCGAGCTGAGGAGCGGTATCAAGGAGTATTCCGACTGGCCGACGATACCCCAGCTGTACGTCGAGAAAGAGTTTGTTGGTGGTTGCGACATTCTCGTCAGCATGCACCAGAATGGCGATCTCGCCAAGCTGTTTGAGGAGAAGAAGCTCGTGGTGGAAGAGGGCAAGGAGGAGAAGACCGAGTAGACGGACAGTGGGTATGCACGGAAAGAGGCGACATCACACAGTGTACAATAATGTACTATAATACGATACATGTACGGACTCTGTCGAACATCTCTACAGCGGATACGCCCCTCCGTCTCCTCGCATGTCGCTGCCGCCCGACCATACGCCTGTGCCTTCCACTTCGTCTACAGTCCAACGTATAATCTGGCCACGACCAAACATGTACCTTTCGTTCCCACACGGAACACTGACCTTGTGTCCTAGCTTCTTCAGCCCGTCAATGGTCTCCTGCGGCATGCCGTCCTCGACGTTGACAGTCCAGTCCAGCACATCACCATGCTCGGGCATCCCAGCGCCGATGCACACCCTTGGTGCATCGAGAGCTTGCTGGGGGTTAAGGCCCCCGATTGCTTGGCCCAACAGTACCTGGACGTGTCCTTGGGGCTGCATGAAGCCTCCCATCACACCAAACACCGAGTGTAAGGACCCGTCGGATCCGTTCGTCGCCATTGCAGGGATGATTGTGTGGTAAGGACGCTTGCGCGGCTCGAGTACGTTGGGGTGTTTCTCATCCAGTGAGAAATTGGCGCCGCGGTTCTGGAGGGTGAACCCGCATCCCCTGGGGATGATACCTGTCCCGAACCCGGCATAGTTGGAGTTAATGAATGAGGCAGCATTCCCCTTGGCGTCGGTGACGGCAAAGTAGACCGTGTCTGAGCTTTGGAGGGCGGGCGAGGGCTTGCCTGGTTCCATGGGATCCGAAGCTTTGCTTGGGTCGAAGAGTTTTGCGCGCTCGGCGAGATATTCTGGGCTCAGGAGACCCTTGACGGGGACTTCCTTCACGTTGGGGTCGGTGACGTACCAGCTTGCATCGGTGAAGCCCAGGCGCAGAGACTCGATGATGGCGTGCAGCCACTGCGGCGAATTGAAGTCTTCGGGCTTGAATGTGGGAATCCTGCCCTGTTTCTCGAGCTCCTGGATGATACCCAGCGCCATCAGCGCCACGATCCCCTGGCCGTTGGGAGGATGCTCCCACAGCTCGATGCCTTTGTCCCCAAGTCCATGGCCGGTGAACTTGAGAGAGATGGGGTCCACGGGTTCGCTGCCTGCCTCCATGTGGTGTTGCAAATCCTCCAGCTCGAGGTGACCGCCAAGGTCTTTGACAACCTTGATCAGTTCCTCAGCGACCCGTCCTGTGTAGAAGCCCTTCTTGCCTTCGTCGGCCAATGCGCGAAAGGTTGTGGCCATATCTGGGTTCTTCTTGATGTCGCCGGCCCTCGGGGCTCGGAAGCCCCCCTCCGCCGAGGGATCATTCTTGAGCATTTCAGCAAAGTTGGGCGATGCTTTGCGCAACAAGCGCTCTTGCACTCCCCACGCGTAGGCTGTCGTCTCTGACACGGGGAAACCGTCCTCAGCCAGTTTGATGGCTGGCGCCAGGATCTCCTTGAGGCTCAGTTTCCTGTTGCCAAAGCGCTCGACGGTGTCGACCCAGCCGGCCGCGGCACCAGGCACGGTGACGGCATGCACACTCTTCATGGGGATTTTGCCCGACTCACCATCTTTGATGCCCAGCGACTGACGGACCGTGGACAAGTTACACTTGCTCCCCGAACGACCAGAGCCGTTCATGGCAGACACCGTCTTCTTCTCGGCATCGTAGTAAAGGATGAACATGTCACCTCCGATTCCAGTGGAGCATGGCTCCGTCACGTTCATTCCGGCAGCTATGGCATATTAGCTATATGAGTGGATCAACGCCAATCACTCGTTCACAGCCCATACCAACAGCTACAGCAGCGTCCTGATTCCGTCAGAAGTGAAGATGGTTCATATTATACAGTGCAACTCACAGCCGCGTTTCCGCCCTTCCGAAGAACATCGAGACCGCATTGTGCTGCAAGTGGCTGTGTGCAAGCCACGACGCCTTGCGTGGAGTGCACGACACTACGGCGCGAGGCGAATTTGAACACATCCCCCGACGGCGGGGCGAACACGGACGATGTTGGCAGCGGCATAGTATTCTTTTATAGACCGGAGGATCGGAGATATTCGGAACAGAGGATCTTCTTGGCAGTTGGACTTCGCGCCAGGATATCGAAGCTTAAGTACTCGGAGTTGGAGAACGACGGGTAATAGCCGACACGCGGGGTAGCTGTGTCAACTCCACTGCGTCCTCGGACCTTGGAAGAGTTGGCGTGGGGAGGATACTCGGAGTTCGCGCTGACTTCGGGAGTGGCGACAGATCTTGATAGCTTGTTGATCATGGAAGTCGATCATGGGGGCTGTAATAGTGCCTATTCTCTAGTATTGCCAATTGTTCTCTTTGCATAAAGTCCACGTCTCTTTCCAACAGCAGCGAGGCTGCATCAACAAGAACTGAACGGCCTGTTGGTCAATATTCTAGCTTATTAGCTTACGTGTATTCGAGGCGCTGGTATTTTCTGTGTCTCTGTTGTATTCGAAGAAAGGTAAACGGACATGTAACGTCTAGCTCGCATCAATGCGCTCTTTCCCCCCGAACATGTCACTTGAGCATTAACTGGCGACTGAGACCGTAGATTCAATTATCAGAGTGTGACCAAAAGCGAGCAGCATAAGAGCCTTGGCCACACCCATACTCGTATCTTGAACAAAGGCAGAGACAAAGCCTCAGCGACTACATCCAGTACAAGCAGGATATTCAAAATCGAATCGAAATCCAGAAAACAGGAGAGATATTCGACGAAGATAGAATGTCAATCCGGCTCCCAGATTGCTTTGGAAGCTCTAAACCTTAACAATGGGCTTGTACCTCCAGACCATTCCCAATCGCTGCAGATACGAGTACATGGAGCCCGCGGGAACGTTGCCGCATCTCTTGGCAATCATCGACATCCAACGAGCAGCGAAAGACCCTATGGATGTCCGTCAACACAGCGATCTCTTCATGATGTGTTCAGTACATACCCATGACTGGTCCAACATCGGAGAACCCGGCAGAAGTGAGGAGCCTGAAGCCGAGCCACTCCAGAGCCCAGGGCAGCATCTCCGCGAGAATGCCAATTGCGATGATCGTGAGGCCAGTCTTGATCATGCCGTCCCATACCGGGTGTTCCTTTGCAAAGTCCTTGTAGGTGATGTGAGCCTTGTCGTAGGCGCGACCCATCGCGATGCCCATCTTGCGCTCAGTCTCAACGATGCACTCAACTCCTCGTAGGATGTGCTCAGCGAAACGCTCCTTCCAGCCGCGGGAGAGAGCGTGAGCGCCGGCTTCGTTCAGGTGGTCTGCGATGCGAGAATGGAAGCCGGCATCAAAAGCATTGGCTGAACGTGATTCCTCGAGGATTGTTCGAAGAAGCTGCTCGTTTTCATCATCCGGGTCTCCAAGCTGTGCGTTCATGTTGGGGATAAGTGCGTGCTTCTCAGGGATGGTATCGGCTCTCTTGCGAGATCCTGCACAAGGGAAACAGGCCATAAGAGCAATCATGGTCGCAGTCTTTCGTAGCTGTTGCAGTAATAGAGAGTTGTCGTGTAGAGAAAAGGAGACGAAGAGGAAAGGGTTGAGGAGTCGCTTGATAAGTGAGGTGAGGAGCAACTGAATCCGAGCTCGCGCAAGTGTAACCAACAGCTAGGCGGCGCCAAGGCAGAAAAGTGCACAACAGGGCCGCATAAATAGGCCAGTATGGTGCTGAGCCACCATGCAAACATGTTTCATCCAAATGAAGGTTGCAGAGCCTTGTGGGCGTAATTCGAGATTTGGGCGCTTGGTCGCAGCTGTAGCTTACACGTGAAGTATTGTCCCGTACATTATCCGTACTCATAGCTTCGCCTTCGTAGCATCAATAGCCAGCCCCTTCAACTCATCATCGGCCGCTTGCACGGCATCAAGAGCCATACCGTAGCCTGCTTGGTACCCAGTGCCACCCGCACCATAATTGTGAACAAGCGGCTTCTTCTGACCCTTCACTGTGATCGAATCTCCCTCGATGCGCGCGCCGCCCGTCCTCGAAGGCCTCATGCCAGCGAAAGCAGCCAGGACCTCCGTCTCTGGGTTTTGCAGCTTAGTATCGAGATGGATTGTACGTTCTAGAATGGATTTTGTCTCGTAGGAATAGGTTGAGCCATCGCTGCGTCCGTCAGTCAAGGTGAGCCCCGCTTCCAATTTCCATGTCTATGGTCGGGCTTAGCTTACCCGACACCCTTTTGCATGTACCCTCCAAGGATCACATTGCCATTCGAACCCGGCCTCGGAATAATGTAGGTCTCGAAGCCGTTGCCATGAAGCATGCTGATTTGCTTCACGGTTGGCGCACGGACGAGAACAACCTGTCCACGGGTAGGAAAGACTTTCTCGTCTTTGACGCCCGGAAGCGTCTTTGCTGCGAGGCCTGTGCAATTGAAGATTAGCCTTGTTGAGGGGCTGATGAAGCCAGCTGCAAGATTGGGTAGCCTTTGGCGGAAGAACTTGACACCTAAATCCTCGAGCCGTTTTTGGAGATATTCGCAGTGCTTTGGGGCGTTGATGGTGACCGCTGTGAATGTGATGCCAGCTTTTACGCCCTCGGGCAACTCATTGGAGGGGAGGACCTTGAACTGCAGCACGTTACGATAACGCCCATCGATAATCTTTCTCAGCCGATTCTGGAACGCCGGGACTTACGTCTTCGAGGTAGTCCGCCATGTGTTTGATCTTCTCATGAGGAACAGTCTCCTGCCAATATTCGACCGAAGGCGTCCGCTCAACATACGACTCAGCCGGGCACTCAGTCGCTAAGCGCATGAGATGCGCATAGCCTAGTTTATCCCACTTCAACGCATTGGCATCCGTGCCCGAGATGGCTGAGAAATTACAGCCGGCCCTATGCGTAGAATGATCAGCAACTTCCAGTCGCATCCGCAGCGAAGCTCAGTCCAGCCCTACCATGGCGACGTGTAATTAGTCGCAGTGTCACCAGGCATGTACTCAGCCACAATGGTGATCTGTGAGCCGAGACCACGCTCTGCGAGCACAAAGGCGACGTCGAGGCCGATGATACCGGCGCTGGAGTGGGCGTCAGCTACGTGCGCGCCGGGATGTGATCTAGGGCGAGATGCTTTCAGGTGGGTACCCTATAATAACAATGGTGTCTTGCTTGGCCATTTTCGGAACGGATGGTGTGATCCGGAACGGTTCAGATCTGTTGGAATGACGCCTCAAGATCTCACATATCTGAATCTGAATCTGGTCGATGGGCGCCATTTTTTTAGGGACCATGGGGACCGACCGGGACCGAGACCGGACGGCACGCGGGGGTATTTCGACGCCATTGCCCAAATAGGAAATTCCACAGTCTGACATGACAGTTTACCTAATCGGGAGACGGTTGCATAAGCGTTTATAGGGGTCGCCAAGCAGTCTCGACAAGATGGCTGGTATGTATTTTTGAAAACAAGAAAAGAATGATTCAATACGTTGCTATGATGTTGTCTCCCTGGTGGCAAATCATCATTTATCGCAGGCACGACGTGGAGTCCGTGTTCGGTAGCGATCAATACCTGATGCTTGCTCGCTTGCAAGTTGCACACGGTTTGTGGGTGCTTGTGGTCTCAATCACTATGATCATGATATTACGTAGAACCAAAATAGGATAGTTTGTTGCGCCACTACTCGGTTCTTGGGCTATCCGGGAAGCCTCTTAGATCCGCCAACCGATTTAGTGCTTTAGATTAAACTCCTGGGGCTGGACGCCAGGCGGCTTGACACATTCCATCCAACCCGGTTGCTTGCATGTGGTCATGTAAGTCCACCGGCCGAGCATAGTCAGAATCTGTCATCTTCAACAAAGACTGCGAGCCGCCAGAAACAACTTCATTGTCCCAGTACTTAATATGATATTCTCGCCCCAAGGCACAAGGTCTAGTGTTTCGGGTGTCCAAAACTGTCTCAGCCACCGCTGAGCGTGCGAACGACTGCTGAAAGGGCATATACGAAGTTGTGTCTAGTTTCCAAAGCTTCCATTCCGTGCCCGAGCGCTAAATAAACGCCACAATTCCTCGTGGTGAAATGAAGCGGGGATTGACAATAGCCATGTCCCTTGGCAGACGTTTCGCCCAGAAGCCACGCACACGAGCGAAGAATAGCAGTAGCAGGTCTGCGGTCTGGAAATCCCACGTTTTGTGAATCTTGTCACCCGGACTCTTCCCAGGGATGTCTTGCTTGCCTGGGAATTCACGATGCTGATCTTCCGATCATTGGCAGTCGCAACGGCCTTGGTGACCGGCGCCCATGCTGCACACTGGCCGACCCATGCCTTTTAGCGGCCCGTTTTCAAGCGCCAAATCGACATCGAAACGAGGGACTGCCCGGGCGGCAGCTTCTGCGTGGGAGAATCATGTACAAGCAATGTGGTCGGCATCGACCCTTACAACTGTGGCACGACGGGCAACAAGTGTCGTGCTGGCGAGCTCTGCGTTGCAACTAGCTGCGTACCGATGAACTTCAGCAGCTCAGACCCAGGAAACTGTGGAAGCTCTGGGCAGTCCTGTCAGCCAGGACAGTGGTGCAGTCAAGATGGTTCATGCAAGCCTATCCAGGTCTGGGTCGACCCTTTACATTGCGGTGCGTCGAAGGAGGCATGCGAAGCAGGCGAGCTCTGTGTTAACGGCGTCTGTGTCAGACTCAGTATTGGAGAGGATCCCAATCGCTGTGGCGAGGACGAACAAGAATGTGCCCCAGGAAACTGGTGTTCCCAAGGAGGCTGTATACCGTTCGAGCTGGGCACGCCTTCCCGAAAGTGTGGTCTCGACAGTGACTGCGCCTTAAACACCACCTGCCAGCAAGGCATCTGCCAGTCGGTGCGTGCTACCACTGGATCCCACGTGTGCGGTCCAGACGGTACAAAGTGTGCTGCAGGCGAGCTCTGCCTCTCTGGGGCTTGTCGCGCGCTGAATACCTCCTCCACCGAGGCTGACCTTTGCGGAAAGTCAGGTCAGGCTTGCGACCCAGGTAGATTTTGCTACGAGGGTAGCTGCTTTCCCATTTACTTTGACACAAACACCCTTGGTTGCGGAAGCGAGGACATTGTCTGTGCGCCGGGACAAGTGTGTGTTTCGGGCATCTGCGTTGCAGACCTAGGCGACACTGGCGATCCTGATGCAGGGTTGGTCTCATGCTCGAGTTCCGATAGTAGCAATTCAGAAATCTCTGCAGACGAAGGTGTTGGAGATGTTCCCGAGAATAACGAGCCAAATGACGATCAGACTCAGCAGCCACGTCCTAGCGGATCGGGGAGGATCAATATCCCCCAGTCACGACCAGAAGATTCTCAGCAACCAGGGGTTGAACAGGTCACTGGCAGTAATGCTGGCGGTGACCAGGACAGTCAATCTGGAGGGGTGCCCAGCGATGGAGTCGGCTCAGATCAAGATACCGAGCAGCAAGGCCAAGGCCCTGAAGCCGCGACTGGCAGCGATTCATCAAAGGGGGCGAGTGCTAGCCAAGATCCAATTACATACGGTGGCATTTCAGGCTCTGGTAATATCCCGAGTGGCGGTTCAGCGCCAGGACAAGCCGATGGATCAAATCCGCAGCAACAACCGACCGGAAGCTCTGGCGACGGGCAGACAACCCTTGAGAGTGGAGGCGAGCAGTCACCAGGAATTCCCTCCCAGCCACAAGTAACAGAAATCCCAACTGTCAGCGAAGCGCCTGGCAATGGGTCAGACTCAGACAGTAGCAACAACGAGGCCTCTCCGCCAGGAGCTGATGAAGTATCCGCCAGTCAGCCCGTAGCCTCTGAGTCTAGCATATCTGGAGGAAGTCGAACCAAAAATACCCAGCCTGGAGAGACTATAACGAGCCAGCCTGGTGTCATTTCCCCTGGCGGTGCTGAACCTGATCAGCCGCCAGCTGCGGATAGTAGCCAGTCAGTGGTATCCCAAGCCGAACTGCCAATTCCTGGAGGCGACCAAACCCGGAGCAATCAGACTGGAGCAACTGAAACAACAGATGGTGCGCAAAGCAGCGCCCAACCGGGAGGAACTCTGCCAGGTGGCGCTGAGTCTCCTGGCACGCAGCCAGAAACATCACAGCCTGAACCAAGCAACACTTCGCAATGCCGACCTCCTTGTGCTTCAGGTACTGTGTGCATCAGTGGAGAGTGTGTAGCTATTGGCAACCCCTCTTCATGCACTATGCCAGGCCGCTTTCGAAGACTCTTCACAAGACAGCAGGGATCGTGCCCTCCTAGTTATGTCTGTCTCAACAGCGCATGTGTCCCTCTGGGCGAGCTAAGCAACTGCGGACAAGGCGGAAAAGTCTGCCCTTCCAACACAGTCTGTATCCAAGGCAGCTGTGTTCCTCAGGGAGACCCAAGCGCCTGCTCCGAAGAGGGCAGCACCTGCGAGCCCGGCGAGATCTGCATCGCAGGTATTTGTCATCGCTCAGAGGGTAGCCTCTGCGGCACTATCTCTTGTTCATCCGGTCAGAGGTGCGAGAGTGGCGTCTGTATATTAGGTGCGGCAACATCAGCTCAGCCAGTAATTCCACCGCCAGACAAGTCAACCACAACTACAGATTTACCACCGGTGGACCAATCGTTAATTTCTCAACCATCCCTCGACAAAGTAGAGCCGGTCGTGATAGACTCTATCACGATGATTACTGGAACGACGGTTGCCGAGCAGCCAACACAGTCTTCAGCAACTTTAACCGACACTATTCCCGAGCCTATTATTTCTGAGGCAATTGGAAGTTCTGCGACAAACCTCCACGCATCCACGTTCACAACCTCAGGCGAGGACGCAGAAGCAACAACGCCCCAGCCCAGTCAGCAGGCATCGACCAACCTAGGGCAGTCTGGTCCCGAAGAGTCTCCTATAACACCCCCTGGCTTTTCAGATGTACCTAGCAATCCGGTCAATACAAGAATTGGTGACATACCCGACATTGTGACGCCAGCTGAACCACTTGATCCGCCAACTGTTGTACCGACAGAGTCACCAGTTCCGTCGTCGTGCTCAGGGACAGGAACCGATGGCTCCGAAGGCGACCAAATATGTTTCGGTGACCCAGACGCAGGTTCCATGGCATGCCAAACGGACATCAACTGCGAAGCAGGCTATAAATGCGAGAGCGGCACATGCGTCCCCAACACGGGCTGCGCTAACGATGGAGAATGCAACCCGACTTCATATTGTTTCTCAGGCGCCTGTGTTCCTCGCACGCCATGCCAGTCGAGCCGTGAGTGTCTCGCTGGATACGAATGTCAGGACGGACTCTGTGCTGCTGTCGCTCCATGCGCATCAAGTATTGACTGCGATGACACGCGGATATGCCAGGCTGGGTCTTGCATTCCCCAGCCACGATGTGCGTCGAACTTTGACTGCGGAAAAGATAGCGAGTGTCAAAATGGTCTTTGTGTGTTGCTCAACGCTGTGATCGGGCCTGATCCTGGTCGAACACCAACGTCATCCCTACCAGACATAGACGCACCACCGACAACCATTAGCCTCTCGCACGATACATCTGTTAAGGTTCCAGGAGAAATTTCGAATACGCCTGTACCGAGTAGCTCCTCCAGTGTCGGCTTGCCGCCACTAGACCCGTCGATCACGGACACACCTGGTCAAACATCGGCTGAGTTGGATGTCTCTAACCCAAATACTTCAGCCTTGTCACCAACTGTCAATTCTTCGCCTGAGAACATTGAGAGCCCGGCTTTGAGCGAGGCAACGCAACCATCACTATCAGATACAACAATCGAGGCGATTCCTTCGTCTGTCCTTGCTGATCTCGAAATCGCGCCGTCTGCACCTAGCATGACTCTTTCGGCAGAAACACCGACAGAGGAACTATCAGGCGGTGTTACCGCCACAGACACTATAACGCCAGATCTGGAAGACATTGAATCTGCCCCGACAGTTGAAGTCTTCACTGAAACACTCGGAGCCAGCATAGCTCCCACGGATCTCGAGTCATCCGGTACTGTGTCCCCGGAAACGAACTCGGGCGAACTGCCTCCTGCCGTTCCAACTGATGCCGAAAGCACACCGCCGTCAACAGTTGTGACACCTGTTGATACTCTAGAGGAAACACTCCCTGTTGGAAATACACTCCCTCTAGAAGAGGCTCTAACTACAGAGACACTACCAGCAGCGACGCCAACTACAGAAACACCACCTGTGGAGCCAGCCGTGGGAACAATTACAGAGGATCTCGCTCCTGAGGCAACTTTGCCTAGTCAAGGGACGCTTCCCGAAGGGACGATCCCTATAGAGACTCCATCCCTAGAGACACAATCCTCAGGAACACCACCTACAGACACACCGTCTACGGACAGACCGCCTACAGAGACGTCACCTGCTGAAGCAACTCTACCTTTGGTGGAGACGCTTCCTGCAGAGGAAGCGCTCCCTACTCTCACAGAAGATACGCTTCCTTTGGAGTCATCATCTAGAGTGACGCCACCTACAGAGGTACCACCTACAGAGGTACCACCTACAGAGGCACCACCTGCAGAGGTACCACCTACAGAGGCACCACCTGCAGAGGCACCACCTACAGAGACGCCGCCTATTGAGGCAACTCTGCCTGCTGAGGAAACAGTTAACGCCTCTATAGAGGAAACACCTCTACTAGAACAGACGTTCCCTTTCGAGACACCGTCTGGAGCGGCGCCACCTCCTCAAACACCACCTACAGAGGCAACACCTACAGAGACACCACCTTCAGAGACGCCACCTATTGAGGCAACTCTGCCTGCTGAGGAAACTCTCTCTTTAGAGGCGCCCCTAACAGAAGAACCACTCACGGGAACATCAATTACAGAGGCGCTGCTAACAGAAACGTTCCCTACTGAGGTAACGCTCCCCGCAGAAGATATGCCCCCCTTAGAGACACAACCAGGAGAGACGCAGCCCACTGAGATCACTCTGCCTGCTGAGGAGACGCTCTCGCTAGAGCCGCTCCTTACAGAGTCACCACCTACAGAGCAGACTCTGTCTAGAAGCATAGCGGACGAGACTTTGTCGGTGCCTACGCCTACAAGTGTGGACACCTCGGACATCGTGTCTACAGACACCATCGTGTCTTCAGAAATTACAGAAGTCGCAGACACCGGTACAACAGTCGACACTCCAGTATCAGCCACCCAAATTGATACACTGACTGATTCGGTGTCCATTGAGCTGTCCAGCTCCCCGTTGATATCGGCATCGGCATCGGTTGGCCTCACGGATGAACCGATGATTTCAGAATCACTCGGTACGCCTGTTGTCCCGGCAGAGACTTTTGCTCTGCCAGATACTTCATCCTTCATGTTGTCGGCATCAATCAGCCTGCCAGACCTTCTGACCGTCTCAATGTCTGTCAATGAGCCAGATACACCGACAACACCCGGGTCTCCGAGCCTGCCCAGCCCAACGTCGTTGCCAGAGTCATCAAGCCTCCTGGCTACGGCAACAGTTTCCCTTCCGCTGGGAGAGGGACCTCCAACTATAGTCGGGCCTGTCTCGTCAGTGACGACTCCTATTGCGCTACCAAGTGCGACACCAGGACTTGGGGAAACCTGTCAAGACAGTTCGGACTGTCCCACTGGACAAGTGTGCACAGCTGGCTCGTGTATTCTGTCGGACCTCCTGTGTACATCGACAGATGACTGCCCCGAAGGCCTTTTGTGTACTTCAGGGGTGTGTGGGGCTCCGGTTGCTTGCGGTAACGATGTGACGTGTCCAACAGGACAAACTTGTCAGGGTGGTGTTTGTGTACCGGCACTGGGGCTCCCGGGATCTCCGATAACTTCTCCTGTGTCTTCAACTGTTCCTTGCTCCGTGGATAGCCAATGTCCAGAGAACCAGTCTTGCATTCAAGGTTTCTGTCTTCCGGACATTGTCGTACCATCTCCAAGCTTGTCGATCAGCCTGTCCGCCGAATTGTCCGCCAGTGTGACAGCCAACCTGCCCAATAATTTACCTACCAGCTTGTCGCTCAACCTTCTGACGGATGCATCAATCAATTTGCCGACCATCACATCAACGAATCTTCCTGTCAGCCTGCCGGTCAGCCTGCCCAGCAGCGTATCTGCCAACTTGCCCGAAGTCAGTCTAGGGGTCACGCCCTGTGAGGACGATGCAAACTGCGAAGCTGGCTACATTTGCACAGCAAGTCTCTGCCTGCCCCGTGCAACATGCACCACGGGAGATGATTGCGGCGAGGGCTACATTTGCAGCGAGGCAGGTGTTTGTATTCCACAGTCCGGATGCAATGACAACAGCGACTGTAGCGAGAACGAGACCTGCTCACAAGGCATCTGCCTCCCCTCGGAGGGCTGCTCGGTGGATGACGATTGTCCTCTTGGCCAGATCTGTGAGGTCAACGCATGCCGAGCCCGTTTCCCCTGCACCAGCAACGAGCAATGCACCGACGGACGTATTTGCGTCCTCAGCAGTTGCGTTCGTCAGTATCCGTGCGAGACTGACACGAACTGTGGTCCAGGCCGTGTATGCAAAGGCGACAGTGGATGCGTGATTGATCTGCCCTGCATCAGTGATCAAGATTGTGACACGAGTGAAACTTGTGCACTTGGTGCCTGCACCCCGAGAGCTCCTTGCGGCAGCGATGTTGACTGTCCAGTCGCGCAGACTTGCAATGAGGAAGGCCGATGCGTGGCCCAAGCCCCCTGCTTGAGTGACTCGGACTGCCCTGATGGCTTGCCACTTTGTCTGGACGGCGTCTGCTCTCTTTCGTTGGGCGAACTTACTTGCGACGGCGACGAAGACTGCAATGAGGCCTTGCCGTCCTGCATAGGAGGAATCTGCTCGCCACCTTTGCCGAACGTCACAACTCCGTTTCCTCCAGGCACAAGCCCAGGCGATCTTCTCACGGACATACTTCCTTCTGATATTCCAACGAGCTTGCTGGCTTCAGGGATCGCCCCAAGTGACCTCCTGACGTATGTCCTACCTTCGGACTTCTCGACAAGCTTGCTGCCCTCGGGGGTAGCTCCCAGTGATCTCGTTCAGTCAGGAGAAATACTCACTGATATCCTCTCAAGCCTGCTACCATCGGGCGAGCCACTGACCGACATACTTACTTCTGAGCTGACCCCAGCCATCTCCCTACCAACTGGGGTAGCAGTGAGCGACATTCTGCCCACAGGCAGTCTTCCATCGGACATCATCCCAACACCGGTCTCATCAGGGCTGCCTGCTGTTTCACTACCGCCACTACCTGCGAGCTGCGATGGCAGCGAGGGCTGTCCAGACGATCTTCCCCTCTGCCTGGGTGGTATGTGCGTGGTCCAACCCCCTGTTAGCAGCTGCAGCGATGAGAGTCCCTGTCCTCGGGGTCTCGAATGCGTGGACGGCATTTGCTCTGTTGACGGCAGTCCAAGGACCTGCGGTACCGAATCGGACTGCCCCACGTCCTTGCCTGCGTGTGTCAACGGTATCTGCTCGGTTCTTCCATCATCTATTACTTGCGATTCCGGGTTGGACTGCCCCGAAGACTTGCCACAATGCGTCGAGGCCATCTGCGTTCAAAGTGTCGACCCAGATACATGTCAAGGGGAGAGCGACTGTCCTGAGAGCTCACCACATTGCATCAACGGTATATGCTCACTGCTGCCACCAGCTGTGGAGTGCCAGAATAATGAAGACTGTACGGGAGCTTTGCCCTCATGCATAGACAACATCTGCTCTCCCCTGCAGCCGCCTCAATCATGCTCCTCTTCGGACGATTGTCCCGCCAACACGCCGCAATGCTACTCCGGCTACTGTGTCGTGGAAGTTCCCGTCATCGCCTGCATAACAAGCGCCGATTGTCCTGCAAACCTTCCCAGCTGCCTCAATGGTGTCTGTGCGCTTCGCGTCCCAGGTACGTGCGACGAAGACGCGGACTGCCCCGAGGACCTGCCCACGTGCCTCAACAATGTCTGCGCGCCTGCACCCCTCGAAGGCCCACCAATATGCGACAGCAGTGAAGATTGTCCCTCCGAACTGCCGACTTGCACGGCGGGGTTTTGCACCACCAGGCCGGAGCCCCCGGGTTGTAGCCAGAACAGCGACTGTCCAGCCAACTTGCCCCAGTGCACCGCCAACGTCTGTACAGTCCGTACGCCAGTGGCGTCGTGTGACGACGAAACTCCTTGCCTTAGTGAGGATGATGTCTGTCAGAACGGTGTCTGTGTTTCTCGACTCTTGATAAGGCCTATTCCTTGCGGTGTGGACGATGACTGTCCAGCATTGACACCGCAGTGTAACGAGAATGTTTGCACGGTCCGTCTAGAGGCCCCTGGCTGCTCAGCAGAAAGTTCATGCCCCGAAGGTCTTGAATGTCAGGAGGGCCTCTGCTCTCTACCATCAGGCCCCAGCCCGTGCGCGTCGAACTCTGAGTGTCCAGAAACCCTGCCCCAATGCACTGCTGGATTCTGTACGTTGGCGACACCTTCGACAACCTGCTCCTCAAACGCCGACTGCACTCAGGGTCTCGAGTGCCAGTCGGGGACATGTTCTCTGCCTGTCGAACTATCGCCGTGTCAAGCTGACTCGGACTGTCCTGAGGAGCTCGTATGCACCAGCAGTCTCTGCGCCTTGCCCTCGGGTCTCGAACCGTGCGAGACCGGCAACGACTGTCCTGAGGCTCTACCTCGATGTACCAATGGTCTCTGCACGTTAGACACTGGGTTTGGGTCCTGCAATTCCACTGCTGATTGCTTTGGCGGTCTGCAATGCGCCAGTGGCAACTGCACGCTCGCCAACAGCCCTGGCCCATGTGGTTCCGGGGCGTCTTGCCCCACTGGATTCGATTGCGTGTCCTCTTTTTGCGTGCTGCCCAGCGGCGAGGCCACTTGCGAAGACGACTCAACGTGTCCAGAGGCGTTGCCGCAGTGTACCAATGGCGTCTGTACGGTGCGTCTTGATGCCAGCACATGCAGCGAGAGCGAGCCGTGCTTTGATGGACTTGTTTGCGCAGGCGGACTGTGTGTGCCAGATGGTCTGGGCGGCTCTTCTTGCACCGCCGACGACCAGTGCTCGGTTAATCAGGTCTGCCGTAATGGATCCTGCGTCGCCGACGTTACTACTTGCGGCGAGGAGAGACCTTGTCCAGAGGGACAGACTTGCTCACCTTCTGGTGTTTGTCTTCCGGACGCGGACCCGCCGATCTGTAACGCGACTCTAGCGTGTGCTCCAGGCTACAGATGTGAAGGGGGCGTCTGCATCATCGACACGGGCAACGTTCCATGTTCGCAGTCCAGCGACTGCAGTGACAACAAGATTTGCGAGAACGGCTTCTGTCTCCCTGCGCCCAAGGGCTGCAACAACAACAGCGACTGCTCCGACAGCCTCATATGCTCGCTTGGGAGCTGCGTGCCCGATATCACTCCTAGTCAGTGTACCTCTGACAGCCAGTGCGCGACAGATCTCGTCTGCACGGGTGGTCTTTGCGTGGCGCCAGCCACACCCATCGCATGCTCCAGCAATGACCAGTGTGCATTTGATCAGAAATGCTCTGCGGGATTGTGCATCGCGGATGTTTCCTCCACGAGCTGCAGCAGTGCTGCCGACTGTCTGCTTGGCGTGGGCGTATGCACATATGGCCTGTGCATCTGTGCTGATGGCGTCTGCCAGACGGATGACAGCGTGGACGACTGCACCGAGGACGCGCAGTGTGGCGATGACCGCGTCTGCCAGAGCGGCGTCTGTGTGGAGAGACTGGAGTGCGAGACGGCGACGGACTGTCTCATTGGCATTGACTTGTGCACGCTTCCTAGGTTATGCATTTGTCTTGATGGAGTCTGTGTCCTCGGCGGCGCCACGAACCCACTGCCTGTCACGGAATCTGTACCGCCGGAAGACGCCACCGTCAGCGCCAGCTTGGACAATCCTACTGTGCTTCCTGAGCTGTCGAGCGCGGTTGATGGCCTCACGAGTGTTGTGCCGGAACTCACGTCGTTGGTGGACGACATCACCACTGTTGTCCCTGCGCTTTCGAGCGTCCTCGGCAGCGCGTCTACCGTACTCGACGGTGTAACTACTGTCGTCGATGATGTTTTGACGGTGGTCCCTGAAGCAACGAGCATCATCCCTGAGATTACTTCTGCTATCCCGGAGATTACATCTGTCTTTGAGGACGTCACCACCTTGCTTCCTGAGATTACAAGCGTGGTTGATGGTGTCACGACTTTTATTCCAGAGGTCACCTCTATTGTTGGCGGTATAACAAGCATTGTACCTGAAGTTACGTCCGTGGTAGGGGATATCACAAGTATCGTGCCTGAGGCCACCTCGGTCGTTGGCGGCATTACAAGCGTCGTCCTTGAAGTGACTACCGTCATACCTGAAGTCTCCTCTGTGATTGAAGGCGGTACCTCGCTGGTTGGCGAAGTCACCTCAGTGGTCGCAGAGGTGACGAGCGTGGTGGCTGAAGTGACCACTATTATTCCGGCGGTCACTTCAGTCGTCGGAGAGATAACGAGCGTGATTCCCGAAGTCACAAGCGTCATCCCGGAGATCACGTCTGTGCTCGGAGGCGTGACCACTGTCATCTCAGCCGCGACTTCAATCTTGGATGGTATTCCGACACTCGTGCCTGAGGTGCCAACCACAACTCCCACCACCACAGCAACAGCATCGAGCTCCGCAGCGCAGACGACGTCGGTCGCCCCCAGCTGCGGAGATGCCAACGACTGTCTGGGACGGAGTGTGCTGGGACTCAACCTCTGTCTCGCGGGCCTCTGTGTCTGCGTCGACGGCGCCTGCGTGGCTGTCACGCAAGCATCCTGCACCTCGTCGAGCGAGTGCGCCGGGGACCAGACATGCACCAACAACGTCTGCGTGCCCTCCAACCCGGAGTGCACGGCCAACGGTGACTGCTCGTCTGGCTTCGTCTGCACAAACGGCGTCTGCGTCGAGGGATGCCGCACAAACAATGGCGACTCGGGCTGTCCTGGCGACCAGATCTGCCAGATTGGCCAGTGTATCCCGCCACAGTGCACGGGGGACACCGAGTGCGCGACAGACGAGGTGTGCCAGCTGGGCTTTTGTGTCAAGAGTACGCTCGAGCCCTGCAGCACGAATAATCAGTGCCCGAGCGGTAATCTCTGCCAGCTTGGCGCGTGCGTGCCCACGGTCTTGCCACTATGCGTGTCCCAGGCGCAGTGCTCGACGGGTGAGGTCTGCTCGAATGGCATCTGTACGACTTGCACGGCGGATACACAATGCGGCGATGGGCAGCAATGCTCCAATGGCGCTTGCGTGGCGGCATCACAAGTGCCCGGGTGCTCTGTCAGTAGCGACTGCAGCAACGGGCAAGTTTGCTCTCTGGGCAGCTGCACGGCTTGCACTCTCAGCTCGCAGTGTGCCAATGGACAAGTGTGCAAGAATGGTGCGTGCGGGAGCTGCTCGTCTGCTGATGACTGCAGCCCCCTTGGAGTCGGCTACGTCTGTCAAGCGGGAACGTGCGCTCCCTGTTCAGCAACATCGCAATGCCCATCCGGCCAAGTATGTTCCAGCGGTGCCTGTGGCGTCTGCACGTCCGACTCTCAGTGTGGCGCTGGGAATATCTGCGAGTTGGGCGCGTGCCAGCCAGGATGCACATCAGCGTCCCAGTGCACGACCGGACAGCTCTGCGATACGGGACGTTGCCGCGCCTGCTCCTCGTCGTCTGAATGTGCCAGTGGCCAGGTCTGCCTTCTAGGTCTCTGCACCTCCTGTACTCTGGACTCGCAGTGCGGTAGCACTCAGATCTGCCGCAGCGGCGCATGCGTGGCCGGTTGCACGTCTAACACGGACTGCGGATCAGGCCAGGTGTGCCAGAACAAGCGATGCACAACGTGCACGTCCTCCTCACAGTGTTCGGCCGGCCTCATCTGCAACACCAGCAACAACGGAGGCACCTGCGAAGTTTGCAGCGCTGATAGCCAATGTGGCAGTGGAAAGGTGTGCGACGACAGCGTCTGCCAAGCTGCGTGCACGGCCAACGCGCAGTGCGGGACGGGACAGGTCTGCAACAATGGACACTGCACGGCCTGCACTGCTACATCACAATGCACAACTGGCCTTGTCTGTAGCTCTGGCGCGTGCGGTGCCTGCTCCGCGTCGAGTCAGTGTCCCTCTGGGCAATACTGCAGCAACGGTGCCTGCATCGCGGGTTGTGATACCAACGCAGGCTGCTCGACCGGTCAAGTCTGCTCCAACAACCTCTGCATCGCTGCTTGCACGTCCAACTCGGCCTGCACAAACGGCCAGGCCTGTGTGGCGGGGATCTGCACCCCATGTGCCTTGTCGACGCAGTGCGGAAGCGGCCAGGTCTGCAGCGGAGGAACATGCATCAACGCCTGTACCTCGACGTCTTGCACCAACGGCCTCGTCTGCAAGAACAGCGTCTGCTCTGCCTGTTCAGTGAACACGGACTGTCCCACCGGCAAGGTCTGCACCAGTGGAGCGTGCGGGTCCTGCACAGCTTCGACGCAGTGTTCCCCAGGACAGGTCTGCCAGGGCGGATCATGCATCACGGCCTGCACGTCCACATCCTGCACCAACGGCCAAGTCTGCTCGCCGTCCACGGGTGTCTGTACGTCGTGCACGGCCAACTCGCAATGCGCCACGGGGCAGGTCTGCAACAGCAGCACCGGACTATGCGGCTCCTGTACGACCAACGACCAGTGCGGCACGGGCAACGTCTGCAACGCCGGCGTCTGCATCGCAGGGTGCACCTCGAACGCGTCTTGCTCGGGCGGCAAGGTGTGCGCCGGCCTCGTCTGCACGTCGTGCACCGCGACCAGCCAGTGCGATGCCGGGCAGGCGTGCTTGACGGGCGGGACGTGTGGCGCCTGCACGGCTTCCACGCAGTGCGCGGCGGGACAAGTCTGTAAGAACGGCGCGTGCCGCGCTTGCTCGGCCAACAGCGACTGCCCGACCAACTTTGCCTGCGATTTGGGTTCCTGCGTGTCGTTGCAATGCGGCGGCGCAGAAGATTGTAATAGCCGCTTGCTGGGCTTGTGCGGGCTTGGGCTGTGCTCGTGTAGGAGGGGACTCTGCGTGCTGCCGCTCTTGGGGGGGATAGGGATCTAGAGACTGGGGGAACTAGGAGGAGTGAGAAGTTGGAGCGCAGGTGTTGGAGAGATGGAGGTCGCGTTGGGCACGTCGGTGTTTATAGTGGCGGATGGGCTACCCTGCAGGAAGGATTTCTTATGTCATGAAGCACAAATGGGCGAGGCCATGGTATATGCACAGCATCAAAGCGTCATTACTTGTATATTTACAGAATTGTACTATATTCTCAAGCCATACTTCGTTACTCTAGCCAATTCAAACCTACCAAGGTCCTTTGAGGCATATCCTGCTGTTTTTGCCCCCTCTGTATTCGTTTGATTCTAGCCGCCGACTCATGTCCAATTACACAATGCTAAGACACTCAAGTTTTCGCGGAGCTTATGAATAAATTTTTCATATTCATAAGCCGTTACCGTAACACGCAATAGACAAAAGACACGATTGTTGATACTAAATAGCATGTATACCCCGGGTCTCCCCGGTCGAGCACCGGACTTCCCCGCGCCGATGACCGGTGGGCGGATCCGGCTCTTGAGGCCGGTCGCGGGGAAGGACCCGCTTATATATCGGCCGTGTATCCAGTCACCGACGCGCCAATCGCCCTTCCACTCGGCGTCCTGGCACTTGGCCGACAGCCAAGTTGAGTCAAGCAAGCAGCATGGGTAGACAATCCTACATCATGAACCCGGGCTCCCTCACTCTAGAGATTAAAACATGCATGCTTCAAAACCCCGACAAGCATGTCCTCCGCACCCGGCAAGTGATCTCACAACAGGGCCGCAGGCCATCCAAGTCGTCGTCGACACACGACCACTCTCCAACTCGGTAAAGAGCCAGCACGATGAGGACGCTCAAGGCCGGCAGCAGCAGCAGCTGGGTCTCGCGTCTGGCGACCAATAGGACGGCACGCCCGCGCAGTGGATGTACGAGCAGACGCCCAACAGCCTGTACAGCCGGTACTCGCGGTGGCGCAAGACGCTCTCTGCGGCGATTGTCAGCTGGACCGGGCTCGTCTTGCAGGTGTCGAGTACGTCGGTGCTCTCGGCGCTGCCCGAGATTGGGGGCGAGCACGGCACCGAGGGACGGGTCATTGCCCTGTCCAACGCGCTGAACCTCGTCTTCATGGGGATCAGCGTCGCCTTCTGGGGGTCCGCTGAGCCAGGTCTACGGACGAAAGTGGACGGGCGTGGTGGCTGTTCTCCTGACGCTGGCGTGTTCCATTGGCACCGCGCTGTCGCCTACGATTGCGAGCTTCTTTGCGTTTCGGATCCTGACGGCCTTGTTTGGCTACGTGCTCAACCCTCGCTTCGCGTTGACGTCGCCTACCGAGTCTGGGCTGTTCTATCTGGCGCCCGGTATCGGGTATCTCACGGGTACTCTCTTTGGTGGACGATGGGCCGACCGGGTAGTTCGTCGGTGGGTCGAGAGGCGTCATGGGAATCGCGTGCCGGAGGATCGCGTGCGCTCATGTCTCCTCGCCCTGGGCATCGCTCTGCCAGGTTGCATGCTCGTGTACGGGTGGACAGTCGATAGAGCGGTGGGCGGCATCGCGGTGCCCGTGATCGCCATGTTCCTGGGCGGCGTGTCTCAGCTGCTCTGCTTCCCGAGTCTCAACACGTACTGTCTTGACGTGCTCAGTGGGCGTGGCTCAGAGGTCATGGCGGGCCACCCGATGGTGTGGTACTTCTTTGGCGCGGGTGCGTCGGCGCTGGTGCTGCCTGCGGTGAGTAGCATTGGCGTTGGCTGGTTCAGCACGATTGCGGCTGGGCAGATGGTGCTGGGTGCGGTGGCGTTGCTGTTTGTGACCATGTATGGGCGCGAGTGGCGGGTGAAGCTCATGGCGTGAGAGGGAGCATGCTAGCTAGACTGTTGGCTGTTGCCCGCCAGTCATCTCCTACTACGTATACGTACGCCTGGTAATCGAAGCCAGATCAGCTCACTAGGGGTCCCAACAAATGCACAGCGTGGAGGGTTCCCCGGAACCCCGGAACCTGGTGCGTCCAGATACGCCGGACTGCCGGGAGCGGTCGGCCCTGCGTGACAATGATGGCAATGTGACAGACGCAGCTCGGGCTTGGGGCACCGCAGGGCAGCCCAACTTTAATTGTTGGTGGCGGCCAACCCCAGGTTCCCCAGACTGTCTTTGTTGCAAGGTGGTGGCGACTTCGGTTCATCGAGGAGCGAAAGGCTCAAGTAGCGTCGGCAGCCGTACCTATTGAGTCCAGTAATAACCTGTCGCGTTGACGTCCCTAAGGTAACTTGGATCTCGCCCTAGCAGATCTCGTCCTGGCAGGATGCCACTCCACGTGGGTGTTTCTATTATACAAGGTTCCAGTCGTTATGCGAATGCGATTGTTGTATGCGTCCCAGTCAGCCCCGAACATGCCACATGCACTTGTCGATAGTATCGCGTTGGATCATGCAGATTACATGTATGCATGACTGGGATCACGGCCTCACATGCCTCGCTTTGGCAGGCAATGCGGCCACATGTGATACCCTCGTTCTGTGCCTTTATGATAAGCACGCGTATCCGTACGGTACGTGTACTCCGTACTCTGTGATAGGACAGCACGCAAAGACTGTCCAAGCGGTGTCGGGGCGAACCTAGGACGAACAAGGCCCCCCTCACGAACCCCATTGGCTGTTCGGGCACGACTTGCACGACGACCGAGGCAACACCCCTGCTGGGGCCCGTGCGTCCCCGAATGGGGATTGGGGAGGAAGCTGGGGAAAGACTGGAGACGGTCGCCCACGGGGTAGATGGTGGAGTCGTGAGGGCTCGTCGCCTCGGGGCAAAGCCAGTCGAACAGCCCGTGCCATTGGTGGGAGTAGAGTGCCGAGCCTTGTTCAGCCGCGTGCGGAGGTGTGACCTCGTCGAGGTTGCGCTGCAGATTGATTGAGAGTCCCACACGATTGGGGGCCTTGGGGGGAGACTTGATGACCCCAGCTGGGGAGGACGGAGAGACAAAGACGATGGATAAGTAGCCTGGATCGCCCCCCTCCCAGCACAGTCCTTTTCTCCCCAGCCCAGTCCAGTCCAGTCCAGTCCAGTCACCTTAACTTCACAAGGCCAGCGACAGACAGGCACAACCGAAATGGCCGTCACCGAAACAAAGACCGAGCATGGTCTCGCCCCTGCGACGTCGCACGCCGACCAGAGCGCCTGGGGCACCGAAAACGAACTCATCGAGGCCGCGCACGCCGCGTCGGACGAGGAGTCGCGCCTCCCCCGCAAGGAGCTCTTCTCCCGCTACATGCCTGGCGTCATCTTCAGCGCGCTGCTCAGTCTGGCGCTGGTCATGGAGGGCATGGACGTTGGCTTGATCAACAACTTCTTCGCGCAGGATGCTTACATCAACAAGTTTGGCTGGCCCGACAAGAATGGCAAGATGCACATCTCGGCCACCTGGCAGTCGGCCATTGGCACGGGCAACAACTGCGGCTCCATCATCGGCCTCCTCATCAATGGCTATCTGCAGTCGCGCTTCGGCTCCCGCCGCGTCTACATGGGCGCCATGGTCCTCATGACCTGCACCATCTTCTGCCTCTTCTTCGCCGTCAACGTCGAGATGCTGCTCGCCGGCAACATCCTCTGCGGCATCCCCTGGGGCATCTTCCAGACTCTCACCACCGCTTACGCCGCCGAGATCTGCCCGGCCGCCATGCGCGGCTACCTCACCGCCTGGGTCTCCATGTGCTGGGGCGCCGGATCTTTCCTCGCCGCCGGCACCCTGCGCGGTTCCCTCGATCTCTCTGGCGACGCCAGCTGGAAGGTCCCCTACGCCCTCCAGTGGATCTGGGTCGTCCCCCTCTTCCTCGTTGGCTATTTCGCCCCCGAGTCGCCCTGGTACCTCGTGCGTCGTGAAAAGATTCCCGAGGCTGAGCATGCCCTGCGCCGTCTCGCCCGCAAGGACTTTTACACCGAGCAGACCATGGCCCAGACCCTCGCCTTCATGAAGCACACCAACCGCATGGAGAAGATCAACGCCGAGCACGCCAGCTACGCCGACTGCTTCCGCGGCACCAACCTGCGCCGCACGGGCATCGTCTGCATGGCCTGGGTCGTCCAGATCCTCAACGGCCAGTCCATCACCAACTACGCCGCCATCTTCCTCAAGGCCGCCGGCATGGGTGACATGCAGGCCTTCAACTTCAACATGGGCATCCAGTCTGTCAACATCTTCTGCACCATTGTCGCCATTGTCCTCATGGGCATGCTCGGCCGCCGCACCTTCTTCTTCTACGGCTCCGCTGCCATCGGGTTCTTTATGCTCATCACTGGCATCCTAGGCTGCTTCCCCCAGACTAACGGCATCCTCATCGGCCTCGCCGTCCTCCTCATCTTTGTCCAAATCACCTTCAAGGTCAGCCTCGGCCCAACTACGTACGTCATTGTCGGCGAGGCCTCGTCCAACCGTGTCCGCGCCCAGACCATTGTCCTCGGCCGCGCCGTCTACGTCTGCGGCCAGATCTGCGTCCAGCAGCTCAACCCGCGCATGCTCAACAATGTAGGCGACGCCTGGGGCTGGGGGGCCAAGGCCGGTTTCTTCTACTTTGGCCTGTGCTTCATCTGGGCCATCTGGATCTGGTTCTTCCTCCCCGAGACAATGAACCGCTCCTTTGCCGACCTGGACTACCTCTTCCAGAAGAAGACCCCCGCCCGCAAATTCAAGACTGCTCCTGTGGACCGTATGTTCTCCTCTTTTATTATCAAAGTGCACTGGGCTAATCTAGATTCACAGTCTTCGAATTCGTCGACACCGACACGAGCCACAAGCTCGAGGACGACCGTATCGACGACAAGACGGTCACCGAGGTCCAGGAGGAGAAGCGTGCGTAGACGGGTTACGGTGCTGTGTGTTGTCATCAACTGCCTAAGTGTAGCGTTCACTTTAGTGAAGAATACATATTTTCTGCCAAGTTATGGCGGAGATACTCGGCGCCTTTGGCTCGTACAGTCTATAGCGTGTGATAGTTTGATGCAATCATGTGACTGTAGACGAAAAGGAGCATGCATGTGTCCATCATGACGATACTTGCCCACCTTCTACAAGAACCAAGCACCTACATAAAGGAGACGACACATATAAGATCCCTCGGCAGAGCGGGAATAACATGGGCATCATCGTGTGCGGAAGCGATGCCTCCCTCCCATCAGAGCGAACCCCTCTGGAAATCTTATCCGCCTTGACGGCCCATGACTCGTGTTAGCGAACCCTTTACCCGCAACCGATGTGGACATTGGTACTTAAAAAGGCCTCTTGGTCATAAAGACCTCATTCTCAAACATATCAAGGCTGCTAGAACTTCACTTCCACCCTCCACCGTCCAGTATTCACACCCTCAAGCACACCACCCACCATCGCAATGGGTCTCTCCAATGGCACAACGCCCAGGGGCACAATGAAGGCGCAGCAGATGGATCCCGAGGACCTCAAGATCCATCTCAACGAGGTTCCCATCCCGAAACCGGCACCCAACGAGATCCTTGTCAAGATCCTTTGCGCCTCGCTGTGCCACTCGGACATTATGATTTTTGAGCCCACCGAGGGCATGCAGTACCCGGAGAAGCCGACAACCATGGGCCACGAGGCAACAGGACAGATTGTCGAGCTCGGATCAGACGTCTCGGGCTTCAACCTAGGCGACAATGTTGGGTTCAACCCGGCTACCCAAGTCTGCTACGAGTGTCGTCCTTGCAGAGAAGTGTGAGTGAACGACCAACAGGTCGAGACAAGCAGCGAGTCACGCGGACTGATCATTTCCCCCCAGACACAACCTGTGGTGCGAAAAGAGCGCGCCTGTGGTTCAAGGCTTCGGCAGGGACGGCTACTTTGCCGAGTACGCCGTCATTGACCACCACAACGCCATCGTCTTGCCCAAAGAGCTGGACCCCGTCGCGGCAGCGCCTCTATTCTGCGCAGGTGTGACGGCGTACCATGCCATAGACGACCTCAAACTGCCTCCCCAAAGCTGGGTCGCCATCATTGGATGCGGTGGTCTTGGCCTGCTCGCCATCCAGTACGCGCGCGCCATGCAGTACCGGGTAATTGCTATTGACACCGCCGCCCCTGCCCTAGAGGAAGCCAAAGCGTCCGGGGCCGAGCACGTCTTCGACCCAGCTCAAGATGCTGACTACGTCAGCCGCATCATGAAGATCACCGGGCGCGGCGTGCACGCCGCCGTCAACTTCACCGCCAGCAAGCGTGCCTACGCGGCCATGCCGGCCATCATCCGCCCCGGGAATGGCATCCTCATGGCCGTCGGCATCCCCGCGCAGCCCATTGAGCTGAACGTCTTTGACATTGCGCTGCAAAAGTACAGGGTCATGGGCGCCAGCAACGGGCAGTGCCACAATACACGCCCGGCCATTGAGTTCAGCGCCAAGCACAACATTGTGTCCAGGACGGAGTACTTTGCGCTCGAGGACCTGCCCACCATGGTGGAGAAGATGCAGAACCACACAGCGAGGGGCAGGATGGCGGTGCGCTTCTGATTTTCTGTCTTCTCGGAGTAGTATGAAATGGAAAACTATTGCCGTGAACGTCCCCGCATCCCCGCGTTCCACCCCATATCACGAGTCAGCTGGCAAGGGCTCCCGTGTGAGTGATGACTCGCTCTGTCGTAGAAGAAGTAGATCTCGAAAATAGCAGAATAAAAGGAAAAGAATCCAAATTTTTACTACACCTGTAGATTAGTCAATCATGGACGCCCAATACTTGCCCACGTGGAAAGATCTGCCTGCCGTGCCAGGCGCGCGGTACTGCCACCAGACTGCACCCTTAACAAAAACTCGCTGACAGAAACCAGACACGGCTTTGCGTGGGGCGTCTTCGACAAAGATGGCGTCAAAGACGAGATAGGGACGCTGAACATCCTGACCGAACAGGTGGTCCTGCAGGCAAAAGAGGAGATCAGGGTGGGACGCAGTGTCGCCCTCAACTGGGGCCTCGACAAGCTCAGTGAGCCCACCCTCGGCCGCTCCGTCTTGAAGCATGAATTGGTCGATTGGCGCACGAAGCCGGGGTTCGACTTTTACTCATGGGACGATGAGATCAGCTTCAACACACAGACAGGCAGCCAATGGGATGGTCTCCGTACGTGTCGCGCTCAGGCTCGAGATGTGACAATGCTGAGCTTCTAGGCCACTGGGGCGATGCGCAGACAGGCCTGTACTACAATGGCCACAAACACGACGAAGTCACGCGTGGAAAGCATTTGGGCATTGAGCGTTAGTTCGCGCCCTCTGCTGCTACTCTCCGACACTGACTGAGCAGACTGGACCAAGCGAGGTGGCATCGTAGGACGCGGTGTCCTCCTAGACTACGCCCGATACGCTGAAAGAAACAACATTCAGTATAGTCCCATGTCGAACCACGCAATCACCGTCAAAGAATTGAAGAAAATCGCCAAAGAGTGCAACATCACCTTCCGCCCAGGCGACATTCTGCTCATCCGCGTCGGCTGGACAAAATGGTATGACGAGCATGGCGTGCAGGACAGGAACAAGTACGTCACACATGCATATGCATGGGCTGGCCTCAAGGGATGCGAAGAGACACTCGAATGGCTGTGGGACAACCACTTTGCCGCTGTGGCAAGCGACAACAACGGCGTCGAAGTGGTCCCCATGGAAGACAGATGGCGTAGGTCCCGCTGCAGAAGTCATCCTTGGGCATATTCACTAACTGCCAATAGGGCTGCACGACTTCTTGCTCGCGGGCTGGGGCATGCCCATGGGGGAACTGTGGGATCTGGAAACGTTGAGCAGAGAATGCGAGAGACAGCAGAGATGGACATTCTTCCTCACGAGTGCCCCTCTGAATCTTCCAGGAGGTTGTGCGAGTCCCCCCAATGCCATTGCTATCTTCTAGTCTGTATGTGCTGGCCCGCTCAGAACGCGAGTTGAAAGTCCCAGACCTGGAGTTTTCGATCTGGATATGGCCCGCCCTGTCGGACAAAGACACTCAAAATGTTATCTTTTTGCAATCTCTTCTGATCGTACAATGGCTCTGTGGATGCGTTGGGAATGACAGCCAGCAGATCCCAGGACTGAAAACCGTCCGTGGCGCTCGCCGTGTAGATTCGTGTCTCCAATTGGGGCTCGTCTGGCAGCAGCGCAATCAGCGTGTTGCCTGCTCTGTCGGCCGCGAGTTTCCCCCGTGGTGCGTATAGATCAGGACCCGAGATGTCACCGGGACTGATCAAATTGACCGTCCACTGGCCCTCCGTGTCGCGAAGATAGTGCTCGTAGAACTGTTGTCCCGAGGTGTTGCCCCTCATGAGCATGTGGAAGCGGCCCTGCGCATCGACAAGCTGACCCTCTTGGTTGACCATGGCGCTGTTCTGGGGAATCTCCCAAACCATGACCTCGGGCGAGTCGGCCAGGATCGGCTTGGTGAGCTGTTCTCCCTGGCTGTTGAGCCAAGTCTGGCCGGCGTCCTCGGAGTAGGCGAAGAAGAGGTCGTGGTTCGTGTTTGCGTCGGGCGTCTCCCGCACTGTCCAGGAGGTGTATAGCTTGCCGTCGTGGGTGCCCAGACCGTTTATGTAGGCATTGTTGTTGTTGCCCTGGATATATATGCCGTAGGGGGTCCAGTCGCCCGACTCGACGGAGTAGCGGTGAATGTAGCTGTCGCCATCGCCAGAGCTGTGAATATATGTCAGCAGCGCTCTGCCAAGTGCAGGGACGATGTAGTCCTCACCCTCCGATTCTGAGCTCAAGAAGAATGTCACCTCCATCAAGATTTTGGAAGCGAGGATACGTCAGTGGATCCCAAGGCCCTTTTGAACCAGGGAGCTCGTGGATCACAGGGCCGAAGAGGTCCGCCGTCCATTCTTGCGGGATCTGCTCCGCGATGCCGGCTGTCGACACCCTGTAGTTGAGTGGGACGTCCTACGCATGTCAGTCCAATTCCTAGTCGGCAGGCATCAGGGAGAGACAAACATGATGGTCAAAGCTGAGATGGATTCGGCCGTCGCCAGAAATGCCCATTGAGATCATGTTGTGGCCATCCATGGTCGTCTGCACATAGTCCGTCAGGGTGAGAAACTCCCATTCTCCCAACGAGGGCGACACCTGTCGTCGCCCGACGTTGACGTAGTGGTGGGAGTACCCGGCCGGAGCCGTGTCGTAGAAAGTGACATATTGATGGTTGCCATACGTGATCAGCACGTCCTCCTGATAGCTGACGCCGTTCAATCGTTGCGGACCCTGTATGTCCGTGCCAATGTCCCAGTGGGCAGTGGAGAGCAGCTCAACAGCTTGCACGCCACCAAGGGGCAGTAGGAGGGTGATCAAGGTAGAGAAATTCATGTCGACGGCGGGTCCACACGAATTCGGGCAAATTCCACGTTTGTACAAAGCGCTCTGTGATTGTCGGCCTGCTCGTGGCCCTAAATAAACTAAGAGGCTTCGGTGTAATGACGACCCGGTGGGGACTCGCACCAGCAACCCTGCACTCCACGATAGCCTCTCCAATTGAATGCATTCCTGTGGCGGAACCTACATACGGAATCTGCCAAGGCGGGGAACCATGAGATTCCGGGGAGCTCCAGGTTCATCAAACTGCCGTGTGGAGAAGCAAGACGTGGCTGCGCAGGGCTTGATGCTATACCACCGCATTATATATATATCAAAGACCTATGAGCCTAGGCCTATACACAGGCCTGGAAGAAATGTAAGACGTCTGCAACCCACGACGACGGCTCACTTAGAGCTGGAAAGTGGCCTCCACCTGGATGGCGATATATCTCGCGAATGTTCGCCATCCTTTCCAACCAACTTCGAGGCTACATCATACCGTGTCAGCTCGTTGTCAGATGACCTTGACACCATGCTACTCACAACAAAGCTGAGATCTGCGATCCCTGGGAATTTGCTACCGGGCGACCCCATGCCCCATTGCGAGACGCCCGTCGGCACGTTGGTGCGTTCCAACACAAATGCGGCTGGCTATAGATAATCAGTCACTGCAAGAGCTTGCCACGAAGAATGGGTCCGATCATACATCAAAGGCGTACTTGTAGTACCGCAGATTTCCGTACGTTCCTTGAACGAACAGGGAGACGGCCGTCGTGATAATCTCGTCGAAATTGTATGGGTAGCCGTCGCTGACGCTCTCAAGGAGGTGCCAAATCCAGCCCGAGAATCCCACGGGTGAGTCTGAGAAGGCCTGACCAACGGCGAGCGGCTGTAGCTGTTGCACATATTGGTACCCTGTGTGTTGGGCGTACCACTCCATGCTGCTGGCCATGTATCGTGTCTCCTCAGGCGTGGTCTGGTTCTTCATGTATCTCTCAGTATCCTCCGCGGTCGCCTGGACGAGGAAGAAGTCACAGAAATGACCGACGATGCGTCCAGACGGAACCACCTCGAGCATCTTCATTGTGACCCACCAGCCCAAGTCCGTGGACACAATGCCGTAGCGGTCGTAGCCGAGCCGCCCCATCAGTTCGTCCATGACACCGGCGATCGCCTTGGCATCAAATTCAGCGTGTGCCACGGCGGGACTGAACCCAAATCCAGGGAGATCTGGGGCGACTACGTGGTGGCCTGCGAAGGAGGCATTGTCCGGGAACACGAGCGGGCCGATAACCTTATGCCATTCCATAGAGGTGGAGGGCCACCCATGCAGCAGCAACAAGGGCAGAGCTTCTTCATAATCGGCGCGCTCGTGGATAAAGTGCAATGGTACCTCGTGGGGCCATGCAGGAGTCTCGGGTACAGTGATGGCAAAGTGGGAGTGGTTGCCATTGGCGTAGGCTTGCTGGGTGGTCCAGTCGTACTCGTTGGCCCAGTAGTCAGCCAGTGCTGTCATGTTGGCGCTCGGGGGGCCTTCGAGCCAGTTGTTGTTGCTGTCGTCGAGGAGGTCAATGGAGGGCCGGTATAGACTGGCTTTCAGGTTGCTTTCGTCCACAAAGCCTTGATCCACCTGGATCGTGAACGGTGTTGGAGACGAGGCATTGCTGGGAAATGCAAAGTTCAGCGCGCTTCGCGTCATGGTGGCAATGTAGGCAGAGTGCTTTTGGTAAACAATCGGTGCTATTGAGTTTGTTGCTTGGTTCTTAGACTGCCTTGACGGCCACAGGCTGCCATCTTATATCATGCGTTTATGTGGTCCGCTGAATAATGATACACAGATCCGATATCAGCCGAACATGTATGACGATTTTCATGGGCTGGTGAATCAAATGTGACTTCTCGTCATTTCAGCTACTCAGTCAAGCAACATAAGACCGGCTTTGTGGAGTTGAGCAGGCCCTGGCCCAAGGAGACTTAGGAGCAAGAATCTAAAATTTTCGGCCGAAATGATCCCTGTGGGTTTTTGGAAGCCCAAGCTAAATGGGTCAAAATTACGGATATCATGTCTACACAGGAGGAGATTTGAGGCACCTGTGAGTCTGATGGAAAGGATCGCGCATGCGAGGGTTGTGGAGTCGTGGACGCTCTCGTCAGGGCCCTAGGTAAAGGCGAGAATGCCAATGAGCCGGCGAATCCTCTCCAATTTCCAACCAGGGGTCGGCCAGAGAACCCTTTGTATGGAGCCAATCCATTGTCTAGGGACAGTCTACGATGCTCGTCCGCGGCGTGAGCCTAGCTTCGGTCGAAACTCGGTCGAAACAATTACATTGATGCCCGTGCACGTGGCGAGAATGCAGCATCAATCCGTGGGGCTTTATGTAAATTGCACGATGTAGAGTTGTCTGCTAATGAAATCCTAATCTAGCAAGCAGTGACACACAGATCTTCCAGAACATGCTTCTACTGCCAACCACTGTCCGTCGAGGGCCTGCGCGAAGTCAGACAACCACCACCAACGACAATACTCCCTTTCTTGCTTCAGTCTGGTCTCAGTCGACCAGCCATTTCCCATCAAACAATCTATATGCAGAGATACTCAAACCACTTGGCTTCTCCAGCCGTCTGGCGTCGAGTCATGAGAAGAGGCGATTGGAATTTCCATCTCCGAAGGACCGAAAGGAGAGGCTGGGAAGGAATTCCCCGCAAAGGGCACACATCATCAGTCAAAGGGACTGTCATGCTTCTCCGTGGCTTGCATGAAGCATGGCACAAACCCTCCTCAGCCCATTCAGGTTGACCAAGCGGGAGACAGAGAGTGTCGGGTGGGTGCATCAATGTGCATTTACAGGCGCACGATGCGTTGGGGCCTGCAAGCGAGGGCGCGGTTGGATGGTCCAAGATAAGGCGTCGAGGTCCGTGTATGCGGGCAGTTGGCACATGTACCTAAGCACAGTGAAATCCATAAAGTCGCTCGACCCCTCTCTGGCAATGAGCATTTTGATGGAGATGGCATTTGTAAAGTCCGCTAGCTTGTCAATGCCCCCTGTCTCCCACGGTCTCAAAATTCCCTGTGGCACTGGCTATGAATTATCACGAAACAGCGACAGCGTGTGCGGACGGCATCTCTTTTCTCCATGCTTTACACACAGTCCCTGAGCAGCCGTCGGCAAATGGGCTTGATGGGTCCTTGAAACAAGCTCCTGAAGACTACGTGCTTCCTCTCAAGAGGGAGCGTGATCTAGCCAGCACTCTGGCGTTTTTGTCGAGCTTGGAAACTGATCCGAATCGAATCCCGGCACTCTGCCTGAGGGAGAATCAAAAGAAGATGCAACTAGAAGTTATGATTGCTGCGAATTCGCAAACGCCCGGAGACAGCCTCAGAAAGCTCGATTCCATCAAAGCAGGACTGGACAAAATACTACGTGCCGTTTCACAGTCGGTCAAAGGTTGGTTTTTTCCAAAGTCAATGTCGATTGACAAATGAGATCTGAAAGACGGTAGAAGACGGTGATCAAGGGATAGTTTCCGAAATTGTATCCGTCTGCTCAACACGGATTCTAGAGCGTCTCAGACTCAAAAAGCATAGAAACCAACGTCAACCTCTCAAACCACTGCTACAGAATGCTAAGAAACTACTAAGAAAATCCGCAGACTTTGGGAGCAGAGCAAAAAGCCTGATCGCCGCCATTGACGCCTGGGAACAACATCAGATAGGCCGAAGACTTCAGGACGTGGTCGAGCGCACTCATGCACTATCTCGGCTTCAGGGCTTGGCCACGCTAATAAGCACTATTCCGAACCGAGACCTGGATCCATCCTCAAAACAGAACTTGATGAACATTCTCAAAAAGGTAGCGAGATACAAAGATGCCGCTGTATTATTGCATCGGACTGCCAAGAGATTCCCGATAGCTAGGAATTACTCATTCACTCTGGTCACTTTACCTAATGAAGCTTACCAAAAAATTGATGCATCGATAACTTCGCGTAACTTGGCCTCGACGTTGACAAGAATACGGGGAGGAAATGAGAAGGTGGCCAGCAAAAACGCCAAGTCAACCGTTCGTCAAATATGCAGGCTTCTCGGAACGACAGAAGAGAAGGCAAATGCGAAGTTCCTCGCACAAAGGAAACAAATACTCGACGAATCAAAAATTCACGCCGAGGTTCAGTTGGTTTACCACTTGGAGGTAGCCAATGTGCGTCCTTGCCCGAGGGTAATATGCTCGAGCAAAGATGCATGCTATCTGTGCAATTTGTTCCTCGCGGCTCACGGGAAGTTCCACACCCCAAAGTGCCATGGAAGACTATATCCAGGATGGAAGCTACCACTGTCGACACTGAGTTCGGTCAATACCCGTGAATTCATCCGACGCTTGGAATCCCAAGTGCAAGACAGTATTAGTCTGATGCTCCAGCGACAGAACAGAATTTTATACCAGTACCCAAACGAGAGCACCGCCCTCACTATAATAAACTCAACCTCGACTCCAAGTCGCGCCAATAGCCTTCTCTCCGTTGTTTCTCGACCTATTCCAGCCACTCAAAGTGGCGACACAGGTCTCTGCACCTCCCCACGAACGACAAGAGAATTTGCGGAGGAAACTCAGTCTCTGCCGGATGTCAAACAACCGAGCCTCGACGGACCTGGAGAAAAATCAAGGCCTTGGAAGCACATGCTCGCTCAAAACCAGCCAGTGATGGGGACGATCCAGGGAAACTCCAGTCCCTTGGTTCATTCATTGCCACTATTCACCTTACAAGTGGAATATTCGGTAGGACCCAGAGGGCCACTTGGTGGTGGTAGTGGTGAACTGGCCAGTATCACATATAACCTGACCTGGCTTGACCGAACTGAGGCTGAAAAGGTCCGGCAAACGGAGATCGGACAAATCATTGACTGTGATAAGATAAGTGACGAGATAAACATTGATCCTAAAGCCTTGCAAGGACTGCATTTGTCATCTGGTCAAAGTATCTTCAGGTTTGATCTGCTATAGCCTAGTACTTGGATGGCTGTCCAACACAACTTAAGTACATATAGCGCCAGAGGATGCAACTTTACAACTACTTGTCCGCGATAGAGTATGTCATCATCGGCCTTTCAGTTATCATGGCTCTCATATTCCATGCCCGGAAGCTGGAAAACGCAGAACATGATTCCAGGCCGCAGATCTGGCTTCATCAACTAAAGCTATCTCCCTGGCTATGTTTCGCGCACATATCTTCGAACAGAGCACTACGGCGACATTAAAAGCGACACAGCCATGCATCGAAGAGGGTAATAGTTTGATATTCCACATGTTAGGATCATATATACCCGACCCTCGTCACTTGTGCACACCACCCATCCGTCAAGCGCTTGAACCTGTTGCCAGGGCCCCCCTGACGACCGTCGAGCACGGTGCATCATACGTTTCTGGCTTCACAAATTCCACCTCTGCAGAGTTGTCTTTGCCCAGCAGGGCCAATGTGTCACTCTCCGAATCCCACACAGGCCAGCCCAGCGCATCCGTCAGACCAGACGTTGGGTCATCACTGAACGCAGCCCACATACGCTGCATGACCCTCGTGAGGCGCTTCTGTTCCTTCGATGGCGGCAAGCCGCTCGTGTCTTCCGATGCACCAAATACCATGTGCAGATCGACTCCGTGGTATGCGCCGCTGGTGGGGTATAGACGGGTGTTATCCCAGTCCGCAAAGTAACGATAGCCAAATGCTGGAACGTGGTTGGCGCGGCGAGCCTCTGCTTGGAAAGAGACAGGGCAGGTGAAAGACTCAAGGAGGAACGAGCGTACCTGCTCGTCGGTGGGTACAACACCGTTGCGGTAGGCTGGAATCCTGTAGTACCCATCTTCATTGTGGTTGTGGCCCATGAGAACTGGTAAAGGGGAGAAGTCGCCTGCCTCTGTCCGAGACATATAGTCCGAGAAGACTGTCTTCTCGTCGGGTATCGGGTAGAATGGGGGGATTGACCTCAGAACACTGGAACTTCCGGTAGGTCGAACGCTGGCGGCTGCTGCTTTGATATCTTCCCAGTCAACCTGTCGCATACAATCCATGGCCTCTGTCGTATTACCACATCCCACAGCATCCACGACAGTATTCCAGTTTCTCTCCGGGAGACCGGGGCTATTCACAGGAAAGCTGAATGCGTTTCCCGATGTGGCAATGATTCCGTGCACAATGGGATCGTCCTGGTACGCATACGTCCAGTAATCAACAGCCACACCCCCAGAAGACTGTCCTGAAATGGTGATCTTGGATGGGTCGCCGCCAAACGCCTCCGCATTGTCGCGAAGCCATTCTACCGCCGCGCGCTGGTCCAGCAGGCCAAGGTTCTGAGTCTCCCCTGGCGCTCCTGGAAACCCAAAGATGTTGAGGCGGTAGGTGACGGTGACTACCACAATGTCTTCGGCTTGCGCAAAGTATTTGCCCGTGTAGAAAGGACTGTTGGTGTTGCCAATGGCAAAGCGTCCACCGTGGAAAAACACCAGGACCGGCTTTAACCCCCCAGACTGGTCGATAGAAGGTCGCTGCCAGATGTTCAGCGTCAGGCAGTCCTCACTTTGCGGCGTCCCAGCAGCTGAGGCGAAGTATTCAACTATCCGCTGTGCTTGTGGTGTAAAACCGGGATATTCTGTCGGCGGCGATGGGGAGAGTGGGCAGTCAAAGCCGTAGCTGGCGGCCTCGAAGGGTACTTCACTTGTGGGCGCTTCGGGCGCAGCAAAACGTAGGTTGCCTGTGGGTGGTTTGGCGTAGGGAATGCCTAGGTACTCGACCACACAACTGGTGTTTGTGGCAATGTGGCCGGTGATGGCACCATTCTTGGTCTGCGCAACCAAGTAATCAGATACATCTGATGGGCAGGCATGGCAAGGGTTGCCGCGCACCACGCTGAGTGCGAAGGCTGCCAGTAGCAAACATGAAGGTTGCTGTACCATTGTCCCTAGTAATCTTCTACTATAAGCGCCTGATTGTTTGAGGGCCTCCGCGCTGGCTGGGTGTTCTAGGCCACGCGAACAAGGTGAACGGTGGTATGGGAAAGGAGTGAGTTTCGAACGTGTGCCTTTTCTCGTGGAAGCACGCCCCCTTCCAGCCCTTCCGTGACTCCTTCTTCGTTTCACGTAATACTACAAGGATTTTCAAGCCCAGATCACCCAGTTCGACGGACATGACAATAAGCCAGACCAGGGGATGCCGGGGAACTGCGCCTGTGGGCCGCCTGCATGTTCCTCCCCTCCTCAGCGCGTAGCTCACGGACGAGGGAATTATCCATAGCCGTGGAGCTTATAAGTGCCTTCTCCAGTCAAAAATTTTTATCATAGTATTTTTGCGCATCATTGCCCTGCGGCTGCGCTTGTGATGACATAGTAAATAGGTTGATGTTCAACATCGCGGGGAGGAGCAACCTACATTCGTCGGAGACAAGTAACATGGTTTTTCTGGGAGGTCAGTGATGATGTTTTCTGTTGGCTGACCATTGATACTCTTTAATTAGGTGAAGTTCAAAGTGATTTGTCGAGCGTGGGGTCTTTGCATGATGCGATCCAATTACCTGCTTCCGGCAGCATATCATCTCGCTCTTGCATGAACCTGTTGGTTCAGCCTGCATGATGAGTCCGCGTCCGTGAGACAGAAAACAATCCACCCCTATGCTCGAAATTAGAAAAGACCACGATGGGGTGGGTGATTTGGGCCGCGATTCAATTTCGGCAGAAGCTACAGAAGGCGAGCTTGATGCTTAACTTCATAGTACTCACACGTAGGCTAGGCTTTTGAAAGAACCTAAGTCCAAAAAGCACAATTTCGGCATGGAACCATGTCGAGCAGTACGTAAGCCCGCGTTTGCCTCGTCGGAATGACACTGAGGTCCGAAGATACCTGAACGCCTAGATAAAATAAGTTATCCTGGATTTTGTATCATCCCAAAGGATTGACGATTTGCCAGTGCCTTCGACCCGACCATAACGCTGACTTGCGCCAGAATGGGCCCCTATGGGATGGGCTTTCCAGCCGACTTGCCAAACAATGGCTGGAAATTGTACTTGCTGTCTCTGATCATGATCATATCCTCTTGGCTGCTTGTTATCACACGCCTGAGCCTTCGCTACAAAGCCTCTCAGATAGGCTGGGACGATGCTTGCGTACTTCTGTCACTGGTAAGTCCTATTCGTCACTCCGAGAACCCAACATCGAGCCACTGACATCTAAAGGTCATGTCTATGATGGTGTCTATCTGTATGCAATTAGCCATCGAGAATGGATATGGTATGCACAAGTCAGACCTCGAGACGGACCAGCTTCGAGTGGCACTCCGATACTTTTTCCTCGCGCAAACTCCGTACAAGATCAGTGTATGCCTGAATAAATTAGCCATGGTTCTCTTCTGTATGCGCATATTCATCTCGAGAGGATTCCAGGTTGCGGCATACACAGTAATGGGCATTGTTGTGGCGTGGAGCATCGGGGGCGTGGGTGCTACAATATGGCAATGTGTTCCCATTGCTGGGGCCTGGAACAAATCGCTGGAGGCGACTTGCATTAACTCAAACAAGTTCTGGGTGGCTTACGCGGCTATGAACATCTTGACGGACGTAATGGTTCTCCTACTCCCGATTCCGTCCATCGTGAGACTCCAGCTCAAGCCTCGGGACAAGTTGCTTGTGATTGGTATCTTTACCATGGGTGTCTTGTACGTATAGACACATTTCCCCTCCTTGAAATTGACGAGTTCTGTACTAACAAGAGATAACAGCGTCACCATCACCTCGATCCTCCGAACGACATCCGTACAAAATTCCTTGAAGAACAAGGAAGACGTTACTTTCAACTTCATACAGAGAGGCATGTGGACCTTGCTGGAGATGAACTTTGGAATTATTAGCGCTTGTCTTCCCACACTCAAGAAACCTCTATCCAGCCTAATGCAGAAGGTGTTCGGGTCGAGATTTAGCACATATGGTGCCGGTCTGAGTAACCCGCAAAGACTCGGCGTCGATGATTCCGGTGGGACGGGGATGGACTTGCTGAGGGTTCGACCAAATCGCAGGCTACCTGGGGGAGCTGGAGGAATACTCATGAAAACAGACTTTGTGATCAAGACGAGTGACCGTGGCCGTGCCGAGAGAACAAGTGACGAAGTCGGCTTCGTCGCAAACGCGCAGGCTACACATGGGAAATGAGAGCCTCTATTTGAACGGGCGTCTAAAATTATTCGATTATACATGTCAAGAGCTTGTGAAGTCCTAGTTGAATTTGGTGATGATGAGGCAGGCCGCAGGCATCACACAAGATGAATGCTATTGAATTTGCTCCCGCAGCGAGCAGGCTTTTCTCCAGCTTTTGAAGAGAAATAAAATCATATCATTCACGAGGTTATAGGGATTGGCGACAACAGCCAGATCAAGAAGGTTATTGATTTCCGCATGGGGAGGAATTCCACACCCGACGTGGGGTAGACCGTAGGTGATTGACTGGCAACTCGTTCAGCAGCCCTTTTGTGAACTTACATTCAACTCGAATGCTCAAAGAACTTTAAAAGCCGAGACACGCATATTGATTTCGGGGAACACCGTATAGAGCGACACCACGCCGTCTATACTCACATCATGGCAGCCACTGTGGATCTGTCCGGCAAGGGCATGCTGTGCGTCATGTCTCGAATCTCACGGAACGATATGCTGGACGAGGAAACGTTCCTCAGATGGTACGACAATGAGCATATTGCCGAAATCATGCGGACTAGTGGAGTGACCTCGGCCAGACGCTTCGTGGATGTGAACCCCTCTGCGGACAAACCGTATCTCGCCATGTATGCCATGGACGACATTGCGTTTGTGAAGAGCGACGAGTTCCGTGGGATTCAGTTCAAGAGTGCCTCGCTGCCTGGATCTGGAGTCATCTATGACTTGGCCGATCTTGATGTGAGGAACGATCGACTGGTCCAAGTCTACGACCCCAGAAGCAAAGGGAAGGGCCACACAAGGAGCTTGGTCTTGAATCAAGTTGAGCTCGGGGGAGGCATCAGTGATCAAGAATTCGACACATGGTTCCGCGATGAGGTAGGTCGCTGCGGCTCCGTGTGACTATGAGGGCGACTACTGATGCCCACAAGCACCTCCCGTCCCTGGCAGGGTCCAGAGGGTTCCTGCGCACGACTCGGTTCCAGCTTTTGTTTGCAAGGTCGAACGCAGAGTCTCGCGTACTGAAGGGTCTCGCTCCCCCCACGGATGAACCACCGCCTGCAGCGGCCACCTGGTTGGCCTTGCATGAGTTTGAGTGCGGCGCAGCTGACATTGATCTTGAAAAAATGAAGACAGCCACGTCGGGCTCATTGGGCGAAAAGATTAAGACTGAAGCTCTCATAAATGATTACATGGCTTATAGACTGGAGAAGGACTTTGGTCAGGAGGATTGGTTTCATGAAATTCAAAATTAACCTCAAATTGAGATTTGGCTTTGCTGTGCTCCGCTGCCAACTGGCGGGGACGTCATATGCTTGCCATTATTCAAACGTCAACACGACGTTTCGAACACGCGCCTAGGAGTCATGAATGAGAATTTAATTTTAATCATGAGAGAGTTGGTAGAAAAAAGAAAGAGAAAACAGCTCGCACATTTCGCCGGTGTCTTTTAAGGACGTCATGCGACTATTCCTGTACAGGGTAGCTGAAGGAGGTAGCTCGGATTTAAGAGTCCCGCAAGATTATGTCAGCATCGAGTGGGGTCCTGAATTGCTTGGTAGAAATGTTCCTATGAGCATCGGTCGCCACCGTGAGTCCATGCCCCTCCACGAACACTTCCGAGTCACTACAACCACCATGTCCAAATCCAAGGCTCAGAAGCGCAAGCGACAGGCTCAGGCTGCAGCTTCGAGCGGGCCTCCGTCTAAAGTCACAAAGACTACGACCGTCGAAGTCTCCAATGGTGGACGTTCACCCACCGCTACCACCATCCTGGCGCCCTCGAACCTGCACACTGTCATCTCGGACGAAGAGCTCGAAATCACCGTCGAGACACTAGAAACCCTATCCCAATACCCGAGTCTGATCAAGGGAAAGTCTTGTAAGGACTTGCGCGTGGCTGTGTACGACTTTCGCAAAGCATCGACAACCGGCAACAATGCATCGACTGACGGAGGCAACCTTACTTCGCGGATCACCGCGGCATTGGCCGACGAAAAGTACCTGGATGCTAGGATTCTACTGGCAGAAATGAGGATCAGGTCAGAGGAACCGAAGCTCGGTGCTCTTTGTCGATGGGTCAGGGATCTGGACGTGATCAGCCGATTATCTACTGTCAGGTCCGCCGAGGACGCCGCGCCCGCCGTCCGAAGCGACAACGAGCGTGATCTGCTCAATGTTCTCGATGCTGTTCTTCGTACAGTTGGGCCGATCGACTCGAATCCGGCAGCTGTCACCCACCCGACATCGCAGGTAGTCCTCCAGGACATATGGGACCTTCGACCGTCCACGCCCAGCGAGCAGGTGCACGCCGCCGTACAGAATGGGACAATTTTCGATACCCTGCAGAAGGACAAAATCTCTTCTCTATTGCGCATAATTGAAACAACGCCAGCTCTTGAGCGCAAACCACCCAACCATCACGACGCCATTCTCTACACCACCGCGCCAGACGCTGTGTTGCTTTCGCAGACTCCAGAGACGCCAATCATCCACGAGCCGCATCCCGTTGTTCCCGGACTGAGTCTCGCGAGGAACCTCCTCTCACCGCATGAATGCAAGTCCATCATTGCTGCAGGAGAGGCTGCCAATTTTGTGCCCGACGCACCCATCCGTGACGACGGCCAGGTCAGCATCCTCGCGCATAACTTCTACTGGGTCATCGATACGGCATTCCATGATAAGCTGTGGGCTCGCATCGCCCCGTACGTGCCTTCCTCAATCAACGGTCGCCAAGCCAGGGGCATCAACCGCAGATTCCGAGTATATCGGTACGTCCCAGGTGCAGAGTACCGGTGCCACATTGACGGTGCTTGGCCACCATCTGGCATCTTGCCCAATGACAAGTATGTGTACGATGCATCACCCCCTGGCAAGAAGCAGAGTTCTCTGTTCACCTTTCTCCTGTATCTCAATGACGAGTTTGAAGGCGGCGAGACCACGTTTTTCTTGCCGTCTGCCAAGGAGGGGACGCTCAATGCGTACCCCGTGCGGCCGGTCATGGGCGCTGTCGCCATTTTCCCTCACGGCGAGACCAAGGGCGCTCTTCTGCACGAGGGCACTGGCGTGAGGAAAGGTGCCAAGTATATCATTCGTTCGGATGTCGAATACGATGTCGAGCCGACGGTGGGCGTTGATTGAATGGTTGTTTGACAATGGTGAATCCAAGTCACGCCTTTCGGAACCGACGACGCTATAATAAGATTGAGCCGCGCACTGTCCGTGAATTTGAGACTGCAATCACAAGAGGCAGATTACCGGTCGGATGAATCCGTGTCGCCAGACATAGCGAGAAAGCTCTGCCCATGGGCCGTAATGCGGCAAAAGGAGCTACCAGCCTGCGATCGTCGTTGCATGGAGTTTCAGCCGTCGGCGGCATAAACCTGACTCGCTCTAGTTTCGGGTCCCGGGCATTAATTGTACATACAATTAGTGCCCTTTGAGTTTGCTCAGTAGCACTGCCGCGCGCAACGCAGATAGGGGTTGTCCGGGTTCGTGACACGAAGTTGCCACATGAAAAGCGAATATGATGTCCATAGGTATCACAGCTGTGTTTAATGCCTACGCAAAACCCGCTACATAATGTCTGGAATAGAAACCAATCTAAGAATTCTGCTCCTCACGGGCGTGAGTCCCATGCTGTTTTGGTCGAGGGCTGCATTCAAAGCTTTGCGCGAGGTATCTGGTTACCCTACGCAGAAAGAAGCCCATGGTCCGCATCTTCAACGACCTCTGGAATTTCCGCTCCGTTGTTCCTCTCACCCCTCCAAGTAGGATGGAACGCACACATGGAGGAGCTCCAGATCCGCCCGTCGGGCATCCGGATGCAAGAAGACTTTGTCACAAAAGAGCATGAGGCTGAGCTCATTCGCATCTTCCGAAACGAGCTGGAATGGCCGGATCGCAGTGGTCGCCTGTCTCTCCACTACGGCTATACCTTCAGCTACAAGTCTTTCGGCATCGATGAGGAAACACCCTACATCCCGTTCCCAGACTGGCTGCAGCCACTGTTACCGACGACAGAGGGAAGACCACCGGATCAGGTATGCCTCCAGCACTACGCCCCGGGAACAGGCATCCCGCCTCACGTGGATACGCACAGCGCTTTCGACCAGCTCTACGCACTGTCGCTCGGCGCTCCGGTCTTCATGCAATTTCGCGAAGGCGCCAAAGGCGACGCGAAGACAGACGTCGACCTCAAGCCCAGGAGCATGATGGAGATGAGAGGCGATGCGCGCCTGCACTGGACGCACGGAATTAAGGCGCGCAAGACAGACACCTTGCCCGATGGCACGGTCCGATGGAGAGAGGATCGCTGGAGTCTCACGTATAGGTGGCTGAAAGAGGGTGCCACGTGCGAATGTGGGAATGTACAGCTGTGCGATACGGCGCAGCGACGCAATGGCGTGGAGACTGTGTATCGGTGGAAGCAATATGAAGCAGAGGAGAAGGTAAAGTCTGAGACATGAAGCAAAATGTCACATTTACTAATGAATCCAGAATTAGCAGCGCTTGCCCTTCTCACCATTATGTGATGGTGTTGAGCCCAGGGGGTGCATCACACGTGAAGGATGCCTATGCCATGCTCTCGACCTGGCCAGCTGTACAGCCAGGGGATAAACAAGCCGATGAAATCTTTCCCGGAATTCTGCCAAGCTCTTTCTCGGATGAGGCCTCGTCATTCTTATCAACGCCAACGCTGTTGGCTCAACTTTTGTGGAATAAAGTGAAGCTTGTGCAGCACGCCATGCGAAGGATCTTTATCAATGGTGAAAGCTTCTCCCTTGGGGCTCTGCCACGTGTCTTCATATGTGCTAGGCTCAATACCACCAAGTACAGCCCACGCAATGGCCGCAGCGCACATGGCATGGAGTAAGTGTACTCGTCCTAGTGTTCACACGTTCCGCAGACGCAACAAACTTCTTCGACGTCGGGAGGCCTGGCAAGATTGGTCAATCACGGTACCTCTGAACCGGGAGACAGAAGAGAATTGACGCTACTAGCGTGAGCATGATCAGCAATTTAGGCTCGAGACCATCGACTGTTGATGCGAAGCGTGCACTAATTAGTATTCTCTACCCAACATTCTCAAGTCATCTGACTATCTCGTCCCCTTTCTTTACGTGTTCACTAGCGCTTTCGAATAAGCCAAGTTTTACCTTATAAAGCGGCTCTTGACCTCTACCAGTATGCAGGCCAGTATTTTCTGCTTTCGAATCAGGCACTGTATGCCAGGCAGCAGACACCACGCACCGCACACCACAGACCACAGACCACAGACCAGCGCATATAGCATACTTTAGATCATGACAAACTCTCCGACGACTTCAATGCTGCCCCCGGCGTATTCCTTTTTGGGGCCCTCCGATGCTAAGGCAAAGGCTATCGAACAGTATTGGGACAGACAACGTCCCCATGATTGGTTCACGGTACGTGGAAAGGACAAACATAAGCCCAATATCTAGTTCGAATTTCTGTCGCTAGAAAAAACCTTTAGACGCCCTCGGTGGCACGCAGCGCTCATTGTATGGGCTGACAATATTCCCAAGCTGATGCGAGAGGGACTACACTGGTCATGTGTCGATATCCATGGTGGTTCGCCTTATGTTCGGTTAAGGACGCCCACACCGTTTCTTGTATTCTCGAGACAATGCTATTATCGTTTCTATTGGATCACACACCCAGAGTGGAAGGCTCAGCTCGCAGTGGGCAGCTGTAGGCGGTCCACCATTGTCAACTTTGATCCAGGTTGTGTCATATAAGCAACTACGAAAAAAGTGGACGCCTGGAACTGGAACCGCGCCAAGGTCTACGAGTATCGAACTGATTCTTGGCTATGTTTTAACGCAGTGTACGTCAAAATGCCCATGGAAGGTTGGTGGCCTTGGCCAAAGACTCCAGGCGCTGAAGCAGTCGCCAAGTACGAGCAGGAGATAGGAGGGGATAGTGGAAGAGATAAGGCGGAGGGAAATGAGCCAGAGGGAGATGACGCGGAAGGAGGCAAGGCAGAGGGAGGAGGGGTAGAGGGAGGTGAGGGAGGAGGAGCAAACCGTTTCGTGGGATAGTTTCAAACCACTGACGATACAGGCAGTTTTGGCATATATTCCAATTTGAAGACGGCCCCAGCTCTGTTGAAAATTCACCCAGGCTTCTTGCACTGATCAGTTCAGACCAGAAGCCATCCAAATGTCTCCATTAAGCAATGCCAGCGTTCCAACTCCATGATTCCAGAAGACTGTTGGATAAACATGATAAGCAATGTGACGGTGCTATGTCCCCGAAAAGGAAAAGTAGATAGTCACTGTTGACAGAATATCCCACCAGGTATTGACTAAGCTCGCCAGGTGTTCCGGGAGTCTTGACTCATGACCTTCGTGGTGGCCACTGTCAGCAGTTGAGGGACCGGAAACGAAAGAAAATGGAGAGAGGAACGAACTAGCAAAAAAGGCCCCCGGGAGTATGCATGCACAACATGAAGCCAACAGGGAAGCACATAAATTATGCAAGCAGCCATACCAGCCGCTGAAGCACCTTCAGTGGTGGCCATTTTCTCGTGGTATGACAGTATCATCCCGAACTCTATGTACATGTAACTGGAAAAATTACTTTGGATTGGTGGGGTGGAGAGGAATGGAGACGAGGATAGGACAGGCTCGGCTGAATATATGTATATGCTCGGCAGTATGTCATCATCAATTGCATTGAAATCTCTATTGAGATGAGGTATACAAGTCCATATTCTCAGGAATTGGTGCTGTGATAGACTGGCGATGAGGCGGAAGAACTTCATCACAAGGCATGGGTGCGTGGCATCCAGGCACCCTACATGAGGGATACATTTTCTAAGACCCGTTTTCTGAGTGACTTCGACCTAGCAGAGACCTATCTATATACGTGCAACAGCTTGAAGTGCAGCTCCATGGTGGATAAAGTTAACACCCGAGAACTTTCGTGGTTGGCAAAGTAAACAAACCGACGAGTCCCTTCAACAGTTCGCCATGTACAAGTTGCTATGCAGTCATTCAAGTCTAAAGTTTTGTTTATAGCCACCCGACTTGGTCAAAATGATAGAGAAATGGACTTAAACAACCAAATGCAAAATATGATGCACGACATGTTGCACGCCTGTGAGCATGTATATAAACACGAGAGATCTGTATTCTTCTCTCCTTCCACTTTCCTCCTCAACAACAGCTCCCCACATCAGGTAACTGTCCAAAGTTGCCATGACCGAGTCGAAACTTGAGCTGTGCCGCGAGATCGTCGGGGTCGTCTCGCCGGCTGTGCAAGGCCTCATGTCGTGTGTGGTGGCGTACTGTGCATAGCGTGGACTTGCTCCACGAGAGGAGGCAGCACGGCCGGTGGGTGGTAGCCGTAGCTGGGTTCTCGCTGCCGCGGAGGCTCCGGTCTCATGGCTAACAGAAAGGTGCCTAACGATCAGCCCCACAGCCACCCCTAAGACGACAGACCATGACAGCGGTTTGGACGAGGAAGGAGCTACGCCAGACAAGGAACATCTAGGGCGTGCGGCGGAGCGCAAGCCCCCCTCAGATGCATTGGCCGCTCCTGAGTTCAAGGTCGTATGGGAGGAGCTGGAGTTCAACGCTCGGTGCCGTTGAGTTCCCCTCCTAAGCCCCTACTACACACAAACCCCCAGGCCAGGCCGTCACTACCTGCGCCCTGTGACTTTTGTTTATTTCCTCGGCCCTCTTTTCTTTTGTCTGTTTGATGGATTGACAGTGTGGCGTTTAGCGGGCCACCGGGAGGGCCATTAGCGATGCCCTCGGACCCTGGGTGACTGGGGCCCCAGCAGACGTGCATGTACCTCAACGTGGTTGCTGGGTCTAGTAGCTTCGGAAGTGAAGACAAAACATGCACAGGCGGAAAGGATTAGATAGTAGACAAAATTAATTGCAACCAATGTGGACCGCATAGACAAAGTCGTGATATGTTTTGCTTCGCTGTGCCATGACTGATTCCTCAACATTATCGTCGGCTGTGGATGTTGTTGAAGTAGAGTCAGCCACACCTGGATGAGCCGCATTTGCCTAGGTCCTGAAGTTTTTGACGGAACTCATGTCAATTCAGAGAGCCTCAAGCGAAGTAGTTCTGTCGTCCCACCGTCCATGCGCTGCGGGGATCTACGTGATGCATGTAGGATGTAGGATGTAGGATCACAGGGCCCGCTTCGGCTTGGGTAACGTTGCTCTGCGTCCAGGGACCCAATACCACGCTGTGAACTGCACATAAAGTCCTTCAAGACAAGCAGCGGCCGCACCTTTGCAGGCACCACCAGAACACTCCCACTTGCGACAGCTGCACCTCGATCATGGCGCGCCAGTTGCTTGGACCTCTCGGCTTTGTCCTTCTCAATGCCTTCGCAACTGGAGAACCTCTAGTTTCCAAACCTGGGGAGAGCGCTAGAATCCCAACTTGGGACATTCAGTCGTCTTCAGACGTCCCTCTAGACCTTGCACAGCTCTCAAAACCGGGGGCAGACACTGCCGCGTGGCACCACATCCCGACTCCGCGATGCACCCTCATGGGCTGTCTCCTCGCAGAAGGTGTCTACTCGGACGAAACCCTCTGGTTCTCTGACAATCTGCGCGACTTTAATTGGGGACAATTCACAGTGCCTTGGATCTATCGTCATGAGTTCTCACTTGAGCCGGGGAAGGGGCATCACTATTTCTTGCAGACGCACGGCATCACTTCTCGAGCCGACATCTACTTGAATGGCGAGCTTGTCGTTGATAAGAAAGATCAGAGCGGCGCATATTCAGGGCAAGAGTACGACGTGACTGGGTGGGTTAGCGAGGAGAATGGCCTACTCATCCAAGCGTATCCCACCAATTACTATACGGATTTGGCCCTCGGTTTCATCGACTGGAACCCCATACCTGTATGTCAACTGATTGCGTGATCCTCTATTTCTTATTTGACTGACTCTGTAGCCGGATAATGGGACCGGCGTGTGGCGAGATGTGTTCGTGAGACAGACTGGACCAGTCGCTCTTGGAACGCTGAGCGCACTGGTGGACATTTCACCAGGAAAGGTGATTCTCCGCACAACCGCCAGAAACTTGGAGACCAGAGAGATCAAGGTTAGAGCAAAGGCTGTTATCAATGAGCCTGATGGTGGGCCCGCAACCACTCTGAACCAGACCATCACCCTGAAACCCGGTCAGTCCAGGGACCTCGAATTTGAGACAGAATTCGACAATCCGAAGCTATGGTGGCCGCAGCAATGGGGCCCCCAGCCGCTGTACAGCGCTCGAGTGTCGGTGTCTTCCAATTGCGAGGTCTCCGATCGCGTGGAGCGCTCCTTTGGACTTCGTACCGTCACTTCGGAGCTCAACGAAAACGGCGATATTATGTTTCGTGTCAATGGCGAGCCTTTCCAAGTCATGGGCAGCGGATATAGCGCGGACATGTTCCTACGATTCGATGCCGGACGGTTCGAGAACATTGCCAAGTACATGTTGGACATGGGCCTGAACACGATTCGTCTTGAAGGCAAAAACGAGCATCCTGAGCTGTATGAGATTACCGACCGACTCGGACTCATGGTTATGGCTGGCTGGGAGTGCTGCAATAAGTGTGAGTGACCAAAACTGAACCAGAACACCCGAGAACTGACAATCGTAGGGGAATCCTGGGAGTACAACCCCGACCTTGCGGTCGACTCACCCGACTACTGGGATGAGCAAGACTACGATGACGCCAATGCAACGATCCGACATGAGACATCGATGATGCAAAATCACCCTAGTATGCTCGTATACCTAGTTGGCAGTGATTATTGGCCAGACGATCGAGCAACGGAAATCTACGTGGAAGGATTACGAGGTGGTGACTGGCAGCTCCCCATTGCTGCAGCTGCGAGCAAAAGAGGGTACCCTGACCTTCTCGGTCCCTCAGGCATGAAGATGAGTGGTCCCTATGACTGGGTGCCGCCCAACTACTGGTACGATGTGACGCCAGTTGAAGATCGCTACGGTGCCGCCTTTGGATTTGGATCCGAGCTGGGTGCTGGTGTAGGCACGCCCGAGATCAGCAGCTTGAAGAAGTTCCTGACTGAGGAAGACATGAAGGATCTCTGGACTAAACCAGATAAAGGGCTGTACCACATGTCGACCAACGTGTCCCAGTTCTATGACCGCAAAATCTACAACGACGGTCTCTACGCGCGCTACGGCAAACCCACGAGCCTGGAAGATTACATCCTCAAGTGCCAGGTGACAGACTACGAAGCGAGCCGGGCTGAGTACGAAGCTTTCGCGGCGCGTTGGGGCGCGGACGATCACCCAGCCACCGGAATGATTTATTGGATGTTGGTCAACGCGTGGCCAAGTCTTCATTGGAATCAGTTTGACTATTATCTGCATCCTGCGGGCACCTACTTTGGCACCAAAACTGGTGCCCGTGTTGAGCATGCTGTTTTTGATTACCAGAGTCGGAGTGTGTGGCTCGTCAACCGATCGCTGGGGAAGAAAGGGAAGAGAAGTGTCGTTGTCGATGTTGTGGATTTGAAGGGCAAGAACATCTCGAGCGAGACTTTTGCCGTCACGACGGATCCGAATACAGGGGCACAGATTGACCAAATACCAGCGCTAGAGGATCGGGATGATGTCGTCTTTGTCAGACTGATGTTGCGGGACGACGATAATGACGGGGCGGTCCTCAGCCGGAATGTATACTGGATCGCGCCCTCGCTCGACGAGCTGGACTGGGCGGAATCGACTTGGTATCACACGCCTGTCACCAAATACGCAGACTACCAGTCTCTCTTTGCAATGGACGAGGTTACTCTGGAAGTCTCAACGGATCAGAAGGATGGAACGTGGAGCGTGACTTTGGAGAATACCTCCGGTGTACCAGCCTTCTTCGTCCGGCTCAATTTGCTGGATGAACAAGGCGAAGACGTGAATCCAGTGTTTTGGTCCGATAACTATGTCACACTATGGCCTCGGGAGTCTATGGTACTCGAGGTCGAGGGTGATGGGGGCAAGCGTGTGAAAGTGGACGGAGGAAATGTGAAGGTGAAGGAGCTGACGCTCTGAGCATGTCCAGTGGCGTTGGGATAGATTCGAGGATGTTTCTATGGCCGGCTAATCCTACCATTGCATCATTCAAGAATCCTAAATAGGTTACTGCTCCGCTTTGAATGTTCATCCTGTATTCTGAGCGTTTACCAATAAGGCGAACGATCTTTTCGAGTTTGAGGTCGAACCCTGGCATTTACCCATCGACCGTGTGGTTCAGTTTCCAACTCTCACTTGGTATCTTGTTTCCAGCTTCTAACCGTAGTTATATACAAATCTCTCTGGAGGGTGATGTACTATTATTGTATGTGAATCTTTCTATTCAGCCGTTACTTCAACCTCCTTTTGCACGTCACGACATTTTGTAGACTTATCAGAACCATCGCCTCGTGAGCTACTCATATCATGCATCATCGTGCCATCTACCATTCTCTCCTCGCTCTCATTCTGTTCTATGTTAGTGATAGGATTCGCCGTGGGAGGGCCACGGCCGCGCCAGCTGGGCCCGCTGCTGCCGCCGCCGCCGAACGTGCGTAATCCAGGGGGCGTCTCGTCCTCGAGCTTCCGAGAATATCGTTGGGTCGAGAACAGAGTGTCGAAGACGGGCGTAAACCACATTTTGATCAGGGGAAAGACCATGGGCATGTTGGTGGCGATGACAGCAATGAAACTCTCTCGAATGGCCCAGGAGCCAGCAAGCTGCGCCCCGTTGATAGGATCCTGCTTCCTTGTTAGAGAAGGGTCCTCGACAGGAACACGGAGGCCGGAGCACTGACGGTGACAATCAATACGCAGCGAAGGATGGCGCAGGCGATGACGGCAATGCCGCCCCCAAAGAGAGCCATCAAGCCGACTTTCTTCCAGAGTTTCAGCGTCGATCCCCAGAGCATAGGTAGCGGTATCGAAAGGAGGTACACGTCGGTGGAAACGTTCATCGACAGATATGTCCAAATAATCGGGTTGGACAAAGCAGGCTGACAGGCGTCTAGACAGAGCACTCGGTTAGTGGAGACTGTGTATATGTAGGGAAACTAAAGGCAACAACTCACTTCCTGGGTTGGGATAGATCTGCCAGAACCTGTGCAAGGGTCGGCAGGAGAGGAACAGATTCAAGAGGACGACGATGCAGGTGCAGCCGATGAAGCCGAAGCCGATGTAGATGCGAATCAAGTAACTGCGGGAAAGGCCGGCCTAGATACTCAATCAGCTTTGATGCCCAATGTTACCTTGACCTATACGCACCGTCAGCCGAAGGTAGAATACCAGCCAGGATGCCTTCAGCGACCACATCAAAGGTGCATAAACCGACCATCCAGCAACCTGGATCTTGGAGCCGAGAACCCTACAAAGTCAATTCCGGGTTTAAGACGACCGCTTCGAAATGCCTCACCTCAGCTGGTACTCGGGTTCATCGGGAGCCAAGGCAAGTCTCTCTTCATCAGTCATTCCATTGTTGGCCAACCCTCTCGCAGCGTTGCCGACCGAGTACGCAAGAGCAGTCTCAGCGACATAGAAAAGCTGGCGTGGCGCATTAGCCGTCTGATCACCCCAAGGTTATGGAGAATACAAGCTGACAATTGCAACCCATACAAGGTAGTCGTCGGCCTTGAATCTCTTGATGCCAACGGCTCTGAATCGCGAATATGTCCTCAGCAGGGTGAAGACGATTGCAACACCGAGCAGAGTCCAGGCTTCGATGGCGAATTGCCTAGCTGCTTCCGCAGCGGCGGCGGCGGCGGCAGCGGCAGCAGCAGCAGCTTCAGCCTCGGAAAGATGTCCTGCAGCCATGTCAACAAACATGAAGGGAATGGTTTGTCGAGTGGTGAGACATCATGTCGAAAGAACAGGTGTCGGGTATTCTTTCAATTCCTCGGTCGGTGCCTACTCTTATCTTTTCTTTGCTTCTTCTTTATGAACTCCCTCAGGACATGAGGTATCCATACTCCGTACAGCGGTTGGGCAAGTGGCCGCCGATTCCCTCCGACCAGGAACATTACATCCATATTTACAGAGTATGACTGCTCATATCTCAGATGCAATGTTGGTTCCATCGAATGCATGAGCCAGGGTTCCCGTCTACGGATGAAGTCTCGTCCAACCATTGCACATTAGCTTTCAGGGGTGCCCTGTTAAGTCGCACGGAATCACACCCGGAATCACACCCGGGTTTCGATCCTGGTCCCCGAGAGGCCAAAAGCCATGGCCAGCAAGAAAAGGAACGGCTATGTCTCTGCCGAAGCTGGCTTTCTCCTGTCTCATCTCTCAAGTTTCTCAACCCCTCGTTGCGCTCAAAAAAGAAACAGAAGTTTCTTCTGCTCTGGCAATCACCCTTTCCTTTGCCGGCGCTTTGTGTCATACATGTATGTATGCATGTGACATTGAGGCAGTCAAGGGTGCATCATGGAAAAGTTCGACTGCGTTGTTGTCGGCGCCGGTGCGTTCTGCTGCGTGGACTCTGGTTTTCACGTTAGATTCTCCCACTCTCATAAGCAATAACTGACCTGAGACATTTTGGACAGGATGGTACGGTCTAGGCGCGGCGAAACAGTATCACTGCATGTTCCCCGACAGCTCGCTTGTGGTCTTTGACGCGGCACCCACGCTCGGTGGCACGTGGGCTGATCACAGGATCTATCCCGGTCTGAAAAGCAACAATCTGCTCGGAACCTTTGAGTTTCCCGACTTTCCCATGGATACGGCTACGTTTGGTGTCGCCCCTCGAGAACACATCCCCGGAGGTGTCCTCAACGCGTACCTAAAGGCCTACGCAGCAAGATTTGGCATAGATACCCTCATCCGCGCCAACTCCAAGGTCACAGCCGCTGAACACCAGGAAACCGCTGAGGGTGGTTGGGTGCTGACTGTGTCCAATGACCAGCAGGAGACCACAGTCTTTGCTCGCCGGTTGATTGTCGCCTCTGGTCTGACCTCGGAGGCCTTTTTGCCTCACTTTGATGGCCAGGAAACCTTTGGTGGTCGGATATTCCACGGCCGAGACTTTTTGCAGAACAAGGATACTATTCAGGAGGGCAAGTCGGTGACGGTGTATGGCGGCTCCAAGTTTGCCTGGGATGCGGTATACGCATACGCGTCGGCGGGAACCAAGGTGAATTGGGTCATCAGGTGTAAGTTGCCTACCTCCTTATTCATGAAGGTCTTGGATCTCACTGCAATGCAAAGCATCTGGTCATGGTCCCTGTTGGATGTCGCCTCCATTCGTTACGCCATTCAAAAAATGGATTGAGGCTCTCGCGAGTATGTGCCCTTCACGATGACGCCCAGCTGCCGCTGATTGAATAGATGTTCGCTTCCTCTCGTGGTTCAGCCCCTGCATCTGGGGCGATGTCGATGGGTTCGGCCACATCCGCAGATTCTTACACGGCACTGCCTTTGGGAGGGCGTTGGTCGATGGCTTCTGGCGCGTTCTCGGTGGGGATGTCCTGGCACTCAACAAGTACGACGCGCATCCCAAGACGGCAAAGCTGAAGCCTTGGACGGAGGCCATGTTCACGGCAACCAGCTTCAGTATCGTCAACTGGGAAACGGACATCTGGGAGCTTATCAAGAGTGACTTGGTCGATGTTCACATTGGCGAGATCGACCACCTCAGTCCTGGGAAAGTCCACTTGGCTGACGGTACGGAATTTGAGTCCGATGCGTTCTTGGCGCACACGGGGTGGAAGCATGTCCCGCCCATGAAGTTCCTCCCGGAGGGTATCGAGAGGGAACTTGGCCTCCCTCACGCACCAGTGCAGGATGCTCCGGGGGAAGACCTCGCCAACCAGACAGCCTTGATGGAACGAGCCGACAAGGAAATCCTCGCCCGCTTCCCGCGCCTGAAGAATCAGCCAGTGTGGAATAAGCACTACATCCCGATGACGGAACAAAAGGGTATTCGCAGCAGCGACAAGGTCACGCCGTACACTCCCCTCACTCCGTTCATGCTGTATCATTTCATCGTGCCTCCCGCTGAGCGGTTCTTGCGAACTCGCGATGTCGCCTTCGCGGGCATGGTCAGCAACTTCAGTAACGTGATCACGTCTCACCTCCAAGGTCTGTGGATCAGTGCCTACTTCTCTGGGCGCCTCGCAAACGATCCAGCTGCCGCCGTCGGGGACCAGGATGCCCTGGCAGCTTTACGATATGAGACGGTGCTGCATAACAGGTTTGGGAATTGGCGATACCCCACTGAGTGGCACAAAAGCCCTTGCTTCATTTTTGACGCGGTGCCGTACCTTGATCTACTGCTGCGTGACATTGGCCTGGATCCTCCCCGCAGAGGTAGCTTATGGAGAGATATTTGGCATCCGTATATATCCAGGGACTACAGGGCCATCAACGAAAATTGGAAGCGCAAATATGGCAGTGACAAGTCTGTCGCCATTTAGTCGCGCCCCATGTCACAGTGTTGTTCGCATATATAGCAGCGTGTGGATTACTTCATGAAACTTACTGCTTCGTCGTCGTGCTCCCCCCGTCCCGGTCGTTGGCGTTGGCGTTGGCGTTGGCGAGCTGGATGGTGGAAGGTGTCGATGACGTTGAGGGACTAGTCTGGTACTATGCCCCAGACTTTTTTGTTCGCTCCGATGGCAAATCGATGGATAATGCAATCTTGTACTTTTTCCAATGCAACACGTCCCCGAGGGCAAGTGGAGGGCGCGGCCGCCTCGCTCTCCAACAGCCGCGCAACGTTGGATCGCGATCTAACCTGAAACGTGCATGTATCCGAGGGTCTCGGACGCATAGAGAATCCGAGTGCTCGTACGGATACACGTACGTACTCGGACCACGCCACAGAGACAGAACTTGGAAACGTTTGACGGATGTCCTGGTGACACGAACATGAACACGGCACGACGGAAGTACAGAGACAAACATGAACCCTTCATCACCGTTTCCATTCGGCGTGGATCAAGGCGAACCACATGTATACCAAGCAGCATCTGCGCGACCTCATCGAGTCGGTCGACTCTTATATCAACCATGGCGGCGAGCAGCAAAGCCTACATCAAATGCGCAAGGGTGACCCAGAAAACGGTATGAATGCAGAGGACTCGTCCCGGTCCTTCTACTCGTTCGTCCCCACAGAGCATCAACCCATCGACAACCGCCAGCGACACAGTCGTCCTGGTGCGCCTGCCGCGCACTATTGGGCGTACCTTTTTTCAGTCATCAAGATGCGTTTCGCCGCCCCTCTCGCAGCCGTCATATCTATTCTCGGCGCCACACGAGGCATCGCCGACTTGCCACCGCCCCCAGCACCCGAGTCGTTCAATGTCGTCGAGCTGCCTCTCCCCCCTGTGGCGCCCACCTCTGGAGAGGGCGCCTGTACCCCAGACATCAACCCTCACGGCACCGGATGCATTCAAGTAGCTCTGGACGGGTTCCAGGCCGGTGGCTTCACCCCGGATGGCCACCACGTTGTCGTCAGCGTCGTCATGGTCGGCGCCCCGGCTGCCCCTGATCCGGCGAGCATCTACACAGGCAAGCAGCTCATCCTCGTCAAGGCAGACGGCACTACCTTTCCCAACGGAGACCCATGGAAGTGCCTGAGCTGCGCTGTGGCCCCCGAAAACGCTGTATCTCTGGACCCCCTGCGCAACTATCCCCAGGCATTCCGGAGCGGCGACAAGGTCCTGTGGGGCCGGAACATTGTCGACTGTGACGGTGAGCCTCTGCAAAGCGAGGCCTGCGCAGCAGAGAAGACGCACATCTACCCCATCCACTGGAACAGCAAGCCTGACGGGACCGGGTCGGGGCCCCGGGAGCTCCGAATCCATCCCGACAACGAGCATCTCGCGTGGAGCTCTTTCACCGAAAGGGGCGGTCAGTTCTGCTACCTTGGACAGCTGGCACTGAACCCAGATCCCGAGGATGGCGTCCCCAGGTATGACCTAGCCAACGTGCAGTTGCTCGTGGACCCGAATACAAACCCCCCGATCGAGGCGGTCGGCTCTGAGCTGCGTCTGCACGACGATGCCATCATGTTGGGTGAGCTTCGTGGCTTCAGCGGCACGGGTGATGAGATCACCTACGTTGGGCCCCCAGTCGAGTCCAACAACATTGACCTGTTTGCCATCCATCTCATCACAGGCAAGGTTCGCCGTCTCACGGCCCACCCAGACTACGCAGACCCCATTGCCTTCTCGTGGGATGATGAGTGGTTTGTGGCCATGGACACCAGGGTCTCCGAGCGTCAAATGTTCATGTCGGGCATGCGACACGTGCCGCCCCTGATCGATCTAGTCACCGTGACTGTGGCTTCCTCCACCCGCAACAATGGGCGACGCCGATTCTTCCAGCCCGTCCTTGTAGACCGGCATGGCGATCGGGGCGACTACTATGGCCAGCAGGTCAACGCTGAGGGCGATGACACGGACGGCGCCGTCAACGACCCCAACTGGAACGGCAGGGCAGACCCAGGCTTCTCCCCCGACGGTACCAAGATCGTGTTCTGGCAGGGTCTTGTGGTCTCCCCCTCTTGCGGTGGCGTGAACCCCCTGCCCTGCCCTGAGTCTACTGCCGACGGTGGCCGCGAGTACCGTCTCATGCTCGCCACGCGCCTGGATCACGAGCCAAAGGCTGTCCCTCCCGTGTTTGAGGTGCCCGAGTCTATCCCCTGGGCCACTCCGTACTGCCCAGACGACTTCGAGGCGCCACCTCTCTACACGGTGGAGCCGGGGAGCTACACTCTCCACGGTCAGGCATTCGGTGTGGCACACGTGCGCATCATTGCCGGCAACCAGACCGTCAACGGCCTACAGAGGGTGGTAGTCCACTATGACGGTTACTCGGACGACGGCGAGCACGTTCTGGATGGCACGGAGGATGTGACAGTCACTGTTACGCCGCCCAACTTCTGGAACAACCGGGTCGAGTGGTATTCTGATCTGAGCCAGACAGGCGCTGTCAACGCCACGAAAAAGACGAGTCCAGGCGGGTTCTTCCTGGAGTTGGATGCCATGGTTAACATCTTCAACGCCACAGGGAACCTGACGACCACGATTGATGGGGTCGTGTATCAGCGGCCCCTGAATGGTGCTTAGTCTCCAGTCTGTGGGAGGATAGCAGGTAGCGGATTTGGTGAGGCGACACGGAAGGGCTGGCACTAGGTATGCGAAAGACATTCGCTCGAGTGAGATGACACGCGCGACGTGTTCTCTCGTTGGGGGCCAGGAGACGCTCCGAGGACGTTGGGAGAGGGCGCGTTCCTTTAGCCGAGGGAGGTTCCGACCCGCGATCATTTGTGTGTCCATCTCCATGTCCCTGTCGCGTGGATGCCAGTGGCAAAATCTCGAGATGGTCAAGTCAAGGCTTGCGGATTGGCACAGCCTGAAATAAGTACGTAGGAGAAGAGATCATGCTGCTCCTTCAATCTTCAACACAGACGGCAACAAGAGTCACAGGACGTCTCCAATCCCCACATGTGCACATTTCCAGTCCCCCAATCGGACAAGCAGTCTGGACTCTGGAGCAATGCTACGCTGATCATTCTGGGGAGCCAGTTGCAGTACACCCTACTACTTATTACCGAGCGATCCACCAGGAAGCACCACTGCCTCCGGGGCCGGGGCGACGGCTCACGGCGTCGCGCGTCTCCTGTCCACACACATACATGTATGTGCTCAACAGTCTCACCTCGTCCCTATGGAACAGCGACGCGGCCAAATTCCAGTGCGGCAGCATACTTCTACAGACTCCGCGGAGCGTCGGAAACGCACGAGAAAACCCCGCGGTCGGGGTCTCCGCACAAAAACTGGATGGTAATTGACGCTTTCCTGTTCCCTCGCATCCCTCAAGCGTGGCCCGCGCCTCGTGGACGTTCCCCAGACCATGTGCTTGGGCGGCCTTTGGAAAGATTGCTGATGATGCCCATGCAGCCTGACGTGTAGAAAGCGACACAAGAAATGCGATGAGACTCTGCCTACCTGCGGCCCTTGCAGCGTCTCGTCGCGGCAGTGCGTCTTCCCAACCACACCAAGCGACCATACGGATGGTGGTGCGCGTCAAGGACGACTCGCTGCCACGACGTCCAAGTCTCCCGCGACAGACGATGAGATTCACGAAGAAGGAAATAGAACGCCAACATCCAGAGCGAATGAAGATCATGAGGCATCGCAGTCTTTTCCGCCTTCAATACCGCCCCCAGCCAACCCGCCGCCACGTTCCGAGGTCCCTGGATCTCTCCCACCAGTTCCCTCCGTCCTCTCGCCTCAAAACACTTTCTCTAGGATAGGTTTACCCCTCGGAGAGGAGGCACCGCAATTCTCCTGCTCACCAGCAGACACCATCACCTCGGAACCCTGGACAACTGACCTCGCATCGACACGGTGGCTGGGTCTCCTGGCCACAGACGCGGCCCAGGCTGACAGCGGCTTCTCCCTCGCCCCCAGCCCGGAGCGCGACGATCCCTCAGTGCAGCACAAGCCCAGCTTCGACGCACAGGCGCTGGCCAACGGCATCAGCGCAGCCCCCCAGTTCGAGAGGGCAGCGTGGCAGAGCGACGTAGACGCCACGCTGACAGGCCACGAAGCCGTCCTCCTTCGCCATTTTGCAGAGCGCTCGTCGCTCTGGTTGGATCTCTTTGACCCGCAAAGGCTCTTCTCTACCTACGCCATACGTCTGGCGCTGCGGAACACGGGTCTCATGAAGGCCATGTTAGCTCTGTCGGCCAAGCATCGCGCCCGCTCGCGGGACGTCTGCCCTGGCTTCGATGCGCATGAGAGCGCCACAGAGGCGGCGAGCGCGGGCGGCGAGAATGAGTGGATAGGCTACTACTACGAGACGCTACACTACCTGTCCGAGGCCCTCGCCTACAAGTCATACACCAACTCGGAGGAGCTGCTCGCCACGGCCATCACCATATCCGCGTACGAGATGCTGGATGAGTCCGACGGGCAGGGAATCTGGCAGCGCCATCTCAAGGGCGTCTTCTGGATCCAGCGCTCGCAGGACGTCCACGGGGCCTCGGGGGGTCTGCGCCAGTCCGTCTGGTGGGCGTGGCTGCGGCAGGATCTCTGGGCCGCCTTTCGCGAGAGGCGGCATTGCCTCAGCTTCTGGGTGCCGGTGCAGGACTACGCAGAGCTGGACCAACATGCCATGGCCAACCGTGCGATATACTTGCTCTCGCAGGCGGTGAACTACTGCGCCGACGCGAGGGGCGTCGACGGGTCGGCCTCGACCAATGACCTCTCCGCGGCCATGAAGAGACGACCGACCAAGGAAGGGCTGTTGGCCGACATGGCGCGCTGGAAGACCTTTCTGGGGGCCGGCTACAAGCCGCTGCCCTCCCAAGCAGTGTCGGACGACGTTTTCACGCCCATGTGGGTGCATCCGCCTCAGTTTGGCGTGGCTCTGCAAGCGTACAGCTTCGCGCTGATCCTCGTGACGCTGCACAGTCCCCATCCCGCTGGCTTTGACGGCTATCTCAAGATGCAGAGGACGCTCTCTGGCTGCGTGGACACCATCTGCGGGATCGCCATGGAGCTGGGGGACGAGGGCTGCCAGATCTTCTCTGCGCAGTGCCTGTATGGTGCCGGGCTGTGCGTGCAGGATAGTCGCAAGCGAGACAAGATTCTGGGTCTCATGGAGGCGGCCGAGCAGAAAGTAGGCTGGACGCCCATGGCGACGTGGCGGGATGATCTGCGCCGCGAATGGGCCCGTGTGGACAAGGAGCACGAGCACGAGCACGAGTAGTTCGTTCGACTGTTGGTCTACTGCTGTCGAGATTTCTTCATCTCCCCCTGCCAGCTGATGCTGATCAATCTACATGTCATCACTACGCCCTCCCTGTCGACCCACACACGTCCATCTGCCACTCTGTCAGCCGCCGTCCCTCTGTCACCCCTCCCTCCATGAATTGTGTCAAGCTCAACTTGGCCGCCTTCTCCTTGACATGCACCAGATAGTCATCCAGCACCAACTTGTTGACGTTGACCTTGGCGACACCAGACGCGATGCAGCGCTTCATGACGTCCTCGGGAAAGTCATTGGTGCCGTGCAGAGCGATGCGCACGCGCCCATTGGCCGCCCTCCTGATCATGTCGATGCGGTCCCAGTCCAGCACGGGGCCCCTTTTGCCATACTCGCCATGCACGTTTCCAAACGCCGGCGCCAAAAAGTCGATGCCCGTCGCGATAAAATCTTCCACCTGCTCGGCCGTCGTCAACGCGCCCTCGAGGTCGGCCGTATCGGCGATGCCATCCTCCCCACCCTCGATGCGCCCTGGCTCTGCCTCTGTCGCGATGCCCCGATCGTGGCAGTACTGGACCAGCACTCTCGTCCTGGCCAGGTTCTCGTCCATCTCGTAGTGGCTCATGTCGACCATGATCGAGTCAAGGGGCAGGTGGTCTGCAGCGTGGCGGATCATCGCCTCGTCCTGTGCATGGTCCAGGTGCACGGAGACGGGCACGTTGGCGTGCCTAGCAGCGTGGGCGGCGGCGTGGACCAGCAGGCCGTTGGAGAAGGTGATGGCCCAGGGGAAGAGCTGGATGATGAGGGGCGAACGCTTGGCCTCGGCGGCCTGGATGAAGGAGAGGATGTTTTCAATGTTGTATGCAATGGGCGCGACGACGCCATAGCCGCCTTCTTCGGCAGCCTTGAGGATCTGACAGGTCTTGTTGCTACTGGGGTCCCAAGTCATGATGGCGGTTTGGATACGGAGTTGAGAGCAGAGGACTGGATTTGGCAGCCACCGATCTGGTCAATGGGTTGTCGGAGAGGTCCTACGAGATGCGATATGAGTCTTTTTTCACCATCCAAGATCTGGTATTGACATGACAGTCGATTGACTCTTGAGTGACACTTCACCAACATGGCAGTGTGCCTCGTCTCGAGGGCAGGTTCCCGCCTGCCGGTGGTTGGAGCTTGAGCCCCCCTCCCCGGATCTTCTCCACATGGGGGAAATGCATGAAGTCTTGCCAATTGCCGCGTCGTCAACTTGGACCGAGTCAGTGGGTGGTATCTTGACTTTCTGATTTGTGCTCAGTACGGAGTAGCTAGGGTTGAACAACGACGAGGGCTGACCACGTGGTGTCTGACTCCCGTCGAGTTTCCCACAATTTGGCAGCCTCAATCTTTCAGCTCGAGAGAAACGCGATCAAGACGGATGCCGTCGCTTGCGCATGCAAGCAACATGAACCCTCACCAGCATCACATGACTCGCCAATTTCATGTTGGTTCCTCCGCGGCAGCGGTCAGGATAGAGGCCAGACTCCAGAGTCCAGTCTCACCCATCAGCCAGTAGTAATATCAAACAGGCCAAAAGGGAATTCCATATATGCCCTGAATGTGGCTAACTGGCGTACATACGCAACAAGTAATTTCGCCTACCCCAAGCACATATTGCTTCTCGTCGAGATCGAGTTTATATTCTCTCAAATTCTTAAATTGACCATGTCACCAGAAACGCCGTTCTATGCCCTCTCTTCCTAGTCTACCACGCACCGACAATACCAGCAATGGGAATGTCAATACCTGTCGTATAAGTCGCCGTCTCACTCAAAAGGTAAACATATGCGCCGCCCAACTCCTGCGGCAACGCGAGGCGAGGCATGCCGCCGTAGTACTTCATCTTGGTGTCCCAGTCCGGCGACCGCTCGACATAGTATGTCAGCGCCGTCTTGACGAAGCCGGGCGAGATGGAGTTGACACGGATGCCGTACTGCGCCCACTCCATGGCCAGCGTGTGCGTCATGTTGCGCACAGCGCCCTTTGTGGCGCCATAGGGCGCGGAAGGAGCGGCCTGTTGCCTCCTTGTCAGCGCTGTAGAGAGAGGAAAGACGACAGACATACCCTGTTCGGTCTGTAGGAGGTCATGGAGGCCGTGAAGACGATGCTCCCCTTGCACCCGAGCTTGATGAACGTCCTGGCCGCGGCCGTTGCGCAGTTCCATGCGCCAAAGACGTTCAGCTTGAACAGCCTCTCCACCTGCTCCATGGAGAACTCGAGCGCAGGCTGGTGCTTGGTGGCGCCGGCATTGGCGACCATGCCATCGAAGCGACCCTTGGCCTCGACAATGGCGTCGAGCGCCGCCGCGACGCTGTTCTCGTCGGTCACGTCGCAGTGCTGGAAGTCAAGCTTGCCAGGGTGCTGCTTCAGTAGACCCTGGAATGGCTCCCCGGGCTCGGAGACGTCGAGCGAGTAGATGCAGGCGGCGCCGTTGGCCAGGCAGACCTCGGCGATGCCCAGCCCGATGCCCTGGTTAGCGCCGGTGATGGCGATGACCTTGTCCTTGAGACTGATGGACCAGTCGTGGCCGGGCTGTGGGAGAGTGCTGAGAGGCAGCGAGGCGGTTTCATCTGCGGCGGGACTCATGTTGGAACTGGGAAGAAGAGGATGTGGGTTTAAGGTGTGAGGCAGAGAGCACGGAGGATGGTGGTTGTTGAGAGGACACCTGCGACACTGGAGGCGCATCATTTAAGTAAGATGGCCATTTCAACACTGAAATGCAAGTCCCACCAATCTCACGTTCAGGTGTATCTAGGCTATTGAACTTTGCCGACACGATCCAGGCAGCGTGGTGGTCCTGAAGCCGCGAGACGCAAGGATGTATGTGCATGCGAGGCGCGGCAAATTGTCATGGGCCTCGACTCGCGGCACCTCGAGATGTCGGCAATCTTCCGCAACGTGGAGAAGCCCAGCAGATGCACCAGTGTCGGGACTCGGACAGGGATATCGCGCTTCGAGGCCACAACGCGTTTCCTCACTAACATGAATGTGGTCTAGTCCTGACGCCCACGCCCTGCACTCGTGCCTCCCGAGTCCTAGTCCCGAGACCCTCGACGCTAGGACATTGATGAACTTGACTCATGCTTGGATCACCGTACCCCGCGGGGATTGTTCCCCGTAGAGAGGGCATAGTGCGGGTGAGAAAGCTGCCAAAAGCACCCTCGCGGCTGGAGGGAAGCAGGGACGAATTGCCGACCTCACTTTCATCACCTCCCTCCAGCTTCGCCATATGGCTGTCACGGCGCCCAGGTTCTCCAATTGTGCTAGACACATGCTGGGCAGGCTCTCGTTTCGGGGGCGGACACAAACAACACCCCAATCTTTGACGAGCACACTTAGTTGGGCCTTGACAGCTTGAGACTCGGCTACTTAAGCACCATGCGCCGCGCCTTGTGCTCCCTCGTTCCAGAGAGACGTCGCACATCTCACCATCCTCCCGACTATTGCCTCTTTCCCAAGAAGCCCACTCCAGACAAAATGGCCCTTGACGCTGCCACCGTGGAGAAGCAAGACTACCACGAGCACGACACCGTTGTCATGAAGGAACACGCGGCTTCGTCCGAGATGGACGAGTACGTGCCCGACACGGAGGCGGAGAAGAAGCTCGTGCGCAAGATCGACATGTTCCTCCTGCCCATGATGTGGATCATGTATCTGCTTTCGTACATGGATCGAACCAAGTACGTTCTCCCTCGGCCACTCGACGAGGCAAACAAGTGAACACACGCACACTGACAGTGGAAACAGCATCGGGAATGCCCGCATCGCCGGCATGGAGGAGGATCTTGACCTCGACTCGAACCGCTACTCCGTCGTCCTGGTCGTCTTCTTCGTCGGCTACGTCGTCTTCGAGGTGCCCTCGAACATGGTCCTCGTACGCGTGCAACCATCCTACTACCTCGCCACCATCATGTTTCTATGGGGCGGCGTCACCGTCGGCATGGCCTTTACGCCCAGCTACGAGGTGCTGATCGGCATGCGCATCCTCATGGGCATCCTCGAGTCCGGGTTCGCGCCGGGCATCCTCCTGCTGCTGTCCTCGTGGTACAAGCGCGAGGAGCAGAGCAAGCGCTTCGCCGTCTACATCTCGGCCGCCATCCTGTCGGGCGCCTTTGGCGGTCTGCTGGCCGGGTCCATCACCAGCGGTCTGGACGGCGCGCACGGCAAGGCGGGCTGGCGGTGGCTGTTTGTCGTCGAGGGGGCGGCGACCATGGGCGTCGCGTTGATCGCGGCCTTTATCCTGCCCGACTTTCCCGCGACGACGGCGCGCTGGAAGTTTAGCGACGAGGACAGGCAGCTTGCCATCAAGCGTCTGCAGTACGATAACGCGCGCGTGGACGGTGATGGCGAGAGTCGACTGGGTCACTGGCAAGCGCTCAGAATCAGCTTGACCAGCTGGCGCACGTGGCTGTTCGTCGTCGGCTACATGGTAAGGACAGCCCTCCACCCCATTGCATGACGGCCAAAAGAAGGGGACGCTAACCGGGAGTGATCAACAGGCTGTCGTCGGATCGTCGACACTCTCCTACTTTTATCCGACTCTGGTCCGTGGTCTGGGCTACGAGGCGACCGCTGCGCAGTACATGACGATCCCCATCTTTGGCGTCGCCTTTGTCTTCACGGCCATCACGGGTGTCCTGGCCGACAGGAACACCAAGTATCGCGGTCTCATGCTGACGTGCTGGATGATTGTGGCCATGCTGTGCTCCATTGTCATCTGTGCCGTGTACGACTTCAAGGCGCGGTACGCGCTGCTGGTGATCATGGCGTCGGGTCTGTGGGCGTCCAACGGCCTGTCCCTTTCCTACGCATCCGTCTCATTTGGCGACATGGAGCGCGAGGTCAAGGCCATCTCGCTGGCCCTTGTCAACGCCATGGGCAACCTGGCCCAGATCTACGGCGCGTACCTGTTCCCCAACGACGACGAGCCCAAGTACCTCATGGGGTTTGGTGTCATCAGCGGTCTCTGCTTGACGGGTGTCGTGTCGTATTTCTCGCTCTGGTATACCTTTAGGCGGACAGGTAAGGCTGCAGGCATCCAGTGACGCGCAGTCTGAGGTATTGGTCGTCGGCTGAGGCTGGTGCGTATAGGGTAGGAGATATCAAATGGATGGACCATGGATGTCAGATCAAGATAGATCAAGGACCGCGAGATGGATGCAAACGGACCATGTTGCAAACGCGCCCCCACCAGTCCATGAGCACTTTAAGCATAGTAGGCTACGGCGCTCCTCATCACATCCGTAGTGAATCCTGGGGGTTTACCGCTCTGTCCGCACGCTTGGCACTTCATGTATCACCTACCTTTCCCGTCGTAATCCGCCTTTTCGGACCGGTAGCCCATAGGACATGGACTGCGTGATGTGGGTGGCAGAGAAGAACGTGACAAGCCCTCCATCGGAAAAGAAGCGCTTTTGACTCGCGCTAATCGCCTGGGATGAGACGCCTAGAGTTGGGTACTCCGCCACTTTTCCGCAGGGCCCCTCGCCGTCGCGGGGTTGGTGATAGAATAATGGATGGGGAGGAGGTGGAGGTGGGCGTTGGTGGAGGAGGACACTCCGCCACATGCATCAAATCAACTGGAGGAGGGCGGTCCTCATGACGCGTTGGGTCGAGCGAGTACAAGTACTGGCGCGTCCCTGACGAGATACAGAATTTCTGATTCGACTTCTGTATTGCCATTTGCTTGCTTGCTGCCATAGCATCCGTCGTCAAAATGGGTTCCACAGTGGGCGTTTCGCGTGCGTATCCTCCTCCCCAGCGTCTCCAGAAAGAGAAATAACTTGAAATCTGACAAGCACAGCCATCACCGTCGACGGCACATCCTTCGCTTTCACAGGCCACAATGTGTCTTACCGCTTCCACGTCGACGCGGACACGGGCGACCTCGTCACGGACCACTTTGGAGGCTATGCGCCCGAGGATGGCCTCGTTTGCGACCCTGGGGAGCCCCAGGGATGGGCGCCCGCGCTCTCGCGCTCCCGTCGCGAGTTTCCCGACAGCGGTCGCGGCGACTTCCGCACACCGGCCTTCCAGATCCGCCAGAGCGAGGGCAGCACCGTCAGCGAGTTCAAGTACAAGTCTCACGCGCTGGTGAGCGGCAAGCCCAGCCTCCAGGGTCTCCCCGCGACCTTTGGCAGCGACGGCGACGTCGCCTCCCTCAAAGTCACCCTCGTCGACGACGTGAGCTCTGTCGAGGCCGAGCTGCTCTACTCCATCTTCCCCAAGTACGATGCCATTGTGCGCAGCGTGACGGTCAAGAACACGGGCCATGACGCGATTGTCCTCGACAAGCTCGCCAGCTTCAGCGTCGACTTTCCGTACGAAGACCTCGAGATTATCGAGATGAAGGGTGACTGGGCGCGTGAGGGCCTGCGCGTCCGTCGCAAGGTCGACGTCGGCACGCAGGGCTTCCAGAACAGCACGGGCTTCTCGTCGCACCTCCACAACCCCTTCCTGTCGCTCGTCTCGTCCACCACCACCGAGACGCAGGGCGAGGCGTGGGGCTTCTCGCTCGTCTACACGGGCTCGTTTGCGGCCGACGTCGAAAAGGGCTCCCAGGGCCTGACGCGCGCCATGATCGGCCTCAACCCTGCCATGTTCTCCTGGCCCCTGAAGGCCGGCGAGAGCTTCACCTCGCCCGAGGTCGTCAGCGTCTACTCCAGCACAGGGCTGGGCGGCATGTCGAGGCAGTACCACCGACTCTTCCGCAGGCACCTGATGAAGAGCAAGTTTGCGGAGAAGACGCGTCCCGTCCTCCTCAACAGCTGGGAGGGCACCTACTTTGACATTGACGAGAAGAAGATCACCACCATGGCCCAGTCCGCCGCTGACCTGGGCGTCAAGCTCTTCGTCATGGACGACGGGTGGTTCGGCAACGGCAAGCATGCCCGCATAGACGACCTCGCAGGGCTCGGTGACTGGGACGTCAACAAGGACCGCTTCCCCCACGGCCTCGAGCCCATGGTCGAGAAGATCACCCAGATGAAGGCGGCAGGGACCGACCAGAAACTCCAGTTTGGCATCTGGGTCGAGCCCGAGATGGTCAACCCAAAGTCCGACCTGTACAAGGCGCACCCCGACTGGGCCATCCACGCGGGCCGATACCCCCGTACCGAGCAGCGCCAGCAGCTCATCCTCAACCTCTCCCTGCCCGCGGTGCAGGAGTTCATCATCGACGCCATGACCAAGCTCCTCGACTCGGCGCCCATCACATACGTCAAGTGGGACCACAACCGTGGCCTGCACGAGGCGCCCTCCCCGAACCTCGACCACGAGTACATGATGGGCATGTACCGCGTCTTCGACACCCTCACAGCGCAGTTCCCTGACGTGCTGTGGGAAGGCTGCGCCTCGGGCGGCGGTCGCTTCGACCCGGGCATCCTCCAGTCCTTCCCCCAGTTCTGGACGTCCGACGACACCGACGCCCTCGAGCGGATCGGCATCCAGTTTGGCCACTCCATCGTGTACCCCGCGTCCGCCATGGGCGCCCACATCTCCGCCTGCCCCAACAGCATGACGGGCCGCACACAGTCCGTCACCTTCCGCGCCCACGTCGCCATGATGGGGGGCTCGTTCGGTCTCGAGCTGGACCCAAAGGGTCTCACGGACGACGAGAGAAAGGCGATGCCATCTATCCTGGCGTTGGCCGAAAAGGTCAACCAGACGGTCGTCTCGGGCGATTTCTACCGCCTCGTGCTGCCCGAGGATTCGAACAACCCGGCGGGCCAGTTCATCTCCGAGGATGGGAAGCAGGTCATTTTGTTTGCCTTCCAGACGCGCTGCACCGTCAACTACGCGCAGCCCTGGTTCAGGCTGCAGGGGCTTGACGCGGGCGCCAGGTACAAGGTTGGCGACAAGACGGTGTCGGGGGCCACACTCATGAACGTTGGTGTGCAGCTGCGGTTCGAGGGTGATTATGACAGTCACGTCGTCATTGCGACGAGAGTGTAACGAACAGAGTGGATGGATAGAAACGAAATAGAAACGAATAATGAGAATCCTTACGATCACCGCGTGCAGGATGTTGACCGTCTCCTCGCAGAGGCCTGGGGCTACAGCCACTGCCACGGCTTGACTTGGTAGAGTTTGATGAATGAATATAACCTGCAATGTGAAAGTCCATCTATCAATATCATGAATGAATGCCACATCACCTACATACATGTATGGTGGAGAAGCGCGCGTGGCACTGCATCTTCCCGTCTTCCCCTCAAGGTGTGTGGGGGGACGGGACACGATCCATCATCAGCACGCGACCCTTTTGCTGGACTCAATCCTGTACTATCTCGCCGTCGACTACCTTACACTCGTCAAGCGACAGTTGCCCATCGAGCGCCGCCGCCATGGCCACGCGCATCGTCCATGTAGGCCTCATTGGCTGCGGCGAGGTCGCCCAGGTCATCCACATCCCCAACCTACTCCATATGAACAGCTTCTTCCGCATCACGCACCTCTGCGATGTCTCGCCCTCCTCGCTCTCCCACTGCGCGACCAAGATCCCCAACCCTGACCTCAAGACCACCGCCTCCGCTGACGACCTCTGCGCGGACCCGGAGGTGGAGGTGGTCATGGTCGTCAACTCGGACGAGTACCACGCGGAGCATGTCGTCCTCGCGCTGGCGCACGACAAGCACGTCCTCATCGAGAAGCCCGTCGCGCTCACGAGACGCGACGTCCAAAAGGTGCTCGATGCAGAGAAGAAGAGCAAGGGCCGCGTCATGGTCGGCTACATGCGTCGCTACGCCATGGTCTTTGAGGACGCGGTCGAGGAGATTGGCGGCATGGACCGGATCGACTACGCGCGGGTGCGGGACATTATTGGCTCCAATTCCTTCTTTGTGGATCAGTCTGGCACTTTTCCCATCAAACCCAGCGACTTCTCTGCTGAGGATACGCAGGGGAGGACACAGCGTGCTGAGGAGCAGGTGAAGACCGCCATGGCCGAGGTGGGCGGCGGAGTACCTGTGAACGACGAGACGACCCGGATGTGGAGGCTGCTGGGTGGTCTGGGCTCGCACGACCTGTCGCTCATGAGGGAGGCGATCGGGATGCCGGACAGGGTGGTGGGCTCGTCGCTCGGGACGCCCTTTTGGAAGTGAGTGGACGTTGACTTGGCCGCCCGCCCCTTCCCACCCGTGCTGCAGCAGACTAACAAAAGTCAGCGCGCTACTGAAATACCCAACCTTTACTGTCTCCTACGAGTCGGGCATCGACAACATCCCGCGATTCGATGCCCACATTGAGATCTACAGCGCGAGCAAATCCGTCCGGGTGCAGTACGACACGCCGTATGTCAAGGGGCTGCCCATCACGATGCACGTCAGCGAGAACGCCAATGGCGCGTACAAGGAGACGACAATCCGCAAGACGTATGAGGACCCCTACACCATCGAGTTGAGGAAGTTGTACGGCATGGTGGTCCGAGGGGACAGCGTCAAGACGACGGTGGCCGACGCGATGGATGATCTGGTGCTGTTCGGCATGATCATGCGACATCACTACGGGACGTCCTGATATTGACCTTCTCAGCAATTTTTGCAGTCATTGGGCACTAGAGATGATAGTGATACAAAAGACCCTTTCGAGATCAACGAGCCTCCAGCCCGTGCAGCGGATTCGTCGTGCTGGCCAGGAACAAGTCCTTGACGAAATTCCGCCTGGGCGCCCACACGCCCGTGCCCCCCTTTGGCATGTCCTTGGCGCCCTTGTCCACGTACGTCGCCGACAGCGGCAGAAGCGGCTGGGTCTCCATCGTGGACGTCTCGAGATGCGTGGCGCGCGGCGTGACCACGCGGATCCCTTTGTTCCTCATCCCCTGCCAGAGCCGCGCCAGGAAGATGGCCGTCGCCTCCGCGCCGAGCGTCCAGGACGCATTCACGTAGCCCAACACGTACGCCAGGTTGGGTGCGTCCTGCAACATGGCCCCCTTGAATGTGAACTTGCTGGACGGGTCGAGCGGCTGCCCATCCACGCTGAGCGCCATGCCGCCCGCAAACTGTAGCTTCAGACCCGTTGCGGCGACGATGATATCGGCCTTTAGTGTCTTCCCGCTGTGCAGCTTGATTGCGTCGTCCGTCACCTGCTCAGTGGTATCCGTCACGACGTCCGCTTTGGTGGACCGCAGGGCCGCAAAGAAGTCGCCATCGGGGCACAGACACATGCGCTGGTCCCAGGGGTTGTATCGAGGTGTAAAGTGCGGCTCAAAGGGGTAGTTGGCCGGCAGCAGCGCCATGGTTTGCGCCTTGATGAGCCTCTTTGCCGCGTGGGGAAACCATTGGCAGAAGAAGTACAAGACATTGCTAAAGGCCATGTAGCGGAGGCGCTGCATTCGACTGACGACGGCGCCGGGCAGTACAGCCCACAGACACCTCATCACAATGCCCTGTTTTGACGGCATGCTGACGAGATACGTAGGGCTACGCTGTAGCATGGTCACCTTCCTCGCGTCCTCGGCCATACTGGGCACGAGGGTGATGGCGGTGGCCCCCGAGCCGATCACGACGACGTTCTTGTTGACATAGTCCAGGTCCTTGGGCCAGTACTGGGGTCGGATGACAGGTCCCTTAAAGTCCTCGATCCCCGGGATGATCGTCTCTAGGGGTTTGTCGTAGTTGTAGTACCCTGTTCCCAGTACGAGGAACTTGGCCTCGTACAGTACTTCTTCCTCTTTTTCGTGCTCGTGTTCTTTCTCTCCTTCGTCAACCTTGCGGACCCGTACCGTCCAGCTCTCAGCCTGGGAGTTCCAGTCTGCTGCAACCACCTTTTGGTGGTACCGAATGTTCTTATCAATCCCCTCCTTGGCCGCCGACTCGTCGAGGTACGCCCAGATTTTCGACCCCAGCGTGATGGGCGTCGTGCGCTGCCACGGGTTCCACGAGAAACCAAAGGTGAAGACGTCCGAGTCGGATCGAATCCCGGGGTACTGGAACAGATCCCAGGTCCCGCCCAAACGACCCCGACCCTCGAGGATGGCGTAGGTCGTGTCGGCTGGCCCGCGCGCCTGCAGGTAGTACGCAGTGTTGATCCCGGAGATGCCTGCGCCGACGATGATGACATCAAGCTTTTCGGTGGCCATTGTGCTCCGTGTGGATGAACAAAGGTGAAGTGAAGAAAAGTACAAGAGTCCGTCTATCTGGGAGCCGGCTCCAAGTCTACACACCACGCTTCATATACACGACCAGCTGAAGCCGGTCGGCTCGACTCGACGCCCCCTCGACGGAACGATTGCATGTACAGTGCACGCCACATTCTCTGTTCGTGCGGAGCACCTATGTCATTCTTCTCGTCCATCGATCTTCAAGATTGCATGCATGCGGAGCACCATGTAGTCCGACGATCCGACCCTACTGCGGCTCCCAAAGGGGCAAGATGTCCCCGACCCCAGATCGACGTTCCCCGCGCTCCGGCATGCAGCCCTCGCAAGCTTCGGAATGGAAGTCGATCCATGCACACCTCTCGCTGAGCGTAGCCTCGGCACGCATGCTCTAACTCTGGAGTCGCCCCGCAATCGACATTCGACGGCGTCTGCAAAGGGTATGAAGGCTGCGGCGGCTGCCCATGCAGACAGCGGTGCCTTTACGTGGGTGACAGACACCGCGACGATGCCGTCTGTCGCCTGTGATCGCTGCTCGAAACGCAAGGAAAAGTGTCTCTTTGACAAGGAAAAGAAGTCATGCCAGAGGTGCGACCAGCAAAAGGTCGCATGCCTCTTTGACAGGCGTCCTAAACGCATTGGACGCCGGCCGACCGCCAAACCGTTGCCCTATGGACTCGTCGATATTTTGAATCTGGATGATTCATATGCGCAACAGGAACCGCTACGACAACAACAAGCCACGCCCGTCTCGCCGCCGGCGACAAGTGTCACAACACCTTCGCCATACCTTGACCCCCTATCGCCAGCATGGCCGGTGGGCAGACAGCACACGCTGCCGCCGGACACAACGCCACGAGCCCTGGTGCACGCTGTCCTGCATGACAAGGACATGTTCTACACCTTCCACGCCGATTTCATGATCGGGTCCTCCTTCGCTCACGCCTTCCAGCGAGCCATCCAGTCCATCGCCCACTCGGCCGATGCCATTGTGCTCAGCGCCTACCAGACCGTCTTCACACTCTGGGACCTGGAGCACCATCGCATCCGGCCCCTGGGCGAGATAGACATCTCGGCCGGGCGCGATTGCCTGCGCGTCCTGCAGGACGCGAACACAGTCAAGCCCGAGGATGCGGCCGCCATACTCATGGTCGGCCAGATACTGCTCGTGTACCACATTGCCACCGTATGCACCTCGGCCCAGCCCATCCTGCGCAGTGCGATGCTGGCCGTCAAGTCATACTACGATGACCTGCTGGGGCAAGAAAGCCTCGACCCCATCACCGTCACGCCCGTCTGGATTGACACGGTCGAGTCCCTGCTCCGGAGGGAGATGCCCATTGTCAACGTGGCCACCTGTGACCGCTTCATTGTCGACCGGCAACTGGGCCTCTGTTGGACCCTGCTGCCCAAGCTGCACAAGCTGTGCGAGTGCAGTGCTCGCTCCAAGGCCTTTGGGGCCCTCTTCACGGCCGCCTATAGTCCCCCCGAGGACAATGTCGACGATGCATTCTCCGGGGTCGAGGCACAAATACAGGCTTGGGAGCCGAAACCGCCCGTCTGGTTCTACACCTCGTTCACGCCCATGGAGACGGCCGCCATGCTCGTCCAGGCAAGGGTGTACCGCAGGGCAGCCCTGCTCATCGTCCACCGTTTGCGCTACCCGCTCGGGGTCCGGGACGAGCAGGTCGCGGGCGACGCGCACATGATCGTCGCCGAGATCTCTGGCTTTCTGGCCTGGGCGCCGCCCGAGATGAAGGGCCTACCCGTCGCGTTCCCACTCCTCGTCGCCATGCTGGAGGTGAAGGGGCTGGGCATAGATATTGTGCCGCAGCTGGCGTCCTTCTCGCGACATCCTCGTCACGGGGTCGACTTTGTACGGTTTGTGGACCTTGTCTGGGCTGCGCGCGAGGGGGGCTTCCGAGGATTATGGTTTGATCTAGCGACGAACTTTGAGATGCCTGTCCTTCCATAGTAATTGTATTGTGAAATTATGTCCTTCGATGTCTTTCTCTACTCATTGTTGAATACGGCTGCCTACTCCTTACCCGCCACGTCCCTCAGCGTCTCCTGCATCCACGAAGGCAACCCGCGCGCCACGCTGATCCAACTTGTCTCCGCCGGGGCGAACACATGTCCCCCCTTTCCGCTGAAAATCTGCTTGAGCACGGGACGGGCGACATCTTCTGGCCCCATCATCTTTCCCTGTGTCTTGCTGATGCGCTCGCCGAACGGCGCCGTCATGCTGGTGGCGACCCACATGGGGTGCACACTCGTCGTCAAGACGCCCGTGGCGCGATGGACGTGCTTAATCTCCGCCTTGAGGGCCTCGTTGAAGGCGAGGGCGCCCGACTTGGTGGCCGAGTAGTGGGCGGCGGTCGGGATAGCGACGTACGAGGCCATGCTGGCGACGGTGACAATGTGGCCCTTGTCCTTGAGGATCATGTTGGGCATGAACTCCTTGGTCGTGTACCACAGGCTCATGAGGTTGACGCCCATGATCTTTTTCAGGAACTCGTCGGGCGTGTCGATAATGGGGGTGCTTTGCGCGATGCCGGCGTTGTTGATGACAATGGACGGATGGCCGACGCGCCGACGAATGTCGTCCGCCGCCGCCCTGACCTCTTCCGGTGCTGTGATATCGCACTTCCAGTACTTGACCGTGGAGATCTTGGCCAGATCCTCGGGCAGAGGCGCCACGTCCAGGATGGCCACGTGCACACCGCGCGCGACGAGACCGTCCACGATGCTCCTGCCGATGCCCATGCATCCTCCCGTGACGACGGCGAGCTCGCTCTGCCAGTGCCACGTAGATTTCGTGCTGAAGCTCCAGTTGTTGTTTGCGGCCGCGCTCAGCCAGCGGTTCACCAGCCTCGCGACACCCAAGGCCAGGAAGATCTTGAGCACATTGCGCGCCTGGGGGGTGCCAAGGTATTGGTGCAGCTTGGCAGGGTCGATGACCTGGGCCAGCATCTCTCTCGGTACGCGGTCGAGAAGGATGAGCAGCGCTGCGGGCAGCGCGGGCTGCAGCGCAATGGATTTGAAGGCGCTGATGCCGAACGTGGCGAGTTCGGCGGGTTTGGGCATTTTGGGTGCTTGCTATGGATTGATGTCTTCGAAATTCAATGAGGGAACGGCGAGTTGGTTACATGTGGTTGGTGTATTCTGCTCGAGGGACCCTTGCTACTTATGATAAGATGGGGAAATCGCTCGCTTGCAAGTCAACTGTATCATCATGGCGAAGCTCGCAAGCTCGCAAGCTTCGCAAGCCCTCTCCCAGAAGATGGATAGTCTCCAAGATCCCATGCGGACCTCGGTCTTCCAGCGGACCCAGGCGATGATCATCTAGACTAGGATGTGGGGATTGGAGAAACCCAGCGAGAACCCCTAGCGGTGCGTAGATCCGCCCTTCCTCTCCAACCTGCGCACCGGCGAACTCTTTCCCAACTGGGCCGTCTGTGAGCCTATGTCCCAGGCCACCCCGCGCGAACTACACCACGATCCAACCTGCATGCTTCAATGTTCGTACGTAGTACGTATATACTCTATACCAGACCAATGACGTGCCGCGTGCGTCGTGAGGCAATGGTGTGGCTCGCATACAAGTCGATTGGTGAACTACCCCAGGTTTTACTTTCGCTGGCAGGCGCCTCGACACATCAATGATTACTAGACTAGTATTGTACAGAACATGTACCGTTTTTAGCCCTAGATCAAGGAGGGGGGCGTTGCCGCGGACAAGGAGTCTGCTTGTTTGCAGAGGCACGTGCGTGATCGGCCACGGGTTCGAGTTGAACTCAACAGCCAAGCTCGCATTCAGATGCCTACGGACGGCACAGAGTTGGATGCTTGTTCGAGTGAGAGCAACCAGATCGAGTGGGACGTCTTGTGACGACGCGCCGCATGACATGATCCTCGTCGGCAAGCTAGGGCTTTAAAAGGGCTAGAAAAGCTGGGAATGAGGCTGGTACCTTCGCGTCGACGTATTAGTAATCGTTTAGCATGTCGGAGTCTCTGAAATTGTACCAAACACGGTACAGTCACAATCGAAATTGGCGACCACTTTTGTCACAGGCTTTGAGCGCACTAGGTGGGGCAGATCTATGTGGTCTGTGGCTGGACAGTTGGGGCGAAAGTCCCTTCCTTGCGGTGAAAGTTAGGCAGGCCCCTTTGGGCTGGTTATTGACTGAGCATTCAGGCAACAATATCATGGCGTTCCACCGCCACATGTCACATACAGAAAGTAAAATGATCGACCACCATTGGGTTTCGGTTCCCCTCGCTTTGCGTGCCTGTTAGCGATTTCTGGTCTATCCAGTGCAGACAGTTGGGGGTACAGGACTGACCATAGCACACTTACATGTGTTGCTGCCTGAGGTGTGATCAGCTTAATGCACTTGTCAGCCCAGTGGCAGTGCACTCTGTACATTGTGCAGACCGCCACTGGGGCTGTACTATCTGCAGCTAATGTCTCCCATCAAAAGACCAGGTCTCCCCCCCTGTTTACTTGAAAATAAGCATAGACAATCCTGGCCAGCATTTTCTATCGCTTCTAGACTTGATATTGGCCTCCGGACAACCCGCCAATATGGCTGAACTGCTGTCTGTTTCTGCAAGTGTAGCTGGCATCATATCTCTTGCAGATCTTGTGTTTTTCCGAGCCTCCAAGTATGCCAAGGCTGTGAACAGTGCTCAGAAGGATGTTCGCGATCTTACCCAGGAGGTCAAAGCAGTCAGCGACTTGCTACGTAATCTTTCCTCTCTGGCGTTGAAACTGGAGTCGACAACCATCATGGCCTCATTTAACCTGGACCATGTGACACAATGCCAGGGAACACTCGAGCGAATCGACGCTGGTTTGAGCAAAACCCAGGCCGACTTCGATAAGAGCAGGTGTTGTAGGCTCCAGAGGAAGCTGAAATGGCCGTTCTCCGCTCTGGAAACCAAGGAATTGCTCAACAACCTCTCACGACAGAAGGCCAATATTGGACTGGCACTTGGGGCTGATTGTGTCTCTCTTGTTATTTCAGAAATTCCTAAATTGCACCAGCTGGAGATGTCTATCACTAAGATCTCCAATGGGATTCAAGATATCTCCTTCGGAGTTCACGGCATCTTGAATGATTCCCGCCTTGTGGATCCGTACTTCAAGCGGGTTGTTCTTCAGTACTTCATGGAGGTTGACCCTCAAGCCCGCCATGATAGTATTTTGAGCCAAGATCTCATGGGCACGGGTAATTGGATGCTTCACTCAGCCCCATTTCAGGCATGGTCAGACAAGCCTGGCTCGCTTTTCTGGCTCTCAGGACCTCCTGGCTCTGGCAAGACTACCCTAGCGAGTAGGATGATTCGGGAAGTGCTTCGCCGTCGAAGAGAAGGAGTCGGCGTGGCCTATTTCTATTGCAACTTCGGAAGCGGAAACCCTGTTCACATTCTCGGAGCCTTGGTATCCCAGTTGGCGAGTCAGAACTCAGAAGCATACGAATGTTTGCAACGGTATTATAAGAGTCTGTCTGCATCCTCTAAAACCCAATGCTGCAGGAAAAGCACCCGCCGTCATAAGACTGGTGTCCATTCTCCAAGAAATTTCCGAGTCCTTCGAACAGGTCTCGATCATGGTTGATGGGCTGGATGAATGCAGCGACCAAGTCGATGCTGTGGTGGATATATTGTCACAGTCTGCTGGTGATAACATCTCTGTGGCCCTGATGAGCCGAAGTCAGCATGAAATCGCCCATCGCCTTCGGCATGCGATTAATGTGGATGTTCAAAGTCACTCGTCGGAAGTAAACGAAGACCTCCGGATCTTCATCAACGAAAAAGTCAAAAGCGTTCAAAGTCACCAGGAGGCTGGAAGGAGCAAATGAGAGGCGTGCTATTAAAGGGTTTCCAATGAAGGTTTGTAAAACATATCCAAGTACCTACCTTCAAGGGGCTTTCTTCACTAACTCTCACAGTATTTAGCTTGGTCTAGTGAAATGTAAATAGGCGACGCTAGGCTCCGTCCAATGCCCAAAAATTGACGATGGCACTATGCAGTGTGCCTTTATCCCTCTACAATGCGTATGGTCAGATTTGTCAATTCATTGGAGAGAGCGATAATGGGCGTGTCTTGATCCGCACAGCTCTTCCTTTATTTATTTTTCATCTTAAATGAACCAAAGCTCACAACCCATCAAATTTGCGGAGCCAGTATCGGGTGTGGCTACTGTTTGAAATATCTTTAGGCGCCACAAGGTAGTCGCTGATTTTGTTTACAATTGTAGCAAGAATGAGATACCAGCAATGTCAGCCAAAGCCGGGGATCACTGGAGAATCTTATGAGCCCCGAGGGGTAGTCGCTCATTACGGTCAGCGCTGTAATTCATTGGATGAAGTGGTTTCTGTATGTTTATCATAGCTCAAGGTCAAACCACGCTCTGCCTTTACCTGTCGCCCACTACAGCTAAAGTGCTTACATCTTCTCTGTCGTGCTCACCATATATGAATATAGCCTGTCTCAGCTGCCTTAACCTCGAGCAGTTGATTTACTTCAATCAGTTTCCGTGCCCTAGGATGAGCGATGAATATAGGGTAAGCAAGAACCGCCAGGAGGCGAAAATCGAAGAATATTTGCCATAACTGCCGCAATCGCTGCGCGCGTGAAGCAATTGTATGAAACCAGAAGTGAATAAGCAGCGCTCAATGCTGACGTGCACTGCCGTTAGTTCTGGCAAGAACATGCGTGTCCGATGTCCGCATACGCGAATATCCGCGAGCTCAGAATCCTTAACAGGAAGAAAATATATTTAGTAACGCAAACAATCGAGGGTCTCTCACTCTCGGCTTCTTCCGAGTATCAACCCGCTCGCTACTTGTACGTCCAGATCGCATATGCCTGAGCCGCTTCCATGCCAAAGTAAATCCAAAGGTCCTCGACTATGTGATAAAAAAAATAAATATCCAGGACGCCGTTTTGTTTCAAACTAGATCCGGCAATACATATTGTGCTGATTATGAACGGTGCTGTCCCTGCTGAGACTGGGGCAGCAGTGGAGGGGCCTTTTCGTTCTGGTTCTCCTTGATGACGCCGACCATGCGCTCTGAAACTCGCGCGCAGAACGCATCTACATGCGTCGTCCAGAGATACGCCGAGCCATAGGTGAGCGCGAAATACAAGGGCAGGACCATGAACAGGCGGACGGGGCTGTCTAACACGAGATGCGGCTCGCCCTCGGCGGGGACCGCAATGCCGTAGATCATCCAGCAGAGCACCGAGCGGAGGATCTGGTTGTGGAGGAGATACACGGCAAACGACATGCGGCCGAGGAAGAGGAAGAATCTGTTGGCGAGAATACCGCGGGCCATAGGCGAGAGGTGCAGCCCCACCACGATAATGTCGAGTCCGATGCCGGATGCGAAGCGAGGAAAGTCGGGGTTCGTGGGGAGGATCGATTCGAGGAACTTGTGGAGGGAGTCGGACCACGGCTGCCACTCAGAGTGCTTGTCGGGAAGCGAGGCGACGAAGAGGCCGACGAGGAGGAAGAAGATGGACAGGGCGCCACGCATGGAGCTGTTCGAGGACATGACCTGCAACTTGCTGAACGAGCCAGGGTCGAGGTTCTGCAGATCGGCCATGAAGGCGCCAAAGAAGAACTGCATGCCGAAGAAGGGATCGTTGCACGCCCAGCGGAACAGGGTCAGCGCCAGCGCGATGGCCATGCGCCACTTTTGCTGCACGTAGGCGGTCGCAATGAGGAAGATGTAGACCCAGAAGGCACCCTTGAGGATGGGCATCATGGTCCAGAGCTCTGCTCCGTATTCACTCTGACCATGGGTCCACACGCTCAGCAGGTCCTTGAACGCGGCACCGAGGGCGAGGAAGATGTTGTCGCGCTGGCGGGGGCTCGTCTCGGGCAATCCGTACCCGTCGCAGTGGTTCGCAATGAGGAAGGCGCCCATCTGGGTCGCGATGCAGCTGATGAGGATGATGATGGCGACGGGGAGCACGAGTCGAGGGACACGACGGATGGCGGACCGGCTCATCGAGGTAAAGGCGACGGTCTGGGTGCCTGAGTTGAAGTTCTTGACTGGCTTGAGGGCGCAGACATAGCCGGTGACAAGGCAGAAGATGGCGACGCCGATGCGGCCCTGGATGAGGACGCGGAAGTAGGGCAGCTGCAGCAGCACGGGCGCGGCCTTTTCATCTGCTGCGGGCCAGAGGAGGTACGTGAACCAGCCAGCCGAGATGTGCTTGATCACGACGAGTGCGGAGGCAACGCCTCGAAGGCCCTGGGAAGGACTGTTAGTACATAACCTCCCTATGTTCCTTGTGTCTCGTGTAGTGTTGAGTGAGACATGTGGGTAGCGTTTGTGCGACCACGGCCTCGCGAGACATGGGGAAAGTTCATAGCGTGTTGCGCCAGCACTTACGTCAACCCATTTGACGTTACCCTCGTCACCAATAGCCATGGTGCGGGTGGGATGTCGGCCGGAATATAGAGTTTAAAGCTTATCGTATCGTGTTCAGGGTCGAGGATACGGCCAAAAGGACTGGACGGAAGAGTAATTATGGTAAAGAGTGTAGCGATGGTGAAGCTTTCGCAGGCTGTTTGCTCACTGTCGGCACCAGGTCGGCAGTGAGACAATCTCAAGATATTCCACAGGAATTGCGGACGCCCCGTCAGGACAGGACGATGGAAGGACTGAGGATAAATGATGAATAGAGCAAGGAAAAGCAACGAGAGGCCAGAAGGAACAGAATTAGCAGAGTTGAGGGACAGGACAGGTTAGGAGTGGAGGAAGCGAGGGCTGGAGACAGAGGTCAAAGGATCAAAAGCGACTGGAGTGGGTGATGACTGGAGTCTCCCATCGTCAAAGACCGGTCTTGCTGCTCTTGCCCGAACCCGCATCTTTGTCGGAGCCGCTGTGGCCACTGGCCCCTAGGTCTACTTTAGCGCTAGCGGCAGCCTCCACTGTCCAATCCTTAGTGTCTGACAGGCTCTCAAAAAAGTCAAAAGGGGTCAAGCCCCTCCAGTCTGCAGGCCGAGAAAGGGGTCCGGCCTCCAGGGGTTGCATCGTAGATCTCCGACGTATCCTAGTATTCTCGCACGTACGCTGGGATTGTGCCTTCTGCGACACAAATGGTGTGCGAGCCCAATACGAGTCAACACAGGAGTGCTCAAAGGGTTTCAAGTTCCACCACGCGTATCTTAGGTGCAGATTGGGATTCAGAAGGACGATGCGGATTGAACGCCCATTGATCGTCACGCTAAAAGCTGAAGCACAGGCGTCCACGCAAGCTGACCCACCCAAGCAGCCGCGGTAATAGTACGTAATTCGCTCCCAATCCCGCTTCACATGCGCGAGGCTAGAAAGGCGTCAGGGGGCGCGATGCGCACTAGGCCCGGCATCGACTTGTTTCAGAGTAGGTCTCTCAGGCGTTTTGCGGCCAATTCCTGGGCCAGCTTGAGGCGATTCCAGCTTTTATTCTCAATCAAAGACTCGGTAAAAATATGATTGATAATGGTAGCCCTCATCGACGTTTAACGATGTCGTTATGCCTAGGAACCTAATGGAAAGTAAGGTGGTGAGTCGTGGTACAAGTGCTGCCGCGCGGCTTCACGGCAGGCCCACGCTTTCTTTTATCAAAATGGCTGCAATCTTACTGCGCCGGATTTCTAGATGCTACTTGACAACCAACTACTATCTACTTATGCACATGCCAGCCGAATTTCACAATATGGACGGTTCTCGGATTGCCTCTCCTCTTTGGATTGTGCGGCATCGTTCATCAACACAGTCCGTGTGAGCAAGCTCCTGATGTCGTCGTCAACGGAATGCACATGCAGTCAGCAATGATGTGCAGCTCTTGGGATCCGGGGCAACAATGTTATCACTGCCGTGCGTTGGAGGCGCCTCGTCCCGGCTTGGCGATGTATTTCTGTCTTGGGGCGAGATCCTCATTGTCACGTGTCCAATCAGACATGACACGTGATTGAGCTTTGATTGACTTCTGAGGAAGTCAGCGCAGTCAATAGCCGATCAGTCTGGACCGCGGGAGACACTATTTCCAGTCTTTATTAACCGGCTCGCGCCAGGGTACTCTGTGACGGCTGGCCAGCAGCCCAATGCACCGCACGACTCGAGTCACGATAATTAGGCGGTGCTCCGCCATATTAGAGGGGGCCAGGAGTCGCCAGTCGCCCGCCTATATCCAACCAAACGACAGGACATTCTGGGCTTCGTGCCGCTACGACTAGTCCACAAGTGTGCGTCCGAGCTGCCGCTGACCTGGTTGCAAGCCAAGCTCATGTCTGGAACTCAGCTCCCCCAACGACAACATTGTCGTTCGACAACAAATGATCCCAGGTGTCATCCAGTTCAAAAGCTCCCGTGATATCCTCATCGCCAGCGAATATGGGGAACCCAATCTCATCGCCTAGGTTCTCCAGTAGTAAATTACAGTCGCTGGCTTGCATCCAATCCGTCTGTGCGGCCTCCAATCTCGCGGCGTCGACAGCCTTACTCGCCTTTCCGTGCAGCTCATTGACCACGACACACAATGTTTCCAATGCATTGGCCGGGAGAACACTGGCGAGATTGTTCAGGAGCTCGACCGCCTTATTGCTGAGTTCCTGGTCCATCCAGGCGTCCGGGTGGGTTGGCTGCATGAGGTTGTTGGCGAGAAGAACAATCAGCCCCGAAAAGTGCGCGCAGCTGCATTGCCTGGGATCATCAGCGAGATAACACTACCTTCGGAGCAACAGCATACCAGATAAGACATTCCGTTGGCGTCGCGTCCTGGAACAGCCTGATGCATTTCCGGCTCAAATCGACACACTGCTTCCAGCCCTGCGCCATCGGAGGCTCCTGGGACCTGGTGGCATATTTCGACGTGGGCCCAAGGATTGTCATTGCATAGTCTTGAATCATGGATTTGCTCATGGAGCTGATGCGGCCAAACCACTGACTTTCACTCGAGTAGATGCCTTGCGTGTGCACCACGGCCAAAAGATACGCGTGGTGGAGCTTGACCATCTGAACGAGCTCGGACTCACCGACGGTGGACAATACGTGTTCGATGCAAAAGGCCGGTGGGATGCGAGCATACCACTGCTCGAGCATGTTGCTCAACGCCGCGACGCGTTGTCTTCGTTCAGCGCCCTGTACCTTCCTCGCGCGGTTCGAGTACAGGTTGTCGAAAATCTTGCCCTGGATATGGGAGAGATCCAAGCGTATCCGAAACGTGTTGAGGCAGGCTTTTTTGTCGGAAGTGTAGATCAAACCTGCCCCGTCCGGTGGGTTCATGGGCGGAAGTGGGATGTCAATGTCGGCGTCTTGCTGTGCAGAGGGCGCCTGTCCTCTGAGCGAAAGGTCCTTGTCGAATAGGTAGGCGATCCAGAAGACGCGCTGCCGCTGAAGAACCTCGACGGGCGCGTATGACCGTGATGAGGCGTTGGAGTGCAGCTGCAGCCTCTGAGCGAGCCGTACCGCCGTACCCACGAGGACGCTCGCAGGCCGCGAGTCACTACTGTTGTGGAACAGGCAGACCAACGAGAGTAGGACCTGCACGCCCAGGAGATCCTTCTCGCGAATGACGAGCTCGGACATGACCGATTGCGCATTGCGCATGCAGCGGTTTACCCAGTCGGTGCGAGCCCGCTGGTCAATTGTGGGAGTCTCGTCTCCCGGAATAGGAGACCGGAGACCCATGGCGCAGACCATGAGGATGGCGGCCCAGATAGCCCGGTCCCGCTTGGGATGGTCAGTGTGGTGCCAATCGCGCATCATGCGCATGAAGACTGCCTGGTCGAAGAGCGGGAGAGCCCTGTTGAACGTGTCGAAGTAGTGGTCAATATAGGGCATGAGGTGCTAAGCGATCTGATCAGCGAGCTACTTTCGTGCGTACTGTGCAAAGGGGTCATGACCTACATCCAAAGGCGGCAAAGGCAGATCCTCATCACCAGGACCGTGATAAAGACTTGGCTCTACTGGATCGAAGCGCCAAGCGCTCGGTCCTTTGAGCTCTTCGGGGCTACACTTCCTCGCGACCTCCTCAGGGGTACTATCGTTCGTCGAAGAGACCGGAACTGAGGCTGTGGCCAGGGCATGTTCCTGCTTCGCGGCCTGGAGTACCTGTTGGAGCTGCTGCTCGATACGAGCCAGTCGTTCCTTGAGGCTCGCATTCTCCTCTGCGAGCCTAGCACATTGCTTAGTGAGACGGACGAGCAAATGATCCGACTTGTCACGTACTCTTTCGTCTCGGCCTCGCGGATCTTGACCGCCTGCTTTGGCCTGCTGTTGGGCTGCCTTTTTCTTGCCACGCTGGTTGTTCGGCAGTCTGCGCTGTACAGCTTGCAGTTGGAGCAGATGGGCTTGAGCATATCACACTTGATCTTCTTTGTAAAACACAAGTCGCAGGCTAGAATCGGATCCTGTGAGCCTGACATCTTGATAGGTTCATGTTGGGATGGCGGCCGGCTCACTCACCCTTTCGCCTGACGGACGCTGGCTCCGTGGGCTCTGGGAGCGCATCGATGACAATCGGGTCAGTCGCCGTTTTCAAAGACACTGGATGAACAAGAGTGCTTTCCTGAGGACTTCAGGCTATGTTCGTTGAGATTGACATGTTGATTTCTTGACTACGGTCAGATTTCACGATGGAGGCCAATGCATGAAGAGGAATAGAGGATGACAAATGACCGGGATGGTCCTGTGGGAATATTCGGTCGCTAACAGATTCTGGCATACCGTGAGCGCAAAGGTGTTAGCGATTCATGAAGCTCCCTCCGGCGTGACTCGCCTTTGGTATCAATTCACCTACTTAATAATTAGCGCATCCACGTCGTCAACCTCGCCCATTATCGCCGTCAAAGGCTCTGGTCTGCGGTGGCATGGGCTGTCTGCACTCAGGCTGGATCCGTCAATAGAACCAAGCAATGCACCATCGCTCAGAAGGAGGCACCTCATACTTGGATCTGGCTCCGCGTATGCGGTCAGTGGGTAGAGTTCAAAAAGTGGTCGAACTCAGTCTCATGGACATGTATGTACCTGGCAGGATGGATCATGAGGCCAATGCCTGTGCCGCTCATCGATGCCTACATGTACCCAAACGAATCCTTCCGGAGCTAGATGAGGTAAACTCCGCGTGTCGATGACCCATCCTACAACCTGACTTGGCCTCGACTTCCCGCCAGATTACCATCTGAATTCATCCGTTACTTCGGCCGAATCACAAAACACACCATGCGCACGCCTGAACCTGCCAGCAAGAAGCGCAAGGTCCGCAAGGGAACTCACAGTTGTTGGGAGTGTGCGCCTTCCTGCCCACGGCGTCCGTAAGCGCGACCGCCAGACAGCACATGTACTGACGAATCATGCACAGGCCGCCGGCGCAAGATCAAATGCACCTTTGCGCGCGAGAACGACCTTGTCTGTGTGAACTGCCAGGCCAAAGGTGCGTCATGTGTGTCTCAAGAGACACCGCTTGACGATAACAATCTCCCGGCGCCATCGTCCCATCCAGCCTCATCCACATCCTCGCGTCCCCAGGATGAAGCTCTCGCCCAGCGCCTCATCCGCCTGGAAGCCATGATGGGCAGACTGGCCGACCCACAGTCCAAGGCGAATGAGTACAATTATCCCAGGGACATGGAGGATGATCTTCTCGAGACCTCAGCCGCGCGACATGCCAACCTGCTGGAGACGCATGCCCCAACTCCATCCCAAAGCGCGTCCGGGTCTCCCTACAACCGGCAATACTCTTCACCTGCTGGGCCTCGGCTGCCAGAAAAGCTCAAGCAGCTATCTCGAGATGTGTATGCTCTCCTTCCCTCGGCAAAGCTGCGCTCTACCTTGGCGTATAGTTCACCTGGTGCTACGACGGTCTTGTCGGGATTCCATGCAGCAAAATCTCCCAACATTGAGACCCCAGCGTCTCTAGCCGATCCTCACTACCCAACGCCGGATACGCACCCGGTCCTCATCACCCGGCGGTTACTCCAGTACGCTGTCTGCGTCCAGAATCTCTCTCCCGTTGTCTTCGCCTCCATTGCGGCAGACTTTGACGGCAAGCGTCCCTGCCATGTCCTGGCCAACTGGCTCGGGGCCTCTGAGGACTGGGTCCTCTCCAGTGACCCCCTCATCGGCAGCATTGAGGGCATCGAGTGCCTGGTTCTCATGACCATGCTTCAGGGCGACGCGGGCCAGCTCCGAAAGGCTTGGATGACATGTCGTCGTGCCCTCAACATGGCCCAGCTCATGGGCCTAGACAAAAAGGTCCCGCCCCTGCCACGGTCCCTATCCAGTCGCCACGCCGACCCAGCCACTCTCTGGTTCAGGATCCAGTGCGGAGACCGATATCACTCACTGATTCTGGGGTTGCCCTTTGGCTCGCGCAACGATCCGCCCTTTGATCCGTCCTCCACGCCGCTGGACAATCTAGGCAAGTCCTACGCCACCGTCGCGCGCAAAATCTCGGAACGGAACGAGGTTGTCGACCAACCAGACGCATACGCCGTCACACAAGCTCTCGACCTGCAGCTCGAAAACACGGCCTGCCTGGTGGAAAACACGTGGTGGTCCATCCCAGATATCTCGGCGGCTTTAAACCGCTCGCCGCTCGACATGCTCTCCGAGTGCTCCGCCATCCGTCTACAAGTACGACACTACACACTTCTCATCCTCCTCCACCTACCGTACCTGATGAAGGGCGGCGACCGGTACAGCTTCAACCGCCTAACCTGCATGCGCGCCAGCCGCGCGGTCCTCGAGCGATTCCTCGCCTTTCGAAAAGACTACATCGTCTACGTCGCGGGTCGCCACATTGACTATTCCGCCCTTATAGCCGCCATGACACTCATGCTCGGTCACCTAGGGCAGGTCGATCCACAGCGCGAAGACGACCGCAGCCTCGTCGAAGCGGCTCACGAAAGACTTCTGGCAATGGGCCAGCACAAGACCGACAAGCTCTCCAGCGAGAGCGCCGAGACCATCCGAGCCATGCTGCCCATAGTATCTGGACAGGGTCTCGACTCAGATGTCCATTTGTCCATCCCCTTTCTCGGCACCGTGAACATCAACTCCAAGCCTGCTCAGCCCGTCGACGCGCCGTCGGATGTTCTCCCAACGCCTGGTAGCACGCTGAATGGCGTGGGCCCGGCTGATTTTGCACCATTCCTGAGCTTTGACTTTAACGACTTTACGTTCCAAGGGAGCGACATTGTTGCCGGGGACGTGGCAAATGGTATACAGGCCTTCAACGGGGACAAGTACGATGTGCCGGGAGGATGGATGGACTTTCCGTCTGGAGCGAATGACTGGGCGTTCCAGGGCGTCGACACGACGTACTGGACCATGCTAAATCAGAGCTTTAACGAGCAACACATGAGTCGTGACGATGCAATGAATGAATGAAATGAGGTTTGGTGAATTATATTAATCTGCGATAGTGTTTTTTGTGTCAACAAATGAAGGGTCAGCCATGACCAGGGTATCTTCTCTTTTCCCAAACGCTGTAAATATGCAAAATGTTGTTCCGTGTCCCACCCTTAAACAAACGCCCAAGACCAGTGTCGCCGTACTTGGCAATGCAAACCTAGACAGTGGGGAAAGAAAGTGAATGTTGGGAAATAGGTATTACTCCCGCAAGCTCTCGTCGAGGACGTCGTGGTTGACCACTTCGGCCGTAACCTTCGCCGGTGCGCCCTTGCGACGCTGAGAGGCCCAGTATTGCTGGAAGCCAGGTATAGAGCCAGGCTGATTGATCCCTGGTGTTCGACTCCACGCCTTTTCAGCTTTGTTTTCCGTTGTTGACGTCGGGACGTCCACAGCTTTGGTAGGCGTGTTACTGGCACCGTCCGGGTTGTTGGAGCTGTTGGCACCCCAGGGTCGCCAGCCTACTAATTTACCCAGGCCGCCCGTGATACCCTTCTGCGATGCGGGAGACGAGCTACGAGACTGTGCTGCGCTCATCGGAGACGAGACGGAGCGGTAGCTCTGTTTCCCAGCAAAGTGATCCCGCAACGCGGCATCGCTGCGTTTCGCCGTCGTGCGCGACAACGTTGGCTGGGCGGTCACGCCGGTGACAACTGCTTCCAGACCCCCGATGGGCCTCAGCGTCATCTGGCTCGGGCGAGCCTTGAGGGTATGGATGTCGAGACCTCCCGACAACGACATGATGGACTCGTGTGATGTCGCTCGGCGTAGGCGAGGGGGCGGCAGATACTCGCTCGAGAATTCCGAGTCCTCGGCAGCAGAGCCTTCCATGGAGTCCTCGGTGGAGGCTTCGGGGGGCGTGAGGCCGGGAGTGTCCTCGTCGATCGGCGGAGCGTCCTCGTCTTCTTCATGGATGGTGTTGTCAAAGTAGCCTCGTTGGTGACACGGTGTGCCACTCACATCAGACAAGTCCATGTGGGGTATCGTCTGGAAACTCTGGTATGATGCGGCAGAGGGTCGCTTGTGGTGTGCACGCCAGGTAGGGGATGTCGGATCGAGACTCGTAATCGGGGACATTGGCAGTCCGGTGTCGAACGCGTTTGTGTCAAATAGGGAACTGACCCTGTTTGATCGAGGCGAGCTTGGCACTGAAGACGCAAACTCGGACGGTGGGTTGGACAATGGCGTCCAAGCACCCGCATGTGTCGGTAGGTGCCTGTCAGGCTGTGACAGGCTAGCAGCAGCTGCTGATGAAGAGAGTATTGCTGCTGCAGGCGATATTGACGGAGGTTGTAGCACGCCAGGCGTCAAGCCTGGCCGCTTCTTTCTTGGCTTCTTGGCCTCCTGCTTCTGTACGTGATAGTGATGATGTATGTGTAGCTCCTGCGACAGTCTTGACCCTGCCCGTTGATGCGGCTCCAGCTCCTCTTTGAGGCTCGGGGCCACGCTTACAGGCTCTTGGTCCACGGGTTGGTGGTGCATGAGCTGTTCTCTGAGAGACTGGATCTCGTCATTTGAGTTCAGCAACATCTCCCGCAGCTCGGCTATACCAAGCTGTAGGTTTGCATTGTCCTGAAGAAGATCCCTCACAAAGTGGTTAACCACATTGCTTCCACTCTTCTCGTTCCCCATCGTTTTCGTTGCAGCCGCTCCCTTGAGCCGGCCAGCCGCCGTGTCCAGCTGCTTCTCCACCTCGCGTTGGCGTTCCATGCGATCCATGACCTCGACGTGGCGCTCGCGTTCCTTTCTGGCCTCCTTCTCCATGTTCTCGAGCTGATACTGCATATCAAGTATACCCCGCTGGGCTTCCTTGCACCGTTGCGCATGCGAGCGCGCATCCTCCTTGGTCAGACGTAGCTCCTGGTGTAGCTGGTTCTGTTCTTCCTCCAGTGCCGCCAAATGCCGTTCAGCATCTTCAGCGCGGGCGGCAGCAGCCTCGAGCCGGCGCACGGCTTGCTGGGATGATAATAGGCTTGCCTCGAGGCTCCGTATCTTCGTGTCGCTCTCGGAGACGGTGTTGTTCATCTGTTCGAGCTGGTCCAGCAACTGTCGGTTCTCCTCGATCTTATTGGCGTTTTGTGTTTCCAACTCGTGCTTGTCATGCTCCAGCTTTTCGATCCGCGTCAAGGAACTGACTCGATCACGCTCCGCATCAGCCATGTAGGCCTCATGCCGGGCCAAAAGAGCCTGCAGCGCAAATGTCAGCGTCGAGTGCTGGAACGTTTGTGCAGACTTTTCCTCCATTGTTAACGCACCCAGAAGGCTCCAGGTGAAGAAGGATACGTTTCCTCTGAGTGCAAGCACAACTGACAATAATACCACCACGACTGGTATGCGGCTCGCAAATGAACCTCTCCAGTGGGGACATCAAAAGACAGCGCACGCGACACAAATGAACACAAAAGAGTAATCTATGACAGCGACATATAGACGTACCTGGCCCAGCTGTGCTGCAGTATGGACGTCTTTTTCGACAGTTTCGAGAATCGTGCAGTTCTTCCTGAGCAGTGCGCAATCGGCGCGACCACAACAGCAGTCGATGGAAGATTGGGCGGGATTGGTGCGTCGATTAACCGTGAGATCGATATTCTCCATCGTTCCAATTTCGATTCAGGATGCTTGCCCCGTCGTACAAGCCCTCGAGGCTCCCACACGCCGTCTTATCGCTCGGTGGAAAAATGGTCACGGTGGCTGCCTCCAAGCCTCAACATCTCCAACTCCTGTGTGGCGTAAGGTCTCAAATTGTACGTAGGTATGTACTCGGTCTTCGTAGGTCGTGGACTTGCGTAGTTTGATTCGAGGTTCGTAGGTTCGTCGCGTTGCTGTCTGGAAATAGAGTTAAATGATGATAAGTGTCATAGGACGCGATCCTTTCGCACTCAGCATGGATGGACAGGAGCGCGAATTGACGTCGGCAAACCGCTCCACTCAATCCAGGGCGCTGCTCCTGCCAAAGGCTGCTGCTTTCAGGGCAGCCGCGGGGTTCCGCTCCCGTGGTGGGGGGCACGCCTTCTCTAGCCTGCTGTGGTGCTTTCACCCAACGGTAATATGAAGTTCGGTGCCCAATGCCTGGCGGCACAGCCAGCAAAAGCTAGCTGAAGACGACTTTGTAGATGAAGGAAGGAAAGAGGAAGACGCTCAGAAAGGGCGGTATAAGCATTTCGTGAACCATCTCCACTTGACAACGCAGTCTCCGAGCTCTGCCTATTATATACCACCAGGTGTTTGCCTGCACCTGCCGATTCCCAGATGCAACTTGTGCATAGCGGTGGAGGTCAGACGACCACTAACCTCCGCTAGATGCAGGCACGGCGGCCCAAAAGCGGCCTGCGGTCGAGGTCAGCAATTGGTTACCACATGGGCATGACGACAGTGATGGCTGTATTGAGCACCAGCCTCTCTAATTATGGGATGCCATCCTGATTTGGACGGAACGATGAGGAAAGCATGAATTAGTTTCATTGTCTGAGCTCTTTGTATAATTATATCCTTATATATAATCTATCTATACTGGTCCCGGGCCATGTTTTAGCAGGGTTTTTGTCAGGCACGTGCAATCAAGCCCAACCGTGACTGCGACCGTGACTGAACGAACCTTCAAGCTGCTAGAGCGGCCGCCTCTTCTTTACAAAATCTGCTACGATAAGTAGTTGCTTCGTTCAAGCGTAAGGTATGGAATAAACCCTTGTTTGCTGTTGATTCATTTGTGAAACAGTAAATAGAGCAAATACCACCGTCGCTAGTGTCTAATGATTGCTTGAGATTGGTTTGCACGGGAATGCTGTTCCTCCAAGGGTCTAGTAATGAATCGACCATGATAGATGAGAGATTCTATTCTTCCATGCATCATGTACCTCACGAAGGGCGAATATATACTGCGTACTGTACCGAACTGTTAAATTGGCCCGCGAAGCTCCCGACGACACCGAGAACATACTGATCAGCCGTGGAGTAGGGTAGGCAGCCCAGACGAACGTTCCCCTGGAGATGTCGTCACCATCGCCAGCACCGATCCGTCCGCCTACATTTCGACAAGGATTGTAGCCAATCAGCAGCAGCGGATTGGCGAGCTCAGCGCTCACGTCGTCACCACATCATCGACTAGAGGCATCAACAGCGTATTTCCGGCATTGCTAGCAGTGTTATCGACCGTTCTACGATTGCCTGTATTGCTGCATACCCCTCATCTCACCTTTCATTCTCTCCCTCATGTCCATACCTCGAATACATCGTCTTGCGAACCAGCTTCGGCCGCACTTATACAGATATCCAGCAACAAGGTCTTTCTCAACAACTCTACGAGCTATGGCCGCACAGGAGTATAAGCTCAAGGGCGTCAAGTCCCTTGACTTGGGCCCTGGAGCCAAGGAGGAGGTCGAGGTGGAGGGTATCGAGAACGGCAAGGTCTTGCTGGTCAATGCTGCGGGCACAGTCCAGGCCCTTGGATCCAAGTGCACACACTATGGCGCACCACTCGTGAAAGGTGTATTGACAAAGTCTGGTCGCCTGACCTGCCCGTGGCATGGAGGTATGAAATTCCACACTGAGATCTTGGGTACCAGACTGACATTCCAGCCTGCTTCAACTCCAAGACTGGCGATGTTGAAGATGCTCCCGCCCTTGATGCTCTGCCTACGTTCAAAGTCACAGAGCGTGACGGGTCGGTATACATCACTGGCGAAGAGTCTGCTATCAAGTCCTCACGCCGCGCCCCCAACTTCAAGTGCAATGCCGCGGGGGATGGACAGGAAGAGAAGATTGTCGTTGTTGGTGGTGGCTCAGGTGGTCTCGGTGCCATTGAGGGCCTTCGCGAGAAGGGGTTTGGCGGCCCGTTGACGGTCATCTCCAACGAAGGCTACCTACCCATTGATCGCACCAAGCTGAGCAAAGCGCTGATGACGGACACGGATAAGCTTGCCTGGAGGAACAAGGACTGGTTCGCGGAAGGGTCGGTTGAGTGGGTCGATGGGGAGGTTGACAGCATCGATTTCTCGGATCGGTCTGTTTCGACCAAGGAAGGCAAGAAATTTGCGTACACGAAGCTGGTCCTTGCCACTGGTGGCCAGCCAAAGCTTCTGCCACTGCAAGGCTTCAAGGTTCTGGGCAATATCTTCACCTTGCGCAGCGCCCATGACACAAAGAAGATCACCAGCGCTATCGGCGAGAAGGGCAAGAAGATCGTCATTGTTGGATCGTCCTTCATCGGAATGGAAGCTGCTGTCGCAACTGCTGCGGACAACGACGTTACTGTGATTGGCATGGAGAAGGTTCCCCTGGAGCGTGTTTTGGGCGAGCAGGTTGGCGCTGGCCTGCAGAAACTTGTTGAAGGCAAGGGCGTCAAGTTCTACATGGGTGCTGGTGTCGACAAGGCTGAACCCTCCAACTCCGACCCGTCCAATATCGGAGCCGTGTTGCTCAAGGACGGCACTCGTCTTGAGGCTGACCTGGTCATCCTCGGCGTTGGTGTGTCGCCAGCGACTGAGTTCTTGAGAAACAACAGCATTGTCCGCCTCGAAGAAGATGGCTCTCTGAAGACTGACGAGAACTTCAATGTCGTTGGTCTGAAGGATGTATACGCCATTGGCGACATCAGCACATACCCCTATCATGGACCCGGCGGCGAAGGCAAGTTCACTCGCATCGAGCATTGGAACGTCGCACAAAATGCCGGTCGCTCAGTGGCGAATCACATTGTCAACCCTTCGATCAAGACGGAGCAATTCATTCCCGTGTTCTGGTCTGCCTTGGGCGCCCAAATGCGCTACTGCGGCAACACAGTTGGTGGTTGGGACGACGTGATTGTAGACGGCAACCCGGCGGACGCTAGCTTTGTGGCATACTATACAAAGGGCGAGGAGGTCGTCGCCATGGCGAGCATGGGTCGTGACCCAGCCATGACACAAAGCGCCTTGTTGATGAGGACGGGAGCCATGCCCAAGAAGTCGGAGCTGAAGGGCAACCCCGATGTGATGGCGGTGGGTGTGCCGGCTTGAACACACAGCCAATGACTACGGGTTATACGTATACGACTAGTGATGGCGATACCAAGGCGCCTTCGACTGAAACAGTCAATGCCATTCCGCTTCAGTCACAGACACTTCCTTAGTTACGCGTATTCCTCGTAGAGCCGACGTCGGGCGTTGAACATATGCACCACCAGCGGGTACATCCTCCCCGCTCACGCCGCTTGATTCTCCCTTCCACGTACCACTGTCCGAGTCGAATATCTCATCTTCATCCTGTTCAGTATGAGGGACTTGACCAGTGTTTAATTGCGTCCCATTGAGGTTCTGGTACCGACTGCTCGTTTTATGAGATGTCCACCGGTCGATATATCCCTTGTATAGCGGCCGACAGACGGGTATACCAATGCAAATCATTGTCACAGCCTGCTCGGCAGATGACCAGACGATGATGCCAACGCTGTTGCGAAGGTAATTGCTTGACATCAAATTCGGGATTTCGGTCGCACATTTAATGCCACAAGCGGCGGCTTCAGGTTGATTTTACGGGTGCTCAAAGCGGACCACAGAAAGGCGCAGTGCACGAGAATACATGTTTGTATGCTGTGGATGGCAAGAGGCCTCTGACGGCTGGCTGTGATCTATGTGACAGGCATACTTCAGCCCTGGTGGTGATTCATGAAGGGGTTGGTTTTACGTGCGTGTAAGCATCCATGTCCATTGCGACTGGACCCTGTGCTCTCAAAGTCCATGTGCAAAGTGGCTTCCTGTAACAAAGCTTGAAGACTAATCGAGGCGTGCCCAATGTAAGAAAGCCAATGAGGAGCTTGAATTTGCTGGATTCACTGTACGAATGATGCACGTACGTATGTACTTACATTTGTGAATCGAAGGGAATTTGTTCCTGACAATGGGCATCCCAGCTTCGGCGCTGGACCAACTGCAGGACGCCCCCGGCTCAGGCGTTGACTGAAGATGAGAAACGCACAAATCGCATTGAGTTTATGGTATTGGTTACAGCTGTCAAGTGATTGGTCGCTCAATCGACGTTGCTTCTGCGGGTTGGGTCAGGTCTCGTCAAGCGGATCAACATGGTCATGCTGCATGCATGCATGGTGGCCTTGGCAATCACACGAAGAAGCACAGCCTGATGCATGTCAAATACTGAAAGAAGTTCATGCGTGTATTCACCAACGAATCTTGGGTCATTTAACTTGCACTGGTCCTCATCGAGTCCGTGCCTGTTACTGCTCTCTGTGAGCTTCAGAAGGCTACCTGAGAATCGAGGGCCTGAAGTCAACATGGACCAAGGGGCACAAGCTGAGCCAAGTGGTTCGTGGTATGACAGGTACAACGACTCATTGCGAGGCGCGCTCCTCGAGCAAACCTGGGCCGGGCTGATTATGGCCGCCATTTATCTTGCCGTCGTACTTGTATCTGTTCACTGGGCTTGTGAAATCATCTTCACGCGGCTTTGGCGATTTCCCGGCCCTCCCATTGCCGGCGAGTACACTCAGCGCCCTTTCAACAGCGTCTCATGCTGAGAGATCCAGGTTTGACCAACTGGTACCGCTTCTACCTGGTCCGCACAGGTGATTATCAGCATCAACTCAAAGCGCTTCATGACAAGCATGGGCCTGTTATCCGCCTCGGGCCCAACGTTGTCGACTTGGATTATCCTGAGCTTATCAAGACCATGTACGGCACCGACAACAAGTACCTGAAAACTGACTTCTACCATAACAACTCGACCAAGATTGGTTGGAACATCATCCCAAACATGTTCTCCCTAACCGATCCTGAGGCGCACGTCAGGATGAGGAAGCCCGTGGCTAACACTACTCCTCCAGCGCAGTGCTCACAGTTGAGCCTCTGGTCGACAAGGTAATCGATCAACTGCTAGAGCATCTAGAAGAACGTTTCGTTAAGACCGCCAAGACATGCGATCTGGGTGAATGGATCGCGTTCTGCACCTGGGACATGGTAGGCGCAGCATCGTTCAGCGAGGACTTTGGCTACATGGCTCAAGGCAAGGACCACGACGGGACCATCTCCACAGAGGACAAGGCGTTCGATTACTTTGCTGCCATCGGCCAGGTGCCAATCCTAGACTATTGCTTGGACAAAAACCCAATCAAGCGGATTGGCCCGCCGAACCTGGGAAATGCCACGAGGGTGGCAATCGAGCACATTGCGGCACGCACCCAAGGAAACGACCGCAACTTTGACCCCAAAACACCGGGTTATTTGCAACGTTTTATGGAAGTAAAAGAGACGTATCCAGACATTGTCGATGATGGAATGGTCATGAACTATGTATTCATCAATCTGCTTGCTGGTTCGGACACCACAGCATTGACTATCAGGGCGGTTATGTACTACGTGTTGAAGCATCCGGATGTCTACCGCAAGCTGAAGAGCGAGCTCGGGAAACTTGAATTGGGGCGCATAGCGCAGTATTCTGAAGCCAAGGCATTGCCATGTGAGTCTTTGCTCCACGCCCCAGACGGCGACCTGCGCTAATGCAGAAAGACCTCGACGCTTGCGTTCGTGAGGCCATCCGCGTCCATCCAGGGGTATCGATGATGCTGGAACGGTACGCCCCCGCGGAAGGTCTTACACTGCCCGACGGTCGCTACATTCCCCCCTTCACCAAGGTCGGCATGAATCCTTTCATCATCAACCGGAACCCGTGCATCTGGGGCAATGACCCCGATACTTTCCGTCCGGAGCGCTGGCTGCAGCAGGATGATGAGTCGGGATCGGCATTCGCGGAGCGCACCAAGCTTTTCAATGCGGCCGATTTCTCATTTGGTGCGGGTTCAAGGATGTGTTTGGGTCGACATTTGGCGCTGCTTCAGACGTATAAGATAGTCGCAGCCTTGGTGGGACGGTACGATATTAGGCTGACGAACCCGGAGCGAGAATAGGAAGTGACTTGTAGTTAGTTTCCCAGGCAGAAAGGCCTTATTTGCGATTTGAGGTAGATAGGAGAAGACACAATCTACCCAAGCCCCGTTGTGCGGCAATCCTCCGCCTAGCCCAATGCCGTTATGTCAAGCAAGGCGACACACGCGTCGCTTGAAGTCGTTACCTAGATGTGAGTCATGGCCTCCCAGTCAAAGAGCGCCACACCGATTAGCATTATCCTTCCACGCACAAGAGCAAACTGACCTGGAGGGGAAAAAAGGTGAAGCCATCGTCCTCGTCAGAATGATCAGGATTGAGTTATGCCGCATCCCCCAGACGAAGGAGGACGACATGCCGCGTATCGCACTCAAGTTTTACTCAACAAGCTCAGCAACGACTCCCATAGAGACACTGGGACATCTCCATCCCCCGAAGGTTCCGGCGCGCCCAGGCTCTGAGATTTCTGATGCCGATTGCAGACGTCAATTGACGCCAGGCCATCACTGGCAGGCCTATGCATCGTCCAGAGGGACGAGAGGGAGGCGAGGCCTTCCCGAAGGAAGTGAGCATTACCCTGAATTTCCCACATGCAAAGAGAGCGAGAGATTTCAGGTTCGAGAACGAGAAATCTCTCCGTATGGAGCATGGAAACGCAGCGTTGACGAGGGCGATGGCTTGAAGAAGGAGAATCAGGAATCAGATGAATTGTAGCTGAGATTTTTTGATAGAGCCCAGCGGCGGGGCAAGTTAATCCGGCGCCCGGGTCCTCCCGCGAGGCTAGCACTTAGCGTAGCGTCCTGTCCTAACGTGATCTCGAGAATGACTGGAAGTTTGGAACTTAAAGTTGAACAAGCACAAGGCTGACCATTACAGCGCTTCTAGTCATGAGAAGCTTTGGCTCGCAGCCACGACGAGTAGGGGAACTGGTCCAGCTTGAGGCCCCTTGTCGACGCAACAGACCTGGCACTCCATGTCATTCATCCCACAACACGTCACAGCCTATCCCTAGTGCCGAACTCTTCTCAACTTACCCAGCGTTTGTCAGAGTCGCATCTCTGCACTCCATGTGGAAAAGAGGCGGATATTACCAGCAGCTTTGTCAGACATGTCAAAGATCGAATGCCAGGAAGTGGCGTCGCTTAACGGCTGCCCGTGCTCCAGTCCCCGCAGGAACAAGAGCTCCGGCAGTTGAATTTGCGAATCCATGACGTCGTCCACGACACATCACCGATTCAATCTCTAGAACATCGTCATTTTGACAGAAGGGGAGCGACAAGTCAACGTATGATGACGCGGGAAACAGAGGCAGACACGGGGTTTCGGAGTCAACGGCGGTACTTGTACCTGAGGAATGCTGCGAAACAGGCTCATTTGTTCGACTGATCTCGCCATCTCCTACCTACGAGCCTCGCACAACACGAACAAAATACTTCGAAATGTCAGTAAGCCAAGCAGCATGGCAGGCGGAAAAGGCGATGGGCCACAGCGACAATGCCACGACCCAGCAAGACGTCGCCAACTACGCTGAGACGGGCAAGGAGGGCTCCTCAATGAAGGCACTCGTCTGGCAGGGCAAGAACAAGGTCGAGATGGTTGACGTCCCTCGCCCCAGCCTCCTCGAGGATCGCGATGTCATCCTCAAGGTCACCGGCAGCACCGTCTGCGGCTCGGACCTGCACCTGTTGCATGGTTCCGTTGTGCAGATGAGCAAAGGCGATATCCTCGGACACGAATTCTGCGGCATAGTGGACGAGGTCGGAGCCGGCGTGGACAAGAGCAAGATCAAAGTCGGCAAGCGTTACGTTGCCTCGTTTCAGCTTGCCTGCGGACACTGCTTCTTCTGCGACCAGAAGCTGTCGTCTCAGTGCGAGAAGACAAACTCCAACACGGCAGAGAATGCTATGTACGGTGGGCGCACCGCAGGCATGTTTGGCTACTCTCACTTCACGGGTGGGTTCGCCGGTGGCCAGGCCGAGTATGTCCGTGTGCCTTACGGCGATGTCAACCTTCTCGAGATCCCCGAGGATGTCCCCGATGAGAAGGCGCTCTATCTGTCCGACGTCCTCGCCACGTCTTACAACTGCGTCAAGGACACTGCCGTCTACCCCAACGACGAGGTTGCGATCTTTGGCGCTGGTCCCATTGGCCAGATGTGCGGTATCTTTGCCCTTGGCGAGGGTGCGAAGAAGGTCATCTTTGTCGACCAGGAGCCTCGTCTGTCCTTCGTCAAGGAGCACTGGCCCGTTTCTCACCTCGACAAGCTTGAGCTAGTGGACTACAGCAAGCTCTCCTTTGGAGTGACAAACAAGCCTACGGTTGTCAGCAAGCTCAAGGAGCTCTGCGGCGGCCGGGGTCCCGACTGTGCTCTGGAGTGCGCTGCTGGCGAGTATGCCAAGGGCTGGATGCACTGGGTCGAGATAATGACGGGCGCCGAGACCGACACGAGCGAGATCCTGAACGAGATGATTGAGGGTGTCCGCAACTACGGCCGCGTGGGAGTCACTGGTATCTACGTCGGCTACACGAACCACTTCAACATTGGGTCTGTCATGCAGCGCGGCATCCGCGTGATCGGGAACGGCCAGGCCCCCGTGCATAAATACTGGAATGAGCTCCTTGATCAGATCCGCAAAGGCGAGCTGGACCCCCTCCAGATGGTCTCGCACCGCGTCAGGTTGGAGGATTTGGATAAGGTGTACTACAAATTCGAAAAGAGGGAGGATTCCATGCAAAAGGTCTTTGTGGAGACAAAGTTTTCCTTGCCCAAGGCTGATGGTTCGCCTGCGTTGACTACCTATTGAAGCACGAGTTGTGTTCAAGATGTTTGCTAGCGAGGAGATGGTGATGGTTGACGGAGTTGTGATAACGAGTAACGAATATATTGAAATGCAAATACTGCAAAATGTCCAATGCTTTCTAAAATCAAGTTTTTCAAGTTTTGTTACAAGTCTGTGCGCGTGCGAAGGTCCCGGGTAAGCTTCTTCTTCAAGTCGTAAGTTAACAAGCAAATGGTCCCCAAGGCTTCAACGCCTTATCTCGAATCATAACCTGATTTGATCATCACGCACACCCCACCGCAGCAATGGCTTCAGGCACTCAAAAACGCAAAGAAACATCCAAACCAACGTCAAATGGTGCTAGGAGTGAGCCAGAGACTACAGCGTCGCAGCCTAAAGCCAGCGCGTTGCGAGGAGCCTCCTTACTCATCACTCTCCAGCTCATCTCGCGGCTCCTCACTTTCCTCTTCAACAACCTCCTAGTACGATTCCTCACCGCGCCTCTTCTGGGGCTTTCCACACAACTCGAAGTGTACTACTTGTCCGTGCTCTTCTTCGCCCGTGAGAGCCTGCGCGTCGCCATCCAGCGCACTGATGGATCTGGACAGGCGGTGGTCAACTTGGGGTATGTCAGCGTTGCTCTCGGTGTCGTTGTCGGCGTGGGACTGGGCTGTATGTACGAAGGGTTTGCGAGCACCGACGCAGCATTCCTAGCAACGTCACTCAGGCTGTATGGGCTGGCTGCGATCGTGGAGTTGCTGTCCGAGCCTGTTTTCGTGCTCATGCAATCACGCCTGCAGTTTGGCACCAGGGCCTTGGCGGAAGGTCTCGCTACGTTCCTCCGCTGTGCGGTCACATTTGGATCAGCGGTGTGGGCAGAGCGCAGTGGGCGAGATCTGGGCGTATTGCCCTTCGCGCTGGGACAGATGGTGTACGGTGTCGCTCTGTTCGTCGTCTACCTCGTCTCCGGTTATCGACTCGTCTCGCAACTGGACCTATCTCTGTTCCCGCGACACGCAGGCACCGGGAGAGAGTATGCACTGAACGGCTATCTCTACCAACCCACCCTCTCTCTAGCTGGCACGATGATGGCCCAGTCGGTCGTGAAGCACATCCTTACCCAGGGAGACACGTTCCTCGTTTCCCTGCTATCGACGCCAAACGTGCAGGGTGTCTATGCCTTGGCGAATAACTATGGTGGCCTGCTTGCAAGGCTCCTATTCCAACCCATTGAAGAGAGTCTCCGGTCGTACTTCTCCCGACTGCTCACCCCGCCTCAAGCGAAGCCTTCTATCTTGCAAGCGAGGGAATCCTTCAAGGGCATCCTGAAGATGTACATTTTTATGTCGGTTGTCATCCTTTCGCTCGGTCCCTTTGCTGCCAAGCCACTGCTTGCTATTGTCGCTGGTCGCAGATGGCTCGGCTCTGGCGCAGGCGACGTGCTGGCCACCTATTGCTTCTACATTCCTTTGCTTGCATTGAATGGCATCGCCGAGGCATTCGTTGCTTCCGTAGCCAGCGAAGGTGAGGTGCACAGGCAGTCAGTTTGGATGTTTGCCTTCTCGTTGGTGTTCGCCGGCAGTGCGGTTGTCTTTATGAGAACGTTAGACCTCGGTGCTGGTGGCTTGGTAGCTGCCAACTCGGTGAACATGCTGTGTCGCATCATCTGGAGTGCCAGCTTCATCAGAGGCTTCTTTGCGAGGCACGGACTGGCCGTTGGGTTTAGAGACCTGGTGCCCAAGACTGCCCTGGCGTTGGCCCTCGGTACGGCTGGAGTCATGTTTGCTCTCAATGTTACGGAGGACGCCGAAGCCTTGCCTTTCAGATCGTTGTTCAGGGTTGCATCTTTTGCATTGCCCTTGGTGATATCAATGTAAGTTCCGTGCGTGACATTCGTAATCTATGCTGACATACATAGCGCCTTCACCGAAAGAGAGACCTTGCGACGCGAGTACCTATCTTTCCGCAACTCAAAAACCAAGTAAAACAAACATTCTCCTCCCTAGCGCGACACGTCATCAAAGCCTAGTCGAATGTGATCTTGGTCGCCTTTTGTGTCATGTCTACATCCTTGGCCCATGCGCCATAGAGGTCGTGCGTCTTCTTCTTGACGGTGGTGCCGAATTTTAGGAGTTCATCTGGTACGGGCTGGTTGGCGCCACGCAGAATATTGACGAGACTACCCAATGTCAGCTTTGTTGGCGTGGGACGGATCAGAGACTTACGATCCCGAGTGTGTCTTATCTTGTGTCGTGAAAAAGGTGATGGCCTCGCCTGTCTTGCCAGCGCGACCGGTACGGCCAATGCGGTGGACGTAGTCCTCGATCGTCAGGGGAAACTGTCCAGCGTGAGCTTTCGCATCAATGAGATTTCCCGGCGAGTGCACTTACTGTGACGTTGATGACCAGCTTGACCTCTGGGATGTCCAAGCCTCGTGCCGCGACATCTGTTGCCACGAGGACGGGCGTCTTGCCCTCCTTGAATGCTTGCAAACTCTGCGTCCTCTGCTCCTGACGCAGATCACCGTGAATGCCGCCTACATTCACGCCCTTCCTCCTCAGAGTGTTCTCAACTCGGGTGGCTTCCTTCTTGTACAGGCAGAAGACCAGAATCCGATCATTGCGGTTCTTGCCCTGCTGGTACTGCTTGAGGATCTGTAGCAGACGGTTCTCCTTCTCGTGGCCCTCCATAACCTCGACTTTCTGAGTGATGCGAGTGTTTGCCTGGAGTTCTACGCTGCCATCCGCCGACTCCTTTCCTTGCACGCCAATGGTTATCTTGACGGGGGACACCATGAATGTCGAGGCAAGGGTTTGGACTGACTGGGGCCATGTAGCCGTGAACATGAGTGTTTGCCTGTTCTCCCTAGTAGGGCAAGCACCGAGGATGTTCTTGATGTCGTCCTCGAAACCCTTGTCGAGCATGCGATCCGCCTCGTCAAGGACGACAAACTTGGCACCGGACAGGTTCACAGTGTCGTCGGACATAAAGTCCTTCAGCCGCCCAGGGGTGGCGACGATGATATCCGCACCGCGCTTGAGGAGGGCGCGCTGCTCATCCTTGGACGCGCCGCCGTAGAGGCAGACGGTCTTGAGGTTGACTTTGGACGCGAGGCTCTCGAGCTGCACGTGTGTCTGCATGGCGAGCTCGCGGGTGGGTGAGACGACGACGGCCTTGACGCCCTTCTTACCAATGGCTGCGACGCTCTCGACACAGGGCAGAGCGAAAGCCATGGTCTTGCCAGATCCAGTCTCCGCAACGCCAACGGCATCGCGGCCAGAAAGTGTGAATGGCCATGACGCCGCCTGGATCGGTGTAGGGGTCTTGAAGCCAGCAAAGGGCGAGGGTTGCTTCTCGAGGAGGTTTGTGGACGGCAGGTGGTGGAATTCGACGACCGGACGAAGGGTGACCTCGGAGTTCAACGGGTCCGTGGTGGTGATCTGGTGCTTGGACAGGAACGCATCAATGTCCGCTTGGGGGACGTCGGTCAGGGTGATGGTCTGTTCGTACGAGCCGCTGATGACGGAGCCATTGGACACGGGCTCTGAACCCTTCTTGCTTTTCTTGGGCTTCTTCTCCTTCTTCTGCTCCTCCGCCACCTCGGGCGCAGGTGCATCGGGCACCTTGGTGGCCTCGTCTGCCGCGGCAGCGGCAGCCTTCTTCAGCTTCTTGGCCTCCTTGCGCGCCTTCTTCGCAGCCTTGCGCTCGGCTTCGTCCTGGTCGACATCATCATTGGTCTCCGTCTCAGCCTCCTCCTGGCCCTTCTTAGTCTTCTTCTTCTCTTTCTTTTCTTTCTTCAGGCGAGCCTTGTCCGAATCAGCGTCGACCTCAGGCTCGAGGGGCTTCGACTTCTTGCTTGGGCGGACGGTGTCTGCCTCGTCGGCGACTTGACGCTTGGTGGCAGCCATTGTACCTAGGGACCACAAAGTGTGATCCTGATGCGGAAAGAAGGGAACGTGACAAAATCTAGTTGCAGTGACGCGACTGTCGCAAATGGCGGGCGCTGGTCCAGCCTTCGGGATGCAAATTTCGGATCAGGAAAAAAAAAAGATGGAAATTCCTTATCGGTCAGTCTATCGATTGCGAGTGTGCCTTATCGCGGCCTGCGCCATCGCGGGGTGGATTCCCCACCTCTTGACGCGATACGTACGCTTCAATCTGACCTGAGCATCGCCCTTCTTTTTATCGCGCTTGAGCCCGTGTCCCACTTGTCGCGTCTCCTACCGTCGCCAGTGGTGCCAGAAATCGGCTGTTCAACTCCCAGGACCACACTGAGAGGCAGCGGCCGCGAATTCGTCGTCGTGAGCGGATAGCTCTCGCGTCGATTGTGCTTCACAGCCACCAGTAATGCCAGTCCAGCGCTGAAGAGGAAAATTGACAAATCATCATTTTCCCAGAGACCAAGCCATTCTTCGATGCGTCCCATAGCCTCGACGAAATTCTACCAAGTGGGCTACCAACCGATGCTGACGATCATGAATGTCGAGCGCCAGCGTCGATATCAGTCCTGACGCCCGCGAACAGCGCCCTCGATTTTGCTGGGCAAGGGTACCATGCCGAGCGCGACTTGTGGTCCAAGTTGTGGATCATACCATTCTCCATCCGTACTGCGTACTGCGTACCTCACCTACAGGAGCACATGTACCTGTCGTGATTCGTCTCTGAAGGTCCAGCGCCGAGGCTCAGTGAGAGCACCCCCATCTGAGTGTTTGGCTGGTTGATTGGTGGCCATGTTTGCTACACAAGTAACATCGAATCAGTTGAGTCGAAGAGGCTGGGACGCTCGCAGCAAGTGTTCCGCAGGTATGCAAGCAATGAGTTAAAGGACACGCTGCTGTATGCTATGATATCTAACGAAGGTGTAGGAATCCCCATCTTGTCATCGTATGATCCTTGCCGTGGCCAGACCACATGATCCCGAGGAAGACCCATGTCACACCGAAATGCACCCAAACGAATCCAAGGTGTTCCCCAGCAAGCGGGCATCACTTCTCTATCCTCTCAAACAGCTCACCAATCTTGTGCTCGAAAGGCGCAAGTGGGTGCACCTCGCCCAGGCCGAGGTCGTCTAGCTTGTAGCGCACATTGGTCGTGTGCATGGCCATGTAGCCCCTCACGCTGTCGTTCCATGACTGAGCATAGATGCCGCGTCCCTTGAGGATGGCATTTACGCGCTTGGCGCAGGCAACTGCCTCGTCGCTCGTCTCCTGCAGAACAGCTGGAACTGACTTTCCGCACACCGTCATGCGGTTGTGGATGTAGTTGCGGTCGTCACCGCCAAGTTCCTCCTTGTAAAAGCTGATACGTTTAGTGGAGGATGCGCCAAAAGCTGCCGGGAAAGACTCACGAGAGAACGTCATTCGAAATGTCGATGAAGCGGGCCATGTCAGGAATAGCCTCCAGGAAAGCGCCCATATCAGGATACTGGTCCTTTGGGTAGCAGAACACGGCATATGCCACGTTCATACCAGACATGTCGCGGTAGAAGTCGGGAAACTTGACACCAGCGCCCGCCGGTGTTACGCGCATGTTTTGGAAACCGTTGTGTCGCTCCAAGAGGTTACTCGTCAGGAATTTGAGCACAGAGATCTGCAGCTGATTCGCCAGCACTGGATCATAGTGGTCGTGCGCCTCGCGCAGCAGCGTTGCGATGCCCTCCAGAAGATTGTTGGGCTGCTTCTCGCCGTTGAAGAAGCGTTGATGGAAAATGGTGGCTTCCTCCATCATCTCGTCGTTCTGGCCGACGATATCGTCATATTGCACAACCAACCACGTGAAAAGGCCTACATAGCCTTGTGCTTCCACTGAGTGGTTAGGGTGCGCAAGCTGGCATTGTCAGTTGTTTGTCGAGAAACCCCTCGCGCGTCAGTGGACTCACCAGACCCTCGGCGTACCCCAGACGAAAGCCTTTGGCCGATATCCGAGTGTTGAGAGGGACGCCAATCTCGACGGCTCTTGTGTACATGTACTCCAACAGGGCTTCAACTGACTCTGCTTTCAACACAGGCGCGCCAGGATAGTTCAGCTGCTCCAACATGTCTTGGCAGACCGGTCGGCACACTGCCGCCAGGCGCTTGGGGTTCTTTGATAGATCATCTTCGATCAGGTGCGGTAGCGCGCTTGGTGTGAGGAAGCCCTTCAACGTGTTGAGTAAGCGGCCCATTAACTTGCTCCAGGGCGAGGATGCGGAATGACCATGGCGATGCATGGTGCGGAGCGATGATTGCTGCTTCTTTGGGACGAGGCGGCGAGTGCTTTAGTGGCTCGCGGATGGACAAAGTAGCCGCGGCTCTGGGGTAGAGAAACGGATGATGACTTGCAACTGATGGGACCCCAGACGAACCAAGGGTATGAGACGCAAGTTCGACAACGGACGGAGGCTAAAGTGGGAGGGATACGAGTCAAATATTCCCCGAGAGACAGGGCACCACCGGGCCTCTTTATGCTACGCGGTCCATCTGTCTACGGCTTCTACTTATCGTTCACGGTCCAGGCAGCTAAACAGGAAGTGGGGACCGCCACCGCAAGCTCTATCGATCAGTGAGCAGATGATACGGATACTGCCCTCTGGAACGGCGATGAGGAAGATCATCCGGCTTGGAAAGATCGCGGGCAGCTTGCTGCAAGACCACGGACTCGAGGCTTCAAGCCTTTCAAACAAGGCCCCCTTGTGTGCTTGGCGGCAGTTGCATGATCCGCGAACTTAAGAGTTCTCTGCACCTCGGACCCAAGGGTTGCGAGCCTTGCATGCGCGAGCAGGGGATTGCCGAATCGGATTCAGTTTTGGGGGCCGCCGCACGCCAATTCTCGCAGCATATGTAGGACATATGTGTTGTCTAGTCCGTTACTCCCTGGACCTGGAGCTCTGCGCGGTGTTGCAGGGTGTTGATCATTGTCGAGAAGGATGAGGGCGTCCACATGGCCGGTCCTCGAGTCTGCATTCAGTTTTGACTTCGTTAGTGGGGACAAGTGGATGTTCGACTCGTTCGAGTCTCGGGCATCAGACTTCCCGGGTTACAAAATTCACTGCAGACTTGTACTACTAATTAGCGCAGAGCGCAATCAGAGGCTATTCAGAGTACGCAAGATAGGCCAAGTGGATGAGACACGGGCCCGCACGTGCTGTTATCGCTAGGCTGGTGCTATATTACCTTGTGGGGTTATATCCCAGTGGGGGGAGGGAGCCGAGGCAGAGAAGAACTTGGCTGAGGCTGAGTCCCAAGGTCCATGGCTTGGAAGAACAGAGGTTAGTAGAACGGAACCGAAATTGGTCAAGTACTCAATTCCAGACTTGAGTGAGATCTCGCCATTGCGCCTCTCGCAGGGCCCAGATGGTCAGACCCTAGCGACAAGGAAAGGTGCTTTCGTCAGGACTCAGGAGGGGCCAGGGCCAGAAGTTCATCACTTATCACAAAACGAACAAGCGAAGGCGTAGTCAGTGCTGTACAGCGCTCCATACAAAGGACAAAAGTCTTTTGGTGAGTGGAGAGTCTTGGCCTGTCATTTGCAGAAACCGTTGCGCTAATATACATGTCTTCTTCAGCAAGGGTCGAAGATCCCAGTCTGCTTGTCATTCAGATGATAAGTCATGTGGATTCTCAAAAGTTGACGGAATCTGAAGAAGCCTCCGCTCCTTCAGAAAGACGGCCGCCTCAAGACTGAGTCTGGCGACGGTGCGCTGTGCTCACTGCCCACCTATCGCGCGATGCCACCCCCGTTATTTACTCCACAGCAGGGAGTCCGACATGGTGATGCTTGGCCTTAGCGAGCGTGCTGTCCTTGTCACCTTGACAGGACCATTTCTTCTTCATCTCCACCTCGGTCGTGCCCGTCTGGCGCCTTCGCAACTAGTGCCTCCACTGGAGCAGCATGAGGCAGGTAGCCTGGTCATTAGTGCGATTCCTACAGACTTCCCCTCCTATTAGGTCTTCTTGACCGTACAAGTGTCTCTTAGACGCCGTCAAAGCGCGGTCCACGAGCCAGGGACCCTCGGCTTGTCAAGACGCTGTGCAGTCGTCCAGCCCTCAACAGACGAGGAGAAAATTCTGTTAGGCCGGGGTCTTTGTGGCCGTATAAACCCATGGCGGTTCCGCCAGTCTGGTTCCGACAATTTCTGTTGCATGATGCTGCCTCGACCGACCCAGACAGGCGCAGTCGACACATGCACCCGATAGTACGGAGTACTCACTACGCCTATCCTGGACTCCCACCGACAGCTCCATCCCCACTTCAGGTGCAGAACGGCACAAGTTGTACCAAACATCGGCTCTTCCTTAGCCCTCGCAGCGTACTGATACGAGAAAGAGCCCGACGCCGCAAAGTCTTATCCGAACCGAGTATTGAGGTGGACGCTCCGAAAGTCCGAATCCGCGGCCTGCAGCGCCAAGTGCACGACAGACGGCACATGAAGCCATCATGAATACCCCATACCGACGACTCGACCCAGCCAAGCAGGAATTTCGTCTCCTTGAGGTGCAAGCCGCCCGCACACTGGAAGAGCCCGTGGAGTGTCGACTGATCACCGCCCGCCTGACCGAGGATGTCGACTTTATCGCCCTCTCGTCCCTCTACGGGGACAGGGAGGAGATGGACAGGATCTGGATGAGCGGGCGAAGTGTAGCGGTGCCAAAACACCTGGTCTCAGCACTCAAGCACATCAGGGCCGTCTTCTTCCCCACCGTCTCGAAGCGATATCAACGAAAACCAGCTAGGAAGCCGCATGGAGCGCCGAGATGGCTGCGGCAGCTTTTTGGGATCTCGAGCCAGAAGCTCGAAGACGAGGCGCCACGCAGTCTCCGGATCTGGATGGACCTCTTGTGCGTCAACCAAAGGGACGAGGCGGAGAAATCGAAACAGCGCACCGACATGAAGGCCATCTACCGCTCGGCCGAATTGGTCGTTGGCTGGCTCGGCGACAAGCATCCTCACACGGACGTCGCGATGGCCACACTGGCCGAGATAGAGGACGCCATGCCCGCCAAATGGGGCGATCCCGGTGACAGGGAGAAGCATCCAGACGATTATGCGCCAACGCATCGCTGGGCCGCAGGCATTGCCCACATCTGGACGGATGCGCCCAAAGGCATGATCCCCTTCCAGATGCCACACTGGGTCGGTTGCAATGACTTTATGGAGAGATCGTACTTCCAACGACGATGGATCTTGGAGGAGATTGCCATGGCGAAATACCCAACTTTCTTGATTGGTGACAGCATTGTTCCCTGGAAGCAAGTTCTACGGCTGAACAGGATGATGGAAGAATTCAAGAACTACCCTTCTAATGTCTTCCCAAGGGTATGGCGCTTCCTCGCTACTGCGCAAGAGTCTCACAACTGACATGTACAGGAATATGCCAACCTGATCGCCGACCTGCCCCTCGAGACGGCGCACAAACTACTCGACGAATTTGCAAAGCGCGAAGCGCTTGAGGAGGCCAGGTTGCTGAAAGAAGGCGGGAAGTTTGCAAGCCGAGGAACGTCCTCGACACGTTCGCACGATGGTTGAGAACAGCAACGCGCTATCTGTCTGTTCTCTATGGATTTTCTTCGAATTGGACGGGGCGTTAGTCAAGTCAAGATACCCCAGGTTACTCTTAACCTCAGTTGCATCACTTCCGTACGGCTTGGTTCCATTCATCCTCGTGGTCGACAGCTCACGAGCATGACTATCACGGAAGGGGTAACATATCAGCGGTGAACGGGCAGGGGACTACTACGCGGGCTCGACAGCGGAAACAGTCCGCTATAGACGGCGTGAGCCGTACCGCGCCGGGGGCCCGAGCCGAACTGTCATTCCAATTTCCAGACGACCTTTTTCGGCCTATGACACCCCAACGTTGGACAAGGGGTTGATCCTTTACTTGGAGCTTCGCAAGCTAACTCCTATTACAATCGGCTTTAAGAAGCGGAAGAGACAGCGGATAGGACCCTGCACCATGGAAGTCGGCGAAACTAGATTAATCAGGCCATCTGGGACCGTGGGACAACCAGGTCACAAACTATGTACCATAGACGAAACTGGCTCCAGACTCCAGTGAGTCCAGTTTTTGGTCCTTGTCGTCTGCTCCACATCATGACCGCCTTTTTTCTACTTACCGTAACAAGCAAGCAGCGCCAAGGAGCCACCTATTTTATACCCACATTCATGTGCCGTCTGGACGGTCTGGTGTGTGTCCCACAAGTGGTATTATTATCTCTCACAGATACTGGGGCAAGACGATATAACCTGTCGTAAACGATGGGTTGTGGCTCTTGAAACACTGCGTGCTGATACGATTGGGTATTGCGGGTTTTGCTCCTTATGGACAAGAGACGTCATACGAACGAACGAACGATTGTTGTGACCGAGTAGGTGTCCCAAGTCCTAAAGCTCGGGCAGCCACTGTCTTCTGATGTGGTTGACACCTTGTCTTGGCTCCACAAGTAGCGAGAACGGGCATGCATGGTTCATGAAGGAGCAGAGAACGGCTCAGAGTGCGGCAGCTAGCCTCGACTGGAGCTGGGAGGCGTCGTTCGTTGCCCAATCCTGGACCCTTCTGTTCATGCAGGACTCTCCCCTCACCCGCATGCTACTTACCACTGCAGGGGTGCCTGTGTCGACGTGCGTTCTCTGGAAAGTCTTCGACGCGTAGCCTCGTGGTGGTTGCATGTGGTCCGCTTGTACGCATACGATGTTGTTGGTCTACGTATTTCGCTCCAGCCGTTTCCGGTGAGGCAGGGAAAAGCTGAAGCGGTCGAAGAGAATCAGCGGTATCTCAATTTGTTCTCTTTCTTGGGGGTGGGGCCCAGAAGTCGCCCTGACCACCGTGGCGCTGACGTGGCAGACGATCAGCCAGGTGTCGACGCATATCTACCATCTTTCTACATTTGTGGTGAGGACTTGCGCTGTTGATCAGTGGATTCCGTCGTGATTATGGCTGCGTGCCACCTTGATGAGGCTAAGGCGTTCATAGCAACGTTACGGTCACAGGTCTGACCATGTCCCCCAATACGTCCATCAGAGGAGGAGACATGAAGTCGGTGTATCGAAACACATGCGTACCCCATTGGATCAAAAGGCTAGCTATCCTATTTATTACGGAGCGCAAAGCTCGCGCCACCCCAAAGCACGAATCTGTTCGCTCTCGCTGACGTGAAGTAGTCCGCAGATGCATGTCGTCTTTGG